CCCTAACCCTAACCCTAACCCCTAGGTAATTTTAGAAGTACGAATTCTACTAAATAGAATCTAACTAAAATTCGGACTATATAGCTTCGCGCCTTACCGGCTTTAGGGAGGATCCTACTAATGTTTAGTTGCCTCCTAGGCCTTATATTGGCTTGGTCTTCGTATACCTTAGAACGGTTGACAGAGCAGTCTATTTACTAAGAGTTATATCCCTGTGCTCTGATACTGACAGTGCCGTCACGCTAGAGCTAGCTGTAAATGCATTCAACCTGGATGCATTTGGTCGTGTGAGAGGGTGCCCGTTCTCATCGACGCCTGTCGTCCAGCTCTGGTGTGGCGGTGTGTCCAGATCGACGCGCAAAAGCATGACTACCCAGTGCACACGCGGTAAGATGACTCGGGAAGGAGGGGGGTCAACTTGCATCTTTTGTTGTTGATGTGACGCGCATGATGGAATCCTATGGTTTCTCACGGCAACGAGCGTGGGAAACGACGGTTCATGTCAGCGACATAATGATCTTGAGGAGTAGACTGATAGTTGGCCTTGGTATGTCTTAGACTCATGAAGTTGCATATCGTGTCCGTCCCGAATTCATCCGATATCTCAAGACCTTCTACCATTTCACCTCCTTGCTCGATAGAAAAACATTCAAGATCTTCAACCTCTCCTCCAGAGCAGTCAGCCATACGTCTAATTCCTTCTGCACTCTCGGCTGGTCATCCCCAAGTTTACTGTAAAAGTCCTTTCGGTAGGGGCAGGCGCTCATGGCGGCGGAGAAGAGAGGTTTGATGAGGAAGGAGTGGTGTTGCTTTAGGGTCTTGCCGTAGGCGTCGCGAAAGGAGACGGAGAGCTCCTCACTTGAGTTTGTGAGATTGCGACGTAGAGCCTGGGAGGTGAATTCGAGACCACTGAGGTCAGGAGAAAGTGTCAGTGATGCTGGGTCTGTGGATCGGGAAGTCGCAACCGTACCGCACGAGCCAGACAAGACCTTCGCTTGCGACATGCTTCTTCGCCTTCAACTCGTTCAAGCAGAGCTCCTGTAATGTCTCGGACTGCAGCGGGGCTTCTAGTTGTCGTGTCCGTACCTTCTACAACATAGTCTCAGTATACGCCGCTCGCACACCTCCCACGCATGACTTCATGACTCCTCACCGTGATGTTGCCAGTCATGTCCTTCTTCACCGGCAGGAACGCTGCACTACCCAAGACGTCGAACAGGCCAGTTAGCGACTCGGCGGCTTCAAGGAACTCGGTGGTGGATATGGCATTGTCCTTGCTGGCATTGATCGGGACGGAGGTGAAAGATCGCTTAGCATTGTCGAAGTAGGTACCACCGGGTGGGTATGCTGGTGTGGCCATGATTCGTGATATTTTAGGGTCTTGGTTAGAAAGTTTGGCCTTAACGCGCTGCAGAGATACTGTGTACTCGTGTAGTCGATAATGCCATTGCTTGTCAAGCCGGCGGGACGAACTCGCAAGCTTCTCCCGTACAATTGGACCCTGCATGTGCCTTCATCCCGCATACCGTAACCCCACCACCCCGCCACGAGGCACGAGACACTGCGTGCCTTCCTGGAGTAGTAAAGTATCCGGTTGACCACTACAATGAAGCTGAAGCACTCGCCCAGACCACTGTGCTGGTGTGACTGCGCATTGTGGGACCGACCACGACAGCAACAGGTTCTACATGATGCCGACATCGGCCTCTGAGGATGGCGGGGTATCGGTGGTGATGACGGGCGAGCGAGATGATCAATGGTATATATGGCAGGGCTAGTGTGTACTTTAATCTAGACCAGCGTGCTGTTCACAGCATTTTGAACAATTATGTCCCAGAACACAACTTACAAGATCGCCGCCATCCCCGGCGATGGCATAGGCGTTGACATAACAGAGGCCGCCATCCAGGTCCTGGACACCATTGCGTCAACAAATGGCTCCTTCAAATTTGAGTACACCACATTCGACTGGAGCTCAAAGAAGTACCTCGAGCGAGGCTGGTACATGCAAGACGACTGGGAGGCCCAACTCAAGAAACACGATGCCATCTACTTTGGTGCTGTTGGGTGGCCAGATGTGCCCGATCATATCAGTTTGTGGCAGATGATATTGCCCATCCGACAGCGCATGAACCAGTATGTCAATGTGAGGCCGACGAGGATTCTAAAGGGCACACACCCTCCACTGGCCCAGCTACAGCAGAAGCCCTCGGATCTCGACTGGATCATCGTCCGTGAAAACAGCGAAGGCGAATATGCAGGTCAAGGAGGCACAACCCACGGCCACACGTCTCACGCCACCGCCACCGAAGTAGCTATCTTCACACATGTGGGCATTGAGCGGATCATGAGATTTGCTTTTGAGACGGCGAAGTCCAGACCCAGGAAGAAGTTGACGATGGTGACGAAAAGTAATGCCCAGAGACATGGGATGGTGTTGTGGGATAAGGTGTTTTACGAAGTGGCGAAGGACTATGAGGGTGTTGTCGAGTACGACAAGATGCTGGTTGATGCGATGACTGTGCGGATGGTGAACAAGCCGGAGAGCCTGGATACTGTGGTTGCTACGAATCGTAAGTGCATTGCCACCTCACACATTGTGCACGGTGCTGTCTAACTTCCATTTTCAGTCCACGCGGACATCCTCTCCGACCTTGCCGCCGCCCTCGCAGGCTCCATCGGCATCGCGCCCTCCTCCAATTTGGACCCCACTCGTTCATGCCCAAGCATGTTCGAGCCGATCCATGGATCTGCGCCTGATATAGCAGGCAAGGGTATCGCGAATCCTGTAGGAGCTTTCTGGTCCGCGGCCGAGATGGTGAGGTGGTTGGGCAAGGGCGAGCTAGATAAGGTGGCGGATCAGTTCATGCAAGCTATCGAGAATGTGACGGCAAACAAGGAGACCAGGACGAGGGATATGGCTGGGAGTGCTAATACGAAAGCAGTCACAGAGGCGGTTTGTCGGGAGATAGAGAAGGTGTGCAAAGCGTAGACGTACCTGTAACATGTTGTCCACATAGTTCGGCTGGCAGCTTCCGTCTCATACGGATGCTGCCTAGTATAGCATGTAGCCATTATTCAGCTTTAGAAGTGACGTCGTAGCTGGGCTTGGGCACATCACAGCAGAGTACCGAAATCGACCTCTGCCGTAGGAGGCCAGGATCAAATTTCTTTCATCATGGTAGAGACACTTTGTGTCTCCAGCTTGCGACCCAATGCGAAGCTGAAGAATGCTGAAGACGAGAGCGGGGTGTCGGATCTGGCAATGCTCGAGGATGAACTTCGCGTGCGCCGGAAGCATCATGCAAATCCGTGAAGCACGAATGAGTCAGCCATGCCTAATAGCCTTCACAAGCCCAGCAGTATCCTCCTCCTTCTCAATCACCCCCGGCTTAACCTTCGTCTTGCTTGTATACCCGTCCTCCCAAGGTCTCGTGCCGAACCTACTCAGCGGCCACACCACCGCGACTGCCTTTCCTTGCACCAGACTCTTTGAGATGGGTCCGTACCAATTCGAATCACGACTCCGGCGCCAGAAGTCACCTTCTACCCATAAGTGACCGTCTGGCACCGTCGGCACCCGGCCTGCCCAAGCATCCCAGCCCCGACTCTCCGGCAAGTCAGCAGCGTCTCGGCGTCGTGAAGGTCGGCGTCGAGGATCGAGGGTGATGGAGTCCCCTTCGGTACCGATCACGCGCTTCACAGCTACTGTCTCCGGATCGTGCGGGGAACGGAAGAGTATCACATCCCCGGGCTCATACCGCGCAGTGTTGGCCGACCACTTATTCCACAGCACAAGATCGCGCTTTCGTGTGGTCTCGTAGTCAGGTGACAAAGTGGGACTCATGGAACCTCCCGTGATCCAACTGGTCTCGATGACATTGTCATTGATGAAGATGACGCCGGAGGTGGTGAAGAGGACCAGTGGGAGTGAGGCGAAGATGCGGCGGGTGATATTGCGGGCGAGTGAAGAGGTATAGGCGGCAATGGGCATTTGAGGGAGGTGTAAGGGAAGGAACGATGTTCTTGCTAGCTTCTACACAATGGCCAACGTGAGCTCGCCTTAGCTGCTGACTAATAATCCTGGACGCCTTTCTTGTTTCGACTCTCATCCGCTACGATGATCCCTATCCACCTTGCACGAAGCCCGTTTCTATCCTGCAATATACTTATCTATCGGGCTCGAAAACTAATGCGTGCTAATGGCATGTGGGGTGTCGATGCATTGGAGCTAGCAAGATCGGATCATCTCGACCCTACCGAAGGTGTGCCAAAGTCATACACAACGGGGATGATCTAGTGATATCTACAGCTCGAATCGCAAGCGTGGCATGTCGTGTCTTGTCACTTCTTGACATACGCCACATTCCTTGCCAACCAACAGCCAACTGTACAGCCCTCCACTTTCTCACCATCCTTCCGACTGAAGACCACTGTCCAGTCACCCGGAGGAGTGGAATCAAGACCTCGCGGGTTGCCTAGCAAGAAGATGTCCTTTCCAATTCTTCTCATGAGCCAGACAGGACCTTTGCCAAGGAAGCCGTCGAATGAGCCGTACAGTGTACCGTGGTCGCCGGTTACGTTAAAAGTACTTTCTGATTCATCGCAGTGGTAGGTTCCGGTATAGTCTGAGCTTACGGTACTGGCTAGATCATCTTCGGTCAATGGAGGGAGCCTCGAGGCTTTCAAGGTTCTGTTCTCATTCAGGCGCTGGACGTGAAGAGTATCGCCTTCAAGCTTCAGCTTCATGGAGTCGGACGCAGCTTCGTGCTCAGAGGTCAAAGTGACGGCTTCTTCGCCTGTGCCCGGGCCGTAACTGATGCCTAAGGTATTCGGCTTCTCTCGGTCTCCATCCTTCACGGAGATGCAGAGTTGCGTATCTGGATCAAGATAGTCACCTTTCCACTCACCATCGGCTACTAGATCAGGGTGCTCAGGCTCCTTGAACCCGACCATCTGCTTCACAACATACTCGGCAGGTACGTTAGGGGGCGTCTCATAGTTGTGCATGACCACCACCGATAGCCGCTCAGACGGTATCTGCAATCGCTCATGCTTGAATCCTCGCAGTGCACCGCCATGCCCGATAGCCTGCTTTCCAGCAATCTCGAAGCGTGCAAGACCATACCCATAAGCAGCAGCCTTGCCATCGCGAAACTTCTGTGCTTGTGAAGACTCGGTATAAAAGCTCTCAGACTCCGATAGACTGCGGTCGAGGTACTTCTCGTAAGCAACCATGTCCTCCAAAGAAGCTGCGATCCCCGCGTCGCCAGCCCACTCAATCCGGTTCGTTGCTGCGAAGTACCCCGTTTTCTCAGTTCCTTCGTACCCAACGATTGGCAGTGGTAGACCATAAGTGTTAGGGTTCAATGAAGCCGTGGTCATTCCAGCAGGGATGAAGAGTCTCTCGGCCAGGAGCTGAGCGAGTGACATGCCCGAAACATTCTCCAGTATGCGGCCGAGGACGTGGAAATTGACGTTTGAGTAGGAGTACTCGGTGCCTGGCTTGAAGTGGAATGATTTGATTCGTTTGAGAGCCTCGTCTGCATCGTGCAGTAAGGAGAATTGGCCGTCTGGTCTCGCACCCCAGAGTGTTGTCCTGAGGGAGCATGTCAGTACTGTTTGTGAAGCTGGAAGTGGCAACTCACATCGCCCAGTAGTCTCGTATACCGGACTGCATGTTGTATAGATCCGCCAACTTGAGTTCGCTGACATCCAGGTTTGGTAGCAGTCGCTTCAATTCTTGGTCGAACTGCTTATTCGTTTCTTCGTTTCGGGCGGTCATGGCTGCCGTGGGATTCTTCAACAGCGATACCATGGCTAGACAGACCATCTGTTTCGAGATCGAGCATATCGGAAAAATCGTCTTCGTGGTCATGGGAATGCATTGATCGAGATCTGCATATCCCCATGCTCGCAGTCCAATGCATTCGCCATCCTTGACGACGCCCACCACGCCTCCCGGTCCTCGACGGAGATGCGGGACAGCGTCGAGGATTTTGCCGATACTCGTGCTTATTTGTGACATGATTGAGGAAGCTGTGTTATTTCACGGAGGACGAGAATTGAGGAAGATGTCCTTTACGAGATGTGTAGCTAGGTAGTGAACGGGACGGATTAAGCGAAGCTGGATGGGGAAGGTGCGAAGAAAGCACGATCCGGCCGACAAGACAGGAGAAAACCAAAGTTGACACGGCGTTTCATGAGCGACACACGAATATGACTGTCTATGCCTGACCAACAGCTCTTAGAGCAATCAGCTTACTGCCCCAAGTTATGATAGCACGAAGGACAGTGACTGGAGATGACGCATTAAGCCCGAGTGGACGCCTACGTTTTGACAGGCTCATCGGATGCCGGCGAGAAACGGATGATCCCAATGGTCTCCAACGAAATGAGTACAGCATGCTTGTAAGAGGAGATTGATCACGGTGCAGTATGATTAATCGTTTCGCCACTTGTCCCTGATGGACTGAGCAGGTCATCACTTGGCTGGCAGTGGGATGACCATGTCCTTGACAGCCTCCTCGATGAGTCCAGCCATCTCATCAGGACGACTTAACATTGGCGAGTGTCCGCTTTGCAACTCCCGAACCACGATATCTGCCCCAGCAGCTTTTGCCATCGGCGCCATTGCTTGCTGTGCTACAAGCGCCAGCGCTCTGTCTTCAACAGTAATCAGATACCAAGTCGGCACATCTTGCCATCCAGAGTAGACATGCTCGCCGCCCTCGTATAGAGCTTGCAGCGACTGACTTTGAAGCCTGCTCACCCACAGCTTTCCTTCTTCAAGCTGAAGATCGTGGTAGAAGAGTTCGCGAGGATCGACTTGTAGCACGGCGTACCCCGAATCCCAATCCGCTTCCCAAGATGGTGGCGGTTGACCGCCTGCTGCTTGCATGAAACTTAACCCACTGGGCATGAGACCTGTGCCGACTAGTATGAATGACGTGGCCGTTGCTGCTGCTGGTGGGTGCGGCTTCGCTTGACTTGGAACGGCTGAGGCCTTTGACAGCACTTTGCCCGACTACGGCGCCGTAGGAGTGAGCAACGATTATCACATCGGTTCCTGCGCTTGTCTCGTCTGTGATTGCTTGGCGGACAACTTTGAGATCATCCTCAAATGTGGCGCTGGGTCTGGGTTTGTGTTCAGTCGATGGTAGCCGAGGGCAGATACATTTGTAGCCTTTGGGCTCTAGAAGCGTAGTAAGCTTGTCCCATGTAGATGGTGCATGCCAAGATCCGTGGACGAAGAGTAGGGTCGGGAGAGACGACATCGTCGGAGGCTTGTTGTCGATGAAGTTTGAGCGAACGGCATGAGGGAAGCCATGAAGACATTGTGACGCGTGTACTTATACTGTGTCGTCTGTGTTGTTGAAATCCGACTCACTTGGTGGTGCTTATTTGCCCTTCCGTGCCCGTGTCTTGTACCGCATGTGCTTCCGCCGAAAGACGGGATGCAGCACGTGGGACTTCGCTATCTGGGCAATGGTAGGCTGACCACTGCAAGCATTGCTGTTCAACGCCTCGTACGTGATGTATAAGTGAGGTGCGGTGTCTTTGTTCGAAGTTCGATACATCCCTCGGAGATTGAATCGCGTCCGGGCATCGGCTTTGGTCTCGCTACCAGCAGACGGAGTTGTTAGTTCAGTTTCGTTATTTCTGTTGGCTAGTCCTCTGGGAAGGAACCGAAGCCAAGCCCTTTGGCTCGAAACGTGCATGACCGGACGACATGTAGCTCGTCAACCCCCATTTTCTAAACACCCAGGACGCCCAACTTCTCGTATCGATCGTTGTTGTTTGCTTTCCGGGACATCACAAAATCAGGAGACCATCCACGCCATGACAGGGTTCCATGACGGGAAGCTGCAGCGGATGCCACGCCCTCGCACACCGCGTGTCTTTCTTCACCTGCCGCGAACCATACACCGGAAGCGTGTTTTGCATCGATCAACGCTCTAGGCCGCCTAGCAAGGATTGCACTCTGGCTGATTGCATCTCGCCCTGGAGCTGCTGGCGTCTCTACTTACTATATCCCGTGTGTTTAGCAATGTCGGATATGCCACGGACCGCTATGTGTTGGACCTACAGGCCCGAGACCATAATGATGGAATGATAAAGAATGTCAACGGCTGTCAACGGTTATCAGCTATGTGCGAATCCCGCGCCTGCCTACCTCATTCGCTGACAGTTTGGGCTGGTATCGCGATGGACACTAGCTAGCGAGCCTGCCACAGCCATCACGCTGCCTGCCCTGTCGCCTACTCGTACCAGAAACAGTCCACTGCTCTCTCACCTGCTATATGGTCTTGCTCGAAATGCTCGTGAACACCGAGCTCGTGGGTCCAGATATTGGAGTCTCGAGTGCACGTGCGGCCAATGCCTCGCTACTGCATTGGTGTGCCAGGACGTGCATGCTTCCCGAAGCTGCCGAAGGCCGGGGAGGATGTGCGATTGTACTCTGGTCGTTTCAGCTTATATCAGCAGGCTTGGACTGGCTCTTCCAGCAATGTGACCACTCGCCGATGTGTTTACGCCGAACCTGGTTCACGCTGAGCACTGCACTGTAGGGCTCTCTTTCTTCTTTTCTTTCTCTCTCTGCCCCAGCTACTGAACTTGGTATCTACCCTGCCCGACCCCTTGGGTTACTTTGTTCATCTTTCAACGTTCTTGTCACTATTCCACATGCCCAGCCTAGATAGCCAAGAAAACACTTATCCAGCTAGCGCGCGCAGCGTGTCGGAGTCTGCGCCTACAAGACCATTGTAGACACCCAGCACCATGGATATTGACTCCAGGACCGCTCCACATGTGTGTGAGTAGCGCTTTGTGTTGCCTCATGGTGTGAGTCTCGACCAGAAGCAGAGGCCTGGGCACGCTCAGTCAGACCACCACGATACGAGCCTCAGCGACGCCTAGCGTGGCGACAAGATACTGAGGACACTACTGAAGCCTATCCACGTCGTCCACATTGGTTGAGAGGTCACGAAGCTGGTTATCTGTTGACGGTGGATGACTATTACGCCACGGCCAGCAGATGTGGAGTGGTCCGCGCAGAACTATAGGAATTAGAGAAGGAGTCAGAGGAGGAAGCGGAGGAGGAGAAGAGCAGTATGAGAAGGGGGGTGTAGGTGACGATGTACGCGAGGATGCAGAGGAAAATGCAGAGGGAATAGGCAGTGACGACGGAAACTTAGGTGAGGACTGCGGTTGCGATCAGAATCATCCAAGCGACATCTCCGTTGAAGGCATCGGCACAAGCGAGATGCTTGATAGCAGTGCTGCTGGTGGCGAAACGCTCCGTCTGCTTCGAGTATGAATCAGGACTTTTACTCCACAGACTTGTCTTCGGGAAGTGAGGAGAGCGATAAGTCTTATGAATAGATGCGTTCACTTCGGGGCATGAAAAGCGAATTGCATGTGATGGTTTCGTACATCTCATGATCTAAGCAGGCTGTCGCTTCGATCTGTCTGCTCTTTTCGCCAATTCTTTAAGGAGCTCCTTACTTTCCCTTCGCATAGCCCAGCTTCAGCACATCGATAAGAGTCATGATGCCGGTGTAGGAAGAGGACGAGACAAGAGGAAGTGGCTGTTGCTGTGCCGGTGCAGATCTTGGTTCGGCTCCACACAGACAAGCCTTCTTTCGAGCTTCCACCTCAGATTGCGGAGAGGATCTTGTATCGAACTTCACGCACCACGCACCTCTGAGCTAGCTATGGTACGGGGCCCATGGAATAAAGGCGAGGAAAATAGCCCGTACCTCTATGTCCGGTCATGAGTGATGCGTTGCCGTTCTATCGGACTAGTACCGATCGGCAAAATCATGGACCTCCTCATCTTGACATTCCTCCGGGGTCATCTGCCTGCATCTCGTGCTTCGCGAGCAACGCCATGGATCAAGATTCGCGCAAGATACTTACACTAGTAGCACGCCGTAATATGTGTTGCATCTCGAGAGCTTAGCACGAAGGCTCCTCCACTACGAAGGGCATGACATTCCCATTAACCCTCCAAGCTCCAACGTAGTCTTCAGCAGTACACACATCAGGCAGTCAAGCTTCGCGGAGAAAGAAAAACACGCCCGAAGTCCAAGTTCACACAAGCTGCTAAAAGCTTCGTACCAGGGCTGTCTTCTTGACTGGCGGATCAAGTTGTTCCGCCATACCATGGTACATACACTTGCCGTACTAGCCAAGCTTCGGGAGAATGTGTAGCCTATGTGGTCGACTGATCCATCAGCCTGAGGAAGAGCAATGGACAGCCTATTGAGCGAGGTATCGTTGAGAACATAAAGCGACGGGCAAGCCATGTATCGGGCTCTGGTTCAGCAATCGACAAACCTCGTATACTCGACTCTTCTGGATTCCGTCAGCAGGAATGCCTCCATACAGACTTTCGTTGGCCGCTCTCGCTGCAGCAGCGACTCTTGTCTCGGCTGGGCCGTGTGACATCTATGCCTCGGGCGGCACGCCTTGCGTAGCAGCTCATGGTACCACACGTGCTCTTTATAGCGGATATAGCGGAGCTCTGTATCAGGTGAAGCGCGCCGATGGAAAGACCATGGATGTCAAACCACTCTCAGCAGGCACGCAGATCACATCAGAACAAGCAGAGAATATCTTCTGACATCACTCACAGGCGGCGTGGCCAATGCTGCCAGCCAGGACTCTTTCTGCTCCAGCTCAAGCTGCACTATTACGACCATATATGATCAGTCCGGACGTGGCAATCATCTCACTCCAGCTCCGAAAGGTAGTGCCGGAGCTGGCCCAGGACCCAACGGCTCCGATAACCCGGCTTCAGCGACTGGAGCACCCGTTCATCTCAACGGCCAGAAGGCATATGGTAGGGCGACAGTTGCTGTTGTCCGCAGAGAGCAAGCTAACTCATCTGGCAGGCGTCTATATTGCATCCGGTGATGGTTACAGGATTGACAAGACGAACGGCGTAGCCACCGGTGATGCTGCCGAAGGCATCTACGCGATCTTCGACGGCACCCATTACAATGGTGGTAAGAACCAATGGCTAGGCATGGCAGCGCGTTTGGAGAGATGCTTGGCTAATCTTCAACCCCTCCTTTCTGTAGGCTGCTGCTTCGATTACGGGAACGCCGAGACAGGTAACGGAGACACTGGTGCCGGGCATATGGAGGCTGTTTACTTCGGCAACATCCGCGTTTGGGGAAGTGGGGCAGGGAATGGACCTTGGATCATGGCGTGAGTAATGGTGAAAGAGATCCTTGAGTGCGCCGTCTGACTCCCAGTTAGTGATCTCGAGAATGGGCTGTTCTCTGGCTACAACCCTAAGCAGAACACCGCGGATCCGACAATTACCTCTCGTTTCGTGACTGCCATTGTCAAAGGAGAATCTAATCAATGGGCCATTCGTAAGTGACGCTAGGCTATAATGGACACTTTGCCCTCCATACTGACTGGTGCTGGTAGGAGGAGGCAATTCAGCCAGCGGCTCGCTGTCCACATATTACAGTGGCGTTCGTCCAAGCGGTTACAATCCTATGCACAAGGAGGGAGCTATGTAAGTCGCATAGGTGACACTGATTCATGGAACATTGACGAAGTCACGCTGACACCATTCAACGCAGCATCCTGGGCATCGGCGGGGACAACAGTCATGGTGCGGTGGGTACCTTCTATGAGGGCGTCATGACCTCGGGTTATCCCTCTGATGCCACGGAGAACTCAGTCCAGGCGAACATCGTGGCTGCTAAGTACACCACCTGATAGGGATCGGTAAGACTGCACATACCGTCTCTCGATGGGCAAGCTTGTGTCTTACGTAAACACGGCCTCCAAATTATGCTGGGGGCCAATCCGGTAGCTGTTTGAACGTCCACCTCTCGAATGACATTGCAGATTGTATGCTTCTTCCACTGATGTCCCGCTTGTTTCCGATGCTGCTGTCTTCGGAGGGCTTTGCTGGAGGGTCATATGGTAGCTAAACAGCACAACACCTTGGCATATGTAATTTCTAGCTGGTCCCGATATCATGCACAGCTGGTATCCCAGGAAGCTATAGACAAGGTGACCTGTCGGTAGACTACATAGTAGCAGGGTACTACTTCCATCATCTCGTGATTTACATGTTCTACTATCTAGTGATCTGACACAAAATTGTCTGAGGACTGTATCCCACGCGACTGTCGTGTAGATGTCTGTTTGACAGGTGATGAAGCAGCTCGAATGCGTCCTATCGCTTAGAAACACTGTTGATGATGCTACACATTTGTCAGCAGTCAAGGCAATTTGGCAATGGTCTCCCAAGTAGCGGTAATCTAGATAATCTACTGGCAGGCAATATGATGACTGAATGGCATAAAAAAAATTTCAAGGGGATCATGCCGCTGTTGCTACTCACTACTTACAAGTCGTATGACCTTAGAAATGGTATCTCATACCGCTATGATCTTGATATCTCACGGGTAGCCGACGTGATAGCGAAATGGCATGTTGTTCCTTGGAGATCGCATAGATTTTGCTATTTATTCTCTATGTATCCCGTGTGGCCGCAGCTTGAGTGTATCACCGGAGGACGCTCTAGCAGCTGAACGCCACTCCGTTTCATTGAGATCTCATGGATTTCGCCATACAGTCGTCCAAAGTCAGATCCTTCCAGCAATGGAATATCGTATGGCTGTGGCCCTTGTGTTCCACTGGCAGACGATATAGTGGCTTATTAGCATGTGGTTATCTGGACATGCTAGCATCTTTATATCTCGTCTACAGAGTACAAAGTCGTTTGCACTATTACATCTCAGATGACAGTAACGGCGATATCACGCTGAAAAGTTATACGACAGCAGGAGAGATGTCATCGGCTACAAAGGTATCTCAACAATTGATCAATCGTCCCTCCCAATAGCAACAATGCTCCAATCTCCTCTCGTAACAGACGAAATCTTCGAATTTCCGGTCATCATACCTTCCCGCCATCTTCACTCTCATCGCCTCTTCCAGCATATCCACTACTGCCTTCTTATCCGGGTCATCTGACCCATCCACTACCAACGAGAACACTACACCCCTATCCACCTCACCACAAAGCCTACACACATGGTTCAAAAAATTGCGCCATTCCCCAAAGACCGACACGCGTCTGGTGTCGTTCGTACACAGATTTCTTGCCTTCAGCAGCACATCTCCGTCCGAAAGCGTCTTGGACGACGCGATATTCGTCCAGAAGGCGCTGCCGAGTCTCAAAGTCACCGCCGCAAGGTTTCCGCGTCGATGGACCAGGATATTGCATAGGAGGCGCCAAGCAGACGGTTCTGTGCCCCCAAATGAGGTGGGTCCGATGTGAAACGGGATGGAAATGCTTGGGGTTACATGATCCCGTCGTCTGTGGTCGTGTAGGAAGGCCAGGCACGATTCTGCACTGCCTTTGAAGGTGAATTGCCGTGAATACAGCTGTTTTGTGCCGGCAGAGTAGCACTTCTTGTTGGCCAGAAGGAAGCTCAGACGGACTTGTGGCTTGCTTGTTGTAGCAGCAGCCAATATGGCCCGATCGTCGTCTTTCGCGACTTCTGCTGTCGAGATAGCCCATGTTATACGATTTCCGCCATATTTCAGTTCGTGAAGTATATAGTTCGTCCTCCAGTAGTATGACGTATGGCTTGTAGAGCGGGGAATATCGTAGACGAACATCGCTTGCTGGGGAAAGACCAACTGGATGATCCGATCGAATACATGCTGTGGCATTTGTAGCAGCGTAGTCGGTCGCTTGTAGCCTAGCACCACCTTCCTCACCACCGACGGCTCTTGCTCGCTGAATGGTGGCCAAGCAGGCGATCCAGACCATGCACGCGTCTTCGAGGTGTCGGAAACCCCATACATTGGTAGTATGGGCAGTATGATCTCGCGCAACGACAACGGAGAGTGTATTTTGAGCGCAAGGTCCACCACCAGATGACTTATTGCCATATCCTGCCAGTCGACGTTGTCCAACCATATACCCTGCAGCCGCAGCTCGTCAAAATCCACATTCTCGAAGATCACATGCGTCAAAGTCATCCTCCAAAACCTGGTCCCTGACATCCTGCAATTCCTGAGAGTGACATTCTCCCAGTAGCATTCCCGAATTTCGCAGGCGTTGAATGTACAGTCAAAGGCGAGTACATTAGCTATGGTGCTGTCGCTGTCGAGGGAGAGCCCAGGAGGGAGGTCGTAGTCAGGCTCTCTGGGGGCATCATGGTGGTAGCTTGTTATCTCTGCCATAATGTGCGGTTGTTCGAATTTGCCCGCGAGCTTGAGGCTGTGGAGGCGTGGAGAACGGTATTCGTATATACGATATGTGGTTGAGACTGCGGTCGCGTCGGAAATGAGTGTTGCATATGCTGTGCGCGATTGTGGGAGGATAATGCAGGCGGAGGCGATAACACCGATTTGGTATACGACTCGCTAATGATCCGATTGTTTGGGGAAGGTACGATGCCCCAAAGCTACGGCCCACTAGCCTAGTCGCGTCCAGTAAGAGCCCGCTTCAGCAACCCGCAAAGCGACTGGAACAGCACATGATCCTGTCCCTTCAGCCAACGGAGCTCGACCACCTCCTCCTTGCAATAGATCTTCACAGCCAAGCCCACTGTCGCCGGCTCCTGCTCATCCTCTTTCACCTTGGATCCCCTCGATCCTGGCACATCCGGTGAATCGAATTGCTTCTTCCGCCTAGCCGCCCTTGACCAGACATTTTCCCTCGCCTCCATCACTCCTGTTGCAGACCGCCCTCGCCACATCCACTTCACTTCCAGCTTCGACAGCACACCATCAACCTTATTACCAGCCCAAGCGGCGCTCATGAGTGGCACTGCGATACTCTGCGCCGTAGGAAGGGGCAGTACTGCATGCACCAGGTCGCCGTGCCTTGCCACATCATTCCTGGGCCTATAGTCTCTGTAACTCCAAGCTACTGCCCATCGCTTCGTACGGTGGCCAGCCTGCAAGCACGTCACAGCATAGTTACTGATACCATTCTCTTTCAGCTTTGCCACAATCTGCTGCAGACTCGACATCTTACCCAACATAGCCGTATACCACTGCACTCGCTCTCGTAGCTGCAGGCTTTCCTCCAGGATGCGTGTTACGAAGCCGACATCCCCACCGGGACAAATCATTTCATTTTCTGCGCCTGTACAGACAGCAGACGAAGGTGCATCCTTACCGACATAGCTCTCCTGCATGTCCTCGTGCGAGTCGTAGAAAGGAGGGTTGGTCATGAGGAAGTCCAGCTCCTCCACCTTCATGGCATCGACCGGGACGAGTGCAGCATCCGACTTAGACATGACGAGCCGAACCTGCTTGGATAGAGCGTTCGCTTCGACATTCCGGCGAGCATATTCGGATGAGTAAGGGTCGATGTCTGTCCCAGCCATACGCCACTCCGGACGGGAGGAGCAGGCGAGCAGAGGGTAGATGCAAGAAGCACCTACCCCAATGTCAAGGCCTACCACATCGCGGTCCTGATCGTATGTCTCACTGTACTCCTCGCTCGTAGTATCCAGCAGTTCCTGAATCCAGCGGACATAGTTCCATCGCACCGGTACTGGTGGGCATAGTCTATCATCTGGAAGCTGGATCTTGAGGCCAAAGTCTACCTTCAGTAGACTCCGAGTCAGTTGTCTTTCATACGTCAGCGTTCGATAGCAAAAGTAGGTACGTGAGACCGTCGGATGGATACGTACTGCACGACCTCCGGGTCCTGAAAGTCAATCCATCGCTTGTTCTTCGATCGCTGACAGAGCGCCGAAAAGTCTGGATCTTGAGCGGCCAGAACATCAAAGTCTACATCTCCCTGGTAGTATGGGCGTGTGCTATTGGCTTTGTTGGTCGTTGTTGATGGCATGATGTCGAGGAATGCGGCGTGTGTGCCGGGATGAGGTGAAGTGTGGAGAGGTGTGGTGGCAAAGTTCAAAGTCCAGACGACTTCAACCTCCTCCGGCTTCCCACGAAATATGTCTTGAGCGATTGCAATTTCCCCAAGAATGAACACAGGCTAGTAGCAGTCAGCCAGATGTGGTTATTGCGCGGCCACAGTGGTTCACGACGCCGGATGAGTTGAAGGCGCAGGTACACAATCCAGCAGTGATGAAAGGTCGCTTCTTATACGTGTGCCCGATCCCTCCAGGCTCTCGAGCTTGCTGCTCAATGATCATGGTGCCTTTGTTCGGTCAATCCACGACAAGGCGGTGATTAAATCAAATCGATCAAAAGACCAAGGAGCTGCCAGCCTAGCTAAGACGAAAGGATATGTCACAAGGATGGACAACTGAGCGCTCACACGCCAAGTTCTGAGCTCGCGAGACATGCAGGTTCATGACAGTTATCGCGGGAGCTGAGCCTCAAGGCAGCGGTATTGAAAACATCAAGTGAAACCCATGGTAGAACAACGGGATCTTATATCACGCTCTGGGAGCTGTGGCAAGATTCTATTGGTATGCTACTTGTTGTAGCATATCGTGAGTATGCGTGGGGCCCTCACGAGACGAGTTACTTATAATGCCACCCCGACACTAGCTCTTGCTTTCATCTCTCCGAACAGACTACATGAGCACAGGGTACTACGTCAATGTGGTATTCAGGTATTGGTGCAGAGGACGAGCATTCTCGCAAGCCTGTCAGTACCGTTCCATCTGATGGCCTCACGACAAGATCGTACACCTCTAGCACAGGTATTTGCTTTCTGCCAAGCACTTTGATAGCCTGGGAAGCGAGCTCGGGTCTTGAAGATCGAACAGAAATCGGTTTGAAGGCTCTGATTGCTATACTACTAAACTTGTAGACGAAGGACTTCATATCACACATGACCACCCAAATGATCCATCGAATTGCCACTCATCAGGAGATTCACCTAACTTCAGCTGTTCAAAGGTCGGTATCAGATCTGGCCCATAATTCCGCAGCAGATCGTCCATGTCCTGCTCAGTCATGTCACAAAGATCCTCCAGACTCCACTGCAAGCATACTTTCGACATCCTGCATGTGGTCAGCGACTATGGAACCAGGAAAGTAGGATAGATAGAACATACCATTTCATCCTCTTCGGCCCTTGCTCATCACCAGGCGCAAGCACGCGTAGCTTCTTCCGCAAAGCTCCCACCTTCTTGATTGCCTCCCCAATATTCGAAGGCAACGTCTCAGCTATCCTCCTCCTCACAATGTTCGCCATCTTCGGCCCATTCCCATTCGTACTGACCATAATCTGTAACGGACCATCCCTATGTACACTGCCAAAGTAAAAGTCACATTCAGGCGGTACATCAGCAATGTTGGCCGCTATCCTCTTCTCTTTACACAGTTTCCATATCCGCGATGAGGCCTCAGGGTCATCTATGGCTGTCATCACCATTGTGATGGCAGGATCGTCGAGATCGGAAGGTTCATACTTCTTATCATGGTACTCTATCTGTTTCTGCTCGACCCTGTGTGCGACTTCTGGGTTGAGTCCATCTCGTGGACTGATAAGGACGACTTTGGCGTCTGCGTTGAGGAGATTGAGGATACGGCCTGCAGCTACCTGGGCTAGTCGTCAATGTCAATACTCACATATAGATCTTAGTGGAAAGTGCGTGAGCTTACCTCGCCGCCACCGATGACCAAGACCTTTTTGTTCTTGACCTGCCAGGCTAGGATGAGAGATCCGCCACCCTCGACTTCTGGGAACTTTTCGCCGCCCATGCTGGCGGTGGTGGCACAATCTTGGCTTTGGCTTGTGAACGAGCTGACCTTTGTGTTCTATCGTAATGCTAAGACTTTCATGTGACAGCCCGCATCATCGAGTGGCACAAGAAAGCACGAGACAGGGCTTCGGCTGGGACTTCCGAGTTACGTCCGCCCCACCATCACCATCACCACTCTCGATACCAGCACTGGCCATACAGATACGCAAGAGCTTCTAGAGTCAGCGTGTCAGATGATATGGGACTGGATGGATTGAGATGGCTTCCCGGAGAAGCCTGGGTGGTGGACGAGTACTGGGCAGTGGGAAGGGACTGGTGCCGCCTCCGCCGGCCACAAAGCAGCAACACGGCCACCACCTGCCCACCACCACCACCAACAATCTCGGTCTACTCTCACCATCAGAGAGCTCAGTGTCACTGAGCTCACAAACCTCTGGTACACCTGTATCGCTCGACAATGAAGACCTCGCATCTCGTGTGGCCCTGGACGACCATGCCTCTGCTCAGGCAGCCGCAGCTGCGAGCTCGAGGATGGTGTGTCCCATATGCAATGAGGAGATGGTATGATATGACAAGCCTCTTAGAACATGCTAGTGTAGGTACTGATCCTGTCAGATGACTCTGCTGCAGCTGAATAGGTAGGTACGCCCTCCCTGTCTCCCAACAACACTCCTGCAGATCATACCTGACGTCCTCGTAGACACATCGATGACAATCATGCCAACTTGGAAGAAGCGGAGCAGGACGAGGCAAAGACGTGGTTTAAGCAGCAGGTGGTCAAGGCAAAGAAGTTCCAGCCACTTCAAATGCTCAACCAGAAGCTACGAGGTCTAGAAGTCTTCGAGTCCAACAACGATGCACCGCCATCTACTGTCTCGACAATGACACCGCCACAGACCAGCCGAGTCGCTTCGCCCGCTCCCGCCAGATCACCCGAAGTAGCTCCCGACCCGGACGACATCATCACCAGGTCTCATTGGCAACGACCATCTATCGGAGACTCTTGTTCCGATCCAATGTGTGGCAGACGTCTCGGAGGCAATGTTGGCCAGATCAACTGTAGGCATTGCGGCAAGCTGTTCTGTGACGAGCATACGATGTATCAGATGAGGCTTTCGCGCTCTGCCCAGCACGAGCCGGTGCGTGGTCTCTGGTATAGAGTTTGCGAGACATGCTACAAGTGCCGCGCTGGCTACAATGACCACTCTGGACTCGAGCGCAGTCATATGGACTTCTTCAAGAATGTCAGGAGGCGGACTGTCGACAAGCAGAACCTAGAGACCAGTCGTCTCGAAACGCGATTGACACGACTTACTCAATTATTAGCTGATCCTCCACCGCCCGAGCCAGGTCAAAGCTCACTTTGGTCAACCTTCTCAAGCAGCAAGAACCAACTCAGAACTCTTGAACAATCAATCGTGCTATGGCAGGATAACGCTGAGGTCAACGAATGCCCGTTCTGCCAACAGCCTTTCCAGTACAGCCTCCGTCGACACCACTGCAGAACATGCGGCCGCGTAGTATGTGGCGATCCCGCAACCATGTGCTCAAACGAGATCGGTCTTGATGTGGATACTAGTAAGTATAGGCTAAATGCAAAGGTCGACCCTTCGCCACTAATACGGCATAGTAGCTGACACATTATCAGAGAAGGACGTTGGCAAGGTTGCTGTCGATGTCCGACTATGCAAAGATTGCCAGCGAACGATCTTCAGCAAGGCGGACTTTGCTCGCGAGCTTGCCGCCCCTACACCCGACCAACGATCCTACCAGAATCTGCTACAATTCGAACACGGCATTCGGTTATTGCTGCCACGCTTTCAACGATTACTGGTAACATTACAGGACCCAGACAAGCCGCCAACACCTGCTCAGCTCGCCGACGCAAGCAAAGTACGCAAACGACTGACTGAAGCCTTCACCCAGTACGACGCAGCTGCAAGGCGAGTCCGCGACCTCAAGACCGAGAGTGCAATTCAGCAAAAGCTACAGACTGCCATCTACCAGCAGTCCATGAGCTTCCTACACATTCATATGCTGCCACTAAAGTCACTACCAAAGATCATGCGGCACGCCACTTCCAGCAGTGGTAAGGCAGGGCCAACCAGCAACGGTAAACCCCAGACCGCACTCGCAGCCATAAAATACAATGAAGTCGCAAACGGCGACGCTCGACCAAGCAGCAGCCGCACCAGCAGCGTCAGCACAGCTCAACTCACTGCTCTGGAAGCCGAGGAAAAGGAGCTTAGGGAGCGCCTGATCGTACTCGAAGAGCAGAAATTCCTGTTGACGGAGATGATAGCTGATGCGAACAAGCGGAGGAAGTTTGATGAAGTCTCTGCACTCGCGCAGAGTGTGGAGGACTTGTCGAGGGAGATCGATCAGGTACAGGGACAGTTGGCGCAGATGGATTTCGCGGGTGCTTATGCGGGGGATGGGGTGATAAAGTGAGACTCCCGCTCGAACGAAGATCGTCCTTTCGAATGAGGTTCAGAGGCTGCCGGCGACAGGATATTTGGAGGAACAACATGCAATTGTGCTACGTGCCTACCATTCTTCCATGGTTCGCTGGAGGGGGAATGTGCTGGTAGTCCGCACACGCATGTTGATCAGATAAAGTGAGCGCAGCCGCTGCCAGGACAGACGTCAGGAGCGTTCAGTGGCGGCTTCACCTTCTGCGATCATCGTCGACTATGTCTCTTGCGGACACGCAAGGTCAGGATCACAAGGATCCGGGCTCTGCGCATCACTTTGCTGTCACGCCGCTGCCGCGGTCTCGCCTGGGCTGCCGATGAAGTGAGCCTCGAGTATCAGAAGCGGACTGTGCGAATGCAGTATCACGATACATGCCGTTCGATGTCAATAGTAGGCCGTACCCGTCGTACGTCATGTAAGGCTCTGGCATATCGCAGGCAACACCATGTGACTACATGGGGTGGATATTTGTGCTGCAAATCAATCAGGTCTCACTCGGTACCAGAGACCAATAGATCTCCCTGTACTTCACGATGCACTGGTACAGGAAAATGGCGAAGTAATCAGTGGGCAATTATTGCGAATTGGGAGGACGTGGTCCTAGCAGAGATGCCAGTCAAAGCTACGGGTCAAGAAACATGGCGGGCGGCTTCCCTACTGGGTCTCCGGCACTGTAGCACACCAAGCGTGTTCTAGATGTACGTAATGAAGTGAGTTTCTACAGTCCAAGAGCCGCAAGTATCGATCATGTGACTGTTCTGCATTCTTGACCTGGTATCACCTCCTATACTCCAAAGATAAGCAAAGGCCCCCAAAAAAGCGTCTGGCCCGTGGTATGCCCATTGCGGCTACACGTCGCATTCGTCCATGCTGCACCTCACGTGAGAAACTCCCATACACAACTCGAGCAGTTCAATCTAACCCTCCCTAGCCTTCCTCCACCCATCCTCCTGCTCAACCTGAATGTCCGCAATATTCTTCGCCACATCCTCCAAAATCTCCGCAGCCCTCGCATGAAACTCCGCCTGTGCTTTCATCAACTCGACCAAGTTACGGAGAGGTTCCGGGGTGTCGAGCACATTCCTCATGACACTCGTCGCCTCATCCACCTTCTCCACAAAGACATCCTCCGCTTGCTCGATGGCGCGTCGCTGCGGCTCCGAGTAGGATTCCTCGTGTTTGCCACCCGCCGCCGCACGACCTTTTGCTGCATCGAGGGAGAGGCGGGCATTTTGTACTGCGGTCCGGGCTTTATCTGCAGCCTTGATGTTCTGGTTGAGAGTTGTGCTCCAGCCTGCCAAGAACTTGCCCTGGATCTGCTCATCCTGCTCCAGTCTCGCTTCTCCAACCTTCTCCTGCGCAATAGCGACTTTCTCCAGTCCCTGGGCAAGCGGATCGGGTTCGGTAGAGCCTTGAGGTGTAGCCATGGTGATGTTTTGGGAGCCAGCAAGGGAAGCACGGGCGATGGCGTGGGAGAAAGTCTTGGGTTGGGGTTTGGCGGAAGGGGGAGCGACCATGGCGGCTTGGGCATCGGAGAGATTTTGGGATTTGGAGAGGAGGTTGACCTGGGCGTATCCATTAGTACTTGCATGTACCTTCATTATTTAATCAAAGTGCTGGCTCACCTTCTCACTAATACCTTTACCCAAATCCTGGAAACTCTCCTTGATGTTGGGCGGGTAGTCGTACGCCTCGTTGGCATACTGGCTCGTCGCAGCCAAGAGTTTCTGATGGGTAGCCTTCAAGGCATCGATCCGGGTCTCCAGCTCAACGTAGTCGTGGGGGAGTTCAGTCTTCTCGCCTGCATTGCCCGTCTGCTCGCGGATCCATTGTTGACTGCGGGCGGCGAAGGGAGTCACGGAGCTGGAGACTGTCTTGCCGAAGGAGGTAAAGGAGGCGGCGAATTTGTCCATTGTGTTGGTGGTGCCTGGTGTCGAGGTCGAGGTGTTGGAGAGTTGTTGTTATTGTTATGTGTGGGTTGTATCGAGTGCTGCAGTGTTATCTCGTCCAAGTGTTTCCAACATTGCAGCTTCGAGCTTCAACTCTCGCCTGCCCCACCAATGACCATTCAGCCCTATTCACAAACCTGACTCGGCGAGTTCTTGACCCAATTGATATATATATCAACTTCCTTCTGCACCTTTGCCAATTCCAACTGATAGTGATATCGTTGCCTCGGAGCCAAATACCTCTCAAACGCTCCAAATGCCTGATGAATCGAGTAAAGCAAGACACTTACCAACACAAAATCCAGTGGCTTCTGACAGACAATCTGCTCGGCGTCGATGCAAGCTGTATCCATACTGGACTTGCAATAAAAGCAATGTTACCGAGCGACGAGAAGCTGTACGGTCCATCTCGTAGCAGACACGAGACCAACACGATACCGTACGCAAGAAGCTACTGCATGCTCGACGTAACACACTCACGCAAACGGCAAGAACAGATCAAAGTGCAAGGCGCGATAGACCAATCGTCTTCGTCTTCGTATTCTACACACCGCAGTTGTATCTAAGCATACAAACTCGTGACCTTGGTTCCATTGCCAGGCAACTTACACCTCAAAATCGCACCCGGATGCTGCCTCAAGTCCACCCCATTGTTCCAATCCGGCTGGTAAGGTAGCTGATTGATATTGAGGTAAAGATAGCCATCCGCGCCAATACTGCCACCATCCGGCCACACGATCCGCGGATCCCGGACAAAAGAATGAGTTTGGCCGTCGGCCGGGTTGAAGTAGAAGACCGCGTTGTGCGTCGGCATAAGCTGGTAGACGAATCCATTACTGTCGCCTTCGAACCCGTTGGCGTCGCCGCCGCGTTGACCGTGATTGCTGACATTGGCGTGGGCATGGATTTCCGCAAGCTCGTTCGTGTCACGTTCGCGTAGATTGGCACTCGGGATGCTGTAGAGGTACTTCTGACTCAAGGGCGAGTAGTACATCCTCATCCCATCAGTACTCAGCTGGATCCCATCCAGACCCTCCTGCTGCCACGAAGCTGGCATGCCCTTCGCACGATAATAACCTGGGTGTCCTTGGTAGACAGGCAGATCGTTGGGCCCACGAAGAACACTGGGATCCTGGGTCAGACGGCGCCAGCTTTCGCCCGTACCAAGATCGAGCATGATGAAACCCGGCCGGCCTTCGTTACTGCTATCGACCAGATACGCAATACCCTTGCCACTGGTGCCGGTAACATTGGCGCGTAGATCAAAGCGGAGGTCGTTCAGATAGCTGTCCGGATAATGAACCGTAGATGGGAAAGTGAAAGTCTGGTAGATCGTGTCGTTGGTCAAGGAAATGGCGATCAATTTCGGTCCACCAGGCTGCGCATAAGGCATCGAAGGATCACCTTGAGCATTATGCACAGTCGGCCTGCCCGTGTCCAAGACCCACAGAGTCTCGGGTCGAGTGGAAGTCTTGCTCGTCACGTAAACAGCCTGGACACTGATGAAAGCACTAGCATTGCCCGAGCCGAAGGCGATGCCATTCCACGTCGTGTTGAGCTGGTCCACAGGCAGATTGAGAGCCAGGTTGGGGTAAGGAGCTTCAGCCGTCTTGTTGACGACTACACCAAGGGTGTATCTGTCTGAGCCGCGAGTATAGGTTGTGAAGATCCGGCCATCAGAGGCTACGGCGATGCCTATGGGCCATTGATCGTAGTCTGCGGCAGTCAGTCATGCGGCCACGTAATGTCAGGTCGAGCAGGACCTACAGTAATGCACCTCCTCGACCTCCGGACCATAAGTGCCATTATCGTACCTCAGCCTCGTTGGAGCATCAGTGGCGTTGTTCTGGACCAGGCCAGCAGTGGCAATATGGTCTTGCGCAAGAGCAGCGCCGACCAGCGAGGCGGCGCCGATCAGAGATTGTAACAACATCTTGATATGCTGTATGGAGAGCGTGAGGAAAGACGAAGCCAAAGAAACAAACAAAATTCATCTATACTTAATTGACAACCTCAAAAGCAACTACGATCGTCATACTTCCATCCCTGGCATGAGCCGCGCGGACTCAAATGCTCCGCCATGGCAATACTTGCCGTAAGATGTCACCGGGGAATCATTTTTGTTTCGCACAGGGTGACAGTCTTGAGGTCACCGCGCAACCAGAAAATGGAAGATGTGGAGTCGAGATCGTCATTCAAGCTTTGCCGGCTCCGGATGTTGCTTGCCGAGACGGGGCCTCCAGTGCCGTGTTGTATGATAACTCTTGTATACTATGCAACCTCAAAAAATACCAATTTTCTGAGATGAGACTGTAAATATCGCACGACGAGCTAGTATACACTAGGTGTGGGGTTGACATACTAAAAGGCAGTCTGTAGTATGAATGAGAGTCGCAAATTGCAACGCTCAAAGAATCCTCTGACATCCCTGACGATCGAATATGTCGAGACAGCAGCGTGGATTCGAGAGCATGAAGTGCGGACAGGCTGTGTCAAGTCATGAGCTCGAATTTGGTAGGAAGACTCCACCATATTGTGTTTTACATACTGTTTCCTCAAGCTCACGGTCAAGGCCGCGATGCTTTTGTCGTCATAGCAGAATCTCGCAGTCTATGATAAGTGTTACGATGTCTGCTGCCTCTACTTCTCCATCTTCGAAACCTCTTCGATCCCATCCACCCGCGCTTTAGCTTCTTCGTCGACACCGTACTTCCTGAAACCCTCGCCACGAACCAGACCAACATGCTGAGCCTTGAGCTCCTTGAAACGCTTTTCAGTTTCCCAAACGAATGGTGTCTCGCTAGCGAAGAGCAGATCGATCTCCTCGAGTGTACGGCAAGCAGTCTCGGGGTAGAAACAGTAGACGATGGCGACGGCGAGTAAGTTGAACACAGCATGTATGTAGAATGCGTTTGGCCCCAGTGCGCCGAACATGCTGGGTGCAGCAAGGGAGACTGTACCACAGCCGATGCTCCATCCTGTGACAAATCAGCTGGGTCCTAGTTCCCATTGGAGGCCTTCATTCCCGCGATGACACTTACCGACAATACCGAAAGCGTTGCCTTTTGCTCGGATGACCAGAGGAAAGATCTCCGTCGGCTAGAATCTTCAATTAGTAGACACATTTACGCTCGAAGCTCTGCAAGACCTACGTATACCCAAGGCACACTGAGCCAGGTCGTCGCGAAGACGAAGTCATAGATGAAGATGAATGAGCCGGCTGCAGCGCCGAAGCTGGCACTGTTCCGATCGGCCGCCACTTTCGACAAGGCTCCAAGCAGGAAGAAGCAAAGACTCTGTCCGAAGCCGCCCACAATGAGAGCTGGTCGTCTACCGAAGCTGAGAGACAATCTTATCAGCCATGTCAGCAGTCATCTCACGAAGCTGCCAGCCTTACCGATCGATCGTAAAGATAGCCAACACGCAACATATCATCGTTACCAGGTTCTGGAAACCAGTGAGAAGCTGCGACTTGTGATCGCCAAACCCTGCGACTTTGAACAGCGTTGGCGCGTAGACGACGACACTAGTCACACCAGTCCAGGCCTGCATAACCTGCAACCAAGTCGCCAACAGTGTCCTTCGACCGAGATGTAGATCGCCGCTTTTGTGACCGGTCACCATGTTCCAGAAGGAGAAAGCCTCGTACTTGGACTCGAGCTCGACGGCAGCAATGATCTCTTCGTACTCGGCTACCACCATTTCATCGTCCAAATCACCTCGAGCTCGGAAGTTGGCCAGAGTTTGGCGGCCTCTCGAGCGCTTGCCGTTGCCGATATCGTAGCGTGGACTTTCGGGCATGACAAGCATCATGATCATGAGTGCTACCAGGAAGATCATCTGGAAGGCCAGTGGAAACCTAGCAGACACTTATCAGCTACTGAACAATCGATGCGACACGTCATATGAGTTATCATACCTCCACCTGACCTGAGTATTCCCACCATTGACGAAAGCCAACAAATACTCAAGCCAGTACGAAGCACTAATCCCAGCAAAATTGACCGTCATTTCAAACGCCATCACAGCACCCCTAGCATCATGCCCAACCAGCTCCGAGCCCCAGACAGGGATGACAGCAGCGATACCTCCTGTACCGATCCCTGCGAGGATACGGGCACAGAGCATCATATTGACATTCTGCGCAGCGGCTTGCAACGACTGTCCCAGCAGTCCCCAGAAGCCAGCAATGATGACGGCGTAGTTGCGGCCGATACGATCGGAGAGTGCACCTCCAGCTAGAGCGCCGACGAGTGTGCCCAAGTAGTAGATCGCCACGATGCCGCCCTCCTTCTGAGTCTTGGTGACAGTACCAGTAGCACCATCGCCAAGGTTCATGAGGTCCTAAAGCACACAGTCAGTTCGCTTTGACCGCAAGACGGGTTGCGTCGGTGCTTGAACACACTATGTAGCTCGGTGATATGTTGACGCCACTCATGACACCCTGGTCATAGCCCTCGAAGAAGATACCCAGGCCACCCACGAGGCAGACACTGAAATTGAGATCAGAAATGTTTAGTCCATAGCTGTTCTAAGACCTACGCTGCAACTGCAGTCCTGCCATAGCCGTAGAAAGGCATGTTGTCAGTATGGTGGTAGTAAAAAAAGTGTGATCAGGAAGAGAGCGTGTAACTGGAGTAAACGAGACATGCTCATCTGTACTACCATTTGATGCGCATGCATCTAGCGACTGTAGATCTTCGTCATCAGCGACCTCGCACGGCAAAAGTGCCGTCTTGTTCTTCGCACTGGCAGAATGCAAACTCGAATGAGGTACAAGCATTACCATGTCATCATCCTCACACGAGAAGTCACATCTCCAGCCCTCAATAATGCGGGGAGGCTTTTCGCTTCTCACCTGCCATTCTGGGGAAGCCGGTCAGGTCAGGGATTCTTCGGAAATGCGTTCCTTTGAATTCCGAGTTTCAGGTTGGCGATAGATGCGTCCTGCTGGCTTCTATGTGAAAAGAAAGTCGCTAGATAACCTGGAATGATCTCAGCCAGCTCGCAAGCGAAGTTTTGCATTTCGTCCGTGATTATCTTTGACGAACTCGAAAGCGTCAGGCCAGCCGAATCCTACAATGTCACCTTCTGTGCCAGGGGCTAAACGTCTCCCGCAGGATTGCAACATGGCTCGAGTATCTTGGAGAGCTGCAGCAGTATTTTCGTACTGACCTTGCCATGCCCCAAGCAAGATCGGGCCGAGTATGGAGTCGTCGAGTATTGGCCACTGATGATACTGAAGCAGCGAGACCAGGTTCTGCCTCTCCAGTAGCAGCCTGTACTCATATTCGGTATTTTGTTGGCCTTGTAAAGCATGAATGTCGTAGTCTAGAGGAGATCTGCCATGCGAAAACCAGGCATAGACCATTGTCGCCCAGTCGAAGAGATCGACTTTAACGTGCCCAGCGTATATACCTCCCGCTGTGTTGTTCAATGAAATCGGATGATGCCGCCACGGTGAGTCTATCGTATTGCAGCCCTGGATGCCAGCCTCGATTCCAAGCTGTACAGATCCAGCATCGACAAGGTTGGCTATGGCGATAGAGAGATCGTTGCGCAACCATAGCGAAGAACTGTCGACAGCATTCAGTATGATACCTCGGTCGTGCATGAAGTTCAAGGCTGCAAGAGACTGCAAAGCCCAGCGCTGATACAAGGCGAGGATTCGATCGGCTTCCTCCGCTTTGGGCAGAACATACGGCATGGGCCCTGGTTCAAAACGTTCCACCCTGTAGCAAGTATTGATCCTGCCCAGGTACTGCACGAAACATTGCGGCAGCGGTCCTGTCAGTGCCAATTGCTCATAGATCGGTGCCGCATAGTTGAGACGATCCTGCGGAGGATCGCCATCATCAGGCCTCCAGAACTCGTACTGGACTTCCCGCTGAGGTCTGCTTTCCGAGCACAGAGTACTTGGGAACAGCACCACACTCTTTCTGTTACTAGCTGCTCACTATATGCTTGACGTGGAGCACCATGTACAGGTGGCACGCCGAAAAGCATGCGGATGAGGTTGGCCATTATTGACAGTAGAGGCATAACTTCCGGTGCTCCAGTCAACGGCCTATACAGTCTGCCAGCACATCGTCATCCTATTGAGCTCTATCGATGACATGCCTAGCCATTGCCGTGGTATTATTGTGTGCGTGAAGTCGGAATAATAATACTGGGAAGGGATTGAGGACGGAGGCAGAAGCGACGGTGCCCGAGACGGGGTCATGCAAGCACTTTCGGCAAGAAACACGCTACCAAGATCGCGGGTCAAAGTCGCGTCGCGCTCGAAATCGTCCCCTCCCTCCTTCGAACCAGCATGACTGAACACTGATCGTCAAGGTCCATACAAGAGAAGCAGCGGCGAAAAGCAGCAATCTCCGACCCCAACCCCAGGACGTGACAGCACCACAGCACGATGGCGGGTATACAACTCCGCGATGAGGCGGTACGAGATCGTGTCCGCGCCGCCCAGGAGTTCCTCGATCCCAGTATGCGGAGCGACCACACCATGAAGACTACACGATGTAAACTGACACAATGTCCCAGCCGACCCTCGTGCCCGCTCATACCGTGCTGATATCCTGTTGATGCTCAATCGCGGCCTTCGACGCCTCACAGTCAGCATCGACGAGATCCGATCACACAACCGAGATATCGCAGACGGCCTCCTCAACAACCCCTTCGACTACTCACAAGCTTTCGACCGAGCCCTCAAAGATGTCGTCAAGACGCTGGGTAACCGACCAGCGCACGAGACGGCAGAGGAGACCATGTACTATTGCGCATACATCGGTAGCTTCGGCGAGTTCGCCTGCAATCCGCGGACTCTCTCTTCACATTTCCTGAACCACATGGTGTCTCTGGAAGGCATCGTCACAAAGTGCTCCCTAGTCCGACCGAAAGTCGTGAAGAGCGTACACTACAATGAGAACAAGAACACATTCCACTTCCGCGAATACCGAGACCAGACCATGACAATGAATGGTGCAGCTTCGTCAAGCGTCTACCCTACTCAGGACGACGAGGGCAATCCTCTAGTCACTGAGTACGGCCACTGCTCATACCGTGATCACCAAACCATCTCCATCCAAGAAATGCCAGAACGAGCACCTGCTGGACAGTTGCCGCGAAGTGTGGATGTGATTTTGGACGATGATATGGTGGACCGCGTGAAGCCAGGCGATCGCATACAGATGGTGGGCATATATCGATCCCTGGGTAATCGGAACGCTGGTCAAGGCAGCAGCACATTCAAGACGCTGATTCTGGCAAATAACGTGATTCTACTGTCCTCGAAATCTGGCGGCGGGATTGCTACAGCCACAATCACAGACACAGACATCCGGAATATCAACAAAATCTCCAAGCAGAAGCGAGTCTTTGATCTGCTTTCACAATCACTCGCACCCAGCATTTATGGCCACGACTACATCAAGAAGGCGATCCTCCTCATGCTTCTGGGTGGTATGGAGAAGAATCTGGACAATGGCACACATCTTCGTGGGGACATCAACATCTTGATGGTCGGCGATCCATCCACCGCCAAATCCCAACTCCTTCGTTTCGTCTTGAACACCGCACCCCTCGCTATCGCCACAACAGGTCGAGGCTCTTCTGGCGTTGGTCTGACGGCGGCCGTGACCACGGACAAGGAGACTGGCGAGCGAAGACTGGAAGCCGGTGCCATGGTGCTAGGTGACAGAGGTGTGGTATGCATTGATGAGTTCGACAAGATGTCCGATGTCGATCGTGTTGCCATCCACGAAGTCATGGAGCAGCAGACGGTCACGATTGCAAAGGCTGGCATACATACCTCGTTGAATGCTCGGTGCTCGGTCATTGCTGCCGCCAATCCAATCTACGGCCAGTACGACATACACAAGGACCCACATCGCAACATCGCTCTACCTGACTCTCTTCTATCACGTTTCGATTTGCTCTTCATCGTCACAGACGACATCGAAGACGTCAGAGATCGACAAGTGTCCGAGCACGTTCTACGCATGCACAGATATCGTCAGCCTGGGACAGAAGAAGGAGCACCAGTCCGCGAGCAGCCCAACCAGACTCTCGGTGTTGGTCTCGAAGACGAAGCAGACGCCAACAAGCCCAGCGAGGTTTATGAGAAATTCAACGTCATGCTCCACGCTGGTGTGACCATTACAGTCGGACGTGGCGCACAGCAGAGGGTAGAGGTCCTCAGCATCCCGTTCATCAAGAAGTACATCCAATATGCCAAGTCTCGCATAAAGCCCATCTTGACGAAGGGCGCTGCCGACCATATTGTCAGTGCGTACAGCGCATTGCGAAACGATGACATGGAAGGGAACCAGCGGAAGACCAGCCCGATGACTCCGCGTACTTTGGAGACATTGATTCGTCTTGCATCAGCTCATGCCAAGGCTAGACTTTCCAACAGAGTGGAGGAAAAGGATGCAGAGGTCGCACAGGGCATCCTGCGATTCGCGCTGTTCAAGGAAGTTGTTGAAGACGAGCGAAGACGGAAGAAGAAGGCCAGGCACTCACCCAATGCTGATGCCATGTCCACTGATGGTGAGTCCTCGGATGATGATGATGCGGGCGACGATGGCGCTTTCAGATCTGGTGCGGCTCGACGATCGACTCCAAGAACTCCCGGCGGCAGGAGACAACGAGCTACCGCAAATGGGACGAATGGCGATGCAGCGCTAGGTGCAGGTGATGAGGACGAAGAAGAGGATCTCTACAACTCAACACCTGCGCGCCAACGAACAAGTCAGACCACAGGCGCCAATGGAACCCAAGATGAAAGCCAATTCAGCATGGCATCTTCCCAGCCTGCCTCGCAGCTTTTGCAGGACGAGTCACAAGAACAAGAGGAAGGTGAAGCTGAAGACGAGACTGCCGGCCCAATCAATGTGTCACGCTTGCAGGCTTTCCAAACAGCTCTCGGTCAACTCATCGACGGCCCACTGTTCGCCAACGACGCGGCGGACGTCGAGCCCTTGGTCGCAGCAGTAAATGCACGACTAAGAAGCAGCGAGGCGAGGTTCGAGGACGATGAGGCGATGAAGGCATTAGAGGAATTGAATGATCGGAATAAGATTATGCTTAGTGGTGGGGTAGTTTATAAGATCTAGGTCTATGAGGTTGTGCTCGGGATATGGACTGCGTGGATTGCGAGGTGTATGGGGTATGCTGGGGCATTATGCGAGCGATGCTATATGGATATGTATGTAGTGCATGATACCACGTTTGGACATTTACTTCACTTCACCACTCGAGCTACCTTGTGCTTCTCAAGACGGTTAGCGTCGACCGGCCTTTGCACGAAATAATGCCGATGCAAATCTTGGCAATGAAGTCGCGACCAAAATTTCTGGCTTTGCTGTAGAAGAGGTGGAGCAAGCAAGGAACAAGACACTTTTGTTCTAGCACCCATCACCATGGCCCCAATCAATAGTGCAGTGGTCGCCAGCACATCATCTTCACGACTAGACTCAGCACAAACTCTACGCGCCTCAACCGCACTCCTCCGCAAAATCCAATCATCCGACAGCACCACCACCACCAGATCCAAGGCCGAGAAGAGCAACCTCCTCGCCGACGCCGACGAACAAGACGCAAGCGACGAAGTCCCCGTCTGGCTCATCCTCACCACCAAGAAACACATCATCGACAAGAAGCGACTAAAGCCCGCCAAGATCACCCTCCCCCATCCTTACCTCGACCTCCAAGACGAGACACTGCGGATATGTCTGATCACCGCCGACCCGCAGCGGAAATACAAAGACCTTCTCGATGACCCCGGTTTTCCAGCCGAGCTGCGGAAGAGGATAAGCAGGATTGTCGGGGTGGAGAAGCTGAAGGCCAAGTACAAGGCTTTTGAGTCCAAGAGGCAACTACTGGGTGAATACGACATCTTCCTCGCTGATGACCGAGTGATTACTTCCTTGCCGACGGTGTTGGGGAAGACATTCTACAAGGGCGGCAGTAAACGACCTATCCCCGTGTCGCTTGAGGGCAAGAGGCAGAGTGTTGATGAACAGGGAAATAAAAGGCAGAAGTTGAGCGAAGGCGGGAAGAAAGTTGTACGCCGCGATATTAAACCCCAAGATATCGCGCATGAGATCGAGAGAGCAGTGAGCAGCGCTTTGGTACACCTCGCCCCGAGTACGACCACAGCCGTGAAAGTTGGACGCGCAACTATGGAACCCTCGCACGTCCAAGCGAACATTGAGACCGTGACGAGTGCGCTGGTGGAGAAGCACGTCCCGCAGCAATGGAAGAATGTCAAATCCATACATATCAAAGGACCGAACACAGCTGCTCTACCAATCTACATGGCAGAGGAATTATGGGCAGACGAGAAGGATGTGCTAGCCGAGAAGCCGGCGGAGAAGGAAAAGAGCAAGAAGCGGAAAAATGGCGTCCTGGTCGGAGGTGAGCCGGCGGTGATTGAGGTTCCTGGGCCGGACGGCAAGATGAGGCGGTTGGAGGCGCCGGGTACGAAATCAGAGTCTAAGACGGAGAATGTTGAGGTCGCGAAGAAGCCTGCGAAGAAGGCGAAGAAGAATGCCAACGCAGTAGAGGAAGTCGACGAGACTGCAGTGGAGAAGGCGTTGGAGAAGGCTGAAAAGGCGGCGAGGAAGGAGGCGATTAAGAAGCAGAAGGAGGAAGCTAAGAGTGTGGTTGTCGAAGCTGCTCCTGCTGTTGAAGCGACGGAGAAGACGAAGGGGAATGGAGAGGGAAAGAAGGGGGTGAAGAAGAGTGCGAGGGTGAATGCTTCTGATCTGGTTTAAAGGGTCAGGTCTCGTCGTCCCGCTTGGACGATTATTACTGTTTCACAAGCGTAGGGCGCTATTGGTGTTCGAGCGCGGATCATGGCCTAGAAGTGTGTAAGTATATCGACTCACGATCTCCTGCCTCACTTGAGTCTTAGCACAGCTGTCCTATCCTCGAAAGTTGTGTTAACGAGTGTTAGAAAGGAAAGGTGACCGTGGGGAATTTAATCACTCCATTGAGTAGCGACCTCAGTCCTTAGTATTGCGATCGGAGTCTGCCAAAACCGTCTCAATAATCTCCTTGTTCAAGCCTGGCCAGTGCTTGTTGGCCCAGACAAACCATCGTACAAGCGCTACGACCAGCACGAAGCCGAAGATCGGGAGGGCGTAGTTCATGTTCGTGCCTGTAACAGGTAATTGCGTGGGGCTAAAGTACCGAGATCAGCTTCGTGTCCACAAGGCGCGGCAGGATCGTACTTACAAAACGAGGAAGATCATCATGTACGCTGTGTAAAGGATGGCGAAAGCATTCAGCGGCACTCCGAGCTTCCCCAATCGCCATCCACCATATTGCACTGTCCCTTTCAGCCGCGAGTACAGCATACAGCTGATGGCTGTTAGATACGTAGCGAATAGTGCGAAAGTCGCCAAAGCTGTAAAGGCCAGGAAAGCCGCCGAGTTGGGGATGTTCAGGATCGCTAGTAAGCCGACGATGATACAAGGCAGTAACACCGCTCTAATCGGGACTCTCTGCTTCGGGTTCACGTACGAAAACCACTCCGGCAACGCACCATCTCGAGACCAAGCCCAGGTCAATCTGGATGTGGAAGAAACACTACTGATTGTCACGGCCGTGGAAATAATCAGGAGTCCGCAGACCATGGCTGTGGCAGCCTTCGTGGAGCCCGTAGCTTGCGTGCAGATTTCCACGATTGGGAAGGACGAGTTGAGAGCGGCGTCGAGGTCGCCCATGGTGAAGAGGGTGACGATGATGATGGAGTAGGCTAGGATGGCGTTCAGGGCGATGGACCAGAACATGGCTCGGGGGACTGCTTGGCGGGCTGTGCGGACTTCTTCCTAAAAGATCGTGATTGTGAGTGATGCTTCTGTCGCATGGTTGACGAGGGGAGAGCGCTTACTGACATGTGGACTGCTCCATCGAAGCCTGAGATAGCAGTTAGAGACGATGGTATACCAGCAAGTTCGATGAGACTCACCGACGAAGCCCCAGCTAGGGGTGAGAAGTCCCAGATTCCACGAAACGTAGCTGTTCCTCAACTTTCTGACTTCGGTTGCAGCCACCGGCAATAATTAGGTCTATCCTCCATATGTCGGACCAGTCTGGTCGTCGGGACATTCTTCTGTGGCAGTGAGTGTCGAGTTTACTCACGGACCGCGGAACAGATACAGTGTGCTGGAGGGACAAGGGCATGATGATTGTGCATGATTATATTCTTGGATATCAACATCGTGCAATCCCTAGCCAAGATATCCCATCGCTGCGTGCTGTGAGGTGTCATGGAACTCAGCTGGGTTGGAAATGATAGCCCCGTCTATGCCACTGGCGCCTGTAGCGCCAGCTAATGCTGTCTACTAGGTGTGTGGTCGTAAAACCAAACATATATGGCTGGACCAAGATGAGTCTGGAAAGGATAGTCCGCCATCGGACTTCAGCGCAGTGCCTGTAGAAGACCACCACTATCCGCTGGGTACTTGCTTCGCAAACCTGCAGCACCTACAATCGTATTCGTCTGATGGTGCTTCAATCCATAAAGCCTGGCAAAGGTGCTCCCACATCCCCAATCCTCGCCATCTTCAGTGCGACCACCACAGACGAACCGTTTTGACCCGTGCTGCAATTGCTCGTGCCTGGCTAAAGAGTCATGGCCCTTGAACGTCTTGCCACAACCATCAATCGAGCAGGTATAGGGTCGTGCGTTGCTGTGAGTCGACATGTGTTTGGAAAGCAGTCCTCGTCGATTGAAAGTTCTTCCGCAGATCTCACAAGCATGATGGCGTCGTCGAAGAACTTGTGGGACTGCAGAACGGACCTGAGCTAATGCAACGTCATCCGCTGCGCTTGCTGGCCCCGGAAAAGTATGGTCGCATATTCCATCCACTTGCATCTGGTCAGCTTCACCAGCTCGCTCCGTGCTATCAGGCAACACAAGTCGTTGGAGCCTCAGGTTATCGCCACCGCCGTGCAGGCTTGTTGCATCTCCTGGCGGTCCTAGGTCATTCACATCGCTAGGCACCACATTCAGAATCAGAGCAGCGGCAGTGCCAGTAGAGTCGTCTTGTGTGTAACAATCTGCCGCTTTAACATGGCCTTCGTCCTGCTCGACATCTTCCAGCAGCTGAGAAAGCTCGTGGCCAACTTGGTTGACACGAGTAAAGCGCGTGTCTTCGGCTGGTTGAGGGGCAGGTTCCACTTCAGAGCGTGCGACACAGATGTGATCTCGCAGATCCCGAGAGCCTTCAGAAGTCAACGTAGCCTGCACATTGGTAAGGCAATTATCCTGGCATTTCGATCTACAGAGATCTTTGAGACCATGTTAGTGCAGGTGCCCGGATGGTGAGGACCTCACGTTACAGTCGCTGTCTGTCGACGGATCAGCTTCTGGCCATTTTCGAGGCTTCACGAGATGCTCTAAGTGATGCATCTCCCACGCTTGACCCCCGTGAACTAGCTTCTGACACGCAACACCATTCGACTGATCAAATACGTCACAAATCCGAGGTTTATGGTCTAGTTCAACGTGTGACAAGTATTCTGACACGCTAGATAGCCTCAAAGTACAGGGGTCGCCGTGATCCTCGCTGATGTAGTCGCAGGAGAATGTGTTGTTGCTGTGGTGTGAGCGAACGAGTGAAGTCGGCCAAGCGCTCTCTCTCAAGGTCTTGTTTGGGTTTACGTGTATGCTTTCGTCGTCGCTCTCTACACGCAGTCTGGCTAGCTCGTCGTAAAATGGCGAGCTGGTAAGAAATGGGGACGGCGGAGCACACGATGAGCCTCGCGATTGAGATCGCTCGAAGTGTGCACGTCGCATGCAGTCATCAATCATCGATCTGGTACTCGATTGTGAATTGCCACGGTCGGGAGGCGTTGGCGAACGCGATCTTGCTCGTCCTCGTTCCAATTGCATGCTCCCAGTATCAATGTCATCCTGCCGATATTGATGGGCTCTGCGTACGTGTGCCACGACCGATCTCCATGGATCTGATCTCTGCATCCTAAGTTGTAACCATGAGCGTAGCCTTGGTGGAACCGAAACGGCTGCGGGCGATATCGATGTGATGAATGATCTCTCGGCAATGTATCAACAGGCTGATCGTGCTCGGACGAAGTTATGTCGGGTCATTCCAAGTCGTTTTTCCGCAGGTCAGCGTTGCTTTGTGGTGCGCTATACAAGTTGCACATACATGGAGGCGCAGCTTGCTGGGTATGTTCATTCGCAGGTTCAATCTGGTTGATAAGGGTGTAGTAACAAGTTGCAGCCATCATCGGAGAGAGCAAGCACACGCAGTATATAGGATGCCCAAGACTATACAGTATTCCAACTACTGGTGGCGATCCTGGAGGTGCTCAAATGTGACGGATCGGCCTGCTTGGCGGCAACGATCCGTCGTGAATAAAGCTACAGGACAGCCGCATGCACCGCTCCCATTGCCTACCGACCGGAGCGTTTGAATCTCGAGGAGGGCAATACATCATCTTGACGAATGGCGGTCGGTCGTTGTAAGGACGCATGAGACGAGATTACGAGAGTCGAACATCTTTGTGAGGCTTGGCCAAGGGGTGGCTTCCTGACAAAGCGTATGATTATATAAGGATGTCTCCGTACTCCGCACCACACGCATCACCCTCTTGATTAGACTGGTTCTGCAATTTCCATGCTGTGGTATCATGATGGTCATGCCAAGCAGAGGCTTGCGATATGGTCATCAAGTATGCACTGCCCTCTGCATGTCTATGCAACATGTCGAACTCTGGCATTCAATCCCGTCGCGCAAGCTGCGCCACACCAATGCGGCCTTCTCCTGCAGCACAGCTTTCCAAGCCTCCAACGAACATGCATGAGAGCATCCAGGTTCACGCCGCCAACGTCTATTTGACCAGTCCCGCTTGACACCGTCGTAATACCACACCGGACGAGGCAGCATTCATCACGCACCAGCGAATCAGCTTTGGCCGTGAGCACGAGGCCGGTGACTCCGCGCTAGGTATCTGGAGCTGGATGGAGCATGCCGTCAACTGCTGAGCTCGCAGCCTCGCGTCGACTCACCTGCATGACCGCCTGCATGCAATGGGGCACCGAGTCCGATGTCAGGTACACTATTGATGGCTTAAGTATCGCCTTGTCTTTTTGCTGGTTCCTTCTCCATCAACATTTCATCCCATCTACCCTGCCTCAATCAATAATCTAGATCAAAGCAAGATCGATCATTCATATCTATTCCTAGCTCACTTCCACCTCACGAGACCTGCATCAACTGCCTGAGCAATCCATCCAGCATAAATGAGCAAACGGAGCACAAACTCCGACACCTCGTCTCCCTCGCACACTCCGAGCATGTCTACACCAGCATCGACGCCTTCAGAAGCTGGTAGCTCCGCAGTTCAGTCACTGCGAGATATGGAGATCGATAGTAAAGCAGCCGAAAAGTCGATCGAGCGGACTGAGGAGCCTTCCACAGCTAAAGAAGCCGAGAAGGCTGCGGCTGAACCTCTAGCGAAGCCAGGCGAGCAGGACGAGCCACTCGAATCGAAGACTACCAAAACGACCTGCCACAACACCGACCACAAGAAGAAGAAAGTTCACCGGAAGGTGCCGTCCAAGAAGATCAAGACCGAATCCTCGGACTCTGGCAGCTCTACCGACAGCACTGAGGCCACATCTGAGAGTGAAACTGAGAGCTCGGAAGACGGAAAGCCTGTCAAGCGAAAGACCAAGGGCAAGTCTACCAAGACATCTGCACGCGAGAAGAAGACTGCCAAGGACAAGAAGCGGCGAAAGAGCACCTCCGAGTCAGAATCGCCAGCCAGTGATACAGAGTCCACCGAGGAGGAGCCACTCAAGTCCAAGAAATTGAAGAAAGCAAAGAAGATCAAGAAACAGGCGAAGACCAAGAGCTCAGAATCGACCGAGGACGAGGCGCCAAAGTCGAAAAAGTCGAAGAAGCCTAAGAAGACCACTAAGCTCGCCAGCTCAGAGGAGGACGATTCAGAATCAGGCGACGATGTTGATGTCGCAGATACCTTACAAGCGCAATTCGATGCCATCAAGCTAGCCTTTGCGGCCCACAAGGCTGCACCAAGCAAGTCGCGTAGCTCCAAAGACAAGGAGGTCAAGGCGAAGAAGAGCAAGTCAAAGTCGAGTAAAACGAGCAACAAAGACTACAAGCGCGTGGATCAGCTGTGGGACAGCACAATACACAACTACACCTTGAAGCCTAGTGCGGAGCAGGAGGACGATGAGTATGCCGAGCACGCTTTCCTCATTCGACGCTGCTTTAACTGGGAGAACAAGTATACCGATACGGTCGTTGACATCAAGTCGAAGCAACTTCGCGCAGTCCTGCAGGAGGTCATGAAGGACTGCAAATCTGTATCATTAGAAGCTGAGGAGCCGACCTTCGATCCGAACCTACTTTTCTTGTTCTTAGAGGAGTTGAGAGGATACTACAAGAAGACTCTCAAAGCCAAGATCAAGAAGGAGAAGAAGGTGAAGAAGGTGAAGAAGTTGGGGAAGCAGCGCTCCCTGCTCAAAAGTCTCATCGAGTATGTCGATGAGGACTACAAAGACACCAAGAAAACGCTCTACCCTCTTCTGGAAGCCGGTAACATCACCTTTGACCTCATGTGGGCTCTCTTCAAGCCCAACGAGATCGCCGTGACCTCTTGCTACGGCAATTGGGACGAACCACGCTGCTTTCGCGTCGATTACGCAACAAAGTGCTGTAGCATGCAGCGCGGAGACTGGTACACCATCGAAGGCAAGTACATGGAGTATGACGGCAAGAGCTTCGGCCTAGGCGACTTCGAGATCGATGTGGACGGCTTCAAAGGCCCTCGCAAGATATCCAGCCTCGCCACTTACCCTTTGAGATACCACAAGGACCCTGCTCGCATCAGGAAGAAGATTCTGGAGCGTGGAGAGAGATTTGTAGCGATGGATGGCATGCAGTATAAGTTCCACAAGGGCATGGCCTTCATGAAGAAGAAGAAGCAGGTGGCGAAGATCAACGTCAACGGGAGGGTGATGGTAGATCCTGCTACGTTCCGCCGCATCAACCCGAATTATCCCATCTCGTTCATCAAGCCAAAGGACATCGACGATCTCTTCGATATCAGTGAGGATGAAAATGACGACTGTTCTTGCTGTGAAGAGGAGGGTGAAGCACCAGCTGGAAAGCAAACGAACTCCCAGGACGCCAACGATAACGCACCAAAGTATAAGTACAAGTGGTCTAAGAACGAGGAAGGTCGACCTATGTTCCTTGCTGTGGAAGTGAATGAAGACGGCGATCCCATCAGAAAGCAACGTGTGGACGTAGTGGAGACATCCGACCAGAAGAATCGCAAGTTCACGGAAGAGGAACTCCTCCTTACCTCGCCAGTCGTCCTAGGATTCTCCTTCTCCGACAAGCTGTGGTTAGAATTCAGCATCAGCGGCGTGAAGGAGATTGAGTACAACGACCAAGCCTTCGAGTCCCTAGTGCTGCCTGATAATCAGAAAGAGATCGTGCGAGCGTTGGTGGAGAGTCACAAATTCCATGCCGCCAAGACTATCGACGATGTTGTGCAGGGCAAGGGTAAAGGTCTCGTCTCCGTCCTTCATGGTCCACCTGGTACCGGCAAAACACTTACGGCAGAAGGCATTAGCGAGCTACTCAAATGCCCACTCTACATGGTCTCCGCCGGCGAACTCGGCACAGACCCGAGCAAACTCGAATACGAGCTGCAAAAGATCCTCGACATCGCGCACTCCTGGGGCGCCGTGCTCCTCCTAGACGAAGCCGATGTCTTCCTCGAAAAGCGCGAAGTCCACGATATCCACCGCAACGCCCTGGTCTCCATCTTCCTCCGCCTGCTAGAGTACTTCCAGGGAATCCTCTTCCTCACGACCAACCGCGTCGACACCTTCGACGAAGCCTTCCAATCCCGTATTCACCTCCCACTCCGCTACGGCGACCTAACAACAAAAGCGAAGAAGTCCGTCTGGAAAATGTTCTTCGAGGTCGTGCGCAAGACTGATCCTTCTTCTATCGTCGATTTCTCCGATTATGAATTGGATACTCTCAGTAGACATATGTTGAATGGACGACAGATCAAGAATGCTGTTCGGACCGCGCAGGCGTTGGCGTTGCGGGAGGCAGCGGTGATGGAAATGAGGCATGTGAAGAAGGTGTTGGATGTGAGTGAGACTTTTGAGCGGGATTTGAAGGGTGGGACGGGGTATGAGGATGCTATGAGGAGTTATACTTGAAGGAAGGATTGTATGTTAGATGGAAGGCAGAATGTAGCGTGTAGCAGTGTATGTGTTGTCGACAAGCTTTTGGCTCTGGGACACATACCTTGTACTGTATCTCAACCATGGATGAACAACTCAACTCTGACATTACTATGTGTGCTCGGTAGGAAGATACGAAGCGTACTCGAACAAATGACTGCTGGCGAGGAGTAAACACGATGAATATGTGCGAGCTGGCGCTTCGTAACGAACGTTCTATCGGAAACATGGTCGGGGATTGTTACCTGTTGATATCATACAAAGTTACAGTCGTTCAAAGAGATGCCTCACTCGTGACGCCAAGCTGTACCATAGACTCGATCGCCTCCCCACTAGCCACCAACGCCAGACCAAAATCAATCATTACATCTTTCGTTATTACAACCACATCATCGTGTGCTTCGGAGGGCCCACGCAAGAACATAGCTGTCTCGCTTATGCATCTCTGCTCTGCCTCATCTGCAATGTCTCCTCGCTCATTCTCGGCGAGATATCCGGGACACTGCTGATCTGTGTGACCCGCGTCCGACCACTGCTCGTGATCGATGGCGGTGCTGTGCGTCCTTCGCCGCTATTGTTTGATGCTGTTGGTGTGTATCCTGGGAAGCCATCAACAAGACTGTCGCTCATGTTACTCTCTGCTAAGGTAGGAGGTCGCGATGAGTAGTCCGGCAAGCTCTCGGCTGTGTATGATGGTAAGGTGTGTGTGCTTGCCCGGCTGCGGGAGTCAGGTGTATATGGTAGTGGTACAAGGGGTGGCGGCGGATCATTTCGTGGTGTCATGTCGTATCTTTCACGGTCGACTCGAACGAGGCTCGCAACAATTTCATGAGCGTGTCTCAGCTCCCGAATCTCCGCCTCCATGATCTGGCCCTTCTCTGCCTGGTCGAGATCCTCAATGTGTTCAAGGAAAGCGTCTTGGAGAATAAGCGCTCGCTTCTCATCGTAGTCCTCCATCCTTGGCGGCTCAGCTGGTCGAAAGCAGCCCACGAGTGCGTCCCACCGTTTGCGCATGTCAGCGCGTCGAGCTGCCTTTCGATATGCGCGAGCATTCCGCCGCTCTTCACGATCGGCAGCGCGCTCAACGCGAGTGCGCATGGACATGCAGCGGCGGCGAACGAACCGACATAGTGCCACAAGACCAAGTAGGGTAGCAATTATAGCCATTGCTCGGGCGAGTGGATTTGAGGCGTCGGTAAGATCTTCAAAGTGATATTGAGCACTGGTCCCATTCTTGGTGACCATGAAAGGCAGGCTGGCACTCTCTGCCGAGCCAGAGCTCTGAGCAATGCTCTTGCTCTTCGTGCAATTCCGGGCCTTTTGTGGTATGAAAGACTGAGCATCCTGCAGTCCTGCTTGTATTTGCGAGTCTTGTACCACCACGTAACCCTTCGTACGGTCGGCCATGTTGTCCACCTTATCGCAAATCTTCTGGGCTAGGACACGAGCTGAACAGAGCAGACCATCACACTCCTCCAGCAGTTGGCGAAGGGAAGTCCGATCACGATGTTCCCGCAGATGCTTGGCGATGGTTTGCTTCTTTGTCGCAATCACAGCCTTCAGATCCTCTGCTTCGGCTTCCAGCACATGGAGCGATTCCAGCTCGTCAACGAGATCGAAGCTGACATGTTTCTCGTTCTTCGGTGCCATTGTATCGAGATCAATCGTGCCGGAGACTGTAGTGAGAGTGCCGTTCACGAGGTCAAAACTGATTCCTGGCCCTCTTAGATTTGGACGAATGATCAGGCTCAACAGTGACAGTGATCGAGCACTAGCATCATCCAACCTCGCGGCGAAGGCTACACTATCATGATCCGAGGGACTTGAAGGACCAGCTTGGAATTGAAGAAGACGAACAGAGCTCTCATCAGGTGGGTCGAGGGAGACAAAGAATGCAAGACTGCGATGATCGCCAGTAGTGTCCACCACGTCAAGAGTGCCAGACTCTGTTTGGTGAGCGAGTGAAGTAATATTGAGCTCGAGAAGTCGCCCGTTGATCGATAGATGACTTTGATCAGCTTCTGAGTCGTCGTCGATGCCAAGCTCGAACACCTTAGGCACACAGCATTGTCAGTTCAGTCCGACAGGCATTAGACGGAAGGCAAACGCAGACGTGAAGTCAATGGCAAGCAGTGAAGTCCAATGTTGCAGAAGCGTGAGAGACACGGGCTTGGCGCGTACGTATACTTACCAGGGCTTCGTCAGCTATCTCACTCCAGCTTGTACTACTCGGGACAGGTACAGTGAATCTAGCGTAGGCAGACTCGATATCTATCTTGTGATTAGGTTGCAGCTTGACCATGATATTCCCTTGGCGATATGCTTACTGTAGTCCAGTACTGCAGGTACTCTCTCACTGCTGGGTATGGCAGCGGTGGAAGCAAGTGAGGCGAACGTTGCTAGCAAACCGAGTGTCGATGAGATGAACGAGCGCATATTGGCACCCACACACTCTCTTCACATTTCTCGAGAACCGAGACCTTCTTCGCGCGTGGCTCAATGCCTCTCGCACTTTTCGAGCACAGAATGACAACGCGAAGAGTACAGATCTCAAATGGCGAGCTGTGCTAGGCAGAAGCATAGAGAAGCGCAGGGCAGTGTGGCGAAGCAGCGGCTCGGTGTGTTTGTGAATCCGCCCGCCGATAGCCACGCGAGTCATGCGTGCATCTTTGACATGTGGATTGGAAAGCTACGATTGAGGTATTCCTTGACATCAACAGCATCATGCGATAGCATCGATCTTCCTACAAGCACATTCGCGAACACTTAATACACTTCAGCACAATGGTTCGTTTTCGGTCCACAGGTATCTAGACCATTTGTGTAGCAATGCTAACAGGCCCCCAACAGCTACCATTAGGTCTCCTCACAGCGGCGCAGGGCCATCCTATGCTCGTAGAGCTGAAAAACGGCGAGACCTTGAATGGACACCTGGTCAACTGCGACACATACATGAACTTGACCCTCAAGGAAGTGGTACAGACAAGCCCAGAAGGCGACAAGTTCTTCAGACTACCAGAAGCCTATGTTCGCGGTAACAATGTAGGCACAGTCCAATCCTTTCCGGTCTTCTGTAATGCTAATATGAGTGTAGATCAAGTATCTACGCGTGCCCGACGAGATAGTGGACATTGTCAAGGACCTACAGCAAACCCAGCAATCACAGCGCGGTGGCAGGGGAGGCGGGCCATCAAGAGGAGATCATGGTGGTGGGCGAGGCGATCGTGGCGGACGTGGTGGTAGAGGAGGGCGTGGACGCGGCAGAGGACGAGGTGGCTAGACGGACTGCCTGAAAGGGGATGCATGGACAGTGACCGAGACTGTCGCGTCAGGTACGAAGTGGTCGACGCCGTGGTGCATCATGAAGATAGCGACAGCCGCTTTGTGAGGCTCGAAATCTCGTGCTTAGCCGATGGATCCGCCAGTGGACGCTGAGCCAAGTGCACTGTAAGAACAAGGAAGGAGCGCTCGATCGTACCTGCCTCCGCTCGGAACACGAGCCCGGCCAACGTCACTTCACAGGCCCAACCCACACGGTGGATCTTCGGCCGCCTTCACTGAAGCTCTATATCGAATTCGAGCGATGATAGCTTCCACGCTGAAAACAGAATGCTTGAAATTAGGCGCAAGAGGATAACTAGTCATGAATAGAATCCAAAGTGTCGACTCATGTTTCCTTACCTTCCATCAAAAAAATGATGGTTGGGTTCCTTTTGCTCCTAGCCTTGGTTCGCAGGTCATGTCAGTCCCTTTGCTCAGGGGTATCAAGCCTGTTCGAAAACCGTGACCACAAACAGAGACGATCTGGCCTTACGCGGAAATGTAGCCTTACGCCCATGAGAGCGTCCATACTCGCTGGCCGTACCGTTTTGGCCAACATTATAACGTCATTGCTACGATACCGCACGGATATGGACATTGCTGAAGCTTTGAAACACTATCATACTACTATCTACAATTGCTCGTTGACAAACAAACCAGCCATACCCATACCAGTACCGATGCACATCGACGTCAAGAGGATCTTGGCCTTCTGTCTTCGGCACTCGGACAGACCGGTCACGATTTGCCTTGCGCCAGTGCATCCCAACGGGTGGCCAAGAGCAATAGCACCGCCACGAGGGTTCATCTTCTTCCAGTCGAGCTTGAGCGTATCACGGCAGTAGCAGGCCATGGAAGCAAAAGCCTCGTTGACCTCGACAATATCGCAGTCGTCGATCGTGATGCCAAACTTGGTCAAGAGCTTTGGCACGGCGATGGTTGGGCCGATACCCATGATGCGTGGCGCGAGGCCGGCAACAGTAGCACCGACGAACTTGGCCAAGATTGGCTGGCCGAGCTCGAGAGCCTTGGAGCGCTTCATCAGCAGCACAGCCGCTGCGCCGTCGGTGACCTGACTGCTGTTGCCACCAGTGCTGCGATCACCGTAATCTGGGAAGGCAGGGCGAATCTTGTTCAGACCCTCGAAAGTGGTGCCTGGTCGGATACCCTCATCACGGTTGATGGTCACATCCTTGCCATCAATCTTCACAGTGATTGGCGTGATCTCGTCATCGAACCAGCCAGCCTTCTGAGCGGCCTCAGCACGCCTATAAGACTCAGCAGCATACCTGTCCTGCTGCTCACGGGAGATGTTGAAGTCTTTGCCAACGTTCTCAGATGTCTGACCCATGGGCTGCAAGCAATCCGCAGCATCCTGGTTCGAGTTGATGATCTCATCGACGAAAGGTCGGGTGAGGCGATCACCTCCACTGGTCATATGTTCCGCACCCATTGCAATACCGATCTCAATGCTACCGCAGCTGATCTGATTCGCAATGTCCTGGACAGCCTTGAGACCTGAAGAACAGAAGCGGTTCACGGAGGATGCGGATGTGGTGTTCGGGAAGCCTGCGGCGAGAGTGGCTGCGCGGACGTAGTAGGCTGCCTTTGCGTCGGAGACCTGGATACTGGCGTCAGCACAAGAACATGACCATCCCATGCTGGCTCTCGTCGTACATTACCCATGCAGATATCTTCTACCATCTGCGGGTCGAGGTTGCTCTTTCGTCGGACTTGCTCCAAGATCTTGAATGCCAGGCCATCGAGAGGAGTCTCCTTCAAGCCACCCTTGCCAGCCTTCGTGAGCGGTGTACGGATGGCGAGCGTGATGACGATATCGTCGGGGTTCTTCGATGTGCTATGAGAGCCATAATGTTAGCTTATTGTATCTTTCAGTTTCGTCTTCGCCATCTGAAGCTGCGGGGAAGGTGAGATGTCCTATAAGACGTACATTTTGTCGATGGGCTTCTGGCCTGGAGTGAGTTGCGAGACGATGCTCGAAAGACGTTGTGCGGCCATCTTGGATTGTTACTGGGCTGATCTGATGAATGTAGGAATGATGGGCGGCAAGAGAGTCTGAAGAGTAGTGATTAGTGTATGTGGCCGACCAGGACTGCCGATCAGCAGCCGACGGGCGCGACCGTGCATACACTCATTGCCTCGGGACACTATCGATAAGCAGTGGTCATCAGAGAAGCAGCATGTCTACCGCGAGCTCAGAGACGGGTGTGCTTTTACCCAATGGCTGTCGTATCACCCACGGCCATGGAGCGAACGTCAAGAAGCCCTTCCCGGACATTATGCCTGGCCTAAACATGCATGAGTTGACGGCCTCAAGCAAGACTGCATTCAAAGGTCAGCTGGGATACATCGAGTTCGACACCGACATTCGGTTACCACGACATATTCACATAGACGCCTCGAAGCAGAAACTGACCGATGAGCTATCATGGTCCTGCATGACGTTGGTCTGGTCGAGATCGCTGGCGAGATCTTTGCAGTTGCTCCTGGGTCACTAGTAGATGCTGTTGGTGGCGTGCCTCATACATGGACAGCTTGTCCGGCCGAGTGATGTTGCCAGACGGAAGTGTATCGACTGGCAAATTTACGATGGTCTACGAGTACGAGGAGCCGACATCCTTCTTTCCCACTGTCTCCACAGAGGTCGTCAAGGACGTCTCACAATACCAGGCTTATACAGGCGATCTCGATAACATCCGGTTTCCGGAGCTCAGTGCGGATGATGTGGTCAAGCGAGCAAGGCTAGTCTTCAACAAGGAAGAAGCACGTCTGAGGCTGGTGTAGCATTTTCATCATGACACAAATCCGGGCAACCTTGCGACAACTCTCTTTGATCCTACGTCCCATCGCTCGCCTAGCATGACCTCAATAGTAAAATGAGGCATCTTTGGTATTGGTGCGTGGCACCTAATGATACATCTTGGCTGCGTCTCCGTTAGATGGGGTCCATATCTTTGTACGATCAATAGGTCCAGCGAACGTCGCTCTCCTCAATACAAAAGCATTTGCTCAACGCAGTACCAAATGGTTTGACGAAAAGCTGGCGCGCCACCTGGCAGCTGCTTCGGCCAGAATCCGTTGATGAATGGATGCATGGGACCCAGCTTCTCGACGGCTGCAATAATGGAAACTACCATTTCGCTTACTACTGCGTTCCTCGTTCCTCGCTTGGCCAGACCAAACGACGCCGCCGGTCTTGGGTATGTTTCTGGGCCCGATCGGTCTTGTTTCAGATAGATCACTACAACCACTGCTCGACATGTGGGGTACAACATGAATCTGCAACACCTCGAGTCAAATACAGCTCCACAAACAACCAGGCGTCTGTGGAAGCGAAAGCTCTGAGACCGTGAATTATGCAACCGTCGCTGTGATCGATCCGGTCGTGACTGCTCTTGATGCCCAAAATGACTCGTCGCTGATGACTCGTGCACCATTCATCAGGCACTACTGCTGCAGGATCTTCGCTCCACCAACATCCCCGCGAATTGGTCGCGCCACCACGCGTGGTCGTCGAATCCTTCCTCAATAGTGCGTTACCGAGCCCCATCTTCATTGGCTCACCATCAGCCGAGCATAGATGAAATACTATATGGACTTACCATGTATGGCAATAACGGGTCGCCTGCGCCGTACGCGTGCACAACCCTCCGTGGCTCACGCCAGCCTAGCGACAAGACGACGAGCAACCTCCTGGTCCCTCCCCAGGCTGTCGGCTATGCGTCGCGCTTTTGTGGCAAAGCAGGATGCTGTGACAATGGCGTCGTCCCCGCATCTGATGTAGTATTAGCTTGTGAGCCTGGCGCCGCACAGTACAAGCGAGGTGAGAGTCTGGGGATAGCGGCACAATGCTGTAGAACTATATACTGGGTCATCTACCATCCTTGCGATGCATCAACGTTGTCGTCCCGGACATTCGTCAACTTGCAGTCAACGTTGTGATATTCACCAAACAACCACAACGCAATGGCGCCCACTTTCCGGAGAGTCAACTGGTGGACGGATTCCGGACTCTTCAAACTGTATCTGTATTGCTGCGTCGTGTGCCTCGCATCTGCCACGACAGGCTATGATAGTTCTATGGTATGGGCAGAACGAACATCGAAATCGTCATCATCGCTAACGTCTGCATAGCTTAATGGACTGCAAATTCTCCCCGTCTGGCAAAGCTACTTCCATCATCCTCAGGGCGCCCTACTTGGACTCTTCGGCAGCATCTTCAGTATCGGATCACTAGCTGGCCTGCCGTTTGCTCCATTTTTAGCCGACCGGTATGGACGACGACCAGCGATAGCATGTGGCTGCCTCATCTTGTTCGTTGGCGTAGCCGTACAAGGAGCTGCATTCGACTTCAAGATGTTTGTGGTCGCGAGATTCATGGTGGGATTTGGTTGCACTCTTTCTCAGCTGTCTTCGCCTCTGCTTTTGACAGAGATTGCACACCCGCAGCATCGAGCGACCGTCACCGCACTTTACAACTGCTTGTGGGTCATGGTCGAGACTACCCCCTTGAGACTCACGAGTTCTGACTTCAAGTCTAGGTGGAACCTGGGTGCTATCGTTGCATCATGGCTGACGTATGGGACGTTCCGGATACCGAACAATTGGGCATGGCGAATACCGTCGATACTGCAAGCCTTTCCGTCAATTATCCAATTTGTGTTCCTGTATTGGGTCCCAGAGAGTCCTCGCTTCCTGATGGCTCATGGTCGAGGTCCAGAAGCGCTCCGGATGCTCGCAAAATGTAGGTCCTCCTGTGTTGCGCTTACGCAAGCAATACTAACAGCTTGCAAGATCATGCCAATGGCGATGAAAGTGATGCGACAGTTCTGCATGAGTGAGTTTCAAGCTGGCGTGTTCCCCTCCGTGAGGCTGACAAGGTGCCAGATACTCGGAGATCAAGGAGACCTTACGGCTCGAGTACCAGTTCCGCAAACAGAGTCATTACACAGACTTCTTCCATACCAGAGGGAATCGCTATCGACTGTTCTTGATCATATCTGTCGGCTTGTTCTCCCAGTGGAGCGGCAACGGACTAACATCATACTACTTCACCAAAATTATGAACAGCATCGGCATTACAGATACCGACACTCAATTCCAGATCAATGGTGGCCTGATCATCATGTCGCTCATCATATCGATCTCCTGCTCTACACTAGTCGATCGGGTAGGCAGGAAGCCACTCTTCCTGGCTTCGACATCAGGCATGCTCGTGACCTTCGTGGCTTGGACGGTGTGCACTGCTTTGTATGAGGTATATGGCAACGTCGCCGCAGGAAAGGCTGTAATTGCGCTCATATATTGCTATACTGCAACATACGCCTTTGCTTGGAGTGGATTGCTGGTTGCATATACTGTCGAGATCCTACCGTTCAAGCTGCGAGCGAAAGGGCTGATGCTGATGAACTTGTTTGTACAATGCGCGCTGATATTCAACCAGTGAGTCATACGACCTTTAAGCTCCCTGATAGAAACGACTGACATGCATTAGATACATCAATCCCATCGCGATCGAAGGCTTCATAGGACAACAGTGGAAGCTCTGCAGTATTTACGCCGGCTGGATCCTCCTGGAGCTCGTCATCGTTTACTGCTTCTTCATCGAGACCAAAGGCCCAACACTGGAAGAGATCGCGAAAATATTTGATGGTGATGATGCCGAGACCGGCATAGCAGAGTTGAGTGAGATAAGGGCCGATATGAGGGGTGTGAGCTCGAACGCTACTGGCCCAAAGCAAAGCGGAGACACGAAGTCACCGATGCAGCACGAGGAGCGCTCGATCGACTTCGACAGTAGCGGTAAGTTGCGAGGCTATAGTGAGTGGCGCAGATTGGGCTCCGACGATGTCTGATATATTAACGTTATGATCTGCAAGCAACTCTGTGTGCTGTCTACCATTGACGTCGTGCCTGCCATCACGTTGAAGTGATCTTGAAGCCCGTGCACCACACAAGGATAATGTCTGTTGACAATCCGGTCAAGTCAAGTCTATCGTCTCTTGTGCATTCCTGCTAGGGCACGTAGTCGCTACTGGCGATCGACTGCTGATGTTGTTGATGAAGGCCGCGGCTCTCAATCGCCTCAACGCAGTGGGATCAATAACTTCTCCCGCCTTAAGTGTTGTCTCAGTATTGCTGTAGCCGGACACCGATGCTGGTCCGGAAGGTGTAGGGCAGTAGGGATCTCCGGATTCTCGCTTTGCTGCTGGCTGCAGAGCTCCTAATGGTGTGGTCCGAGGATGATCGTTTCGCGGAATCAAACCCTTCGTTCTGATCGATTCCGCTCTCGTCAGAGCAAATGCAGGATGGTGGGCCACGCTCTTGGTGGCTTGCTTTGATGCTACATCGCTGTACGCCTTCTGCATGATGTTCTGATCAGATCCGTGTGGAGTTGCTACACTTGACAAGGCAAGAGACGACGATGCATGGAAAGGTCTTGGCGGTCGACTGGGCGCGACAGCCGAGCTAGGAAGCCTGAACACTGGCGGCGGCGAGACCAAATCTTCCTCGGCTGTCTGTCTCATCTTCGCCTTCCTGTGGGCTGGCTTCACCACCTCGCCATCCTTGACGTTCTTCTTTGCACGAGCGCGCTTCTCTGGTGGAGGAGATCGTGGTGTGTCTGTAGACTGCAGCTGGCTGGACGATTGTACGGGTACAATCGTCTCGCCGATCGGTGCAGAGCCTTCTAGATCGTCGTCTGCTTTACGCTTCTTCCTTGTCGGTGTAGGCGACGCTGCTACGGAGTCCTTGGGAAGCCCGTCGCGCAAGAAGCAATCAAGTATCTCGCAATCAATCGGTTCTGTCGGATCATACTGCCTGCCATCTTGACCGGCCCAGATGTTCCAGTCTTCCTCGAGAGGTTTTTGAATACCATCAATATCAACCAGAAGGAGCGGAGCAAACATGATCTTGCGTTCAGTCTTCGCAGGCGGCGCTTCACCGTCCACCACCTTAGCCCTTCGTGTACGTTTGAACACGATACCATAGCGTACGTTGTTGCTTCGCTGCTCTGCCGTCCCACGAGCCAAAGCTCTAGCCAGGTGGATCGGTGCAATTTATTTCAGAAAGCCTTTGGTCCATATGTTGAACCTATCCCGGAGCAGACTACGTAGCTTACGCTGGTCGATGGGGCGGTCCCATCCTTGGCGTAATCCTCTGAGAGTGTGTAACTGGTCAACTGTAGATATAGCCGGTTCTCGATAATGGCCAAGTGCTTTGAAGTCCGGAAAGCTTGCAGGGACCTGCATGACCTTACCACATTTTCGTAGGGTGAGCTCAAGTGCTTTTCGCCACTGCGGCAACTGGTTCAGCTGAACGTCTCTCGCAGCAGTCGCCACACTCCAATGGTCCTTCGCAACCGGGCGAGCAGTCTGAGGCCCACAACCCGGCAGACCCTTCACATTATAGTCGCCGCCGCTCAACATTGCAATCAGCAGGAAACTGTCTCGGCTGAAGTCGTGTTTCTCTCTCAGCGCATCTGCAGTGAAGACTCGAATGTAGTCCTTCTTTCTGTTCTGGCCTTCCTTGTACTGCTTGATTAGTGTAGTGCAGCCAAACATCAAGGCATCACCATCATCACTCCAGACAGCGTCGACGATGCCTTCTCGTTGTAGAGCTGCACATTCGGCTTCGGCCTCGCCAGGTGCTTGGTGATATGGGATCTTCAAGTGGTCGAATAGCTGATGCAAGAGCTTGACGAGTTCCTTCTCCACAAGGCTCCCGCCTTGCTTACCACGCTTCTGAGGCTTTCGTGGGCCATCATATACGAAGAATAGTTGAATGTTGAGTTTCATAAGCCGCAAGACACGCCATAAGACGGTCTTCTCCACAGGATTCGCAGCGGGCTCGCCTTGGCGAATCTTGATGACCTGTTCTTCGGTCAAGTTCGTGAAGCGCCAGCATGCCTCGTCCACAGCTATGCGAAGTGGTCGTTTGTGCTGTTCGTAGAATCGTGTTGCATAGTCTGCAATGCGGACGATCTCGCTGGCGTCATTGATGACATCCCACAGGCTGGGGAGGTATCAGCGCTCATGCAAAATTGATGAGAAGAAATGTATACTAACCCCGTGATGCCCATATCTCCGGCCTCTCACATCAAAGTGTACAACATGACCAGTCGTGACGATGGTGTCTCGCAGACGAAGGAAGGAGGAAGGTCGCGCTGTAAACGCGCCGCTATCATGGTCCGTGCTCAATGCCAACGTGACACGATTACACTGCTATTCACTGCAGGACCAGGGAGATGGAATGTTGTTGAAGTGAACACCGATAGTAACTTGGACAGTGTGCTCAGAAATTATGCAACATCTTCTTCCACCACGGTCTCGGTTTCAATACCTCCTCATGAGCCTCCTCATCATCCGCCACCACGCCCTTCTGATCGAGATCTACCCTCCTCCCCGAATCCAGATCTATCTCATGAGCTCTCCAGAAATGCGTACGCTTGATAAGTTTGTAGACCACGTAAATGATAGGAAACAGTGGTAGCAAGATATATGCATCCACAAAGTTTCCTGCCGAGAAGGGAGAAAGTGTCGTCCATCCTTGGACCAGAGCAAGGAACAGCGTGGTGAAGAGGCCAAAGTATGCGTTCCAAGGGTACCAGAGTGACTTGAAAGGTAGTTCTGCCTTCGTTCGTCCTTGCGCTTTCCATGCTGAGCGAAATCGGATATGGATAAAGGAGATGCTGGCCCAAACGATGAACGTGGAGACGCCGCTCAAGTTGACGATGTATGAGTATGCTTTACTCGCTCCCGTGCTGATGTTCATCATAGATATAGCGCCAAATGCGTTTGTAAGCAATATAGCCCAGACCGGAACACCTCGTCTGTTCGTGTAGGCTAAGAATCCAGGCGCCATACCACTATGTCCCATGTACAGGATCGTGCGCGATCCGATGTAGATCGAACTGTTGACGGCACTTAGACAGGTGATGAAGATGAAAGCATTGATCAAATGCACTCCACCCTCCCAACCAGCTGTTTGTATGGCGATAGTCATCGGCGATTGCAATGCTCGACTTCCACCATTGACGAGACCATCTGCATTGGCTGGGCACGTCAAGCCGAAGAAGAAAGCAGATCCCATGTACACGAAGATAATTCTCCAAAAGACTTGGCGAATAGCCTGCGGTACGGCGACTCCCGGGTTCCTTGTCTCGGTTGCTGCTACTGCAACAGACTCCACGCCTGCGTAGAACGTTGAGCAGAAGACGAATACCGTTGCCACACCTCGGAAGCCATTGCCATTGAAGGCGCCTGGGTTGTTCCAGTATCGAAAGCCTAGTGGCTCTTGTTGACCGATGAGACCTCCTGAAGCGTAGATAATGCCAAAGAGGAAGTACGCCGTCAGACCTAGTAACTTCACCAATGCCAGCCAGAACTCAGCTTCTCCGAAAGCTTCTACGCCCAAAAGCTGAAACCCAAGGAATGCTGTCCAGAAAATCAAGAAATAGCCCCACAAAGGCACCTTGTCGCTCCAGAAGACCATGATACTCGAGATAACGTTATATTCGTTTGCAAGGACGCACACCCAAATTATCCAGTAATTCCAGCCCACAGCCACAGCAAAAGCCTTATCCACCACTCTCTCAGCCAGGCTGATGAATGCACCACCTCCGGGATAGAGCGTGGTCATTTCGCCAAGCGATTGCATGATGGAGAATGCAATGATCCCAATGACTCCGAAGCCGATGAGCAGCGATGCAGGTCCTCCATTGTTCAGCGCCCCGCCGGCGCCAACCAATAGGCCAGGTCCTATAATGCCCGCTAAAGCCATCATGGAGAGATGGCGATTCTTAAGACCACGCTTGACACCCGTCTCATTGTCGATCTGAGTACCACCAGCGCCATTATGGCGGACGGGCACATGTGTATCGTCGACTTCAGGCCAAGCAGGTACGCCATCCGACTCCAGCGGCGCTTCTTTCGTGCCGAACCTCATGGTGGCAAGGCGATGAAGAACGAGATCGATTCCCAACAACCAGTCTGTCAAAGACCCCAGATGGCGCACACCACGAGCGTCTAGGATATAGGTGGCGGGTTTAGAAAGGCAACGCAGTAGTGATTGGTAGGAGAGAGACAGCAGAAATATCTATCAGCCTACCTCTACCACTCGATCTACATAGCGCTAAAGCGACCACGCTTTCATCCATGATAACGCCATACTGGGCATCTGGGCTGGAAAAAATTGATGTGCACGTCACCGCGGACAATGGCACCGCGAAAAATGGATCTCACGTTTTCTTGGCGAATTCACGGCCGGGATGACTAATCACACTTTACATCGCCTCGTCTTGCACGAGTCAGGTTCGTGCGTGGATGTATGACAACTTCTACAATACCCGGAGATGCTCGGGATAGCTACCTGGGCTCAATCTATCGCCGACATCACAACGCCTGCGACTATGCCTTTGCCACAGAACACCATACCTCTCCATGCCCAAACGCCCAACTTCGCAGCACTCTACTTCCCACCATCAGCCCTTAAACTAACAATCCGGTTCAACACCACCTTTCCCCCCTTCGCCTCCTTATCCAACGCAAAAAACGCCGTCCTCAACCCCTGAAACCTCACACTCGAATTCTCCACCATCCCCTTCGCCTCGCCTTCCTCCCTAGGCCACGGCGCATGATCCCGCACATACTCGAATCCACATTCCACCATCGCATTCTCGTATTTCACCAGCGAGTCAGGGTTCAGATTATCGTAGTAACCAGCGTTCTTCCAATCGAGCTCGTTGGGTTTCGAGGACTTGAACAGCGGGTTGAAGATCCGAGCTTCTAATTTGATGGGCGAATTGTGTGCCGTGCTCTCGCCTACCCAGTGGATTCTCGCTTTGCCTGCTGGAACGTCGGCGCCGTATTTAGCTAGAATTTCTGTGACTTTGCCTGTACTGTTGTCTTTGGAGAAGGAGAGGCATTTCACGGGATGTTCAGCATTAAGCAATCCGACTGACTGACCAGGCGAAAGACGGAAGAAATCCGGATCGTCTTCTTCTCGGAAATCGTCCCGGTCGATGTAGATTGTTTTCGTGAAGGGCACTTTATGCGTGCCTTTCGCTTTGTCCTTGGGATCGAAGGGGACCTCCCTTTCTTCCACATAATCGTCGGGTAAGTTTGTGAGGACGACTTTGATAGGATCGAGGACCAGCATGAGCCGGGGAACTGTCCGTTCGAGGTAGGTTCTTATGTTGGCATCGAGGGTGTGTGTGGCGGTATTGGCGTTTGCTTTTGTGACTCCAAGATCGAGCACGAATTTCTTCAGGGCGCCGGGCGGTACGCCACGGCGGCGGAGGGCGACTAGGGTGAAGAGGCGAGGATCATCCCAATCGAGAACTGCGGGTGGAATTCTGCGGGTGGCCTTGTCGGTGGATGATTTTGTGCTTTCTAGGGGTGCTGAAGGGTCTTCTTCTCCTTCTTCGGCAAGTGTGAGCTCGTCCATATCGTCTGCGACCTCTTCGACGCCCGTGCTGGGAGCTGCGGATGCATCACCGACTGTCGTCCCCTCGACGAGCATCGCTATTCTCCTCTTCGACAAGATAGTGCCTTCTACATTCAGCCGACCATATTCTCTCTGCATCGGACCCTGCTCATCACTCGCTCCCTGCTTCATATCAAGTGCCTCCAACAGCCAATTATAAGCCGGCCGTAGTGTCTCAAACTCCACCGTACACAAGCTATGCGAGATCTGCTCCAAAGCATCCACAATACAATGCGTGAACTCGTATGTCGGGTAGATCCTCCACTTGTCGCCCGTACGGTGATGATGGCTGTTCTTCGTCACACGATATGCTGCACAGTCCCACAAAGCCGGGTTATTCGCCATGGCTTTCAGCTTCTCCTTCTGCTTCTTGACTTCCAGCGAGTCCTCCTCATCAACCTCATACTCCTCTGGCTTAGTAGCAAGGTACTGCTTCATCCTCAGCACTGCCTCGCCTGGTTTGTAACCACCATCTCGCATCTTCCTGAAGTCTGTCAGATTGTCCTCGACATCTCGACTCCAATGTTTGCATGCTGTTCGTAGTCCATGCTCGCCATTCGGCAGCTTCCCTCGTCCCTTCTTCACCTCATCGGGCGAGCAGTAACATACGTACGCCTTCTCCCGCTTGATCAACTCCTCGGCCAGCTCATACAGCTTGTCGAACTCATCTGAACTGTAGGTGATTTTGGCGGGCTCGAATCCTAGCCATTGGACCATGTCCTTGATAGCCGTGAAGTACCTCTCTTCCTCCTTGCTCGGATTCGTGTCGTCGAAGCGTAGGTTGCATATTCCGCCATGGCTCTTCGCGAAGCCAAAGTTGACTGTGATTGCTTTGGCGTGGCCGATATGAAGGTAGCCATTGGGTTCGGGGGGAAACCGAGTATGTACTTCTTTCACAGGCTTCTCATCGTACACACCCTTCAGCCAGCCCTTCTTGAATGGATCTTCGGGTGGTGCTGGGCCTGAGGAAGCAGGTTTGCTAGTGGCTTGCTCTGCTTTCGCCTTTTCCTTTGCCGCTTTAGCTGCTGCTTTCTTGGCTTCCTTTTCCGCGGCTCGCTTCGACACTTTGGGCTCGCCTCCTGTCGCGTCCATCTTGTGTGCAGAAGACGAAGAGGAAGTGTGATGCGACTGTTATGCCACATGCGACATATACAATAATGACTCGACCACAACATTTAGTCATTCTGCACCCCACCAAATCGTGCCCCACTTTCACGTGAAACACGAAAGCTACTGACGTGCCTGCCTTCTTCGCTCTCCAGCACGACATCATGTGAATGCTGCCATCAGGGTTAGCAGTTCGCCGACTTCTTGCATTCAGCAAGCCGCAGCATTTCCATAGCATTGAGAGTGAGTCACGATTATCATCAAACCTTCCAAGCAGGACCGGCAACAAACGAGCACGACCACCAGCAGAACACACCTTGATCCCGCAAGCCTACAATCCCAAGACGAAGACAATGTCCTCCACTCTCGCTCGCCACGCCTCCGCCATTCAACCCTCCTCGATCCCCACCCTCAACGATCTCTACACCCAAGGCATCCTCGAACCCGCAGACCAGACCCACCCCCAGGCAACCTCAAAATACAACACACAAATCTGCCTAATACGCACCGACATCACCACTCTCGCGACCGACTGCATCGTCAACGCGGCCAATGAGTCGCTCCTCGGGGGTGGAGGCGTAGACGGAGCAATCCACAGCGCAGCCGGACCCGGTCTCCTACGCGAATGCCGGATGCTAGATGGCTGCGATACAGGATCCGCAAAAATCACAGGTGCCTACCAGCTACCTTGTAAGAGAGTGATACACGCCGTCGGACCCATCTTCTCCCTCGCACTCCGGCAAGGGAAAGGGGAGCCAGCACGATTACTAGGAGGTTGTTACACCACGAGTCTTGATCTAGCTGTGGAGAATGGATGCAAGAGTATTGCCTTCTCAGCCCTCAGTACAGGCGTGTATGGGTATAAGAGTCAACTAGCGGCACGAGATGCTCTGACGGCCGTAAAGGGGTGGTTGGATGAGGATGAGGAGAGGGCGAGGAAGATTGAGAGGATTGTCTTTTGTTCTTTTTTGGCTAAAGATGAGGCTGCTTACGAGGAGTGGGTGCCGTGAGTACTTGTAATCTCCATTGAGAGATGGGTCAGATACTGATGACATGACTGTAGACGTTTCTTCCCACCCGCGGCGGAGAACAAAGAAACGAGTGCTCAACCCAATGATCGAGCAACGACAATGGATGGGACCGAGAAGCCGGCTGAGGAGACTAAAGTAGACGAGACATCTGGAGACATGCCAGCTGGGGAGCTACCTTTGCCTGTTCTACCGGATGTGCCTACGAAGGAGTCAACAGAGCCAGGACAGCCGGACGCAAAGAAGCAGAAGATAGCGAACGACGACAACACGACGGCAAGCATACAAGATGGCGATGCAGTAAGGAAACTGTGAGGACGGAAGGTAGTGTCTGTGATGAATCTAGATGGGGTTCATGACTGCATGAACAGCTCGGAAGGATGAGCGTAACGAGCGGAATGGCATTGCGTGGCGTTTGGGAAGCATGAGATACCGTGTGAAAATGCGAAAGAGAATCACTTCTACAGCGATAACTTTATTATGGCAGCTCACCCAGTTGCGACGACTTTGAGGCCATGCCTGCGCACGACACTGCCAGCCGTCATGCTGACTCGTGAGTCCGCTTCAACATCTCCGTGAGGCCGTATCGCTGGCTTCATTGCTCCATCTTCGTATGCAATCGAATTCGCCTTCACACGTCAGAAAGCTCGTGACACTTGCGGGCTTTCTTCTCTGGCGAAACTGGATGAGTGTCGCTCCTCCTTACCCTCTTCCTGGTTTCCTTCTGGGTGACGGGTGATGATGGGGAGGGGGCTTCGCTCAATAGTATCCCGGGCTTGGATCTGTCTGGAGACGAGGTCACGAGCGATACTCCAAATCTCGGCACCACCGGGGACGATGTGGCAAGGATAACTTCAGCTCTTGGCGCCACCGGGTCCATTTCGTTAAGCAGGTGCACGCAATCTGCCAGGTGTTGCAGGTGCTGGCGAGCTAAATTGGGATCGTTCGCGATGCGATTCAATAAAAGGCGTTCTCCATACAGAGTATCGAGGTGTCGCCTGCGGAAGCGCTGCTCGACTGCCGCAATCGAGTCATGCACTTCCCGATACGAAGTCAAGAGTTCCATCGTGTCGTAAACTCGATTCGAACGAAGACCCGGTCCCGAATTAACAAAGGTTTCCTCCGGCGAAGTGGAGTTGAGGAAGTCGATGACTGCTATGACACATCGTTGAGCCTGTAGAACTTTGGCGACTTTGACGACCTCCAAGCAGTGACACAATTTTCGCCAGAGTCTATGTTTCGAGGTGGCGAAGCGTCGCGGATCATACCACAGCTTGCCATAGATGTATTTGAGAACAGCCTCCACGGCTTCGGGAGGAAAGCCGTTCTCTAGCTTGGTGATCGTTATAAATGCACCCTAGTACGGTCAGTATGTTAACACGGCTCAAGACCTTACGAGTAACTCACTGCGAAAATGCGTGCGAAGTACAACGAGTTCTTGGCAAGGATGAAGCGGTGGCATCTGAACGTGGTGTCACCGACGACGACAGTGACGTCCGCAAAGTCTTCCTCTCCCCAGTACTCGGCCGTGTCAAGGATTGGCATAGTTGGATGTCCAGAGCGAGTGTTTGTGTTTGTGGCAATTTCTATGTCGAGCTCTGTGCGGTGAGCAATGTTGGAGTGAGGTGAAGTGTCTGGAATGGAGACGAAGTACAAGAGGTCGCGGCTAAGCCGAGAGCATGTATACGGCAGGCGCAGAGGCGAGTGGAAGGAAGGAGCGACGCTCGAGTCAATTTAGTACACTCCGTCGGACAAGACACTTTCTTTCCACTTCCGCACGTGGCGGCATGCGGACAGGCACGTCGATAGGCCTTTGCGTCCGCAAATCAGCCGTCAGGCCCGGGGACTACACGCTGCCCTCCACCTCCACCTTGATCTTCTTCGCCGGCCTCTCCTCCTCGCCTCTCGTATCAGGCGCAAAGACATCGAGTATACTCCACTGCACCACGTGCCTACAGCCCTCGCACTTCTGCGCCTTAACCCGGACGTTCCGCAACACTTGACGAACCCCATCATGCACCGCCCCTTTGCCCGACTCGTCGCTAACATATTGATCACGCTCCAGGACATGGAACATTGCCTCCTGGATCTGCTCCGCAATAAATGGCTGGCACGTCTGGCACAGTTCAGTCCTTTGTCGCAGAGCTCGAAGCACCTTCCCCAGCTTCTTCATGTGTGAGTCTGGACCAAAAAGGAGCGGCTTCAGGATCTCGAGCATCGGTGCGAAACAATGATCGAGCATGTCTGGACGGCGCATCAGTAGCTTGCGGAACTCGGGTCTCGTAACGAACCGGCTTATGCCGTCAGTATTGCTCAGAAGGCGTTTCTGGAAGTCTTGTGTGGCGGGATCGAGTGCATAATTCTTTGCCAGAAGCTCGATGACATTCGCAAGGCTCTCTAGGTCTGTCAATGCCTTTACACTGGCTTGGAAGTGAGTGAGTGCTTCGCGTCTGAGGTCCGGCAGCTGGAACTAATTGGCAGTAATGGCAGTCTCCAGATGAGAGCGCCAAGCAGGCTTCGAGCCACTGCATTCGACGATGTAGAGACACCCATAGATATGTCGAAGTGCGGCGTTGAAACCCAGCTCCTCGTATCGTCCTTTGAGCTCGATGGTGTTGGTTGCATTTCCCTTCTCGATGTGTCAGTGTATGTCTAATTAGGGAGCATTTAAGGGGAACGTACGTAAAGAAGCGCTCTGAAGTACGTCGAGCCTTGCACAAGCACGAACTTGTGGCACTTTAGCTCGACATCACCGATACGTATCGTAACATCAGCCAGCTCCTGGTTGCCCCAGTAGTCGGCGGTGTTGATGGCCGGCATGTTGGAGGCTGGGTTGTGTGGTGACAGAGTCGATGTTGATGAAAGAAGGGCTGAACGATAAAACCCATTAAGCAAGGGAAGGGACGTCCCGGTCCCTGCTAGCACATGCCGCTCTCAGAAGAGGAAGGAACGAGGCAGAGACCCACCTGCCCTGAGCAATGCAAACGCAAAGCTGGGACTGGGTTTTACGACGAAGATTGCTATTTATACTCTGTCAAGCCATATTAAAGCTACCGAATTAATTTCCTGGATCAATCTCTCTCGGATCGAGCTCTCGGCCTCGTTCTCAGCCCCTTTTCTTCCCTATCATTCAACGAGTGAAGCTGACCACCAACACGGTACTTCGATGTACTGAGCCACTTTGCGCGTGTCTCGAGCACCGTCTCAAAGCGATCTTCCATCGACACCCGCTCGCGACCTTCACTGTGCTCCCCATCTCGCTTCAGAGGTTCGAAGACACTTGCATGCTTAGACAGGACCACCTGTTCCGCATAATTCTCCTCAACCTCCTCCACATCAGTCTCTGATTCCGCTGCGACCCCAGAGCAGTAGCCCTCCAGATCACGCGGGATCGCCGGAACAGCTTCCTGCTTCCGGACGTGCTCCGCAAGCATATGCAAAAGCTGCTTGGCGTGGTCCGGCTCAAACCATATCCATCTGTGTAAATCCTTGTTCACGATCCACTGCTGAGGACGCGTTACCGCTTCGACGAGTATATCAATGTACTCATGCCAATCCGAAGGATGAGTCCGTGTCCAATCCACGAGAGTGCCATCCTCGCACATGGCAAGCGCATGTCGTGTCTTCAGCTGAGGCAGTACACTTCCCAGCCTCAGCGGCAAATTCACAATCGCTCGTTCATACTCCTGTGCATCATCAACAGACCTGATGGTGAGCAGGAACTGCTCAAGGGCGTCCGAACTGAGGATCGGAACCTGGTATTCGAGGGCTTGCATAGCAACATCAAGGTAGAATCGCCACAGGGATCTCATATTGTACGTGTCATCCGTCGGATGCCTCGCCACATCATGCCCGCCCTGGCTCTACTGGACGTCGTGACAGTACTGCAGCACAGCTTCGACTGCTAAGGTGTGAGGGAGATAGAGCGCGAGGGTATGAGGGTCCTGCGGGCGGATCAGCGGAAGGGCTACGCAATGAGGCAGTAATGGCTTTGCGTACCGCGAGCATCGACGCGAAAACCGGGGATCTGGAGCAAAGAAGACTTCGGTTGTAGAAGCGACTATGTCTCGTTCCACCATAGACTGACACATCTCCATTGCAGCCATTGACATAGGAGTCCATGGCGGCATATTTAGAAGTACCAATCTGACCAGTCATCAGGGGTTCGATTTGAGTGAAGGGAGAGACCTGAGGTGTCAACTGCTGTGGTGAAGTGAACACCATCGTAAAGCTGTTTTTTGTGATTGAATAGTCGCGAAAGTGTCTGTGCTGGAGCGTAGCAATCGTATTTCCTGTGCAAAGACCGAAAATGTAACCTGAGATATATGTGTGTTCCAGTTCTCCGAGATGGGCGGCGGGCGCAAAACAAGGAGTATTGGATAGGGTTCCCGTCGGCAGGAGAGATTGTCATGGAGGAATCCTTCCTGCCTATATTTCGGCCATGCAAGAGCGTCCTAAAAGATCTAGTGCACCAGAACATCACTCGAAGTAATCGCCGCACAGTAACGGCAACCCACCCTAAGATCATAAAACATTTCATACAAACATAATCTACCACAAACCCCTCAACTATCCCCAACACCCCCAACCGCCTGCCCATCAACCCTCTTCAAAAACTCCCTCACCCTCCCCACCTCCCCTTCCCCCAAAACCCCCCTCTCGCTCTCCACAGCCGCCACCAACGCCCCTAGATTCTCCTCGACCCTCTCTTCCGGCACACCGGTGCACAGGGAGACGACTTTGCGGTATGTAGCTTCTAGCTCACTACTTCGGGAAGCGAGATCGGTCGCTTGGTCCTGAAGGGCGGAGTTGTGGGTTTCGTAGGCTGAGATGCGGGAGTGTAGCTGTTTTGGTGCGGAGGAGGCGAGATGGGGGTTGTTAGTGAGGTAGGTGTGTTGGTCTCGAGTTAGGTGCGAGTCACCATTAGGTGAAGCGTGGGATAAGATCTCATGGCCGCGATCGTCGATCATCTCTTGCTCTAGCTGCTGCTGCTGGGCAGGAGCTCCACGTTTTCTGTTCGGCTTCACAGCATTTCGACGTTCGTGGACGGCGCGCTTGAGATTCGTGATTTTGGCTTGTCGTTCTGAGCGCAGCTTCACTCTGTCTTTCAGTGCTTGTAGCCGCTCCAGGTCCGCTTTTTGCAGTGCGCTGAGCTCGCGGATCTGTTCGTTCAGGCGATCAACTTGTTCTGTCCGGAGTCGAAGAGTCTCTTTGTGCGAGTTGAGATTCTGGGTGAGCATTGCGGTCATTGCTGGGTAGATATTAGCAAATTTCCAGACTTTGGGGGGATTGAATGATAGCTTACACTCCACCACATCCTGACTCATCTCCTCAATTTGACTGTCATTGATCTCAGCCTCTCCTCCCTCACCGTCTCTGCCCACCATCTCTTGCGTAGGTGGCAGGCTCTGCGGAAGCTGTTGACTTGCAGAGCCATTTCCAATGCTAGGCTGTTCTCCAGACTCGATGCCTATGCCGAAGCTCTTGGCACTCACACCCTTATAGTTGGCAATACTTGGGTCCGCATGGATCTCGAGTAATTGCTGGATTATACTTCGATTGCCAATACGTGCAACCAAATTCAGAGCGGTGTTACCGGCCTTGTCTCGTGCATTGACAATGTGTGATAGGAAACGAACAAGACTGACGGCTCCCTGCTTATTCGCGGTCGAAGCTATCGAATCTTGGCTCGAAGGATCGCCATTTGCTTGGGCTTTCATGCTTGCCACGGCCGCAGCAGCCAGTGAAGTCGCGGTCGCAGCAGAGTTGCTCGTTTGCGTGCCGATACGAACGAGATACTCCAGCAAAGCCTCCAGATAGTATTTACTGGCTGGTGCCCTACCCTTGATGGCTGACGAGACGGCAATGTGGTGGAGTATCGTCCTTCCCTGAGCATCTCGCACCTCTATCAAAGGACCTAGTAGCTCGAGTAGCTCGGGAAAGCATGTTTTGTCCCAGCAATTCGCGACGAGCACAGCGCTGACAAGAGGCGACTGGCCTGCAGCATTACCTCGCCAGATGTTTGCACCTCTGCTGATGAGCAGTTTGAGCAAGGATAACTTTCCCATCGTTGCGGCCCAATGCACGGCGTTGTTGGCAGAGTGGTCGAGTGGCATATTGAGCTCCTCGCCGGAGAGTTTCTTGATGGCATCATGCGAAGCATAATCAAGGCCACCAGCATCAGACAACAGGTCCAGGATGAGATGGTACTTCTCCTCTTCCTCGTCAGTCTGTGGTGCGGGCAAAGGCGGAAGCGTGACTGGTTCGCCAGAGCTACCGAACTCCTGCGGCTGCTGATTGCTGTCGTACATGAAGCTCTCGCTTGGCTCAGTCGGACTAGCGGATCGCATGGATGCATCGAGTGGCAGTGCCGGAGGAGCCATGCCGTCCTGGCTGTCTTGTCGCATGCGCTTTCGTGGTGGCTCAGATCCATTCTGCTGCGTGCCATAGCCAGAGTCGTCAATGAAGCTACCTTGGCTTTGTTGACTGCCTCCCGGGAACATATCTGATTGAGATGGGTTTCGCATGTTCCCCAGCCTTTGTGCACTGGCGGGTCGTGGAGCGGGTGAGTGAATACGTGCGGCCTTGTTCATTGCTGCCAAGGCGACTGAAGATGTGGGTGATATATTCTGGAAGAATGTGCCGTTGCTTACTGGTCCTTGCGGTCTGCCGCCATCCACAGCGGGCTGATAAATGCGCTTGCGGTTTGCAGCCATGGCTTGTTCCTTGGTCGGAGTTTCCTGGCCTTGGCCTCCAGAGCCGTCTGAGGAGATGTCGTATTCCAGAAGTGGTCGCAAAATATCTTCCACGCCATACTGTCTGCAGAATTCCCGTCCTCGGCGATAACTGATCCAGGTGCCTTGGTACTTGCCGTAGCCGCCCTGTACCTTCTCATGTTCGCCTGGTAGGATCTCCTTTTCCAATATCTTGGTCCGCTTGCCTTTGTCGACACCAGCGATCTTCAGTATCTGGGTCGCATTCAGCCAGCCGTCGCTGCGTCTTCTCATACAGGCCACGCCAGCGACCTCCATTTCATATACAGATACTCCAGAATACACGGCCTGTGTTCGTATCAGTGCTTGCTGATCATGGGATACTACCTTCGTTCACTCACAGTATATATCTGAGGCTTCTCGCCATATCCTCGGCCCTGCCCATAGCTCTCGCCAAAGCTGCGCGCATAGCCTGGATTCGACACCGGTCCATTCGGGAAGCTCTGAGAGTATACGGGCTGGCTATGCGACGGCGACTCGAAGGACATGTTGTAACTGTGGCCATATCCAGGCATGCCGTGCGGTTGAGTGGGTTGGCTCTGGGAGAAGGACTGCTGGGGTGTAGGTGGATGCATTGCGGCGATTGTGGCTGTCGCCATTCCCTTGTGTGTGTAGTAGTATAGCTCGTGAGGTCATGCAGGTCTATATACTCGCTGTGGGTGTCCAGTCGCTAGTCTAGCCTCGGAGTGCGTCAGTCTTCTTCTCGTCGCGGTCGCGATATCGAGAACGCGTCGTGAGGCTAATTGAGCGGGCCGGGGTGGTCTGTGCTTGCGACCAGCAATGATTGGTCGTCACGTGAAACTCTTTACGATACACCAAGCGATGCTCATGCTGTCCACATATGCAGCGATGGCAGTATTGCAGACCGCCATGCACTGTACGGAGATGGCATCCGAGGCATGTGTATGACACTAGACATGCGTACCAAGCTGCAGTCAGGTACAGCAGCGATGGCACAACTGCGACACCGAGCGGTCCACGCGCTCCCCCTATCACTATCCATCAAGACATAGACCTAGCCAGAGAGTCAAGACACTTATTCCGAGGGCTACTGCGAGAATGCACCTACCTTCCGGACAGCTTCGCCCGGCAATGGATGCGTGGATACATGAGAGCTCGATTCGAGAGGTATAGTGAGAAGGCTTCGGCGCTTCAACATGATCCAACCTACGACCAACGCGGGCGCTCGAAGTTGCATGAGGCTCGACAAGGACTGGGTACATTGAGACGTGCGAATGAAGGCGAGAGAAAGCCGCTCCTCAAGATATTGCTCATGGCGTATGGACGGACTGGCAAGCGGAGACACGAGCTCATGCTGCCACTCATGCCTAAAGGTGACTCACCTGCAGGCAAGACCATTCTCAATACTTCCTCGAGGTCTCTGACGGAGGCAATGAAATATGGCAGCCAAGAGCAGACTGCCACTCCTGTATCCTCAGGACGTGGACCGGGTGCTGCACAAGTCAATCAAGGCGCGTGGTCAGCTTACGTGCCCGACTTCACACCGCAGATGCGTGCGCTCCTGGAGTCTACAATCCAATCACCGCCACCGCACTTAACTAGACCAGTACTTCGCAGGCTACAGCCACGGATCGAAGAGCACAATGCATGGCATCGACCCATGCCACTCGTACGCGTGAAGACACAGACGAAAGCTTGGTATGCAGGGGTGCTAGAGAGGACGCATCCACCACTACCGAGAACAGAGTGGAAGCGTCTCTTCGATCTTGCGACAGGCAGGAAGCGTGAAGCTTTCATTCCGAGAAGAACACCGGCCGGACTTGCACGACAGAGCGCTCTCGAGATGGCAGTCATGTACGGCAAGACATCTCCCAGACTGGCATTTGGCAATCGCGAAGCTCACCGGCTGATCCCACGATACATGCGGCATTTATGGAGTCAGGTCTTCGCTCAATGTCCTGTCATGGAATGGGATTGCAAGATATTAGGCTGGAAGGTCGGATGGGGTGAGCAGGCCCTGCTCGACAACGCATCATTGGGAGGGAAGCAGTTTCCTTCTACTCCTGACGTTACTGTTAGTAATCGCAATGCTTGAGCCGAGTACGATAGACCAGTTTTCATCTGTCATCGGAGCTTAGGCCGCGAGTACCCGAGAGTCTGGAGAATGTGGATGCAGGTACGACTTGGCAAGCCCATGCGAGTCGTGGATCGCATACGCCCTTGCAAAGTACATGGTCGACATTCTTTCGCTCAATATTCGACCCAAATAGACCAGACCGGCTGACAGCTTTACCTGGTATACTTCCAACGCAACTCGATCACTCCTACGCGACTACCATAATGGATTCTTCTCAGCAACCAAGCATAACGTTGGCGACAACAGATGGTACTGCATCCTCAACATTACTCTACACACGCAGCACTAACGACCATACTCACAGATGTCCACGAAATCCATGCCATGATCTGCGAACTCGCCTCTTACGAAAAAGCCCTCGATGCCGTCGAAGCCACAGAAGACACCCTCAGACAAACCCTCACCTTCGCCGACTCACCTGCCACACATACCAACCCCGGCTATGCCAAGACACTCATCCTCCGCCTTCCCTCCACCCCCACATCCGGCACGAACGATAAGCCCTCCGCAGTAGCAGGTATGGCAATGTACTTCACCAACTACTCCACGTGGACCGGCCGTCCGGGCGTCCACCTCGAAGATCTATACGTTCGTCCCGAGTACAGAGGGAGAGGGTACGGCAAGTTATTGATCCAGGCGCTGGCGAAAGAGACGTTGAAGATTGGGGGGAAGAGGCTGGAGTGGAATTGTCTGGAGTGGAATGAGAGTAGTTTGAAGTTTTATGATGGTCTAGGTGCTAAGCAGATGAAGGGGTGGGTTGGACTACGGCTGGATGGGCAGGAGCTGGAGAAGATGGCTATGGGGAAGGCTAATGGGCAGACCAATGGACAGACGAATGGGCATTCCTAGATGCTTAACGGGTTTAGACCTCTAGACTTCGGCATTCACGATATCGTGTTCTGCTCTTCTAACTACGTTACATGACGCCTTCCCTTCTGTATCGTACGTCACTTTCGAAACAGCGCCCCGTACTGCTGCTTCACTCCAACCTCGTCATCGTGTCTCGTGACCAAATTCGCAAGTCTCAGTCTCAGCCCACGCACGCTAGAAATCCTTCCCCCGTTGATCCTCCTCTCGCATCAAACATCCGCCCCAATAATTCGCCAACGCGTGTATATAAGCTGAAATACAGTTTCAGCCGGTACCTTGCTTACAACTCGCAGGATGCGAGCGCTTTGGCTTCATGAGGCACATTGCGTTGAGTCTTTTGCCGAGTTGGGGAAGCCGATGGTTTGATCGACATTGGTTCTTTCGTGCGCGAAGCATGCCCGATGCTCAAGGGGGCGGTGTTACATGTGAGATCAGGTGGTCGCAGTGATGCGCGTTTGGTAGGGACGAGTATATAACAGTGAATCTGCCCACTGGTAGAGTCGCTCTCTGCTCGTTTCAAAGTCCAATATAAACAAGAATATCAACCAAACATCACCGCAATACAACACAATCAGTCAATCAAAACACATCTCCACCATGCGCACCTCAACCCTCATCCTCACCGGCCTGACCGCCTACACCGCCTCCGCCCAAACCACCACCGACCTAGCCGCCTCAATCCAATCCCAAGTCTCCTCCAACCTAGCCGCTGCCTCCTCCGGCCTTCCCAGCGACCTCGCCTCCTCAATCCAATCCCAAGTCACCTCGAACCTAGCCGCCGCCTCCTCCGCCCTCATCACAGCCGACTCCTCCCTCTCCGCCGCCATCGCCTCCGCGACTTCGGGTCTAGACGCCGGCTCCCTCATTTCCAGCGCGAACGCCATGGCGTCTTCGGAGATATCAGCCCTTTCATCCGAAGCCAAGACAGCTTCGGGGGCTGAGGCGAGTTCCTTGAGTGCGGAGGCTAGTTCGTTGAGTTCGAGGTTGACGGCTGCGGATGCGAGTGCGAGCTCATATTTGAGCAGTGCGAGTAAGGCTTCGACTAGTGCTACTGGGTCGGCGGCGAGTGCTGCTAGTGCGTCGAGTACTTCTCAGGCATTAGCTGTTGCTACGGCTGCGCCATTGGTACTTGGTGCGGTCGGGATGGTTGCTGTTGCGTTCTTGTGAGCGGCATGGTCGGAGTTAGTGGCTCAGAGGGATGGAGGGAGTGTTGAAAGATGGTGTTGTTACAGTTTCCAAATATCTATCGAGTGTATCATATAATACAGTAGTTAAGAGAATCCGAGCTGGGACAACATCGCAACACTATCCCTGCCAACCTTGGACATGTGTCTCTAGAGACGAAGCACTGAGCCGTCGAGCAGCAAGGCGTACATGCCCAAGATGGCTGAGCCGATCATCAAGGACGCGCGACCTGCTATCGTGTTAGCATTCACGAATCTGCAATTGAGAAGTCATCTGCAAGCATACCATAATTAAGGGCCGTCCACTTCTTCTGCAACTGCCTCAACTCCTTCTCACTCTTATCATCACTGTTGTTGACCTCCAGGTTCTTCGCCATAACACCCATACGCCTGTTCATGGGCACCATGATCAACAAGGCATACGCAGTCGTCGCAATGCTCATACCAAAGCACGTTGCTACGTAGGGAAGCTTCTCAGCAGCCACACGAGACGAATCGCGGTACAAGAATGCGGTCACTGTGACGGCCAGATTGCTGAGAGTGCAGACGGCGTTCAGGGGTGGGAAGAAGTGCTCGCTGTTGTGGAGGAGGTAGTCGGTCATCTTGCCGGCGTGGTGAGCAGGGACGGAAGGGAGCTGGAGCATAGGCATGATGAGAGGTGATTGAAGAGCAGAGCCACCTGTGGTATGTTGTAAGCTTTCTTGTCATCGTCTCTTGGACTTCTTGTTACTATACACACCGAAATTGACCGCAGCGCCGAGTGTCGCGACGGCCTGTAAAGGCGTCATCCACCAAAGGTTTCCTGTTGATGCCATCTTGTGGATGATGAGATGAGATGAGATGGGTGATTGATGGGGTTGTGATATATAGGTGTGAGAGTACGGAAACACGTGAAGGGGGGTGATTTCAGACTCCTACCAGCTCTCACATGCTTTTGTACTACCACCCTGCCGTTCACAGACAATGCTCACCAGAAGTCTATCGGCTCCGCACCCGGATCATGGACGTTGGTATATGCAAGGGAGGGAGCTTGGCAACATGTGAAGGAAAAGAAGCTTTCATACCCCTGCAGCAAACGGAGCTATAAAACGCCCGGGCCGATCACTCTTTCGTCACTACGGAGCTGCCAGGTATCAGATGGTGAGATTCGTAATAAATGACCGATGGTCTGTATATGAGAGTGGTAGGTGAACGATATTGTTGAGGTCGCACATATATCGTATGTGTTCCCCGTTGACATCGTGAAATGGCTACCGCGAGTACTCTGCTCAAGAGTAGAGTCCGTCGACCAAGCTACTTGAAAAAGCTCGCCCAAGCAGAAGACCTTATCGATCTCTTCCCACACAACTCATACATCGGATGGTCAGGCTTCACAGGTGTCGGTTATCCCAAGAAAGTCCCAACCGCCTTGGCCGCTCATGTCGAGAAGAATGGCCTTCAAGGTCAACTCAAGTACAACCTCTTCGTCGGAGCTTCGTCGGGCTCAGAGACAGAGAACAGATGGGCTCGCAACAACATGATTGAGCGACGAGCTCCCCACCAAGTTGGTAAGGAGATCGCAAAGGGCATCAACAATGGCAATATCAAGTTCTTCGACAAGCATCTATCCATGTTTCCCGTGGATCTGATGTACGGCTTCTACACCAAACACAAGGAGAACAACAGGCTGGATGTTGCAATCGTGGAGGCATCTGCAATCACAGAAGATGGTGGCATCATTCCCGGGGCCAGTGTCGGAGCATCTCCCGAGATCATCCAGATGGCGGACAAAATCATCATCGAAGTCAACACAGCCTCGCCGTCTCTAGAAGGTCTTCACGATATTACCATGACCGACCTGCCGCCGAGAAGGAAACCATATCTTATCATGTCGCCAGAGGACAAGATAGGCACACCGCATATACCGGTCGATCCAGAAAGAGTGGTTGCCATCGTCGAGTCTGACTACGCTGACCAGACGCAACCGAACGCACCCGAGGACGAAACCTCGCGAGCTATTGCAGCAAACTTGATCGAGTTCCTGAAACATGAGGTCCAGCATGGAAGATTGCCAGAGAACTTGTTGCCCATACAAAGCGGAATTGGTAATATTGCTAATGCCGTCGTCGGTGGTCTCGCTTCAGGTGGTGCCAACTTCAAGAATCTCAAAGTCTGGACTGAAGTACTTCAAGATAGCTTCCTTGACTTGTTTGACAGTGGGAATCTCGACTTTGCTACCGCGACTTCCATTCGCTTCTCACCTGACGGATTCGAGAGGTTTTACAAGCAGTACGAGGCTTACGCTCCCAAGCTCCTCCTGCGCTCTCAACAGGTCAGTAACAGCCCTGAGATCATCAGACGCCTTGGAATCATAGCAATGAACACACCAATCGAAGTGGACATCTATGCGCATGCAAACAGTACATGTGTGATGGGATCTCGCATGCTGAACGGTCTTGGCGGGTCGGCGGACTTTCTTCGTAGCGGCAAGTACAGCATCATGCACACGCCCTCCACCCGTCCCACGAAGAACGACCCTCATGGAATATCTTGCATAGTACCCATGTGTACGCACGTCGACCAGACGGAACACGATCTCGATATGGTCGTCACCGAGCAAGGCTTTGCCGATGTTCGGGGTATGTCACCTCGAGAGCGAGCGAGGGAGATTATCAAGAAGTGCGCGCACCCGGAATATCGACCTATCCTGCAGGACTACTTCGATAAGGCCGAGTTTGAATGCCTCAGGAAGGGATGGGGTCATGAACCGCACTTGCTTTGGAACGCTTTTGATATGCATAAGCATTTGAACGACCATGGGACGATGAAACTCCCGACCTGGGGATGATCTCTTCAGATCATACTGCTTGAGGATATATGTAGCCTATGAAGGACGCTTGTAGCCATCGACATCGGTGGAGTTGGCAATCTTCTCGTACTTTGAGCCATAGAGCTCGGTGTATGTCTTGATCTTGTTCTGCATCGCAGTATAGGCGTCGGAGCCAATGACCATACGTAAAGGTGGCGTATCCATCTTTGCAAACTCCCCTGCATAGACGTCAATATTTTGGTGAGTTCGATGTTATCATGGTGGGATGGCTTACACATTGCTCTAGCACCCTTGGCTGGGTCTCCGGCCTGCGTCCCATGTCGCTCCCCCATAGTCTTCTCGGCGTTGATGTGTTCGTACGCCTAATCACATCAGCATAAGCCATCCTCTTGGTTTGAGAGGGAGAGAGAGAGAGTCAACTCACAGCATTCTTCTCCTCCCCAAAAACCATCGACCGCCCAGCCCAATCCGTCCTGAACCCACCGGGCTCAATACAAGTCAAATGAATATTCCACTCAGGCTTCAACTCCTGACTCAACGCCTCCGTGAAGCCCTCCACCGCCCACTTACTCGCACAATAGATCGAGAAAGTCGGGACACCACGCTGCCCACCAATGGAAGTGATCTGTTGAATCTTGCCTCCGCAGGGTTTATTGACCTCTCGCATTACGCTCAGGGCTTTCCGAGTCACGCTCAGGAGACCGAAGAAGTTGACTTCCATTTGGGTGCGAGCTTGGTTGTCAGAGACGGATTCGAATTCGCCTGAGAGGCCGTAGCCGGCGTTGTTGACTACGACGTCGATGCGGCCGAATTGTTTGATGGCGGCGTCGAAGGCGGCGTCGATGGATTTCTGTTCGGTGACGTCTAGGTCGAGCGCGAGGTAGTTGTCTTTGGTTGTCCCGTCAAACTTCAGCTTCGATGAGCTACGTGCTGTGGCGACTACTTTATCGCCCTCCTCCAGACACTTTTTGACGAGTTCGTTGCCGAACCCCGTCGAGGTGCCAGTAATTAGAAAGACTTGAGGTGCCATTGTGGATAGTTTGCTTGGTGTGCTACTGTGTTATACAACTGTATTGTTGTAAGAGAGACAGGGGACAGAGGATCTTGCTAATCAATAACACCTTCATATGTTATTTGAGCGAGACTGATGTGGATTGTGCATGACGTAGGAAAAAGAGTATGTCCACCGTTATCTCCGAGCACCACAACGAATAGACTTTACAAATGACTTCTGCTGAGATGTGTTGAGGCGATGGAGAACTGACGGAGATTAAAACACCTGCTACCTCGCTACGGTGCAAGGCTTGTTAGGAACGATTCGCCAAGGGAAGAGCTCTGCCTCGAAACACTCTCCGAAGCCCTAGGGCACCCATACCTCTAAGACTCCATCACGCGGTGCTGCTGTTCCCTTGGAAGCTCTGCTTCAACAGCTCGGGCTTCCTGTCTTCTAAATCAAGCACCATTTGCCCGAACAAGCCGTTGGCCCAGGAGAACCATTGTCGAGTCCTAACATCGGCATTAGCATCTAATAAGTCGGAAACAATGAGGGCTGAGGAAGCCTTACCAATCGCTGATGTTGTAGGTATTGATCGACTCGTGGATGAGCCCAAGTCCATCAGTCGTGCTCACGATCTCTTGTAGCTGCTGCGTGATTTCAGCATCATCGTTGCTGGTCAGGATGCGAACAATCGCCGCCATAGGCCAAGCATAACCTGGTCCATCGTGTGCTCCGCCAATGGCGCTGATATCTGGCCCTCGCATGAAGTACGGGTTCTGTGCGCTCAGGATAAGTTGGCGAGTGTTTTGGTACACCGTATCGTTGACATCAAGGTAGCCGAAGAATGGTGCCGCAAGGAGAGATGGGATGTTGGCGTCGTCCATGATGTTGTGGCCCATGTAGCCATCGACCTCGTATGCGTATATCTGCCCACCCGATCTGGTCGTAACAATTCCAGAGGCGGTGATCGCGTCTCGAAGTCCGGATGCCATGCATGACATTCGTTGCGCCAGGTCGTTCTCGCCAATGGCCGCCGCAATGAGAGAGGCAGATGCGAGGTACCTAGAGAACATCATATTGGCAGGAATAAACCCCTGGAAGATAGTCGCATCATCCGAAGGCCTGAAGAAGGACCGGATCAAGCCTGTGCCGTTGTTGAAAGGGTTGCCCAGGCCGCCGTTCTCGGTGGTCTCAGAGGCTCGATTCGTTAGGCGGGTGAAAGAGTATGACAGCACGCTGACGTTGCCATCCGCGGTGTATGTTGGGACAGTCATGTTTGTTGCGACTTGCAGAATCGTCTCGACGGCGTCGACCCACTGATACTTCTTGAAGAATGTGGCGTCTTGAGTTGCATTGTAGTAATTTGACGAGACTTCGAGGAAAGCTGCGAGAGAGTCGAGCTCGTACTTGCATTCGAAGATGGAGGTGTTGGTCTATGGGCATAGTCAGCCAAGGCTCAGCCGCATCCGATGGTGTAGCTCACGTAGTTGGGCCTGACGGTGTCGTCGCTTGCGGAAGGGTTGGGAGACGGACTGACGCCAGACTCGATCGGTGGCTGGAAGCTGTTGCAGTACGGATCGATGAGGAGGTACCGAGCTTGGAGGTTGATCACACCACGGTACAGCGAAGCCAGAGAGTTGTAAGCATCGCTAGCAGTGAGTAACGGAAGGTAGGACTGCATCTGATTTGCCGAGTCACGCAGCCACATGGCATTGATGTCGCCGGTGATGACAAATGTGAGCTCCTCGTCGGATCCGTTGGCGGTGCCCTTCCATTTGATGGCAGTGTCCAGGGTGTTCGGGTAGCTGTTGACGAACAGACGCTTCAGATCCGGGTCTGTGATCAGGTTGGAGATGTTTGTGACGGCGCTCTCGACAATCGTTGAGTTAAAGGTACGGCAAGCTGGGTCTGGTCGCATGTAGCTGAGGTTGTAAGTGCCTCCAGAGAATGGACCATGAGGCACAAGCGCATAGGACACTGTCTAGAGTCAGCACCTTCAAATCGCTGGCTTACTGGTCGGCTTACAATAGTCCGGGCAGTCAGCATATACTGCTGTTGCTACAGCTAACGCAGTGGTGATGATGTTGTTTCTCATGATCGCGCGGTATGCATGCACTGTATGGTATAGAATAGTTCAAGACAGCAGCGAAAGGCGGCAGGATGGCTTACAAGTAACCTTTTGTACTTACTTGATCATGTATGCCTAGTGACGATCGCCAGTGCCTATCCGGTTGCCGCATGCACAGAACGCGGGGCTTGGGCGATGTTCCTGGTCCGTTGCGACTTTCCTACTTCGTAGTACATGAGGGAGTACGAGCCTGCTGTGCCGTGGAGGACCTAGTGTAGTATAGTAAGCACACCCATGGTCATTGTCTCACAGCTACACTTTCTGCTAGTATTGGCAAGTTCGATTCATCTCATGGCTGGGGATGACGACAGACATAAAGCCAATTCGGCGCCAGGAACACAATGGGGTCTGCAGTCAGACGACTCACGACTCGCTATAAGGCGGGGTATGCAGGTACAGTAGTATGTTGACGTAGTACGGTCTCGGTATGCGTGCGCATCGTACTGAAGGAAGCTAGAGTGTAACACGAGAGGCAAAGCAGCATAGATTGTGGAGGTGTCGTCGGGAATGTGGACGAAAACGTGCTGAAAGGGTGGGGCCGCGCATCACTCTTCCCGAGACCTCCTTCGTCTTTGTCTGACAAAAGGTACGACAGTCTGCTGTTCACAAGACATCGGATCTGGCAGCCATGAAAGTTGACGAGCATGCGACCATGTTTTGCTACCACATCCCACAGGCGTGATCGTGAGACTGAGACAACGACTGGCGTTTCGATGGAGTGAAAGGGGAGGTTGCGACCACTGACCCCAACTCGTTCAATAAACGATCGTCTGACGCATGGTCCTGAGTCATCCAGATGGATGAATTGGTGAAGGAGAGGACTGCTCTTCTGGCTTCCTCGGACCATGCAAGATGAATTTTGTCTTGCTATCCTTCCTTCCTTGCGCCGGAGCGGGTCTCCACGTCGGCCCTGCTCACAAGTCAGCATGATCTGAACGCGTCTCAAACGAGATATATGGCGCACCTGGAAACTCCTCCGACCATATTTCGTTACACAATCTGACTGCAAATCTCTCAAAGATGGCCATTCTCAGCATATACTGGAGTGGGATGTCATTCTCGGTACATGTCGTCTCGTCGGAAACGAATTTCTCCCAGGACGTCTCCTTCGAAAAAGCGACCTTGGCTCGGTTGACAAAGACTCTGCCCATGCTGTAATGCATGTCCTGTTCGGAGCTGTAAAATTCAGGATCTATCACCAGCTCCGCCCACTCATCTACACCGTCTTGGATGACATCCTTGACTTTCTCTTCATCTTCTCGCTGCTTCCACTCCCGGTAATGGATATAGAGTTTCGTGAAGTCGCGTGGTCGCGGAAATGGCCAGGGATAGATCATGAAGGTCTGCGGCGAGAACGAAGGTATGTCGAATCCTGGAGCGATTGGTGGTGGTGGCGGTGGCGGTGGCATCAAAGCTCGATCGGCGGCACTATCCTCTGTCTCCAACACTGGACCCGTAGTCCGATGGCTGGTCAGACGTCCATATCGTGTTCTTACAGCAGCCATCTTGGCTGTTTGCTGGCTCTCGGACTCACAAAGCAGACGTTGAGACCTGCTCCATAATACTCTGACTGGTGATATGTGCTTATTGCTGATCTGCTGGATATCGAACTTGCGAATGCTTGGTACTGTCTGATTTGGCAGAAGAACCATGGATAAAGATGGCTGTGATGCTGTCAATGGTATGGTGAATGGGTTTGCTACGGCGAGCATGCTTGACCGATGGAGAGCCATATCCCCGGTGATACAGCCAGCAACGGTTAAGTGCAGCATTGAGTACACGCAGATGGGTGCTCGATGGCAAGAGCATTCTTTGTGACTGGTATTGACTACCTTCTACCTGACAGAAGCTTTATAACCACCGCTCCTGGTCAGCATGCTGGTGACGCGGTTCTCGTTTTGCACTTGCTCACGACACATGGCTTCGAAGCTGCGCTTGCTGTCTTGAATTAGATTTAATAATTTCCACTGTCTGCGCAGGATACCTCGCCGTTCATTGCAAGTCATGAAGGATGTGTCGACTCCCAATTAAAGACGGACTCATTGTCAACTCTCAGGCCTATGTGGTCTGAAAATATCTGAAAACACCTCTACGTGAGCGTGGATAAGGCTTTATCGCCAGCTCTGTATTGTTATTATTTAGACAGATTTCCTCATCGTCAGCGCTCTTTCCATCGTCGTGGACCGTACGGGAACAGGGCTCCTAGAGACGGCGTAGCATTTAACGATTTCGACTTGATGAAATGGTACGTCATTGGATCGGATCGATCTCCGATCCAGATCTCAAATCTCGGTAACCAGATCTACGCGTAAAGCGCGACTATCGCGCGTCAAATGTAGTCGTACTCTTGTGCTTCCATCTTGTCTTTGCTGTCTAACACATGCTAGGCAGTGGTTTGGCGTGATCGAACGTCAGACGATACTGACTTCTTGGATGTGGTCGGGATATATCGTGCACTGAATTTGGCCTGCTTTGGAACTCTTGAATTGCAGCGTAGCCGACGAGCAGTGGCAAACCTACGACTTTCAATGGATATGTCGTCTGAAGCCGGAGACATGGCGAAGAGCACTCCACCGACATCGCCAGAGGCTCGCGACGATGGTCCAACAGATATCATGCAGAAAGAAGAGGCACGAATGGCAGAAGCAAGACGCAAGGAGAGCGAGAAGCGTGAGCGCAAGCTGGCGGCCGAGCGCGAGAAGGAGATCAAGGGTGGCGCGGGAGCAGTCGACTCGAAGTTCAAGGCGCTGGAGTACCTGCTCAGTCAGAGTAAGCTGTACTCCACGATCATGCTACAGCAGATGACGCAGCAGGAAGAGGCACAAACGGCCAAAGACGACCGAAGTAAGAAGCGTGCTGCGAAGCGAGAAGCCAAAGCCGAGGAGGCAGCGCAAGAGAGTCAGAAGAGGACGACCAGAGGTGGAATCACGCGGGAGGAGACCGGCGACAGCGAACAAGCATCGCCTCAGAAGAAGCTTCCAACCCGTGGTAGAACAGCTAAAGGTAGCAAGAATGGCAAGATATCTGATTATGTCAACAAGGAGGATGTGCAAGCCAAAGCTGGGCAGCAATCGATCTCAGAGGCACTCGCGGACGAAAACAAAGATGCTGATGTCCAGCCTGGAGACATTGGTATGCAAGATCTGCGATCTGCCAAGCAGCCGGATATGGTCACTGGTGGATTGATGCGGACATATCAGCTCGAGGGTCTTGAATGGCTGATATCTCTGTACGAGAACGGTTTGAACGGTATCCTTGCGGATGAGATGGGTTTAGGAAAGACGATCCAGACGATCTCCTTTATTGCCTTCTTGCGTGAGAAGGGGATAAATGGCCCTTTCTTGATTGCTGCACCACTGAGCACGACAAGTAATTGGGTCGCGGAGTTCACGAAATGGACGCCGGACATCCCGGTTGTGCTGTATCATGGCAGTAAGCAGGAACGCGAAGAGATCCGGAACAAAAGGCTGCGCAACCCCAGTAGTCCAGCATTCCCGGTCATCTGCACCAGCTACGAGATATGTATGAACGACCGCAAATTCCTGCAGCATTATGGCTGGAAGTTCATTATTATCGACGAAGGTCACCGCATCAAGAATCTGGACTGTAAGCTCATTCGCGATCTGCAGTCGTATCAATCGGCGAATCGACTTCTCATTACTGGCACACCGTTGCAGAATAACCTCACCGAGTTGTGGTCGCTATTGCATTTCTTGATGCCCAATATCTTTGATAAGCTGGAGTCCTTCGAATCATGGTTCGACTTCAGCTCGTTGAAGGAGAAGAATGGATACGAGCAGATCTTGTCAGAGGACCGTCAGAAGACTCTTGTTACCAGTCTACATGCTATTCTGAAGCCCTTTCTGCTGCGTAGAGTTAAGGCTGATGTCGAGACTTCATTACCAAAGAAGCGCGAATATGTGCTGTACGCACCGCTAACGCATACGCAACGAGAGCTATACACTGCTATCCTCGAGGGCAACAGTCGTAGCTTCCTGGAGGACAAGATGGTCGAAAGCATTAGTGGAAGGTCAACCCCAGCAAGTGTTCGCAGTCGAAGTCTCAAGCGCAAGGCTCTTGACGATGTGTCCACGCCAAACAAGAGCGCAAAGTCGAGCCGGGCGTCAACTCCTGCCATGAGCAATGGTGCCAGTGCAAAAACGAGGAAAGCTAAAAAGAGCCAGAACTATGAAGAGTTGTCGGACACGAAATACTTCCAGCAGCTCGAAGACGGCTCATCATCGAACCTTGAAGACGATGAGGAGCAGGACGAAGTAGAGACGGAACGATCCAAGACACTTGCACTAGCCAAGCGCGAGATCTCGCAGAAGAAGTTACAGAATCCCATCATGCAGCTACGACAATGTTGCAACTCGCCACACAACTTCTACTATCCCTTCGATCTAAACGACAACACACCTGTAGACGAGAGCCTGATCACCGAGTCCGGCAAGATGCTGCTACTTGATCGGCTGCTACCAGAATTGATCAGCCGAGGACACAAGACGCTTATCTTCTCCCAATTCAAGACACAACTCGACCTGCTGGAGACGTACTGCAGCGAATTGCGAGGCTAGCCAGTATGTCGCATAGACGGTTCAATAGCACAATCAGAGCGACAAGAGCAGATCCTGTCTTTTAACGAGGCCGATAGTGAGACCAACATCTTTCTGCTTTCCACCCGTGCGGGAGGTCAAGGCATCAACCTGGCATCGGCAGATACAGTCCTCCTCTTCGACAGCGATTGGAATCCGCAACAGGACTTACAGGCACAAGACCGAGCTCATCGTATCGGTCAGACGAGACCCGTGATCGTCTACCGCTTCGCAACCAAAGGCACAGTAGAGCAAATGCTGCTCGAGAAAGCAGACAGTAAGCGGAGACTGGAAAAGCTTGTTATACAAAAAGGTCGTTTCCGCAAGGGCGCGGAAGTGGCTGGGGCGGACTTCACTGAGCTGCAGAAGCTGTTGGGGAAGGATGATGGGGAGAGGATTGATTTTGCGGATGGGCAGGTGTTGCTGAGTGATCGGGAGTTGGCTATCTTGACGGATAGGAGTGAGGAGGCTTTTACGAGGGCGAAGAAGGGAGAGGACGCTGTTGGGGAGGCGTTCAAGGCTGTGGAGACTAAGAAGGATGGGGTTGGGTTGCTTGAGAGTTTACAGAAGTAGTCTTGTCGTCCATCGTACGACTTTTTCCGCTGCCGTCAGTATTGCCAACGCCACCCTCTTCCGATTGCTTCAGATCAGTGCTGCGCTCATACACCTGTAGCACCGGCAACTTGAGGGCTGGCGGGCGATCCATTGGCTAGGCAGTCCGTGACCTCTCGCTCTTGCCAAACCTTCAGCTTGGTCACCGTTCCTGGGCAGCCGCGAGCTGGGCAGACCCAAATGCCTGTGCCTTCGCCAAACTGGAGGCGAGGACACTTGCTGCACTTGCCGACGTACATGGCTTTCATCTCTTTCCCCTCCCCATCGAGCACGAGCCTGTCTACGACCGACATGCTCAGGTCAGTATCGCCGCGCATGAGGCTGCGGAACGCTTCGTGCTTCAACAAGGCACGCAAGCGGATGTCTCTGACAGCATCCACGACTGCAACAACGTTTGCCGGGTAAACGACACCCGAGAAGTACACCTGTTCGATGAACGCGGTAAGCTGCGCCTCAGCAAGGACTTCGAGCTTGACACGTAAGCGGGACAGAGCTTCGGCGCTGAGGCATGTGAGAAGGTACTTGTCGGCGACCACGCACACATCCAGATGGAATTCGGCAGTCGGCTCCGCCTTCAAAGGCTTCTGGCGGGTTTGGTAGTCAAAGGTGTACAGCCACCGGAGCATCGCTTCGACTGCATCCTCGTTCACGTCGTCCTTGAGCTCAATAACAGACTGCTGCGCTTCTGCGAAGGTCTTGTTGGGCCCACACATCTCTGCAAAGTATTTCGACTTGCTGCACAGGATCATGCGATGGCATCTCCGCTCCCGTGCGCCAAACTTGATTGTAACATCTGAGAACGCCTCCTGGTCGAAGAAGCTGCTTGTAGTCAGTGGCGAGCTCGAATGAAGACGATGTGGCATGCTCACCTCTTCTCGTCGAATCGTTGTGCCATCCTATATGCAGGTGTAATTGCCCAAAGTATGGTGATCCGGACAGCTCTGCATGAGGCTTGCTCTTACAAACAGAAGGAGAAGGTGAATGACGAAGCCGCTTGCTTCAATGAAGTGACGTCTAGCACAAAGAAGGCTCTACCAGGACTCGACCAGAACTTTTCAAGGCACCTCCATCAGCCCTGGATACTGCGCTCAAGTGCTGCCCTTCGCTAGGATAAATCCTCTTTAGCTTTTGCAATTAAGGATCTATCGTAAAAGCATCGCAACGCACGAAACTGTAGTCCGTTGGTGCCTTTGCCTTCATCCGCTTCCCCAAGAGTATACGTGAAAGACTGCGGTACATCGACTTTGCCCTTGCCAGTATGCAGGCTTGTGATCGTCTGCATATGGATGTCATGAGTACCCTTCTGATCGTCCGTAACGATGATCAAGCTCAGCAGATCCCTCTCGACCTTAGGGAACATGCCATACAGTTCACGACCAAAGAACTGCCAGAGTCCTCGACTGCCCTGGCTCATGTCGATAATGCTGTTGTCTGGCATTGTGACTCTGCAGTCATCGGCATAGTACCTATCCGGCTGTGTTGTATCGAATCTTTTGCCAAAGTCTTGGACGTACTTGGAGTAGAACTTCATGGCAGGGTGGTCAGTCGCCCACGCTTCTGCTGATGTTGGCGCCGAGAAGTACAGCGTAGAGATGACCATGATGGCGGCCCTAAACGATGCTGATATTCGAGCGACGACGGTATCGTCACCAGAAACGGAGCGATGGAGCTGACGAAATCGTTCCAGCTGGATCTTTTATCTGACTCTTACGGTACCAATTCAGTCCCTCTGTCAGCCGAAAAGACTCCTCTTCTCACTCTTTTACCATCTCAGACACCGTGTAGGTTCAATGGGGGTTACTATGAAGAGTGTCCCTGTCTGCTCTGCGTTCAACTGTTCTCGAAGGCACAGAAAGGTAGGACTTTCTCGATTGCGGTCCCTAAGGCTGACGTGGGCCAACCAGTCCGCCAGCTTCAACTTCAAAGCCTGAAAATTTAGGTGCTCACACGAGCCACTTTATCAAACCATGGACACGGTACAACGAGCACGGCAAGAGCAACGACATCCACGCTCAACAGGAGACCGGAAACCGCTGAAAGTAGGTACATCAACGAGAGAAGACAGGACGCTGCCTCTTCACTACCTGCGAGACTAGAATGAGTAGGGCACTTCTAGGGCAGCACAAAACGAGTTTAGTGCACAGCTGACGATGGATTGTAGGTCACGTGCATCAGCCGTGCTGACCCACCAAGCGGTCAACAATATCCTCCGGCAGTATGTGCTCAGGTAACCGCTGGTATAAGAAGGACACGGCCCAATGTAGTGATTTGGCATCTTTGATCACTACGCATTTGCACCATCCTCACCATCCACTACAATGACGAAACAACTGGTTTGGCTGGTTACTGGCTGTAGCTCAGGCTTCGGTGTCGACTTCATCAAGGCCGTTCTTGAACGGGGAGACAAAGCAATTGCAACGGCCCGCAATTTCGACAGCTTGAAGCCGCTAATCGAGGCCGGTGCTGCCTCCCTACAGCTGGACGTCTCTGCATCAGCAACAGAGATCCGTGGCAAGATCGACGAGGCGGTGGCGATATATGGTCGCATCGATGTACTGGTTGAGAACGCCGGCTACGCACAGTATGGTCCTGTTGAAGAGATACCGTGAGTCGAAGTCGCTTTCTGACTGCCTGTCTGAATCCCGCTGAACAATGACTCTTTCCGCAGTGAAGCTCTCGTTCTCAAGCAATTTCAGACCAATGTCCTTGGGAACATCCATCTCATCCAGGCTATCATGCCGCACTGGAGATCCCAGCAGTCTGGATTCTTGGTCGTGAACTCAAGCGAGGATAGTGCATGGCATACATTTCCCGGCTTCAGCGCATATTCTGCCTCCAAAGCAGCGCTAGACCGCTTCATCGTACTCTTCAAGGCCGAGACTGCCAATCTTGGCTATATCAAGACCTTGACGATACACCCCGGACCATTCAGGACTGATGTTGCCAACGCAAGCAAACATCAATTCAAGAATCCAGATCGTGCTCGACCCGACAAGCCGACTAACTACCAGTGGCTAAACGACTTCTTCGTTGGACTGATACCAGACTTTGACAGGAAGCAGATAGGTGATCCTACTAAGCTGGCCAAGGTAGTTGTGGACATGGTCAGAGATGAGGGTTCGGCCAAGGGCAAGACCCTACCCAGTAACATGCCATTCGGAGTAGAGGCTGTGAAGTTGGCTCGAGAGCACGCGCAAAACTTGTTGCGGGTTTGTGATGAGTGGGAAGGCGTGGTTGGTGAAGCAGTAGACTTCAAGGGAGGGCAGGAGTCTAAGAAATGATTGATGTTGCCCTCCATGGCCGCGCTGCCCATTAGATATAGCATCATCACTATAGCGTCCTTATGCAAGCAGCGGCAGTACTACTGTACCTGACATTCAGATGTGCTGGCTGCATTGTCTGCCTGTTCCAGACTGCGTGTCCTGTGTATCCTGAGTCCATGAGGCAGGCAGTACGACCAAGTCGACTTAGTTCCTGGAGACGCAGACATCAGAGGAGACGTGAGGATACAGCAAGTACGATGCCTCTCAGATCACGCTGACCATCCGCCGCCCGCCCGACGAGCTCTTGCTTCCCAATCATGATTTGAGAAATCGTGCAGGACTGAAAGTGTAGGTGCCATACGCCAAGTCTCACGGTCAGCCAGTTGAGCGGGGTAAAGGCTAGGTCGCGCGTCCATGAAAGGGCCGGACGTCAACATTTCGGCGTGGTCTCGTATGCTTCTTGTATACTACTGTTAGAGCGACATCACCAAGAGCAAGTCCATATCGTCCTATTTCCGGTTCAAAACATTGGTGGAAACTCCGTATCCCGCATCCGTCTGCGTGTGAAAGCGGTCAGCATTGTACCCAGTAACGGCTATAAAGTCGTTGTCACTTCAATTCCCGGGCAGGATTGCTCCACTAGCCAGTCGACTACTGAGTCGCCAACCTGGCCGCCAATGCAGGTTGCACAGGACTCCCCAGGCCTCATCGGAGGTGACGCGAGTAACGGTACTTTGTCGGACACCCACGGGATCGGACTGCTGCCCACTGGCGGCACGATTGGTGACCTCGATGGCATGTCCTTTGGGCCCCCACCCATCACGACGAACGGTTTGAAACTCGAAGGCAGTGGAGGACACCAGAAACCTGCCAAGCCCAAGCAAAAACGAAACAAGCCCACATTGTCATGTCTGGAGTGTGTCGAGCGCAAGACGAAATGCGACCGTGGACGACCCTGCCTCGCTTGTGTGAAACGACAATCGGAATGCCAATATACGGTGGTGGCAAACCTCATAGCAACCGCAGACCGTAAAGGCAGTACGAGTAACAAAGCCAGATGTGTCGCGAAGCCGAATAAAGTACGCAAGAACAGCACTTCGTCTTCGGCGACCATAACCTCACCAACCACCGATAATGGCTGGGCTACGATCGAGAACCGAGCACACCGGAAATCCATGTCATCGAATGGATCATCACCATATCTGCTATCAAATGTTCCATATGCTAGGTCTTCGCCTTCGAATGTCTTTGGCGTTGGATCACAGCACCCCTTCTCTAATTACTGGACATGTCAGGGTGGTCTGCCAGAGGTGATTAGTGTTATGCCTTCGAAGGATCAGGCGGATATTTTGATTGAGAAGTACTTTGAGTCTGTCGACCCAGTATATCCCTTCATGCACAGACGGACCTTCTATGCCGACTATGAACGATTCTGGGCTCTGGCACCGGAGGAGAGGAACAATACCGACGCATCATTCATGGCACTGCAATATGCAATGTATGCCCTTGGCACGCAGTTCATGCAGTTTCCATCATACGAGGAGCGGTCACAAACGGCAGAGTTCTACTGTTCGGCCGCCAATCAAGCATTACGAGTCTATTCCTACCTCAATCGAACATCAATGCGTGCTATCCAGGCTATGCTGCTTATGGCATACTTCCTGATGAACGACAATCACGCTTCCGATGCATATGCTTGGGCTGGCATACATCTCCGGCAAGCCTATGCCATGCGACTCCATCGAGATCCCGATGTCGTTGTCCCCGACGCATCTGTGCTCGAGAAACAGCAACGACGCAAGCTCTGGCAAGCCGTCTTCCACCACGATACTTTCCTCACGGTCCTGCTCAAGCTCCCACCCACCGCCACCCATAGCGATGTACCTGTGGAATCCCTCGCCGATGAACACGAACTCAGCATGGACGGCCTAGACACATGCCTGGGCACGCACTCGCGCGTCGAAAACCTCATGAGCATCAGCGTCATCGCACCCCAAGCCTGCGAGCCCCTCGCCCCACCACTACCCCACCACATCGTCGGCCCCGACACGATGAAAAGCGACGTAGCCTTCATGCGAAGCATGTGGCACCTCGGCAACCTCGTCCAAGAAAACTTCTCCTCCCCCTCCTCCCTCTCCCTCCCACTTGCCAACAGCCCGCGGCACAAAGACAACCTCATCGCGACCTTCAAACGCCTCTACAAGTCCTTCCCCTCGCACCTCACGAACCTGGACTACAACGCGCTGCAACAACAGAAATCCCTGCACCCACGCGCAGCCCGGCAGAACCTCTTCCTCAGCTCGAACTACTTCCACTGCATGATGCTGCTCCAATCCACCGACAACGAAGCCGGGGGCGTCGAACCGAACATCAAAGGCGCGCTCGAAGCCGCCCACGAAGCCATCTGGTCCTTCTTCAAACTCTGGGGTCTCTTCGAAAGCGAAGCAGGTGTCTGGTGGGTCTTCCAGCATCGGGCCTTCGAGGAGGCGCTATTAATAGCACATTTGTTATCACAACCTTTACCCGTGGATGGCAACGGCGAGGTCCTGTATGATCCGGTCTATGACCGGGCGAAGGAGGATGTGGCGCGGATGTTGGAGATAATGGATCGGAATTTCCGGTATGGGGGCAGTTTGGAGATGCATCGGACGCGGAAGGAGGTGCTGCAGCAGGCGTTTGAGGCGATTGTCATATAAATTTGATGGAGGTCCAGCTCTTCTGTAGATGCTGTATATTGGTACAAAGTGCTCATGTTATCTATAAATCTCAGCTATCTACAGTTGCCCCCATCTTGTTACGTGCATATCAATCTCGCTCACCCTGCCGCGATGCAAATAATGTCACTCCACTCACGGAGGCGTGGTTCGGTCCAAGGGTTATGACCGTAATGGCAGGCGGGCTAGTTAGTGTTGGATACTTGCAACACCGGACACAGTGGCAAGTAGCCAAACAATCATCCATCTCAAACGATGGAGAGGTTAAGCCATACGAGCCCCGAGACTCTTGCTAAGCAACAGATCTGCTGGTCTTCACCAATTTGATATCATAGAATGGAGAGGTCGGGGGCCAGCATCTCGATCACCGGCATCTGGCTTTGCCATCATGGAGTGGAATTCCATGATATCCTTCCAGGCGTACAATGAATGCTTCGCCTGCTAACTTACCTCATCAATCAGATACTACAGGGTCATGTTGAAGTCACGTGAGGCTGTGTGATCGTTGCTTCCCTGGCTTTCACAATCGCACATGATGCCGTGTTTCACGCGCTATGCAGAGTGGCGGAGAGATAGAGTAAAGTGGGGAATAATGTCTTGCTTGTTGTCAAGCAGGAGGAGAAGATGTGAGAAGATGTGAGATGGAAGTTCCGGGATCCGGATGACCCTTGGGGGCACGTGCAGTGTGCCGTCCGTGCCGCTCGATCGCCAACGACGCTACGACCACGAGGCATGGCGACAACTCTATTGTTTTGGGAGGATTTGTCCAACTACAGTATCACACATTGCCGAGATATCAGGATTGTAGTGCATACTGCATACTGGCTTGCACGAGATACTACCATCACACACCACAACACGGCTGGACCGGACTTGGGTTCTTGCGTCGTTTGCTGGTGACGTAGTCCGTTGCCCAGAGGCACCACCGTTGCAACCGCGAGCACTGTATCAGGCGGCCTCACAACAGACATCGAGAGGCGACAACACCAATATCGCTGCAGCATACTGGAGACGACATATACCACTGATGGCACAAGCCGCGCTCGATCACGGCTCACAACCCCACCTCACGAGCCTCCCCACCCTCCGCACAATCTACACCGCTGCACGACCGACGCCGATAGGGAGTGAAGATGAGGTTCCTACAGCACAAGGCATCGAATGGCAGGTCGGTGATCAATGGCGGAACCATGTCGAGCAGCGACCATGGTGGAAGGCGGCCGGGGCAAATCGGACGCCGGAGCTGGGCTCGACTGGAAAGGGCATCCTGATAGGAATGCTGTCCGCTTTTGGTTCGGCGGCGCTGGTGGGATTAATCGTCGCCATTGTCTACTTCTTCCGATCGGACCGAGGACGGATACTATTAGATCGGATTAGCCGGCCTGGAGAGTTTGACGATGAACAGCAGTTCTTGCGGGAAGAGGAGGAGGCGCTGGCCGAGATGGATGATTTGCAGCGGGCGGAATATCACCGAGCGAAGGGTATGCCATCCGCCATCCTAGCATGAACCAGCCATGCCATTAACATACTAACAATGTTTTACAGCATTCGTCCAAGTCAACCCCCCCGAATCCGCCCAAACCGACATCTCCCTCTCCCAATTCCTCGCCATCCAAGAAAAAGGCGTCTCGGCCTGGGAATTCGAGCCCGAACTGGAAATAGCAAACTGCTTCGTGGAAGCGCGCACGGAAATCGAATTCTTCGACTCCGAATGCTCCGTCCAATCCAACCTGCCCATGCCCAAACAAAACGAAGTCTACTACTGGGAAGCGAAACTCTACGACAAGCCGGACACGACCCTCATCAATATCGGCCTGACCACGAAACCCTACCCACTCTTCCGCATGCCGGGCTTACATAAAACCAGCATCGCCTATTCATCTACGGGTGTGAGACGTTACAACCAACCCTTCACGCCCACCCCAACCTACGGCCCCCCTTTCGTCCAAGGCGACGTAATCGGAATCGGCTACCGTCCTCGCACGGGAACCGTCTTCTCCACCCGCAACGGCAAAAAACTCGACGATATCGCGCACGGTCTCAAGACGCAAAATTTCTTCCCTACCGTCGGCGCCAATGGGCCTTGTCGCGTGCACGTCAATTTCGGCCAGATGGGTTTTGTCTTCATCGAGGCGAATGTGAAGAAGTGGGGACTGGCGCCTATGACGGGGAGCTTGGCCCCGCCGCCGCCGTATGGGAGTGAGGCCGGGTCGATTTTGTTGGAGGGCGGGAGGGAGGGGGTGAGGGAGGGTATGGGATTTTTCGGTGGTGGTGCGCAGGGGGGCCATGGGCATGGGAGGACGAATTCGGCGCAGGTGAGGTTGCAGGGCAGGCCGACGAGGAGTCCCGGCCCCGTGAGGAGTCCGACGGATATTTCGCTTGCGCAGCTGAATCTGATGGATTCGCGATTTGAGGAGGTGGAGGAGGAGGAGGAGGAGGAGGGGGATGGGGCGGGGGAGGGGGGGAGTGGTGGGGTGGTGCCTAATTCGGATGAGACGCCGCCTCCGTCTCACGATCAGGATCAGCAGCAGGGTCAAAGCCAAGGCCAACTTATCGACGCGGGATTACCGTTCGAACCGCACGATCATCCACCGCCTGAGTACGAGTCACCTGAGGGCTCCATCAACCACGATCACGCGCATCGGGGGGGCAATGGTGATGATGATGATGATGATGATGAGGAGCAAGGAGATGCGGACGACGATGACACGCCGAGGGCTTCCGAGCAAGAAGATCAAGGTCGAGGGGATCGACAGCCCTTGATCCCGCCACGGCGAGGAGGAGGAGGAGGAGGAGGAGGGAGTAGGGGTCCGGATAGTCCCCCTATTCCTACCTATGAGGCTGCTACTTCTGCTACTTCTGCTGCCGAAGCTGCGAGGGGCAGGAGGGTGGCGAGGCAGGACTGAGACTATGCCGAGACTGAACAAGTGTTGGAGCGGTGGGGTGGTGGGGGTGGTGGGGATGGTTCGTGGCAGATTCTGGGATTTTTTTAGCGTTTGGCGTTCTGGCATGCTGATATGGAAAAATTTTCGCTCACAGTATTCCGGGCTGAATGGATGAGTGGTCCGGGGCGCATAGGCAAAGGGCAATGTTAACCTGCGAAAAGGGCGGACGATGGTCGCAGGAACGAGATGGAATTCGGACTTTTTGCCTGTTGACCGTGTTTTCCTAGGAGAGAGAGAGAGAGAGAGAGAAGGGGGGAAGCGGCTTGAGCGCCTGTGGGAACGTTAAGCCGGGTTCGGTCATATCACGATGTACATGCAAGAAAGGCAAAAGAGGAGTCTTCACTACCCCCAGCTTCGCAAGCGTCTCATGGCCCGCCCTTGTGGTAATGCGAAAGAATGGAAGTGACTCCCTCTCGGCTCGTATCTGTGTGACACTTTGTCCTGCTTGCGAAGTTGCTGATGCTGGATACACTAGTACCGTGCTGTTCTGTAGTGAGTGCCCTTCATCCTTCGTTGCCATCTAAGTGGGAGAAAAGATAGGGACATTTCAATCATCCCCCGGCCATCTGCTCCTGCCTCTCTCTCTCCGCTTCTCCTTCCTCTTTACCTCATCTGCTTCTTCTTCTTCTACTTCATCTGACTCCCTCGTCTGGCACCTCAACTGTACCGTCTGCAGAGACGCTGTACGCCGAGCTCGCCTCCACGAGCGTGGTACCCGACTCAGCGTCCCCAGTATCAGAATCAGAATCAGAATCAGAATCAGAATCAGAATCAGAATCAGAATCAGAATCAGAATCAGAATCAGAATCAGACTCAGAATCATCTTCAACCGCCGTGTCCGTCTCGGAACTGTCCCTCGAAGAAGAAGCCCTCCTAGCCTCTCCCCGTCCCCGACACGCTCCCCTGAGCAGATGCACGTCCACCGCTACCTCCTCCACCTCCACCTCCTCCTCCACTGGCCCCTGCACTCCCACCACCACCACCACCACCACCACCCCTCCCCACCCCACCTTCCCTCCCCCTCCTTTCCTTCTTAAAACACCCAAAAGTCCCCTTACTCCCCTCCCTCAACCCCTTCAACACCGCCCTCATCCCCCCCAATTCCCCCTGCAACTCCCCCCTCCCCCTCTCATCCGTCCGTTCATCCAGGGCCAAATAGACTTGACTCTGCACCTCGGCCGCCTTCTCCGACGTAAACAGTTGTAAGGTCTGGGCCCAGAATTCCACGTCCAATGTGGCTTGCATGAGCATGGGAAGGGAGTAGTGTTGGTAAGCGGATTGGAAGGTGGAGAGGAAGATCGAGGAGGATTTCTCCAGCAGATACGTCATTATTTGGGCGAGTAAAGGGTGGGTGGGGACGGAGGTGGTGGTGGTGATTTCGGTGTGCAGGAGGACGAGGTGCAGGAGGAGGGTGTAGATGTACGGGCTTGCGTTTTGCGGAGGTGTGGTGGTGGTGGTTGGCTTTGCGGGCGCCCAGGAGGGGCTATTGATGCCGTCGTGGATTTGGATGGACATGAAGTCGATGGTGGGTCGGACGTAGGATTGGAAGAGGCGGGCGTCGATTTGGCCGAGGGCGTCGCTGGGGGAAGGATATTTGTTTAGTGGGATACTCATCTCTCTCAAGACGAATGGACGCTTGGAAGTAGAGGGCAAGGTCAGGACTTACCGGATCGTCTTCGTGTCGTCTGTTAGTGTGACGGTGAAGTTCGTCTCAAACGCCGAGATCAAATGCGGGATGACTTCTGCCCGCAAATGCGATAGGTTCGACAACGTCATGAGGATGCGGATATTCTGTCGCGAAGTTAGCACATAGATTCTCATCCGCCGTAGCCTCACAAATAGTACTTTGTTCCCAGCATCCAAAACCCCACCCCCACTCTCACCCCCCACCTCTCCTCCCCCCTCCCCGTCAACAACAACCCCGTCCCCTTCCACCCCACCAATCCCCTTCCCATCCCTCTCAGCCCCCTCAACCATCCCACTCAGCATCTTCCACAAACTCGTCACCACCGTCCCCCTCACAACCTGCACCAACTTCTGTGGCGGCGGCACCACCACCTCCTTAGTCCCCCTCGTCCCCCTCACCGCCACAACCTCACTCACATACGCGATTTTCTGAAACCCGATCAACACCCTCTCCTCCCACGCGCGAAAAGCCTCGGGCATAGTCGTCAGATCCCTGCGATCCGGGGCGCGGTGCCAGAGTTCGAGGTACTTTGTTCGATCGGCGTCGGTGGCGAGGGCGGAGCAGAGGGCGGCGATGCTGCGTTCGCGGACGGCCGAGACGAGAGTTTTGAGTCCCTCGGTATTCTTAGATTGCTTCACAACTTCCAGTCCCGCCAGCTCCGCCGCCGCTGTGCCGACGACGGTGAGGAGGAGACTGAGATAGTGGGCTCCGGAGAGGGAGTTGGCGTACGGAGGCCAGAAGGCGAATTTCTCCCATGCTTCGCCTTTCATGGGACTCGGAGGCGGGACGGCCTGGGCGTCGAAGGTGAAGGTCCTCCTTACCGCTCCCGAGCCAGCGGGTGTTTTGCTCCCTGCGGAGTCGGGCGTGATGGGTGTAGGTGGGATGGGACTATACAGTTCACTCAGATCCTCCACCGGGGTATCGGCAAACAACCCCATGATCGCCTCACGCAATTGAGTCACGAGTGCTATGGCGCTTTCGCGCAAATTAGCTACATCATCTGGTTCGAGCTCGAGATGTTCTATCCCCGCTGAGAGGACTGCACCGGGGAAAACATTCTGGGCTTTACCATCGATGAACGATTGGGCAGTTGACCAGAAGTCCAGGATCTCAGCCAACAGCCCACTCTGCGGGCTCAACAGGGAGCGGAAGGAAGCTAAGACTTTCTCCCAGAATGCCAGGGTAGCGGGCGTATCCATCTCCTTCACACTATCCCTAGCTGTAAGAATGGAGCCAGTATTGGAGGCCGAGCGAAGATACTGCGCTAGTTGTCTACCATCCTGCTTATCATTCGCCGCCAATCGTCGACGCTGGATCTCAATCTCAATCCTTGCGCGCTCAAAGGACCGAGCGATTTTGTCCTTCAGATAAAGCGAACGACTGTTGAGCCATTGCCAGATAGGATTCTCATCCACGCCAAGCTGGAGTAAGACGCCGATGAGTTCCATGTGCTCTTCCTTATCCGTCTCGTCGGCCACAGCAGCGGGTTTGCGGCCATGATTACTTTTCAGTCGCCGCCAGACATCGCGTTTGAAGGTCTCGACTTGCGTGGAGACGTCGTGGTATGCTTTGGCTTGGATGAGGATCTGCTGGGCATCCTGCTCGCCGATCGGGACACCGGTCCTCTGCGCCAGATCCGCCACCTGCCTTGCTTGATCCGCACCTCGATTCGCTTTCCTCCATCCATCGATCACAGTATCGTAGTCGTTTTTCTTGACTGCCTCATGAACCACACTACCCAGCTTGAACGTCTCCTGGTACTGTTCCAGAGCACCCAGGACAGATTTCAACGTCTCCTCCTTCTCCCGTCCACCTATCGCCGGTCCCCATACTTCTTCCGCCTTGATCGCGACTTCTTGTAACGGTACTTTGATGCCCAGGACTCCATACTCAGATTCTCGTGTAAGAGCATTCTTCTTCGCCGTCACAACAGCAGGTATGGCTCCAAGCGTGGGAGAGAAAGGTCCACTGGTATTACGAAAGTGCGTCTGACTCCTACTCGACAATCTCGAATGCCCTGCCCGCCGTCCTCCAGGTGAACTCAGATTGGGTGTCGCCGGCGCTTCGGCATCGGCACCTTGGGTACGCATCTCGGTATAGACATTATCTATCGTCGACTTGGCCTTGACAAACTTTTCGAAATTCGACTCGACTAGGACTTTCAGCGAAGCGGATTTCTGCTCGATGCTCCGGCTGAGGTAGTCCAGACCGCGTAGCAGATCTTCTGTACTGGCTTCCTGATGGACTTGCGAGAGGAAGAGAGCGGGAGAGAAGGAGGTCGAGCTGAGCATGAATCTGTTGCGGAGTCTCAGGTCGTCTTCCACGGGTACGCCTCTCTTCCTCAATTCGGCGGCGACACTCGGGGCCATGCCTAGTGGATCTGGCTCGTCTTTCTGCACGATACTGTCGGGGCCGATGCTGCCTGTGGAGCGGATGGAAGCATGTCGGTCGATGTTGCGGTATTTCGAGCCTGCCTGTACTGGTCCGCCATTCAGCTGCTGTTGACCGTCTTCGTCCTCATCATCGGAGCTTTCGTCCTTGTGAGGCCAGGTGTCCGGGTAGAGGGTGGTGAGCTTGTATTTGTTGAGCAGTCTCGACTCGGTCTCTGCAGAGAGGGACATGCTGGGTAGGTGATGGATCTATGGTCGCATACAGTGTCACTAGTGATGGGCATCCGTGTGTTGGCACCTTATACTCCTACACCGTTGAGCTTGATAGAGTAGTACACATAATGATAATAATAATAATAATAATGATGCCGCGAATCTGCCACGCGACAGGTACTAGCCTCATGCACAATCCCACACATGGTTAGACTCATATGTTCGGCGTTTTTGTGGGCGGCGAAGCTCTACTGTAGCTAGCTCCACTCTCCAATCGCAAAAGGCCTGGCTTTTGTTTTTCCACGCCGACGACAACACCGTTACCACCGCCCCCTCCTTACGCCTCGACAACTCCTTACGATCCTCAGCATGTTCGCCAACAGATGTCTCGCAGCTACTGCGTGGCAGCAAGTCACGCGACAAGCTCCTCGCCAACTTTTCAAACCTGCTTTCACTCAAGTATGATCGATCACATATTGAGAATTGGCTTCGGATGAGGTGGACAGGATGTTAACGGTATAGCAGACACCCTCACGAACATATGCCACTCCATCGAATGAGAAAGTCGCCAAGTTCAAGGGCCAGAAAGAGTCTGATGTGAGGGAAAACAACAGGCAGAGATGCAATGCAGAAATCTGGACTGATAATGATATAATACAGGGCAAATACTGCGTGACGCTGATCGAGGGAGATGGTATTGGACCAGAGGTATACATCCTACCTCAGCAGCAGGCGCAGGTACACTCACTAAGCCCCCCCAGATCTCGCAATCAGTAAAAGACATCTTCTCCGCCGCCAACGCCCCGATAAAATGGGAATCCGTAGACGTAACCCCCATCCTCGTCGACGGCAAGACCTCCATCCCCCCCGAAGCAATCCAAAGCGTGAACAAAAATTACGTCGCTCTAAAGGGACCCCTCGCCACCCCGGTAGGCAAAGGCCACGTCTCCCTCAACCTCACCCTCCGCCGCACCTTCAACCTCTTCGCCAACGTCCGACCCTGCAAGAGTATCGCGGGGTATAAAACGCCCTATGATGGCGTGGATACCGTGCTCATCCGCGAGAACACAGAGGGCGAGTACAGTGGTATCGAGCACGTGGTCGTGGACGGCGTCGTCCAGAGCATCAAACTCATCACCCGGGAAGCCTCCGAGCGCGTCCTGCGCTACGCCTTCCAATACGCGCAGGATGTCGGACGCCTCAAGGTCCGCACCGTACATAAAGCCACGATCATGAAGATGTCGGACGGACTGTTCCTCCGCGTCGCGGACCGCGTGGCCAAGGATTTCCCCAACGTGGTGTACGATAGCGAACTCCTCGACAACACCTGCCTGAAAGTGGTCACGGACCCGACCCCTTACAACGACAAAGTCCTCGTCATGCCCAACCTCTACGGCGACATCCTATCGGACATGTGCGCCGGTCTGATCGGTGGTCTGGGCCTCACACCCTCTGCCAACATCGGAGACGAGTGCTCCATCTTCGAAGCCGTGCACGGTTCCGCACCGGATATCGCGGGCAAAGGGCTAGCGAATCCGACGGCGTTGCTCTTGAGTTCGATGATGATGTTGCAGCATATGGGGCTTACGGAGCATGCGGAGAAGATCCAGAATGCGATTTTCAAGACGCTGGCGGAGGGGAAGACGATCACGGGGGATTTGGGGGGAAAGGCGAAGACGCATGAGTATGCCGATGCTGTGATTAAGAATTTGTAGGAGCGTGGGGGTAGATCTGACATGGTGGGTGAGCTTTGGGGATGAGCGTTTGTACAGGGCCATGTGGTTGTATCTGATGGGCAGAGATTATGCTAGCTAGCGAGGACATTGTATTATACCCGCCAAATACATGCTTGCTTGCTTGCTTGCTTGCTCGCTCCTGATCCTCTCGCCACTCTCTGCTACGCTCCCTGTTGAGATGATGTACAGCACAAACCAGTTCGCCGTATAGCTCGCTGGTCCAGTACGTCGGTATTGGTATCTCTGTTCGGCTCTTAATCCTCCGCCAAGACCCGAGATCAGCTCGCTAGCTTACTTTCCCCATTTCTTGCTAACCAGCTGAGGTAATGCAGCACGACATAAACGCCGGTGGATGTTTGTCATCGACGTGCATTGGGTTTCCTGCGGGGCCAGCATCTTTCGCCTGCGCTTTATATCCGTCGACGTGGTTGGGTTGTCAATTCTGATGGCTATGCTGGCCTTGATGGGTCGTCTCGCACGGTCCGATGTCGTGGAGTGCTTGGTCATGAGGAGGCGTGGATGAGCCGAAGATGTAGATTGTGGCGCTTCGTAAGTTGGGAGGGTGAGAAGGTATATGAACGTAGGTGCCTCGCTGGGTTGTGGTCTCGTTGCTCCCTATCATCATTCGCTGCATCACAGGCAATAGCAGTCTGACCCAAGACATATATCATCAAAGCATCTCCCCTGATCATCCACAATAAGCATCCAAGGAAGGCCGGATCTCACGTGCTGTTACCAAACATACCACTACTATCTAGCACACCAATATCGCAATCCACCATGGTGGCACTCAAAGAAGTCCGCTCGGCCAACTCCGCCCTGGACGAGACAGCAAGCAAGAAAACAGCCGTCTTCATCGGCGCGACGAATCTCCAAGGAATCGGCTACGCCACCCTCCAAGCCTTCGCCAAACACACCTCCGCCCCCAGAGCCATAATCATAGGCCGGAACGCCTCGTCTTTCGCTCCAGGTCTCGCGCAGCTAAGACAATTCAACCCGAGAGGTCGATTCACTTTCCTCGACGCGGACGTCAGTCTTCTCAAATCCATCGGTGCCATCTGCGAGGACATCAAGTCCGAGCTTGGAGACCAGAAGCTAGATCTCCTGTACCTCTCGCAAGGCTCACTACCATTTGCCGGCCGCAAGGAGAATTCCGAAGGACTAGATACCACGAACGCTGTACGATACTACGGCCGGGTGCGATTCACCCAGAACCTCATATCCGTTATGAGCTCCCACGCTCGAGTGATCAGCATAATGGGCGGTACCCAAGAAGGTAAGATGCTCGAACACGATCTCGAGCTCTCCCGGCCTGGAAACTACAGCCTCACGCAGTCGAACAACCAGATCGCGAGCATGATGACCCTCTCCTTCGACCACCTGGCCAAGGAGAACCCGGACAAATCCTTCATCCACGTCTTTCCCGGCCTGGTGTCAAGTGGAATCTTGGCTCGGAGCGCGACGGGGATCTTGAACGTGCTGTTTGCGTGGGTCGTGGAGCCCATGTTGGGATTGTTTGTGGCGAAGGCTGATGGTGTTGGGGAGAGGATGTTTTATTATGGGACGAGTGCTGTGTTTGCTGAGGGAAGCTGGGCGTTGGATGAGGCGGGTGTGAGTAAGGAGGTTGATGTGCTGAAGGAGTATAGAGCTGGTGGGTGGGCAGGGAAGATTTGGGAGCATAATTTGTCTGTTTTTGAAAGGGTGGTGTCGAAGTAGACGATGATGTGCAAGTATCTCGTCTAAAGCGATCAAGGGCCCACTACCATATCAAGTAGGCATCCCGTCTCACAACTTATCCGTTTCCAAAACGATTTCGCGTCTGCGATCGCGAACAGCAATCACATACGCAGGCCTGCCAGCGTCATGCGTATACCAGCACAAGCCAAATATAACACGACGTGCCATTCCTGCCTCCACTTCCACCCAATTCTCAAACGGCAGCGAAACTTTATGGATAGCTACCCATCGCGGCCAACCGGAACGCATTCAACTGAAACGCCACACCACCCACACGCATAACCCCAGACTTCCTCACCTCAGCCTCTATCTCCAGTCCTTCCAACGCAAGGCACAAGATCCGCCTCACCCAAGTCCACCACCGCGCGCGAAACCGCCACCTTAGTCATCCCAAAGCAGATCAGAGGACCTTTCCACAGAACCGCCATCTCCCTACCTGCGATGGCGGCAAGACAGATATTCGGTGCCGAGCCATCGACCCAGAAACTATCGTGGTAGCCGAGGAAGATACTGTGATCGAGGTTCTGCCCATTGCCTTTGTTGCCTAGCACCAGGAGGGAGAGCCCGATGCTGGGATCCTGGGCCTTTAAAAGGCTTCGAGGTTCGGACCGCAGAAGGCGACAGAGGGGGGGTCCCGGATTTGGGGACGCCATAATCTTGAGGGAGGCCGAGCTGGCCGGTGCGTTCGAGGTGGTCGATCAAGCCTTTGGAGTTGTTGAAGTAGATTCGGCTTTCTGTTCGTATGTGTGTTTGCTTGAGCTTGGAGCTGTAGAGTCTGGACAGCTGCAGTTGGATGATGTGTAGTACTGGCCGTATGCGAGAGCACACGATGGCTCGTGTCGTCCAAGATCGACTCAGAGCATGCGTGTATAGGCGACAATATAGTCGGATGTCCTGAGACTAGTAAATGCCCTTGTGCTGTGGTCGTGTCAGAGTGCATAGAGGTAGCAGAACGATCACCAGTGGAGTGGCCCGTCGAGTTGAGAATCGATACACCTTTGGTCTACTGATAGCGTGACAGCGCCACTGTACAGAGTAGCAAAAAAGCAATGAATGAAGCATGCCCACGCGCACCACGATGCAGCGAGTACAGCAGCACAAGACGCCAACGCCATGCTAAAAGCACTCATGTCCACCCAACAGGGCATAATCATGCCACATTTCTCGTCCCACATGCCCGTGATGAACGCCATGTACCCACACCCCACTTCCGCCACCCACCCCCGTGGCCGTTGATGCCGACGGTCACCACTACCTCCGAATGCCATTGCCCAAGTACGTATCTTATCTAAGCAAGGTAGCCCAGGTTGCCGTCGTCCTGACGCTCAAGGTACTCCTTCTCGATGAGGATGTCGATGCACTTCTTGATATCGCTGACCTTGGGCGAGAAACGGTTCTTGATCTGCTGGATCGTCTCCGAGACTAGTTCCTGATGCTTCATTGTCTTCCGAGACTTCATAATCCGGACTATAGCAGACTGTGCACACTCACTGTTAGCATGATTTCCTCACGATTTAGTAAGAGGGGAGAGTTGGATAAGACATACCTGCATAAGCATCTTACGGTCTTCCTCGATGGTCTTATGCGTGTCCTCCGCCTCCTGCTTCTGCTCCGCTTTGATCGCTACGTTGAGATTGACCTTGATTTTCTTGTTCTTGAAGCCGTAGTTGAGGGTATATGACGTGCCGCTCTGGTTGGGGGCACCTTCAGGCACAGCAGTAATGACCTTGGCCTTGAGCATGATACCGATAGAAGGGTCAAGAGTCTCCTTAGCCAGCGCAGTCGTGCTTGCGATGTCGTCATAGCTGACGGTGTCGGAATCATTGAAGAGAAGAAGGATGGCCATTTGGTAGGTGGAGACTTGGAAGGTGTAGGGGACTTTGTTCATCTTGACGTAATTGGCGCGCATCTCGCCCTTGCACAAATGCCACAGCCATGTGAGCTTACGGCCGCCGTGTTTGCTGTTGTAGAAGTTCTGGAAGCGCTCGTAGGTCTTGACGATGGTGTTGGGAGGGATGAAAGACGTATTGGCGGGCTGAAGGGGCCAGAACCCTGTGCCGAGAATCTGATAGTAAGCATCCACGCCGTCCTTACGATCCTCGGAATCGAAAGTCGACTTCACCCAGTCCTCGTAGTTGCCGTTCAGGTCTTTAGAGGTCTGCATGTCCTGGAACATGCGCTGAAGCTTATTGGTGTACTCGAAGCCGGAGGCATCCTTGAGCTTGGAGATCATGGATGTCTCGGCATCACCACTGGCAGAGGTGCCGTTGACAAGACGCTTGGCGAGAGTGCGGGAGTAGAATTTCTGGAAGACGTCCTTGTCCTCGATGTATTTGAACACGGTCATGACCTGGTTGAGCAGCTTCTCCATGTCGTCGTCCTCGGTAGCCTTAGTCGAGCGCTTGAGAACATTATCAGCGTGCTTGGCAAGGAGCTCAGGCGAGCGTGCACTGTTCTTCTCGCAGACTCTATTGCGATTGACATACTCTCGGCAGGCGTTGTCCAGCGAGCGCACAAACTCCGACTCCCCAGTAAACGCTGTCTGAACAAGTGCGGCGTACTGGGTGTGGACCTCGAGCAGAGCATCGACATACGCCTTCGGGTCGAGGCTGTCGCCTTGATCTGCCACCTTGTTGACGGCCTCCTGACCAGCCGTGCGGACGTGGTGTTCGAACTTTGTGCGCAGAGGGTCCAGGCCTTCAGGGATGCGAGATAAGAGCTTGTACATCCTCGCCATATCCTCCTCGCGGTCGTTGTTGAGCAGGACCTGGAATTCATCGCGCATCAAGTTACAATGCTTTTGAATCAGTGAGGTCTCGCAGCACTTCATGAGTGGCTGCATAATCTCAGGTAGCAGATAGAGTGGGACGCGCTCCTTCTCCTCGTCGAGTCTCCGCTCAGCCTTCTTCATGTAGTCGACCACAGAGTTTTCGGCGAGGAAGGCCTGCGATTCGTTCTCGTAGTATTTGCTCGTCGCGTCGATGAAAGGCTTCTCGAAGTACTGGCGGTAGACCTCGAGATTCGTCTTCGTGCTATCGGTGTCGTCGATGCCGAGTGCCACGAATGAGTCTACGACCTGCTTGACCTTCGACTGCTCGATGGTCTCACCGTTCCTCTGCTTTTCCACCAATCGAAGGACAGCATCCATGACCGCATTCTGCGTTGTGCCGAACATGTCCTCTTTCCACCGAACCAGATGCAGAGTGTAGATGTCGAAGATGTCTTTCTTGCCCTCATCCATCTCGCGCTTCACCCAGTGACGATTCAGGTACTTGAATAAGTGGTTGTTGAAAGTTCCTGCAGTAGTATACCTCTTCCACTGGTCAATGTAGTATGTGAGCAGCGCCTCATCCGAATGCTTGACCATCTCGCTGTGCACACCCGCCAAGTGCTCTTTGAGGTAGTTATTGAGCCTATGATACAACTCCTCGCCGAGAAGATGTGCGCCGCGGTGGTTCGAATTCAGCGTGTTAGTCTGAGTATTACCGACGGCTTTTTGCGCTGTACAGAAGTTGTGGATGGATGTGTAGAGGCTCATGTAGGTCTTGAGATCGACGCCGTCCTTGAGGTTGAACATGATCCTGTCCACACCCCACTCCAGAAACCGCCATGTGCCGTTGATGTCATCCTTGGAGGTGGGCATGGCCGGTGGGCCCTGCGCCGCGGCCTTAGACATGTCGGTGGCGCTGAAAGGTCGTTTCTGGCGTGAGCTGGGAGGGGGTTGAGTGGATGGTGCTCCGAAAGTAGTTGACTTCGAGCCTGCTATGGCTTCTGAGTGAGCCACCGGCGGGTGGCGTTGCAGAGCAGTGATGTGTGAGTCAAGAGGGCCCCTGTACGCTGGCAGCCGGTAAGGATCCTCTAGATCTGCTAGTCGAGCTGCAGAGTGAAGGTATCACAAGCTACTGCAGGACGTCAGGCAAGTAGTGGCGGAGATGATGGTGAGAGGGATCGTTGTCGCGAGTTCTTGCTGCAGGTGGAAAAAGTGTGAGATCACGCAGTGACGCAGGAAGATTATAGGATGGTCAAGAAGTTGCGAAGCAGTGTTTTGAGGTTGCAGGTGGATGTGTGCTTCGAGAAAGTAGACAGCAGCCTTGCACTAACTCGTGTGTCATAAGGCAGGCATCTTACCGCAGCGGGCGCTCGGACCAACTCTGCCGTACACATTCACGTGAGAGTTATTGATTGGTAGATTGTTGAGAGGAAATGGCTGTATCGTCAAAGGGATGGATAAGGTTTTAGAGTATGGTGGTACATCTATGCTATACAATATAAGTTACACTTCACATCTCATACATATGTCACTACCTCGCATCGTGTGCCGACTTGGGCACAGCAGACTTCGACTCCGACGTAGGTGTGCCATGATCCCGCTCGACTTGCTCAGTAGCTGCTATCGCGCGGTCCCTCCTGCCCTCGATCGCCTTGTCTGATGCGGGAGAGACGTCTCGGTGAACAGCGGCCTTCTCTGCCTTGCCGTCGTGGAAGTCTCCCACAGCGGCAAGTGATGGCGGTGGCGAAGGCTCTGACTTCGCTGCAACCTGCGGCTCTGGCTCGGCTGGTGACGATTGCTTTGCCGCAGGCGCTGGTGTAGATGCTGGAGCTTCTGCAGGGTCGTCTCCGCCCTCAATAGCCATAGGTGGCGCATCCTCATCATCCAGCTCGGCGCCGTACTCCTCAGGATGTTCCCGGAAGCAATTCTGCATCGTCTTGAAATGCTCAATGCAATCCACGCCCTTGGGATCCTCCTTCGAGTACACGAAACAACTGAATGCCGCCTTGAACTGCTCGCCACACGATCCGTTTGCCATGCCACCGAGGCATGGGCAATCCCAGTTGATCTCGCCAGTCTCCTCGTTAAAGGCGCCTTGCTGTCCTGCCTCCTCTTCTAGCTCTTCGGGTGACCCTGGTGCCGCGCTCTCGCCATCTGCTACAGCGACTGATGGAGACTGGGAGCTAGATGATGCCGATAGAGATGTTGATTGTGATTTTCTTTGCGCCGCGACTGCTTCAAGGGTGGGATAGACCTCGTTCTCTCGTGATGTTTCTGGTGGCGCATGCATCGCATCTTCGTTCGTATTAGCCGGATCTCCCAGAACTCATCAATCTGAGATACGTACACTGTGGCTCCTCCGCAAAAGCACTAGAAGTATTGTAATAATACACCAAAGCACCCGCCAACCCCCATCTCACGGCCGAACTCCTCAAGCTCCGCGACTTCTCATGTGGTGGCGCTGTGCTGATGCATCGTCTGCTGACTTGCTGTCTGGGAACTGCTCTTGCGAGCGAACTTGTCGCCGTCCGTAATGACTGTCGATACATGATGTGCTTGATGTATAGTCGAGAGGAGAAGAGGATGAGATCGTGGATTAGAAATGCATTGGTTGCAAAGCATGGATGCCTGAGGCACTTCATCTCGAAATCGCATGGACGGGCTTCCACTTTCCTCTGTCCTGAGCATCCGCATCATGTCCGGCAGTCGCACAACAACGAATGGCCATGCTACCGTACTGAGACCAACGCAGTATCTGGAGGACATTCAAGATGGGCGACGAGTCAATGGTACCGGCCCAGGAGTTGCGCTGATCATCCTTAACTCGCCACTGACCGGCTACGAATATGTGAAGAGACTGTATGGTCACGCCTCTTATGTCCTCTGTGCAGATGGAGGTGCCAATCGTCTGCATGACCTCATCCTGGCTCACTCCGGTTCTACCAATTCTATCGGGGGTCTACGAGACATGCTTCCCAACCTGATACACGGAGACCTGGACTCTTTAGATGACAAAGTCCGGCAACGATACAAGAGTCTTGGCGTGGAGATCTCAGAGGATCCGGATCAGTACAGTACCGACTTCGGTAAAGGGGTCAAGACAGTCCTTGAGCAATGCCCAAACATCAGAGACATCCTCATCCTAGGGAGCCTAGGCGGTCGAGTAGATCAAGGTATCGGCCTCCTCCACGAGCTATACCGAGAACAGATGGTACGACATGCCGAAGTGCGGTTCTGGCTGTTCTCGGAGTCGAGTGTTAGCGTCATCTTGGCTGAAGGAACCACGACGTTGCAGACGCCACTCGAATCTGGATTGATGAGACGGAATATTGGTATTCTGCCGCTGTATGGGCCGGCGGTCATCAGCACGAAGGGTATGGAGTGGGATGTGGATGACTGGCCTACGGAAATGGGTGGGCAAGTGAGCACGAGTAATCATATCATGGCTGACGAAATAACAATCACGACGGATAGAGCTGTGCTCTTTACTGTCGAGCGGGATATGGGTTGATGATGCTTATAAGTTTGGGCAATATTGGTATGGGAGTTAGAAAGTGCGACAGCTCTTACAAATGGACTGTGAGCCTGAGAGACAGCTCGAGTCTAAGAGGCAGCCATGCACAACCAAGCCACGGCCAAAGCAACGTATCAGCCTCTCCTTGACACAATGCTTTGTTGTTAGATGAAGGGCAGCTTGTGCCACGTGGTGCAATTGTCTGTGTCGCGACGATAGGCGATGCAAGCACTCGGCCAGCGCGGTGATGAAGCAAGTTTGGTTGCAAAAAGGAAGCTCAGTCTGGCCGTCGCTTTCGACAGGTGTAACGAGACACTGATAGGAGTGGCATAGGCTTGCGTCATGCAGTGGCTGGCAGATGTGGCAGTAATGACATGAGTGACACGGCTGCGCCATCGTCCTGCACAGAACGTGGGTCCTTGCGTTGACGTTCCACCTGGGTGACAAGGTCCACGTTTGGCTCGTGCTGATTGCATCCCGATGGGACCTCACATGTAGATCGGATGATAGCTTTTGTCAGATGCCTGAGTCGGTAGCGTCTTATGGCTTGCCAATCTATTCATGCCATCACCGGCGGTATGATGGAACTTTTACGATGTCCGTTGCGTATTATCATAAGATATTCTTCGAGAGCTTTGCTGTAGATACTGTGGTGATGTTGGTAATTGTGCGGGCGAGATGCTACTGCGTAACACTCAGCCTTCAACGTAGCATACGCCTTTGTCGAACGAGCCTTCCGGCATTGACGATGGCGTCGCATCTGCGCGATCATGAAGCCATGAGAAGAATCTAAAGTCGAGGATGACAGATGAGGTAGTAAAGAGGTGAAGTGAGGGCAATGCGCCCGCGATGCGGCGGGGCAGAGAGTTTCAGGGTCCATTTTCCCGCAGCAAAATTGACATGATCTCTCTCCAACGTCCTCGCATACGACTGCACCTCACACCACATCGTTGTACGGCAAGATCAGCGTAATTCCTATCACAAGGTTATGTAGTATTGGATCTACGACTCAGCACGCCTTGCGACTCTGTTCTGTCGCGATTATATCCGCAAGAAGTACTATACCATTGTGTCGACTACCTCAGCATTGGCGCAGAAGGAGGATATGCAATGCTAACAAAAGAGCTGGGAGGTGAGAGTACTTGTGGCACAAGGCCTGGACATCTCCGCTGTCAGTCGTGCCGGTGCCGTGTCCTAGCTGGTTCAGTTGCTGTTATTGGTCACTCTGCTGACCCGTGGATAGATCTATGATAGTCACTGTACCTTCTATACACGCACGCCCCGCCTCACGCACTTCCTTCTGACAAGTCGTACTGCTGTCTACCCATATCGCACTCCTGGAATTGCTATCTAACCGCAAAGATGGCGTGGCAACCACAACCGCAGCAGCTGGTCCAGCTATCGCAGTTCCTGAGAGATTCTCTAAGCGGCCATGATATCGCGGCTCAGAAGAACGCTGAACAGGTATAAGATCTTATGATCTTCGCAGTCTGAAAGCCTCAGCTGACGTCTGATAGATGCTGAGATCAGCGAAAGCTTCGCCCGACATCAACAACTACCTAACGTATCTGTCCGTCACATCAACCCCACCGCAAGGTCTGGATGCCACTGCATATCATGCGGCACGATCAGCAGCTGCAATCATGCTCAAGAACAACGCAAGATCTTCATACCGGACAATCCCAGAACCGAGCAAGATTTACCTAAAGTCAACTATCCTGGCCGGCCTGCAGGATGGCAACGCGCAGATCCGGAACTTTGTCGGCAACGTCGTCACCGAGGTGCTACGACAGGGTGGCATCCTTGGCTGGCCGCAGGCCCTACCAGACATGATTGCCACGGTGGCGAATGAGAACGGCGGGACTACTGCTGAGGGGCAGGATGGTGCAATGGGTGCGTTGTTCAAGGTCTGCGAGGACAACAAACGCGCACTCGACCAGGACTATCCCAACCAAGGACGGCCACTCGCATATCTGCTACCAAAGTTCCTTGAGCTCACCACCAGCGCCAATCCCAAGCTTCGGTCACGATCACTCTCTGCCATCAATGTCTTCCTGAACGAGCCGATAGCACTCACAGCACGCGAGAACATCGACAGCATATTGCGGCACGTAGTGCAACTCACCGCTGATACCAACGATGATGTTCGGAGATTTGTCTGTCGAACATTTGCTCTGCTTGCAGACGGCATGCCGAATGTTTTACTACCACATGTTGAGGGTATTGTGGACTATACCATCATACAGCAAAAGGACATCCAGAACGAAGAGCTTGCGCTAGATGCCGCCGAGTTCTTCTTTGAGGCAAGCAGTGCGCCTTCGCTACGAGATGCGCTTGGTCTTTATCTGAGTAAGATTGTGCCTGTGCTACTAGACAGTATGATCTACAGCGAGGATGATCAACTCAGGTTAGAAGGGGATGCAGAAGATGCAGACGAGGAGGACGACGAGAAAGATATTAAGCCACAGTTCGCCACGTCGAAGACTTCAAGAGCGACCGCAACGGCCACGACCACCACGACGCAGCCTACGAACGGTCAAAAGAAAGAGGCTGCGAACGGCTATGTTTTCGCAGAGGACGATGATCTTGACGAGGGCGAGATTGAGGAGGACGATGATGAGTTCGATGCAGATCCCGAGGATGAATGGAATCTTCGTAAGTGTTCAGCAGCGGCACTCGACAGTCTTGCATCGCACTTTGGAGGCCCAGTCTTCGAGGTGACGCTACCATGGCTTGAGGAGAGTCTCGCGCATAAGGACTGGCAGAACCGAGAGGCAGCAGTGCTCGCCCTCGGAGCCATCGGACCAGGCTGCATGGAGAAGATCGAGCCAAGTCTGCCAAAGCTGGTGCCATATATGATATCGTTGCTCACAGATCAGCAACCTGTGGTACGACAAATTACATGCTGGGCACTGAGCAGATTTGCTGGGTGGGCGTCACACCTGGACGCTGCTGGGAAGCAGCAATTCTTCGAGCCTATGATGGAGGGCATACTGCAATGCATGCTGGACAACAACAAGAAGGTTCAAGAAGGAGCAGCTTCTGCGTTCGCTACTCTTGAGGAGTCTGCTAATGTGCAGCTGACACCATACTCTGGCGTGATCGTGCGACAATTCGTGCAGTGCTTCAGCCGCTACAAGGATAAGAACATGTACATCCTCTACGACTGCGTGCAGACCCTGGCAGAGTATGCTGGGCCTGAGCTCGCAAAGCCGGAGCTTGTCAACGTCCTGATGCCAGCGCTGATTGCTCGGTGGGAGAAAGTGCAGGATGCCTCGAGAGAGGTATTCCCATTACTGGAGTGCCTGGCATTCGTGGCCACAGCACTGGGTAATTCGTTCACTCCCTTCGCTCGACCATTCTTTATGCGATGCATCAAGATCATCCAGCAGAACTTGGAGGACGGGCAGATCGCCACTAACGAGCCTTACCACGATGTGCCAGACAAGGACTTCTTGGTTACCAGCCTCGATCTTCTCAGCAGCATTATTCAGGCTCTTGATGAACAGTTCAGCTCCGAGCTTGCGGCCACGGCGAATCCGAATATGTTCGAGCTCCTAGCTTACTGCATGAAGGATGGTAACAACGACGTTCGCCAATCAGCTTACGCGTTGCTCGGAGACTGTGCCATCTATATCTTCCCGCGCCTACAGCGTTATCTTCCGACGTTGATAGAAATCATCATGCATCAACTCGATGTCAGCCAAACCAGCGATGATCCGGAAACCGCCTTCAGAGTGATTAACAATGCTTGCTGGTCGTGCGGGGAAATCGCCATGAGGCATGGTAGCGGTATGGCACCATACGTCGATCGCCTACTGCCGAAACTAGCCCTGATCATGTTCACCGAGAATGTACCTGCCTCGCTCAATGAAAACGCCGCCATTGCGCTCGGACGATTGGGTATCGGCTGCCATCAACAGCTGGCTCCGCACCTGGCCAACTTTGCTGTCCCTTTTCTCAACGCGATGCAGAAGGTCTCCTGGACTGACGAGAAAGGCCACGCATACAAGGGTTTCGCGTCGGTCGTCCTCGATAACCCGAAAGCCATGGAGCAGTGCCTCCTCAACTTCCTGGCCGAGATGGCGAATGCGCCCGGCCTCTTCTTGACTGGGATGCAAGGGGATGGGCCCCTCGAGAATTTCGAGAAGGTCTTGTCTGAGTACAAAGGTCTGATTGGTGGTGGGTGGGACGATTATCTGCACAATCTTCCGCCTCCACAGGAGCAGGCGCTGCGGCAGCTTTATGCCTTTTAGTGGTAGGCAGTGCTGACTGGGGAATCTTCACGTCTTCTCACGGACAGCTGGCTGGCGACGGGATCTCTACTACGGCGAGGGAAGCACGTCACAACACCATAGGCTTACTGCCGAAATGGTTTACTTTAGATAGTCCAGCGTTCATTGAATTTAGCGTAGCATCTGCTTGCCTTAGGCAGCAGCCCAGGTTCCATCTCCCCTTGGGCACAGCGAGGAGTGGAGCCTTGCTTTTGTTACATAGAGGTGATCTACTACCCGCATAGCGAAAACACGGGACGATCATTATGAGTGGCATTGCAGAGGAGAGTGGCTTAACGTATGCAGTATCGACCAGAGCATCTCCTTGCGAGGCCGCGAAGCCGGTCATGAGGACTAATGGGCGGAATGACCATGTAGATAGTCGATGAAGGATCGCCTGTGTCCTACTTATTCATACCTTGTACTACGTTTTAATCACATGTCAAGACAAAATGTAAAGTGAATGTTTTATCCTCTTGGCAAAGCCCGTCGGCAACGGCTCTTCCGTTCGCCGTCCGCCGCTTGCTGCACGGTGAGGTGATTGGTCCAAATTGCCAGCATCTTTGGTCTTCGAGAACAGATTGCAGAATAGTGCCACTTCGCCGTCCACCATCACCTTTCCTTCAACCACCCCACGCAGCAGACGCGCCACAGTCTGCCTCGCTCCATCAAGATGGCGTCCAAGGTTCCTCTGGTCAACAACCCTCAGATCCAGTCCGCCACCCTCCACAACCCCCTCCCCACCTTCCTCCACCTCTACGTCTGGCCCTTCACCATCATCTGGCCCATCTTCTTCGCCTACTACATTCCCAACGAGAGCTACAACAAGTACATCAACGGTCAAGAATGGACGTTCGTCTACTCCGGCACGATCGTAACGCTACAGAGTCTGGTATGGCTCATGACCTTCTGGAACGTCAATATCAACGCCCTGTTCACCACTACCCGCGCCAACTCCGTGCGAAGTGCTAGATTAATCAAGGTCATTCCTGGAGCGAACGCGGGTACAGCGGAGATATGTCCTATCAAGCGCGACTCGGTTGGTGGGCGGGAGAACATCAGTTTCCTGTTCCAGAAACGACGCTTCTTGTACGAGGCGGACAAGGGTACCTTTGCGCCGCTGGAGTTCGCGATGGATAACGAGCCAAAGCCTTTGATCAGATCGTTTCAGGAGAGCAAAGGTCTGGAGAAGAGGAGTGAGATTGAGAGGATCCAGCAGCATTATGGTCCTAACACCTTCGACATCCCGGTCCCGAGTTTCACGGAATTGTTCAAGGAGCATGCGGTCGCGCCGTTCTTCGTCTTTCAGATCTTTTGTGTCGGGCTGTGGATGTTGGACGAGTATTGGTATTATTCGCTGTTCACGCTTTTCATGCTGGTCGTGTTTGAGAGCACGGTGGTGTGGCAGAGGCAGAGGACTTTGAAGGAGTTCCGGGGTATGAGCATCAAGCCGTACGAGGTCTACGTCTATCGGGAGAAGAGGTGGACAGAGGTGATGAGTGATGCCGTGCTGCCGGGAGACTTGGTCTCCGTGGGCAGGACGAAGGAGGATAGTGGGGTGGCTTGCGATATGCTTTTGATCGAGGGCAGTGCGATTGTGAATGAAGCCATGTTGTCTGGAGAGAGTACACCGGTCCTGAAGGAGTCAATTCAGTTGAGGCCCGGCAACGCGCATATCGAGCCTGAGGCTCTGGACAAGAACGCTTTCCTCTGGGGCGGTACAAGGGTTCTTCAAATTCAACACGGCACGGCTGCGCAAGAGGCGGATGGCAGCGTGGCCAAGTTTATTTCTGGTGTACCTGCCGCGCCTGACGGTGGTGCCTTGGCTGTAGTGATCAAGACTGGCTTCGAGACGAATCAGGGCGCTCTGGTCCGGACGATGATCTACTCGACCGAGCGTGTGAGCGCCAATAACGTCGAAGCTTTGCTTTTCATCCTCTTCTTGTGCGTCTTCGCCGTCGCTGCATCCTGGTACGTCTGGAAAGAAGGCGTCAAGCAAGATCGCAAGCGCTCGAAGTTGCTTCTGGACTGCGTGCTCATTGTCACTTCTGTCGTACCGCCAGAACTACCTATGGAGCTGAATTTGGCCGTCAATACCAGTCTGGCTGCGCTGAGTAAATATGCCATTTTCTGCACAGAACCTTTCCGGATACCTTTCGCTGGACGTGTCGATGTCGCTTGCTTCGATAAGACTGGTACTTTGACCGGCGAGGACCTGAACGTTGAGGGTATCGCTGGCTTAGGTCTGGGTCAGCAGGGTGTCCCTGCTGAGGCCGATGGCGCACAGAGTACTATGACTAAGATCACAGATACCGGTCTCGAGACCACTTTGACGCTTGCCACCGCTCATGCTTTGGTGAAGCTGGAGGAGGGCGATGTGGTCGGTGAGCCGATGGAACGTGCTACGCTCGACTCTTTAGGCTGGGCTTTAGGCAAGAACGATACCCTCTCTGCCAAGCCTCATGGCGAGAAGAGCCGACCTTCCGAGATTGTGCAGATCAAGCGCCGCTTCCAATTCTCCTCTGCGCTAAAACGCCAGAGTTCTGTCGCTACCGCCATCATCACGGATCGATCTACTGGTAGACAAATCAGCAATACTTTCGTTGGTGCCAAGGGCGCGCCCGAGACACTTCGCAAGTTCTTTGTTGAGATCCCGCCGAAGTACGAGGAGACATACAAGTACTTCAGCAGGAATGGCGCCCGTGTGCTTGCGCTTGGATATAAGTACCTCAAGACTGGTGAAGAGCTGAAGCAGAGTCGTATTAACGATCTCACGCGTGAGGAGGTCGAGTGTGATCTGCACTTTGCTGGTTTCCTCATTTTGCGGACACCGCTCAAGGACGATGCGGTCAAGGCCGTGCGCATGCTGAATGAGAGTAGTCATCGTGTGGTCATGATTACTGGTGATAATCCTTTGACTGCAGTCTATGTTGCTAGGCAGGTTGAGATTGTAGATCGAGATGTGTTGGTCTTGGACGCGCCGGAGCATGATGATAGTGGTAATAACCTTGTCTGGCGCAGTGTGGACGACAAGGTCAACATCTCTGTTGATGCGGACGCGGAGCTTGACCCAGAGATCCTCAAGAACAAGGACATCTGTGTTACCGGCTATGGCCTGGCGAAGTTCAAGGGTAAGAAGGCTCTACCAAGTCTGCTGAGGCATACGTGGGTCTACGCTCGTGTCTCACCAAAGCAGAAAGAAGAGATCCTGCTTGGTCTGAAGGAGATGGGCTATACGACACTCATGGCTGGCGACGGTACCAACGATGTTGGCGCCCTCAAGCAAGCTCATGTCGGTGTTGCGCTGCTGAACGGCACGAAGACCGACATGGACAAGATCGCCAAGCACTTCCGCGAGACGAAGATGAAGGAGATCTACGAGAAGCAAGTGCAGATGATGACGCGCTTCAATCAGCCTCCACCGCCTGTGCCGATCCATATCGCTCATCTGTACCCTGAAGGCCCGTCGAACCCGCATTATGAGAAGGCCATGGAGCGCGAGGCCACAGCGAAAGCTACTCTCGCTGCTGCGGAAGGTGGTGATAAGGAAGCCAATGGCAGTGCGAATGGTACCGTCGCCAAGGTCGCTCCACCACCACCACAACCAGTGGCACAGCCGAAAGCTCCACAGGATACTCGCCAAGCAAAGGCACAGAATGCTGCCAGCGCAATGGCCGAGAAGTTCTCCATGTCTATGATGGAGGAACAGCTCAACGATGACGAACCTCCTACCATCAAACTCGGTGATGCGTCTGTCGCTGCGCCTTTCACCAGCAAGCTTGCTAATGTTATCGCTATACCCAATATCATCCGCCAAGGTCGTTGTACGCTCGTGGCTACGATTCAGATGTACAAGATTCTGGCGCTGAACTGCTTGATCAGTGCGTATAGTTTGAGTGTGCTGTATCTTGACGGTATCAAGTTTGGAGATGGGCAGGTGACGATTAGTGGTATGCTGATGAGTGTTTGCTTCTTGAGCATTTCCCGAGCGAAGGTGAGTCCTTCTTCCTACATCGTGCTTCCGAAAGCACGTACTAACAGATTCTGCAGCCAGTTGAAGCCCTCTCCAAAGAACGTCCCCAGAACAACATCTGGAATTGGTACATCATCCCGTCCGTCCTCGCCCAGTTCGCCGTCCACATCATCACCTTAATCTACATCTCCAACGTCGTCCACCGCTTTGAGCCACCAAAGGACCGCTCCATTATCGACCTTGAAGGGGAGTTCGAGCCATCCCTCCTCAACAGCGCCATCTACCTCCTCCAACTCATTCAACAAATCTCCACCTTCGCCATCAATTACCAAGGCCGCCCCTTCCGCGAAAGCATCCGGGAGAACAAGGGTATGTGGTGGGGAATCGTGCTCGTCACGGGTGTAGCATTCAGCTGTGCGACGGAGTTCGTGCCGGAGATCAATGAGAAGTTGAAGCTTGTGCCATTCAACTCCGAATTCAAATGGACGTTGACGGCAGTGATGGTGTTGGATTATGTGGGGTGTTGGACTGTGGAGAAGGCGCTGAAGACGCTTTTCAGTGATTTCAGGCCGAAGGATATTGCGGTTCGGAGGCCGGATCAGTTGGAGAGAGAGAGGGTGAGGTTGGAAGCGGAGCAGGCGAAGATCGATAAGGAAAAGGAGATTAAGGCTGGGAAGGCTTAGAGTCGGTTCCTGATAGTATGTATAGATTTTATTGCTGTCTACTACAAATCATATCTTCGATGTGTGGTTTGTCTACTCCGGGCAGGTACGAATGTGTCGTCCGCTCAGGCACGTGACGGAATCGTTCCTTCCTTGTTGACCCGTTTGCAGCCCCACCGAAGCACTGGCCAATCTTGCAGATCTAGCTCAACTTGAGCTCTCCCTCTCTCCGCCCTCTCTCACAAACATCACATCGCACCCCTCCTTCGTGGCGATGATGGCCAACAAAGTAGCGAAGGATCCGGTCTTTATCCACTCCGGCGCAGCTGAGCTGTTTGCGACGATGGCAAGTGGACGCGCGAGCCGAGTGTATACTGTCAACATGATCCGCCAGAGCATGCACATCACTGACGCCTAGCAGAAATGAGTCCAACACCGAGATCTACTTGATTGGGACCAACGAGAATTACAACTTCTCCTTCGAGGAAAACAGCGTTTCGGGTTTCTTCGACAACGTCTTGTTCAAGGAATGTGTTTTCGAAGGGAAAGGCCTACAGCTTCGCAATTGCACCTTCGTCAACGTCAAGTTCAAGGACTGCACATTCGACGGCGTGTGGTTCACCGATCTGTACCTTGAAGACGTCATCATCGTGGGAGTGAGATTCCAATAAGCTAGGTGGTCGGAGGATTCCCGTCAGTGCTTCGTGATCGACGAGGGCAACCTGTACACGATCTTCCCAAACCGCTTCCGCCAGAGCAAGATAGGGCAGAACGGGCGGCCGGATGAAGTCATGGATCTCGCTTGGCTGGCTGGTCAGGTCTCGATCCTTGACGGTAGTCAGGTTGACTCGGATGAGAGGCTTGCTCGGCAGCTTGCCGAGGAGGATGAGAAGCCTGCGTATAAGCTTGCGATGGACAGAAAGCAAGAAGAGGCGGGAATTGATGACGAGGCACATTCGTCCAAGAAGATCTCTGATGCTGACCGTGCCTGGCTGGCGGGAGGGAAGCCAACCAGTGCTGAAGCCATGTTGACGAGAACCGAGAGGCGGATGGGGAAGGGTTCTAGAGTCTTCAAGGCCCGCGCATCCGCCAAGACTCCCAGCGGTGTGACTACGAAGCCATCGACTTCGGCAACCCTTCCAGACCTGACCGCTCCTTCCAAGCTCGATAGCTTGCTGGTCCTCGATCACAGATACCCTGCCATGCTGCCAAGCATGACGGATGCTGCGTCAGTGCCCCGCCCACTTGCTATCGAGGAGGCTGATGTGAGCGAGCGGGCTGCTGCGAAAGCGACTCTCACGATCGCAGCTCCATTTTTCGACGACACAAAGCTCTCTGAGCTACAAGCTCGATTAGACGGCCAACAGAGTCGTGGTTTGAGGATTCCACCGGGTGCTCCTACCATGTTCCATGCCGTATCTAAGGCCATCATGAAGCTGGAGGACGAGCTTGATGGTCACAGCGACAACGATGGCGATGGCGGACAAGTCGTCAATCTTGTGCAGCTCGATTAGAGGCATAGTCTGCCCCATGTCTGCTCTTCCAGAGCGGCTTGAGGTGGGTTGAGCTTCGAAGACGAGGTAGTAGTACGATGGGTGACCAGAGGCAAGGACTGCGAAGTGCGGTCTCCTCAAAAATGCCAGCACATCGCTGTGTATACACGATGCTGGCTGATAGTATATCGCTGCGTTGCCGCAACTTTTGTAGCGAGATAGTAATGCTCCGGACGTGGAGCGTTCTCTAGGCCTTCGCCCAACGTGATGTCGGTGCTCTACAGTGCTTCTTCAATCGTGCTATCGGTCTTGGATTACATGGGCCAGCCGGAGCCGGGGCTACCCACCAATCTTGCAACTTGGCCACGAAGGAGGGGAGCTTTCCAAATGGCGAGATGATATATATCAAGACGACTGAAGACGTTCACGTTGATGTTGCATTTTCTCCACTGCCCTGCACTTTTCCCCGCAGTGCTTTTCACTTTTCCTCTTCGTCCTCCACCTTCGGGAAGGATGAACGATAAACATGCTTCGCTGACCACATGATCGGCAACGTTCGATATAGAATACAAGACCATGGCGCTGTTCGAGCAGGTGGGTTCCCTTCTCGATTCTTTCCTAGACGTCAAGATGCGCTTGTCCCAGATCCTAGCTCTACCTGTCGTCTATGCCACATCTTCATACCACGACAATGCTGGAGTCCTCCAATATGTCAACCCTAAGATCGGGACTTATGGTATCACACCAAATGGCAACGGTGGCATGATCCCGTCCGTCTCACCACCTTTTGGCATGACCCGATGGACCCTACAGACCAGGGAGAATTTCATCTCACAATGTCCTTACAATGATATGGATGGCTACATCCACGGCTTTCAGGCTACGCATCAACCCGCTATCTGGATGGGTGAATCTGGACAAGTCGTTTTGAGCCCGGGACTGGGTGAGGTGGAGCCTTTGTTCGAGCAGCGAGCTCATGCTTTCTCGAAGGAGAACGAAAGGAGCACAGCGTACGTGTACGAGGTCGAGTTCTCGGCGGAAAGCGTTCAGGCTGGTGCAAATCTGACCGAGAGCATCTATTCACCGGTGCCTGGCGGTGCGCAGCCTGTGCCAAGTGAAGTCAGCGAAGGCGCAAACGGACGAACTCGACGAGCAGAGGCTGCTAGCGAGCCTACAGGCTCACCACATTGGCCAGCCGGGGATGCATCAATCTCGGCGTACCACAACGCCACTATCAACGCTGCTCTGACAGCAACGTCTCATGTTGGCTTCCTTCGACTGGACTTTCCCTGTAACGAGCAAAGTCACTGGCCTGCTGGCAGACATCAAGATACGCCTTATGTGTTTATACAGGCTACGAGGCAGAACTGGACTGGCCACATTGAGATCGACGAACTGCACAGAGAAGTTTCGGGAAGCAATCCTCAGCGTCAAGACTATGCTCTTGGCCCATATCGTGCTCCAGGGTTCAGTGGATACTTCGTCTCCCGCTTCTCGCAGCCCTTCGAATCGTTTGGAACATCCCTTGGCAGCGATATGACAGAGAATGCTGTCTCGGGCTCCGGGGAGCATCTTGGCGCATACGTGAGGTTCGCAGCTAATACTAGCCGTGTCGAGACCCGCACAGCAGTCTCGTTCGTCAGTATTGAGCAAGCACGGCGCAATCTAGACTTCGAAGTCCCAGATGATACCACGTTCGAACAAGTAGTGGAGAGCTTGAAGCAAGCATGGCTCGAGAAGCTGGGTCGTGTGACCATCTCAGGCGTCAATCAGACAGACTCTGATCACGATCAGCGCACTGTCTGGTATACCGGGTTGTTTCATGCTCTCCAATACCCCTCTGACTTCTCGGAACCGCTGACCGCGGACGGGTTGACGATCACGTATTACGAGGGTTATACAGATAATGTGCATACAGCGAACGATAGCTACTACCAGAGCTGGAGTATCTGGGATACTTATAGAGCGGAGCATAGTCTGCTCACTATGTTTGCGCCGGAAAGAGTCAATAGCATGATGCGAAGTCTGCTGAAGATATATGATTGGAGTGGACGTTTGCCTATGTGGGCTAATGTGAGTCCTGACGACCTTTGGTGCCGTCCATGCACTGATGACCTCGCAGGTAGTAGAGACGAACATCATGATCGGCAGCCATGTCAACGCCGTGCTAGCCAACGCACTTCAGCGAGGCTTCACCACGTTCGACGTCGCTAAAGCATGGGCGGCTGTCAAGAAGAATGCTTTCGAGCCTCCAATAAACGACACGGAATTCCTTTACTACGACCGTGAAGGCTATACTCCAGATGAAGTCTGCGCAGGTCTAACGGCCTATATACCCAAAGGCTACGTCCCTAACGACCAGTGGGCCGAAAGCGGGTCTCGTACTCTCGATTACGCTTTTGACGATTATGCCGCTGCTGTCGTTGCAACTCACGCAGGAGACGATAGCACAGCTGAGAAGCTGATGGAGAGGAGTCAGAACTACCATAATATCTACAACGTCAATACAACCTTTATGGAAGCTCGTAATGCAAACGAGACCTGGGCGGGCTCTGATCAAGGCTGGACAGAAGGAGACGACTGGGTCTACACTTTCAACGTCATGCACGACGTTGGTGGTCTCGCAAACATGATGGGTGGTCGAGCCAATTTGAAGCAGAAACTCGACGAGCACTTTGTTGAGGGCCACAACGATCATACAAACGAACCGTCCCACCACGTTCCATACTTGTACGCTGCGATAGGCTACCCAGCCTCAACACAGAATCTGACTAGGGACATTGCATGGGAGAATTACAACGCTACGTCCGCCGGTCTCAGTGGGAATGAAGATCTGGGTCAGATGAGCGCGTGGTACGTTTTCTCTGCTTTGGGGTTCTATCCTGTTGATCCCGCCAGTGATGAATATGTCGTTGGTTCGCCTTTCTTTGAGAAGGTGAGTATCACGTTCCCTGCTGGTGCCGCCACGGGTGGGATTGGTGGAGAGGAGAGTGAGCTTGTTATTACCGCTATTGGTGCACCTACGATGCCGTTTGTGAAGGGGTTGTGGGTCGATGGTTTGGCGGTCGACAGGCCGATGTTGACGCATGGGCAGATAGTTGGCGCGAGGAATATCACGTTTGAGATGGCTGATACGCCGCAGAGTTGGGGTGGTTCATAGGACTTGAGACGATCGTGGAGAAGACTACATCGTTCAACGAGACTTATACGCCATAGCGTTGTGTACAGCGAATCTATTCCAGCATACAGTCTTAGTCCACCATTTTGAAGTTTTCCAGCTTAGTATCCTGTCCCATATCCTCTTTGCCGTTTTCGACGGAAGTAGTCGCCGTTGAGACCTCTCGCGCAGTGTCATGATATCGTAGCATGCCAACACGAACCCGAGCGCTTTGCAACAATCGCTCGCGCACGACCCCCAACGCCTTCGCTAAATCAACAATAGCACGCAAAGGACAAACCAAGATAAAGCAAACAAGATCAGAGACGCCGAATGGCTTTCGAGCATACGACGCACTCGCGCGCTCTTCAGCCCAAGCATAGTGCATCTTCTCTTTGACGGAAGTGGTGGAGGCACCGCACTTCTAATCCGGACGCAATTTCTCCACTACCCGCATGACGGAGAGACTGAACGTGATGAGCCAGGCCAAAAGAGAGATAAGCAGGATAGCGGCCAGCGTGACTTGTCTCCTGCAGATGTCTAGAGCGCGCTGTCAGCACATCTTGACCTTACAACCATGATGGTAAGCGGTCATCTTACCAGGGTTATTAGGACAAGTGCTCGGGACCTTGTAGTTGATGCTATCTCCTATGATGGCATACTGTTCGTCATAGCAGGCCCAGCGATGATCGAACAGCGCGTCGAAGGCGAGGGAGATATTTGATGCGGCGAAAGCTACAAAGTAGAGGTCGCATAGTAACAATAACACCTTTGTCGGTACGGAGCGGAGGCCGAGTCTGTGTGATGTCAGCTCGGATCGTTGCCCGTCAATTTGGGAAAGGGTAGAATCACGGTTTACTCATATACTCATCCCAGGTCACATAACACAAGTAAGGAATCGCCACACTGCCAACACAGATAGCCATATACGTGCTCGCCCTCGTCGCACACTGATTGCTCGGGTCATTATCGTTGTTAACCCGCAAAACGGACACGTATATTGTGGCCGCCACCCCGAGCGCAGCCGCACTAAACGCCAAGATTGTAAGGCGAAACGCGAGTGGTACGAAGGGGTTCTTGAGTAGCAGCCGCCAGAATAATCGGATCGTCTTCTCCTGCCTCTCGGGACTGATGAGCCACTTTCCGCCGTACATAAGGCCGCTGAAACCTTTCCCGCCGGCTCCCGCACCATGTAAGCCGTCCACCACCCACTCGTCCTCTTCCTTCCAGCCGGGGTTCAGGTAGGGCATATTCTCGTCCATCCAGGCTTGGCTCACGACTCGTGCTTGGCGTTGTTGTTCCACGGCATTTGGACCAGACTCCATGAAGTCGCGCCATCGTTCTTGGTGAGTGTGGATGTCTGCCGACAAAAGGGCGGGCTCTGCTGTCCGTAGCGAGTCCCATTTCCGTCCCGGTCCCCTTTTGCCCGTGTGCGTGTGAAGAGTTTGGTGCGTGTTCTCAGGGGTTACGAGCGGGAGTACTGAAGCGTTTGGGATGTCTCTAGTGCTATTGCTTGTGTTTATGTGAACCCAGGGTGGAAGTGAGGAAGGCTGGTGCGGATCTGGGTTGGTAGCCGCAGCGGTGACAGAGGCCAGCAGCGAAGCCCGGTTATCGCGATTCTGTTGCATTTCGGGCATCTCCAGAGACGCCTACGCTCAAGGGCGCCGGATCATATATAGCACTGTAGACATGCTATTTAGTAGTGCATGTTGCTCAAGAACCCAGATTCAAAAGACCCGTGCAACCGGGCACCGAGCGGCTAAGGTCGATCGATAATGATCGACATGTCATGCATTAGCTTTGCGGGATTGCAGCGGCGCGTTGAGCCGTTCCGTGGTATGATGTCGTTAAATCAATATGATGGATGAAGCACATCGTGATCTCGAACAGAGAGCTTTATAGGGTAGTTGCACATGGGCAAAGTCAGGAGTCCAACCGTAAAGGGCAAGTAGCTGGGCATGTAATTTTGCAGCTTGAGCTTTAGGATTATTCGACGGGAGAAACGCGAGGGCTCCTCGCTTAAAACCCACACATCTACTCAGGTGCATTCATGTCCGCAGTAAAATCCAATAGTCCAGAACAGTTCTCCTTGGGGCTCTGAGTCGAGTTCCTGCACAACGGTGGCGCAATCATTTCATAGTATAGTTCTGCATCACGGACTTTTATCTAACGAAGACGTGCACATCTGCTCTACTCATCGTCCTCCACCTCCTCTATTTGCGCCTTGCGCGGCGGCACATTAGACACCAGACCAGCAGGAACTGGCTGACCTTGCTGTGGCGTACCAGTATTCGGCGCAGTCGCCTGCTGCTGCTGAAACACATTCTGCGGCGGCCCACCAGCACCCTCAAGCAAAGGCGTCTTCTCACTTCCCTCCTTCTTCCCACCACCCGCCGCCTTTTCCGCCCTCTTCGCCTTCTTCCGCTCCCTCTCCTCCTTCTTCCTCTTCTTGATGGCCTTTTCATCCTCATGCCACGCCCAACCAGGCTTGAACGAATCAAAGAACCCCACATCCTCAAACAAATTCGGAAACAACCACAATCCAGGTGGCGCAGCGAACATTGTAATCAAGAAAAGTATCAACCTCACAATCGCCATGCCGAAGAATAGACCCAGGAGGCCAAGCATACCCATACTCAAATACCACACCCCAAGTCGTAAGTGGTATGGCCAGACAGGGAAGAAGACCACGGCGAGGATCAAGAATAACGCACCAGCGGCGTAGAGCTTGTTCTTCCATTGCGAGCCCTCGTATAGCCAGACATAATACATCTCATCCCCCGCCTCCTGCTGCGGCTCAACCTTTACATTCCACACTCCTTTCACTCTCTTCTTCTTCCCATGGTTATGTCCTTCATGTCCCGCGCTCTCATCGATCTTGAGCACCCTCAACGCCAACAAAGACATAGGCAGGAGTTTGAAAGCGTTTTCCGCGCTGACTCTGTCCTTGACTTCTGGGAGGAGTGGATTCTTCTTCCGTGCCTTCTCGTACGCAGGGGTGTGAAGGGCACGGATCGCACGTTTGACTTTGAACATGTCTTTTCGCTTTTCTTGGAAAATACATGTTCGCATCTTGAGATCCTGATTTCGTAGGAAAGCGGCCATGGCGAGTGCTTCAGGCTTAGGAGGACCCGGTGCTATTGGAACCTGCTGGCCCGGTCGCTCTCCTCCGCCCTGCTGTTGCTGCTGCATTTGTTGTTGCTGTTGCACCTGCATTTGCATCTGTTGGTTTCGCATCGCTTGTTGTTTGACTCGCTCGATATATTCGGGTATGGAAAGGCCAGCTTTCTGTGCTTCGGCGGCGATTTGTTGTTGCATCGCTCTAATTTGTTCGGGAGTGGGTTGCTGGCCTGGTTGAAGCTGAAATTGGGGCATTCCTGGCGGTGGACCGCCTTGTTGGGTCGGTGGGGGGCCAGGCTGTGCCATGTTGGCGGAAAAGGGTAACAATCCTAGGAAGCGGATGGTTTGAAGAGATTATGTAGAGAGCCACTTGTTACGTAGCCACAGGATAAAGTTCGCAACATCTGAAACTCTGACTAAGCCTGGCTTGGCGAGATTTCTAGCAATCGTGTTCACAAGTCGCGACGAAGGCCGTGTAGATACTCAACAGTATGCTACGGACCTAGCCAGTACAGACTACCCAAAGCTATACTAAGCCGTCATGTCCTGGCCTCTGCTTAATGCCTTCGCGCGGTCCATCCTCAAACACCCTTCAAACGGGCTAACGACAAGCACGCCGGCAGTATGCTTACTTTCGAATTGTCTTGTGCTCCGCCATAGATCGCGTGTTCCCGGATGGATCTTTGGTAAGCAGTCTCCGCGCGGCGCCTTGAGATATGAGCGTTTAACCGTCGACATTCAGGTAAAGATTACGAAGAGTCCGCACTGTGACCGGACTCATGTGAAGAGGGCAGAGGACTTTCAGCAAGGTGTGTTTCAAAAGCTTCCAGTGCGCAGTGTATATTATCGCCTATCCACTTCCTAACGTTAGAAGGCGCTTCGTAGAGCGCCGAGCGGGCGGAGGTGGGTGAAGGAAGAGTGAGTGAGGAAGTAGAGAGTTGTGGTGCCAAGATTTCTCTGACGGGTGATCCCGTTTGCCGAGCACACCGCAAAAAGCCTCTCCAATTCTGCTGCAAGTGCCATTGTTGCTGAGCACACCCGTTCACTTTCATCAACACCTTCAACACTCGATCATCAGGTAGACAATCTTGCTCACTAGCCATGGGTAAGTTATCGCCTCGATCGTTTTATGGCTCCTCGGCTCGTCGGCTCCTGCACAACTGGAAGGACGACTGAGGCGACCTCGAGACAAAAATGCTGATGATATGATGTTCAGCACCAAAGCTCGACCCCAACGAGGAGAAGATTATTCACCTTCGCGCCACTGGCGGTGAAGTGGGTGCTTCGTCCGCTCTCGCTCCTAAGATCGGTCCTCTCGGTCTGTCGCCCAAGAAGGTCGGAGAAGATATCGCCAAGGCTACGGGTGACTGGGTATGGAAGCACCGCAGCCCACCTAGCAAGACGAACAGACACTAATATACCACGTGCACAACAGAAAGGTCTCCGCGTCACCGTTCGCCTGACCATCAAGAACCGTCAAGCTGCCGTCTCCGTCGTCCCATCTGCTTCCTCCCTTGTCATCAAGGCCCTCAAGGAGCCCCCGCGCGACCGCAAGAAGGAGAAGAACATCAAGCACACCAAGTCCATCCCCCTCGACGAGATCATCACCATCGCCCGCACCATGCGCTTCAAGTCCATGGCCAAGGACCTGCAGGGCACAGTCTTGGAGATCTTGGGCACAGCCTTTAGCACTGGTTGCCAGGTTGATGGCCGGAGTCCTAAGGCTATCTCCGACGATATTCACAGTGGAGAGATTGAGAGTAAGGATACGCATCTTCGCTTGCAGAGAGCAGTACTAACGAGCCGTAGTTCCTTCGGAGTAAAATGCTTCGCATGTATCACGTCAACATCATTCACGACTACGAGTCTCAGCAACATGAGCATGCGATCGGCGTCTGGCGCAGATAGTGCATCGTCACCAGATTTCGAAGCCAAATTTCGTACCCATCATTTCCTCGCTCACCATTCTTCCTCTCACGTCCTTCCACTCTCCCCTACTCTCCTTCCCAACTTTGCCTACACTCTGGCCACAATTGACACACCCGTGGTTATTGGCCTATTTTGTGCAAAGGAGATTGATGCTCCGACCTCTTACTCACCGTGCCGCACTCGCGCTTCCTTTACGGTGGCTGTGGGCGGAATGGTCCATATGACTTGGTCTACATATCTTACTGACCTCTGAACTGCATGCAGTCCTTTGCGCTCAGCGATTTGCGAAGTATATCGTAGCTAGGGTTGGTCCAGTGGCAACGTCCTATACTGGAGGTGTACACCGGACACGGCGTCGAATGCCTCTTGACTGCTTTGACTGTTCAATGGACCACAATGCTTCCCTAATTTCTGAGCGAGATCCTCGCTGGATCCGGGATGATCTCGAGCTCGATGAACTCTTTGGTGATCTTCATTATGGATTCGATACTATCAACACAGCCGAACCAGCCATATTTCTTGGCCTTCATAGTACTGCAATCAGAAGAGTCAGTGTCCAGATCCATCCGCGATTCATGATATGTTACTCACCTCATGATCTTCGCCCCTGTATCCGTCAAAGCACCGTCTGCTCGGCCGAATATGGCACCAACATTATCCCACTTGTCGCTCTGCAAACTGTGCGTAGCTGCCAATACCTTCCATGCCACTTGGTTCTTCTTGTCGTTGGCCCATACCACGAACGAGAAGCTGGCTTTGCCTTGTGCTGATGTCGTGGTGTCCGCCGGGCCAGTGAAGCCCACCCCGAAGTATTTGGCAAACACAGGCCAGAAGACAGCCCAGTTGAAAGTGTCATCATTACTCACATTGAACATCTGATTCTCCGTTTGTGGTGACAGGGCTTGCCATTCATACTGCAAGGCATTCAACGACGCATCGGCTAGACTTTGCGGCGCCTGCCAGGCCTCAGCACTCCCTGGAAAGTCCAGCGAGCGTCCTAGGTACTTCTGCACACTGGCGTAGACAAGGAGAGGGTAGAGCAATGTCTGAGGTGTGCTCGTCGAACTCGAAGAGCCGATTATGTAGGGCGGCAGACCCGCCGTCCATGTTACTTCTGGGTGCTCGGTGCAGAATGCTGTGAGGACGGCGTGTTGGGTGTAGTAGAGGTTTTTGTCCTCGTAGCCGGGTATGAGAGGTGGTTGGGGCGTGCCGGTGCGTTCGGGGTCTTCGAGCATGGGGACTGGTTGGAGACCTAAGTGGAGACCGTACCATTTGCCGCCGTATTGGATTGTGATGCGTTTTGGTAGTTTACTACCTGTTTCAGAGGCAAGGATTGGGAGGGAATCGAGAGTGTTCGCGAGAAGAGTCGTGTTCTTCTGTACTAGTCTCTCATCCTCCCAATTCAGGGCCCCACCGTCTTCCTCGGAAGTCACGAGGACATAAGCGAAGAAGAAGACGTAGTCAATCCTCTGGCATCCTGCCTGAATTAACGCTGACGCTATTTCGCCAGGACTAGAGGACAGGAGATCCACCGAGACGAAGGTCACATGGTCGGGCAATCGAGGAGCATTGGCAGGTGGCGAGCGGGAACAAGCGTAGATATGTTTCCAGCGGCTTGGATTGGCAGAAAGGTGGCGAAGGATGTGGGAGCCTGATATGCCATTTGCGCCTGTGATGATGGCAGTGTGTCCTTCGGGTTTGGTGGTTGTCGGGAGGATCGGTAGACCGTGATAGATAGCTTCGGAGTGGGTTCTGACGTGAGGTTGTGGTTGGAAGTTGGGCTTCACTTCTGTCTTTACATTCGGTTGTGCCATGGATTCATGCCTTTTTGGAAGTTCAGGTTCGCTTGGTGGGCGATAAGAGCTACAGAAATCACCCGAGCAATAGGACTTTCACAACATTAGCAGAGACTCGTCAAGGTCGGTACGATTCATCTTGCTGTTGTGGATGAGCGATGTGATGGAGAGAGCCGTATTCCTGGCCAGGTCGTTCGTCAGAAGCTGTGATTGGACAGATCGTCGGAGCTAGCGACGATGATGATCTTCACGTCAACTTCACCAGGCACCGGGTAGGACTCTTGACGTTCGACTACAACTTCCATTCAATTGTACATATCTTTCCGTGCGTGTTGAGATCCTTCGCATTCTCGTTGATGGTATACCGGCATATTCATGGGCATGGCGCAATATCGAACTACAACGTCAAGAAGATCAATAGGCAGATGAGTGCGATTGAACTGCATAGTTCCACGAGCACTGGATGTCTTTGTACAACCCGGACAATGGCGCTGTACCGAAAGGTACAGAGTTCATAGCACTTCTTGTAAGCCTGCATGCCACATGGAATCCCTCTCCCTTGCTTACACCAGGATAGTCACAGAGAGACTTGTCTCTACAGATTCCTATTAACTTCGTGACGCTGCCGGGTGTGTCCTTGACGGCAGCCTGCTTTCCACGACAGCGCTACGAGGATGCTGCGGCGGCACGGTGTCTTTCAAACTTGCTTGCCACTGGGTTTCGGCGATTTGAAGTGGACTTGTACTGGGATGCCAGTCGACGAGTATGGAGCTTGTGCCCGTTCGAGCTAGGTCGCTCAAGTCCGTCTTTGAACTCTACCAGCTTGGCACTACTCCCAAGCTCGCAGACGTCTCTCGCCAGTCTTGCGAGTGGAAGCTTGACTAGCCAGCCCGCCAACAAGAGACTAACGCAGGCGTCCTCTCAGCTACACGTACACGGGAGGCAAGCCAGCGATGTCCTTTCTGGTGTTCCTACTGATACAGTCGGTATCACTGGAAGCAGTCTGTCAGTCTCGGTGACAACGACTATCAGCGTCAGCTCGGCGAGCACATCCACAGTGTCTCCTACTCGATCTCCGAGTAGCCCACCCACATCAAGTAATAGCCAAGGTACACTCATACAAGCTGGACCATACTCTTGTACCCCAGCCGTGGATCTAGACATATTCACTACCGTGCTAGCTCAATATCTGAGCAATACCGAAACCGACCTTAATGCGACCACCAGGATTATTACACTCAATATACATGCTGCAGCGATGGCTGCAGATTCAGCTGGAAGCCCTCGGCAACCTCCTGGTGACATGTTGCCGCGAGACAATAATCTATTGAGCTCGGTAATCTCCACGAACAACTCTGTCTACTTGTACACTCCCACGGAGCTGCTCAGCCAAAGAGCTAACCTCAATGCGTCTGGGAATTGGTTTACCGTGAGCAAATCAAACCGGCCGAACGACGCATACTTCAGCATCGAGCAAGATGGGTCCACAGATAGCTCAATGGACGGCTGGCCCAGCGAGAGCTACGTAGAGCTGCAAAAAGCAAAGCGGTTACTGGTAGGCTTCGGCAATGTCGATCCCCAAATGAGAGCGTACAATTTCTCTGGTGACGAAAGCTTGGTCTTCCCAGCTGGCTATCTTTCATCGGCAGCAAGATTGACAGCATCTGCGACTGGTGAGGTGACTCAGGGATGCTTCTATAATACAGCTGCACAGTCAATCGGCCAGTACAATAACTCATGGGCGCTGTCCAATATTGCGTCCACTTCCACACCCGCGATGTTGGACGAGGTCGGGAACATCACGGCTTGTGGTGCCTCACCTTTCTTGAACCAGACTTTGAACAATACAGACGCGGGCACGAACTACGTTCCTTATCAGAATTTCGTGTATGCCCATGTCTGGTCGTGGAGCGGCGCTAGAGAGCCAATGTACGCCAATTCATCGAGCCAAGATAATGGCCAGGAGTTCTCCTGCGCAGCTGTGAATGCGACAAGTGGCGGCTGGCAGGCTGTCAACTGCAACAATGCTCACCATGGTGCGTGTCGCGTTGGGACCAAACCTTACGACTGGAGGATTACCGGACAAGAAGGCATTTATCGGCGCATTGATGCAGGATGTCCCGACGGATCGACGTTCGATGTCCCTCGTACAGCACTAGAAAACACATACCTCCTCAATACCTGGCGAGATCATCTCAGGTCGAATGACGATCCGGACTCCGACGATCGACTGCTTTGGGTCAACTTCAATGACCTCGATACCACGGCTTGCTGGGTCATCGGACAGAATGCAACATGCCAGTATCAACCTGGGTCTCCCGTAGACAAAGGACGTGCGATCATCGTGCCCACCGTTGCCGGAATTGTGGTGCTCGTCCTGGCTGTCTTGACCATCTTCACCAAATGTGCTGCGAACCGGCAGAACTCGAAGAGGCGGAGAAGAAGGGCAGATGATGGATTCAACTATGAGGGCGTACCTTCATAGTCATCTAGCTCCGATGCTGCGAAAATCACATATGACGCAGAGGTGTACATTTGCATAGCGATATACTTAGGAATGGCTTTGTACAAGCGTCCTTTGGTTGGCTCTTGTGCTTTGCATGAGTGACGACCACCTCGCCCCACAGCCCATGGCCAAGTTCTCTTGAGGACATTGCTAGCCTGTGATTAAGAGCCTATGCTGACATACATTGGTTACTTGGTTCAATCCCGGGCCAGACCATAATAAGATCGTTTCCAAGCGACCAGATCTCTCCTTCCTCCCACAGCCAGCATCGTTGAAATATGATCAGTGATCCTACTCAGGAAGGTCACCCGCAATAAAACCGAATAGATGATCGGAGTGTGCCGGGACATTCTCGTCTGTTGCAGGATTGTTCGACTCCCTCGTGGCCTCGAGGAGGCTCTTGGGCATCGGCGGTTCATTCAGCACTGAACAAGTTCGATACAGATACGATGGCTGGTCTCGCGTGGCCTAGGAAGATCCGGCCTTTGATTCGTCGTCCTTCCCAGTGAGATCTGGAGATCAACATTGCCAGTATCTATTACCCTGTCAACCTCCGACTTGTTATGTCGCTGCTGCCCAGCGAGTGGCTCAATAATGATGCTATTCGGATAGCATTTACTTGGGCAATCTTGCAATCAGAGAGTGTTAAATCGTGGGCTGGCCTGTTCGACCAGTTCATTCGTGGATTGAAGGTTGGCAAAGGAGTTACCAACAGGCTGCATGCTCATCGGTGGCGAGACGGGAAGTAGTGTGCACTTTTCCTGCGCGCTACCCTGTCTCCTATTCATAATAGGATAGTCCACTGGTGTCTGTTCGTGCGTGTTTGCGACGATGGAGAGTCATAGTATGACTACCTGTTTGATCCCCTCGGCTTCTGAACAACAACAGCTGCGGTACCAAGGCTGGAGGGAATACCATTACTACATTGTATTGGTATGCCAGAGCCAAAAAAGTCTGTCGACTGTGGAGCTATGTGTATCGCATTTCTTATGTATCCCCTAGAAGACCGATTCCAGCCCGTCTGGAGGACACGACTCCGGCGATCATGTGCTACGGTCTGACAGAACCTACTCGAGGATATATATAATAGGATGTCGCAGACGATGGCGGAGGGAGCCACTCAGTCTCCAGACACAAACCCGACCACTGTCGATTCGCCGGCCTCATCGACTAGATCTGGACACGACGATGCAGGCTAGACCCTCGGCCGCCTCGCTAGCCAAGCAGAGGTTCTCCTCGCCATCGCTCGTGATTATGTCGCAGATGATACGATTCATGATCCGGCTATCTATTACCATCTCGCACGATGAAGGTCCTCAACCCTTTCGATCTTATCCTATCCTCATCCAAGGGCGAAGCCATCATCTTGGACCGCATTCGAACTCGGTCTGAATACTGTTTTCGGACAGGAAAGCGTTTTGTAAGGCAAGACCTACTAGAGCTACGTGGGCAGTATAAGGGCCAGCGTGAGTGGAACCGCCTGAGGAATTTCGTCAAGATCCGACACTACGACACTGTCTGTAAGGAGTCATGCTGCGCTGGCTACCAGCCATACATCAATGCGATGTGGCACCCGGTACCATTGGAAGCTGTCCAGACACGGCCAGACCACGCGTTAAAGTATGAAATAGGACTGGAATCCGAGAGACGCACGTCCGATGAGATATCTGCATTTCCAACTCTGTTTCGTTCCTCCACTAGTCAATGCGAGCTATTGACAGCGTTCCGTAAAATCAGTCCCCTGTTACGACCAGGATCACCTTCAGTCGATGTCGACCAGCTACATGTTACACACTCCCTCCCTCGGCCGATATCGTCTTTCATTTTCGTCTCTCGCGAGAGCGAATATCAGTCCAACACTTCTGGACACACAGGCTATTTTCGCCTGAAGAAAGCTCCAGCAGGAGGCGATCTGCCATGCAGATGCGATGAGAATAGTAATCAATGCAGATGCCGCATCTGGTGTCTCACCCAAATCCGTGGTTATGGTCGTGATTCGAGCTACAGATCTTGGCTCGTGTTTTATGCCATCTTTTTGGCGACATGCTCCTGCGATCCAGAGCTTCTTCCAGGCCGACAGACCAGATTCGTGGCACGAGGTGCTTGGTGCAATGGCAGCCTTTTTCGTGGGCCAAGAAACCGAAGTCGTGCGGTGGACTCACCATAGATTCCCAGACTCGCTCAAGATCTGGACATCAGCAAAGCTACCATCCTGAGATGACTAGACTTCGGCCACTGCAGAATCAGACCAACGATTGCAGAGGGTATCAGTCCTCCGCCTCAGAACCGATGATAGCAGAGCAGTGCAGTTCATAGATGCATTGACCTCATCGCTCATGTCGTTCTGCCCCCGTCCTGGTGAAACCGGTATTCCGGCGTTGATAACCCGTGGTGCGCCCTTGTACGACTGGCATCGAATGAGGCTTTTCGCCTCGACTCTAGCACGGTTTTACTGGATCTTGATGTGGGGGACAGCGAACATTGGGTATGCGCCAGACTTCACACGAGATGACGAGGCCTTCTGGATCGTTGGGAGCTGGGAGATTCGTATAGATGTGGAGGAATTCCCGGTTATCATGGCCATTGCTACTGCTCTTACGATTGATATGTTGAGGAGGATGATGGCTACTGAAGCGGATGCTGGAGAATGGTGCAGACGGAAAGCCACTAACGCTGGCGTCGTCTTTGGATGGGACATTGTTACTACGTGACGACGTTGAACAGGATGACATCTGTCCAACCGACCACCACCCAGTGTGACACGAAGACAGTGGCGAGGAGTGGAGCTAGTACATGAAATTATACTCCTCATTCTCGAAGATCCCCTGTCACCACATCCTAATTGCTGCCCCTCTACAATACCTCGCCACGTCTCTCTCGCAGCCTCGGACTTGGAGATGGCCTCCTCCATCGCCGCAATATGTTGGCGCTTCTGCTCAAGAAGAGGAGCAGCGACACCCACCAGAGATCCACCGCTGCTAACCCACATGACAGTCGTGATTGCCGCAAATGCAGACTCGAGTGTCTCCTCATCCTTCTCCACTGCAGTCTTCAGGTCCTGGGATATCATGAGTCCCAGGTCGGAATAGCCGGTATAGCATTAAGACACCGTCTGGAAGTAACACTTCCATCGTGGCCTCAACATTTCAGAAGACACCTTAGATGACACCGAGACAACGTCGGGCATCTGGCCGTCTCAATGTTACGACCGAAGACACTTCCGAAATCACACATATCCCGTCCATTTCACGAAGATATAGTGGGTCGTCGCAGCACTCCGAGAAGCAGCGTGAACTCTGCCGTCCCTTCAAGGAGCTAACAAAGCCCGCAAGCAACCGTGCTGGAGTCAGGCTCGGTTGTCATGCACCACGATGCACGTTGCCGGCGACTCGGCCAGTAGCCGAACACAATCCATATGCATGTCTCTTCTGTGTCTCGCAGAGTTGCCAATAAGCTCACGCATATGCATACGCCGAAATGGCGGTGGGCGGCCGGAAAGTGGAGTGCTGCAACATGTTCGACGCCTGACTCTCGAGCTATGAGTCGTATACTCCTTCAAAAGGCGATCGTGAGGTTTTTAGCAGCCAAAAGCGTTGCCTTGCTCAAAGCACGGCGGCTTTACCACGGTCAGCCGGCTGCAAGACAGTTGTGAGCCTGCACGACCGGTAGTTCGATTGCGTTGTAGAAGAACGAACCGTTGCGCATCTCTTCCCTGGGACCGTGCCTGCAGCTGACTAGAGCAACGTCCAAGCAGCTAACAATTCGATAGATACTGTACTCTGCATAAATTCAAACCAGTACCCTCAACCCAACGCACTGGTGCATCACCGGTAGCAAGCAATTGCATGGATTTTCGAATCGCCTGTGATCTCCAGCGGGAACGAACACAACCTGTTTTGATCTTGTGAGCAGAAATCCTTCAGATTCGAGGTCTGGCGATGGTGCCAGTCAGGCGACGTTGAGGTCATCTTTAGGGTCTACGGAGTGCTTAGCCGACATCTGCACTGTTTACTGGATGTCACTGGCTCGGAGACTAGATTGTGAACGTCGTGGCGCTTATGGCGCGATGATGAGTTTCATCTAAACGAACCAATCGTGGGTTTCAAAGCAACAAATACGGAAGCATACCTCGCACGATGACACTTCCATGTACTGTAACTTTGCGACCAACAAACACCTTCTGGCAAGATATCCGATTGCAAACCCAGTGCTTCGGAAGATTTGCTGCAAGATCTCTGCTCTGTATGCACACTCGCTTGTTCGGTGATTTGATTGGGTGCCTCTCAGATAGCTTCGCGGGAGCATGGGAAACGTTGGCGTCAGGCTCGCGATTTGGCGGTATCAGCCGATCGGGACAGATCTTGGTTCTTCGCTAATGTGGGCCCGTATAACTTTCCTGGTGCTCATCCTTCCCTCGAACGTATGACAGCTGATGATACTTATGGTTGTGGTACGATTCAATCATAGGCAGCCCGGACATCACGACTCGTGGTAAGCCAGGGTGATGATATGTGCAGACTTGATGATTTCTACATTGTGATGGGCATGCTCCTGACTCGTATTCGTCAGTAGTTTACCACAAGAGGTCGATCAAACAGAGCTCGTCCTCCAGCAAGGGCCAGCACAGCTATCGGACCCCCGTCTGCGTTGGCAGCGTTGCTCATGCGCAACAGCATTGTCTGATGAGCAAGATGAACAGACTTGTCGCCAGCTCCGGGCCCGATTGGCAAAAGCGTGCACCAACCACATCATCATTGCTCCAGTGTAGCATCGCCGTCAAGATTTGTTGCTGGACTACATTCAGTCGGAAAGTCTAAGCTAATCCTTTCGAGTATATGCACACTACCAACATCATTGGCCACCTATTCGCTCACTCTTGCAGGCCCTCCTACTACTGCAATGCAATGCATGTACCCGAGCGAGCCCGGCTGCAGGCCCGTTCCTTTTCACATATTTGAAATCGCCCCTTGGGCTATAGCGCTGCGAATGTGGGGAACAACGGCTGAGGAGGGCATGGTAGGGCCGGCTGCAAATTATGTTGACCAGCGAGGATAGTTGTTGATATGCCGTTGTCCTGTGTCTTGCAGCTTGACGAGCGCAATATCGCGGCAAGACATTTCTTAGACCTTGACATTGGCCTGCTGTGCGACGCAATGTGCAGTATTCTATCTGAGACTCCAGTAGCGCTAGGGTCACTCTGCTGCCCATATAAGCTTCGCACGGGGATCTGATCTACCGCGCGTTGACTCCTGAACGTCAAAGTCGCAAGCCAACACTCTACAATTAGGTCGTGGCTGAGAGCAGCACAGGCAAAGCCGAAATGAAGCATTGTTTGCCTGCTTCGCTGAAACTTCTACCACGGTGCACATTTTACCCGCGTGGGAGAAGGTCCTAAAAATACCGTGAGGGCGTTCAAGGTTGGCGGTAACTCGAGCGGCTCCTCCCTTGCTGAGCGCCCTGTACCATGGTAGCTGTTGTGACCTCGAGGAAGCAACGTGCGTGCGTCAGTGCTGGAATGGTACTGGCAGAGTTTCTAGGTCAGCGCACTCTATGCTCGTGCTAGTCCCTTCATAATACTATACGATCGACCAAGTCTACGCAAAGCACGCTGCACGAAGAGAATGTATGCCGGTGCTGCACTCGGGTTTGTGTCGCGAAAGTCAATGATTTCGGGAGTAGCGCGGCGCTGTAGTAGATTCGCTTTACTCATCCCTGTTCCAGGCCCCCTGTCTTGCAGTGTCAAGTCAACTTGCAGGGGACCGTGGCCAAGAAGTGCTCCAGTGCGCCGGGTTCAAGATCGACGTACGTCCACTCCACACCTGAACAGACGCCAACGCTTTCCGTCACATCTTCTGCTTGCCTGCAGCAACTCATCGCCCCTCCGCACCTCGCCGTCATACTATTGCCTGTGCTATTGCTGCATCGGGAGATCCTTGGCGCCTTCTTCGACCACAGCCGTTGCAGTGAGCCCCTCATAGACTCCACTACCAGCAAACTCAACTTTAGACTCAAGACAGTGTTGCGAAGCTCACGGCCACCGCTGAAAGTCTATCGCTTTAATTACCGTTGCTTGGCTACTGACTACATTTATCCCACGAACGGTGCCGCCAAACCGTCGCTTCCGAGCGTTTTCATTCCCACAACTGTTGGTCCGCAACCCTATAACGGCGACTGTCGCATGCTTGCTCAGTGATACACGACCTTGTGTGTCCCTTAACACTCGCATCATCTGTCCTCGAGTCTCTCCTACCAGGTACCGCACCACCTCGAACACTCTTTTACAGCGACAAGCCAGGCAGGACGCATACCAAGGCTAGACCGAGCAACCAGGCGACATGCCTCAACACAAACGTGGACCTTGGTCACAAACGGAGGACCAGTTCCTCCTCCATCTTGTTAACCTGCATGGCGCACACAACTGGGTCCGGATCAGTGCCACTATTCAGACGAGGTCGCCTAAGCAATGCCGGGAACGATATCATCAGAACCTGAAGCCGAATCTCAACCATGATCCAATCACGCCCGAGGAGGGTGTACTGATCGAGCAGATGGTTGGCGAGATGGGCAAGCGGTGGGCGGAAATCGCCAGGCGTCTACGTGGTCGCAGCGATAATGCTGTGAAGAACTGGTGGAATGGTGGCATGAACCGCAGACGACGAAGCAACAACCCGCGCCGTCCAGATTCCGAGGTGCCACAGGCGCACATGAGCGTCCCAAGCTTACCGCACCCGCCGACGCATCACCACACGCTGCCTTCCAGCTATGTGCAGCAGCAGCAACAAACACCAGTGCTCCAGGGTTACTATGGACAGCCCATCTACCCAGGTCCCATGCCACAGAGCATCCAGATGCCGCCCCATGGACAAATGTATAACCGCCACTCAGGCTACATCGAGACACCACTCCCGTCACCGTCAGCGTTCTCTCAACTGTCAGCCGACGGTGCACCATCCTTGGTCTCTGACACATCGTCTGTCTCGGGACGCTCACCTTTCCATGGCCATTCGTCGGTGGAGCTCCCACCACTTGCTGGGTCAAGGGATTCAAGGCGAGTCTCGGCGCACTCTGCTGGCTCGGGATTACGGCTCAGCGTGCCAGGCTCATTCACTGAGATCGACTTCTCGCAGCCACCGATGCCGAAACACCAGCCGACGCACATGCTACAAGAAGCCTTTCAGCCGCAACGCCAGCATCAGCAGCAACATCAGCAGCAACATCAGCAGCAACAAGCTCAGTTCTCACAGCCAGCACACTATCTACCTTCACAGCCAGTTGAGGGCATGCCGAATCAGGCCCACCATGCTATGCAGCAATTTGCCATGGGTCCTGCGGGTCTGATGCGAGCCAACAGCTTCTCTCACATGCCCATGCATCCGATGCAGATGCAGCAACCCATGGCCATGCAATCTGTGCAGCTACCTAGCATCGCCAACTTGTCCGTCAACGACCGATCCCGACCGACTTCTGCTCTGCCAATCGACCCTGCAATGATGCACACACCGGCGCTCCCATCTGCGCCTACACCTGACGGCTCGCCACGAGACAAGATGAGCCTGTCGAACTTGACACACTAATTACGGAACTAAAACCCATGCGGCATAATCTAATGTCTACCTTTTGGAGATGGATCACGAAAGGATGCATTGCCTTGAACTTTGTACTATTATAGCGTTGTAGCGAGAACACAGAAACCCGGATATCCTTATACCCTCGCCACTCGCAGGCACAGGAAGCAATGCGGTGGCCGTCGAATGGTTTAGCGAGAATATTACAAACTGTACACAGCAGACAGCAGCCTGGCGATAGCGCCATAGGCTCGTCATTAAGGACGATCAAAATGTTCTCAAAGTCACATGTCTTGCTCTCCTTGCTACTGTACCCCTCTCAGACCTTTCGAAACGCGACTCCGTCGAAGCCTCCCGTTCTCCTCAGACCCTGGGCGTCATGCACGGCGCAGGAGCTGAAACATGGTATGAGACGTTTGCAGATCATCGCCCTACTCCACATCCCGTATACTGAGATCGTCTTGACTTTATCCTAGGGTACGCTATTGAGTCAAACTCCACAGAACAATGACGAAGGAAAACTTGCACGCAACGTCGGTGCAAAGTCTTCTATTCCAGGCACAACAAGTCTCGCCGCCGACATGTGGTGGAAATTGCTTGAACCCATCTATAGCATTCAAGCGTGGCCGCCATAACGGTGGGTAGACTCTGTGTCTTGTGAGGGTGGAGGATAGAGTTTAAGTTCGGCCAACCCTGACCTGGCACGTGCAACACCATGCGCGCACGCTCCTGATCCATGTTTTTTGCCTGATCGGCGTGAACACAATTGTGGATCTGTTTTGCACGATGAGACTTTCATGAGAGCTCTCAATTGTGGTTCCGGAAAATATGGAACCAGAGGTCTCGTTGTCAATAATCAGGGTCTACCTGGTCATACTCTCACACTTCACATCTCAGGCTCTTGTGGGTAACCACAGATCACGAAGCAGGGTAGAGTGTCAAATCACCGATTGCTCTCGAGATGCTGGGCTCGAAGCCTATCTACACGGCTGAAGCATATCCACCGGCCTCGAAGCATATCCACCGGGTTAGGATGGTCGAGTGGGAGATTCACAAGCTCGTAGATCCCTCGAGGCCTCCAGTCGAACATTCAACGAACGTTGTATGAAGTAAAATCACGTCACAATTCAATTCTATCAGTGCGGTGGGCGATCCTCCTGCCCGCGAGAGCTGTGCTATGCCAGCCAAGGGTATCACGAAAACGACCGTCCTTCTCTTCAACAGCACACCAACCATACCTTAACTCCTGTCTTTCCATCAGAGCAGCCTGACACATGCCATTCCGTTGTACGCCGGCTCAAGCACTTCTTACTGCCTGCTTGAGCCAAATATCACCACCTTCGCCTTTCACCCATCGGGACCACGCAATATCGTAAGCATCCTCCAGATCCCGGACCCATCGTCGAGTATCGAACAAAGCACTGTTCCAGCGCGCATAGTACAACATTTTCCTGAGATCCATCAATCGACCCGTGCCTTTGCCCTTGCATCCTTTTGGATACGTCGTCGACTTCGCTAGTGCCACAGCTTTCTCCTCGTAATCGTCCTCGTTCGCCGCAACGAGCTCCTTTGCGGCTCGTGCACCTTCTTCGTCTTTGGGCAGTGCGCCCAACAATATACTGGCTGCCATTCGACTACACATCTTGTATGAATATCGAGGCAAGGTGAGTAGTGGTGTGCCACTCCATAGCACGTCTGCTGCTGTTGTGTGAGCGTTACATTCGGCGGTGTCCAACACGACGTCGCATATCCGTGCTCGGGAGATATGCAAATGCTTGGGAGCCACATCAGTGAAGATGACCCGAGATGCCACCTCGTGTCCAGCCCAAAGTCGTGCTGTTGCGAGCAAATGCGACTCGCCAAGGTCGGGAAACCGTAGAAGCCAGAGGATTGAATTGGGAACACGAGCTAGAACTCGAAGCCAACTGCGGAACGTCGTTGGCTCGATCTGTGATACTTGTTAGTGATGACCTGTGAGCTTTGAGATGGTGGGCATACCTTGTAGAGCTGATTGAAGTTGCCAAAAATGACGGTCTCATCAGAGACCTGTGGAAAAAGCTCCTTTCGCATCCTCCATCGTTCCTTCTGCTCCTCATCCCAGCTCAACGCTTTGTCGTGAGCACCCGGCGCACTTTGCTTATGGTCACAGCAGAAGAAAGTGTCCCTGCGGTATATGATGTTCTCTCCATAGACCCAGTCCTCTTGCTCTCCACCAGTCTGCCCGTCCACCATCACGTCCTCGAGATCGATATTGCGGCGCCAAGGTCTCAGGGTGTCGGGCGGTATCGAAGTCTCGTCCGCGAGAAGATAGTCACACCATTCGGCCCCTAGCGTGCCAGCGAAGCCCATGAAAGACATCTGGATTGGCGCAGGCCGGGCAGCGAATACCTCGTTGCGTGCTCCCCGAGTATAGCCGTTGAGATTGACCAAAATATGAATTCCATCCTGCACGATCTGGTTGACAAGTCCCTCAACTGACCATGAGCTCGCATCATGGAAGACTGGAGCCTCGCTCTCGATCTGCTCACGGTGCACGGACTTGTCACTAGCAGTAGTCGCATAACAATATGCCTTTACCCGCGCAGTATTGTGCATGCCAAAGACGGATTGCATTAGATGCGCCAGTGGATGGTTGTTGAAGTCCGAGGAGAGATAGCCTACCCTCAGGCGTGTTGACGGCGGTTTTGGTGGTGGGTAGACTTGCTTTGGTAACCACGGCGCTCGCAATGCAGACACCGAAATGCGCATTCCGTTCCTTTGTGAGATCAGTCGGATCTGTTTCGCTGACATAGGGCAAGTGAAAGTATGGAAGGGCAGTACAGTCGGAGCTGTAGGCACTGTTAGCGACGCTGGCAGCTGCGGCCGGGTGTAGCTGCTAGCTGGTCGTGGCTTCTGCTTGACATAGGTGTCTTGATACCACTGCCAGCCTATGCGACGTGTAGCGCGCTCTACGAGCCTTGTGACACGAGCGCCCTCCCATCGGTGACCAGCCCACGCCTTCAGTACCTTGCGGGTGCTTGCCACGCGCTCTTTGCCATCAATATCAGACCCATCACGCGGCAGGATCTGCTGCAGCATGTCCTCCATGATCGATTGCGTAAGCGTACCACAGCCCCATCGTTCGCCGTCAACAAGTTGCTTCTCGACTATATCGACCACGCGCTTGATCCAGCCAGAAGAAGAGGCACCTGGCAGTCGAGCATCGAGTAGCATGCCATGTTGGTCCACGTGCCACCGATCACGCCTACCATCATCTGCCGCAATACCACCTCGACCTTGCCATCCACAAACCGAATTGAGTGCATTGGCCAATCCGCATACCGCTTCAGCGAAGTCTGGGCTGGCTTCCACAGCTCGTTTGTAGTAGACGATAGCGTCTCCAACCCTGCCTTTGTCCTTGACAGCATTTGCAAGATTCGCAAGTGCAATGTCGAATTTTCCATCGCACTTGACGGCACGTTCATACATATTGATAGCTGCGTCCAGCTGATTGATGTCCTTCAGCAGACTGCCCAGATTCGTGTAAAGATGAGCATGATTCTGGTCAAGCTGCAAGCCGTAGTTATAGTACTGGAGAGCCAGCGCAATACCGCTTCCTGGGATCACACCAGGGATATCATACTTGAGTGGGCTTGGAAATGGTTGCACTACCTGCTGCACACTAGCAAGTAGAATGCCAACGTTGTTCGCTGTCGAAGGGCTTGGCTGCAAGGAGAGCGAGAGGTAGTACAAGCCGAGAATTTCTCGGACGCCGTATGTCGGCGCAGTCATGCAGGTGGAGCGACCGGAGCCGGACATGCCATCTTGGAAGATCTTGGCCAGCGATAGAAGTGCGTTGCTCGTTGTGGAAATAGCCGCTTTGCGAGCGAGACTCTGAAATTCTCCCGGCACATGCTGCAATCCTGGTAGCTCACCCTGATCCGGGAAGCACAGACTTGCAGTAGCGAGGGCTTGTTCGGGAGCCAGCAGCACAGGCTCCATGGATATAGGTTGTTTGCCACCATGCTGAGCTTTTAGTGAGACCATGCCGAGTATGTGGCCAACCAGACCATGGATACTATTGTGATATCTCCCAGCTGCTATAAGCACAGCGTCCTCGAAAGCACGAGCTGCGCTGGCATTCTCGCCAAGCCCATATAGCATGTTGCCTTTAGCATGTATTAGAGCTAGCATGCGTCCATTTTCGCTACCAGCAACTGCAAAGCCGCTCGACCCGAAGCCTGGTTCCGAAGAGGAAGGATTGTCACGCCAGTTGGTGGGAAAGTCGTCCGCATCGCCATCGAAATCATACGCGATGCTATCAGAGAGCTCCGAGATGCATGGTGAACGGCTCGCTGTAGAAGCCGAACTTTCGCTTCGTCGGTCCAGTGATTTGAGCGTGTCGGAGTCTTTGTCGCGCTTCAACGAGTTCTCGACGTATTCAATGACCTTGATCGCCTGCGCGCTTCGTTGGTCGTTGCACAGCAGCCCTACCAGATGCTCTACAGCCTCGAAATGATTCGGAGCAGCCTTCACGACTTTCGTCCAGTAATTTTCCGCTTCGTTTCGTCTTCCTAGGGCAAGCAACGTTGCTGCAAGATTTGAGAGCGCCTCAAGGTGTTTCGAGTCTTTCTCGAGTACCTTCGAATACCACCTATGGGCTTGCTGGTAATTACCAAGACCATATGCAAGACATCCGCCGAGGAGCATGCCATCTGCCCAGTCCCAATCGCTTTCTTGACAGAGCCTAGTCATGGATGTGAGCGCAACGGCGGCTCTGGAGTGCGGCGAGTCGTCCTGTGGCGGCTGGGAGATTATTGGCAGTACAGTTGAGCCGGAAACACGTCGAAGTGTTCGGAAACGATCTTGTTGTGCCTGATGTGGCCATGCTTGATGCTGAGTTGCGCTACTCCATTGCTCGCTCGACATTCGGCGCTCATACTCGTTATCCTGCATCTGTACCCCGCTGGGATTCCAGGCGGATGGCGAGCGCTGTCGGGGTGTTGAGTTGTTACTCAAGGTATGGGAGCTTGACGTGGCATCTGCTTCGTCACTATTCGTAGGTAGAGGATGCTTGTGCCCATCCGACACAGTCCGACGCCGAGTTGGCCGCGTCGCACCGTATGATGGCTTGGGAGGTTTGGGATAGAAGGCGGGGCGGTGTTGCTGGCCGCCAGCCACTGAACGGCCTTGTTGTTGCTGCCGTCTCGTGTGGTGGATGAAACCTAGTAGATCTCTGTATTGTTGCAGTGCCCAGGCAAATACTGTATCCCGTTGCTGGCCACTCGTTGAGGCAGGTCCATACTCGCTGTTCTCATCAAGTGGTACTGCAGCAGTGACAGGCCAGGCGGAGCTACCGTGATGTACGGTGTAATGTGGCTGAGGAGATGGTCCAAATGCTGGTATATGAGGCGGAGGAAAGGCAGCACCACTTGATGACCATGAGCTGCCGTATGGATGTGATTGCCAAGATGCTTGACGTGCATAATGGGGCTCTGGCATGGAGCCCGGCCATCGCATTGGCGGTTGCTGAGACTGGTGGTAGAAGCGTGGATCGCGTATGGCAGCCGGTCTGTATGGAACATATGTACCATCATGCCAGTAAGGGCCATAGGGACCTGATCCTTGCCCACCAGAAGCAGTGGGACCCAGGTATTGGAACGATGGTTGGAGTACACTGGGCACGGTTTGTCCATACCAATGCTGCACGTTCAGTTGAGACATGGGTGTCTGGTTGAGCATGGAGTCCATGACAGGCAGAGAGTGTGGGTGAGAATACTGGGAGCTGTGCCAGCCAAGGCCAGTCGGGAGGGTGTGGCCTGATAGCGCATGTTGTTGCTGCTGGTGTTGTAGAAAAGTACGTCTGTTGGGCATGCTTGAGCTATAGGAAGGTGGCGCGAAAGCGCTCTCACTCAACATGAGCTGATGCTTTTGCGGATTCGAGTACTCGGCCGTACCCACATACCCAGCATTTAGAGTGCCCTTAGGTGTCTTTCTTCGCAGCGTGTCCTCGGCTCGAGGCGTATCTGCGCCACTGTCCTGCGACGAGTCACTATTGTCGTTCTTCCGATCATGGTGTAAAGGCAGGGCGTATTGCTGTAGTGGGTGTGACATCGAGTCCTCCCGCGACAGATGTCTCGTTCGGTCTGAGTGCAATGTGTAAGAGCCACTTCGCGACCGTCCAGCGCTCATTGTGGCGCAGCAAGCCTCTTGAACAGCCAAAACGTCCAAGACCGTATCTAGTGCTTATAGGGCGTCACCGCCTTGGATAAGTGCCTATACCTTTGCGATACAGTTTGACGTCGATTGCGCATGACATCGCTTATGCTCCAGCGCCAAGATTGTTGCGGTATGATCTCCCTCCACTCTTGCTTAAAGCTGCTGCGTGCCTACTCGATTGATGCTCTCGAGGCTATTCCTTGCTCTTAACGAGGATTCTCTGTCCAACGGAACGCCCTGCGACCAGCCGCGACTCGTGCACGAAAGAGCCAAGATTGGCGAGCGGACAGTGGTAGCCGGACGGATATTCACACGAATGGCGTCGTGAGCCTGTGCCGCATCGCCCAAGCAAGGGCAGTACCTGTTGACAGCCGTCGGAGCAGAGGGCGGACGTGTGCACTGCTTTCCCGGGTAGCCACAGTATATCTATGCAGAGTCGTGGCCTGCTTCGTGCAAGACCAGATTACCGTCGTCGTGCCGCAACAATGTGCACTTTGCCGAGACGAGATCCGCGGGTATGTAACGAGAACGCGGCCACCACCGTACCCTGCTTCCTACACCTCGAATCGGGAGTATTTTCTCCTCTCGGTGATGTGCACGATATGCGTCTCCCGTGATCTGCGACAGATGTATGCAGAGTCCTGATGCTGAGACACACTGGACTGCGCCGGAGGATATACGTCCCTTGAGCCGTCCTTATCCTTCTGCTTGCTCACCTGTTATGTTAAGACTCACGGAGAGTCTGCGGATGCACACAGCCTGCATATGCGGACCCAGAGTGCATACGCAAATACAACCCATGCTTGGGCTGTTGGTTAGCGGTCATATCATTGGCGTACACGGCGAAAGCGCTGAAGCAGGATGGAAGCTAAGAACGCCTCACCCGCAGCGGTGGAGTCGCTTCGACATGTCCCACAGCTGTTTGGAGTGGGCTCCAATCTTTTGATGCTGGTCAAAGGGACGGTATGTTCTAGCTTGTATCTAATGCAGTGTGATGAATGATCCGCTCGAAATACCTCAACCGGACACCGTCACCATACGAGAGCATCTACGAAACAGAGGAACCCAATTATTGGCAATCGTGTCTCCACGTCCTGATTCGCGGAGAGGGTCTGACATTTGCATGATTACTGGTCTGCAGCCAACGCCGCAGGAAGCCATTTGCATGGACGCATGCAGGGTGGCGTCCCACATCATTCGTGGATCACATGGGATCGGCGCGACTGCCCTTGTCAATTCATGCCGCAGGTTCAGTGTTCCTTATTACGAGGTTGTTCATGCAAACGCTGGGTGAAGCGAGAGTGTGGAGGGTCTTGCTGATGAAGCCAGAGCATCATGATCGCGACATCTTTCCATATTATTCGCGATGATTGGTGCCGATGCGGTCGTGCCGATGGCGTCAAGTGCTATGGCGCAGTACATAGAGTGCTGACTAGCCTTGCTATTTGCTGACATGAAGCGCCTCACAAGCCTCGCGCCACATGTGCACCATATACGAGAAATATCTCTGCTGATGTAAGTACTCCAATGAGCCAGAAGTATCATACACGGTTTGTTCAAAATGTATCGTCGTCAACATCAAAAGCTCGCCTGACAACACTCGGGCTCGCTTCCTCCAGTCCTTCACCGTCCGCCTCAATCTCATCCGTTGCGTCCGCGCCTGCAGTCAGTAGAAGATCTTCAACAATCTTTCGGCTTGCTTCACGAGCCGGGGTCTGCATCAGCCGGCTCTGCGGGACGTGAAACTGCATAGTCTTCGGCGGGCTCATTTCAAGCTCATCTTCATCGCTGTCATCGTTGAAGATGTAGGAGGTCCGGTCCTTGCTGGCAGTATAAGCCTTGTCTTGCGGACTGAAAAGCTGCCGACCAGTAGACGTGGTGGGAGCAGGTCGCCCAATTTTGCCACGTGCTGGAGTAAGGACTGACACTCCCGGAGTTCTTGGCGCCTTAGCTGGAGAGAACAAGTCGCTCCGAAGCTGTGGTGCAGCCATTGCGGGAGAGGAGTTGGGCGAGTCGTCCCAAGGAGCGGTTTTCGTCCCGGTTGCTGGCGTAGGCTTCGTCGCGGCTTCTTTCTGACGTCGCTGCGTGTGTGGCGTTGCCTGAACACGATAGCTCTTGTCGAGAACACGGTGAAGCAGAGGATCATTATTGTGGCGGAGAGCAGAGGGCTGGTACGCCGACTCAGGCTGGAACGGCGAAGACTGCGGGTATATGTCTTGATGAGCACGAGGCGTGCTTGGCTCCTCTGAAGATAATGGCATTGCCATTGGGTTCTTTCCAGTATACTTTCGTGGTGAGGGCGATCGGTAAGAAACCGCTTTGCGGCCACCATTCGCGGGTTTGCTCGTCGATGCAGAAAGCTTAGGCGTGCTCTGAACGCCGGTGACCTGTGTTGGGGAGTCTATGGTGAATTCCTCATCGTCGTCTTCTCCAGCCAGCGCACCGGGAGAAGCATCTTGGCCATCCTGCTCAGGCGTCTCGAGGCTGACGGACGTCTCAGTATAAGTGGGATCTTCTGGCTCCTCGTAGCCGCTCAGAGAGACATTGGCCGAAGCCTCGAAGAAGTGCTTCCAGAACTGTTTTTGTATTAGTGATAATCTTGGTCAAGAAATGGGATCGCCTCACTTTCGAGCCTTCCCAGACATCACTACTGTGCTTAGCATACTGCTCAACAATCGGAAGAATGCTGCCCGTGACGATGCGGTGGGCTTTCGAAAAATTGCTATCGATCTCCTGAAGTGTGAGCGTGATCTGTTGCTCGAGTCGCTCTAGCTCCTGTTGCACAACTACTGTCAGAAGACTACATGCCGAGCAGATCAGGCATCACGCACCTCTGTCAGCGATAGCGTTCGTGCAGAGCCCTGTCTAGACATTTTGTTCTGATGATTTGCGTGTATGCTGCTTGCGAACGCGTGCTCGACGCGTTGTGAGAACCGGAGATTCGGCGAAAGGTCTTGCCGGGACTTGCAGTACTGCACTTCTCCTCACTACCAGGAGCAAGATCGTCCCCTCGCTGCAATTTCTTCCGCAGTACCGAGGACGAGCATCCAACTCCCCATGACCCGGATAGCATCCCCATCGCGGCGAACGAAGCGACGCCGATCACTATGGTGGTCGCAGGTGCTTTGCGGGGTACCTGCATTGGGGTAGAGTATGAGTACTCTTTGACTGTGTTACTCCCCTTCCTGTCGCGCTCAGATAACACACTTCACACTTGACTGGCAACCTCCGACGACGGTGTAGCAATTTACGGACCAAGACGCTACAACGGATCAGAGATCTCCCACACAAGCAGAGCAGCTTCTGGCTCGGTGAACGACATTGCTGCCATAACCTCGTCGCAACCTCGTCTCTCAGACAACTTCCTGGCCATATCGTTATCGCAGGACTACATTCATCTTCATGGCTTCCTTGACCCGGTCTCTCGCTCGTACTACTTTCAAGGCTCCACGGATTCTCGGGGCTACGTCTTCACTCCAAGCACGTACAGTGTTTAGCACCCCATCTGGTCCGGAGAAGCGAACGGCGATCGTTACAGGCTCAGCTCGTGGCATTGGCAAGGCTATTGCCCTTCGTTTGGCAGAGGACGGCTACGACATCTGCATAAATGATATTCCAGCCAATGAACAAGGTGCCCGTGAGGTCTCCAAGCAGATTCAAGATCTAGGCCGGAAGTCCACCGTCGCCATTGCTGATGTCAGCAACTATGGTCAAGTCGAAAGCATGATTCAGCATAGTGTGAAGGAGCTTGGCGAGCTCAATACAATGTAAGATGATCCATCGACGCTTAGCCACAGCATCTAACATTGATGATACTCAGGGTGGCAAACGCAGGGATCGCGCAAGTCAAAGCACTTCTCGACCTGACCAATGAGGATTTCGAGAGAATGTTCCAAGTCAATGTCTTTGGAGTGAACAATTGCTACAAAGCTGCCGCCAAGCAGATCATCTCGCAAGGTAATGCTAAGCACGACAGACCAGCAAAGATCCTTGGCGCGGCCTCTATTGTAGCATTCAAGCCGTTCGCTCTTCTATCTCACTACAGCGCCAGCAAGTGGGCCGTTCGTGGCCTTACGCAAGCATATGCGATGGAGATGGCCGAGCACAACATTACGGTCAATGCCTATGCTCCCGGAATTGTTGGCACCGCAATGTGGGACCTGATTGACGAAGAGCTCGGCAAGAAGAAGGGCGTCAAGAAAGGCGACACGATTGCCAAATACAGTGGCGAGTTGATTGCGTTGGGCAGGGTGTCCGTTCCCGAAGACGTGGCCAAACTTGTGAGCTTCCTGAGCAGTCACGACTCCGACTACATTACGGGCCAGACACAGGTAGTGGACGGTGGGATCATTATGACTTGATTCGTGGCAACTAGACTCGTCACTATCTGATTCCTGAGCAGTGAGTACACGTGTCTTTCCAGATTCGTAGTGAACTCATCTACCACCGGTTGCCGCTCCACAATGCATGTTCAACCGTGGACGAGGATCGGTAGAGAGGCCGAGCGAATCGTGGCTGTACGTTTCCCCGTCTAAGCACTAAGATCACAAAACAGATCTCCACTGCACGTAGTGGAAATTGTTCAAAGTCGATTTGCATCGCAGGCCTACAGGACGACTCATATACCGAGATCCTCATACAGTCATGAATGCACAACTGTGCACCCTCTCGTCCTACTATCAGGCCTGATTTCATGCACATCATACCTTCGTCTCCCTCTCGACGTCGCAGCATGACCGACGCCGCACCAGACTATACCACACACTTGATTTAGTCTACGAATCGTTCCACGTCTGTTGATCAAGAAATGTCCGAGTGTTCTCTTGCTCCGCTACTCACTCACTCACTGAAGAGCCATCCTAGCGTGCCTTCAATACTCGGCGGTGTAAAGATTCAATCTACCAACGCTCCGTTCCGAATAATCTCATAGAGGAGGAGAAAGCTCGGGCAAGTCCTACGACCTGCGACGCTGGATGGAATGTCAAGAGACTGAGATGTAGGAAAGGAATGGAATGATTTGTCAGGTCATTAGAGTCGATTTACACAGACCGCGCGTCGTGTTTGTCATCGACGCTCTCGGCTCCCTGTCCGCTATTACGAGACAAGAAGTCCATCGTATGCCATATTACCTTCTCGCCGTAGACGCATTTGCGCCCCAAGTGCGCCGCCAACGCCATGCAAAAACTTGAGCACAGCGCTCTCTAGTTGAAATGTTGATACAGCAAGCTAATGCTCTCACCATGGTGGTTACGCCTGATAGCTTCCGCTAGCAGGCCACTCACATCCAGCACGACAAGCTTCTTCGTTTGCTGTCGTAGCTCATCGGGTATAGGAAAGGCGTCGGTGACGACAATGGCCTCGATTTCGTCGCACATGTCAAGTTCTCGCAGACTGTCGTTGCCGAAAATGCCGTGGGTGGCCATGCAGTAGACTTTTGTTGCGCCGCCGCGCTTGACCACGGTTTCCGCTGCGGCGATCCAGGAGCCAGCCTTGTCGATGATGTCGTCAATGATGATGACCGGACGGTCTCGAACGTTGCCGACGAGGGTGACTGTGCTCTCGATGCCGGGATCTTTCAGCGCCTCCTCTTCTTCCTCGTCCGATGCAGCAGCGTCGCCAGTCCCGCCGAGTCCGTTCGCAGGGGCTTGCATGCGTGACGATGTCGTGGACATGAAGCTGTGCATCATAGCGTCCGGCAGCTGGTCTTCATCGCTCGAACGCGAGCCGCGGGGGCCGTTGGGTCCGCCGTTGATCGATCCAGATCGGACAGACATGCTTGGCGATGGCACATCGTCGTCGACGATGTGACCGTGGATGAGTCGGCCCGTGATAACGTCGCGAGCGAGCTCGTCGCCATCTTCTTCACCTCCTGCTTCTTCGTAGCCATCATCTGCGGCTGGGGGCTGTTCGATACCGGGTGCTGTACGAGATCTGTGCAAGGACAGGTCGCCGATCTCCTCCGCAATCGATCGCTCCATGTCAATCGAGTCGAGTCGTGTTGATCGCGAAAGAGGACTTGGGCTTGGCGGCGCATCTGTACCCTGAGCGCCGTTGGTCAGCCGCGTGCGAAGCATAGGCGCATATGTAGCAGTCGAGGCGCGGTGACGACTCGGCCTCCTAGCTCGTGGATCTGTTTCGCCGTTCGAGCGTCTTGCTGATGCAGCACTGTTGTACTGCGGCGAGGCAAAGCCTTCACCCTCGACCGTACGTATGCGACCCTCAGCCTCCTCAGCATCACCCTCCAGCGCTTTACGATCATTGGTCCCGTCCGTGCCCATGCTCTCGAATATGGCACTGTTCTGCATGCTGTGAGGGCCATGCGGTCTTCTCCTGTCGGTCGTAACAATGCCGAAGCTCAAATTAAGAGCATCCGCCATTGATGTGACTCGCTTCGTTCCACCTGGATTCTTGCTGACAATCACCGCATTCTGCCAGTTCTTGATGTTTTGTCTCAGCCACTTTGACAACAGTGGCTCAGCGACAAGGTTGTCCACTGGACATTTGAAGAAGCCTTGCATCTGACTTGCGTGAAGGTCGATTGTGATGACGTGGTTTACTCCTGCCACAGCCATGAGGTTGGCGAGCATACGTGCGGTAATGGCGCCTCGGTGGGTCTTCTTCTTCGACTGGCGGGAGTATGGAAAGTATGGCATGACCGCTGCAAGATCTTTTCAGCATGTGATCTCAGACTCACACATAATGCTATGACGAACCCGTGATCGATCTAGCAGAGCCGCCCTTGCAAGCATTGATCATGATAAGCAGCTCCATGACATTGTCGTTGATCTGTCCGCTCCCACTCTGCACAATGAAGACATCTTGGTCGCGGACGGAGGTGTAGATCTGGACGCTTGTCTCGCCATTGCTGAACTTGCTCAGTCCCACCTTAGAGGGCTTACAGCCTAGGCGCTCCGTGATCGCATCCACCAAGCCTGGGTGACTCGACCCTGAGAAGATAGCTGTCTGGCGCATGTTTCTGGCTTGGGATGTAGTCGAGGGAGTTCTTGAGTGAGCTGCCACTACAGAGAGTTGTCAGGCTCTTGGCGTGTCTGTGTGCACTCACAAGGAGGCATCGCAGGATATGAGGTTGTTCAAGGAAAGTTGTGTGTTTCTCACATCGTGAAGGATAGGAAGATATTTCTGATACCGTGGGTCAGTTTCTTGCTAAAAAACAGCTCGGAAGCGCACGGACCGTCAATCAGTCATTCAGGCACGCGAGATATTGCTGTTGCGTGTTTAGTTCGTAGAGCTTACTTTGACCAATCACACAGTCACGAGGTGGAAGCTCGAAGAACGACTGCACGAGAGTGAATAGAGTGGGAGGGTGAAAGACTGGATATGAGTTGACCGCGTTCTATAACTTATCCGCCCAGGCTGTACATATGACATGATGAGGCGAGCTGTGGAAACGATAAGACTGTGTATAATGTATACATTCATGCAGCTTATCTGTCGTATTTATCCTATAGCATTCTTCGGCAACGGTACGCTTCTGCTGCGCCCCATTCACCGCAGCAAAGTTTGCTTCTCCATCTTTGTCGTCTGCTTGACTCGAGGCTAGTGAGTACAAGTCGGGCATACAGAAGACCCATCCCACTGAATTTGAAGGTCGAGAATTGCCTCTTCGATCGGACCTCCCATTCCAGCGAGCGCAACGGATCCAAAGCTGGTCTTCTGGCGAACATGAGACGCCATTTGAAATTTCCTGCAGCGCAAACGCTCTGGATAATCTTACCATAGATTGGCGAGTGATGTGGCTACCTGGAAAATCGAGACACAGCGACAAGATCGACTCGTGGACGGCATGCCATGAGTCAAGTGCCATCCGTCGAGAGGCCGTTGGTTAGACGGCTGTGTTTCCTGTCAAGATAAAGGGTGCAGGATTCTTTCCACGACGGCAGGCGCATCTGATCTCTCCAAGTAGAAGTCTTGTACACATCTTCTTGGTCCGAGCTGGTCAGTGACATGTTGATTGATCACCTAAAGGTTTCGTCGTTGCTTTAGTCCTCCTTTCGAAAAAAACTCTCGGATAGCAGTCTGGGCAGCTGAACCTCCTTATTTGACCTCGTGTCCAGGCCTGATGCCCTGCTTTCCGTGCACGACCGCGGAAAGGAGCCTTAACATACACAATATCGATGTTGTGATGGGGGGAAGAAGAGGGGAGCCTGGTAGCGCAGCGTGAATTGCTGGAAAATCAGCCACAACCAACGTCATGGTGGGGCAGACGCACAAGCCAAATGGAAAGGCAAGCGCTTCCTTCTCACCACCAACTCCCGCAATTGCCAGGTGTCTTCCCTTTATTTGCCTCCCTAAACATTGCACACAAGTGGCTCACATCACTTCTAAGCCACACACGAGCACCTGCGACCACTTTGCCGACAAATTGACAACCGCACCAAGAGCCTGACCTCCACAGCAATGGCACCACCTCCTGCAAATTCATCCCAGCCGCTGCAGGCACGATTGTTGGCCCTCGCCCAGACGTAAGCAATGATGACAGGCACCGAGCCATGAGAAAGCGCTCACCATATCATAGCCTCCAGTTCGGTTGGTTCGTCGGCCATGTCACTCTCCTCTTCGCTGCTCTACGCTACGGTTTGAGCTATATCACCTTCAACTACTACAGCCGCTGGGCACAGTTCAGCTACCGTACCGCCTTCGTGGCCGCAGCTGCTACCTATGGCATTGTCGTGTTCAAGGCGCTCCGTGCCAAGCAAAAGAGTGGACGTCCCATTGGTTCTCCGGCTCAGATCATCACGGATGAGAATGTGCAATACTTGAGTACGTGCGATGGTTCAAGCACGGGAACAGAATAACAGCTAATAGACTTCAGTCATGGCCCTCGTATGGCTCTTCACCAAACAGGTTGCCCTTGCTATCCTGCCATACGCAGTCTACAGCATCTTCCACGTTCTGACCTACACCCGCGGCATGCTGCTACCGACTCTCCAGCCTCCTCCACCAACCCCAGCAGGTCAGAAGCCACAAGCATCAGCCCTCTCCGACACGATCGGCCGCTTCGTCAAGGACTACTATGACGCCTCCATGTCTCTCGTGGCTGGTCTCGAAATCGGCCTCTGGTTCCGCATTCTCTTCTCCGCTATCCTCTTCCAGAAGACCAGCTGGATCGTCCTGATTGTCTACACCGTCTTCCTCCGCGCCAGGATCAGCCAGAGCACCTTCGTGCAGGGTATGCTTCACCATCTCGGTGCTCGCGGCGATGCCGTCGCGCAGAGGCAAGATGTGCCACCGGCTGTGCGCTCCGGCTGGGAGACCTTCAAGGGCGTCGCCAAGCAGGCACACGACCGGACTGACATCAACAAGTATGTTGGTGGCCAGCAGGCTGCTCCCAAGAAGGCGCAGTAGATGGCAAAATCGACAATGCGGCGGTGACGGCCGCAAGGTCAGAAACAACGAAAAGCTGTGAGATGAGAGGAGGGCAGAGACATGAGATATGACATGACGAAGGGTCGTGGTTGTGGAACATTGTTAGATATCATGTGCAAAGCATGGGCTAAGCAAAGCGATGGCGCCTGGCGCAGGCAGGGGTGGCGGAGACGATGATGCGTATTCTGACGATTACGGATATTTCAATCTTTGGAGCGTGCGTCATCTGACGATTCGGGCATAGCGATAAGTACCTACACATTTGCTGAATGAGTGTCTGCTTCACATTAGGTCGTGTACGTCCACTCGTAGAGCAGAGGAGGGTCGAACGATGTTGGAGCCTGGCTATGACTTGACCTCACTTCATCTCACTCTACCCGAGCTTGCGCGAATCTTGATCTCTCATCTGATCGGCTCTGTGATAATTGCGATTTGCGCACAGATAATCGACCTCCGACATGACCGTCGTTTTCGTGACCAAGGCCTTCACAACGGTGCGAAGCTTCCACTTCGTCATGAAGACCTTTAAGACGATGGCACAAGCGTACGTGTTAGTCCCCCATAGTGCAAGCGTGAACTTAGAGTTGCTGAAGGTCTCATGCGAATTACGAGGGTACTCAGACTCGAGAAGAGCAATAAGGTAGTGTCCTGATGTTGCTGTACTTACTCTCTCTCTCTCCCTCTCACAACTTGGCTTTCAGCTCACCCTTCTCTACCATGTCTTTCAGTACTCTCTCAGCAACTCTAAACGCTGCCAAACCTGCCGGAAGTCCAGCATACCCACTAGCATTCAGAAGCGTCTCGCGAATCTCAACAAGCGAGCAGCCATTCCTCACTGCTCCACGTACATGCACACCGAGCTCCATGTCCTTGCCCATAGCCGTTAGCATGGCAAGGTTCAACAGTGATCGATCTCGTCTGCTTATGCCTGGGCGACTCCAGAGGCCACCCCAACCAGCTTCGGTGGCGAAGTCTTGCATTGGCTTTGAGAAGTCTGTGATATTTGCTGTGGATCGCTCGACATGTTCGGCTCCGGTGACTTCGCGTCGGATTTTGATGCCTGCGTCGTATAATGTCTTTCGTGCTGCGAGTACTGCTGACGATTGATCGTCGTCTGGCATCTTGTTGTTTAGCTCTGTTCTTGGGTTTGTTGACAGTGATGGTTGAAACCGTTGTGGAAGTTGATCTTGCACTTAGAGGCTCATGAGTAAATAGCTATCAGAGATATACCTTGGCTGAACCTGGGCTTCGGCGACTATACACTCACATATATGTTGACTATCATGCGTAGTGTCTGCTGAAGACCCATGCTCATGATCATGGCGACTTGGCTAGTGCGCGGCGCGGCACGACGCGCTATTACATATACGAGAGCTGAACTCCACAAGAGCTTCCTTCCTTCTTCTGCTTCCCTCTAGGGAAGCATCTTCTTCGAAACATCCTCTCAACATCGTGCTCAGGAGTCCATATCAGCTGCTCTAGTCCAAACGTCCACAAGAGAACCAAGACCAAATTCCACAGCAGCAAACATGGCCCACACCACTTGTCCCAAATGCAGTGCCACTATCTCTGGTGGAGGGAAGACCTGCGGATCGTGTGGTGCAGTGCGTACTGTATCTTGTGACTGGTCACAGACGAGTGCTGACATGTTTCTTGCAGAGCTGCCCACAATAGAGCGAAAGTGCTCGTAACATGGGTTTTGCAATGGCTCCCTCATGGTGTGAGCAGCAGGTTGAACTTGTAACGGCGATGACGAAGCAACGATCTACCTTGATAACGGCTTACTGAGTGCTGGAGCCGGTCTGTTAAGTTTCGTGTTCTGGTTTGATCTGGCGATGGCTCGAGGTGGCAAGGATGGCATGTCACAACTAGGGCTTCGAGGATGACCATGGCATGACTGAATGATGATATGGGTTTCACGGTGAAGCGACAGTATGACTTTCACGTTGTTGTGTCCCCTGAATCTATCTGTGATGGGTCGTGGTGAGGAGAAATCTGTTGACCCTTGGCTCGTGCCTGCCTCTTTCGGCTCTCCCCACTGGAGAAGCTGGAACGTCATTGGCTCAAGTTACCCACGAGTCTTGAGACCAATGTGACATTACAGAGGAAGTACAAGTTTGAGGTGGTAATGTATCTTGAATCTAGCATACAGCGGAATTTGCTAAGCAGTACTGGACGCTGCCATGTCCAGAATTAATCAGTCCAACCCGGTCCTCGCGGACGATATTCTTCAGCCGTTCCGCCGCTCATGCAGATCCTCCTGACGCCATGACACCGCCGCTCGCTCCATCGCTGAACACCTCGCTAAAATATATAACACTGCAAGCAAACGATCGTATCATGCCGGGAAATAATGTTACAAGGGTGTTTGCTCGTCCTTCGCCAATGACTGAGGACTGTCAGCCTTTTGTCACCTGATCGGAAGCCGCGAGTGAAGACGTACTGCTCAAGCTTTGACAGTGTTTTTCGCAGCACATCGTTGGCAAGTCTTCAGCTTGCATTTCGCGCACTCATTGATGAACCAGTGAGGGCCCGAGTGGCAAATGTTACAGTTCCATAGTATCAATGTTGTATCCGATTTAATCATCTTCCAAGCATGTTCGCATTTTCCGGGCTTTGCCATTGTGTCCTGAATAACGTCAACATGTGATTCTCAAGCAGATTGAAGGAACCTCACCTTTGGATGTACCCGTTGTATCCGGCAGGCTAGATGGTAGAGCCCTGAGGATCAAGATCCTTGCTTGTGTTGTTGTCTATGGCTCTAGGAAATGTACTATCGTTTGATATCCTGGTGATGATGTTGGTTGCTCAACGCATGTATGTTTCAAGTCGAAGTTGTGAGAAAGTCAATTCGTTTCAGGCCCAAGACTCGTGATAGCAGCACGTGTGGATAAGTAGACCTCCGAGCAAAAAGTAAAAGCGAGTGCGTTGTTCGAGGATAGTCGTGTCGCCTCCAGAGGTGCGCAGCAGATCTATATATTCGTGCCTCACAACACCCAGTGCTATATCAAATCTGCCTCCGGCACTTTGACCTCATGCCACACAGCAATGGGCAGGCTGCAAGCTCAGCCAGTGACAGGTACGGCGCACACAAGTCTCGTCGAAAGTAGACAGCGCGCGATGAATCAAGCAAAGAGGCAAGATCTGGTGATACATGGAGGATTACAACTTGGTGCGACGTTCTGCCTTTTACTCCCCGGTCGCAAGCCATGGCCGTTGGACGCCAAAAGAAGCAAGTAGAGAGAAGGTCGAGAAGCTAAGGCTGCGTGGCTTACACTACTCCACTACCGCGATTGTGGACAGCAGTGCTCGTAGGGTGATCCTTGCCAGCGAGCAAGATAGGAGTGCTACTTTCGCGATGGCGTACCGTTGAGCCAGGTTGTTCATCTGCGAACCACTGGTCAGGGACGAGACGAATCGGCAATCGTTCCCAGTAGACCGGGCCCGGGGAGCCTGCCACGGCGGTGGACTCAGATCTTGGTCCCATGCCGCTAGCTCAAGGTAGTACATGGCGATTCAGGGAGCCGGCCATGTTAGAAGCGTGAAAGTCATGCAAAAGAGAAGGCGAAGAGACTAAAAACCAGCCTACGCATGCATTCTTGACCATCATTCTGCAAGATTGGCCTACAAAGAGCGGCAGACGGCAGGTTTATTGCGAACACAGACGTCCAAAGAAGCATGCGGTATAGTGTCCATCCGTAACAAGCGCTATGCATGAACCTTGCATACGCCACGGCCGCCACCAAGTCGGTCTCTGGATCCCGCAGCATCTGCTCCTTCGATCACGCACTTCATACTCTGGCAGGACCGGCAAGATACGAACAGCATGAATAGTATCTGTGTGAGCGTCAGGACCATGCATGTGCAGCACTCTCACCTGGGACTGATTCATTTCTATTCTGGTCGAAGTCGTCCCGTGACTGGCCCCACCTCCCAACTTGGAGCCTTTCGAGACGAAGGCGCAGAAGCATTAACCTGCATCCCAGAACATTCTTATGGCGTAGACTCAATATCTTGACAACGAACGAGACATCGCAATTCGCTGCTCGAGATCAAAGGTTGACACCACACTACTGATATGGTGTCGCTGATCGTAAGCTACACCATCGATCTCTCACTCCACTATTTCGCACTCTTCTCCACACTCTTGCGCTCCCCCAAGTACTGCATGACCATATCCTCGATTTCCTCGTGTAATCCATCAGTACGTACCCGATGCAATGGCACACGCTTGTTGACAGGTGGCTACCCGTATCTGTGCGACCTACAGCCGCTTGACTGTAACCGGGTTCTTGGAACATTCTGCAGCCACACCTAGAACTCGATGTGGGTCTAAGTGGGATGCAGGCCTGCGGGCGCGATATTCCTGGACCTCGCATGAACTCAAAGCAGGCTGCTTGAAACGCCAGGCCTATGCTTCAGAGCTTTACGCGCCCTCTGGAGAACTCGCCACATCCGCTGGGTGTCTGGAGGGCAGATACATGTCAACAACCAGATGTGCCGCCATTGAAAAGCCTCCAGAACGCCTGCTCCACATGACCGTTACTCACGCAGTTCTCGGGCCTGAGGTGACTTATCCCGCAACCCCGGACAGGGCTGGGATGGAGAAGCTCGGTGATGCAGGGCCAGTATGCACATTTGACGCATTCTGATCGAGCATGCACTTCCAACCGTGGTACGCATAACAAGCTTATCTTCTGCTTGGTAGCACCCGGCAGGTCCTCGCGAGTATTGTATGCTGGCTGTCAAGGATCATGCTTTGAACTGACAGGACAAGCGACGGACCTCTATACGCTCTCGATCACCATGAAAATACCAGAAGGATTGCTATTGTGCCAACACATGGCATTGACTACAAGAAGCAGTCGTATGCCGGTCAACTCGATGACGATGAGCTGTTCATCTCCAAGAGCGACTACGAGTGACTGTAAGTGACTAATGTTAGTAGCAGACAAGCTCAAACCTACGAACAAGCCACGTCCAAAGGGCTTGCAGATGGCCTGACGGCTGTAACGTTACGCAACTAGTCCGGAGAAACGCCGAGTGAGACTGCACAAGATGGAATGCCACAATACTGGTTACGCAAAAAGCAGCCTGCATGTACAATTGCGTAAGACGATCGCTAATGCAGGAACAGTTTCAGAAAGTTCTGGTGAAGTGAGCATTCATGACGGACGAAAGAGCAGAGGCATCCTGGATGTCGATCAGACAAGCAGATTCAGCGTCAGCACATTCAACATCTATAGACGAGTGACAGATAAGCCTTCACTGGTTCTCGGCGCGTAGAACACTCTGCACATCACTGGAGTTCGACAATAATACCATCAACGTGCCACTCCCAGTACTCGACTCCTCAGCAGATCCTCCTTCACGACCCTCTCCTTCATCTTCTCCAGCTCCTCCATATCCCACGTAGCAGACACAAACCTCCCCATCAAGAACTCCGCCCTCTCCGTGGTGAGCCAGACCGCCGTCCCCGCGGCCAACGCCGGCTTTGCAGTCATCAACTTCCGGAACTTCTCAGGGATATTCGTCCGATCCGCCAACTCTGTCAACACGCCTCCGGGATGCACGGCTACGCATCGCAAACCACTACCCGCGGCCACGGACTCGCTGTCCAGATATTCGGTCAAGGCATTTAGTGCCATTTTCGATGCAGCGTAGGAGGAGAAGCCAGGCGCGTAGGCCCAGGAACTGTTGCTTGAGATGTTGATTATGTGGGCGTTCTTCTTGCCCGCAGCCTTCAGAGCAGAAATGTAAGTCCTGGCGATGAGGTAAGGGCCTTTGGTATTGACCTCCATTGTTCGCCACCAACTTTCCGGATCTGACTCGGCTACGAGTGCACTCTCATTCGTCGCAGCGTTTGAAACCACGACATCTGGAACGTCCGGCTTCAACGAATCGAACAAACCCTCTATGGCTTGCTGGTCGGAGATATCCTTGTTGTCCGCGACGATGACAGCGCAATCCGGTGCTACTTTGGCTATGAGATCCTTGGTCTCTTGAAGTGGTTTGAGGCGACGTCCAACCAAAATCAAACGGCTCGCACCTGCAACGGCAAAGGCCTGGGCGATGCTGCCTCCGATACCTTTAGCTCCTGCTCCAGTTACAAGGACAATTTTACCAGCTGCTGCACCCTTGAGATCCTGTGCAGGGTCGATGAAAGGATAGACATCGTTCCTAGATGGCTTGAGAAGTGCAAATGCCATGGTGATCAGAGTGCGTGATGACGGCAGTGTATAGCAGACGAATCGAAGGCGAAGATTTGGCCGTGGTAGGAGCATTCGGGTTCAGGATTTGGACATCAGCGTTTATAATGGCCGGATGTCTGTAAAGATCGTCCTCCTCTACAGAAGATCTCGTTTGCCATGACTCTGTATCTCCTAAACCCGGTTAACCCCGGCTCGCCGAAATCTAGTTACTACCTAGAGCCATAGATTCACTTGTGCAAGGCCATGTGCATCAACATATAAATGCATAAGTACAAGTCCATCAACCTACCAACCTACTAACCCACCTACTTTTTCTTAAACCTCTTCCCACCGCCACCACTCTTCCCACCGCCACCACTCTGCGCACCACCCTCCGCGCCATCCGCCCACCCTTTCCTCTTCTTGCCCTCCCTCCTCCAAAACTCATCCCGTTCCCTCTTCTCCCTCTCCCTTCTCTTCTCCTCATTCTCCTTAACCGCCATCTTATACCCCACCTTTCTCTCCTCCTGCTTCACCCGTCTCTTCTCCACCTTCTCATTCCTGAGCGTCATGACCTGCTGCATCAACCGTCGGGCAACCTTCTCCTCCCCGCCCACCACCACCGCACGTTTCTGCGCATAAGTCTTGTGACTCTGTGGTTTCATCTTCGTGATCTGGGATTTGAACGGTAGATCTGCCTGCAGTTTCCGCGGCACGCGCAAGGGGTTGAAATGTCGTTCTTGCCGTTCGAGTTCGATGGGGCGGTATGCACTATTTCCCACCTTCGGGGTAGGAATATTCTGTTCCGCCCTCACTTGGCCCGTCAAGCGCATCCCGGACCAGGTATCCGGCGTCCCAGCCTCTAGCAGATTCGTAACAGGATTATAGAACCGATGAGGTCGGATGGGGAACCAGGCTCGCAGGAAAATGATATCGGACATGAGGACTTTGTCTTCGAAGGTCGCGCGAAAGGTGCCTTCGGGTTTACTGAGGGCTTTCTTGATTTGGCCACGGATGCCGGAGACGGTTTTGATGCCTGCGCCTTCGAATTTGGCGATTTCGAGCGCGGTGTTGAACATATCTTTTACGAAAGCAGTGTTCTTGAAGATCTTGTACGGATGTCCCGTCAATTTGAGCTTCTTCACGATCTCGGTTCCTTCGTCCACGTTTAGCACGACGCCCGTGGCAGCTACACGAAAGCCAGGGTTCTTGTTTGAGAAGCTCTGCATACAGCAGAAACCAGTATTGGGTGCCGCCAGAGGTCCATAGAATGTACCGAAACAATGCATATGCTCAGGCGTGTACTTGAGCATCCGGTTCCGGATTCGTGAGTCGGAGATACTGTAGACCGGCACCGTCTGAAATCTTCTCCAACCCAAGCTGAAGATGAGAGGATCGTTGGTCTTCAGGATCTTCTTATGCCATCGATGCCGCTTGATGCGCACTTGGACGAAACCCATGCGCTCTTCCGTAGGGTTCAGACCGCCTATGAGCAATGGGAATCGTGGATTGAAGTTCTCCAAGAATTCAAATGGCACGTTTGCAAGCGTGATACGCACATACGAGCCAGCTTTGTAGCCTTCAGCTCGTACACGAGAAAGCTCGTCCAGCTTCTCGAACTCCGCCCGATTGATATCTTGCTGCTTTTGCAGAAGTGCTTTCTGACTCTCATACCATTCGTCCTCGCCGAACTCGCGCTCTTCTGCAGCTCCACTAGCTTGTCGATTGGCGTTCTTGGGGTTGAGGAAGCCCTCTCGATCTTCCTCCTCGAAACGGAGCTTCAGCTCCTCTTTACGTTTTGCATTCTTCGCGCGCTCGTCTTCGAGCTTTTGTACTTCGTCTGTAGGCTCGAAAGCGCTGGTCGCAGCTTCGCCACCATCGCCACCTTCGAGATCCTCGAACTCGCCATCGCCCTCATCGTCTTCTTGAGCGCCGCCTTCTTCGTCCGAACCAAGTTCTTCGCCGTTCGCGCCACTGACACGTGTCGATGCGAAGCGCTGTCGCAGCGACTCGATGTTGTCTGTGTCCCTCCACTTGGCTTCGAGAGCAGCGTAGTCATGCTTTGCGATCGTGCGGTCGTCGACATCATCCTCGACCTCTCTTCGCTTCCGGAAGAGCTCATCATCCTGCTCGCCCTCCAAGGTGACATTGTCCTTTCCGTCATCTTCGCCTCGCCATTGCTTTAGAACCTCCGCGGTCGACATCATGTCATCGTACATGAGACGTGCAAGCTCGGCGACACGGTATGGTTGTCTACGACCATGTGCAGCCGCGGTGCGTTCCGCCATGCTAGACTTCCATCTCGACGCGCCTTCATCATCATCATTGTCGTCGTCAAAATCTTCATCCTCCTCATCCTCATCGCCGTCCTCCAGTTCTTGATCAGAAACCGAAGAAAGGCTGCCAAGATCACTGTCGCTATCCGCGAAAGCAACATCGCCGTCCACGTCCTTATCCTTGCGTGCCTTACCAAGCTTCTCAGGAGCTTGCTGCAGGGTCTCCAGATCCGCATCGTCGTCCGACTCGCCACTAGCAAAACCTTCATCTTCAAGATCGTCCTCCTCGTCCTCACCTCGATCTGCCACTGTCGGCCTACGCCTGCTCGATCGCCCAGTATTCGCCACCTCTTCCTCGTCGTCCACATTCTGCAGCCTCTCGCCGTTGCCAAACAGAGCGATGCCTTTTTCATCCGCTCCGAGTATGCTCCGCCCGCCTTGCAGGCCGACCACCATTTGTTCACCTAATCCTCGCTCCGCATCGTCATCTTCAGCGCCGAACGTATTACTCTTAACATCAATGTATACTGCATCTCTATCCACCAGAACACCTCCAACATCAGACATGGGTGCATATATCACCTTCTCCTTCTCACCAAGTCGCCTTCTTTTCTTCGTACCCTCTCGCTTCTCCTTCTCTTGCGTGAAGTATGGCGTAGGACACGGGTCCGGTTGCGACTCGATTTGTGCCACACCCAGATCACCTACACCGGGTACATGTACTCTTGCATCCTGAGACTGAAAATTCGTGCCACGTAGATAGCCGTACAATGCGACCATGCGATCGCACATTGGGTTCTCCTCAATCTGTGTCGGTGGTGTAATGTCAAGCATGCGATCGGCAAGCGCATACGGATGACTGTTTCGCCAGACAAGCGGCCGTGGATTCTTCATGACAGACAAGAAGCGGCTCAAGTTGAGCACCTCGCGATCTGGATATCGGCCATTGATCACGCCGCTCAGGTAGAAGAGCTTCGCACCCTGGTACAGCTCGCTCCAGAAGCGATGCTTCAGCCTCTTCTTTTGCGCTTTGAGTGTGTCTTGCTTTCGGAATAGATCCAGGTGGGTGAGAATGCCGAAGATGTTGCCAGGCATACCAGTGGAAGACAAGACGGAGAGAAATTCCATCGTCTCCATCTCGAAGCCAAAGTTGCCGTCGATCATGAGAAGCACGATGTCTACCACTTTCGCGAGGTCGATGGTGCTCGCTAGACTATCACTCGGACACTCAATGAATGTCAGCCGTCTCCTCTTGCCAGTCACAACTGTGATCGGTCCTCGTGGGTCCGAAATGCTCTGCTTCGTGTATCGCTTGACCAGACTCTTCATCAACGTCGTCTTCCCCACACCTGGCGGCCCAACAATACCCACTACCAACGGAGGCGCCTCCTCTGGCAGCCTGTCCACCAGCGGGACATGCAGCTTCTTCTCGCGGACATCATGAGATCGAGCGGCCTGCTTTGCGAGACGTCCTGGAGCGGAATAGGCGAAGGCTTTCGGGTTGGGCTGACTCGAGTCCCGCTGCTTCTTCTCTTTCGTCGGGCGATGTACGCGATGGCTCTGCTCTTCTCCTGCCATCTTGTCTAACCTCCTCACACCATTCGAGCTCTCACAGCAATACTGAAATGCAAATGCGGCCTTCGAGCCAAAATTCACGCTGTTATCTTATCGGCGGAGATGATCTTGCATTGGCGCTGAACCCAAATCGACCCGCCACAGCGGGTCTGTCTTGTGCCACCTGGACGTCATCGGCTATTGTAGGCTGAGAGCCTGGTGGGCTTCACTGTCAAGCAGATGAATTTGTCGTCGTCTCGCATGTTCGCAGTCTCCCGTACAAAACTGTTCCAGGATTGCAAGCCCACAGCCACCAGAAACTTGCAAAGGATCCTTCATACTTCACAGATACTTAAGATGCCTCAAATCAACGTAGGTCGACGATGTGCAACGAATGAACCGGGCAGTTCAACAGTACTGATAGCAGTCAGGTCTCCCTCAAAGATGGTGCCAGTGCCGACCAGCTCGATGCGTACGACCTCTATATCCTCCCATCCACAAGGGTCAATATCTGATCTATCACAGTGCGAAGAAGCAAGTCACCGACCAAGGCGGCAAGATCGTCAACGAGTTCAAGCTTATCAAGGGTTTCACGTACGCTTGTCCAAATCCTCCCTCATCCTCTTCATCTATATGCTGATTATAATCATGTACAGTGCCAGCTTCCCAGACGACAAAGTCCACACGCTGCAGTCCAACGAGCACCTCAATGTCGAGAACGATGGTCAGGTCAAGACGCAGTGATGATCGGATAGGGTTTCCCTTGGTTGTTCGCTGTTACGAGCATGAAGCATCATCATGATACCCATGAGCGAGGATGGTAGTTGTATTTCGACGGCCGCAGATATATAGATGAGTATGACAAGGCATCTTTGCACGAAAGGCTTTCGCTATGACGTGCCTGTCATGTGCAATGGGGCGCGATATAAATCCTTTCGGCTGTATGTCCTTCTTAGGATGCCATTTCCTAGCATTCACTGACCCATGCTACAGGACAACCTAGTGTTCTCAAGCTGCAAAAGTCGAACGCACAAAAGCTCTCGTGATAAGATAACTTTACAGCACACCACAGACTCACAACCCAAGCAAGCCCTTCCCTTCCACACCTTTCATCTCTCCCGTCAGCCAAGCAAAATAAAACAGAGCAAAAAGAACAAAACAATTATAGTCCCACGGAGAATCGAACTCCGGTCTCCCATCATCCACCCGCAACCAACGCCTTCCGAACCCCTCCCAACCGATCAAAGACAGAGGTATTCATACTAACAGGCCAATCTTTCGATCCAACTGAAACTAACCTCCGCCCCGAAAGGAAGGTTGACATCCTTCACAGCGCCAGCACCATCGCTTGTTGAAAGGTCAGCTTTGGGTGGAGACTAGGGCAGCATAACCACTAGACTATAGGACCTGGAGGGGGCAAGAAATGGGAGTTGTTCATAGATGTTCACTACTGGCGCCGAAGCGCTGCCGGAGGTGCGGTGGGTGACGTTGGGAAGCAGGCGGAGGGAGTTCCTGTGATGTACATTGAGGATTACTCGGCTTGCAAAATTCGATCGACCTTCCAAGACAAACGTCTGGCTTGCTCGCTCGGCGAGGGTTCGTTTTTGCATCGTTTTTTGTGAGGAACAGGCGCAGGAGATGGTCCGAAGGAACCACCGGTGCGTTCTCTAGCCAGTACGATATCGAATCGCTGTGGACCAACTCCGGCGACGATGTACTTTGATCAGGGATAGCAAGAGTTGACTAACGCTGGCGCTTTCTCTGGTATCCAAAGAACTTGAAGGCTATCTATTGGTTTTCAAGGGGATAGCGGTATACATCTGTCTCACCCACTTACCTCCACTGGTCCACCAAAGCACGATGGAGACCAATCAGCCCTCATACCACCGTGCGAGACTCGCTGGCGCTAGGACGTATTGGCAATCCTGCTGCCTACATATCGCCATTCCTCTCCTAGTGCGTCTCTGACTCAGCCACCGACCACTTATTCCCATGACTTGCCACACCATGACTCGGTCACCCAAACAACATACTATATATCCCTTCCTCCTACCACGACTACTTCTCCTTCCCTTCCTCAACTCTCTTGCCTACCGGCTAAGATCATGTGTAGTATCTGTTCTTTTTCAGTTTGAACGACTGAAAACGTGGGACCCTGCTCCCACGCTTCATGTTTCATACTACTTTTTTGCCTATTAGAAGTCCCTGGGAACTTGAGAGCTTGCCTCTTGGGTTCTCTAGGGACGCCTGTGTCGCTGGTCTTTGCACTTTGCTGGCTGATGCGGATGCTTTTTACCTTTTCATACAAGTCTGGCTGCTTGGGCGGCTGGGGTTTTGAGACGAGGGTACGGTGGAGCGAGACAGCCGGGAATGGGAGATGTTAGTGTCTTCAAACAGGCCTCAATCGCGACTCAGTAGCATCTCAAGGGCTCTAATATGCTCATGTCAACGATATCCATGTGTGTTGTGTCCCATCTAGTCTCGAGCCAATCTTTCGCACTTTAGCATTCGGTCATCAACGCCCCACCTCTCATGCTGCATCACCTTTTGCTTGACTCGAGCTTGTAGCATCTACCAGAATGTCATCAGTACATTTTCAACATGCCTGCCATACCTCGACAGGCACAGACAGAAGACTCGACGACGTTCGATCCTGACAAGTACTTCGATTCATGGAGCAAAGAAGAAATAACACCACCATACGACAATGACTTCCGCAAGTTCATTATCAAGACATTCGGTCTTTCGATAAAAGATGACTATGGGTACATGGCGCAGAATGCCGAGGTGACATTACTCCGTTGCCAGACATACCTTGACGTCGGCGCCCAAGGTGGTCTACACGGCTGGTATAAAGATGCTGAAGGCCAACTGGTGAGTCCGAGCATCCAGTGGCAAGCTTGAACAGCTTCTTATGCACCATGGCAGAAAGTCTGAGACGAATCTATATCGCAGAGAGACCCACCAACTGCCACCGATGTAGCAGCGTACAGCGATATCTTCCGGCCTACGACGAGCACAACCAAAGCACTCACAGCATTGGGTTCGAATGCGAAGAAAGGCACCGTCCGAGCCGACGTCGCCAAACATCTGCAATGGCAATATCACCCACCTTCAGCCGAGTCAAAGCTCGTAGTGAACAAGACAAAAAATCACGTCAACCCGTATTTTGATCTCTGGGCATGGACGAACCAGAATCTCGAATGGGGAGGACCCGAAGAGGGAACAGCAAAAGTCAAGATCTCACATGCCTTACTGCCAGTAATATACCACCACTTCGGCTGCATTTGTCCGTCGTACGAGTCTCTCGAGCTCATTCGCCAAGTTGCAAAAGGTAGGCAAATACTTGACCTGGGTAGCGGGAATGGGTACTGGACATATATGCTGCGCAGGATGGAGCCAGCCAGTAAGAAGGAGAAGAAGCTGGATGTGGTAGCAATTGATAACGGTATGAGTGAGTGGAGAACGGTTTGGATTGGCGACACTATCGAGGCGGATGGCGTGAAGTGGTTACAGCAGAATGGTGGTGGGGAGGAGGCTGTGCTGCTGCTTGTCTATCCTACTGTTGGGAATGAGTTCACGAGTAAGATGATCAAGGCTTATGGTAAGGGGAGAAGAGATCCCATCTGATTGTGGAAAGAGTGCTAATATATTTTAGCTGGGACCACGATCATCTCGGCAGGCACACAGAATGCCTCTGGGTTCACGGCATTCGCGACAGAGACGATTGCTGATTGGATGGCGAGAGAGATGCCGGGCTGGACTCGAGTTCTGCAGATTCCGCTGCCGAGTTTTGCTGGCAAGGATGAGGCACTGTTCGTCTTCCAGAAGAAGGCTGATGCCAGCAGCACCACGAATGGTGAACCATCATGATCGTTTGATGGAGGAGTACACTTTCAACGCTATATACCTTGGACGATCTTGGTTATGGGTCGGCGGCTCACATCAAACGCCATTGATCCATTCATATCGTATACTATAAGTCTTCGTCACATGGTAGTGGGGCCGCCTGCCGCAAGCTAAACAGCCGTGCGCCACGCAGCACAGCCTTTGCCTCACCTCACACACCACCTCCAGTTTTCTCTTTCAGACTCTTAGCTTCTACAACTAATCCCTCGTATAGTATCTTTGGGGAGCACCTAATTCTGACCTACCCTGCCGAGCTCGCATAGTCTCTGGATTGTTACTCTCTGCCTTTAGTTGGTGATGACAGCACAGCCTTACCTCAGCCTTGCGGGAGGCAGCAACAATACGACCTTCTACCTGCAATACACCTTAGTATGATCAGCCGCTGCGATGCGGCTCATCAATAATAGCGAAGATGGACCGCTCAGTCTGACCAAGGACCTACACGACGACAGCATCCCGCCATATGCGATATTATCGCATACTTGGGGCGCAGACGATGAGGAGCTCACTTACCAGGACTTGTGCAACGGCACTGGCAAGGACAAAGCCGGATATGCCAAACTCGACTTCTGTGTTCAGCAAGCCAAGAAAGATGGACTGGAATACTGCTGGATAGATACGTGCTGTATAGACAAGGCCAACGCGACTGAGCTTTCTGAGGCATTGAACTCGATGTTCCGGTGGTATAGCAACGCCAGAGTGTGCTACGTCTATCTATCAGATGTTACATGTCTCAAGCGAAGTGCTGAAGGTAGCTCAGACATGCTTTGGGAAGCTGCTTTCCGTTCAAGTCGATGGTTCAGCCGCGGATGGACCTTGCAAGAACTACTAGCACCGATGAACGTGGAATTCTACTCACGAGATGGACAGCTGCTTGGCAGTAAGAGAACCCTCGACAAGATGATCCAGCTTATAGCCAAGATTCCAGCTGCGGCATTGCAAGGCCGTCACTTGGCGTCATGGTCGCCCGAGCAGCGAATGGAGTGGCGTGCCAATCGCGTCACCAAACGCAAAGAAGACGAGGTGTATTCGCTTCTTGGCATCTTCGGTGTGCACATGACTCCGATCTATGGCGAGGGTGAACATGCGTGGGTACGACTGAAGGACGAGATTAGCAAATCCTTCCGAAGCAGACTCGACAAGCCGCCTACCGGCTCTCTGGAGGCCGACTCTGGCCAGCCATCAGGAAGTATCACTGGACAAGACATGGTTGCCTCCCTCAGATTCGAACAGATGGAGGCCCGACGTCCGACTATCAAGCAAGCGTACTCCTCTACATGTGAATGGGTGCTAGAGCACCCCATCTTCAGATTATGGCTCGGTAGTGGCAGAGCTGATGCACCTGGAGGTGTGCTATGGATCAACGGAAAACCAGGGTGTGGCAAATCTACATTGATGAAGCATCTCCATAAGAGTGCGGAGAAAACACGGTCGCAGAACGAAATTGTACTTGGTTTCTACTTCAATGCCAAAGGCAATGATCTAGAGAAGTCAACGCTTGGAATATATTAAAGCTTGCTGTTCCAGATAGTCACACAACTGCAGGACCTACGAGACGCGTTGGCAGCCTCGATGAGCACGCTTGGCGGACCACAATATTCTGGAATCTGGACAATCGGCCTCCTCCAGGAGATGTTGACGATCGCTGCTAACAGTCTGCCAGGAAGGAAGCTTAAGATATACATAGATGCACTGGATGAATGTGATGAGCAACAAGTGCGAGACATGATCATGTTTTTCGAAGGCCTAACTGAGAGAGCTCTGGACCATCAATGCCAAATAAATATCTGCTTTGCCAGTCGCCACTACCCAGCAATCGACATGCGTAGTGGTAGCAAGATAACCCTGGAACAGGAAAAAGGGCACAACGAAGATCTGGTAAAATATGTACACAAGCATCTTCAAGCAGGCACCGGGAAGCAAGTGGAGAGCATCAAAGTAGAGATCTGCGAGAAGGCCAACAGCGTCTTTTTGTGGGCAGTCCTTGTCGTCGAAATCCTGAACGCAGAGTACCGCAGAGGTCGCTTATTTGCCGTGAAGTGGCGCCTGAAGGAGATACCCCCGAAGCTTCACGAGCTCTTCATGGATATCATCAAGCGAGACACGGTCAACTTAGACGAACTGTTGCTTAGTCTGCAGTGGATCTTGTTCGTAAAGCGTCCTCTCAAGTGTGCAGAATACTATTGTGCCATGGCATCTGGCCTTGATCCTTCTGGACAGTCGCTAGATGAATGGGATCCGGAGTATATCACTTTCGAACACATGAAGACTTATGTGCAGCATTCCTCCAAGGGCTTCGCCGAGCTAACGCAAACAAAGGAACCCACGGTCCAGTTCATTCATGAGTCAATTCGCGACTTCCTGCTGAAGGACGGTGGTCTGAGCAATCTGCTGGACAGTTGCGGGTCTTCCGTTGAGAGCTCGAGCCATGAGCGACTCAAGTCATGTTGTAACCACTATCTTACAAACAGACCGACCCTTGGGTTGGAGCGACATAAGGCCAGTACCGATCAGGCAAGAGCTCTGCTGCTATGTTGCCAAACACGGCTACCCTTTCTCCAATACTCTGTGCACTCCATGCTGTACCACTCGGATAAAGCTGCTCATGACATTTCCCAGGAAGATTTCATTCGGCAGATCGACCTTCGTGCTTTGATCAGATTGGCCAACGCGTTTACGACTTTCGAGTTCATGAAACTCGCCGAGGATGCCAGGCTCGCATACATACTTGCTGAGGGGGTGACCACGCAGCACTCTTGACCACGCTCATCAAGCTGGATGTCCCGCTTCACGAACCAGGCCAAGAGCGCCATATCTATCCTTTTTTCGCCGCTATTGCGGGTAACAGGCTTGCGGCCTTGCGCGTCCTAACGTCTTCCGAGTCGTACCCCAAGCCCGACTTCACTGCCTTTGATGAAGAGCTAGGTCACTTCATCCTAGATGTACAAGGACTTAATCCTCTCTGTTGGGCGCCGCAAGGAGGATACCTGGCTTTGGCAGAAACTTTGCTGGCGAGGCCAGGCTGCATTTCACCTCAGCTTCTGAATGCGGATTGCAACTTGGCAGAAATAGAGAATGCAGTAATGCTGGCCGCGCGGAAAGGGTTTCACGATATTGTTAAGCAGCTACTCCGTGCCCTCAGCTGGACGTTCCGCACAAATCCGAAGGATATCCTGCTTGTACTGTCTTGTGCTGCCTTTTCTGGATCGCTCGAGATGATGCAGGATCTGTGGTCGCAGCGCCCTTCCGCAATTGGATCACTTGACCTTACACGCTCGTTACACATGGCTGCTGAGGTGGGTCACAAGTCAGCCGTGAAGCTACTGCTTGATTGGCAGGCTGATGTGAATGCAAGCTTAGACGGTCGGACAGCATTGGTCTCTGCGGCAGCCGATGGCCATCATCATGCCATTGAGCTGCTGCTTGATTGCGGTGCTGATATTGATGCAATGGGGGAGACGAGCGGAGTAGACGTAGGCGACACGACACTCCACTTCGCAATCGAACGATCTCACCTGGAGACCGTCAAACTTCTTTTATCCCGCGGGGCAGGTGTATGGAAGATCTCTGATGGATGCAGCTCCATCATTGCCCATGCAGCGCGTCTTGAAGTCGACTCTGTCATGAGGACAGTGTTGGCACATTGTATAGCAACAGACGACTGCACCACATACTTAGAGACGATACTCCTGAGCGAAGACATCTCGGATTGGTCCTGGCAATCGATCCAGGCGTTGCTTGAGCATGGCACGCAGCTGGAAGCTTCGGACCGCTTCGGCAACACGCCCTTACTCAAAAGCGTGGAATCAGCAGCGGATTATCCGCGCTCGATACGAGCGATCACACATTTCCTGCATCTCGGCGCCGATCTGGAAGCTCGGAACCAAAATGGCAGCACGCCGCTGCTTGTAGCAGTGAAAAGCGGACAATGGCAACTCGCTAAGGAGCTCCTCGAGCATGGAGCCGATTCGAGCGCTCGTGATGGTGAAGGCAACGCTATCAGGGATGTCGGAGAAGAGGAAGACATGGCAGAATGGGGATTGCTGGCACGTGATGGTCTCTCTCAGTGCGAAATTTGTTCTGTTTCAACCCCATCTTCTCCTCTCCCTGAGGATGTGACATGCCACACATAGCCTATACCGCCTGCGTCCTCCTCAACTTCGGCGCTATCTTCCGAAACGCCATCTCAGCCCCGGCATCACTCTGCTCTCCATTCATTCCGTTCCAATGCTGCACAAACCCATTGACGCCCTGACTCGCTTTCCTCGGCGTCGCACCATTTACATCATTAGCAGCACCTTGCTTCACGCCACCAGCAGGTGCACCTTCCGTCGCTCGCCGTTTACCGAGGACACTGGTGGCATTCGTAGCTCCGCCGATCTGCTTCGCGGGAGTCCGAGCAAGTTTTCGTGGTCCGCTGGCTGAACTTCTGGAGTCGAGGGAGGGTCCTGAGGGTCGTGTGGGAGTCTGCAACTGTATATGGAGGTGACCGTTTGTCAGGGGTTGTGTTTTAGCATGAGGTTGGGAGTGTGAGATTCCATTTCCGTTGACCAATTGCTGAGGCTTCTTCTTCGGGACAGTACTGCTAGCTTTGCGCGGCTGGACAGCGCTCTGCCCTTTCGTACTGGCCGGTGCTTTACGCGAAGCACCACCTTTTGGAGTCGGTGTCCTTGGAGGTTCCACGTTCAGTTTCCGCGGTGTTCGTCTTTCAGCCGAAAGCTCGACTGGTAGAAGTTGCACAATCGGATGCCTGACTACGCTGGGTGTGGCACCTTTCAGCCTGTAAGTAAGTGTTACTGGCAGTGCAAGTACACGAAGCAAAGTGCCAAGACTCACCATCACCATTAACCAACGTCTTCACCACAGGCTCCATCTTGAGTTTGACCGAGCTGGGGCCACCTGCACATCTCGACCCATCGCTGTGGTCGTGATACTCGCATGGACCATCACCCTCAGCTTCGCCATCCTCGTCTACTACATCGGTCGTTGGGTCCTCGAACAACATCCCACCTGACAGCGACCGAATCGCATTGACCATCTCGACAGCAAAATCAGTATTACCCTCAAAACAGCACCGATAGCTTTCCGCATCCTTGTCGACATCTGGGTCCATAATCTGTCGTGCCGCAATCCTCGTCATAAGCTTCCTGAAAGGCGAGCCTGGGGCGGAAGAGCGATAGATCTCATTGATCTCTTCCGCGTCTGGAACAAGTTGGGCCGTGTTGAGGGACAGGCGGTAGGCGTCCATGCTCAGATTCGCGAGGTGTAGTAAGGAGAATTTCTCGCACAGGCGGTGGAGCTTTTGGCAGGAGACTGCTTGACTGTAGTGCGCCTCCTCGTCTTCCAGATCTAGCGGTTCTTCCAGTTTGCCTTGGTATAGCCATTTCACGAAGAGTTCGAAGCCTTGGGGGTCTTCGTCCGGTAGCTCAAGTCGCAAGGCTTTCTCACTGCCCCCTTCATCCATACCATTGGTCTTGTTCTTGGGTATCTCATGCCCGTCAAACTCCACCTCGAAGTAAGTCGAATGATGACACAGTAAGTTCTTATGCAAACACCACTTCTTCCTTTCCTTGCCTACGACAATCTCGACAGTCGGTCCAGAGAGTAGCCTTTTATGTGCTTGCTTAGCTTCGTCCATGCCGTAGGAACTATGTGCTGAGGTCCACCAGAGGGTATGAGGACTGCTATGCGCCATACATGCATATCGCTACATCTATAGGTATATCTTGGACTTGATACTTGATGCAGGAGCGAGGAGAAGAAAGGGAGACGTACTCGGCGAAAGTCTTTGCGCTCGTCCAGGGCGCGTCCGTCTTATTTGCAACCACAGTACTAATAATGCGCGTCTTGCGCCCCGTCTCGTCTATCACATGCATAGGTGGATGCGCCAACAGCCTCACACCACCCTTCTTCCCACCGTCCTCTGCGTACGCAAAATCTCTCGAGTATACCGGCGCGGTGGTAGTAGCTGTCGTCGACGCCGATGCTGTCTTGCCGCGACGGAAGTGCAGTGGGTTGTAGTACTCGAAGGTGGTCTGCCAGCTTGGGGGAGGAGACTGGACGTCTTCACCCATCAGGTCGGAGGGCGAGGGGGGGCGTTATATACATATGTACGAGGCATGCAAGGGCGTCAACGGTTGCATTTCGCGTGGAATGGAATGGAGGAAGTTGAGGAGAGACATGTCTTGTGTATGCGATCGGGCGCTCATTGGCTGGTGGTTGAGCCCAAGCGGGATGGAAACAGGGGTATGGACGGCACGAGGCATACGGCAAGGGAGATCCATTCATTGAAGTCGCGAAGGTATAGTACAAAAGTTCTATACTATGATACACGTCCTCCCATATCACCATGCGCTCCACACACCCAACATCCCCACAATGCAACGACTCCTGAACTACCTCCTTCTCAAATACCAATTAAAAGCCAACTCCATCGTCTCGCCCCCAAACGGCGTAGGAACCTCCGCCAACCCAGGTCTCGCTACCGGATGCCTCAGATATACAGCCGAGCAAATCTTCTGATTCACCTCTAGGTATCTTGGGATGAAAGCAAAAGCACTCATGAACTGTCGAGGTTGCCAGGGCGTGGCGTAGGGCTTCGATGCATCGACTGGGTTTGCGCGAGCGCGCTCGAGGGCTGCTGAGAGGAGTTCGGCGTCCTTGCGCGCGATGTACTCGTCTTCCTTGTCGGGGTCTGACATTTGTGGATTCGACGATAACGTTGGCTGCTCGGCTGATGCGGCTGCGGTGGCTGATTGTTGTACGTCGGATGTCGACTGTGTCGGCTTGGCGTCCTCGGGGAGTTTGGTCATGATCTCAGCCAGAGCTGTTTCGAAGCCGTCTACCGTGTCGTCTATCGCCGCATCCTCCTTACCACTGCCATGCTTCGACATCGTCTTCTTGACAGACTGTGAGAAGGCGCGGAGTTCTTGTTGGCGCTTTCCAGACAGATCGCGCTTGGAGTCTTCCAGTATCCGCTTTGCGCGTGCGATGAGGTTCTTCATCGCTTTCTTCGCATCTTGCTCGTCTTCAGGTTTTGTCTCCAGCGCCTCTCGCTCCTCGGCCGACTCTATCGTAGCCATACCAGCTTCACTCTCTTCACCTTCACCTTCTTCCCGCGCCTCAACATCCTCTGCTTCCTCCCCCTCCTCCACTTCTCCGCCAAAAGCTCCATGATCCGTAACATGACTATCACTGCTCTTCTTCTTCGCGCCTGTGGCAAACATCACCCTCTCAGGCTCCACGCTAAACATATCACCCGGATTCAACTGATACCCAGGATATATCATCTTCTTCCCGTTAACCTTCACCCATCCATGAACCACAAATTGCCGCGCCTGCTTCACACTAGAAGAGAAAAGCGCTCGCCAAATAGCCGTATCCAATCTCCTCTCTAGCGGATGGAACGTCATCTGAGGATAAGGCGTCTTCTCCGGCCTGCCATCTGCTCTCTTCGCCACAGCATCTTCTGCTCTAAATGGCTCGCCGGCTCTCCGTCGTCGCCTTGCTTGCTCTTGCATTGGCGTTTCCAGCCCTGCTCCTCGCCCACTCGCCTGCTCACTTCCGTCGTATTTGGCCAGGTATCGATGGTCCATGCTGACTACACTGGGTAATCTTCTGTCGAACATTCGAGTCCAAGTTCCTTCTCGGACGTATGGACTGTGGTAAGCCCGAGCTAATGATTTCGCTGTCCATTTCTGCTGGAAGAATGTCTTGTTTGCGGCCGGAGGGGTGGTTAGTCGTGATAAGTTGTATAAATTCTCCTTGCGCCTGGTGTGCGTGTTAGCAGATATCGTTATGAAGTTCGGAGGGATGTACGACTTACCAATCTTGTCTTATCCTTGGTCGCTTAAGGTTGTGTGGTTTTCTAGGCATTATTGCGGTTGAGAGAGTGTTAATGAATGTGATGGTCTCGTGCTCCGCTCATGTTCAATCATCGAAGGGTATGCCGAAAGCGGTTAGGCGCCGCAGCACCTCCGGCGATTATATGACTTGACATCGACACTTATATAACCATCTCTGCCCCTAGACACATCACGAAGAGGTGGGTCGTCTCGTGATGAGCATCACTGAGATTCCAGGCTCACGAAGTCATGTCAAACAAGAATGACGAGCGACCAGGTGCCAATCAAGCAACGCTCATATCTGTATTGCTCAGGGCAGGCAATTTACCACGATCGACCTGATGATTCCAGAATCAGGCGTGTTGATGATCTGCGGAACACTTCCAGTGACTCCCCCTTGGTTGCTGTCGAAGTCATGCCGGTAGGACCAGACGTGAGCAGGCTGCGTCTGCACATCAATCGAGACACGAACCGCCCACTTCCGACGTCCAGACGATGCGTCGGGTAATCACAACATATGCGCATACCACTCCTATATGCGATGTACTTCCACGCCGTCTTGACATAGCCCGTGCCACCATGGAGGGGGCCCTCGGTACGCTTCTCATCAACGATTCGAGCCTTTGCCCTGATAGGGGGTCGCAAAGAAGCGCTGCGCAAAGTCCCCTGACGCCGACCATCCCGCTTGACTAAATCGCTCTGTACGCCTTACCAGTGCAAGATACTTGCTTCACGTCTCTCTAATGATCCATTTGTCCGCGCTGCCACTGTGTTTACAGCGTGAAGTGAAGCCCACGTTAGCGACTGGCTTTCAACGCGGATCTTATTAGCATTTCGAAGTACGATAGAACATGGGGCCCCGACAGAATCGCAAGACGTGAGGGATCGTGCCTCGAGCATTGATATGAGTGCCATGATGGGATTTCTGGAATGTTGTCAGTAGTCTGCTGCCTTGAAATCTATCCGTGGTTGCGATACCATAGCCCATGATCTGTCGACGGTTTACAGAGATCTAAGTGTAGGGCTGGGGTCTCAGGCGTTAACCTACCGTCTCACAGCGATTCGCACAGGAAGTCCCGTAGCTCAAACCAGATTTCGAGTCACGTCCTACGTGGCGAGGGTGCTGGATGCTTATGACGGCTGCGAGCGAGGAAACCGCCTTTGCGAAGAGTGTCACTACGAGTTTTTGTGATCGTCCGTGCAAGAAGCTGAGGCTTTCCCGCAAATGACACGATGAACCTGGGCAGGAAATGGTCAATTACTATCTGTCCTTCAATTTTTGCTTGGATCCTGCATGAAGTGAGATTGCGGTTAGATCCTTGGCGCTCACTAGCGCCCGCACGATCAGCCGCGCCCCACATTCAGTCAGAGCTTCGCATTGAGTCGAAGCTCGAAAATTTACAGTCACTTTGCGACAAGACACATTTCCCTCGCAACCAAACATCATGGCGGACAACGTTGACGACGCCGTCAAAAATACTGGAGCGATGGACACTGGAGCTGCTGCTACGACCACTGCCGCCGCTGCCATCACCGAGAACGAAAAGGCGAATGGAGAGCAGAAGGATGGTGTGATTAACTCCGGTGAAACAACAGGTAAAAAGACGGACCGAGTCGAGGCCGAGAATGAAGTCATTAAGGCTGCCGACGTCCCTGAGAAAGAGGTGCTCGATGCGACCAACCTTGATAGCACCACCGCCGAAGAGAAAGTAGTGAACAAGGATGACGAAGACCAAGACCAGAACGAGAAGAAGCGCAAGGCAGACGTGAGCGTCTCAGCCCACGATCGCGAGCGTGGCAACAACAAGCGCGGACGGGGTGGAGGGCGTGGAGGTCGCGGCAATTACCACCAAGCAAAGAGTGCGAACAAGGCCAAATTCGACGACCTCCCCGAGAGCGACGACCTCCTCGAGATCTGCAGACAGGTGGACTTCTATTTCTCCGACAGCAACCTCCCTATCGACCAGTACCTCCTCGACGAGACTGGGGGCCACAAGAATCGCCCCGTCCCACTCAAGACCATCCACAACTTCAAACGCATGCGTCATTTCCAGCCCTACTCCGCCGTCCTCGACGCCATCCGCTCCTCGCAATTCCTCGACCTCAACGAACAGGAAGAAATTACCCGCAAAGTCCCGCTCGACGAGAAGTTCACAAACGATGCTAATCACAACAAATCGCTCCAGCACACCGCCAGCATGGGCCGCAGTATCTACGCCAAAGGTTTCGGTGACGAGGATAAGACCACGCACCTCGACATCGAAGCCTTCTTCGCTCCTTACGGCCCGGTCAACGCCGTGCGTCTGCGCCGCCACGACGACGGCGAGTTCAAGGGTTCCGTGTTCGTTGAATTCGTGGATGAGGAGTTGCAGAAGCAGTTCCTTGACCTTGACCCTAAGCCGCAGTTCAAGGAGGGCAAGGATTTGCAGATTATGAGCAAGCAGGAGTATGTTGATGTCAAGCATAATGGGATTTTGGAGGGGGCGGTGAAGCCGAGAGGGCCGAGGAAGGCGAGGGGTGGGGATAGGGAGTTTAGGGATAGACGTGGTGGGGGTGATCGAGACCGTCGTGGTGGGGGAAGGGATGGGTTGGACAAGGATGATTGGAATGCTAGGCGTGATCGGGATCAGCGCGATGACAGAGGGAGAGGTCGAGGTGGACGCGGTAGTAGGGGGAGAGGTGGGAGAGGTGGACGTGGCGGCAGGGGTGGCGATCGCAGACGTGATGATGACCGTCGTCGTGGGAGGGATGATGAGGACCGGGATCGCTCGCGTTCGCCTCCGGCTCGTCGGGATGGAAAGGAGGAGGGTGGTGCTACTAATGGTGGGGCTGAGAAGGATGGGAACGCCGAGACTAATGGGGAGAGCAAGAAGCGTGGTCGTGAGGAGGATGATGGTGGTGAGCGTGGTGGGGAGAGCAAGAAGGTCAAGGAGGATGTTGCTGCTGAGGCGTAGGGCATGGCAATAGGCAAGCAGGGTCTGGCTGAATTTGAGTCGTGGGTGTATCCCAGTGCCTCGAGAGCAGGAGTCTAGGCGCGAGATGGCGTTACGCTGGCGTTTTCGACTACGATTGCTGTACTTTCGGGCACAGCATGGCTAGAGATGTGAGCTATGCCTACATGAATGAAACACTCTATTCTATGCTCTGCGTCCTATGCCCATAATTTAAACCGCTTGTCAACAGTCCGAGCTGAAAGCACGGCCTGAGGTCTTAGTGTAGTGGCGTTCAAGCAAAGCTCCCCATTCTCTCATTACTGCCATTGCAGGCGGGAGCGATGCTAAAAGAAGATCACTGGATCGGACATTTAGCTTCATACGCCCTCGTAAAACCGCAATCACAACATGCCGGACCATCATTGCCTTCGTAATAGCATCGTAGTTGTCCGCTATGCTATACATACTAAGTCTACAACCCTTTCATCAGTTCCCCTAGTCCAATAGGTTTCCTCACGGCATTCGAGAAGCCCTCGTGGAACGTTACCCAGATTCTTCCTTCTGGCCCTTCTTCTGTAGTAGTAGTAGCCTTACCTTTGCCCTGATCGCCCCCAGCTGACGCAGGACTTGGAACAGGAGCCACGATGACACGACCGAAGAAATCGCGCTTTACTGCCATCTTCGCTATCCTCGCCGCCTCGGAATCTATCGCCGCAGAGGCGGAAAGTGAGATGGCTGCCTCAGCGTCATCCTCCTCACCAGCTACAGCACCACCTTTGAACCTCGCCATCCTCGCCGCCTCAGCACGTTTCCTCTCAGCTTTCTTCCACTCCTGATCCAACACCTGTCGCACCGCGAAACGCTGCTTCCCACCTACAGCAGAATCACCGAAGTCCTTGCCGCCTGTGGAGTAGGTTCCTAGGACGTCGATGGAGGGTTCCATGCGATAGATCCATTGACTAGGTGCCTGCCAGCTCGGTTTGCCACCATCCGCAGAATCCAGATCCGTGACCCGTGTTCGTTCGAAATGGATACCGCAGGCTAACATCGCTTCTACCGAGCGAGACAGGAGTTGTTGTTCTGATGCTTTACGAACGGAGGCTGTGCCGGCTTTGCCTTCGCGGTCTGTGGCGCTGCCGCCTACGATTACGGGGTTCACGTTCGGCGAGAGCATGCGGAGAAGGTAGGGGAGGAGATCGGTGGATAGGGTGGTCGTGCTGCTGAAGGAGCGGGTGAGGTCGAGGGTGAGGGAGGAGTGTAGGGTTTCGAGGAGGGAGAGGTGGTGTTTTGTGGTTTCGTGGGCTGTCCAGGAGGCTTGGGGGCCGGTGAAGGGGTGGGGTGGCAGAGCGTCGTCGCTTGGGTCGGTGTTGTTTTGGCCCTGCTGGGCTTGAGCTTGGTATTGGGCCCGTGTGGGCGAGGCGAAGAGGTGGTGGAAGGCGAGGACAGGGGTGCTGAGGTAGGGTGCTAGTTCCCATTCGTTGCTTGTGAACACTGCCGAGGACAGGCGGTCGTGGAAGTGTAGCCAGTCGTAGGCGGCGGAGGGTTTGGAGAGGAGGGTGTCGTCCTGGAAGGGATGGTCTGGGTATGTGGTGAAGCAGTCGGTCATGATGCGGTCCGTGTCGCCGTGGGTGTCGACTAGTTCGCGGAGACGATCAGTGGCTGTTCGCTTTTGCCCTTCTGCTACTCCTCGTGCGCCACTGTTGTTTGAAGGAGTGACGGGTGCTGAACTCTTCGGAAAGCCAGCGCCTTCTTGGAAGACTCGCTCGACGATATCCTTCGGTCCTCCTCCGCCTAACCCTCGAGTGGCACCACCTCCATGTGAGAGATCACGAAGGACGTTGTCTTCCACCCATCGTCTTGTCAGTCTCGCATTACCAGTAGCACTTTGCTCAGCCCGCAGTTTTCCAGCAATCCACTCGCCTACCACCATGATCCCTCGCATATCGCCTTCGCCAGCACCATTGCCACCGCGATCTTCTTTCCGATTACTGACGCCCCACGTAGCCTCGCATAGCCTGCGCACACCATCACCCTCACACGGCACACCCTCCTTGTCAAAGATACTCTGCATACGAGCCGTGATTGTCTGGATTTGTGGTTTGCGCATATGTATCACCTCAGCATGGGAGCTCTGCCGCAGTGGTCGAAGGGACGGATGATATATGTCGTTACAGATCAAGATCAGCGGCCTCTGCAATCTAAAGCGATCGCCTTTCTTCTTTCGAGCAGGTGCTTGTTGCATGTTGCTGAGTCCACTGCTGTTTTTCTGGTCCAAGAGGATGAGGTCGATGAGTGCTTTCACGAACCCTCCTTCTCCTCCTGCACCACCACTCCCGCTCACTACGCCATCGACCTCATCCACGATAACACAGACAGGCTTGCCAGCTTTTCTCACCTTGCCATCAACTGTCCTAGTATCAACGCCTTTCACATTCTCCGTCCCAACCATATCCCTAATCCTCCCTCTTACGACGTTACTACTCCTCTCATCACTCGCATTGATCTCTTGCACCTCATAACCAGCCTGCTTAGCACATACATGTGCCAACGTCGTCTTGCCCAGTCCAGGCGGTCCAGTAAGCATCAAAATCTTCTTCAGTGGTCGCTCTTCTATTTGCTCCGTCTGTCCCTTCTTTGGCTTCTGTGGACGGTAGGAGCCAGGGAAGACGATCTGATCCCATCTTTTCAGCCAGTACATGACGGATCTGTGCGTTCTCTCATCGCCAATCAAGTCAGTGAATTTGCGAGCTCGGTACTTTTCCGTCCATAGTAGAGATGATTTCTTCGTCGTGGTTTGCTCGGCTGGCGGTGTAGGTAGCTCGTACGCTTCTATGGGTATAATGGCCTCGGCCTGAGCATCTTCGAGTAGCTGGTGAATGTTGATGCCATAATACGATCGTTGTGCTTTCGCTGGACGCGCCAGTTGATTCTCGCCCAGATTGAGCTCAGTGAATTTGCGCTTCCTCGCTAGTGAAGGTGTGAGAGGTGGCGACGACGCCATACAGAGCATCTGCAGAGGTGAGGAAGTTCCTGGCTCAACGGGCTCGCTGCGGAATATATCACACGTCCTCCAGCTCCGTCCAAGGACTCCGGAGGTTCGCGCTTGTAAGGTCTCCTCTTCGGCGTCTGCGAATGCAGCAACGTCCTCTGAGAAGGTCGTAGGTTGTGTGCTCGCGATGGAGGGTTTCACGAGATCACTCAGCAGCTCTTCCAGATCACACAAGTCGGGTATGCCGCTGTCCATGCCGTGGAGCGAAACTGACGCGATGGAACGCGTGTGTTGAATGCCACGCGTCTAGAACTATAGCTAGCCGTAGGATGCACGAGATTAGATAAGATCGGGTTGAGAGACAACCCCTCATTATTATTATGCCATTGATCATTGGAGCTCTCGAGCTGCAGGAACGTCTGGTCTAGCATTTTGCCGATTTCTCCTAGACTGGCGCAAGTGTTAGGATGAGCTAATTTCAATGGCCTACTACTAGTACTAGTCCTCCGATATCGTTGACGCGATGCAGAAGGTGCGATGGACTACGTCAGTCGTCCCTTCCATTTCAACTAATTTCATCCTGTTTCCACTTGACCTAAATTAATCCACACACCGATCCCCTTCTGACGACCCAACCACAAACGACGATAGTAACTTCATATCAAGTAACAGGACACAGCAACGATGGCGAGCAACACAAAACCACTAACGCTCTACTCCCACGCCGGTGTAAGTCGTCCATGACCCCCTACTACCACCGCGTCCACTAACACGAACCACCAGGGCCCCAACCCATGGAAAGTAGCCATCATCCTCAACGCCCTCTCCATCCCCTACGAAAACAAACTCATGGACTTCCCGGACCTGAAAAAAGCCCCCTTCGAAGCCATCAACCCCAACGGCCGCGTCCCCGCCCTCGAGGACCCAAACACCAACACCACCGTCTGGGAGTCGGGAGCCTGCATCGACTACCTGCTGGAGACCTACGACACCTCTAACACCTTACACGCCAAATCCGGGCCTCAAACATGGGCCCAGAAATCCTGGTCTCATTTCCAGACTTCGGGCCAGGGACCTTACTACGGCCAGCGCGCCTGGTTCGTGCTCTACGCCCCGGAGAAAATCGAGCTCTGTCTCAACCGCTATAGCGATGAGATCAAACGCGTGCTTGGCGTGATCGATAGGCATCTCAAGTCCTCCGGGCAGAAATTCCTCACGGGCAATGAGGCGAGCTATGCGGATCTCATGTTCGTGCCGTGGCATTGGTTGCTGTTGCAGAAACCTTTTATCAACGGGGAGGAGTTCCCGAAGGAATTCCAGAGTTCATTCCCAACGGCTTGGGAGTGGCATAAGAGATTGTCCGGGATTGATGCTGTGGAGAAGGCGAGGGAGGCAAGGAATCAGGCTATGAGTAAGGGACACTGAGGTGACGAGACCTGAGGAGACTGGGCGAGAGAAACAGTGGGCATGGCATGCAGATATGGTATGGCTTGCCATGCATATCTGAAGGGCAGGCATGATGCTTAGGGACAGTCAAAGTATATGGTGGAGAAACGGACGACGTGACGGATAGCTCGAGTGTGGAAACATTATCATGGATGCCAGAAAGAAGAACACTCTCAACGAAGTTTTTACAAAGAGTGGTGTACAGGTTCCCAAAGGCTTATCATACCTCTCCCCCACCATCCACAAAGTCCTCACCTCATCTGACAACGAACGCTTCTTGGACTTCCAACCTTCACACTTCACCCCAGCACAACTTCTCTCGCGCTCATTACACCCACTACCTCTTCCCCTTCTTCTTAGCCGGCACAACCCTAAAAGCCCCATTACTCTCCCCCTCCTTCCCACTCCCCTCCTTCCCAACCCCACCCCCAACACCCGCCGGCCCCTTCTTCGCCACCTCTGACCACCCACTCGCCCCATTCGCCGCCCCGGCAGCCGGACTCGCCGTACTCTTCGGCGCCGAAAGCTCCACCACGCCCTTCTCCGCCAGCTTCTTCCGTCGGAGGAATTCCTCCGCGAAGTGTCGAGAGTCGATGGTGTGCGAGACGCCGTGGACGGCTTCGGTGATCATATCACGGTCGGTGCCGAGGACGGAGAGGGTTTCGACAAAGTCTTCGGCTGTGATACGCTTTTCGTCAGCAAATTGTATCATGACACGTTGGAAATGACGGAAGAAACTGACCAGAAATCCCCTTATTCAAATCCACCCTCAGCTCCCCCACAGCCCACTTCCGGAACTCCTCCTGCGCATTGGCAATCGCAGCCCCAGCCCCATTGTTCATCGTCGCGCTCCGACTAGGCGTCTTGCGCTGCCCCGCCGCAAGGGCACCCGGCACGATCCCCGAACTCACAGTCCTCGGTAAAGCGGCAACTGGCGTAGCAGGTGCGGGACCAGCAGCAGGCGTCTTAGGCTTGCCGCTCGCGCCCACAGTCGTCCACGCACTATTCCCACCCGCACCGGGCGAGGGCGCGGAGACTTTGCCCGCGAGGTTGGCGTAGCTTTTACTGCCTGCTGGTGCTGCTACGGAAGCCATGGCTGAGGCTTGGACGGTGGCGGCTGCTGCTACTAGACGCTTCTTACGCGCTTCTTCTTCTTTCTGGATCTGAGCCATTGTCTTTGCTGGGCCGCCAGCCTTCTGCGCTGCTTTTGTCCAGGCGGCTGACATCGTGTTAGTTGGTGTAGCGGGCGAGGCGGTTGCGCCCCAGCTCGCAGAAGCCGGGAGACCTGGTTGAGGAGCGACATGCTGCTGTTGTGCTGCTACCAAATCTTCCATTTCCTTTTGTGCAAGTGCACGCCTGGCAGCGATGGCAATAGCTTCTGCTTCGGCTGCCTTCCTTGCTTCAATCTCCTGGATCTCTCTCAGTGATGGACCCTTAGGTGCCTCGGCCTGCTCTTTTGCCCACGGTGCCATAGCCGCACTAGGTGTCTCGACCGATGGCGTCTGTGACAGGTCCCTCGATTCGGTCTGCAACTGATCTGCCACACTAGTACGACCAGTGCGTTGAGCAGCAGGAGCAGGGAGAGGTGACTGCGATGGTGCAGGCGGAAATGGCATGGGCATGCCGATTTGTGCAGGTACCGGAGACTGCTGTGCAGAAACGGCTGCCTCTACTTGTTCGGTCAGAGACATTGGCTCCTGTGGTACGATTGGCGATGCGACACTGCTCTGAGTAGTCGGCGTCTGCTGCTCGGACGCCGAGGATTTGCTAATAGATGTCTGGAATCGTGCATCAAGTGCCTGGCCCTGCAGCTGCTTGAACTGCTGAAGTCGCTCGTTTGGCATTGGTTGTTCATTTGTGGTTTGTGCTTGCTTCGCATCATGCTGAGCTTGCTCCTGCTGCAATCTAGCGCGGTCCTGCAACATCTGCTGAACCTGCTGCTCATGTTGAGGCTGTGTCTGTGCTTGCTGCTGGCCGATCGGCTGCCCTGGTGCACCAAATTGACCTTGCGTTCTGCGTTCGCCAATGTTGAGTCTGTCCATGATACCTGGAATCTCCTCCTCACGAATATGGCCCAGAGTGTCCACGCCGGCACCCACCGCACCCAGCCCTACACCCTGCGGCGAGCGAAAAGAGTTATCGAAGAAGCCGGGCACAGCACCAGAAGGTCCATGGCTGGGACTGGATTGGAAAGCACCATTACTCGGGCTTGTCACGGATCCGAAGCTTGGCTGTGAATGCAAGCTCTGCGCACTACTGTGATGATGAAGCTGGCCATTTCCACTACCAGGTGCCAAGCCATGCTGGCCAGGCCCACCCATACGCTGTGCCATCTGTGCTTGAGCCAGATGCTCCTTCTGTCGCGCCATCAGATATTGCTCTTCTTGCTTCCTACGCTCGAGTGCATTCTGCTGGTCAGCCGTCAGAGTAGTGCCAAAGCTGGGAAAGCTAGACGCGAAAGGCGGCTGTACGCCACCAGCGGACGTCGGACCAGGTGGACTGACACCAGTGGGTTGGCCAGCCCAGGCTGTAGGATTGCCGGTAGAAGTAGCTGAGCCATGTGGGATGCCGATCTGCGGGACAAGGAAAGGTTCCCTAGAGTTTCCAATTCGACGGATCAATTGCGCCAGAGGCTCGTATTCGATGTCTTCGTACTTTTTGACCAAAAGCTCAGGTGAGAAGAAGCCGGCCTTGTACCAGTCGTGCATCTCGAGTCCGGTCCACGGTCCTTGTGTTTGACCTTGTGGATCGCGGTAGATCCAGCGCATCCTATCCGGCATAACCATGGTCCTTTGTTGAGGTGCCGGTGGCTGATTCGATGCCGAGCTGCCAGGTGGCTGCTGCTGTTGTGGTGTGACCTGATCATCGCTCTGCAATTGAGATGGTTCGCCCATAGGAGGTGGATGGTGACCTAGTCCGCCAAATGGCTGCTGCATGTCTGAAGACTGTCCAAGAGCTGGCATACCGCCGAAAGGATTTTGCAGATCAGACGGAAGCCCACCTAGACCGCCGAACCCTTGCTGCGCACCCCTCTCGATGCTGCCATCGCGCATCTGATCCTGCATGCCTTGTGGGAACATGCTAGCCATTCTGCTGCCGCCAAATCCACCAGCACCCTGTTGACCAAACATACCTGATCCGCCAAGCCCAGCTAGGCTTGGAGACTGCATCTCAGCAGTAGAGGTGGCGAAGATGCCACCGCCAAAAGCGCTCGACAAGCCCGAAGTCTGTCGTCCTGGCGTGCCGAAGCCTGGTTGCGAAGCGGGCCATGCACCAGAACCAGACGCGCCACCGAGCTGACCCAGACCACCAAGACCGGCGAAACCACGATTACCAGCAACACTGCCTGTCTGGCTACGATCGCCAACGCTGCCTTGTGTAGGTGGCGCACGGCCAATGTTCTGGAACGAGCCTAGGCCACCAAGACCTCCAAGATGGCCCTGCTCCTGTCCAAAGCCACCGAGACCTTGTAAAGGCGCATTGTGCATTTCATGGCTCTCAGCATCGGTGTTCTCAGTCAAGCGATCAACCCCATGCTCGGGCGAGCGGTATGGATTGGAGTCCGTGGGGCTCATCGGTTCATGGCCGCCAAGCTGCAATCCAGAGCGTTGTGCGGCGGGCGTCTGATGGAAGGCATCCCTATTCTGCAAGAACCCTTGACCAGAACCCATCGCGTTATCAGAAGTCATGCCGAAGGCGCCGATACCACCTTCTTCCAAAGTGCTTGACCTGCTAGGTGTGCCAAAGCCACGCGCGCCCTGCCTAGCATGTAGTGGGCTCAGATCAGATCCAGCAGCCAACGCAGCACTTCCCGACAGCTCTTCTTCAGCTTCCGGGAGCGGAGCAGGAGGATTGTCGAGTGATCGCCACGATTCATTCTCATTGACCCGTGACAAGCTAGACATACTACTCTTTCGCTGCACAGTCGGCGATCCGAGATCCTCGTTGCTATCTTTAGTGAGGAGGTTCTTGAAACGGCTTTCGGGCCGACCGCTCCCGCCAGCTGCACGCTTCTCACTTTGCTGACCGCCAAGACCGAAATTGCCAAAGGAGCCCATCGGCGACAGACCCGCGCTTTGCGGACCAGCAGTCCAAGGAGAAGACGGTGCGCCGAAGCCCGCGCTCAGTGGTCCGGTGGGGTTTCGCTTCAAGGTCCCGAATGGCGTTGTTGCTGACTTTTCGTGCTCGTTGTCGAAGTCGTGCGATTTGCCACTCTCGCGAATATCGGTGCGCCGGCGAATCAGAGATGGTGGTGGTGATGGCGCGCGCTGGTCTTCACGCGTGGTGGAGGGCGATGCCATAGAATTGCTCGGAAAGGGGTAGGACTCGCTTGTCTCCCGGCGGCGTCCAAATCCCCTAGCTACACTAGGAGATGGAAGTCCGTAGCCGCCGGAATTGGTGGCATTGCCCGAGATAGAAGTCTTGCGCCCAGACATGCCATTTGACTGCTGTCCGTCTTTATTGTTCGTGGGTGGGCGAATGGGAGAGTTGACGGAAGTCGAGAAAAGTTCCCTCTCCTCATCGTCCATCTCCCGCAGGCCGAGAGGCTGTACACTCCCATCTTTGTCCCAGCAAAGGTCTGGCCCGGGCTGCGCGTCACGAGTATGTTCTGCCCTGCCCCACGATGCAGAAGATGAGCCGTTCGCGATATCTGGATGCCAGCCTCCCACGTACAAGTCCGGCAGGCCATCTTTCAGGCCGTCGTCCGTGCTTTGTTGGGCCTTGTAGAAGTCGAGTAATTGTTCTTTCGAGTAGCGCTGGTCGCTCACAGTGCCGTTGCGATGCGGAGGGACATAGCGGGGTGGCGGGTTGGAAGGAGCATCTGATTGTGCATTCGAGTTTGACATGGTCGGTATGCCGGAGGATCTGCGAAAGGTTTGTGTTACGCGTGATTCGGGTAGAGCTGAGTGATTTGGGCCGCTTCTTGCAGCTGCTGAAGCGAAGGAGGCAGGTGCCATATTGTGAGTGTGCTACGAGAGGAGAATGGAGGTGGGTTGTGGCTATCGCGAGTCGCTAAGCTTGTGTTGTAGTGATTGATATTCCTTGCCGCTATAATTGATGAGAATGTCGTTCAGTGGAGTCGTGCAGTAAGAGGTATGCCCTGGACAGAAAGAAGTCGATCTCGTGTGCGCAGTGTCAAGAACACTGCTAGTGGCTGAAATCGTCTAAGCTTGATCGCGTGCCGGCCCGGGTACCTGAATAGTATATAGAGCCTCATCATTTCATTGACAGGTCGCTCCATCAATATTAAACGATATCATGCGGCTACCATCTACCACTCTTTCCAAGTCGCTGACGTGTTACACCACAGGACGATGCTACAGGCCTGGCGCCATTTAGCGACCATCATGTTTCGAGCAAGCTATATACCCGCCTACTTGCCACGAAAGCATCGGTGGGCTTGACAAGCCATCAAGCGTTAGTATCGTGGTTGAGTCGAAGTCACGAGAATGTGAGGCATAGACCGTCACAAACGCGTCAAATTTTCGTCTGGATCAAATTACATCCGCTATGCCTGAAAGGATCTCAGTATGTGACAACGGGGACACTATCATCCAAGATCTGATAAAATACTCCTGGACGAGCATCATCAACCCGCCCAGATGATAGAGCCACGATTTTCGGAGCTGATTCATCCTCGCAGCAGAACCCTCGCCTTGCGGGTCACACAAGAGAAATGTTTGCTATTCCTCACCCCTCTCGAGGCTGTACGACGCAGTAGCCCGTCGGATCCCCTGCCTTCGCCATTTGATCGCCATCCGCAGCGACCCTCACCAGCTGGACAACTTCCTGTAGCTTTCCGCTTTCCCGCACGCACATGCGCTTCTCGAGATGCACAATGTACCACGATACAACCATACTCTGCGGTCAGTCGATGCCTTATAGTCCGGTGCAGTCCCTCTCCTCGATCGCCCTTCTCCTCCTGCTTTTCTGAATCGCCATATACTTGCTCGCCCTGTCAATTCCTGCTTGGGAAGACGTTCGTCCTACATTACGTCAGTCTTCGCGTTCGTTACCTACCTACCTATTTTACGTCATGGACTTTGGTGGCATGGATGCACGGATGCTTGGCCTCATGGGTGAGGGCGGCCGAAGGATAAGAGGGATGGGTGAGGGTAGGGGTAAGCTTCCTTCTTTCTCTTCTTTGCCTTTTACTTCTCCACTTCGAAAGTCGACTTCACTTCCACTTACATCATGGACTTTACAGGACCTGGTATGCCGCTCATGAATCCCATGCTTGCCGGTGGTGGTATGCCTCTCCGCGGGATACAGACAGATTGTATGGATTTTTCGATGCCTGGGAATCCGAATTACATGTTCGATGGCCGGCCTATAGGACCCATGAGTTTCTGTGGCACTGGACGTATGCCAGGTATGGGCACGGGCATGAGCCCGTTAGGTGGCGGACTTGGTGGATTCGGTGGACTCGGCAGGTCAATGATGCCCGGTCGACTAGGCATGGGCATGGGTGGCCTGGGCGGCTTGGGTAGCATGGGTGGCATGGGTGGCATGATTGGTATGGGCGGTATGGGCATGGGGTCGCCGTTGATGGGTGGCATGGGTATGTTGGGCGGAGCAGGAGGGCTAGGCCTGGAGAGGTTCGGGATAGGGGCAACCTGGTTTGATATGCTGGACGATGACGAGTGGGATGACATGGATGACTTCGAGGACCCAGATCAGTATCTCGTTGAGATACGACGAGCCTACAGAAGGAGAGAGAAGGTGATGAGGAGATTGGGCAAGCAGCAGTTCCTCTGATGCGTAACGTTCTGCCTTCGTTGTGATCAACGCCGACGTTCACGGACCTTAGCTGTCGGTGCGGACGCGGTCTTTCACTTGCTTGCTTTTCCCAGAGGCCAGTCGCAGCATTGTAGATGTGCGCTTCCACAAGCTTGACTGTCTTGATCACAGATCAGAATACTCCATACCAATTAAAAAATCAATGTCTTCGATCGCGTCGCCATCGTCATGTCTCATCATAAAATTTCGACGGACTGATAACATCAGTCAGTATTCTGCTCACACTTCATTGCTCTTATTTCGATGAACCATAGTATCTTACTGCGATGGATACATTGACTCCCGCGAAGTGGCCAGCCGAAGGTTCGGCCGGGCCACCGATGATGGCATTGTGGCAATCCACCGGCATCGTAGCCGTATATGCTGCCGTGCTAACCGCTCAATTGGTGTAATACTCGTCTGAAAGCAATTTACGAATGGCCGATATATACATGCCAACAGTCCGCCTCTTACTTCCAACGCTCTTTATTACACCTTTGAGTCCATATTGCGTATTTGAGCGAGGAAACGACTTGGCTTTAGCCACAATTCGAGAATGACACCACAGCGCTCCACTTCGACTTGCAGCCCAGCTTCGCATCAAAAGCTTGACGACAGTAGCGATCTAGAGAAAGCGGAATACGACAGCGATGGACGACTTGGATCGTCGTCTTCGTCTGCTCATCACGACTCGCAAGTACCGGTAGCACAAACAGGTCTCGCATCACCCAACAATGACACAAATACTCCACCAACGAGCAATGATATCGAGAAGGATGGCGAGACAAGTCATCCATCAAGAAAGTCTGAAGACGAGAAGCGGGCCTTTCTCGTGAAGTTCGACGATGGCGAAGCAACTAACCCTAGGAATTGGGGTACTTACTACAAAGCTTTCATCACATTCGAGCTTGGTATGCTGGCGCTGGCCGCCTCCTTGGGTTCCTCAATCATTGCGCCCGCTGAGCCGGCCATATCAAGTTATACAGGCGCAAGTCTGGAGGCCACAGTGTTGAGTGTGTCACTATACGTTCTCGGTTTCGCCTTTGGGTAAGTTATTCGCAAATTCACCAGAAGCGAAGGCAAGCGTTAACATGAGACACAGACCGCTGCTCTGGGGCCCGATCAGTGAAGTCTACGGTCGCAAATGGTCTATCCTGCCAGCCATGTACTGCCTGGCGCTTTTCAGTATTGGTACAGCCGTTAGCAAGAACGCAGCCAGCGTCTTCATAACACGGTTCTTTGGCGGTGTCTTCGGCTCTGCACCCGTCAGCAACGTCTCCGCAGCGCTGGGTGACATGTACTCACCCAAAGCTCGTGGCATAGCGGTGACTTTCTACGCCGTCTGCGTCGTCGGCGGACCAACCATTGGACCCATCATCGGCTCAGCACTGACTGTCAATCCACAGCTTGGCTGGCGCTGGACAGAATACTTAGAGGCGATCTGGACAGCAGTCGTAGCGACCTTCACCCTATTCCTAATGCCCGAGGTCTATTCTCCAGTGCTTCTACAGCGCAAGGCGCAACGTCTGCGGAAGGAGACTGGCGACAACCGGTACTGGCACCCGCACGAGTCGTCCAAAATCACCTTCAGCAACATCCTGACGAAACATGTCAGCCGGCCACTGAAGATGCTCACCACAGAACCTATGGTTCTTTGCATAGCTATCTATGCCTCTTTCGTCTATGGTCTGCTATACTTGACCCTTGAAGTCTTCCCGATCGTCTACTTGGAAATGCGGCACTTCAGTCCAGTCGTCTCTACCTTGCCCTTCCTGGGCTTGTTCGTGGGAGTACTAGCAGCTATGGGCATCAACCTCGCCAACCAGCCGCGATATTCTCGCATCGTGGAGCAGAATGGTGGCCGTGCAGTACCAGAAGCACGACTGCCTCCAATGCTCATCGGTGGATTGCTCTTCGTCATAGGACTGTTTTGGTTTGGGTGGACCGCCGACCCAAGATTCCACTGGGCCATACCTACCGTAGCCACAGTTTTCATCGGCGCCGGCTTCAACGTCATCTTTCAGCAATGCATAAACTTTTTGGTGGACACCTATTCGCTTTATGCAGCTAGTGCTGTCTCAGCGAACACTTTCCTGCGAAGTTTGCTAGGTGCTGGTTTACCTCTTGCGGCGAGGCCGATGTTCTTGAACATGGGCGTAGGACCGGCGTGCAGCGTACTCGGTGCTGTAGCTGTGCTGGCTTTGCCTGTGCCACTCATATTCATGCGGTATGGACTGAAGTTGAGGAAGATGAGCAAGTTTGCGCCGGTAGAGGAGTGACGACTCCCAGCGTGAGGTGTGCAGAGTGTAAGATATGACGAAGACAGCCAAGTGCCTGTGTATGTATCATTAAATATATAGAAGATAGACTTGCGACCAAAGAGATGAGATTGAGAGCATGGCCATGATGTACAACGCTGCGTTTCGACTGCTACACAGCGATACAATCTTGATTACCATTAGGCCAGACTTTGATCCTATGGTGATGCGGACTCTCGTGGAATTTCGTATGTCATCGGACTAGTCCTTACCATCGATGCATAGTGATCTTTTTCATGCCGCTACCAGACAATTGCATCTTGCCGCCGCGATGTTTCCAGCCATCGCACTCCGCCTCAGCATTGTCGTTAGGTAGGACCAGAGTGCCTTGAGTACCTGCCGGCGCATTGACACTCAGTACAACTACGCCACCACCTAGGATCTGCCAGCTTGCATTGATATCTCCGTATGGAGTGACCACGGTACCTTCAGCATGGTCAAGGCCCAAGCCATTCAGTACAGGCGCAAACTCCCATGTCTTGTACCCTGGTGATGTTGCAGCAATCCCGAGGACATACTCAGGCAAGACATAGGTTGGTGCTCCGCCCCACGGATGTGCAAGTGAGGTGAAAAGATCGAGACCTGGCGCGCCGTTACCAGCATAGAGGTACTCCCATGAAGTCCCGGAGTAGTATTCGTCTACCGTGACCATCTTGGACCAGAAATCATCCAGGAGCGTCCTAGCGACGGTCAAGTTTTGCACACCAAGGTCGCGATGAGCTTTGAACAGTGCATCAAGGAGGAAGCCGCAAGTGTTCGGGGATAGGTTCGTGGTATTCAAGTTTGGATCGGAGGAAATAGTCTTATAGCCAACACCCAGACGCAGAGTGTCCATCTTCGCTACCATGGATGCGGCTTGAGTGGCGTTAGCGGTCCCTGACAGTATGGTCCAAGCAATTGCTGTCAGAGAGAAGTTTCCACGATCGGTCAATGACAATGAGTATACGCCGAGCGCAGGATTCCAGAGTTCGCGATTTATAGCCGCGCTGAGACTGTTGGCAGTGTTATTCCACAAAGTCGCCGTCGGGAGGTCACTGAAGGCTTCGGCCAAAGGTACCAGCAGTCGTAGCGTATAAGCACTCAAAGCCGTGGCTGCGCTTCCATTGACCGGTCCAAGGAAGTAGAAGGCGTCCTCGCCCGCCATCAGCCCCGTGACGGGATCAACGTAGGTCAATCTTCTGGCGACCTGAGCTTTGATGTTTGGCCAGTACTGTGACAAGCCTTGGCTGTCACCAGTAGCACGGAAGTAGTTGCCAATGCCCGAAAGGAACAAGTCTTGATAGTCGATCAGCCCGCCATACTGGCTTATGAACGCATCTTTGTTGGCCGGGTCAGATCCCAACTGTGGGCTCTACAGAGGACACCATATCAGTACGTTGTGAATATATCATGTGCGAGAGAGGGGACATACTATAGGCACGAAACCTGCGAACGGTCCTTCGGTCATTTGCCAAAGGTAACCATAACCAACAGTACCTAGAAGATAGTCTGTACGCCTCGTCGATGCCAGAATGATTCGTGCAGTGTGATAGAAGTCACCAATCCATACAAGTCGATCCCGTTTCGCGCCATCCATGCATATCGAGTGTTCCAGATCCTGTACACTATACTCCGTCAGAACTTCGTTCGTAGTCATGTCATTGCGATATAGCTCAGTGCCATTGTTGGCTACCACGACGACATCCTTCACGTAAGCTATCTCGTCCTGAAAAGGACCAAACCCAAATGAGCCTGCAGTGGGAGAGCCTGAGCCAAATCTTGCTCCAGTGGCCGCTAGCAAGGCAGCTTCCGCAACAGGAACGAAAGCGATCGGAGTGCCATCCAAAGTGACGTTGTATCCTGCGGCAGTCAACGTGGTGGAGATGTCGTACCACTGGTCCTCTTTGATCGTCTGCTGAAGTGGGAAGTACTGGTTCCAGCCCGACTCAAGGGTCGTCTGATTTACGATCCACCAACCATAATTGAAGACCAGAGTGTTCGGTGGTACCAGAGTCCTATTGGTATTGAGTAAGGTATTATCAGTGGGATAGTCCGAGGTCAATATGAACGAAGCTCCGTAAGGTCCAATACCAGCAGCGACCTTCCAACCAGTTCCACTGCGCACGATCTTGGTCATGAAGGACATGGAGTAGTTGGCGAAAGACGTGCTCTTGATGGACAGCGAAGCCTGCTGATTTCTGAGCAAGACGCCATGGGAGGTGATCTCGAACGTCGACACAGCATTGCCAGCATCTACGCAAGCGACCTCCACACATCGAGCGCCCAAATTGTAGATCTCGTCGTAGACATCGTTCGACGAGGTGAAAGTGGCAGGCATATTATTTGGTGAGACACGGGCAGCTGTCGAATTCATGCCGATGGCACTGAAGGTGACTGATGTATTGGTGAGGAGGCGTACAGTCTCCCATCTTTGGCCTCCCTGGATGAAGAAAGACTCCGATCTTCCCTTCGTCGTCAGATTAAACGTCTCGACCCGGAAAGTGTTCGAAAGTCCGTTGAAGAACACCCATGGTCCATCACTTTGTGGTTCGAGCAGAGCGGGATATTGTTCGCTATACTTGACCTCAATCTGTGTCGGCCCAGAAAGCGAGGCAACATCGACGAAGGGGAGACCAGCTATCTCGGTACCGTAGTCAATGGTAAGGAAGGGCGTTGATGGCGTCAGCGTAATGCTTTGGTTGGTGTATGGTGTCGTTGCGTCCAGTGTGATCGTGCTTCCGAGATTGATCTTGGCTGGGCTGACATCGCCATACTCGACAAAGCTGAAGCATAATCACGTTAGCTCTGTTCATACAAGGCCATACTGACGTCTGATACATACGCCGTCGCCTGCTGCAACAACTTGCTTGCCGTTAGAAGTCTAATCGTCCGTACGAAGCCCATGCTGATAGAATAGCAAAAAGGCGTGTGCGGAGTACGCTTCATGCTACTGGAAGGTCATCCGATTTTATTCTCACTCCTGCGCCTATGCCACGGCTGCCAACCACGCTTCCTTTCCATGTGGGCGGGCGTGCATATCCCCTGCTGTCTCCGCATGGGGTAGAACGAAGTCAATGGCAATGATCTCGGTGCATCTTGGAGCGAACCGAGCCGGATGTTGACTCGTGCACCATGAGCCGCAAAGCATGAGCGGGAATCGCTTCCGGCGTCAACGTGAAGGCCAGAGGGTGATTACCGAGAAGATGTTGTCTGGGAAGGCGACTTCAAGAACGGGCAATATGTATTATCCTGCCAGTAAAGCTATACATAATATGAAGGATCGACAGCGCTTTACACAACGACCCATCCCATTCATTTTGCACGAGACCCTCTGAAACGCCAGCCGCTCATCAAGTATCCAAACCATTATACCCAGACGCCAACCCAAGCTATGCAGATTCAACTCAGAACACACCCGCCCGCACTCTACACACTACCCCATTGCCAATCAAATCCTTCTCAGAGCTCGCAGTAAAATAACATTCTACATATTAGCCAACTCCACATCAATCTGACTATCCATGTACGACCTCTTATCCCCAGCAAGCTGACACTGCAACCTCTGCTCCACCAGCGCCTTGACCTGCTTCTTAGTCACATTATCCATATCCACTTCCAACAAGACCTCGCGAATAGCCTGCGTGATAGTCTCGTTGGGCGGGCCTTGGGTTTGGAAAGCGGCGAGGTTGATGGTACTAGCGGGTCGGGACTGCTGCGGCTGACCGTAAGGCGACTGGGCGCGGTTCATGCCCATACCCATGCCCATGTTCGAGTTCATGCCTGGGCTGCGCATGCCGTTGCCGCCGAGCAAGTCGGTCTGCGAGACGCCGCGTTGCGTGCCGTATTGTTCGCTCATACCACCCATGGACATGAGACGGCTTTGCTGCTCCATTTGTTGTTGTTGTGCTCCGAGGTCGGTGTAGCCAGTATACCGACTGTACGTGCTCTGGCGGTTGAGCATGTTATACGGACTCGGGCTCTGCTGCGGCGGTCGATACATGCCGGCATGCTGTTGCTGTTGCGGGAAGCCGGTCAAGATCGTCGAGGCAGGCTTGACGGACGAATACATGCTGTGCATGTCATCCATCTCATAGCCACCGGGAGCATCATTATACCCATTTCCAAACCCACCCTCCTTCTCCGGCGCCAGTCCACGACGACCAGGCAGATTATTCGCAAGCGCATAGTCGTCCCATCGTTGCAGCACTATACTCCTCGGGTCGAACCTCTCTTCCTCCTTCGCCACGACTTTGTTGCCACTTTTCTCCCCAATGACGATACGGGTATTACCCCAAGAAAAGTCATCCTGCTTCCAGAACGAATAGATCGGCAGCACGAAGCTGTAGATTGGGTATGCCATGAGATAGATGATCATCCAGCCGATGTGCTGCCATTGCCTCTTGATGATGAAGATGACCATCTGAAGACCGTAGACCGCGGCAATCATGACAATGGAGATGAGCGGGAATTGTCCAGTGCCCGATGCGACGCGGTAGATCAGGTAAGCCAAGTACGCGCAGGTCGCAGGCAGGATAACGGTGCCGAAAAGATCGATGAAGACAATGAATCTCATACTGAAACAGCAGAAGCCACACAGATCCTTCAACATCACCAGCTCGGCCAAATTGTGGATCGTGGAGTTGATCCATCGTCGACGTTGGGAGAGCAGGACAGACCATTCCGAGGGAGCTTCCGTTAGCGCATAAGCATCCGGAATGAATTTGTAGGACATGGATGGGAAGTGCTTGGTCATGAGGGTCGTGAGATAACGATCCTCACCCAGGGAGAGCAGGTTCTTCTTGTGCAAGGTGTCGATGTTGTTGTCCGCATACTCGTGGATGACCTTGTCCGAGATGATAAGTGGCCGTCCCTTATCCGCAGTCCGGAGTCGATACATGCAGAAACTGATCGCCAAATGTTAGCACGAAGTTTTCATCTTCAAAAGGTCTCAAGATGAACTTACCACCCAGGCAAACAGGTAACACTCCCAAACAAGCTCTCAAAAGCCTTGGCCAAATGATGCGAAATATAATACTCGTAAACCTGAATCATCGTCCACCAACTGCGCTCCTCATTCTCCAGACTCGTCTCACCACAGATCCCAGCAATCTTCGCGTCATGCGCACAAGCAGCCACAAGCCTATTCAACGAATCCTCTTTGACCTTAGTATCGGCATCGACCATAAAGAGGTACTCGTACAACTCCGGATCGACACCGATGATGTTGTTGATCTGATGGAAGATTTCGAGTTCGAGCGGGTTCATGGGACTGCGATGGTGGACGCGATTGAGGAAGGACATGAGAAGGATTTGACTGTCTCGTTTACCACGATTCCCCGGCTTAGCCTTGGTCTGTTCCGATTCCTTGCCGACTTTGACGATGACGATGTAAGGGACTACATTGCCTTCGTATTCGTAGAGACCGGAGTAGACTTTGCCGTAGTTGAGCTGTTCGCTGCCGACACCCACGGCCTTGAATGGTAGGGCGGGAGGATCAACTTTCGGGTCCACACCTAGGATATCCAGGACGATCTTTGGTGTTGGTCGGTCATTGCCACCTCCGACGATCATGCCGTCGCAGACGACACAGATGAGCTTGCGCTTGTTGTCGTAGGCAAGGGCCGTAAGCGAGTCCAGACCCTTTCGGAGCGAGTCCTCGCCTTCAGTATAGGCAGGGACCTGGCAAATAACGAATTTGTCCTGCTGAGCTGGTCGACGCTTGGAACCGAGCTGCAAAGCGGCCAAGAACTTGACCAAGATGGTGGCACACAGGATACCAGCGAAAGCGATGAGGAGGTAGTTGTTGACCTGGCAGCGGGCGGTCTTGCGGAAATCAGTATTGCCAACATAGAAAGCATTGTCGAGACAATTCTTGACGTTGCCTGAGAAGGTGGCATTCAAATTCGGATTGTTATCCCAAAGCGTCTGAATATCCTCGCCAGGGTTGGACTGGACCATCTGCGCGACCGCATCGCCAAAGAAGGCGTATTGCGGGAGGTTGTTCATCAGCTTCAGGGTATAGAAGTAGTCTGTCAGGTCGTAAACCCTGTTGCCCAGCCTGAACCAGTAATGATTGTTGTTCTGGCCATCGTTCTTGACACTCTTGGAGGTATACACAAGTTGACCTTTGTACATCTCCTTCATGCGCGGTAGAAAGTAATCGACATACCAGTTGATGTCATGGAGCTTGGTCGTGGGATCAGATTGTCTCAGTGGTCCACTGACGTGCGCTCCGAGAGGGTATAACAGCGTGCTGTTAGGTTGCAGATAGACCGTATCGTCGGAAACGACACCCGGGCATGCGACGGTGAGTGGTGGAACGATATACTGGTCCATGTCCAGCCCGGCAAACGGCTGCATGTTCTCCTGCGTAGTGTCGATGTTGCTGTCACTGTGCTGAAGCTTCCAGAACTTGGTCAGGTCGTAGACACCACCTCGGAAGGACACCCAGAAGTCAGTGTCGCCAGTGTGGTATGACACTTCTTGTCGGTTCCATGCCTTGTCCCAATTCGGACATAGTAAGTTCCCAAACTCTACGATCCAGAAGATGATAGCGGCGTTCAGGAAGAAGATGATACACATAAGCAGGATCTTCTCACGCCATGCCATCCGGACATCAGGTCGCTTCATACGACCAATATGCTTCAGTGCAAAGCTGGGAACCCACCAAGTGACCGCGTAGGCTGCGAAGACCCAAAGGCGTCGACCCCAAGTTGTCTTTTCAACTTCTACCTCCTTTCCAGCCAGGAGATCCGGGTCCAAGTCGCCATAATCCATAATGTCATGATTGACGGGATCGCCTTTAAAGCCAAGGCCATAGTCACCACCACTCTTCATGGTATGTGCCTGTGTAGGAGCGAGACTCCTGGCCATCTGACTCGGCGCCATAGCTGTAGGTGCGCGACTGAGTAGGTTGTCCCTGCTAGTATTGTCGCCATACTGTTGTCCAAAGAAGCCCTCGCCAATACCGCCAGGTGTCTGGACAGAATATCCAGTCGCCATGCCATCGAAAGGTGATTCTTCGACTGGCTTCATGTCCAACATACTCTCGGCCTCCCACCAAGCATTCTCACGCATCCAGATGCGCTCGCTGCCGACAAAGACTTCGCCATTCGACCAACCGCGCTCCATAAGCCATGCCTCGACGCCCTCTCGGCCACCCTGGCAGCCTAGCCTCGAATATCTGTCCACGAACTCCTCGACATCAAAGTCTGCTGTAAAGTCAAGCTGCTTGTTGCGGTGGTTCGCCCACTCAGGCAATCTCCAGCCACGAATCTGGCTCGAGACTGAGGCTGCGGACCACTGCTGCTGTGCTCGGCCAGCAAATGTTGCTGGTGAGTCGTCCGATGGGTGAAGGCATAGCTGGAACCAGACTCTGCTACTGTCCAAGACTTGTGAAAGATGGAATCGACCGTGCTTTCCAATAACCACGCCATCGTTGGCAACGGGATTGAGCAGCCTCTTCAAGAAGCTGTCTTCCTCCGCCTCTACCGCAATCTTCTCCAGCGTATTCTGCCTTCGATCAAGCTGGCTCTCACGATCTCGTCCGGTAAGGCCAGTCATGATCCCAAGATCCGGCTCACTCTGTGCAATCGCATCCTTCATCTCCCGAACAACAGAAGACCCTGCCTGTACAGCTTGTAGACCATCCATCTTCATCTCAGCATTGATACCAGCCTGATCATCGAAGACTCTCGACAAAGCCACAGCCTTGCCAAGGGCTTGCGAAGGAATTTCAACGACCGTGATACTGACATTGTCTGCATCGTCGTTGCTACTCGGCGGTGTGACAGCACCACCCTCACTACCAGCAACCGAACCAATTGTCCTGCCACTGGCCATCTCGAAGCGCACCGCCTCGTTGGCGCGAGAGATGACCCAGTCCACGAGCGCTTCGTAGATACCAGCAATCAAGACTTCGCGCTCATCGGTGACGCATTTCTTAAGCAGGACCTCAGGGTCGACATCCAGTAGGCCTCCCACATCTTCACAAGTCGACTCGAGCTCATCCTGATCAACGAGAAATCCCACGGCATCGCCGAGTCGTAGGAGAGCCGCTACAACAGACAAAAGTTGGCGCAGGCTCTTGCCCTTGATACCGATGGCCTTCAGGCTCTCGCGGAAGTCCTCAGCATTCGCCGCGTCATCCGCGGTGGGAATGTATGATGGCGCAGTATAGGTCTCGCTCTTCTTCAGCAAAGCATACTGATTTGCTGGTTTCAGGCCTAGGTACTCCCGCTCTTGCTGTGATGACGCGCTAGTCAACAGATAGTAGAAGACGTCGAAGGCACGATAACCGTGTTCGGCCGGCACATTGAGCAGACCATTCTGCGTATCGATGCCGGATGTGGAGAGGGCGAGCGAGGCAGATGTCAGGTCGCCGGCGTAGGTGAATTGGAAGACAGCGGAGAGCCCGAAGTATCGTGGCAGAGAGGGATTGAAGGGTGCGGCAGTATGTAGGAATGGTCGTAGCGCGTTTAGTGCTGTGTAAAATGTGCCCGGGACAGACAATGGTAGGGCGGAGATGAAGGGTGCTAATAGAGATGGAGTGGAGTGGTGGAGAGATCTGTCCGCTCATGTCAGCAATTGCCACCATCTTCGTCCATACTATGCTAGGCACATACCCAAGCACGACAGCCCCATCCTCCGCTCTCCTCCTGGCATGCTCCCACGCCCGTCTTGCCATTTCTCCATCCACTGTGCCACCATATCTTCCATCCGGCCCTGTGCTAGATCCAGTAACCCAGGTATTGACAACCAGACTCGTGCTGCTTTCCAGTTGTACCGGGTGCGATGCAGTATAGGCTGTGTGGCAAGCATTAAGACACGATGTTGTCGACATCTGTTGTGAGACATTTGGCTGCTGCATCGTGTTTGTCCTCGAGGTTGTCGAGTAATGGCTCGTTCGGTTCGCCATTGTGATGGTGTATTATGTGTGTTATACAGTATATGGCTGCCCTGATGGGCGGGTGTCGAGTTCGGGTGCTCTCAGTCCACTAAAGGCCGTGATCGATCCTTCGAAGGGGTATTTTGTTCGCCGCTGAGGCTATTTGGTGAATTGTAGCCTTGCAAGCGAATGGAGTATCGAATATCGCAAGATGTGGACAGCGATTTCCACGTAAACGATCGATAGCCCTCGTGAGGTAGTCACAATGGGTAGAATAGCAGTAATACAAGACAGTGACAGGGCCAGACAGAGACAATGGCGGCAACCACAAGCTTGTGTTCTCAGCAACACAAAGTCTCCAACCAACACAGACAAGCCCGCCGCCGCCGCACTCCTGACTGGCCTAATAACTTCTCAAGCTGATGAACTGGGGTCCTGCAGAAGCGCTAGCCTGTGTCGGGACGAGCGTGCCGGAATAGAGTTCGGACATGGGTTTGTAGTTTGGATTTCTCACTTCCTTACCAACGCCACAGATGGGGACGGATGTTCAACGAGAGCTAGGAGTGTCTTCCAATGACCTTCATGGATTAACGGCAGAGACGCACTACCACACACGACGTAATGCTCTGCTCTGTGCAGCTTACACACTTCGCATTCAAGCACACTGCAAGCAAGCAAAGAAATCTATATCGAGCTCTCGCCACCACCTAAACGGAAAGCAGATCTGAGCTAGCCGCATTTAACTCCTCGCCTTTCTCTCTCAACAACAGGTACCGGAGCTCGTTGCTCCCACAACATTACGCGTCCCTCGTGCAGCTTATACGGGTGGTGGAGCTAGTAGCAGTATAAGCTGTTGCTATACATCATCGAGCTAAGCACTGCTTTTGGTAAACAGACTGGAGCTCGCGTTGACAGTGTTGACCTGTAGCCGTAGAGTAGTGACTTTGAATGGCATATGCCATACCCATGATGGGGTCTGAGCGGACAACGTTTTATTCGCCGTGTATAGAGGTAACAGAACGTTTTCAATCCAAGCTCGCACCTGCAGTTCCCTCTACAGCCACGGCAACACTAGAAATGTTCTCGTCTTCTGCTTGGAAAGAGTTCGTGATCGTCCCGGTCAGACGGCCCCATAACGCCACCAAAACCCACCCAGTAACCGCGTGCATGAGAATCACAGCAGGAAAACACAGCACAACTTGGATCGTCCGACCAGCCATGTGTTTGCTGTGCACAGCGTTCGAAAAACAACTGCTATTTGATCCACTGTTGCTCGTGTCATCATGCTGAACTACTCTCCATATACGCAGCAACAATAATGTAAAGCTCGTGTCTGAAATAGAAGGGCTCAAGCATTTCGTCAAAAGCCGTTGCACCAATGTGGCCTTAGCGTGGATGAGAAAGGGCGTATCCCTGCAAGTTACTTCTTCACTCGCAGCACAGAGGCAAGCGGCCCAGGGAGAGGCGTGTTGTGCGGGCCTGAGCCAAAGAATACTGTATCATCTTTTGACTGTGTTGTTGCATTCTATTGTTGCTATGTTGTGATATCTTCTCTGTACCATATTGACGCCTCGAGTAGTGTCTTGGGGCTTTAGTCGACTTGGACACATTCGCTTGGAAGGGGCAAAAGACGGATTGTGAGGCTATACTGAAAGAAGGCGCTGGCCATCATCTTGCAACAGACGGTCATAGATCACTACCAGAGACATCATTGAGTAATCTAAGCCTTTCGAGGCCGAATATCTGCGCGTGCTGCAGTCTCCCTATCAGAGCAGGCCCATTAGGCCTCGCCATCGACAATCACCATGGCGAACACACAAACAGCCAACCTGGTATCATTACCGGCTCACCAACAATCCGACACGAACCTCACCGGCCACATCGCTTCTCGGTTCCACATAAATCAACCCATTACTACACTCTCGAGCCAGGCGTACATCTCGGTCAACACCTACACTTCCGCAGCCAAAGGCCCGAATGGCGGCAAGGAAGGCAGTGCCCAGGGCGCCGCTGAGGAGCTGGCGCAGAGGATATGGACACGACTAGGCAATCGACAAGAGAACCAAGCGGCGGTCTTCTTGGGTGAGACAGGATCTGGCAAGTCGACGATTCGGTCTCTTCTGACCAGTACCCTCCTCGGCTTCACATCCACTCCACTATCCAAGAAATTGAGCTTCGCCTCCTTCGTCTTCGATACCCTGACCACGACCAAGAGCGTCACCACCCCCACCGCCAGCAAGGCAGGCTTATTCTTCGAACTCCAGTACGAGACGGGCAATAGTATCTACCCCACGCTCATCGGCTGCAAGATCCTAGACCACAGGCTGGAAAGGAGCCGAGTAGCATTTGTGCCATCCGGCGAGCGGAACTTCCACGTCCTCTACTATCTTCTCGCCGGCACGTCCGAAAATGAAAAGGACCATCTCGGCCTTGAGCAGCACAGTCACCGTGACTCACTCACCGGCGCGAAGAGATGGCGATACTTGGGCCACAACTCACAGATGAAAGTCGGGATCAATGATGCAGAAGGTTTCCAGCACTTCAAGACGGCACTTCGGAAACTCGAGTTCCCACGGGAGGAGATTGCTAGGATTTGCGAAGTGTTGGCTTGTATTCTGCATATTGGACAGCTGGAGTTCGTTACGACGCAGGCCACGCAGCCCGCGGCTGATGAGAGCGGTGGGTATGGCGCTGAGGGAGGTGGGGACATGACCGTGGTCAAGAACAAGGAGGTTCTGGATATGGTGGCTGCCTTCTTGGGTGTCCCTGCGAAAGATCTGGAGTTGTCGCTTGGGTATAGGTCGAAGATGCTGCATCGCGAGCGGGTGACTATTATGATGGACCCGAAAGGTGCAAGGGAGAATGCGGATGAGCTGGCGAAGACTTTATACTCGCTACTTCTGTCTTTGATCATGGAGAAGATCAATCAGCGGACTTGCGCAGTTGAAGATGCTGTGGCGAACACCGTCTCGATTGTTGACTTTCCTGGTTTCGCGGCGACGACCTCTACGCACAGCACTCTCGACCAGCTGCTAAACAATGCAGCCACAGAGAGTCTCTACAACTTCTGCCTGCAGTCCTTCTTTGAGCGGAAAGCGGATCTGCTTGAGACTGAAGAAGTCCAGGTACCAGCGACTTCCTACTTTGACAACACCGATGCGGTCAAGGGTCTACTCAAGCCCGGCAATGGTCTGCTCAGCATTCTAGACGACCAAATGCGTCGTGGCAAGACCGATATGCAATTCCTCGAGTCCATACGTAAACGCTTCGATGGCAAGAATCCGGCCATTGATGTCGCGAATTCAATGGTCACCCTTCCTGGCAACAACTTCGCGACTGAGAACACGCATGCCACTTTCACGGTCAAGCACTTTGCGGGTGAGGTCGACTATCCCATCGACGGTCTGTTGGAGGAGAATGGTGAAATCATCTCTGGTGATCTGATGAACCTTATGAGCGCGAGTGGGAGCGAGTTCGTGCAAGAGCTGTTCAGTCAAGAGGCGCTGCAGAAGGTCACAACCAAGGACAGGACAGCTGTCACACAAGCGAGTGTCGCAAGTAAGCCTAGCCGCATGCCTAGCATGGCTCGCAGGAAGACAGGAGGAAGAGGTGGCCGTCTGGCAGCGGCTGGCAGGGATGACGACAAGAGCAGTGACGAAGGAGGCACCCGCAGCTTTTCGCGCACTCAACGGCAAACGGGCGACCAGCAGCAAGGAGCTGCTGCGCAGTTCATGTCGAGTCTGGACAACATCACCAAGAGCTTGACCGCACCCAACACGAACGCCTACTTCTTCTTCTGCCTGAAGCCCAACGATCGTCGAATAGCCAACCAATTCGACTCTAAATGCGTGCGAACTCAGGTACAGACGCTGGGAATTGCCGAAATCAGCCAAAGAGTCCGTAACGCAGATTTCAGCATCTTCATGCCATTTGGCGAGTTTCTGGGAGCTGCTGAAGGCGACGTCTCGATCATAGGAAGCGAAAAGGATAAGGCCGAGGCTATCTTTGATGAGAAGAGTTGGCCACCAAATGAGGCGAGGGTGGGTGCGACTGGTGTCTTTATGTCTGAGAGATGCTGGAGGCAAGTCGCGCGTGTGCAGGAGCTGGGAGAGGCTCCCGTACCGTACTCGGATGAGCCGTACAATGATAACGGTATGCTCACGCCAGCGGATGCGAACAGAAAGGGTGAATTCGGCGACAGTAAAGTTGCGCTGCTCAACACTCCTGGTTCTGGCAACTACTACGACAACGATAAAGCTGCTGGATACTTTGGCTCCCGCGATATGGACACCAAGAGCGAGGCTGGTGCTTCTGCTTTCCGCGATGGCGATATGTTCCGCAACCTGGAGACACGCTCGCAGATGGCGGAGAAGGGAAATGATGCCAAAGTCACCGAAGTTGAATCAATCCCTATGAGCGGTTCTCGCAAACGCTGGCTTGTCATCGTCTACGCCCTAACCTGGTTCATACCCGACCTGGCCATCAAACATATCGGTCGGATATCTCGCAAGGACGTCAGAATGGCGTGGAGGGAAAAGCTAGCAATCAACTTCATCATCTGGTTCTTCTGCGGCTTCGTCGTCTTCTTCATGGCCGGCTTCCCGCGCCTCATCTGTCCGACTCAGCATGTCTATAGTGCCGCCGAGCTGACGTCCTTCAATGGCAAGAATGGCGCATCCTCTTACCTCGCGGTTCGCGGTGTGGTTTTGGACCTGGACAAGTTTATGCCGGCTCATTATCCTAAGATAGTACCGCAGAGTGCGCTGAAGAAGTATGCGGGTCTGGATGCTACGAATTTGTTTCCGGTTCAGGTCTCGGGTTTGTGCCAAGGTGTCAATGAGAGTGGTGTTGATCCGGCTGTTCAAGCGAGCTATCGCAACTACAACTTTACTGGAGAGGCGGGAACCGTTAGTGTCACTGATCAGAATGCGAAGTACCATGATTTCCGATGGTCGACGACTGAATACCAGCCTGCTTGGTTCTCGGAGCAGATGCTCATGCTCAAGGGCAACTACTATAAAGGCCATGTTGGGTATTCGGCGCAGTACCTCAAGACTCTGGCCGACAAGTCCCAGAGTGTCGCATACATCAACAAGCGCGTCTACGATTTCACGGACTACCTTATCGGTGGTCGTCAACCCGCTTTCCCTAATGGCACGACTCCGTACCCAGTCGACAGCAATTTCATGGACAACAATGTCGTCTCTCTCTTCCAGCAACGCCCAGGCCAAGACGTGACCAAGTACTGGGAAGCTCTCCCTTTGGACTCAGCTCTCCGCCAGCGCATGCAAGTCTGCATGGACAATCTCTTCTACGTCGGCGACCTCGACACGCGGAACTCACCGCAATGTCTCTTTGCCAAGTACATTCTGCTCGCTATCAGCTTGCTGCTTGTTAGTGTCATCGGTGTCAAGTTTTTGGCTGCGTTGCAGTTTGGTAAGAAGACCATGCCGGAGAATCTGGACAAGTTTGTTATTGCTACCGTGCCGGCTTATACCGAGGATGAGGATTCCCTCCGTCGTGCTATTGATAGTGCGGCGAGGATGAGGTATGATGATAAGCGTAAACTTTTGTTCATTATCTGCGATGGTATGATCATTGGACAGGGTAACGATCGGTGAGTCTGACATTGCGAATGATTATCGTAGGCGTTTCAAAGCTAATGAGACTGCTACAGACCTACTCCTAGGATCGTCCTCGACATTCTTGGCGTGCCTGAATCCGTGGACCCGGAACCGCTCAGCTTCGAATCCTTGGGCGAGGGCCAGAAGCAACACAACATGGGCAAGGTCTATTCTGGTCTCTACGAGGTGCAGGGCCATATCGTCCCGTTCATCGTGCTGGTCAAGGTCGGCAAGCCTAGCGAAGTTTCCCGCCCTGGCAATCGTGGCAAGCGTGATTCGCAGATGGTGCTCATGCGCTTCTTGAACCGTGTGCACTACAACTTGGCCATGACACCTCTGGAGCTGGAGCTACACCACCAGATTCGTAATGTGATTGGTGTTAACCCGACCTTCTACGAATTCTTGCTGCAGATCGACGCCGACACCGTCGTAGCTCCGGACTCTGCCACGCGCTTTGTCTCTGCTTTTCTCCACGACACGAAGTTGATCGCTGTGTGTGGCGAAACTGCACTTTCCAACTCCAAGGCATCGATGATCACCATGATGCAAGTCTACGAATACTACATCTCCCACAACCTGACCAAGGCCTTCGAGTCGCTCTTCGGCTCCGTCACTTGCCTGCCAGGTTGTTTCTCCATGTACCGCATCCGCGCCGCCGAGACGGGAAAGCCGCTCTTCGTCAGCAAAGAGATCGTGCAGGACTACTCCGAGATCCGAGTCGATACCCTGCACTCCAAGAACCTTCTGCACCTTGGAGAAGACAGATACCTGACCACGCTCCTATTGAAATACCACCCCAAGTACAAGACGAAGTATATCATGCGTGCCCATGCTTGGACCATCGCCCCGGAGAGCTGGGCAGTCTTCATGTCGCAGCGCCGTCGCTGGATCAACAGTACCGTGCACAACCTTATCGAACTTATCCCACTCCAGCAACTCTGCGGTTTCTGCTGCTTTAGTATGCGCTTCGTCGTCTTCCTGGACTTGCTGAGTACTGTCGTCCAACCGGTCATCGTGGGATACATCATTTACCTATTCGTGCTTATTGGGATGAATCCGAGCAGTGTGCCCATAACGGCGGTCATCTTGCTGGGAGCTATCTACGGGTTGCAAGCTATTATCTTCATCTTGCGACGGAAGTGGGAGATGATTGGCTGGATGATTATTTATATGCTCGCGACGCCGGTGTTCTCGTTCGGGTTGCCGTTGTATGCTTTCTGGAATATGGACGATTTCTCTTGGGGTAACACGCGTATGGTCACGGGAGAATCTGGAAAGCAAGTCTTGGTTTCGGACGAGGGCAAATTCGACCCGGATAGCATCCCCAAGAGGAAGTGGGAGGCGTATCAGGCGGAGCTATATGAGGCTGCCGAGGCGGCGACGATGCGCGACGATGCGCGGTCTGAGATTAGTGGCGTCAGCTATGCGACCAAGAGTTGGCATCCTGCTGCGAGTGTCTACGGTGGTGGATACAGTGGAGAGTATCCGCCTTCGCGACCTATGAGCCAGCTGGGCGTACCGTCTCCTTACTATAACAACGGGTCGAGATTGTCTCTGGCGCCATCTGAAGGTCTTCTTATGGGTGGCACTGCCGGTGGTCTTCCACGAAACTACTCCGGCAGCGACATGGAGATGATGTCCGAACTCCCATCCGACGATGCGCTACTCGCCGAGATCCGCGAGATCCTGCGCACGGCAGATCTCATGACTGTGACGAAGAAGAACGTGAGAGCCGAGCTCGAGCGCCGCTTCGGAGTCCCGCTGGAGATCAAGAGACAATATATCGGCAGCGCGACGGAAGCGATCTTGAGTGGGCAATTGTAGTGTGGCATTGTCCAGAAAGATTGGTGTCCTTTTTTCTTCGAGTACATCTTCGTCACACGGCCGCTCCTCAACAAACAGGGGCAACGTATAACGCAAGGGAACTTGAATCGATGGATCAAGAGTAAGCCGTACGAATTCGTGCTGCCTTCTTCTCTCGCAATGGCTGTGGATAATGCTGTGATGACTAGACTCAATTCCTACGGACGCATGCTCTAGTTGGGCTTGGCTTTCCATCACCGGATCTGGGATCTGTACCCGGCCAAGATTTCGAGCAAAAATACGAGAGATCTTGCGTGACGGCTTTGCTTTTGTTCATTGCTTGGGCGTTTGGGTCATTTGACGGTGCTTGGTTGGGAAAGGGAGGCAATGTGGTAACTGGAGTAATGGATTTCCAAAAGGTGTAGGCTTCTGTGTCCACATTGATACTGTACAGAACATCATACGTGCCTCAAGTAATGACAAGTCTCAAAGAGCTTTATTTCCCAACGACGGTCTTCAAGCATATGACGCAGAGCTCTTACGGAGCGACTGCATCGCTAACAACGCCTACGCGCTACACTAGCAGTAAGGCAAGTCGCAGTTTTAGGTGTCAAAAAATTGGCCTGGGGCTGTACGATGAGATGTTGTATAGCTACACTCGAATATTTCAGTTACACATGTGACTTGAATCGACAGTTCGCGAGCATGTCTCGTTACCCCCGTAATCCACTCATCTATTTGGCGGACATCCTCCTCTGCTCGATATCGGCCACACTGGACAGTCTGCGGTCGCGGTGAGCGCCGGCGCCCTTGACGAAGCGGCCAAGGCCCACAAGATCGCTTGAATATGGTCAGCAACAAGGTCATAACGGAAGATGGATTTTAGCCAAGACTCACAGCATCTCAGTCCAGAATCCAACGGGTGGATCGATAAAAGTCCCCTCGTATGCATCGATGACCGGTCGCTCCCACATGAGATCAGCCTCATGCGGCTTCACAAACTTGGTGCGCTTGAGCACCTTCCAGATGATGAAGAGGGCTGGTGAGACAATGACCATGGTATAGTAGCTGAAGAAAGTCGAGACGCTCCATGGTGTAAAGCTTGAATATCCGTAACAGGAGACAATGCAGACCATCCAGACAAGGCCGATATAAGCAGAGTATGGCTGGAACCATCCGCGGTACGGGAAGGTGCGGCGATCGATTCCTTGCGCTTTTACCGCACGGTAGAAGAAGATGTAGGTAATGCACATGACGATGTAGTCGATGACTCCGCCAGCTGTGATGAGAGCGATAAGCCAGTTGAGCACGACCTGGGAGCCGCTACCGATTTGCAAGAAGCTCAAGCATGGGAAGATCATCACAATGGCGAAGCAGTAGACAGGCACACCATTCTTCGTGCACTTGCGCAAAAACTTTGGTGCGCGGCCCTCCAGTGCTAAGCCGTAAAGCGTCCTGGTCGCGCAGTAGGTGTATGAATTTCCGGCAGAAAAGATGGAGGTCACCAGGAGTGCATTGACGATGTGTGGGAAAACGCTGATGCCAAGATTGGTCATGGCAATGACATAAGGCGAGGCGGCCGCAGTGCCTGATCCGCCGGAGTTGCCAGCCAGAATGTTGGTAAGTGTCTTGTCGTTGTAGGGGATGACAATGCCTACAGCCAATGCGCCCATGATGAAGAAAAGACCGAACCGGTAGTATACAGTCTTGAAAGCGTTCTTGATGTAGATGCGAGGTCGCTTGGCCTCGGCGGCGACCATAGAGATGTACTCAGGGCCGACGACGGTGAAAGAGGCTGACCAGAGAGCACCAAGGAAGCCCTCGAAGCGGCCAAGCGCCCCGGTCGTCATGTACTCTGCGAATGATCCCGGGTTCTTCCAGTACCTATAATATGCAATCAGACTCTGAGGGACGAGTTCTTCCGCCTCTGTATGACAAACCTGAAGCCGTAAGCGTCGTGCTGGGGGTTGCCGCCTACCATGGTGATAAAGGTGAACGTGAATAGCATGAAGATCAAGATGACCTTGCCTCCAGATAGCCAGAATTCGGCTTCACCGTAGATTCTTACAGCCAACACGTTAAGTGCGCTACACGGTCAAATTAGCATTTGCAGGTGCTCTGGGAAGTGATGCTTCGGGCCACAGAGAAGTCGCTCTGGGGAAGGCAGGTCGCATGTGGGACATCTGCAGGTTAACAAAAGAGATAGATTGGTCGCCTGTGGTCGCGCTTGGGCTCAAGCTGCATTTGGCAAAGAAATTTGTCGACATTGGTGCTTTGGAAGTAGGCGCTTTGGGTAACTCACGCATAGAGGATGATCGCTGCGATGGGCACGCTCCAGGGAGGGATGTTGTCCGACCAGAATCCAAGAACGGTAGTCAACGCGGTGATTTCGAACGGGATGAGAAGGGCTTCGTAGAGAAAGAAGTTCCATCCGGCCATGAAGCCGAAAGCGTCGTCTACCCACTCTCCAGCAAGACGCACGAAGCCTCCAGATACAGGCATGAGAATGGTCATCTCAGATATGCAGTTGTTAACCAAGCCGAGCATGCAAGCGTAGATAGTGTAAGCAATGAACAGAGAGCCAGGACCGCCATGGTGTAGACCACTTCCAATGCTGACGAACAAAGCTGTCCCGATGGAGCCTCCAATAGCCATGAGCTGAATCTGTCGGTTGCCAAGTCGTCGGTGAAGCTGGTCGGCATTTTCGTTGACGCCCTCGACAATCTCGTCCGAGTCTCGGGAGGCATAGCCAGGTGCAATGGCATCTGGGTGGACCTCATGGTCGTCGCCTGCGCCCTTCTTCTCGCTCCAGCTAAAGTCTTTGATACCCATGGTGCCAGTCACTCGGTCGTCTAGAGTGGGTGGTGCGGGTCCGGTGGGTGTAAGAAACAGGAAGAAAGGCGAGCGTGAAGGTGGGGTCGATCAGGTCTTAAGAGGATCCAAGAATCAGAGAAGATCCACGTTATCGGAGGAGATGGCCGCGGCCACCCCAGTCATCCAGCGCTCTGGGTCCCACCTTACCAGCACTGGCAGCACACTTGCACACGCGACACAAATTCACTGCGGACGATCTAACCTTACAGCGGCATATGCTGGACGCTGAGAGGTGGGTGAGGAAAAGTCGTCGACCACAAGCGGCGGTAGGTGCGGGTATGTCTTCATCGACTGTCGCTTACCAGCGCCCAGGCCTTATTGCCAAGAGAAGTGGAGAGCGTGGGAAAAAGCAAGAGATGGAGGCTGTGCATCGTTGGTCGCGGGATCCCTGCATATGAGCGAGCTGGATCTCAGCTCGTCTTTCCCTCATGCAGATGTATGTTCCGCAGTACAGAAGTGATGGAAGCTTCTTTGATTTCTCTACCAAAAAGTCACTGAGGTCCAACGAAGCATATCTTCGGAAATACAGGCTTGAACCATGGCCGGAAGTTACATTCTTTCTCGCATTCCTAGCTGGCATGGTCTGAGCTCACAAATCTCTGCGACTGCGAGCAGTAGCACATTTTCGAACGGCTCGAGCTTTCAGCCTCAGCTGCTTGGCCACATCAGAACATCACCACTCCTCGTAATGTTTAAAGTATGCTATGAGGTAGGACAAGCCGGTCCAATGGAGCAGTGATTTCACCAGCCTTCGAGTTGGAGTCGATCTACCCCATGACAGTCCCAGTCTTCAGGGGATCGTGCTTCTTTCCCATGCTCGGGATCCAAGAGTTAGGGTAGGCTACCATAAATCTTGCTCGGCTGTAGAGGCTTTGAATGCAATCCACACCTTGAGACCACCCTCTACAGCTTGGTTTCGCTATCTGAGACCGTACGGCAGCCAAGCCAAATCGCTCAAAGCTGTGCAGCATTCGTCCTATTCTAGGCCCTATTCTAGGAAGGTAATCTTTTTGCTGACTTCCTGTCAGCAAATCGTGGACAAAGTAAAAGCTTACCGAACGCATGTCTCGAGCAAAGACATAGTAAGCCGTTGGGAGATCTCAAACAAGCTGGAATTACCTACGGTAGTAACATGCCACATCGCAAGGCGGAAAGGCCCAAGTCTTCGGATCCTGCCTTCATTTCATTCGAGCCTTCTTGTTAAACACACAAGCTATACATCACCACGGGACACAAAGTCGAGCAGCGTCCTTTCGATGGTCTACATAGGAATGCCACAGTCTCCGCACGATGTCAAAAAGCCTGCTTCCAGAGAGTGGCGACACTGAAGATGAAGATAGAAACTGATTACGTGCGGACTCTGCTGGTAAGCATCAAATGGTAGGTCAAGCACAGGAAAGCGGTCCCAACATACAGCCACGAGAAAAAGATTTTCACGCTGGTATCTCTCACCACCCTATATGAGTCTTCCCTCTTTCCTTTCGTGTTCTAGCTCCCGTATACCCCAACTCTGACGCTCGCAACCGCCCTCCCGACCGACATGGCTTCTCCCCAGTACTCCCTGGCTAGACGCAGCGATGTGACGCACACTGGCGACATGACCTGGTACGATGTCGGTGTCGGCTCCTGCGGGAATATCTCCTCGTTCAGCGAGCATATTGTTGCGCTCTCACCGGCACACATGGGCTCGGTACCAAACCCCAACCTCAATCCCATTTGTGGCAGTACCATCACTATTGAGTTCGAGGGACAATCTGTCCAGGCTACTGTGCTTGATACTTGAAAGACAATCAGTGCTACAAGGCTTTGGAGTGGTGTTGTTGGAGACGTATGCTGATACTCCGGTCTCTCGGCCGACAGGTCCATCATGTGGACCAAACGCCATCGACTGCAGCTCGAGTCTTTTCAAAGCGGTAGCACCCAACGGTGATGGCCGCGTTGTGGTCGACTGGAGGTTCAATGACAGTGGGAACGACTCATCAGCACCCGTGGGCGATCTCCAACCTACTCCGGTAGTGCCAAACGGAGCGCTACTTCAGCCGCCAAGTCCTACGATTGCTGGTCCAAACGCAGGCTTTACAAGCCCACCGTGCACCACTTCCATATCGTCAGTACCAGACAAGGCTGTCGATGAAGAACACACCTCTATAGTCGCCACGATCATAGCTCCGGCTGTCAGCATTGAGGAGCTCACCATAGTGCCATCAGTGAGTTTATTCATGCAGCGTGTCTGGTACGATTCCTGCTCGATGCCAGCCCGCTAACCTTTTAAATTATGCAGCCGACAATATTCGCGATGGCAGACCTTCCTAGCTGGGAAACCCACGAAGCAACGATCGCAACAATCGTACCGGCCATCTCCACCATAGCAGTTGCCTCGACAGTAACTCAAATGGCGACGCCACAGACTGTAACGGACGCACAGACGACTGCCACCGCGGCTCCTGCAGTGGTCGTCGTCGTTGACTCAATTGAGACCATTAACAAGACACAGAGGTCCACCATTGAACTCACCCAGTCACCAACTACGGCAGAGGCTGTGTCGGAAGTTCAAGCTCCAAGCACATCAAGCCAAATTGCCACGATATCAACTAGCCGAGTGCCTATGTGGCCCATCATGAACGGCACAACATTAATCATGACGACGTTCATCAAGACCACGCCTATGCCGACCCGCAAGCCTTCGCCTACACCCTATACTGGCAAGGCTCGTGCGCCCGGAATTGCCAAAGCAATGTTAGGGTTGCTACTCGCACTTCCAAATGTAGCTGCTGTGATGCTGTGATTCGAACCAAGGAACGAAACGGTTACGACCACGAAAGAACACGGTACAGCACGATGATAATGAAGCTCGACCCGACAGCACCACGCTATCTCAAGACAGAAATGACAGAATATGATTAGGAAAAAAAGTTATGGTAATGAAGCTAATGCGAAAATTTGGTTCGAGGATGGGAAAAGTGATTTATACGACTCAGAGAGTGGCGAACACTAAGGACAAGAGTGACGAAAGTTCTACGAAACCATAATATGCTAATGTGTCCACGTTCACGATTAACAGAACTATGTCTTATGGTACGATTGTAATACTTGGCTTTTTTGGTTGCTCTCACAACCTGTCCTCGAAGAGCTGATCTTCACTCAGTCTTCGATAGATATGACTGCTCGCAGGAGCTATGTCAAGCCTTCTGGGAATGCTCTGCTTTTGTCAGGACTTGTAAAACTCCCTCGCATAAGCGGACTCATGTACTGCCCTCTCCGATAACTCATCCTAGTAGTCCACGGGCGTGCTGTTCAAAGTACGTAGTTGAAAGCGAACGATACGTTCCTCATACGATACCTGTCTGCTCGGTGGGGACGTAGGGCAACGATTGTGAGGATGTGTTCGACGGGCAACTGCTCCTGAGGCTTTTTGGTGACACTCAATGAGGTGCATCCTCAGCCTGGTCGAAGTGCTCTCGAGCCCACGGGCTCTTCAGCCTGAGGCGTTCTCCTCTGAAGAACCATATTATAGGTATTGGCACAAAGAGCAGACTCAGAAACGCCAGAAGCGTGCTTGCCCACTCATTGCCTAGCCTCCCATACCTGGAAATCGAGAATTAGCATAAAGTCGAGTTGTACAGATAGTGGACGGGCAAAACATACATCTGGCTAGCGAATAATGGAAATCCCGCACCGACCACATTGCGTACGAGAATCACGCCCGCCAACGCCGAAGCGCTGTACGATTGGTACGAATCGACAACGAAGTTCAGCACGGCGAGGACGACGATATAGATTCCAGCTCCGAAGAATCCAGATGCGATGATCGGGACGATCCAGTGTACCGTAGGAGAGCTCGTCCACGCAAACCAGAAGAGCGAGATGGGCAGTAAGAAAGCACCGAAGCAAGCCGACCACATCCTCGCCTCAGGGACACCTTTGCCATCGTTCGCAGCTGTTCGTCGAAGATAGTATCGTTCTTGTAATGGGTAGAAGCATGCCGCGACTACGCTACCAAGAGCCAAGCCAAGGAAGGAGAGACCCCATTCTCCGGTATTGAAGTCGTGGCCGCCTGGTCCGAAGACTAGAGGGAAGGCTTCGTTGAACAAGTAGACGATGCCGTAGATGAAGCCGTTGTATGCGGCAGCGCCGATGGTGATAGGCTCTGTGAACAGAAAGCGAAATGGTCTTGTGAGATTTGTGGCGAAGAGAGTATGCATGCTTCGTTTCTGGCCTTTGGTGTGAGCGTCTGAGATATTACCAATAAGAGTCTTGATGTCTTGGTGGTTGGTGTGTTCTTTGGCTAAGGTCTTCCGGATTTTGGCAGCTTTGCTTTCAAGGATGATGCTGTGCCGAGTCTCGGGCAGAGTGAAGAGCATCAGGATCCAGATAGAGCCCGTGACTATCATGAAGAACCAGAATAACCAGCGGAATCCCAGGCTCATGGCGAAGTATCCCGAGACCACGAGGGCGAAAGGTGGGCCAAAGGTAGAGGAGAGGCCGTAAATCATCATGGCGTTTCCACTCTCATTGCGAGCCCAGAGGTCACTGATCGTGCCACCAGTGTTGGTCAGAGGAGCTGAACCGCCGAATCCTTGGATGAAGCGACAGACGAGGACTGTTGCGATGTTCGGCGCCAGTGCTACGGGCTGTCAAGGTACTGTATTAGCGATGCCTGTCGTGAGATGGACCACTCGTACTCACGATCTGGAACAAGACCAAAATGAACCACGAACCAAGGTACACAGGACTTCGTCCAAAGTACTCTGACAACGGCGCTAGTAACATTGGTCCTACAGCAAATCCTAGGATGTACAGCGACAGTCCCAGTGTCGCGACCTCGGCCGAGACATTGAAAGTACTGCTGATATCGTCGGAAGCACTGGAATAGCCTCCTGCACAGAGACACGTGAGGACGTTCAAGAAGGATGCGAAGCAGGTAATATACCACTTCTTCGCCTTCGACCAGTTCCGTGGGTTTGCAGTATCGTTCCGAGCGAAAGTGATGAAGATGGGGACTGCAGTAGGTGCTCTCCCACCCCGCACGAGGGTAAGGGCCTCGTCTTCGTTGAGAAGAAGGCCGCCATCTAAAGTCGTGTCGTTCCGCTCGAGACGGGATGGAGAGTCATCTTTGGCTTCGTCCTTGGTATCTGCGAAGACGCCAGAAGTCCGACCAGAAGCATCGTGTTTGGAGTCCAGAGAGATGGTGTCGTGATGTGTGGCCGCCATGATTAGTCGGCAGGAAATCACACAACGCGATATGAAGGAGAGGTAAAGACGGAGCCAACGAGAGGTTTAGGGAATTGGTTGGCGCATGCGATATTGTGCCCAAGCCATCCGTACACGATTCACCGTTGCAACCTACCTATGCCGCTTTCCGATACTAGCATCGCGGGTGAGCAAAATATGGGTTATGTGGCTCTGACGTCTCCACGACTCTCCACTAAGAAAAGAAAAGATGGACGTTGGACGGTGCGGTGTACGTCATGTAGTCCATAGATGAACCGGAGTTAACTTTACTGTGCCGAAGCCTTCCTACGAACACCGGGTCGACAAAGGAGATAATATCGAGTATGCTGGGTGTAGACATGGAATAGTGTCGTGCAGGTAGTTGTTCGTCGACTGTGAAAAGCGAGACTTGCAATTATCATGTGGCTTGGCTGTCTTGGCTCCGATTGCTTCGTCACTACACCACACGTCTTGTCTTCGCGCCATACAAGGCGAAAGCCTCTATTACCCAATAAATTACATTAAGATTGAGTACAGCCTCAGACGTGTCTATATATACAGCGGTGTATAGATCTAGTGAGCTCGTCACCAAACCCTTCTTGCTACCGCTTTGCTCGCCTGATCTCAGATTCTGCTGTGTTTGTTTTCGTCTCTTCGGACGCTGCATCGGAGACACTCCTCTCTTCAACTTGACCCTCCTCCAGCTTCTTCTTTTCGCTAAACACGACCTTCTCGACCTGCTCTACAGCCCTCTCAATCTCGATTTCCATTTCCGCCAGCTTGAAGTCCTCCGCGATCAGCTTACCATTCCACCTCTGAAGTAACATGATCTCTTTGCCCTCACTTCCCTCAGGGCCCGCCTTCGTCTCAACGTCCTTGACCACAACCTCGATCTCCTCATCTGATGGCTTCGTAGCGTCTCTCGACGCCTCGCGAGTCGGATGCCGTAGTCCGGCAGCATATAGCTCATCCATCAGTCGACTATCAGTCGTCTTTACAAGGTTTTTTGATGTAACGTGCTCGAGGAATCTGCCGCCATATAACGCACGATAATGAGAGTATGCGCGAAAGCAGAGCCAGAAGAAGGGAAGATTGGGAATACTATACCGGATCTCGAATCAGCTGATGCCTACACTCGACCTAGCACATGATCGCACGGCAGTAGTGTGCTGACACAACAGACATGACAAGGAGGTGAGTCTTACATTGGCACCAAAGTAAAGGGGGCAGAAATCGGCATCAACGCAACATTCGTCCAGAACGCCCGTCGATGAAATGCTTGTCGCTCCGTCGCAAGCTTCTTCAAAAGCTCACTCACGCGTCCGCCTTTGACGAAGGCACCAGGATAGAGACACTCGACCTCATGCTTCCCAGCATCTACCTCCTCCAGCTTCTTCTTCGTGGCTGGAGGGAACGATTTGAGGCCCCATTCTTCGTACGGTATTCGCGAGAAGAGGTAATTCGCGTAAACAGTAGTCTTCTTCTGCCAGCCCTTTTCTGCTTTCTCCCAGCCTGCCCAGGTTGTAGAGACGCGGTTGAGTATCCGTTCTGAGATGGCTAGTTTCTGACCAGGCTTTTGGAGGGATTCTTGGATGCGTTCGCAGTATATTAAGGTGCGCCGGGTCGAGATGGGGAGGAGGAAGATGCGCATTGTGACTATCACGCCGCTGTGTGTCGATGAAGTTGTTCTGAAGGAAATACCCACTTTCCGTTCGTCTCGTCTGAATCGCGACAGGAGAACGCGTTCGAATTAATTCGGCTGCCGAACGCCGATGACGTCCAGTGGCAGTTGGGCATGTTCATTAGCTACTCGGCGAGACACGCTAGTGAATGTGCAGCATATCTTCAAAATGAGTTTTGCGGTATGGAGACTCTTTGTAGCAGGATCAACTCATGGATTCGATTTGTGCATACCTTGTAATAACGCTAGTATTTGTTTCAGCGATTTCGCACAAGAACACAGCTTTCTCACGCTACGTCCACAGCCAGACAGGCCCGCCAAGAACATGGATGTTACAGGATCCTTGTCTCCATCCGCGGAGATCGCCAGGTACGATTTCGCCTTTCGAATGTGCCACTGTTACAGACTCGACCCTCGCGATCCACCTCCTCGTCCTGACATCTCGACGTCTCTTCGTCGCCCTGCCGCCGAACATCTGGTTGCTGGTAATACTCGAGTAGAGATCGACTCTCTGGACATGCTCATGATCATTCGTCAAGGTCGCAGATGCCGCCATTTGGGAGACTGGGCATGCTCGTCCAAGCGCTCATCAGAGTGATTACAAGTCACGGCCAACCGTGCTCAAGAATCCATTCCTTTCCCAAAGAACCGTTCTGTGTAGTGCCGACGCTACCTCGAAGCAAGCTTTTGTTTGACCACTCGTGGCGGAGGATTCCCACAGGGAAGCTATCCCTCCAACTTCACTGTCTATCCACATACGGACGCCCTCCGACCATCCTCAGTGCGGTGCATGAAGATCCTCATACAGTACGGTGGTACAAGACTACACGTCGTGGTGGGTAGGTGTTTGCTTCCAACGACGTTTCTCTCTATTATCGTCACCGTTGCTTGTGATCCCATTCCTTTACATACTCTCCTTTCCAGCGCTCCAATAGCTGTGTCCATATCACACTCATTGTTATCATCATTTTCTTGGACACTCTCTTCTTATTATATAATCAATATTGACTTCCTATCACGATGCGTGTCTCAAGTTCTTTGGGAGTGGTCGCAGCCATCGCTGCTCAAATTGGTGTAGTTGCAGCACAAGCACCGCAGACGAGCGATCTCTCAGCAGAGGACATTACAAGCGGTACAGCCTTTGGCAATATTTCCCGGAAAGCCGACGAAAACATGCAGCAGTACTTTGGCCCTGCAAGAGGCGCAGACTGCACCTATGACAATTCACAACAAAGACAAGAATGGCGAACATTGTCCCCAGAAACCCGCAAGAGCTTCACAGACGCCGTGACCTGCCTCACAAAATTACCACCTACACACATGACAGCAGACGAGGCACCAAATTACCCAGGCGTCAAGTCTCGCCACGACGAATACGTCGCAACCCATATCAACTACACCCTCAACATCCATGACACAGCCGACTTCTTCGCCTGGCACCGAACCTTCATCCACTTCTGGGAACAAGATCTCAAGAACCTCTGCGGCTACACCGGCGTCCTTCCCTAGTGGAATTGGGCCCTCGACGCTCAAGCACCACAAGACAGCCCTCTCTTCCTCGGCGACGAGTACAGTCTGGGAAGTAACGGCGCATATATCGCCAACCGTGGCGACACCTGGCTAGCAGAGCAAGACGTGACATACCCACCAGGCACAGGCGGCGGCTGCGTGACTTCCGGTCCTTTTACAGACTACACTGTCAATCTCGGTCCGCTTGACCTGCCAAACAGTAACAACGTCAACTCCTCTTTCCAATACAACCCTCACTGTCTTGAGCGCGATTTCAATCCCTGGTTCACACAAAACTACAATACCTACACCAACGTCACAAAGACCATTCTCGACAACATCCTGATCGAAGACTTCCAAGCGAACTTTCAAGGTGCCGGTGGTTCAGACCCCAACAACCGTTTCGGGTGCCATGGAGGCGGACACTGGAGTACCGGAGGCAGTATGTCTGATTTCCACTCATCACCCGCTGATCCCTTATTCTTCTTGCACCATGGCATGGTTGATCACGTGTGGACGATCTGGCAGAACCTGGATATTACGAGGAGGCAGAATGTCATCTCTGGTACATCGACGCTCGCGAATAATCTGCCTAGTGCGGAGATGACGTTGGAGGATATGTTGCCCTTTGGGTTCGTGAGCGAGGACATCAAGTTCAAGGATGTGATGGACACGTTTGGGGGCGCATTCTGCTATAGATATGTTTGAGCGTACAGTACACAGATGTGGCTAGATGCCTGAAGTAATAAGCTGATGAGCTGGTACATAGCCTTCATAATCACGTAGAGAAAGCTTGGCGTAGAGGTATTTCGGCTATCGCTTTGCTACAACCAAATGCCAAATCTCTGCAACAAACATCATGCCCAGTCGTGGTAGTGTAACACGCCCAACACCTCCACGCTTTGATACGTCCCCAATGCAGCTCCCATATAACGGAATCAGAAGAAAAGCAAATCCTCATCCTTCCACCCAATCTCAAGCAGCGCCTGATGTACACTCTTCTCCAACGCCTCCGGCCCACAAATCAGCACCATCGCCCCTCCCTCCTCAAACGCACTGCGATCGCAATGCTCCTTGAGCAAAGGCGCCGCTATCCTACCCTTCAGACCCTGCCAATCGTCCGGTGCCTTGGTCAGTGTATACATTAACCGACACCTTTCCTCGTTGTCCTTGGCTAATGCATCGAGGTCCGCTTTGCAGAGAATATCTTCGAGCAGTCTGTTGCCGTTCAGCACGACGCACTTCGTCTCGTCGGTCTTATCTTGCATCATGGCGCGGAAGACTTGGTAGATGGGTGTTATGCCGCTTCCACCACTGATCATTAAGAAGTTTTTGACTCTTCGCTCCTTTCCGTTTATGGAGCACAGACCTTTTCCACTGTACTCGAATTTGCCAATAGGTCCTTTGAAATCAACAAAATGGCCAATGGGCAACGCATCCAGAGCCTGGCTAAGTTTGCCACCTTGCCGCTCTTTACTGTCGAAGTAGACTTTTACCAGGACGTCCATGTATCCTGCTTTCGTGGTCTCGGATGTGGGCGTGTAACTCCTGATGATCGCTTCCCGTGTCACAGGATCCCGGAGTCGGATCATGAGATGTTGCCCTGTTGGTAGTCCGAGGGTTTGCTCGTCGTTTTCGAGTCTGAAGGTGAAGACTCTGGTGTCCCATGAGACTGTTGTCTTGGTATGTAGAATGGCTTTCTTCCAGGCTCGGGAGTCCAGGAAGGTCGGTGACGGTGTGGCAGAGGGGTCTGGTTGGACATCTTCGCCTGAGAGGGCGGCACGGCCTTCTTCGTCTAGGCTGCCGATGTGGTAGTCTGTCATCATGCCTTTCGCTGTCTCGCTGTCTGTGGAATATGTCAGAAATCGTGCTGGGAAAGCATACGAGAGTGACCTTACGTATTGCCATAAATTCGTCAGTAGTGTCTAGCCCTGCTGCAGAGATGATACTTTGCGCACCACCAGGGTGACCAGTCAAGAAAGCCGTCCCGTCATATACCTCACCATTGACCACAAACCATGGCCCGTCTTCCTTGTCGTGTTTTCGTAACTCATCAATCGTAACAATGTTCTTCAAGCCCTCCTTCACCATCACTACTTCCTTAGCCGTTTCCAGCACGACCTCAGATTTATCGTCGCTTCCGATCTCCTCGCCCCAGTAGCCATTTGTCAAATCGCCACCTACCTTCTTGACACGCTCCATCCAACCACCAGGCATCAGAGCTGGCTGTGTAGGATGCTCGAAGCGCAGATAATCGCCCTCTTTCGCGATCGTTATTCGATACCAAGGATTGTTCATCATGCCCAGAACACTCCAGTACATGTCTCTCGGCTGCAAATTCATGCTTTCATCCATTGCTCGCACGAAGATATCACCTACCTCGCTAAGCTCAGAAACTGCTATGTCGAGGTTCCAGAAGCACCAGCAGAATGAGTTCTCTCGCAACTCCATGTCCAACTCACCGCCACATAATTGTCGAGGTCCAGCTTCTCGATATCGATCTTCTGCGTAGTCGATCTTCGCTAAACGCCATGTTTTCCCTTTGTCTAACGAGACTTCAACACGGGTCACTCTTCGCCCACCACCGCCATATGCATAACCTTTAACTCGATAATTTGATGGCGCATCAACGACGCATAGTTGTTCTTCATGGGCCGGGTAAGCAATAGCGGAGTTCGTTGAGAGATCATAGATAGCATAGCGTTCGTCCATCCACCACTTTGGATCATTCGCCGACTCTTCTGGAGAGACCATGGTAGGTAGAACTCTGTTGTCGTAGATGTGGTACCAGTTGTCACTAGGCTCGGCAGTGATGATAAGTCGTTTCAACCACTTTACACTGCGGCCGCCGATCTGACCTGGAATTACCGCTCGTAGCGGTTTGCCGTGATCGGGCCGTAGCATCTCACCATTCATCCTATGCGCCAGCATCATACCTCTGTTTGGGTCCAGTGCCCAATTGAGCTTGACAGATGTGCCGTAGTAACCATTGGGCAATTTGTCGGCGCCTTCCATACAGACATACCTGGCTCCACGTTTTGGCTTGGCTTTCTTTAGTAGGTCTCCCAATACCACACCCGTGAATAGCGCAGTCGAAACACCAGCAGCACCCCATGAGAAGCCTTTGGTCTTCCTCACAACGTTCTGCTCTTTCCGTCTGTTGCCAGCGCAGACCAACGTGATAGGATATGTCTTTTGGTCATACTGCTCCAGCAGTTCTCGGAAAGTCAACCTGAGTGGATGCTCTACCATGCCTTCCACGGTGAATTCCCAATCCGGTATCTCCTCATCCTTGACTTGTGGCACTGCACCATGGTTTCGCACATAGAAGAGTTCCGGGCTGGTAAGGAATCCTTCGTTGTATAAGTCAGATAGCGGCGCTTCAACATTGAAAGGATGTACGCCGGTAAGTCGTATCAATCGTGGATCTCGGGGTAGCCAGCCATCTGGCGTCTTCTTGTCAGGCTCGAGGACGGCTATAGGTGGCGACGTGGGTGGTGGAAGAGCGATATCGACGCCGACGGTCTTTAATGTTTCGTTCGAGTCCTGCCTTTCCGTGTCGCTATGTTCTGACTCTGGTGGAGTGGGAGGTAGATCTGCAGACACACGACGCAACTGCTTCGTCTCCTCTTCTGTAGGTGCTATCGTTGCTGACATGGCTGGGTCCATTCATTAGCAGTCTAGCATAACCGTATGTCTTCACTCAAAGATACACTGCGATCGAGCTGAGGAGCGGGTGTAGTACGAACAACGAGAGGTGGACGAAATACAAGCAATACGATAGCCAGCCTGTCAGAGATCGCGATTGACCCGCAGAGTGGCCCGTCATAATCCCACCGGGACGGGGTGGAAAGAGCCAACACACCAACGAGATGGAAACACGAACAGCTAGGAAATGCAGACTCCGCCGTCATGGACTTCTCTCGACCGCGGAAATCAGTGCTTTTGCACGCAGACGCCGGGCTAGATTATCCCGGTCTGAGCCCCAGATCCGGTGCAGGAGGGCATCTCCAGCAGTATGGTAGTGGTTTGCGTAGTGGGCTGGCGGGCACTGATTGGGAGAGATAGTGGTATCTTATCAGCTGGGTGCCAAAAGGGTAAGGCGGCAGATCCATCCTGTAGAAACGCGCCACTGCCAAGGATCAGTACAAGCATACGCAGCCTTCCAGAAGGCCACTGTCTTTGGGCGCTTGGAACGAGATTCGAGAGCCATTGGGATTCTTATCTGTTTAATGCTACCAAGTGGGTTCAAGTAATGTAGCACGAGCACGAAACCACGAGCTGAAGTTGAGTAGCGCACGTCTAATGAGGACGTGTTAGCAAACAGAAACACAGCCATTGGTGGTCGGTTATAGGTTGATCCGAGCCGCTTGGTCTACTATCTGCATCCTTATCAGTATCTCCTTCAGCCTCTACAGCCATACATGCGTCCAGCAGAGTGACACAAACGGTCAGATCCTCGGAGAAAGCTGTCTTTCCTTTTTCGTTGGGCATGCAGCTCTATAGCGCGTCTGGGACCACTATGCCGAGCCGCACGTTGGACTCGATAGTGTTCCCTTCTCCGGCCGTCTGGTATTGGATTGCAGCTGGGGTTGGCTAAATGGCTCGTGGTAGGTCGATCTGCTACAGAGGCATCATGCCGAGTGGCTTGGCTTCATATTTGTCTCTTACTGTAGATCTCCGATAACACTACTGGTTGGTATCCTTTGCTTTGTTGATCGGTCTTCATCCTTCCCTTCCCTCAGTCGTGAGGCAATTCGCTCGTCGCTGGTACTGATCGCGACATACTAACGAAGTCGCAACCATGTGGGCGAGCTCAACTAGCAACAGCGAGTGGAATGATCCAGAGGCAAACAAGCTGCCTGAGAAGGTGGAGCAGCTAAAGGAGAAGAACGAGCTTCCTAAGGACACGAAGAGGAAGCGGGTGGTAGTGGTTGGCCTAGGAATGGTCGGCATTTCATTCATCGAGAAGCTCATGAAGTTCGATGTGAAGAGAAGAGAGTACGATGTTATTGTGATTGGAGAAGAGCCGCATCTCGCATACAACAGAGTTGGCTTGACCAGCTTCTTCCAGCACAGAGAGGTTGAGAATCTCTATCTCAACCCGGCAAGCTGGTATGCATCGATGCCAGAGGGAAGCTTGAGCTATCATCTCAACACACTAGTCACAGCAATCGACACCGAGAAGAAGAACGTTGAGACATCCAAGGGTGACACAGTACCATACGATATCCTGGTACTGGCGACCGGCTCAGATGCTTTGCTACCCCGACACACACCTGGCCATGACGCCAAAGGTGTCTTCGTCTACCGCACGATCGAGGACCTTGAGAAGCTTATTCAGTTCTCAGCAACAAAGAAGGGCACGACAGGGGCAGTGGTTGGTGGAGGTCTACTTGGCCTGGAAGCTGCCAAGGCAATGATGGATTTGGAGGAGTTCAGCAAAGTCAAACTCATCGAGCGCAATCGATGGGTGCTGAGTCGGCAGCTTGATGGCGATGCAGGCAGCATGGTTGTGGAGCAGGTACGAGCTCTTGGCTTGGATGTCCTTCTCAGTAAAAGAGTGGGCAAGATCAAGGTGGACGAGGACAACTCTGTCACTGGTGTTACATTCGAGGACGGTGAGTCCATGGATTGCACATGTATATGCTTCGCCATCGGCATAAAGGCACGAGACGAGCTGGCGCGAAAGGCTGGCATCAAATGTGCCGATCGAGGCGGTGGAATCATAGTTAACCCAGATCTCTCCACCTCAGCAGCAGACGTCTACGCAGTTGGAGAGTGTGCTAGCTGGGACAATCAGACCTTTGGCCTTATCGCACCAGGTGTAGAGATGGCAGATGTGCTTGCGTTCAACCTCACACAAGCTAAAGCACACTCGCCAAGACAATTCAAGTCACCAGATCTCAGCACAAAGCTCAAGCTTCTTGGTGTAGAGGTGGCCAGTTTCGGCGACTTCTTTGCGGATCGTGATGGGCCCAAGGATGCGCCAACGAAGCGACACCCCAAGAAGGAGGACAGCGCAGACAGCAAGATGAAGGGCTTGACAGAGGGTCCACCACCTTCTCCCGTCAAGGCGCTGACGTATAAGGATCCTTTTCAACAAATCTACAAGAAGTACCTTTTCACAATGGATGGCAAGTATCTACTCGGCGGCATGATGATTGGTGATACCAAAGACTACGTGAAGCTGGTGCCGATGGTCAAGAACAAGAAACAGCTCGAAGTCCCTCCGAGTGAGTTCATTGTAGGCGCTAGCAAAGGCGAAGACGATGGTGATGACCTTGAGGACGACACTCAGATCTGCTCCTGCCACAACGTGCTCAAAGGTGACGTGACCAAGGCAGTCAAGGACGGCACCTGCAAATCAATTGGCGACGTGAAATCGTGCACCAAAGCTGGCACTGGCTGCGGTGGTTGTATGCCGCTGGTCCAGACGATCTTCAACAAGACTATGACTTCCATGGGCCAGGAGGTCAAGAACCATCTATGCCCACACTTTGAGTACTCCCGAGCCGATCTGTTCAACATCATCTATGTCAAGAAGCTACAGAAATTCGAGGAAATCATGACACAGTGCGGCAAGGATCCCGAATCCCTTGGTTGCGAGGCGTGCAAGCCTGCTATTGGTTCGATCACGGCATCACTCTACAACAAGCACATCCTGGACGACGACAGACGAGGTCTTCAAGACACCAATGATCGCTTCTTGGCAAACATTCAACGCAACGGCACTTTCTCTGTCGTACCACGTATGGCGGGTGGTGAGGTCACGGCCGACAAGCTCATCATTATCGGCACTGTGGCGAAGAAGTATGGTCTCTACTGCAAAGTTACTGGTGGTCAGCGGATCGATCTCTTCGGTGCTAAGAAGCATGATCTCCCGGGTATCTGGCAAATGCTCGTCGACGGCGGTATGGAGTCGGGACACGCCTATGCCAAATCCCTACGCACAGTGAAATCATGCGTAGGTACATCATGGTGCCGTTTCGGTATCGGCGACAGTGTTGGTATGGCTGTCAGGCTGGAAGAGCGGTACAAGAGTATTCGTGGCCCTCATAAATTCAAGGGTGGTGTATCTGGTTGTGTGCGAGAATGTGCTGAGGCGCAGAATAAGGACTTTGGTCTAATTGCCACTGAGAAGGGGTTCAACATTTTCGTTGGCGGCAATGGTGGTGCGAAGCCTCGACACTCAGAGCTCCTGGCGAAGGACGTGCCGCCCGATGATGTTATCACAATACTCGACCGATACCTGAGCTTCTACATCCGGACGGCCGACAAACTGCAACGAACAGCTCGGTGGGTGGAGAATCTGCCCGGGGGCATCAAGTATCTGCGGGAGGTCGTACTAGAGGATAAGCTCGGCATTTGCGCAGATCTCGAACAGCAGATGGAAGACCTCGTCGGCGCGTTCTTTTGCGAATGGACGGAAACGCTGAAGTCACCCGAACGGCTCAAGCTCTTCTCTCAGTTCGGTAATACAGACGAACAACAAGAATCCATGGACAAGGTAGAAGATCGAGGACAGCAGAGACCAGCTTTCTGGCCCAAAGATGCCGTGACAGAAGACTTTCGCGGTAAGCAGTGGACCTCTCTCAGCTGGCAGCCACTGGCAAGATCGGATCAATTCGCAGACACAGCTACGGGCACCAGCTTGGCCGTGAAGCGTGGAGATACCCAACTGGCCATCTTCAAGGTCAAGGGTAAGTACTACGCCAGTCAGCAGATGTGTCCTCACAAGCGTGCCTTCGTACTCAGCGATGGCTTGATCGGCGACGATAATAAGACCGATAAACTCTGGGTCAGCTGTCCCTACCACAAGCGTAACTACGAGCTCAAGGGTGATTCGGCGGGCAAATGTGGCAATGATGAAAGCGTCAGCATCGCCACTTTCCCCGTCGAAGCTCGAGAAGATGGGCTCGTGTATCTGAAGCTCCCGCCTGTCGAGGAGCTTGACGGTGTATTGGGGACCTCGAAGTGGAAGATTAAGAAGGAGGAGACCGAGACGGATGAGTTCGCTGCTGTCGATAAGAAGCTCAAGGCCATGAAGGGACGGAAGAGTTTCCAGGCTAGCCATCTGCCAAACGGGCTTGGTGAGAAGGCAAAGGCGGAAATGATATTGAGTGGTGGCGAAAAGGGCGCAAATGGTATGGATTGGTAGATCACCTCTGATTTCATGATTGGCGTTGAGATCTGTAGGAGCACTAGAAGCATTATCATTCAATGTGGGCATTAAGGCAATGCTTTCTATCGTTGTTCGAGTATACCCCAGCGCTCGTACCTTCCAAATTGAGTGCTTTCCACAACCGAGACGAAAGTCATCCATATGCTCACTATCTGTCGAGAGCTCGAGCAGACAAATTTCATTCCCCATTTAAATGGTCTTGCCGACGACCGTAAAGTAAAGTCGAACGCGGTGGCCTCTCGGCTATGTGCTGTACTCGACGGAGCGTTTTAGAATGCTTGCCTCGGTTCTCAATCGAAGACTTCTGCTGTTGATTGACACAGACGTCAAGACACATTGATTCTACGATTATATCTAGCTGTTCTGCAAGTATGGGTGGTCACACCATTGAATTCTACTACGACGTACGTCGCAAGAGATTCACGTGTAGAAAACGATGCTAACACACCGCTAGATATCGTGTCCATTCGCTTATATTGCCTCGACAAAGTAAGAACTTCAGACTTGGGGAGCAGTTCCTTGAACTGAACAATCATAGAATCGAAGCGCTAGCATCTCGTACTGGAGCAAACCTCATCTGGCGTCCAGTACTCCTGGGAGCGATCTACCGAGCAACAAGTGCACCACAAGGAGCAGCAGGATCAGCATCGGACGTATTCAATGCTACAAAGAAAGCTGTTTCTGGCCGGGCTTTCCAACGAACGATCAAGCGTCATGGTATAGATCATAACGACCCACCCAAACACCCTGTGAAGACTACGGCAGCTTTGAGATTGCTCTACTTCGTGAATCGTAATCAACGGCCTGCCCTGACCAAAGCACTCTTCCGCGCCTACTGGGTAGAAGGAAAGAATGTCTCAGATCAGCAGGTCCTGATTGACGTCGTCCAGCGATCTGGAATCAAGGAGGTCGAGGCTGTGGTCAACGCAATCAAAAACGGCAGTACTGAGTCACAATCTCAGCGAAAGCAGCTTGAGGAGTCAACAGATCTAGCCGTTAAACGAGGAGCGCCCGGCGTACCCTCATTCTGGATATCTGATGAGGTATGGACTGACAATGACGGTAAGCGAAAGCAAGGTAGACTGTACTGGGGTCAAGATAGGATGCAGTTCCTGGAAGCTGTTCTGCATGCCATGAACGAAGGCAAAGATGGGGCGCAGCTAGGCAGAATCTCGAGACCACTGCAATCATTGATACCGCATAGTGCCAGATCTTCGACTGTTCCTGATGGCCAGGAGGTCAAGCTAGAGTTCTGGTACGACTTCTCCTCGCCTTGGGCCTTCCTAGGCTGGACACAGCTTGATCGACTCCAGCGCAAGTATGGCTCGAGACTACACATAGAGATGAAACCGTTCTTGCTGGGTATCTTGTTCCGAGAGTGAGTCGCGAGCACATGGTCATATCCATCACGAGCTGACACCGGAGTACAGGATTGGTGCACCCAACACACCAATGTCAGCAATCAGCGAACAGAAGCGCAATTATACGAGACTTGATCACCTCGACTGGTGTCGATGGTGGAATGCAGTAAACCAGCAGGAAGGCAACTCCGACAAACAGATCGACTTCTACTGGGCTGACAAGTTCCCAATTCGTACGCCGACTGTTTTACGAGCTGTGCTGGTAGAGCCAAAGCTAGTAACGCCTCTCTGTAAGTCTTGGGGTCGAGAGCTCACGACCGCATTGTGCTGACTGACGATAGATCGTGGCTGCTGGGAGCAGAACCTCGACATGTCATCCGATGAAGTCGTACAGACAGTCATCGACAAGGCTGGCTTCGATGGCCGTAAGATTCTGGCACAAGCCAGTTCCGATCAGTACAAGAAAGCTCTTCGGGCCTTGACACAAGAAGCAAAGCAGATCGGGCTGTGTGGTGTGCCAAGCTATCGAGTCTCTCGAAGGAGCTCAGGTCAATCTTGGAAGCAGGCGGGAGATCTTGTCTGGGGCCAGGATGAATTGGCTGTGGTTGTAGACTTGATCTCTGGTGCCAGTGGCAGTGATGTCGCAAGCGTGCTTCCGATTGACGGGAGTAACCAACGGTGTAGTAAGCTGTAGCAATGGTATCTTGGTTGTCGACTAGTGTTTATGGTGATGTATCTGCTTGGACGTGCAAAAGTGCAAGCCGCGTACTTGACCTCCCCTTCCTGTGGTCGCATACAGTACTTTCATATTCGACAGCAGCCACCTCACCATATCGGTGCCTGCAGCCGTCTCGTCTCGTCTCGTCCGTTGTCGTGTAGATCCCTCAAGTCTAGACCAGAGAACTTACCACGGAGAGCAAAGGTAGTGTGACGTAGGCAGCCTTTCTGATCCCTGTCGAAGCAACGATCCTTGTCCACACGCGTCCACTCGTGTCACTTTCGTCCCACACCATCACTCGAAGAAGACATCGCGATGATAGACTAGAGTTCACGCCAACAAGCATAGCTGTGGCTTTTCGTCATATTGATGGGACTGCATCTGTGACGCCACCTAAACAAGGCAGAGGTGTTCACATGTGTAGTTTTATGGAACGGTAGGTTTGTTTGCGTTATCCTTTCGCCGCTACACCTTGTGTCATATCCATCTCAACCACGAAATCATCTCAACTACTATCACTCAATAACGTCCGTCAAGATGAAGGTCCTCGACAACACCATGGTGAACGTGGAGCTCTTCCCAGGCAAATCCGCCGAACAAGTCCAAGGCGAAGCTCAAGGACAAGTCAAAGACGCCGCCGGCAAAGCCCAAGGAGCAGCAAAAGACACCGCGGGCTCCGCCCAGAAGCAGAGCGAAGGCACTGCGCAAGAAGCTCAGAAGCAAGCCGGCAGCTATACCGACGCGGCCAAAGAACAAGCTTCTGGCTTACAGCAACAAGCTGGTGACTACCAGAAGCAAGGTTCGGAGTACATGAAGGGCATGGGAGATACGACTCATGAGCAGGGTAAAGCGTATGTAGATTCTGGGAGCAAGGCTGCGAACGATGCCTCGAAGCAGTATCTGCCTGAGAGCGCACACGGCGTTGCTGGACAAGCAATAAACTATGCCAGTGGCGCAGCTACAGATACTGTTGGCACACTTGGCGGAGCCGTGAAGGATGCCGGTGACACTGTCGGAAATGCTGGTATGTGATGCCTATCTTACACTCTTATACGCTCCCTCGTTGACTCCCATCAGGCTACAGCACAGTCGCAGGTCTAGGCAAGACGGGCTACAACCTCGCGAGCGGCCTCGGTGGCGCCGCAACTGGAGGAGCCCAGAAGACCGAGAAGGCTGCCACAGAAGGCGGTGAGAAAGCGAAGGAAGCAGCGTCGGAGGGTGGCGAGGAGGCGAAGAAGACGGCCGAGAGCTCGTCATAATTGTGTCTTCGTTTGACATCTGCATACAGCCTATTAAATCGAGCCGATAATGCAACTACGCAGGGCGCCCAGCCACACGTTGGCAGCGGTTTCCATGTTGCAACAGCTTCGCAGCTAGCCTCCAGATCCTTCGCTGCGCAGGAGCACGGCGGGTCTCAACGCTCTCCCGAGTCTGAGATCCCATCTTGGCTATCTGTCCACCGTATTCTCCTCGGCAAGAATCTTGTAGCAGACAATCGGCTGTCGGCGCAGACCACGTGCAAGTTCCAGTATCAGCTGTGGTCATTCGGACAACGTCCCGATCGATCATCTCAAGGCTCCCTCACAGCCCCCGTCTTCACGTCCTCGCTGTCGAAAGTCTCCAGCTCGACTTCATCAGTAAAACTCTCATCCCTCCTCTCACTCTCATCCCTGCTTCCACCACGAGTGCTCAAGCGATCTCGTCTACTCATCCCCTCAATCCTCCTCTCACTCCTCCTGACCCAGACCCACCAACCCCAAACCACCAACCCGGTAAGCGGCACCGCCACTACAAAGAAAACCCACAGCCACTTACTCACCACGCTGTCGCCACCAACACCCCAATTAAACATCTGCATCGAGAAGAAACTCGCCACCGCCGTGCTGGGCAAGAACACCATAGTCATGATCGCGATCGTCTTCATAGTAGCGTTATCCCGCAAGGCGGCCTCCATCATACGATGAGAGGACTCAGCGATAGCGAGGTTGAGTTGTTCATTACGCTGCTGGATTAGTGTCTGGATCGTTCGATGCGCACTCTCGATCCGTCGAGGAAGGGATATCATGTCATGAGACCAGGTCTCTATTTGATTCCTCATGGGCGCAAGAGCAGGCCAAGGCGTCGTGCCATGGCGATGGGCAGCCGTGACCACCTCGATGGAGTCCAGGATCTGACTCTGTAGATTCATTCTCCGTTCCAATGACAAGAGCCGCGAGGACTGGGCCTGGAGGACGCGCGTGATTGGAGTCAGCGTTCCAGCCCCAGCATCACCTGCTCCCGAATCACTCAAAGCCGACTCCACTTGATCGAGCCGAACAGCAATATCCTCCAACTCACCACTCACATACCTCGCCTGACTCCGCGCCACAGCTGCCGGAAGGCTAACAATCTGCATGCCCGAAGCCCGCCACCCAGAAATGACTTTCTCGCCCTGCATGATCTCCAGCGGATCCAAGAACCTCTCCTCTCGACCCAGTGCATTACGGTAGATATATGTACCCTTGACAATATGGCCCCTCCGCGACAAAGCAAGAGAGCAAAACGGTCCGGAATCTAGTGGTGTTTGTAGGATAAAACAAACTGGTTCGTCTATTAGAGCCGCGCAACCACCGGCGCGAGTAGGGAGGAGGTCGGTATAAGCTTGATGCTGCCAAAGTGCGTGTTCCAGTATTGCTTGAGTGAAAGGTTGACCGGGCTGCCATGGTTTGCTGGCTTGTGGGGCTGCTATGTGGCGGGTGGAGGAATGGGGTGATTCTTGTCGGTGCTCGAGGGTAAGGAGTCGGAGCGCGGGACATGGCGTGGAAGGGTACGAGGTGAACCATTCTTGTATCGCGTCCGGGTCGTCCAGAGTCAAGGTCGTGATCTGAGGGGCTGTCTTGTCTGCCCCGTCTGTGCAGTCGAAGTCGATACCGCGGACCTTCTGCTGAAGTCTGTGGACGGTGGAATGACGACGAGTTCCTTTCTTCTTATCGGCATCGTTCGTGATGTCTACCTCTGTCGTTGTGGGGTGGTGCTGCTTCATCGTGTTATCGTCAGGTCCTTGCTGTCCTGTGATTGCAACGCAGGTATCCCAAGAAGAACTCGCCAGTACGCTTTCGAATGGAATTCTCAAGTAGTGAGAACAGTACGATTCTATCCGCGGCGTTCATTTGTTCGTTGTATGATAGAGGTCTCAAGCAATCGAGTTCTGACCTGCTACCAAAGCAGTCTGTCGAGGCACAAACCACATCATGCGATCTTTGGAAGTCGGCCTTGTCTACCTCAAGTCGTATTTATGGAACTTCGGTGGAGGCGTCCATTCGATCGACGATAGAAAGCAAGAACCAGGACGATGCGCCTCCTGAAGTTCACCTCAATACTCAGCCTCGGGGCGCAGCCGTGGCCTGTGATTGGCTGCAGGGACCACATGAGGATAAACCACACCACACCACAGTTTTGCTTTATATTCATCAAGCCAGCAGAAGCGTCACAGTGAGAGGGAGTCTGGAAATCCATGTCGAGCAGCTAAGAATGCTAAGACAGCATTCGCTACAACGAGGACTAGACTACGCCTCAGCAGGCTCCAACTTAATCTCATTAGCAAACACAGGCTTCACCTCGTGGTCATCCTCCCTCTTCACATCACCACCAACCCCCGAACCAACAGTGCTAGCCCGTTTCGCCTCCTCCCCACCACCATCCAATACACTCTCCGTAGCACTCAACCGACTCCCACTCCCCAACGCCGTATGCCTCTTCGGCCTTCTAGCAGAACTACTCCCCCTCCTCACATGCCCCAGCGGCAACTTCCCCCCCTCACCCCCCTCCACCGCCACAACATTCACAGCAGGAGCAGGACCCGGCGTCGAACTCCGACTCGACCCCCTCGAATGCGACTCCGATCGCAAAAGCGCACTATCCCGTTTCCTATGCCCCCCCGTCTCCCTCCCCACCGAAGCAACCAAAGCCGCCGTCCTAATCCCCGGTTTCCACTCCCTTAGAGCAAGCCTCTCCAGATCGAGCTGCCGACGGCTTTTGGACGAGAAAAGACGGATGTTGCTCCAGCCTCGCCAGCCGGTCCACCATAACCATCCGCCTTCCCGCCTCGCGACTTCCCGTTTCCGGGCACGGACAAGTTTTCGTAAGTCGCCGCGGCGCGCATTCTCGCGCTCCCAGTATTCTAGACGGAAGTTCTCCCAGCCTTCGCGGAAGTCGGGGGAGAAGGGTTTGGGGAGTAGTAACAACTTGAGTACATCTCCCGAGGGCGCGATATCCTCTTCTATAAGCCCATGTCTCGTAGCATGCGCATTCCAGTGTTCCGTTGTCAGTCCAGCTTTCTTTTCACTCGATCCGGCAGCACTAGCTTCGATATCCTTTGGTAGGACCTGGAAATCCACTCGCTCTTCTCTAACCCACCCCGCCGCGTCCAACATCCCCACCCACCCTAGCACCTCGCCCAAAAATGACCCCTTGACAACCACGACTTTCATATTAAAACCCCTCAGTCCGCGATTCGTAGTCCCCACAAACCGTCTCGGCCAGCGTACGCCGCGTTCATATAACCCGGTCCCCCAGACAAGACACAACGTCACCACACCCCCACTCCACCCAAGTTTCTCCGTAGTCTCAATAACCCAGTATACACTCCCACCCACCCCCGAACCATCCTCGCGCGGCCGGAAGAAGAGGAGATAAGTGAATACGCTCAACCAGGCGGTGAGGAGGAAGAGCAGGAGGGTGTGGAGACGTAGACGGGAGCGGAGGGAGAGGTATTGGAGGCGGAGGGAGGACTCGAGGATGAGGAGGTTGAGGTAGATTTGGGGTGGGGAGGAGGGGAGGGCGTCGCGGGGGTCGGGGGAGGTCGAGGTCGAGGTGGAGGTGGTGGACGGGGTGTGGTTGGGTGGGAGGTGCGGGGTTGTGATGGGGTTGCTGGGTGATGGGGAGGAGGATTTGGCTGCTTTGGCTACTTGGGAGGGGGAGATGTTGGGAGGTGGCTTTTGGGGGGTCGTGTTAGTCAATAGTCTGGGACTGTTATGTAAGGGTAGTGGGGTAGTGGGTTGGGACATACGGCGCCTTTGACGATCTGGTCAAGCTTGTTGTCCGTCATTGTGAGGTTTGGTAGGACTGCCGCGTAGACGATCGCCAGACAGCAGTCGAGGTACTGAGGCTATCGCATAGCACGTGATTATCAGCTCTGAGGAAGCTGGACGGATGGGTGGAGGAAGGCACTACTGTCGCTCGCGCAAAGTGAAAGTGAATGGCGGGCAGAGACGAAAGTGGTTCGGGCCAATATCGGAAGGAGCCAACGGACCGGCGTTAAGGGCTCCACAATCGCCGTGTTCCTTGCAGGCGAGATTTCACGTTGAAGCCACTCACCGATCCGAGGCCCTACTAGTTACTAAAATACTCGTCATCGGTTGTCGTCGTACGAGAGACACTATTATTATTAAATATTGCTAGGAAAATATGGCTGCCTGAATAGAAAACGCCACCATGCTGTCTGTCCGGATGAAGTGACTTTCCGTCCCCGTGCGAAGATCGTCTGTTACTGTATATCATCTGCTGCTCTGGTAGACGAGCATGAAAGTCGTGGCGCATCTATCCGCCTCACTGCTTGCCTTACCAGCTACGCTTCGCTCGACACTTTTGCTTGCCTCGCTGTATCCGTTGAAGGGAGCGAGTACTGCGGATCTACCACTACCGGCGCCTGGACAATACTCATATATCGGGAACACGGCCGGATACGCCCATTCATACTCGATCATGGCCTCAGCACCGACCGAAGAGGATGCGCGGCGGGAAGGTAGCAGTAGTAGTAGTGGTGGTGGTGGCGGTGGGCAGAAAGCCATGCTAGCCCGCAACCGCAAAGAGCAGGAGGCTTCGCGACAAGAGGCACAGGGGCAGACTGGCTCCTCCAAACCCGGCATGTTTCCCATGTCTTACAAGGAAGGCCTGTCGCAATGGTGGGCAGGCCTGAGTCCAGCAGTGACCGAGCATAAAGTCCTGTCATATGTGCCATATCTTCGGCAACCACCTACACAGATGCATACGGGTGCGCCGGAGCAGAAAGCCCACGGAGCGAATATGGAGGTCGATCGGAGTTCGGACAAGGAAGCATCACCCGTGAAGACGGACAGTAATACCGATCCTTATGGGCCTAGGATGTGGCATTCCAATCTCGTGCAGTTGGGAGGCAAGAACAGGTACCTGAACGAGTTCTCAGTGGAGAGGTTGGGCGAAGTCAACGCCAATAATCTAGTTATGATACATGGCTATGGAGCGGGACTAGGATTCTTCTACAAGCAATTCGATGCACTTTCTCGATTACCGAACTGGAAACTGTACGCGCTAGACCTCCTAGGCATGGGCCGAAGCTCCCGACCATCCTTCCGCATCCAAGCGAAAGACCGAGAAGGCAAAGCGCGCGAGGCGGAGAACTGGTTCATCGACGCTCTAGAGGAGTGGCGAATCAAGCGCGGCATCGAAAAGATGACATTAATGGGACATTCGCTCGGAGGATACATGGCCGTCTGCTACGCCCTCAAGTACCCAGGCCATCTCGACAAACTCATCCTCGCCAGCCCTGTAGGCGTACCAGAGGATCCCTACGCCATCAACGACGACGGCCCAACACCAGCCGAAGCGAACGCCATGGCCAAAGAATTCGCCGAAAGCCAAGACGAGGCTGTCAACGGAGCGAGCAAAGCCGATGGGAACAATTTCCTCAACCAAAAGGACAAACGTGAAGCCGAGCAACAACAGCAAAACGGCGGCCGCGAACCCCCTCCGCGGAAAAGACCCTACAGCAAATGGCTAACCACCCTCTGGGACGCCAACATCTCCCCCTTCTCCCTCGTCCGGCTCTCCGGGCCCCTGGGACCCCGTTTAGTCTCGGGTTGGACGAGTCGTCGTTTCGGCCACTTACCTTCTGAGGAGGCAGAGGCGTTGCACGATTATTCCTACTCTCTCTTCCGACAACGTGGGTCGGGGGAGTACGCGCTAGCTTATATCCTTGCTCCGGGGGCTTTTGCGCGCTCGCCGCTTATTAGGAGGATTCAGGGGGTGGGGAGGCAATACCTTGGTCCTCACCCGGTCCCTGAGCCCGACACCTCCACTGTGAACGGTGAGAGCGATGGCACGACCGCGCAACGCCTCCGCGAAACGGGTATCCCCATCGTCTTCTACTACGGCAGCCACGACTGGATGGATATCCAAGGTGGGCGGGACGCGAAAGTGAAGTGTGATGCTGATGCTCGAAGGGCTTTAGCTGGGGCTTCGGAGCGGGAAAAGCGGATGGAGAATGGAGGGGTTAAGGTGAGGGTGATTGATAAGGCGGGCCATCATGTTTATCTTGACGGGTGTGAGCAGTTTAATCAGGAGGTGGTGGGGGAGATGAGGGATGTGGAGGTTAGGCAGGGGAGGTTAAGGCGGGTTGGGGAGGGGGTGTAGTGAGGTGGGGTGCAGTATGATGTTATGGGTGGGAAGGGTGATGTGATGGGGTTTGATTTAGCGTAGGTGTTGTTCTGGGGTATGCCGCATGTGCTTGATAGATTTGCTTCCATTTGCTTTGCTTTGCGGCTTGAAACCAAGACGTGCGTGGGGTGTATGTAGGTGATCCACAGCTGAGAAGGCACTTGGTATAGATAGATCTCTTTTCGATAGAGCGAACCATGCAGGTTAAGCGTCTAGGGGACTTTGCCTATCACGCTACATCGTTGCCTGACGACTGGCCCAGATCGAGTCCGCCTGACGTGATGGCTCCATGCGAGTCTCCATGGGATGTCTAAACCAGGCTGGATTGTCCATCATATAGCGGGATATGCTGTCGAGCAGCTGTTGGTGTAAGTACCTCGTCAAGTAGGACCTTCTACGGTTCATAATAAAGCCTCGGCCTTCTCGTGGATTTGAGGAGTCGTCGTCGTCGCCGACAAATCCGTTGCGGACGTCGTTTTCGACCTTTTGTGTTGGTTGGGGCGACGGATCGTGCGGTCATGATGCCAAACAGTCGTCGCACAGGACACTATACCGTTGACGGCGAGCTTTTACTCTCCTCCCTTTGACCGGTCTGACCTAGACTGATCCCCCCCCCATCATCATCATCACTACTAGCATCCCCCACCCCCAAAGCCACCCGACACTCCGCCCCCCAAAAGTCCCTCCCAGGCCACTCATACCTTCGATAAACCACCCTCATCTTCTCAACCATCTCTTCATCAAAATAGGCTTCGGCATCAACAACATCAGAAAGACCAGAAGAATCGACCATCCAGTTCAGATCCAGGAACTTCTGTCGCCATTCTTGCGAGATTTCTATGACGGGTCGAGGAGGAATAGTGCCGGATAGGCGGTTATATCGACATGAAAGGCGGACACTGTGCCTCGCCTATTGCTAGATGGATGGAGCAGTTGCGTTTGCTCATCGTGTCTTTGATTTCTCGGGCCATACCTGCGATTGGTCAATCAATCAATCAATCAATCAGTCAATCGCTCGCCTGTCAATCACACCATAGAACAGTATGACACAAGATGCATTGCTTCACCCACCTGTCTCCGTATCAACTACCAACATCCCTCCCAAAACAATCATTCTGCACCGTCAGCACAACCTCCTCCTCCCTAACATCCGCATGACCCCAACTCCTCGTCCGTGATGGCGATACCGAAAGGATCGAAAGGAATGAACTTCCCTATTCCAGTCCGGTCTGAAAGAATTAATGGCGGACTTCTGAGGAGCGAGATGGACTTCTTCGCTAGGGTGGTTGACATAAGGCAGGTGCGCCATGAGATCGATAACAGTAGCTGATTTCCTCGTGCCGGATGGGAGTTGCCAGCCCGGTGGCCGCGTAGTCAAGACCGCGAGGGGGATGTTCGCCATCTGGAGGATGGTGGCGTAGAGGTTGTGTGTAGCTGTGTAGCTAGTACAGTGGCTTCTTGGTCGTAGATCATTGTGCGGCGTGATATGCGAGAAAGGAAGGGTCATCCACATGTGTGCTTCGAGGAATCCGAGAAGAGGGTAAGTCGTCAATGGGGGTTTAGTGGTTGCCCCACTCAGATGTACAACAAGATCAGCTCTTGTACGGTGAAGTCGCAGTGGATCTCGAGACTCATCTAAATATATCATAGTGCTATACAACATACACAGCAGACCCCCCCTCCCCTTCTAAGCTCCACCGCCAGCAGCCCGCCGCTCACTCTTCCCGAACGCTTCTCCTTCCTCCTCCTCCTCCTCCCCAATGCGTAACCCACCCCCCACAAACTCCCTCTCCCCTTCCCCCTTCCCCTCAAACCTCCCCCAAGCCTCCTCAACCCCCCTCCTAACAAACTTTCCCTTAGCCTCCCACCCCTCCAGCTCCCCCCCTCGATCCTCTCCACTCTGCAAAACATCCCAACACCTCGGATCCCCGACCCTCGCGAGCTGCGTAGCCAACCTCTCCACCGTACCGAACCGGGGCATCCATCCTAGCCTCGCCGGACCTCCGCCATCGTCGCTGTGGTCGTGGCTCAGATCGGATGGCGAAGTTGCGGATGCAAGGGTGGCAGGAGCGGGAGAGGTAGAGGAGACGGCCTGCATATCAGTGAAATGCCTGAACGCCCAATCCAACAACTCCAACCCCCTCTTCCGTTGCGAAGCCGCAGCTTCAGAATCTATATTCGCCCCCGAGGAATCTAAGGCATGCATCCCCGCCTGCACGAAAACAAGGATAAGCCGATCATACGTCAGTGCCGTCGGCTTGACCCGTAAAGCGAGTAGTTCCGAAACCAAGAAAGAAGCCAGGTTCTCGTCCGGCGGGTCGGCGACGCGACAGCCGCGGAGGAGGAGGTTGAAGGTCTCGATGTTGGCGAATGGGCGTTGTTGGGTGGCGGATGCTGGGGCAGAAGGGCCAGGGATGAAGGTATGGATTTGTTTGTACACGTTCAAAGCTTCCTGGAGATTACGCTGGTGGACGTAAGATTCTATGATGAGATTTAGAGCCGCGATGGGGATCTTGCGGTTTTCCTTGTGGAGGTCTAGGAGGGTGTTGAGGGCAAAGGCTGTGAAGACGGGTTTATCCCTGAGGTAGAGGAATAGGGTCCGTGTTTCTGCTTGGGAGGGGGGTGGGAGCTTCTTCTCCAGGGCCATGATTGTTAGGGTTGTCAGGGCGCGTTTGAGGTCCGGGGGGGTGGTGGTGAGGTAGCAGGTTGTGAGGAGTTGGTAGTGGATTGGTGTGAAGGCGGTGCCTCGTTTGGACAAGTGCGAAAAGACGTCTGTGGCTAGGACTGCGTCGCCGGCTTGTGAGGCGGTTGTCAAGACGTTCAGGCAGATTCCTGAGGCGGGGCGCATGTAGCCTGTTCGCACCTGGCTGTTCCAGATATGTGCCGTGCAGGCATGGTGGCGATGGGAACTACTGGCGTCGAGGAGGGTATACCATAACACCCGACTGAGGTTCAGCTCTCCAGCATCGTATCGCTGTCGCATGATACGGTATGCCTCCACGATCTCTCCCGCTGCGGAAAGCATGTAGACACTCATATCCAGCAACCAAGACTGCACCACCACCCCACTCCCCTGCATCTCGTCGATCTTCCTCAGAGCCGCTTCGAAAGACCCTTCTCGGAGTAAACCAGCAGCGACATCATGTGCACCATCATCAGCCAATTGATACCATCGCGCACGCATATACTCCAGCACATCCGCGCGGAGCAAATGATCTGGATGCACGGCCAGAACTTTGAGGATAGCATGGCATGTGGCCGAATCCATCTGCAGGCCTGCTTGGGCCATTTCCTCTAGATACTCGATCACGCGCCAGGCAGCGCCGTCGTCGTGGGAGGTGTTGGATAAAATTAAGGCGTTGTAGAGCTGTAGACTCGGCTTCTCCTTCCGATCTCGTAGTAGCATCTCTACCAGATCCCACGTCTCCTTGGTCTTGCCATTGGCTGCTAGGGTGCGTAGACGAGTGTAGAGGTAAGGTGTAGGTTGTCTTGTCAGACTCTCGCGTTCGGCTAGGGCTTTTCGGTGGATGTCGTATGCATGCTGGCGTCTGGGAACAGGCTTCGCTCTTGCTGCAGCGTCTCGGCCGTACAGCACAGTGTCTTCACTCGGTCCATCATGCGATATTGTAGGGCTACGTGCTGCTGCTTGCGCCGAGTATGCGCGTTGCTGCCCACGGGCGGGTCGGCGATCAGTCTGGCATTGGAGTATTCTGCGTAGAGATCGTCCAGTATTCACTTGGGTCCATGCTGGGCAAAGGCATTGCCATAACGGGTCAATGGCAAGCTTTGCAATGGACATGGCATTGTCAATGAAGGCTGTCGCATGTGACAATTCAAGTGAGCTCCAAATTTTTGTTGATTGTTGCAGTCCAAGGGTGAGGTGTTGTTTTCTTGGTCTCATTAATAAGAGATGGAGCGAAGCGCGAATCCCCAATTAGGCATGGGACACACACTTTCTCAAATACTTTCCAAATGGGACTTTGAGAGTACGTGTGGAATCGGAAAGCCAGCGCGATTCTGGACATGGTAATAAAACTGCAATAAAGCATCGAATGCGGAAGTTGGGTTTTTGAGGGCAGGATATCCAGCAGGCGGACCATCACGTGACATGGTAGATTTATCGTGTCAACTTGGTTAAATAATTTTGAAACACCATTTTGACACTGGAGCTAACATCAGAAGGCTAGCGCGATTCCTGACATATGGAAAAGATGTGAAAATATGATCGTTTGGAGAAGTTGTGACATTGTACAGCAACTTTGTCAAATAATTTTCGTTTACAAGTTCAACGCCAGTTTTGGCATCGGCAAGCCAGCGCGATTCTAAGCATGTCGAAAAGAGGTCAAAAGTGAATTGTTTGGCTGAAGGTAATGTTGTGCACTAGCAACCCATTCGACGACCGGGCCGAAGATTCAGAAAATCCAGCGGTATACAAAATGAATTGACCTCTCAACATGCTGCAAGCAAGATGGTTAGTTGTCCAAGTATGTATCTCTGCAGTACCAGGTACATACATGTATGTATGTATGCATGCTTGTGTCGTTAGCGTGCCTTGCAAGAGCTATCTTGCTCCTACCTGCCCTCTATGTACTTTACCAGATATCATGCTAGAAGATCGTAGGATACACATCTTCGGGTTGCCGTCCGATACAGGTACATAGGATTGGGGCAGAATCAACCTGTACTATGCACGAGCACGTGGTGAAGTTTCGGTTGTGATGTGCTCTTGCCTCGCAGCCATGCCATCTTCAAGACTCCTTCCGTGGTAGAAAAGACGATATCATGAGACCCGGACGAGTAAGCCAGAAAGGTTCTCGTCGTCGAAAATTAGCCACCAGCTCACTGTTACGCCTATGCTGGGAGAATATGTTGCTCCTTCCTCGTCTCATCTCAACTAGCACGTGGCGAGATGCCCGCATAGTAGGTATTGCATAGAGCATGTAGATATGATGACAACACCTTCTTGACTAGCAGATTTTGATGGAAATTCTGCTTGAAGGACGGAATTCGGATTCCTGGTCTTTGAGAGTAGTGGGGCGTGCAACGTGTACTAGGGCAACGACCATTGCGTGCGGACAGAGCACCTGAACATGGAAGTAACCGCTCACAACGCCATACGCAAGAGGCAGCACAGTGGTAGAGCACGATGCGACTACTGTCCTGAACACATTCAGTGTCTTGGCGAAAACGTCCGCACCGATCGGCCCGGAACTCACGAACACACAACAAGTTAGTGCACACCTAGCTATACAGTTCGGCAGCTCGATGTAACTACGCCCATCACATCCTCCTCACTCACAACCGCCCAACATGACACAAAAACGCATCGAACAATGGGAAATCGACCGGTACTGGGAGATCTTCTCCTCCCTCGGCAACGGCGGCACCCACCTCGACGGCAACCAAGCAGCCTCCGTGCTCAAGAACTCGCGCCTCCGCGACGACCAATTGGAACGGATATGGGACCTCTCGGACGTCGACGGCGATGGTCGTCTGGATTTCGAGGAGTTCTGTGTAGCGATGCGATTGATCTACGACCTCATGAACGGCGAGTACATGGATGTCCCGCAGACATTACCGGATTGGTTGGTACCGGAGAGTAAAGCATATCTGGTTCAAGCGTCGCGGGCGGTACGAGGTGGAGGAGAGAGGTTCGAACGACCGGATGAGGATGAGGATGAGGATGAGGGGTTGGGTTTGCGGGACGGCTTCGATTGGTACATGTCCCCCTCCGACCGGAACAAATACAGCGACATCTACACCGCGAACCGGGACTCCCGCTCTGGACTGATCACCTTCTCCGCCCTGCAAGAATTATACGAAAGTCTAGACGTCCCCGACACCGACGTCCGCTCCGCCTGGAACCTCGTGAACCCGAAAAGCGGCGAAGGGATAAATAAAGATGCCTGTCTCGCCTTCCTCCACATCCTCAACAACCGCCACGAAGGCTACCGTATCCCGCGCTCCGTCCCCCCGAGCTTACGAGCGACCTTCGAGCAAGGGAAGATAGAATATAACATCGACCGCGTCGCCTCGCAGCAGCAGCAGAAACAGAATGCCGCAGACCGCTGGGGAACGAAACGAGATGACGATACCGTCTCAGGCCGGAAAGCCAAATTTGGCGATACATACTTGAGCAGACTGGGTGTCGGGGCCGAGAAGAAAGCTCCGCGCGGCACGGACTTTAGTTCCGCGCCCCGAGATGGGGAGTGGGAGGAAGTCCGACTGAAAAAACAACTCAAAGACCTCGAGGACAAAATGGCGAAAGTAGAGGGCGCAGCACAGCGGAAACGGGAAAGGGGGGGACGGAGAGAGGATAGTCGGCCCGCGCTGGTGAAGAGGGAGTTGGAGCAGTTGTTGGATTTCAAGAGGAGGGAGTTGAGGGGGCTTGAGGAGGATGGGGACGGGAAGGGGAAGAAGGGGGGTGGGTTAGGACAGTTTCAGGAGGATATCGAGGTCGTGAGGGAGCAGGTTGAGGGGTTGCAGGGGCATTTGAGGAAGAGGGAGGATGTGCTGGCGGGGCTGAGGGAGCAGGTTGAGGCGGAGAAAGCGGGGGTGCGTTAGGGAAGGGCCGGACTGTGAAACCCTTCTATTTCTTCTCCTCCGGCAGCCCCTTCGTCCCAAGGCACCTGGTGTGCTCGACTACAACAGCCCCCCGATTGCGAAGTAACGAAGCCTCCTTTCCCTAAACTGCCCCCCGGCGCTGCAACAAGCCCCGTCACAAAGACTTCAAATCCATGTCATGCACATGTGAGGAACGTGCTCTCTGCCACAGCCTGGAAGATCTGCTTGTTATATAGCTAGCCTAGAATACCCCAGGAAGGTGCCGTGAAACTTGTACATGCAATGATATGTAGAATGCAAATGCAGAAAAATTCCCCGCTACCTTTCTACGCTCTACTCGCCTTCGCATCCGCAGTCAACGGATCATGCTCGGGCTGTTCTCTTGCCCCATTCTCTCTATTCCCCTCCTCAACCCCGTCCTCCCCCATCCCAAACCCCATCCTCCCCCTAATCCCCTCGACCATATCCCCCGTCCCCCCCTCACCATCATCACGATCTCCCCAATCCTCCGTCTGCGTCCCCTCCCCCACCCCCAACCCCTCCTCCACATCAACATCCGCAACCCCTCCAATTCTTAACGTACTACTCCGTTCCGTCGCCCTCAGCGCCTCGGAAACACTCCTCAAACAACTCCCCTCACCACCACAAAGCTCCACGATGCCGGTAACATTCAATAACCGCCAGACCTCTCCTCTTCTTCCCGGGACACGGCAGAAGAATACGTGGGTTCCGTTTTCGATGTACGATTGCACGATCTCAAGTAACACCTGCGCAGCCGCGGGATCCATGGATGTGACGCCGTGGATATCGAAGATGATATTCTGATTGTGTTCCGCGCGGCGCACTTTCGGCAAGGCAGGGTGTGCGGAGTTGGTCCCGTGGTCTTCGAGGCGACGGAGACGGTCTTTGAGACTGCCTGTGTTGGCGAAAGTCAAGGGTTCGGGGATCTTGACGATTAAACAATGGGGGATGAAATCCACTACTGCTCCATCCCCATCTTCCCCACTCGCTGCAGCCTCAGCGGCCATGGTCTCGGCATTCTCGAACTCATTCTCCCTTCCTCGGACTTTCCCCAGAATCTGTATCCGAGGTCGAGAAACATGTTTGAGTAATCGGAGGAGCGAGAGGCCAATTCCTACTATAATCCCGATACGCAGGTTCCAGAAGAAGGTGGTGAGGAAGATGATGGTCATGAGGAAGAGTTCGTTGTACCCGGAAATCCGCCAGAAGAAGCGGATGTCGTGCGGCGCTTCTTCGATGAGGGAGTAGGCTACTACGGAGATCATGGCGGAGAGGGTGGCTTTCTATTGAGAATGGTCAGTCATGATATCGAACAGAGGGTGAGGAGGGCAGGGGTGCAAGGAGGGAACTTACGGGGATATAGTAAAAGTACGGCAGGAGAAAGACGACGCAGAATACGGAGATCAGCGACAAGAACACCGAACTCATGGGGGTTTTGCCCCCCGTACTCGCATTGACTTTACTCCTGCCGTACCCGCCGAAAGCTGGGAGTGCCATGAAGACACCTCCGATCAAGTTCGCCACGCCGAGGGAAACGAGTTCTCGGTTCGCGCTGACCGTGACACCTTTGATACCATCCGCTTCCACCACTTCCTCTTTCCCATTAGCGTCTTTGATCGTCTGTTTCTTGCCCGCCTGTCCAGACCCCAGACTTTTAGCCGCGACACTGCTTTCGAAGAAGCCCAACAAGGCAATCACGAAAGCCGTCCCAAAAGCATCAGGGACGTTCTTGAAGTTTTTAGCTGCAAAGGGGAAAGCTGGCTGGAACGGTGTTCCCTTCGCCTTGATATCGCCCAAAATCTCCAGTCCCTGACTCTCCCAGTCGAATTTCCATGCAAAGATAGCGGAGAACACGACGACCAGGAATCGGTCGGGGATATAAGCTACCCAGCTCATCCTCGGCTGCAATCGGCGTTTTATTTCTCGGAGGACAAGGACGATGGCTATAGTGCTGAAACCTACCGCGCACGTAAGCCGATGAGCTTCGTGACTATGTCGGAATAAGAAGAGGATCTTATCCAGACTGCTGCCGTGGGAGCCGGCGGCGGAGTGCGAAGCGGCTGTGTCTAGACCCATTTCTGGTATGAGTTGGTCGACTAGGATTACGATACCGATTGCGCTGATGAAGCCTCGGAGGAAAGGACGAGAGAGCACGGAGTCCAGGAAGCCGAGCCGGAAGATGCCCGCGCCTAGGATTACGGCGCCGGCCAAGCCAGTGACCATTCCTGCCACGGCTGCTGAATCGTGAGCTTCGTGGTCGGCATGGTGACCATTATTAATCGCTTCCCGCACCACGCCGCCCGTGAGCAGAGACCCAGCGGCTTCGGGCCCGACGACCATTTGCGGGCACGTTCCCAGGAGAGCATAGATGAGGGGGTTGAAGACGAAGCTGTAGAGGCCGTTGATCGGGGGGATGTGGCCGAGGTTCGAGGCGTAGGAGAGGGACATGGGGATGTAGAAGGAGGCCATGGTTAGGGCGGCGATGAGGTCGCCTTGGAGGTAGGACCATTTGTATTGGGGGAGCCAGTTGGAGATGGGGAGGTAGTAGAGGAGGTACCTACCGGGGATGATCAGCCGAAGCTTTTTTACTAGTACTGGGCAGTGAGAGAGACAAGCGAGGGAGGAGAGTAGGATTGGGCGTGTAAAGCATACATTAATCGTTCATTTGTCACGCCATGTTTCCGTGCCAGCCAGTGTGTGGTACTCTTCTTACTCGGTCGTCCCAGCAGACCATCTGTAACCGCATCGCCGAGTGCGCCCTCAATATAGTCACCCCGATACGAGCCTCCTTCTCCATTCTGATTGGGCCCACCATACCCCACCGACATGACCGAAGGCGCAAAGCTCCCATAGCCCTTCATGTATCGCGGTCTAGGCGAGTAGGCGCCATGATCACAATTTGGATCCTCACAATGCGGCGCGACGTGATATTTCTGTCCATTCCACAGCAGCTTCGTCCTGGCATCTGCGTCCTCGGGCGGTTCGTCGATCATGCCTTGGGCATGTGTTGCAGGCTCGTCTGGGGCTACGGAAGCGTAGTCGTGAGATACAGGGTGGACGCCTTCCCAGTCTATGGCTGGGTAGTCGCCGTTGGTCTGGGGACGAGGTGGTGGATGCGAGCCTTCTTCGGGTGAGGAAGGAGGCATGTGGGCTTGTCGGAGACCAGACGGGATCGCGGGTTGGTGCTGTTGCCCTGATATGGACGACTGTCGCGAAGCTCGTGGTGTTGGTTTGGCGGAAGAGGTTGGCGAAGGGCCTGTGCCATTGGACGCCATATCGTAGGGTTGCGGGAACTCTATTCGCTTCGGTACATATAGCGAGGTTATCGTATCCAATATTTACGTTTTGCCTCTCTGCAGAGCTCGAATTTTACGGTCCCATGGTCGCGAACAGTTGAAGCGATCGATGTGAGGGAAGCAGTAATTGCCTTCTGCTCTCCTCCGCCGGCCTCGAGTCTAAGTCCGTGATATCCCGTCGTCTGGATCGTGATCTGAAGTCTGCGACAATAATTGTTCTCGAGCTTACTTTCAGATCTTGCGCACAGTGACGACTCATGCAAGGGTCCGGTCGGCAGAGCCAAGCGAACGTGGCGGAGCTTGATGTGCTTGACTTCACTCTTTATTTTACACACTACACGCTCTGGCCAGACTGCTCTCGAACGTTAACTCCCTTACTTGAACTTGACACCTACGGTATGCTCGGCAAGATCTGGGTCAGCCGCAGTAGCAGCGATGGCATCCTCTGCTACTTGTTTCTTGTGCTTCGTGTCGCCAGCGCCACCCTTGAAGAATGTCCAGATCGTCATGATCCTGCAAGCCCGCGTCAGATTGGAGTTATCACTACCACTGCATGCGATGTAGCTCACGTACTCAGTCTATTGTGTACCTTCTACGCTGATTTTGTCTGTGTAGGGAACGATGGGTACTCGAAGTCCTTGAGTGAGAGCATTTTATAGGCGGCAATACGCCCGTTCACGTCAAGTCCCCATTCACAGCAGCGGGAAGCATTCATCGCAACATTCAAGGCGCCATCATACGCACAATTCTGCGTGCGGTACCTTTCGCAAGATTGCAGAGGTTCTCATTCATGATTGGCCTGGATCCTTCACCTTAGAGACGTAGACACGACTCTTCTACAGGAGTTGGCAAGCGGCACGTGTGCACGGTCCTGCATCGAGGTGTCAAGAAGATTTTGCTCAATCCTTGTTTGCGTCACACACGCTCGCACCAGATCACCAACCATCACAGTGCACAATCGCGAAAACCCTTCCAGTTTCGCGATGTCGAGACATATTCTCCGACCTCTTCGCCACAAGCCATGGCCTCAGTCTGAAACTTCGGCACGGGATGTAGACCAGGGTTTCATCCAGGAGCAGACAGCGCCGTACACAAGTCTGAAGTGCTTCTACCCAATGCAAATGGGTGAAGTGCTAGACCACCGCTATCAAGTCACGGCAAAGCTCGGCTGTGGCGCCCACTCAACTGTCTGGCTTGCGCGCGACCTCTGGTATTGGAGGTGGAGGCCAGACGTATATGTTGCTATCCAAGTCAGTGTCACTGGTGACACTGACGAGGCGGGTGCTGGTCCTGAGGAGCCGGTCAAACTACAGCATATCAGTGCTGCAAATCGCAGACACCCTGGTCGCGACTTGGTGAGCATCATACTCGACAATTTCCATCTGAAAGGACCAGCGTGCCAGCATCTATGCATGGTGTTCGAGCCTCTTAGAGAGCTTCTCGGCCTGATCAAGTACAAGTTCACTACAGAGATGATCTCTGTGCCGCTTCCGAAAGTGGTCGCTCGGCAGGTGCTACAAGCTCTCGACTATCTGCATAATGAATGTCACATCATCCATTGTGGTAAGGGACCCATGCACTTACACTGATTCAAGAACACTACTGACCTCGTAACAGACCTCAGCGAATCGAACATCATCTTCAATTTTGCGGAGAAATATCGCCACAGCATCCTGGATCAGCACTCAAAAGACGAACGCACAGATTCGCTGCCGGTCAAACGGCTGACTGACAGAGTGATCTACCTCCCACACAACGACTTCGGCCCCTTAGTCCCCCATATCGGTGCAGCCATCGTCCTCGACTTCGACAGCTCCGTACGTGGTGACAGCGACGAGGATCGTAACCACGACATCCAGCCACAGGGTCTCACCGCACCCGAGGTCATGCTCCGCGCGGGATGGAGCTATAGTGCTGATGTATGGATTTTTGGCGCTCTGATTTGTGGGCTCATGGGAGGAGAGCCTCTGTTCGATGATGCGAATAGGAAGCACTGGCAGGAGTTCTCCGAGCCTTTGAGCATGGCTAGGATGATTGCGTTCATGGGTCCGCCCCCAACGGAGCTGCTCGAGCGCTCAGCACGACTCGCGAATTTCTTTGAGGGTGATGTGTTCAAATTCCCGCAACTTGTGCCGGAAGATTGCTCGTTTGATACATTTTTCGCCCGTGTCGAAGGTGACGAGAAGGAGGAGTTCGTTGCTTTTGCTAAGCGCATGTTTACGTGGCTGCCGGAGAACAGAGCGACCGCTGCAGAGTTGCTGGCTGATCCTTGGTTGCGGCGGGACCGATAATTATGGGCTACAGGCTGAAGAGCCATATCCGGTTGCGCACGCAGGTGACTGTAGCGATTAGGAATTATCAGCGATGTGCCAGCGAAGTATTTGGGGACCATCAGTTCCACCTGAGAAATGCAAAAACGCAGTGTACACGCCGAATGATATATCGGAGGACCAGTCTACTTCATCAGCGCAGTGCGAATCGCCACTCCACTGCAGCACGCGTACTTAGACAGATGCATGGTCTGTCTTGACGATCGTTTGGCTTTACGATGGTCTGTCGCGCAATGGATACATTGCGAGTCCGAATCCAGAGATGTCGTACCTGGGATGAGGTGGGAATGTCATCAGGAGAGAGAGGCGAAAAGGATCTTGGCCGGCTACATGTTCAGAAGATTCGGAGCGGACGACAGTCTATCAGCTACACTCCATACAGCACAGCATCGTCTTGTGACAACTCAACACCTGGTCCAATTGTGACAGATGCTTAGAGCATGACTTGCCAAGACTCAGCGGCCGCGCACGACCATCAAAATTTATATCTCTCCGCACTCGACTCCAACTCTTTCTCTTTCCTCCACCAGCATCGACCAATACAGCTTCACCTATTGTCGGTTCAACGTCTACTATCTGCTTTGCAAGGGCTAGTAAGATTCAGCCCACTTTGGTGCATTTTCATATCCCTGAGCTACCCACCTGCTGGGCCGCCGATCGCCCATGTCACGATCCTGTCCAGCAATCTGCTTCATTTCCTCTGCGTTTTGTATGACGATGCGACTCTTACGACGGTGCTCTGCACCTTGCCGCAGGATGTACACATCGTAGCATAGATGCACAGTGCCAAAGCGCTCTTTGGCGGGCCGTCTGTACAAGCTGTCAGCTTTCTTGGAGATCAGCCCTTAGCCACGAGAAATCTCTCATGCGGAGACGATAGCTGGCTCATCAACAGAGCTTTTGGGAGTAGGTGGTGGGGAATCCTGATCGTAAACCTTATTTTGGGAGAGAACGCTGATGAACACGCATGAATCATTGCACACCAAACGGCGTTGAGTGAGTGAGACGCAAGTACAATGTTCTGCTGAAAGAGATTGTAATGCTAGTGGATCGAACGGAGTATCAGTATTGCCAGTGCTGCAGCGTCAACACCACCCCCTCTGCAGGTGTGATACCTCCCCCCTCAACACAATTCACTTTCTCAAAGCACCAAACGCTTATCACATTACTAGCTCAACCACCTCCACACTACCTTTGGCCACACACCATCACCCCATTTCAACCAGCACATGTGATTCTCCTTCATATTCTCTCACTCCCTCATCCTCAGCTCCTTCACTTGCGCTCTACACGCGATGCAGTCATGCGTCGCTGTCTGGAGGCGATACAGCGACTAGCCCTTGTCATACTAATGCCTCTGTGCCCAATCCACTGGATCAAGAATGCCAAGAAGAGATTACGCCGCCGCCGCAAACCTTTCGTCCAGCCGCCGCAGGACGTGATAGAGCAAATGTATCAAGCACCAAGATTGCGCCCTGTTACTTTGTGTCCTTGCATCCGAGATCCAACCAAAAGCCCACCACCGAAGAAAGTGAGATTTGCATGCGATATGCCAGTCGATGCTCTTGTCAGCGATGGCCCGAGTGCGCCGCAACCAATCCAGGAGGTGCTACCTCTGGAGCTCCTATCCATGATATCGGAATATCTTCACACCAAAGACGAAGTACATAAATTTCGCCTAGTACACCGCCGCTTCCGTGAAGCAGCCTGGGCAGTCTTCGGCCGAACATTCGACGATGGGATCTTCCATAACACATCGTACTCGGCCGGGAAGAAATTGGTGGCGCTTGCCAATACGGAGCAGATCGTGCCTTATGTAAAGCGCCTTAATATCTCGACAGTATATCCGGATGTACAAGCTGGGGAGCAATTGACGGTCTGGTGTCTCGAGAAGCATGTCCCGGGTGGTGAGCGGTATAATGTTGATACCATTGAGCCTTGGTTGGACATGCTTCTGGCGGAGAAGATGTGGACGGAGCTTCAAAGGAGGATGGCGTGGATTTCAGTGTTGGAGAAGATGACGGCGCTGGAAGAGATTGTGATCTGGAGTGGTGAAAAATTGTGAGTCTGTTGTATGCCTACTGTGAGCGTCAAGTTTGCTGACTAGCTTGCTCGTGATGTAGGATGCATGGCCCTCGATTGCCATATATCGACGGCAAACTGGAGAGCGTGCTCCCCGAGGCTTCGGATGGTGGAGTCAAGCTCTGGCATCTAGACGCAGCCGAAAACGCCATGCAAGTCCTCGAAGTCCTCATCACCCTAGACGACACCACCCGTCATCGAATCAAAATCATCAAATCCGAAGGCGCCACCTCAATGCTCTCCCTACCTCCTACCGTATCAGGCAAACAACCCCGCCTCCCAACCCTCACCCATCTCACACTCACCCTAGACTTCCCAAAAGCAGACTACCACACCCTCAACACACTAGAAAAAGCCGAAACCCATCTCCACGCCTTCCTAGCCGGGATGCCGAACCTCACGAACCTACGCCTCGACTTCCCGTACGAGAATAGTTCGATCTTCGAGCACAGCATCGTAGCTGCCACGGGCTCGGATAGGCTATACGGCCTTATACCGCGTCCACCCCGCCGGGACTCCACAGCTGCTCCACCGAGCTCACCGATCGACGACATGGAAACCCAAGAACGAATAAAGAACGAAGAAGAAGAAGACACCGAGCTGCTCGACCAAACACCCCAACCCCTCCATTTCCCCCACCTCCACACCCTCCACCTCAGCAACCTAATCCTCCACAACCACACCACCCTAACCCACCCCTTCCTCTCCCTCCACGCCTCCACCCTAAAACACCTAACAATCCACAACATCTTCGGCCCGTCAGCCGAAAGCTGGCGCAGCTTCTGGGATTTTCTGGAAAAGGGTTTGGAGTTGGAGAGGTTCGATCAGATCACGCATTCTTCCCCTCAGCAGCTGAGGCGGTTGGAGGGGGATCCGAGGACGAGGTGGGTTCGGTTGAGTACGGGGGAGGTTAGGAGGAGGTTCGGGGGACGGGGGAGGTGGGTGGCTTTTGTGGGGGATTTGAGGGCGCTCGAGGAGGGGCAGGCGGGGGAGGAGAATGGTACTGGGGAGACGTGAGGATGGGTGCTATGGCGAGGGCTCTAATGGAATTTGGAGGAGGGGAAGTTCCTTATACATTTTGGTGGGGCATTGGACGCCTCACTTGCACGTGATGGATTCCTTGATAATCTTTAGGTCGATCTCTGCTGCTTGTCATCAATCGTGCTTTTTTCACTGCCTTGGGTATCTTACTCCGTGCGCCTTGCTAATTTTATCGGCTTATGCGAAGCCGCCTTCGCGCAAACCAGCGCTGCCTTTTGGGGTATCATGTCGGAGCGAAAGCCATGTGCGCCCGAACTCCGTCGCTCATGAAAACTTTGAGGGAATCAGTGTCGTCACATCAAAGTGTCTGGTCGGTAAAAGGCGCAAATGTCCTCCCGCCGAACCTCTCCAGATCGTCCTCGTCAATGCCATCCATGTCCTCATCCTCATCACGCTGCAAGCCTCGCTTAGTCGATGCATTCTGCGGACCGGACAAAGGCACAGTCACTGTCCCGTTGCTATCGTGATTCGACTCGTTCACTGCAGCGACTTGCCTCGTCGCACACAGAATATCCCAGTACCCCTGCAGAAGCCTCTTCATCGCATCGTCGAAATTCGCACAGAACCTCTGCGCCTGCACGAGCTGCATGGCTTTGATGAAATCCACATCCGTGTGCGTGCCCATCAAGTACGCCGCCACGACCCCTGCGCCCCTCTCGTTACCAGACTCACACACCACCAGCACCTTGCCCGTCTTCCCAGTCTGCCGAAAGTACTGTGCGAGGTGATCATTGATCATCGCCGTCGTCTGCGGGAACTTCTGGATCAAGTCTTGGTTATTCGCCAGATCCACCGTCTCGCACACAATCCCCAGGGCCCGTGGCTTCCTAAGCGCGCCGTGCATGAGTTTGCTCTCGAAACTGTGTTTTTGTCTCACTCCCAATACCATCGTGATACTGCCGGGTACTCTGGTCTCACCAACCCCATGGCCCGTCTCGCCGCGCAAGAAGCTCTCGTCTTTAGCTGCAGTCATGGGACCGAGGTAGAGGAATGGAAGGATCATTTGGGCTTCGCGGCGGCGCTCGTAGGTCCATTCGATGAGGGCGTTTTGAGTCACGAGGTTGGTGTAGTTGATATTGTTGAGGAAGTTGGCGGATTGGAGGGCGGAGAGGGTTATGCTGGGCAGGGCGTCGGAGTTGAGGGTTGGTGGGGGCACGACGATGCGGGGTGGGGTGGGCACGCGGTAGGTGTATTCGCTGGTCTTGTGGGGGTAGGAGAGGGTCTCGAATTCGGCGGCCATGGTCGCCGTCAGGTCTGGAAGTGACGTTCGATTGAACGAACCTCAGATGTTCACTCGACGTGCATTAATATTCAGCTACAAGCCCACCTTCGACGACCCCACGATGACCGATAAAGCCGAAGCTAACTCTTCCGAGACGAGGGCCTGTGCACGAGCATTCACTTCACGGATAACGATGAGGTGAATGGGAAAAAGAAACATATCCATCGTGCGGCACAGGCCCAATGCACTGTATCATCAGACGAGGTCTGGGAGATGACGCTAGCTACCGACGTTGTTTCACTCGTCGCTACGCACCATGATCTACACATCTTTGTGGGGAGGCGCGGCATTCGAAGCAGGAGTTGACTCCATAATGTTGAACGGCATACCATCAAGAACATGAAGTGCTCAGCCAGAACAGAGTCCATACCATCGGCTCTTTTACCCTGCTCCGCGCAGTAGATGTGCCTGCAAGACCTCGCAATGCAGATCCACGATGCCGTCATGACGTGTAATACGGCAAGATGTGCAGAACGGAAGCTGATATCAAGGTCTACTTGCAATCAACGACGGCTCCGTTATGGCCTTTGATCACTCCTCTAAACCCGAGTAGAAGCCATACTGAACCTGCAGAAATGACAGATAACCTCTACGCCACCACACAACCACCTCTGGACACCTATTCCGATGGAGCATCCCGCAACAATGCCAGCGGCACCGACCAAGACGTGATCGAGCGCGCCAAGATCCGCGAGATATGTGAAGGCTGGGGCGTGTACCGGTAAGTATTACCATCCATCAACACCACCACCTGGCTCTTCCAAGGACCCCTACAGATATACACTTGAAATGCTAAATACAATCTACCCTCCGGCGACGCAGCAGAATGGCAAAACTACCGCTCCATGTTCCACCCGGACACCTAAATCGCTACCTCCTGACACCAAGGCGGCATCGGCGACTTCATCTCCGCCTCCAAAAAGGGCTTCGCCATGCAAGACCAGGGCTTCATGTACATCCTCCACCGCATCATCGGCCAAAGCATCGACGTGCAAGGTCATAGAGCGGTCTCGAAGATGAAAGTGACGATCACCTGCCGATACAGTTTCCCGCACGGAGTAGAAATGGACAACGAAGCCGACTGCCGCTTCTTCTTCCTTCTCGAGAAGCGGGAGGGGAAGTGGGGTGTAGTATTCTATACCCTGCTCTTCGACAAGGATAAAATGGTGCCTGTTAACCCTTCTCATGAGATCCCCAGCATCCCCGAGGAGGAAGTGAGGAGACATCCCGCAGGGTATAGATATCTGGCCTGGTGCGAGGCCAATATTTCCAAGACGCCGCCGAAGATGGATTTGAGTTCTCATGGGAAGGAGAGGAATGTATCATATGGGAAGGTCAAGGACTGGTTGGATGGGAAGGAGGTGAAGCCGAATTTGACGGGCGAGGATGTTGTGGAGAAGTGGTGAGCGCTCGGTTCGAAGGGCTGTGCGACTGTTCACTTTCTGCCGCCCGGTATGATATGAAGCTTTTCATGGGTTTGGGTCAAGGATCGATCCCGTTTACCCCTCACCCTCAACCTCACCCTCGCCTTCTCAAATTCTGCTCGCATCTGTCACGATCGAGATATCATCTTCTGCTCAGTCCACATACGCCAACCTCGTATACCCCATCAACTGCAGCACCTTCCACATATCTCTCAGATTCTGCAACCTCATCCTGGCCACCAAGATCCCATCGACTTTCGCATACTCGTCCTCGAGCGCCAATTGTGCTTCCTTGCCTGTATGCCTCGTAGGCGCCCTACCTTCCATGATCTTCGCCGCAATCGTAGCCTGTCGGTCCGCTTGCTCCTGCTTTCGCCTCTCATCTTTCTCTCTCTTTACTCTCTCCTTCGTCGCCTTCGCCTCAGCGTCTTGCTGGGCGATATCCCTTCGATGGTCACGCAATGCTTGAATTGAAGCACGTTGGCATCTAGCGCATTGCTCACTTTTGCTCTCCAGGTCCGGGAGGCTCAAGTGAGAGAGGCAGCGCTTGGGTATCAGAGCACTCCATTGTTTGCGCTCGCCACATCGGGTAAGTGTATCGATGGTGTGGTCGCAGGAGTAAATGCACCTGGTGCGATGGCACATCTTTTGCGGATGTCGTCGTGACGGTATGTCTTTCTTTGGCCTGAAGCTTTCTCCTTTCGACTATCAATCCAATACAGTAGGTCGATTAGTCTTTGATCTGTTCGGGAGAGCCAAGGCGCGAGTAATGATTCCTCGTTGCATGTAAGTATCAGGTCCGTAGTGCGGGCAGCACAAAATGATTATTCAGTCAAGCAGTGCCACCTATCAGATCGGCGTCCAGGCAGCGATCCGTTTGCCGATGCAGGTCATGTCTGCGCTGAAAGCGGAAGTCACGACATTCACATGTCAAAGCGCATCACGTGGAACCTCATCGCGCTGGGACACACGCAAGACTCAGCAATATAGACAGTACCGGCAGGAATACATACCCAGGGTATCTACACCACATGAAATGCCATCGCTTATACTCGACCATTACCATGCATCACTCCATACCCATATGCCCGAATCACAACTGCAAGTCGCAACCATCGATCGCACCTATACTTTCTTCTGCTCCTCCCCAACAAGCCTAACATCACTCCCGCCCTCCTCCACCTCCCTAGCAGCCAACCTCTCAATCTCAACCTGAATCCCCATAACCCAATGATCCCTCTCCGCCCGACTCCTCGCCTTGAAAACCACACTCCTCCCCGTAGTGCCGAGCTGACTAACCCTCGTCAACTTCTCCTTAGTCTTATAACCCCTCCCAAGTAACCCGCCTTGCCCGGCCGCTTCTTGCTGATTAGCAGCCGTAGACGAGGACCGGACATCGTCGACGAAGTGACTGCTTTTGAACCAGGATTTCGATTTCGCGTGCCAAATTACGAAGGTCGTCATGGCGTCTTCGTCTGTGCTGGTCCAGGTGTCTTGGAGGTAGACCCTGGGTAGGGCGTGGTTGCCTGGTTGGTTTGAGTCGAAGGTGCGATTTTGGTAGAGGAGGTCGTTTTCGGTCAGGAGACCGCTGTAGAGGTAGCAACCTTTGAGGTCGATGCTTCCGATCCGTTCGTGGTGGATATTCACCAGTTTCTTACCGCTCCATCTCCGTAATGTGTCTTGAAAGATAAGCAAGTGGCCATGGGACAAGATGACGTGGCAACGAGTGAACGTCGTATGCCGTCTTGGCTTCCGAAACAGTAGGCCTGAGAGATGGACCGTACGGCATTGGGATATACCGCAGAGATTGTACATAGTCGGACTAGCATAGCTCTGGCTGACCTCCCATTTATATGCGAAGCTACCGACAGTCGCTTCGGCGCGTTCGTCAATGTTCAGAGCTTCGAGATTCTGTTGTCGGACGTTCTTGAAGAGGTCAATGTCGGCTTTTGCGCGGTGGTGCCAGTATTTCACAAGCTGGCGGAGACGAGACATCCATTCTTGCTTGGCTTCTTTGTTGTAGGCTTGTAGTCGGACGACGAGGCCATTCTCCATCACAAGCTCGAAGGTGCGCTCGTCGTCTACCTCAGTGGTGGCGCCGTCATCACGTAGACTGTCATTCTGGCCAAACTGTCGCTCATCAGCCGTGTTGAATTCAACATCGCTTCCCTCGTCCAAGTTCTGGTCCGCTGCCGCAGCGCCACGATGCATTTTCCGGACGCGCTTCACATCGCACAGGCTGATGAAGCCATCGCAGCTCATGATCATTCGCAAATTCCGATCGGCTTCGGCTGCAGCTTCTCCATCGTGGGCTCTCTGATCAGAAGCAGACTTTGTGCCCTCTTCGTCCAACCATGAGATGTGATGTCCTTGCAATGGATACGGGTCAACATCGTATGTGAGTGGTGACTGCTCAGCCAACTGCTTACTCGAAGGCACGTTGCCGTTAGCGGCTACTGTAAGCTTCGGTGGTGGTGGAGGCGTAGCATTAGAAGGACGTAAGAAGCATAGATACTGGTTGTGTGTGGTAAAGTAAAGCCGTTTGAACAGCATCTTGCCCATACGCCGATCTTGTCCCTTCTGAGATGTCAAGCGAATGAGGAAACCTTCCACAGGTGATGGCTCCTCTAGGGTCTCGCCTTTTCGTGTCTTTGTCATACTCGGATAATGATCTTTCGGGCGCAACTCGAGCTCATGCGTCTTCGCCATGGCGATAGTGCCGTACATACGCTGCTCCACCGCTCCATATATCCATTCAAGTCTATCATAACGTTTCCATGCCAGGCCGATGCGGTCGTGCTCGGACCAATGTTTCAGCACGTCTGCCCATTCAGGTGACTGTGCTAGCATCTTGATACATCGCGCGACAATAGCTCCAGCAGCACCCTTTTCGTCATTCATGGTCTTCGCCAACGCTTCCTCGTTGCCTTCGGCAGCATCGGCCAGTACTTTCTTAGCTTCGGCCGTTCCAAAGGGATCATCGAGGCGCAACGTCACACTAAGATCTGGTACATTGACTTGTAGGGTCTTGGGTCGCTTGAAGCCGAGCACACCACGGAGGAAGGTGTACCACTCGACAGATGCCGCTCCAGACTGTGCGCGCAGGTAGTAGATCGTGGTCCGTCCCTTCTCTCGGATCCAGATACACAGGGTTTTGTCCAGACTTGAGAACAAGTTGACATGTGCTCGGGTCGTGCTCATTGGGACCTGTACTTTTGGCTTCTTCTTCGCTTTACCTCTGTCTGCTGCCGAGGCTGCAATGACCCGTGTCTCGTACAATTGCAGCACAGCGTCCGCATCGTCCTCGGTCTGCTTCCGGCATACCACCATGAACTCCCGCCATTTGTCCAGTTGCTGGGATACCACACCTTGGCTGACTCTCTCGTCGAAGTCCGCGCCGACACTCTGCTTCGTGACATCTGTCCGGAGCAGCATGCGGTCCATCTTCAGCACCTCGCCGTCCTGAATCCGGTTCCATTTGAAGTTTCCCTTCGCAGCTAGCCGTCTCGCACGCTGCTGCAGTTGCAGCTTTGTGGACTCGCTGAAGCGTACCCTTGGCACATTGCCCGCGACTTTGTTTGCGAAAGTCCCGATGCGCAGCAGATCAGTGGGACGCTTCATTATAGGTCCGCCATCATTGTGTCCCGGGACAGCCTGCTCTGTACCCTGCTTGCTCGCATTCCTGGTCGCCTCTGGGGTGGCAATGTTATGCTGCTCATGTAGTAAGCTCGTCGTACTCGCTGTCGTATCTGCCGCTGCACTTTGGCTAGAAGGTCTGGGTCCGGGTGAAGTAGTCTGCTGTGCCTGGACCCGCTCTGCTACTGGTTGTGCTGCTGTGAACGTGGGCGCTCTATTCGCGTTTTTCGAGACATAACCTCTATACCACTGCTTCCTATGGCTCTTCAACCAGCCCTCAGGGATCGGACCTATGAACGTGCGGCGGGCAGTTGCATGAAGATGCTCGGGTGTCGCATGTTCAAGTCGGCGGATCGTATACGAGTCAGGTTCTAGTGAGGTGTTCATTGAGCCTTATATTACATTACTATTAGTCGTTGCTCGTAAGTCGTGCTATTGTCGTGATCTGCGGCTGTCGAAGATTGAGAAATACATCCTATGGGATCCCATATCCACTGTCTAGGCGTGCAGCTCTTGCTTTCGGCGCCGTTGAGGCAACGCGGGAAGGCTTGATAGAGATCGACAAAGCGTCAGTGACGTTGGCGGCTGTGCGAAAACAACCTCCAACGCAACCATCAAATATGCCCAGACACATCTCTCCTCTCAAGCTGACAATGCTCATAGTCGGTACCCTGTCCCATATACACATGCAGAAGACTGGAGTAGGTGACAAAGCATGGCCATAAGGACGCCGTTGTACATGGACTAGATCATCTCGACGGACTTAGGCGCCTCGCGACAGGCACTCCATCATACAGCGGTGGATCAAATTCTGGCTGAAAACCCTTCATCAAGCGCTATAGAATCCCATAACACCTCGAATCTATCAGCATTCGAAATGCGGTGGTAGAATGCCCAGTGGCAACGTCCTGTGCGACAACTCCACCTCGGAAATTGATGAATCCATCATCGTTTCAATCCTGCGAAACGAGCCTTGGCAGTCTTGGACAATTGAAGCGCAATTCTCTTAGCCACCTCAAATGCAGTATCCGGTGGAATCACCGGTGGGATCCATGGGAAAGTGGACTCGATGTCTTTGGTTTGTGTCGAGCCATCAGATCAGCCAATTCCTCACCTTGCCTATACCAAGAACTGTCTTCCAGGGATACGTCCGACGCCATGCCAAGATCTGCAGATACAATGAAACATTGACCTGACTCCGGTGCAATGAGCTATTGGTGGAATGTTGGAGCAGCTTGGCAGCACTGTATAGATGCAAGCGAACAAATGGCTTTTCGAACAACCCGGCTGTGACTTGGTGAGGATTCGTATGGCAGCGTTTGTCAAACATATAGACAGACTGAGCGGACATGTGGTAAGTCGCTCCATCCATTCATCTCAACCCTCGTTTTGCGCTTCTATTCTCTTGATCACTTTCTGTCCAACATGCTATCGATATACACTCTCGCAGCGCTGGTCGCCAACGCCGCTGCCCTGGCCGTCTCGGGCACAGCAGAAGGCTTCGCGAAGGGAGTCACAGGCGGTGGCTCTGCTTCTCCCGTCTACCCAAAAACCAACGCAGAGCTGGTCTCGTACTTAGGCGACTCCTCTCCACGCGTCATCATCCTGCAAAAAAACTTCGACTTCACTGGAACCGAAGGCACAAGCTCCGAAAATGGATGTGCGCCGTGGGGAACGGGAGCCACTTGTCAGCTAGCCATCAATCAGAACAACTGGTGTACGAACTATGAAGCCTCTGCGCCTAAAGCAAGTGTGTCGTACGACAAAGCGGGCATCATTGGTATCACGGTTAAATCTCAGAAGACTCTGCTGGGCCAAGGTACTACCGGTGTGATTAAAGGCAAGGGCCTACGCATCACTGGCGGTGCATCCAACATCATTATCCAGAACGTTCACATTACCAACCTGAATCCGCATTATGTCTGGGGTGGTGATGCGATCACGCTTGATGGCGCAGATATGGTCTGGATCGATCATGTCAAGGTAGGCTTGTTCGCATGTCTTGCTGCCTTCAATTCCGCTGACACAACAACAGACATCCCAGATCGGCCGCCAGCACATTGTCCTCGGCAACGGCGCCTCAAACCGCGTAAGCATAACCAATAACGAAATCGATGGCTCCTCGACTTGGTCCGCTACCTGCGATGCCCACCACTATTGGGCAATGTACTTCACCGGCAGCAGCGATCTCGTCACGCTAAAGGGCAACTACATCCACCACACTAGCGGACGCAGTCCCAAAGTCGGCGGGGCTGGTAACACACTGCTCCATGCAGTCAACAACTACTTCTACGCCAACAGCGGACACGCTTTCGAGGTTGGTACTGGTGGTTCTGTCGTTGCTGAGGGGAATGTCTTCCAGAATGTTGTGAATCCTATCGACAGTGGGACGAGCGGCGGACAGATCTTTACGGCTCCGAGTGCTTCTGCGAACGCTGCTTGTTCTGCTTCGCTTGGTCATACTTGCCAGGTCAATGCCTTTGGGAGCTCGGGGTCGTTTGGTAGTTTAGGCTCGACTGGCTTCTTCTCCAACTTCAAGGGCAAGAAGGTTGCTTCTGCGAGTGCGGCTTCGAGCGTGGTGGCTAGTGTTGGGAAGAATGCAGGGTTTGGAAAGTTCTGAGACCGTGAGGCAACAAGAAGCACCACGCAGTGCTTACACCTAAGTTCTGCGTGCGAGATACATGCCGCCCATAAAGAGATTCAGTGTGCTGAGCTTTGTACAAGATGTGAATACACCGAGAGGCCGCTCATTACCTATCGTATCATATCTTGTCATGCCTTCGCTTGCACTCTCTCCCAGATACGTCGGCCGGCCAGGATCGAGCTGATGCTTTGACAGCTGCCTACCGTGAGTTGGCTAGCAGGTATCCAGCCTACAGTAGTTCCAGGCAAGATGACGTCACAGCAGTCGATGGCGAGGTCGGTGAGTAGCTTACTGCGTCGACTCTCTGCTATTGGCATTGCAGCTCTGCTTGCTGCCGCCGACTCCTTCGGGCCTGATGCCTTTTCGTCGGTGGCAGTTTCAGCTGATGGAGAGAAGTGTAGTTCCGCTAGTTGATAGGCACCGAGTAGAATAGAGGCAACCAGGGCATAGAACCAGCATCTATTAGCCTCCATCTGGACGGCAGGAGCCCAGGTGTATTCAGTCACGCCCATGGCATTCGTCTGGTGTGGTCAGCATTGATATGCAACGGTGCAGACTCGGCATCAAATACGAGCGTAGATGCCTCCAACAGGAAGTAGAGTCCCAGAAACAAATACTTCACGACCTCAAGGAGGCGCTCTATGGTAGAGAGGTTGCCATTCATAGAAGATCTGCCGACTTCGACAAAGGCTGGGTACCACTTGAAGACTCGGAAGTAGCGTCGGCCTAGTATGCAATATGTAGTGTCGATAGCATGTCTACAGTATGAAGTACGTCGGACATGATCTTACCTAGATTGACTTGTGATCGTGCGTGAAGCCATGGAATCGCTATGTCGCTCGACTCATTGAGAGCTGCCGCGGTGGTACAGAGGCCTTGAACCAGCCTGAGAGTTTTCTCGATGGCTGCAGCATCATCTGTGAACCTCGCTATCGATGCAAGCATGGTGAAGTATCACGACGCTCTAAGCATGTCGATGACTGGGAGGTGATCGATGTTCTGACGAGGATGCCAAGCCTTTCGCCTGACGCCCTTGTCAATCTCCATTTCTAGAGATATCAACCTACACCGGCCACGTCTAGACACGTGCGATGACCTGGGACTGAAAGCTATGCTTCGGTGTAGTCAGGGACGTGTCTTCTAGTTCTCGCGCGGCGTCCAGTCCTGCGCTGGCTGTGGCCAAGACACCTTCTAGCCGTCGCCTCCGCATCACAACCGCACCGTCTCATGATCTCGAACTCGAAGAGCCTGATGAACGGGCTGGAGCAGATGCCTACGAGTTTGATAAAATCGAGAGCGGATGGGTATGGCTTCGTAACAGAAGCGTCGCGCCATCTATCAAGAATAACACCCCGGAAAGGTTGTATTGCTCCAACTTCTGCAACTACATTTGGCAACAGCGAACAGCAGCAGAGCAGTAGGCGCGTATCTCGTGATTATTTATCTCTAAGGGACCCAAGTCCGACAGGATTTAGACACCGCTATACTCTGACTCACGTCGTAAAGCTCACCAACTTACACAGAAAGCAGCAACTCTGTGCTACCTCTCATTAACAGGAGGAAGAAAGAAAGAAAGAAAGAAGACCTCGGAAAGCAAGGCATCAAATAACAAAGATGCATAATCAAAGCACAATGAGGCTAAGAATCGTGCCATTCTCTGATGTGCGGAGCGCCATAACATCTTCCACGGCATATGATCCTCAGAGCCAGTTCAACACATACGAACACAGCATTAGCGAGCTAACAGCAGCAGTCCCTGATTTCGACCATCGCGCGAGGTGGGAAAGAGAGCAACCATGGCTGCGATTGAGACCATGGCTAGATCTCATTCTTGAATCGCAGCGCATCGACCCAGGCAAAGCTCACCAAATCAAGCTTCCTGGATGGTATTGCGATGATCTGGTCAGAGCTGGAGCCACGTGGGACATGTCCCGTCGTATCAGCGCTGATGTTTGGGAGGACCTGAGGGATAGCTTCCCGGAACGGACAGCGTCTGGACATGCCGTGGAGGCTCTCTTTACATCTACAGACCACGTTCCCACGAAGTACTTTGTGAGACTGGATGCTTGCTCACTCAAGGATGCAGAGATATTGCCATCAGGAAAGGACACTGACGCTGGTCGTCCAATGGGCAATGCAGCTCTGACAAGTGCATCTGAACTCTGGCAACACATCTTGACATCTGTCAGAGGCTGTCGCGGCATGAAGGAGGCTAGAATTGCAGAAGAAGATGTTTATATCTATTTGCTGCCATGGCGAGAAGATGTGGTACAAGGTACAGAGTTTCGTGTCTTCTGCCCACCACATGAGGGCCGTATCGCAGCGATAAGTCAGTATGTGTGGCATAAACCGCTGCACGCCTTCACTTCCCATAGTTCTGGACTAGAGACATGGTGCGATCAAGTTTTGAAGGGCATCGAAGACGTCCACGAAAGGATCTCGAACTCGGAAGCATCCACTTCAGCCATGCGAGATGCTGGTTACAGCTTCGATGTGCTTGTCTTTGGCGGCGAGGCAGCCAAAAATACTTCGCATCAGAACCTTGGCGACAAGCACCCGCTTGTGCACAGATCTATGGATGTGCAGTTGGTCGAGCTCAATAGTTTCGGTGCGACTACTGGGTGTGGAAGCTGCCTTTTTCACTGGATTCGCAACGCAGAAGTGCTCTATGGCAAGCAGGGAGAAGTCGAATTCCGTTTAGCTTTGGTACGGGATACCCACAGTACAATCGGTAATAGGTAAACGTGTGTCCAGAAGTAATTTGCCACCCTCCTTGTCGCCATTGCATCAATGCCTGGTGCGCGGAAATCCCCGTCCTGCCAAGTTACCAAGAAGCCTTGATGGATTGGCAGACTTCGTGGCCCGCACCTGCGAATGTTGAGCACCAACATCTGCAATATAGTAACCTAACTATTCAACAAAGGCGTGGCTTGTGCGGACATTCTTTACGATTGACAGGAAATCGCAGAAATATGGGTGGACTTTGCTCCACGTTCCTCAGTAGTCTGCGAATGGACATGGTCCACCACTTCATATCGGGATAAAGAGGCCTAGACCAAGATCTTGGCTCGCGGTTGTCACTTCACTATCTTGCTGGGCCTACGATATGTGTCCCTTCAGCAGCTCGATTGTCCAATGATTTGGAGCAATGCCATCATGCCTAGCATACTTGCAGTAGTCAAAATGGCGCGAGATGAATCCGAGATCGTGTAGATGAGATATCTTCATCCGTCTCTTCTTCGCTTTGCTTCTTGTTTCACGACGACATCCTGGTCATCGTTCGTCAGTAGCACTCTAGCAACATGGCGGATTCGAAGGACCTGAACATCGGACAAGGCGAACCCGTCCATCGACAGCCTTATGGAGAAAAGCACATCAACGTTCTTGGTGGCAAGGGGGACGCAGACAGTACAAGCCACGACCCGCCGCCGCCACCACCACTGTATAACGATGACGCCGAACGGCATGGATCAGTCGCCATCACTGGTATCCGAGACAATACCCATCGCAAGTTGAAGCCCAGACACATTCAACTCATCGGCATTGGCGGCACGATTGGCACGGCGTTGTATGTTCAGATCGGTCGGGGTCTCCTCCAAGGTGGTCCTGGTAGCTTGTTTCTCGCTTTCACAATATGGTCAGTGGCTGTTGTGATTGAGCGCACTGACGTTCCACTTACATAATACAGGTGCTCCTTCATCCTGGCCGTGACGCTCTGCCAAGCCGAGATGGTCAGCTACCTGCCCATAAGTAGCCCTTTCATCCGCTTTGCAGGCCGTTACGTGGACGAAGCGTTCGGGTTTGCCGCAGGCTGGAACTTCTTCATCTTCAAAGCTATTTTGGTGAGCCTTGATGAATCTGAGATTTGTGGTATTCTCTAAGACATCTGCTAATCCTTGGTAGGTACCATTCGAAATCACAGCCTGCAATGTTATCATACATTACTGGAGTGATGTCGTCCCTCCCGGCGGTATCATCGCTATCGTGATCGTGCTATATGGCCTCATCAACGTGCTGGCCGTGAAGTGGTATGGCGAGTCCGAGTTTTGGGCCGCACTAGGAAAGGTTCTGCTGATCATCGCTCTGATCTTCTACACCTTCATTACTATGCTCGGCGCCAATCCACTCGGTGACCGATATGGCTTTCGCTACTGGAATAACCCTGGCTCTTTCGCCGAGCTATACTACGACGGCAGTCTTGGTCGCTTTCTCGGCTTTCTGCAGTGCTTGATACAGGCCAGCTTTACTATCGCTGGTCCGGACTACGTCTCCATGTCTGCTGGCGAGGCAGAGAATCCTCGAGTCGTCATGCCAAAAGCATACAACGCTGTCTTCTACAGACTTACGACCTTCTTCATCCTCGGAGCTCTATGTGTCGGCATCAACGTGCCATACAATGACCCAGAGTTGTCAGCCGCGTTTGAAAACGGCGAGCCTGGAGCCGCTGCATCTCCATATGTTGTGTCAATGAACAGGTTGCGGATCCAAGTCTTGCCGGACATTGTCAATGCTCTGGTGCTCACGGCTGCTGTATGTGTTCCCAGAGCACCTTGTCATCCCAGAGCGACCGTACTTGTAAGCTGACCAGCCATCGTGCCAATAGTTCTCAGCTGGCAACAGCTACGTCTACTGTGCCTCTCGAAGTCTCTTCGGCTTGGCGCTGGAAGGTAAGGCTCCTAAGTTCCTGACACGTACGAATCGCTCTGGTGTGCCAATATACTGCGTACTTGTCGTTCTGGCCATCGCTCTGCTCGCATTTCTGCAAGTCAGCAATGGATCGGCGACGGTGCTGGCCTGGTTCGTCAATCTGGTCACGGCCTCGCAGCTCATCAACTTCGCCTGCATGTGCGGGAGTTTCCTGTTCTGGCTCAAAGCGTGCGAAGTACAAGGTCTTGATCGCAAGTCGTTGCCGTATACAGCGAAGTGGCAGCCGTTCACGGCGTACTACGGCCTTGTCGGGTGTACCATCATGGCGTTCGTCGGTGGCTATACGGTATGTGAACTTGTCGCTTTGGTATCATGGCGCCTGCTGACCTGTCTCAGGTCTTCCTCCCGGGCAACTGGGACGTGCCTACGTTCTTGTTCAGCTACTTCATGATCGGACTCTTTCCAACACTCTTCATAACCTGGAAGCTGATCAAGAAGACCCGCCTCCGAAAATCTCATGAGGTTGACCTCAGGGGTGAAGCCGATGAGATTGATGAGTATACGAGAAACTTTGTGCAGGCGCCCTACAGGTAAGTTCTTGCAGGCTCGTCTATTCAAGTATTAGAGACTGATGTCTGCCAGGAACAAATTCGACAAATGGTTCAATGTGATCTTTGGTGGGTGATCCCAGCGATGGGTACGATGTTCATACTTCTGCAGGACTACCACAGGCAGATACCCCTACCGAAAGAACAGTCATTCAACATGCTCGCATCCTCATTCTTCGACGTTCAGGGCAGCCCTCAAAGCCATCCCAAACGCTGCCTCGACGTCGTCTTCGTGCTTCTCCTTGTGAGCGCACTTGATTCGGTTCTCCCTGTGATCAGGATGACAACTCAAGCCTCTGCAATCCTCCGATCCATCTCGGCAAAAGCGGCAGATTTCAGTTGGACCCACTTGGATGAGCTTGTGCGCTTTCATAGCCAGCCGGTCATTGTTGCGAAGATCTGCTAAACGTTTCAGAACTGGTGCACAGCTTTCGACCATGCCTTGAACATTGCTGAAAGAGCCATTCCTGGAGTTCCAATTCCAAAGATAGCTGCAGAAGGCCTCGTGGTCTATGCGCAAGCTTCTTAGCGACGCTGTGTGAAGGAGATGCTCGAGTACTGGAAGCAATTTGCACCTCGCCGTAGATCCGCATGTGGCGAGAATGATGCGTTGAAGGTAAGCCCGCATACGGTTCACGGTCTCGAGGAAGATGTGTGCGTCAGCATAAAAATTGAGACGGAAGGTGCGGTCGCCGTAGATAGCAGATGCAACCTCGCCGTGTAACTGCTTGTTCACACCCATGATCGACAACTCGCTTGGCATTTGACCGACCCACTTCCCATTGGTGCTGTCCCACTTCATGTCCTTGTGCCTCGCTTTGTCGCGAAAACTTGCCATCACCGCACGTTTGCGCTCGTGTGCGGGTTTGTGCGTGGTGATGTGTATCGTGCTCGAGCCATCGAGAAGCAGGTCATAGACCATCTTACGAAGCTCAGGTGGTAGCTCCATAAACGGAAAGTGTTGAGCGACCTTGACCGGGGCGAGCAACAGGACATGTTGGCCTTTGAGTTTTCCCTCACTGATCAGGAGCTTAAGTTTGCTGTCAGTCGAGTTCCGTGGGCTTTGAAAGGCAACCTACCGGCTTGAGAGTGAAGGCCTCACTGTGGTTGACTTCCAGAGTCTGCGTGAATCCACGAGCTGACACGTTCCACTGGGATTCTGTTTCACTCAACGTGCCCCCTGAAGGAAGCTTGCTGCTCGTGTGCCATGCTTCGAACTTGACGACGTCCGCCGAGGGTGCGGCGAGACCCCCACACTCTGTTGCTTCTTCGTCTTGTGGGCGCGTCGGTATCTTGGCTGCGGCTGTCGCCCTAATCTTCACGCTGTCAGTCTGGGCTACTTTCTAGTCAGGAAGGGGGCGGCAGGCTGGGTACCTTTTTGGCCTTTGGTGGCATGGCCGTGCGCTTTCTGCGGTGATTCGCCGCAGTGGATGCTTGTGTGACGACGATGTATAGTTGTAAGATCCAGGTTTAATGTTAAGGTTGTCTTTAAACTCTAGGCAACCGAGAATGACACGCTAGTGCACACTTAGCGTGTCACCAAAACGGAAGGAACGATCAGAGACCGTGCATTGGGCAGATGCAAGGAGCCGATGTCGTTCACTGTCAGTACATGAACTCTAGTCTAGTCTACACGAGCCGATTCTTCGGAACTCCACGCACGCAGTCATCATCATCTCAGCGGCATTGGCTGGGCTGGCTTCATGCGTCCTCAATACCCGCCAGACGAGCAAGAGCGGCTCGAAACTTTACTCTAATATCTTCGTCGTGCGCTTCGCTTTGGTTGCACTTCATCGTTACCTTCCACGTGTTGTCCCTTGTACAATACAACCCTTGGCAACCGTCAACTTCGTCGCGCTGACAGTCCGCGCACTTGCGAACAGAAGTAAGCTGAATGAGGTCTAGAGCTTGCACTGCAGCTCCGGACGCTGTGCGTACTTTGTGCATCTTCTTGACATATGGTGCGCAGGCTTGAGCGAATTCTGGGCTTGGATTGTGCGCCTTTGTCCGAAACTCCTGATGCTCCGCGCAGATAACGCCGTGCGGTATCGTAATACTCCTGAGGTTGTCCGACTCGATGAGGTGCTTGAACGTTGCACGTACCCTCGTACCATAAATCCTCCAGCCTGAGCTGATCGAGATGTGCTTCAGGTAGTTCTTGAATCTGCCTATAGCCTCCACAAAAAGATCTGCATCGGTGCTGTCATTGAGATCAAAGTGACGTCCGTAGATTGCCGCTGCTGCTTCATCGCGTATGTGCTTGTTGGTGCGCAAGATGGAGAGGTCACTTGGCTTTTGACCAATCCATTTCCCTTCAGCGGCGTCCCACTTGAGCTTGTCACGGCGGTGCTGCTTGGCATTCGTGAAGCCTTGGGTGACCGGGCGGCGCGGCTTGTGAGGTGGTTTGTGCGACACGATCGAGATTGTACTGTCACCTCCCAGCAATAGATCGTAGATCATCGCACGTAGCTCTGGTGGTAAGTCCAGGAAAGGAAAGTACTCTGTGTTCTGCACGGGCGACAAGACAAGCACCCTTTGACCTTTGTATCTACCCTCGGACACGACGAACTAGCATGACGATTAGCGACCATGTCGTGGGTGGAGCGAGATACGGATGAGTGGTATCTTACTGGCTTCAATGCAAAGGGTTCATTGTGTTGCACCTCGATGGTCTGAGTGAAAGTGTTTGCTAAGACATTCCACTGCGCATGGACGTCTCCCAACTTGCCACTCGTAGTCAGCTTGCTACCAGTCTTCCACGGCATTAGCTTGATAGCATCGATGTTGTCGTGTGTTAGAGGAGTTAACTCATCCTCGGCTTGCTTCTTGATCTTGGCAGCAGCCGCCTCCTTGACCTGAACGCTGTCAGTTGTGGTGGAGAAGACCAATGCGTGAACATCACATACCTTCCTAGCCTTGTTTGGCATGGCGGTAGTTGAGCCGACGACCGATGTAACGATGCGATACCTGAAAATCGTGGTCGTTGACCAGAGGTTGTAGTTGCGCAGTCTCAAAGCCCGAAGTCGAGTTATGTACGCGCCCCAGGCAACAGGGCAAAGCGCGCTAGTCGCGAGTGCACAGGCAGTGTGTCTCGAAAGCGGAAGGAGCTACTGAGCACATACCACCGCATGTTTGTGATACCTAGCTTGTGAATTTGTTTCTGAAAGGTGAGTATATCAGCTTAGGTCTATCTGAACAGATAGATACGGCATGAAGCCGCGGGTAGTAAAGGTGCCTGGACTGCGGCATACCAATGGCGAAGCGTCAGTTGAAGAGCACAAACATGGTTGAGATACAAGCTTGTGATAGCGCAATGCCGCAAGATCAAACACAACTCTTCACTCTTCACTCTTCACTCTTAAACCAAGCTGTGAACAATGTCTCTCCATCGACGACCCGTCTAATATTCCAATATGAATGAGTTGTTATTCTAGACCGCTGTGGTCGAAGACCTTACAAGCTCCTTGGATCCATCGAATGCAACAATCTGAATAGACGGCAGGCCAGTCGATATCTCGAAAGCAGTCTCGAAGCCTTTCTTGTCGAAGAAGTACCCAGTATCCACACAATCGCCACTTCCGTTCGATTGAGCGAAAATGCCATAAGTCGTGACATCGGTAGCGCCTTTCCAGCTAACATAGCCAGTCTTTTCGTATGAGCCTGAAAAGCTGCCGCTGCCATAGCCTGGAGCAGTATAATTTCCACCGGTAGTTGCATTGGCGCCCACGGCAGCGATGACCAGATCAATTGGTGCACAAGGTGTAGCGTGCCAGTCGAACTTGAAGGATCGGTAGGATGAGGCGGTATAGTTCTCGTACGCGAAATGAGCAGTATACTTGAGATTAGACGAACTTCCAGATCTCAAATTAAACTCCTTGACGATTGGAAAGACACCGTAGCCAAGGAAAGCGGTGTCATTGTGGATAAGCTGGTAGGAGCCTTCTGCTAGTGCTGGGAGCGGCTGAGCAGGGTCAAGAATGTAGGCGTAGGGCTGGAGTGATTTCTTGCTGTTGTTGGCTGGCATATCGAGGATCAGAGTGATGCCTGTGGATGGGTTCTTGGTCGAGAAGTCACCATTGTAATCGTTGAAGACTGTGTATAGGACTTTGTCGCTTGAGGCTTCGCTGTGAAGGCGAGCATCGTGCTGCCATGACTATACGAGAGCTCGTTAGCATGTTGGCAACACACGATTGGAGCTAGTTGCCCTACAAAGTTGTACCCCTGAGGCAGACTTCCAAAGTTACCGCCAGTCTCACCGTTGAGTTCCCACTCGATGTGACCTTGCTTATTGATGTAGTAAGAAGACTACGTCTGGCGTGAATCGATCAGGTATCCATCATTGAAGGCCTGGATGGCGTTCGTATCGAACCAGTCGAAGGGGTCGGATGAGCTGGAGCCAGCGCCAGATGCAAGAGGCTGTGAAGCGTTAGTCAGTACTCGCCGTGGACTACAAGGTAAGATGAGTCTCCTTGCAACTCACCTCGTGAGTAGCACTGATCGGTACATGGTCCAAAGGATTCCATACGAATAGCGCTTTGCTTGTCTCAATATCCACCTCCACAAACAAAGAGTTCGTGATCCACCCGTCCTGCGGTCCCCCGGCCGATGTCAGATCGGCCTGTGTAAGGTTATAGACGGTCACTAGCATGATATTGCCCTTCTTGATATACGACTCGTGGACGTCGCAGACACAGGTCGAAGTCGTGCCAGGGGAGAACTGGATATTGAGATCCGTCGCGGTGGGGCACACTGTCTGAATGACTTCGTACTGAAAGTTGTAGATCTGAACCTGACCATAGCCGTGTGAGGCACCTCCAGCTGCGGCAGCAGATCCATCGCCTGTCCAGGTAGTGATCACAGGATTGTTGTTGTAAGTCTGCTTACGAAAATTGCTTGTAGCACCTTTAGGGCCAGCCCAGACGAGATCGCCATCCGAAGACATGATGACAGCGCCTTGCCAGTTCTCACCAGTTCCCAGAAGATTAGATAGTGTCAAGAAGAGCGATCCGGGAGCGATGGCTTGGCCACTGCGCTCAATGACGAATTTCGGCGAGGTTGCGTTGGTGGTCATGTATTTCCTGTATGGCCGTACACCACTGGTACTGTTGACGAGGGTGTACGACTCTGTCGAGGCCAGATGCTGTTGCTGATCGCGTCGCATCAAGCCGTGCTCCGCGACAGGATGAGCGAAGATGCCAAAGGAGAAAGAGAGGACTGTCAACTTCAGGAATTTGGTGCAAGGCATGGTGATTGTGATGTTTTTGTACATTGTGAGAGATTAGGCTTAGGATGATTGTGATACTTCCCTCTACACGCCGAGTACATGGCGTCTTATATACACCGTAGACCGTGGTGTCCTTCGACTGTGCACAAAGACCATGAGATTGCGCTGAGATCGTCAGGACTGGAGGGCTGTGTTGTGCGGTGTCAACCGGGCACTGCTGTCGCGGTTCACTCGGGCCATCGTCTGCAGGACGCTATCCTTGGTTGGCCATGGTAGAAGTCGAAGTGCGTATGTCAGGAAGGAGAAGCTGAAGTTCGCGGCGAAAACGAAGTAGTATTATTGTCGATCATCCACGCATGCACGGACAACGCTCAGGGAAACTATGCCTAATCGGGTTGTCTTCATGACGAAATCCCCAAAGGTTGAAGGTCGAAACGGATCCGACGCAGTGGTGTGCGCATACCAAACCCGAAATGCAGTCAAGCCACGCATGACATGGGCGAGTGCTCTTTCTCTGAAGCTGTGCCGTTCGATAGTCAAGGAACCGTGATCAGATGTCTTTGATCGATGTTTCCGGAAGAGTAGCATTTCCTATTGTCAAAGCTCACAACTGTCCTGCCCGCGATGGCTATTATCAACGGCGTCATATGCGCCATAGTCGTACAAGTCTAAGTGTCTCTCATCTATTCCTACAACAGATCGAAACCCAGCAAACCCACCGCGCCAGCACGCGTGCATGCATACATGCCCACGATCCCGAAACGCCTAAAACGCCACGCCAAATCGCAGTCGACAAACACTCATATCCTCGCCTTACTCCCCCTCCTCTGTCCAAACACCGAGCGGGGACTCCCAGGAGCCTGAGCACCAACCGGCATCACCTCCCTCAACTTCTCCTTCCCAATTCCAAGATTGACCTCACAGACCCTCTGCCAAAGCCCCTGCACAGCCCGTTGCAGCTCAGGTCCCATCTCCCTGTTCATCAACCCCACAGCCAGCGGCGCAAAAACACTAACATGTTTCCCGAACTCTTCGTCCTCGAACGTCGTATACCCCTCTAGTAACTCGACGACAACAGGTCGCCAGGTAACGAGGTTCCTCTGCTGGGTCTCCTCATCCAACGCAACATAGGAGGCCACGATGTCGCAGCAAAGCGGTATCAACGCCTTCTCTGTCTCAGGCCGACTAGCGACCCTCTCGTCCCCATTGTCTTTGTACATGCGCAGTAAGATACCAACGTAAACACTCGCACTGCCACTCTCTTGCTTGAGTAGATTGGGCGGCTGCTTCATGAATCCTTCCCTGAACAATCGTGTCCGAAGATCCCGATCCTCATTGAAGCGTTTTGCGAAGTGGTAACTCTTCTTCAGCAGCGCCATGAGTCGTAGTAGCAGATGCGACGGAATAGAGGCGTACACAGCATCGTTATTAAAGAGCTCGGAGACCGTCTCGATCATAAGAAGCTGAAGCACACACTTCGTGATGATCTGATTGAAGTACCTGCGGCGTGCTGCTGTGACGGGGATAGGTGCTTGCTGCTGGGCGAGCGGTTGAGAGAAGTCTTCGAGACCTGGTTTGGCTGGGGGTGAGATGTCGCCTTCCGCGTCCGGGTCGGACAGGGACAGTGATGTGGAGGTTTCGGTCCGGATAGTTGCGGGCCTGCTGTCGCCATTGGTCGTCGGATGACTCTCGCTCGATGTATCGGACAAGCCATTGATGCGCAGAGCATTGGTAGAATCCTCTTGTCCGTTGGTCGAAGGTGTATCGGTGCCATTGACGCCTTCCACCTTGTATGAACTCCCAGCCGTAGCAGCCGAAAACAGCTCCCTCGCTTCCGTCCTCGCGAAGAGATCGACGAAAGCGCCAACTATCTGATCCCAGTGTCCCGGATTGAACTTGGTGACATTCTGCAAGATCAGCTGCTGTAGGCAATTACTGCCAATCCGTGCCAACGTATCATTCTCCTGACAAATACAAAGAGCCAGCAGGTCCAGGAACCGATCGAGCATATACTCCATACTCTCAAAGAAATGCGTGAACAACGTGATCATATTCCTCAGAGCCTGAATCAGCGTAGTGGACAACCAAACAGTAAGCTCCTCATGATTCGCCGCCTCCTGATTGATCGCCTTACGGTCCTTGAGAACCATGAAGATAGGGTAGAGTAGTTGTCGCCACAGCGTATCCCAGAAGTCCCGTGGAAAATCGCCACCATACTTCGTCAGGGTATCGAAAAGGTAGTTGAGCGCCCGCGACCTGACTTCCAGATCCTCACCAGTCATGAGCACATCATGAAAAGCAAACAGCACAGGGAACCAATACTGCTCCTCCTGACTCTGGCGCGAAGGCTGCTTCCGCAAGCTCTCAGCCAGCGGCGCATCCATCGCCCTACCCTTCCCCTGCCCCTCAGCCGCAATCGGATGCGAACTAAGAGGACACTCCGGCGTCCTCAGCATCTTCGGCACACTCGCCCTGATCGTCTCGATAGCCTGCAGACTCTTCTTCTGAAACCTTTGGTTCTTCGAGAACTGCGTCAGACAAACCATCAGGTCCGTGAAAGCACCTTGAGATATCACAACCCCAAAGCGTTCATTATAGACTTGTGTGACGTTGTCGTAGGCCAGACTGACAATACTCTCGTACGGCTCCCGAGCAGCAACGGTGAAGACACCGAACATGGTCCGCCAGCCAGACCGGATCATATCGCCTCGCGCCTGGATCATCTGGATGAGACAGCGGAGCACCATATCCTTGACCGCGACTTGCTGAGCATTACTCAAAATCAGCTCGAAAGGCTTGAGGAAATCCTTCTGGAATTTGAAACCAGGCAGCTCCTCGATCTCCATGAATCGCATACTCAGTTGTCGCAGACTGTTCAGTGCAAAGTACACGACAGTAGTATTGTTATGGCAACCGACATCGATGAAGTGCTGGCCCAGGACCTCCCAGATCTTGGTCCATTCGAAGCGGACGCGGAGCATATTATAGCCGCTGATCTCGACGAGCTTCTGCAGACTGTACGTCCGTGGACTGTCGGAAAGACCAGACGATTGAATCTCCTGCCAGCTGACTTGTGTCAAGGCGCGGACGAAATGCACGATGGCTTCACCAGACAAGTTGGCCGTATTAGTGAAGATCTTGTCGACCACACGAACCATATCCGCATTTTGAGCCTCGGCCGCGATCTCAGTCTGATAAGCACCACTAGGCGGTGCGCGTGATGCCGGTCGTCGAGGCAGCTGGACGCTCTTCCTGCCGGCACCGTTCGCCTGTGGTGTGGAGGCCCGTAGCATATCCGGTACAGCGCCAGCCTCGACGCCAGAACTAATAAGCTGGAAACGATCGAGCTGCGATATGCACGTGAGAATATCTCGCCAGCTCTCCTTCAACAGGTTGCCTTCGGTCCAGGCAATCCCCAGCAAGACTTTAAGCGCCTCGACATTCTTGACCTTCATCTCCGAGATGTTATAGAGACTCGTACTCTGCGCCAAACTCTGCACGAATGCTCGTCGCGGGTCCTCGAGGTCGAAAAGACAAGCGATCCGGATAGCCAGTTTCTGCCCTTCCATACACAGCTGAATCGTGTGAATATTTTGCGTCTCTTGCGCCGAGCCCGAAAGAGCAGTCAAGAAGCTCATCCACGTCACCTCGAACATCGGCCCAACATGTTTGAACGAGCTGGCGGTCAAGTACCTGCTCCTGGATGCCGTAGCGCCCGTAGCACTCGCACTCCGCTTCTGCGCTCTCAAAAGATTCTTGAAAAGCTGCTCGGTGCGATTACTCATCTCGTCACTCGCCTGCGCATAAGCTTCGCGCTGTAAATCGCGTCCAACATTTGCCAGCGCATTCACGATCCCGCCACCAGCAGGCTGAGCCGCCAGACCCAAGTTCGCCGCTACTTCCTGCTCGTCTTTAAGGACAATCTCATTTGACTGGATCTCGTCGTAGATGCCACGTAGGTACTCCTCAGGCAAGCTCTGACCATCGTTGATCCCGCGATTGTTCTTGAAGAAGTCCTCTGGAGTCATGCGTTGCTTGACTTGCGCCGAATGCTGATCGGTGTTGAGCATGACGACGGAGTAGGCGAGAACGTAAGCTGTGTCTGCGTTGGCGAAAGCGGCCGGGTTGCCTAGACAGTACCGTTCGGCGAACTTCAGCATGAGCCGATCAATTTTCTGTGCTTCACCTGGCAAACGGAAAGATTGTAGGAAATGTCGTAACGCATCCACGAATCGAGTCTTGGTAAAGTCCATCAGGTCGACAAAGGCGTGCATGATCTTGATGTTATCTTCGTCGCCTTCGCCCAGAAACTCACCAAGTGACTTCTTGTTGATGCGGTCGTTGTTCAGCATGAAGCGAGCAATGTCTAGTGGATCGTCGGATGGGATGAACTTGTCGGATATGAGCAGCTTGATACCCTTCTTCGGCTTGAAGTTGAACTGCCGCACCGCGTTGTTTAGTGCAGTCTTGCGTTGCTTCACCTTCTCGAGCTCTGCAGGATCGTCCTCGGCCATTGGGGTTGCGACTTCGCTGGCAGGCATGCCGTCCAGAGAACCTTTACCATTCGTTTCACCACGGGTATCCATGCTTTCTCGCAACTCATCCACAGATTGTCGTCCATCGGTCTCCGCAAGCATTGTGCTAGTTGCACTCTCCGTGACTCCTTGTTGTGCCCAATTGACCATGCTCCGCAGAGTTTCGACTAAAGCTTCTAGACTAGCCATCTTGAGCGCGTACTCTGGTGGAAAGTCCTGATATATTCGCTCTGCTTCGCTAGCTGCCGAGTTCCCCATGTTTGAGGTCGCCAGACTAGGAGGAAGAGTACCTCTGTCGCGCCAGTCATTAAGACTCGCATTCTGTGATGCCACCTTGTCCACATATGCTTGCTGCTGTGCCGCAGAGACCGGTACAGGTTGGCCGGCTACTCTCGAAGTGTGCTCAATCATCCGCTGATAGATGTTGTCCATTCCTCTCCCGCAATCGTAATTCAGGTAGACCTCCACCAACGCTCGTGCATCACCAGCTAATCGTCCAAAGATATGCTGGATGATGTATGTCTTCTGCCAGCCAGGCGCCACTCGCTTTTCTAAGATCGGAAAGTAGATCTCCCGGAAGCACACTTCAATCTCCATCTTCAACGTCGATCGCAGATACCGCACCATCAACTGGAAGATCTCGGCGCTTACTTCGAAGACACGGTGTGCACTGCTGCTGGCATTTCGCGCCAGGACTGGCAAGAGATATTGCTTGACTGCTTGGGTGAAGGGCGTGGGTGCACTTGATGCATTCCTGATCGTGGAGTGAGGCGATGTAAAGACAGTCGGATGGTTGAAGAGGAGTGTATGTATAATGTGCAGGCTGAGGAGCTTACTTCGCATGCCTTGACTCTTGTTGTCCACGGCGTCCTCCGGTCGCAAAGATTTGGTTGAAAGCTTGCACATGGCACGGAAGACCAGATAGGCGTCCTTCGCATAGATCTCATCTTCCTCGTCGTCCTCGGATAGCACTTCGCTGCCTTCGCCATGCACCATTATTGACGGGATATCTTGACCAGGAGCTGCTCGTGATACTTGTCGGCTATGCAGATCCCGTCGCGCTCGGCTTACAGTCGTCGGGGCAGAATCAGTGATGGTCGCATCGTCAAACGACTTCTGTGTCTCGAACGCTGCCAGTGTCATCTTCGGTTGTTGGGGATCAACTGGCGTTTCCGGTTCCGCTATTGTAGTTGTATCGTCTCCAGCACCATGAGTCGGCGAGTCTACACCTCCGTTCATCTGTACAACTTCCGAGGACTCATTGCCAGTCGCCAAACTATTCTTTGAAGAATTGACTCTCCGCACTTTCGAAGCCAACCGCACCTTAACCCGATCAAAAACTGTGTTCACCATCTGTGTCAAAGTTCCTTGCGCGATCTGCTGGTTTGCACTACTCTTGCTCAACAAGAAGATGTTGTACGTCTGCCTGACACTCTTAAGCAGGCCTGCGCCATGCACAACAATCTTGTCGTTCAGAATAGCCGCGAGCAAGCTCTTGATGATCTGCATCTGCACCTCGGCTGGGGTGGCCTCGCCTTGAAAGCAATCACATATTGTGTCTATCGCGCGGTCGATGAGTGGAGGTTTCTGCTGTTGGTCCTCTGTAGGATGCAGTGGCGCGGAGAAGTAGGAGTAGCTGATCAGCTTGCCGATGCAGTCCAGCGCGGTAGTGACGACTGACACAGTTGAGGCATCTGTCGCGAGGTTCAGAGGCTCGAACATAATCTCCGGGTCGATTTGAGAGGCGTCTCCTGAGGCACTCCTTATTGCAGACAGCGCTCGCTGAGTGGAGTCCTGCAAAGGCTTCTTCTTCCTAGCATCTTTCGAAGCCGCAATACTCTCCAGAGCGGTAACAACAAAGACCATGCTTGACCGCGTGCTTCGAGCAGACGTGCGTGTGCCGGTGGTTGCGGTAGTGGACTGAGAGTCTGTTCGTTGCCGAGATGTAGGAGGGACACTAGTCGTGGGCGTGTTCGTGGCGGATGGCGCTGACATGTTCGTCGATGGCTCTGAGGGAGCAGTAGGTGAGTCGTCACCGTTTCTCTCTTGATGCGCAGCTTCCGACTTCACCACATCGTCCTTGGGTGGTGTAGGCGGCTTCTCTCCTGATTCGTCCTCGGCAGCATGTGCTTCAGAGCCATGTTGCTCCTCTGCCTCTGCTACTGCTAATCTCGCCGTAAGCTCCTCAGCATTACTGCCTGCCTCACCATCACGCTCTTCTAAATTATGTGCGGCGGCCATATTTCCTCCTGGCGGCTCCGGCTGCAGCTGTCGCTCGTCCTCGTCGGCCATTCCAGCACTTGGGAGACCTAACACATGAAGACAAAGACCGCGTTCTCCAGCTCTTACACTATATCACGGGCCTCTCGTCGAAGCCAGATTGTGGTGACGGTAGTGAATTCCAAGTCAACTAGTTGTCATCAGGCAGTGATATGGAAATTGATTTAGGTTTCAATGAAACACGCGCAAACCCGGACCAAAAGCGGTAATGGCTCGGATCGCAACTGTCTTCCGAGCGGAATAACCATCCCACGCTATGGCCCTATTCGGACCTACTACACTCGGGATTGCTCGTGAGATGCGATGCGGCGCCCGAGCTTCTTCTCAACCACGAAAATAGTTCACCTGCAGTCCGGAGGGGAGAGAGTCAGGCCAGGCATTGTTGACGGCTTCATCTCACTCGATTCCATCTTGCCTGTTCATCTGCCAATACACATTATCACACATCTCACCCAGTCCCTCATTTGAAGCGTTGGAGTTGTGTTACTGGGGAGCTTGCGCAGGGTTGCTTCAGGGAGTCTCATAACAACAATTCACAATGTCAGCTGCGGCGGTGCTCGCGAGAGCTTCGATGAGGGGGGTAAGCGTCAAGGGTGCGCTCGGTGGGTTCAGGACACAGACTGCTGCTGCGTGAGTTGATCATCAATGCTATAGCAAGCTTCGTGATATACCATACTGACCTTGTCGTCGCAGGCGGAGAATACCAGCGCTGTCAGCCCTCGCCCGCTACTATGCCGCCAAATGTATGTCTGACCACTAGAAAGCATCACGTGCAAGCTCTAATAACATGATACAGCATACCCTTCGCACACAGTCATCTCCATGCCCGCCCTCTCACCTACGATGACCGCGGGAAATATCGGCGCATGGAACAAGCAGCCCGGCGACTCCCTTGCCCCGGGTGAGGTATTGGTCGAGATCGAGACGGACAAGGCACAGATGGACTTCGAGTTCCAGGAAGATGGTGTCTTGGCCAAGATCTTGAAGGAGAGTGGTGAGAAGGATGTTCCAGTTGGCAATGTGAGTACACCCGGTGAAGAAGACAGCTTGAAAGTGCAGGCGGAAGTGCTAGGAGACGGGCACAGGACTAACTCTGCTTGCAGCCCATCGCCGTCATGGTCGAAGATGCCTCCGACGTCGAGGCCTTCGCAGACTTCAGCTTGGAGGACGCAGGAGGTGACAAGGCCAAGCCGGCAGAGGACAAGAAGGGCGGCCAAGAAGAGTCTATGGCATCCGAGCCACCATCATCTGGATCCAACACTGCACCGGCAGCAAAGTCGGACTCGGCGCCCGCCTCACAAGAAACCGAGTCGGAGTCCTCCGGCGAGCGATTACAACCCACCATCAGCCGATGGAAAGGTCCACAAGCCGCTCAAGCCCCTGCTGCAGCAGCAGCTCCAGCAGCGCCCGCATCGGGCGCCGCACCAACCTACGAAGACATCCCGGCCTCTAGCATGCGCAAGACAATCGCCGCCCGCCTCACCCAATCCATGAACGAAAACCCACACTACTTCGTTGCCTCCGCCGTCTCCGTAACCAAACTCATGAAACTCCGCGCCGCCCTCAACGCCTCCGCAGACGGCAAATACAAGCTCTCCGTCAACGATTTCCTCATCAAAGCCGTCGCCGTGGCAGCCAAAAAGGTCCCAGCAGCCAACAGCTCATGGCGTGAGGTAAACGGCCAAGTCGTGATCCGCCAACACAACGTCGTAGACGTCTCCGTCGCCGTCGCCACCCCAATCGGTCTCATGACCCCCATCGTCAAAAACGTCACCGGATCCGGCCTCGAGAGCATCAGTGGCGCGATTAAAGACCTCGGCAAACGAGCCCGCGACGGTAAACTCAAGCCCGAGGAGTACCAAGGCGGCACCATCACCATCTCCAACATGGGCATGAATGACGCCATCGATCGCTTCACGGCTGTTATCAACCCGCCACAAGCTACGATCGTGGCCGTGGGCGCGGTGAAGAAGGTGGCGATTCCGAAGGAGGGGATGGATGGGGAGGTCGAGGGGATCGAGTGGGACGACCAGATCGTACTGACTGGGTCTTTCGACCACAAGGTCGTTGATGGGGCGGTGGGAGGGGAGTTCATGAGGGAGTTGAAGAAGGTGGTTGAGAACCCGCTGAACATGGCACTATGAGCGAAAGAGTAGCGAGGTGGGCTGTTCAGGATTTGAGGAGGTGGGGGGAAAGAATGATTCGTGTACAGTCGAGCGCGCTTTTGTGAGTGGGCTTGCTTCTCTGCTGCGCTTGTTTCTGGGCCATTTTCCTGCTGAGCGCAGGCGGATGTACGGCGAGCATGGGCGCTCGAGTGTGCTATAGTGCTTGCTTGCTTACTTGCTTGTGTATCAAAAACAGTAGTCCTCTCATCTCCACTTCCCTGTGGCACTCTGGCTGGTCTTGGCCTTCAAGATATAATCATGAACATGACAATCATGCAGATTTCTTTCTCTTAACACACTGGGACGAGCTCGAGAACTGGAGTTAGACTGATCTCTGGCACCCATCCTCCTATCCGCCACCGATCTGCTACAATCGCTGATCTTCGTCCATCTGGCTCTTGGACACTCAGCTCTCCTTGGTGACGTCCGCGATGTTACGTCTACTGCAGTGAAGTAATGGAAGACCTCCTCTACGTGGTGGGGAGTTACTAGCGGGAGACCTCAAGTCATGTCTTCCCACGCTGGCCCTGTCCTCCGGCGAAGCAGCACCTAGTAACCATAGTATCTGCTCAGTTACTGTACGCAGTAGTTAAGTCTGATGTACTTCGCTGCGAGGTACGATGCTCAACTGACTTACCCCTTTCACCAAACATCTCTCCGAACAGCTCTCTCTCTCTCTCTCTCTCTCTTCTCCTGGTGAGCGTATCGTGAACGATCAATCGGTCTGAAGCAGATCGAATCGAAGCCAATCGAAGCTGACGACAATACCGACCCCCAACGATCTCACCAGCCCCCTATCTATGCCCAGATACTCAATCCATTCGCAGACAAGAGACTTCAACGTAAGCAGTCAGCATAGCCGTCTATAACACCTTTCCGACACTAACCTCAGACCAGCCCCCTTTCCATATGGGGCCAGGACTATCGACGGGGAGACACCACATGTATCTCCCTCCCCAGTGTATTGGAAATCGACCTATGAGATTTAGTGCCTTTGAGCCGACTTATGAGGATGCTTACTCCCAGTCTAGTGGGTCCTTCCTTCCGATAGATTCGGCATGTTGTCTTTTACTAATGGACGGGAATAGTGTTTAATCCTGGAGGCGGTCGGTCCTTTATGGCTGATTATGCGAGGTTTGGGGGGATGTATAGGAATGGGGGACAGAGGAGCAGGTTATCTGCTATGTGGTAGTCTTGTTGGTTGGGTTTAAGGCTCCAGACTGGCGCTTGGGAACAGGAATGACCGTCGGGACTGAACACGATTGGATACTGTTGCCTCACTGCTACGGATCGTGATGATTTCGTCTCATGGTTTGTGACAGTGCCACCGAAGGGACTTGAACACGATGCTGGCTGCTGATGATTGAGACAAGCATTCGCCAGGTGATGTCGGATCGATTCATGGATCCAGAATTGCTGTCAAGCCAGTACAACACATCACTGATGGCCTCGTTCTTGTTGCTGAATCCAGCTTTGGGAAAGATGTCTTGCCCGGCTTAAGATCAATGTTGCCAGCAATAAGCGCTGGACACTCGTCATTCATGAGCGTCGGATATGTTGCACCAGAGCTGTGTGAGACGATGTTGCTAGGCGGCTCGATCGTGCTCAGGAGCTTGCGTCCTGCAGCCTGTATTAATTTCCCCCCCATGATGTATGGCTCACTGCCCATGGGATGGAAGGATGTGTTCTGGAGCGACTTAGTTGTTTACAGTGCTTGCCACAAGCGAAGTAGTCTTCACGGGGCATATTGAAATCTGTTCCAGAGACGAGCTTCCATACGAGATAAAGTCGACGACGTCTGTGGGATACGAGGCCCATCCTTTGCGTTTGTTGGTAGCTTTCTTACGGCCGGTTACTATGCATGATACCTGGAAAGGAAATCCTTGCAGGCGGCCTGAACTGAAACTCCTCCCTGCTTCATGGTAATAGACAGCTAGTAATCCTATAAACCATTGGCTGATCTCTGAATGTCGCGAACCCGTCGTCGACATCGTTCCTGGCGCGGCTGCCGACCGTGCTCTTTCGGTTGGACGACAATTACGACAAGCTCTGGTTAGTGTTATACAGACCTACATGTATCCAAAAAACTGATCTGTTGTCCATACGGGCTTGAGTCTCAAACTTGACGGTGGGGCTTGAGCTGGCAGCGAATAGGGAGCTTTCCTTTAGACTTGCAGCGAATAGGAAAGCTTTCCTGTACGCAGCTGAGAAGACGGCATCCCCAACGAGTTCACCTCACGGCAAGGCTTCCCACCGCCTTGTTCCCTCGAACAATATATAATGCCATCCTCGTGGTTGCCCACCGTCCGTAAGATGTGTTTGATCGTGTGTATGAAATTTTTATCATGGCTTCCTCAAGGTCAGCAGCTCCAGCAGCTGCAGCGATCGCAACTCCATCGCAGACACCGCTTCCGCTCTCGTCACTGGAGCCTCATTCCAATGTGAACCAAGAACGACCGCGCAAGCTATCGCAGAAGGACGATGCTGTGCCGATGCTGGATACCAACGGCGACGTCTTCCAGGTCCCAGATTACACGATTGGAGACATCCGCAAAGCCATTCCACCAGAATGCTTTGAACGAAGTGCACTGCGTGGACTGGGCTACATCGCCAGGGACATCACTCTTCTTTCGACCACATTCTGGCTCTTCCACCGTTTCAACACACCGGAGAATGTGCCGTCAGTAATTGCTCGTGGGCTTCTTTGGTCAGTATACGGCTTTTTGAATGGCTTGTTTGGCACCGGTCTATGGGTCATGGGTCATGAATGTGGTCATCAATCACTGTCTTCTTCGAAAGTTCTCAATGATACCATCGGTTTCGTCGTGCATTCGTTATTGTTGGTGCCCTACTTCTCTTGGAAGATCTCCCACGGGAAACACCACAAAGCAACCGGGCATATGGAACGAGACATGGTATTTGTGCCACGCACCCGCCCAGAGTTCGCCAAACGTGTCGGCATCGCGATTGAGAATTTGTCTGAGGTCGTGGAGGACGCTCCCTTGTACTCGTTCTTCATGATTTTCGCCAGGCAGCTCCTTGGATGGCCCCTCTATCTTCTGGCAAATCGAACGGGTCATAATTACCACAAAAGACAACCAGAGGGACGTGGAAAGAAGAAAACGAATGGGTTTGGCGGCGGGGTGAATCATTTCAGCCCTAGCAGTCCCATCTACGAAGCCAAAGACGCCAAATGGATTGTTGTCAGCGACATTGGTGTCCTCGCAACGCTCGCAGGCCTATATTCGATTGGAAGCACGTTTGGCTGGTCCAATCTTGCCGTTTGGTATTTTCTGCCCTATTTGTGGGTCAATCACTGGCTAGGTATGTGACTGTTTTGTCCTTCCAGGATGACTCCTGTCATGTCTTGTTCACTAACGTCCCGCAGTCGCGATCACATATCTCCAGCATACCGACGCCACCCTTCCACACTACGACTCCCAAGCATGGACGTACGTTCGGGGAGCTGCAGCGACGATCGACCGCGACCTAGGGTTTATCGGTAGGCATCTATTCCACGGCATTGCCGAGACTCATGTGCTACACCACTATGTCTCCGTCATACCCTTCTACAATGCCGACAAGGCGAGCGAAGCCATCATGCCTGTCATGGGCCGTCACTACCGCTCGAACACGAAAGGTGGGCCTCTGGGGTTTGTGAAGGCACTTTACACAAACTTCAGAGAATGTCAGTGGGTGGAGCCAAGTGAAGGTGTCGGAGGAGATATGCGTCACATACTTTTCTATCGGAACAAGAATGGGATCGGCATCAGGCCTGCAGCACTACTTACTTAGGTACATAAAGTAACAGACGTTGCGCTGTTGATTCAAGCGCTATTCCGGTACAGGAAGCCCATAGACATAGAGACGGTTATTTCGCCGGTGTTATTAGATTCAAACACAATCTGCAAGATGTTTAAATCAGCAGTTACCATTGTTATGTGAAGATAACTTGCAGAAAACATTTCGTCTAGCCTTAATCATAGTTTTTGAAGACTGAAGATCACGTTTGTGCACGTTACCGCCGCTCTCAGCATGTTGCACGAGCCTGGCGAGCATGACATTGCCTATCAAGCATTGGTACCAAATGCAATGTTATCGTTTCGCAGACTACTAGATATCGAACGGACGTCGTGACATTATCAGTTGCGAGGTGAGTTACTTTGCGATCAAACCCAGTCAGTGCTTGATGTACTTTCCCTCCTCACAAATCGTCAATGTTCATGGTCAATTCTAACATGAAGTAGATTCATCAGGCACGACTTCGAATCAAATCACATTTCTATAGTCTAGTCGTACATATGCTTCTTGATATCCTTGATCTTGTTGTAGACTTGCTCCCTCGATGCGTTCCTTTCAAACAATGTATGAGGCGTAATGTAATCGTAGCCTTGGCCTCTCCTTTGCTTGACCATGCTCTTCAGCACCGCGTCCATAGAATGAACATCTTTCAACCAGGGGGCTAACAGACCATTTTCAGGAGGGAGGCCTTGTTCCTCTTGGCGGACGAATGACAGGAGTGAAGCAGCAAGCCCAGCAGCGATTGGCGTTGCTACTGAAGTCCCCGATAAGATGTTGGTATTGTCATGATGGTCTTTGATACCCGGTGGCCAATGCGAACGCACAGATTGCCCGAGAAGACTGAAATTCACGTCTTTGTCGTCGGCAGTCGGATTGAATGAAGACGGGTTCCCATTCCCGTCAGTTGAATGTATGCAGAATACACTGGGATACTTGGCCGGGAAGGCGCGGCCAAAGTTTGCTCCATCATTTGATGCTGCAGCAAACATGAGTGTTCCTTTGGACAGTGCATTGACTATTGCATCTTTCATAGGCTCGTGATATTCACGAATGCCAAACGACATGGTGATGATGTCGACGTTCCATTCCGTGACTGCGTGGTTGATCGCCTGCAGAGGCTGTTAGCTCATCATCGTTTTCATTGCGTCAATGCGATAGTAAGACGTACCTGTGTGATGGCATCGTAGCTGCCACGACCCAGCGTCTCCTGGTTTGCGACTCTTGCGACGTAGATCTCGGCGCATGTGGCAAATTTGAGGAGGAGACCAAGAGTATGAGTGCCATGCCCTATCTTATCTTGCATATCTGACGACCGCGTTCCAGGTACAAAGCTTCGAACGTCCTGAATCCTTGGGATGTCTTTCTCGATGTGCGGGCTTGCAGGATTGAATCCAGAATCCAAGATTGCTATCCGTACTGGCTCTGATGTCCTGGACCCATGTCGTCCTCTGATCGGTTGCACAGCATTGTTGAATGGGTCAACATGGCGATTGATCGAGGACAAAACATCGTTCATCCACTTGTCCGAAAGAGCGGTGCTAGAGGATATTTAATAGAGCAAGTATTTGCATGAGAAGGAGAATGACTTACTCGAGTTCAGAGACTGTGTGATAAGTCGCATCAAAAAGGTATAGGCTCTGAGCGGATGGTTCCACGAGCGCCGGTGAGTGACCTCGACTTTGGGGCACGACGGGCATTTGCAGATGTATGGCCTGATTCTGCAAAGAATCGCCTGGATTCGTCCTAGGAGCTTGATGTAAAGGGACGACGGGTTCTGATCTGCTTCTAACAGGCTCGTGCTTGCTTGCTGGAGCGTGGACAACTTCTCGGCCGATTGGACCCCAGCAGAATTCATTCGTTCGTGGGTCCAGGGAATTCAAATCCTCCGAGCGAAGATGCCATGCTCTAAACAGCTCAGACTCAAGCCGTTTGATGACATTCTGGTAGAACATCCGTTGAACAATGGCAGATTCAAAACTCTTGTCCGGCTCACCGACAGGGAGATATTCCCACTGCAAGCATGCTTTGGTAGCGAGATAATAATCGACACCAGCGTCGGCCTCCAGGTTTTGGAGAACTTCTAAACTGGTGTAAAAGCAAGAGTTGAGGTCTCGGGTCGCACTTGGGATATCTTGCCATGACTCTATAGGTTTGCAATAGTGAAGCTCACATAGGAGGATACCTAGCGCCAGCACACTGGCGTTCGGATGTATTATCTGTGAATTGGCCTGTTCGGTTTGGCCTCTCCCAAAGACCGGTCTGTTAGGTGAGGCGACAGACGCTTGCCGCATATCCAGAAATGGTTTGGTGATGTTGGGTAGCTCACCGTCTAGCGGCTGGAAGAATTGGATGCTTGAGTGAGTGAACGAAGGCTGCACCCACGGCGTCTCCAAGAACGGAAGTAACGCTGTGGAAAGTACGACTGCCAAGATTCGTTTGCCTTTAAGGGGGAGGACCGACGCACCACCGACCAGTGACGATTGACGTTCGAAAAGAGTCGACAAAGATATTGTCCGAGACATTGGGAAGTCGCCAAAGGTTTTGGGTTGCGGGCGAAGCCTTTTAAACAAGCCGTTCTCAAAAAGAAGACTCAAACAAAGTCGTTGATCCAATGACTCTGTGATACTTTGACAAATGTGCACGAACTCGGACAAGACAGCGGGTGAAAGTTGAGTACTCGTGGTCTTGTCGTTGTTTACGTCTCTAACAAGGGTGAGTCAGCAACCTCTCATCTCATCAATGTCTCGAACTCGTACTTGACCGTTATCTTAGCTTCCTGCAGTGAGTGCTTCTCAATCGGATCTTGCACACCAAAGAATACGTCGAAGCATGTCTCTCCTTTCGAGCTCGTCCTCCGTTGGGGCAATGAGAGTCTTACGCTAAGGCCCGAGCACTTGTGACACACGCACATCCAATGGTTCTGCAGTCCCTGATGCAACGACATTGAGCGTTTCCTCAGCTCGATAGCTTCCTCTGCATCGGGCTCGAATGTGTCATCGTCCATGACAGGGTCCTCGCGCACCACAACCCGACGCTTCTTTGCCTCGTTATCCAAGTCTTCAAGCGCTTCCATGGCATCGTCGCTTTCTCGTTTGCGTTTACTGATGCGGATGGTCGGGCGTGAATTAGTGTCTGCATTGTACACCGCCCGTCGGAGATTCGAATATGGCAACTTCTTGTGTATCGTCTGCTCCAGCCATGTATCAGCCAGCTGGAAAGGGCGAGGCTGAAAGAAGAGATGTTGCTAGAAAAAGACATTACTCACGGGTTCTGCTTCTCGGCTGTGCTCAGGTTCAAGGAGATTGTCCAACGCTCTCAGTGCTCTCTTGACCTGTTCAGGGTCCCTCCCGCCAGCTCCATTGTCTTCATGTTGGAGAAATGCGTCGGCTCGCATCCAGGCGTCAGTCGCTTGGGATTGCACCGAAGTTGACGGTATTGATCTTTCTGGCCCTCTTCGAGCGAAAAGTCCGAGGAAGCTCTGCAATAAACCTTGATTCTCCTCATGATCCATGGCTGCAACGTCCGGGACTTGCGGACGTGAAAAGGATGCAGATACTCAGATCTTCAATCCAAACACCGTCGCCACAAGGCTGAAGTTCGACGCGGCCTGCTTGCGGGGCACGAACTGCCTGTCAGTCATCGAATCTCCTTCGACATCGAGTTAGAATGCGCAAGGTTCTTGAGGTGAGCTTGAGAGCTCTGCCGAGGGGAGGTGTTCATTCGGACATAATGGTGATGTGAAAGTCGATTCCTCGAGGCTTGCCAGACTGTCCCGCTCAGCTCCATAGATGGTGTGGAGGTCCATAGCAATCCCGTAGTGACTTGCTTTTGATCCACACGGGCCATCGACCGTAGACGATAGGTCCGGCCCTCTGCGCCTTTTTGGCCCCCATGGGGGTCGTGTCGCGGCAAAATTCAGGAAATAAGCCACCGGTGAAGCGATCGGCAAACAGCTCAAAATAGTCGGACTAGAGCTGAGGGATCTCTCTACAGCTTCATTATTCAAAGCCTCTTTTACTATAAGGACAAGTTTGACAAAGATTCGATAAGTTTGGAAGTGTTTGAGGCCGAGAGCTTGGAGACCACCCATCTTGACAGGGCGTACGAGTCGGCTGGTTCATCCTAGAGCGTTCTTCAGGCTGGAGGTCGTCGAAAATGATTGCCGCCCAAAGCTGAAGGAGTGCTGAAGCGAACCGGGTGCGTTGTCCGTGACACGTCGGTGAGGCTCGAGCGGGCGCTTGAGGCGTTCACATGTTCATTATTGATTCATCACATTTACAATCCCTGGTTTCTTTTTCCTCAACTTGTCCTTGAACCCAACATGCCTCCCGACGTGTCTGTCCCCATCTCACCCGCCTATTGACTTACACAGCCGCTATACCACGGCTGCTATCTTCAAGGCACCTGACACACACGTAGTGAGCTCAATGTCCGAATCGAATCTCAAGAAACGACGCCCGCAAGCCTCCGGTACAGGCACCGTGGATTCGGGCACCATGGAAGGGCACAGCGTCCGTTCCCTAAGACGGCCTAAACTCATGACCTACGAGGAGATCCAAGAGTGGTCGCGGGATAACGAATTCATCCGTACTGGCTATCGGCCAGAAAAGCCCGATTATATGGACATCCTCCTCAGCCTGACGTACGTGCACAACGAGACTTGCAATATATATACCCACTTGATTGGCGCGATACTGGTATGGCCTGTCGCATACATCTACATGCGGATCCTGCCCGAGCCCCAGTACGACAACGTCCTACCGGCAGATTATGTCATGTTCATCATCTTCTTCTTCTCTTGCGAGTTTTGTCTGCTCTCCAGCGCTATCTACCACCTGATGCAACCCCACTCGCATGAGGTGGAACAATTTTGGCATCGAATGGACCTGACCGGGATTGCCGTCATTATTGCGGGCACATTCATTGCGGCCATCTACTACTTCTTCATCTGCCAACCAACCTTCCAAATTATACACTGGGTCGTTGTAAGTCGGTTTGAACGATCGATCCCGCGATATGCTGACATGTGCTCCAGACCACCGTCTCGGGCTCGGCTTGCGTTGCTCTGATCTCGATCCCGAAGTTCAGAACACTGCGCTGGCGCACTCTGAGAGTGGTCGCCTTCTTCCTGTTCGGCCTGTCAGCCTTCGTTCCCCTACTGCATGGAGTCGGCCTGCACGGGTCCGACTACATGTTCAATTACATGGGAATGAAGTGGTACTTGATAGAGCTGTCTTTGTACGCCCTTGGAACACTCATCTACGCAGTAAGTAGGCTCGTTGACTGCCACTTCTGAAGGGACATGCGAGCTGACCAATGATTGCAGACTCGGCCTCCTGAGCGGTTCGCTCCGGGCAAGTTCGACATAATCGGCACTTCACATCAAATCTTTCATTGCCTCATCTTGGCAGCCATGTGGGTCAACTGCCTGGCTCTTACACAGAGTTTCAAATCGGTTCATACATTAGATTTATGTCACCGCTAGTTTACTCTCGCAACACGAGAGCTCGTAATAACGAAAAGCCCTCACTCTGTCTGCTACGAGATAATGGGAGCTCACATGTGGGCTTCATGAATGCGCTTCATGAACGCCAGCTGAACGCCACGCCTTCCATGACCAATAGTAACTCTTCCTTGGATGGAGACTGTTTCTCGTGGTCGTTACTGGAAAAGACGAGCGGCCCATCGTCGACCTGAGAGACTGGTTACCTGACCTTGGAGATGTTGTCAAGCATGTGGCCTGGATATGGATCATGGCATCTGTATTGCCGTTCTAGTGCGAGATTTTGAGGGTGCAGTCATAAAATTCAAATCGTCTCTGTCATTCGACAACTCGCTGAATAGTAGTTTTGATTGTGTAATACGAGCCCGCTCTTGGTCTAGTCATTGAAGTCGAGCCGGATTATTAAACAATAAGATGTCCCTCCGTTAAAGAAGCAATCCCACCTGATGCAGATGTGGCAATGTGGACGGAGGAGGAGGCAAATAATGGAAATAGCTGTCAGGCTAGGTGTTGACCCCCACACTGTGCACGTGGTGTGGCGTGGCACACAAAGTAGCCTGGTCGATGATAACCCAGCCAGATAGAATGTCTCGAACCTTCATGTCGACAAAGACGTACACTACACGCTGTTTCTGGCCAACTCGCGAGGTTCCTTGAATATAAGGAATTGCCGTTCCATCTCCATCTGGCTACACTCCAAGCATGCGTCTTCTCAAAGCTAGACGTGACGGCGGTTTCAGCCTGACTATGTTCCCTGTTAATCCTCCCCCTTACGCCATCCTTTCACATACCTGGGAGACGGATGATCAGGAAGTCAAACTTAAAGACATAGACAATCGGGTGGGAATCCACAAAACTGGCTATAAGAAGATTGAATTTTGTGCGAGACAAGCTCAGAACGATCAGATAGAGTACTTCTGGGTCGATAGTTGTTGCATCGACCAATCCAGCAGTGCAGAGTTGTCAACTGCAATCAACTCAATGTATCGCTGGTACCAGAACTCGGTCAAATGCTACGTCTACATGGCTGATGTCTCGACATCCTCATCCTCAGAACAAGAATTGAGTTTCCTTCATAGCCGATGGTTCACCCGAGGATGGACACTTCAGGAGCTCATCGCCCCCAAGAGAATAGAGTTCTTCTCCAAGGACGGCATGTACTTGGGCGATAGACGGCAGCTCGAAAACCGCATCCAAGAGATCACAGGTATCTCTAATCGAATCCTTCGAGGACATCCACCGGCCCAAGTAGGCGTCGAGGAGCGGTTGTCATGGATAGCGAATCGGGATACTAAGTACTGCGAGGATATAGTGTATTCTGTTCTTGGCATTTTCGGTATCCACATGCTACCTATGTATGGTGAAGGGGCAGTACATGGATTCCGGCGGCTTGGGGAGGAGATTGAGAAGTCTCCCACCCTTGCGCACCCACGTAGGTCTACCTGCTGTAGCTTGGAGGTACTGAAAGCTGATCCATCAGGCTAGCTCGAACAGAAAAGGACCAACAATGTCTGAACGCGTTACATGCCATGTCACTATCTTATGCTGCCGCAAATGGGTTGAAAGTCGTGGTCGATCAGTTGCTTAGAGATGATAGAACCGAGGTCAACTTACCAGATCGATCGGGTCGAACACCGCTATCGTGGGCGGCCGGGAATGGTCATAAAGCTATTGTGAAGCAGCTACTTGACAACGGCCAGGCCGAACTCTCCTCAAGAGATTTACAATACGGCAAGACACCACTGCTGTGGGCCGCCGAGGACGGACATGTGGCGGTCGTCGAGCAACTGCTCAACGCCTCCGCGGATCAGCGTGGCCAGAAGCCGCTATCCTGGGCCGCTGAGAACGGTTATGAAGCCGTCGTAAAGCAGCTGCTCAAGACAGATAACGTTGATATCAACGAGGCAAATACTGAGCTCGGTCGGAATCCGCTGTCTTGGGCCGCAGGAAATGGCTACGCTGATATAGTCAGAGAGCTTCTCAACACAGGCAAGGCGACCGTGGACAGCCAGGACAGTATCCTTGGCCGTACTCCGCTGGCGTGGGCTGCCGCAAATGGGCATACATTTGCGGTGGAGCAACTGCTCAGCACAGGCAAGGCTAATGTACACTTGGCGGACAATTACGGCCAGTCACCTCTGTCGTTGGCCGCAGCGAACGGACAGACGTGCGTGTTCAAGCCATTGCTTGAGGCCGGAGCCGATGTGAGTTCGAAGGACTGGTTCGGTCAGACCCCGATTATGTGGGCTGCTCGAAGTGGGCAGCAAGCAGCGACTCAGACGTTGCTGGACACAAGTGGCACTATTGTTGAAGGCCAGGATAAGTATCGCCGGACACCACTGTCATGGGCGGCCGCAAACGGGCATGACGCCGTCGTAAAGCTGTTGCTCGAGGCAGGAGCCGATGTCAAATCTTCCGATGTCAACAATCGGACGCCGCTTTTGTGGGCTGCCAGGCAGGGGCACGAGGCTGTCGTAAAGCTACTACTCCACGCCAATGCTGATATCGAGTCGAAGGATAGGTGGGATCAGACGCCGTTACTGTCCGCCGCAGCAAGTAGGCATGAGGCCATTGTCAAACTACTTCTCGAGGCCAATTCCAATGTAGAGTCGAAGGATAAAAGAAGCCTTACACCTCTGTCGTTTGCCGCTGCTAGCGGGCATGAGCCCGCTGTCAAGCTCCTTCTCGGAGCCGGGGCCGCCGTCGAAAGCAGAGGGTCTCACAACAGGACGCCACTCCTGTTGGCCGTCGCGAGCGGGCATGAGAAAGTGGTAAGGTTACTACTGGAGGCCGGGGCCGATGCTGGCGTGGAGGATGCCGATGGTCAGACGCCGATAGAAGTGGCCGATAAGCATGGGTACAAAGCCATTGCGTCGCTGTTGTCTTCTAGAAAATATGGTAAAGACTGGAGATCGAGTCTCAAAGACAGGACAACCACAAAACGTAACTTCGAGAGTTACCGGGCATGTGAGATAGCCTGCAGTGAAGACACCTCATAGTTCAACATTTCGCAATTGGAATAGAGTCGGTCCTAACCGTTCTTCGTATGTGCTGACTTGGCCTTGAACCCCAAGGCTTTCAACCTATCCTCCAACTTCCGATATACTTCAGTGTTGTGAGGCCGTCCAACAGGTTCCTATGTGGCTGTGTTCCGTGGCATGACCTTCTACTGGGCGCAGCAGCAGCAGCAGCAGCAGCATTTTGTCGTAACGCTGCTCAACAGGAGCGATGCTCCATTCGTGCGTGCCATCGAGCCTACTAAGCATAAGAGCTCCCATGCGAGTATCCTCAGACCTGGCCGGGCGCGTCGCAGGGACACCATCTCTTTGATACACAGTATGAGCGGCACAAGACGAGGCTCTCTGTCCCGCGTGAGAGGTAATGCTGTTCAGCCTGGGCACCTGTCCACACCGGACGTTGCAGACATTGTCCGCATGCAGATGGGGTGACCAGGGTACACATCAGTGACTCTTGTGTGTAGACTGTGACTATCGTGCCCGGTAGTGTCTGGGCTCCATCGTCGCGTCCTGCGTTGCTGTGTCATGGCTGAACGGCTGCCACTGCATTTGGGGAACATGTCATGTTGAGTACCTGGTTCGCAGAGGCTGTCTTTGCGACTCTACAGGTGCCTAGTTGACGATACGAGGAAACGCACGATGGCCTGTAGACAGTGCCACGGCCACTGGCAGATATTTTGTATGCCGTTGTGGTGAATGGAAGTTGCCCATTTCGGTATTGCCTAGGCTACGGAGTACTATTGCTCTAGATGGCCGTTCCATGGTTCTAACGCGCGCACGTGGCCGCTGGTCATGTCCGTAAATGCGCCTCTATCACAACCGAACCTACTGTGCCAAGGATTATGAGACGTGGGATGCGACTCTCTCCCAAAACATCGCCTCTGAATGAGCCAATCGACTGGCGTAGCACTCTACCTGTCTTGATATACCGAAGATTTCGTCCGGACGGCCACAAAGCACACCTTCGTGACCCTCGGAAGCAATCAGGACTGCCACCGGCCGCACTTGTTGCCTTCAGCCTTGTCTTTTTGTCCTGTCGTAATGGCACTCTCTGCTCTCAAAGAGCTGGACGCCGGCGAGGATCTCTTCCTCCAAGACAGTCCTGGCCCGACGGTTGCTGAACACGCAACGAAGTGCAGTCGTCTCTTTGCGGATTACATGGCCAGGCCGGAAATTGCGCGAGATCCGACTTTGATAGATGATCAGATGGCACGCTTCAAGCTATGGGCTTCGAATATGGATGTATTTGGACCTTCCAATGTCTCGTTGGATTACAGGCTCAGATACAGTCCAACAGTCGTGCGGATCATCCATCAACTATTGGACGTCATCTGCAGTTCTCTAGAATCTCGTAAGTGATTACGGCAAAGACTGCACCTACGAATGCATAAGTCTAACCGAGCTTTACAACGACAGTCAAGCCAGTCGACAATGCATCACGGCCTCCAAGCAGGAAGCTTCGACGTATTTCCACAGCAGGAAGAGCGGACAGAAGACCTGACGAGGAGTCTAGCGATTCAGACGATGGTGAGGATCAAGCACAAAGAAATGATCATCTAATCACATTTACTATTGGAGGCACAGTGACTAGGCTTTTGCGTTTGTCGAATGCCGTTCGCAAATCTGCTCAGGCTTCGAGGAGGTATAAGATAGAGGAGTACACAGCAGACGAAGAAGCGACCAAGGCCATCGCCGAATTGCGTCTCTACACGGATTGCTACATTCGCTTCCGATTTCCTAATATACCAGGACCTCTCTGCTCGACATTGGTTGAGGCCAACGCATTACGGCTCCGGCGGTTGTATTACCAGAGGTCACACCGAAGGCGCATTGCTTTGAGTGTTCAGCGTCCACAGGTAGACCCCAAAAAGATCATTACGCTACCCAAGATGGCGGAAAGCCGTCCGGCCGTACATTTCGCCCCAACTTTCCAAGCAAAGCTAGGCGCCATTGGCGACAGGACGACGAACGCAACCAGTGTTCCTGCAGCGCCCTTGACATACGCCACTACTGCTCGACAGACGACTGCCCGAGCTTTGTACGCTGACTCTGCGGTGGGCACTGCTCGGGCCAAGTCCGTGATGGTAAACAATAAGTTATTCTTTCCTCCAATACCACCGACAGACGAGTGCCCTTACTGTGGCGTCATCATCGAGTTCAAGGGTGGCACAAAAGCCATAATTTGGAAGTAAGAACATCTTTCCTGTCCCGATTTGGAGTAACATGAATTCTGATTGATTTCAGCGACCATGTCGTCAGAGACTTGGAGCCCTTTGTTTGTATATTTGCCAGCTGTACTCAGTCGAGCCAACAAGCACCCAGCTCAACGACATTTGAAACATCGAAAACCTGGATGAATCATATGCAAAACGCGCATGGGTATGCATGGGAGTGCAGAGCTCCTTCGCACGGCGCAGTCCTGTTCGAAGAAGAGAGCGGCTTCCAGGAACACTCTCGTAAGGAACATGGTGTCCCTGAAGCCCATGTAGGAGTTCTCAGTGGTGCAGCTCGGAGACCGGTCGTCAAGAAGATCCAGGAATGTCCTTTTGGGGACGATATCGAAGTGGAGCAAAACCCCGACTCAAACACTATCTTCTCAAATGAGGCTCTTCACCTACACGTTGCCGCTCACATGAAAGAGATCGCATTGCTGGCATTGCAAAAGTTACCTAACGATGAGGACGCGGAGGACGTGGCTAGCGATGCACCAGCGGAAGAACTTGGACCCGCAAGGAGGCGCGAATCCATGTACAGTATACTGGACGATGAAGAACTAGACTACAATACGGAAGCTGGTGATGGCGTTCCGAATGTCGCGGAAGACGCCATCAGCCTCTCTGTAAACAAACTCAATCTTGAGGACAGAGACGCCGCTGGACTCACACTGCTCCATCGAGCAGTGCAGGACAACAACTTGACCTTGGTCAAGTCGCTTGTGGAGCAAGGCGCAAGTTTACGCATCAGAGACAATCACGGAAGAATCGCATTGCATTACGCTTCTCTAAATCCGGACAAAGGCGTGGACATGATGCAACTGCTGTTGAGTTCCGAGCACGCGGAGATCATGAGTTTCGTAGATGACAATGGCCAGACGCCGTTGCATTACGCTGCCAAGAAAGACTTCATCGATGGGATACAACTATTGGTGGAGAGCGGAGCCTTCATCGACCTTCCTGACCAGCATGAGTATTCTCCATATCTATGGGCGGTCATTTCTGGGCAGTACAAAGCAACTGAAATGCTACTATCGCTTGGTGTTGACGTCAATTCCGCCAGCACGCATAGAAAGTCAGCATTGGCTTGGGCGGCGAACATGGGCCGCTCAGAAATAGCTGAGTTGCTTGTGACGAGTGGCGCAGACGCCATGCTTATGAATGGGAACACGCAATCGATACCATTGGAAGAGGCAGCAGCTTCTGGCGACTTGACTACGGTACAATTGCTGCTCCAATCCAGCGCAGATCCGAATTATCGCGATCGCGACGGATGGTCAGCCATACACTGGGCGGCCGAGGAGGGCTACTACGAAATCGTGTCTCTACTGTTGAAGCACGGGGCTAGTGTAAATGGGATCAGTTCGTATGGTACTTCACCATTACATTGTGCTGCAAATGGAGGACACAATGAGATTGTGAACGAGCTTCTTCACTATGGAGCCAATTCCCTCATGGCAACGGTTCATGGCTGGACGCCATTACACCATGCCGCCTTCATGGGCCACTCTCATGTTGTACGGTCCCTCTTGGACAGTGACGAGCGGGTTTCTAGCTCCCTCCAGGACACTCATGGCTGGACAGCACTCCACCTGGCAGTCCATATGAGACATTTGGCCACTGTCAGAGTTTTACTTGCCAACCCTACCATCTCACAGTCTCGCCTTCAAAGCGATGGGAGAGGTCTCACTGCGGAGGAGTGGCTAGATCTTGGGATGAACAGCCAATATTACAAGATCATCAGCAAGCTATCTTTCGGCAACTCACGTTGTTGCAGGGCGGTCACAAGATTACGGCAAGCTGCTTGTGAGGGCAACACTATGATAATCGAGCTTCTCTTGGAACAAGGAGATTCTGTCTACGACACCAATTCTGGACGAAGGACTGCACTCTACCACGCTGCAAAGAAAGGTCACAATCAGATATTGGATGTACTTTTGAGGGATGGTGCGGATCCCAACTTCCTTCCATCAGGACTGAAGACTTGGGAGGGAGTCATCTCTGATGACGCTACACTTCAACGACTTCGACAAGCTGGATACACAGCGACAGGTCCCGATCCAGGAATAGACGCCCAGATAAGACGCACCCTCCGAGCGCGAGATCAAAGCTACACTCAAGCTGAATCATCGATGCAGGACTTGAGGGCAGATACTCCACCTACATCTTCCCTGCATGACTCGCAGGCTGATACTCTGCGTACATCATCGATGCAGGATGTAGACGCCCCTACGCTACCTTCATCGGCGAGCCAGGGCTCTGATACCAACAACATGCGCACAGCGTCGACGCAGGATTTACAAATGACAGGACTAGAAGGAATGGAGCCCGTGCGCAAGGTAAAGTCGCCTCGTTCGCCCTTGGCCGGCTTTTGGAAACGGTTCAGAAGATGATGAGAATTCAGTACGGTATGACTAGGAGACACCCTTTCTATTCAGACTTCTATTTAGACTTTCCATATAGACTTATATGTAGAAATTGGGCTGCGCATGGCTGTCATAGAGTAGACGAATTCTTATATTCCTATCCATCCATCTGCTGCCTATTAGGGTGCTACTGAAATCCGGCCGCTTAGAACGATGAACAGAGATACCCGTCCGTACAGTAAGGGAATGGAAAATTCCCACAAGTTATTGTTGTTCTGCATTCTCATGTGCACGTTTGAAGGTTTGCGACGAGGCTCTCGGGGTTTCAAACAGTCGTCTTGTGTGAGATCGTGGGAACAAGCATTTGAGTCAGCATCCCATCCGCCCCAGCAATGGGACCAAGATGTTGCTTCATGGTTTGCTGCATCTGTACACGCACTGGTACGTCGTATTGCTTCCCAATAATGAGGCACTCCACAACCGCTTTGTATGCCCGCCTTTGAACTGGTCCTAGGTCTAGTTCTGATATCAAGATACTCATCGTTTCTGGTACCGCCTCAGCAAGCAGCCATCGGTGGGCGTTGGGGTCTTTCTGGCAGATCATGAGATATGCCGCAGGAGGCATGTTGAAAAACGCATCCTGTCCTTTCTCATTCGCACGTTCAGCAAACTGGAACAGAGCTTTTAGGTAGAGATACAAATCCGCGGAATCTTGAGCTTTGCTGTAGCGCATGAACTCATTGGCGACTGCTTGGCTTGCATCGGCAAACAATTGTTCTTCATAAGGGCTGCCGATATATCCTTCGTAGTATTCAGCGTTGAGTGTCGCATGATATTCCATTGGCTTCACCTCCTTCGTCTTGAGGACCGATACCTGCGCCGTGAAGAGGGTTTCAGTCCGAGCGATGCATTCTGCGCGTTGTCCATTCCGGATGTTTCTATCAAAATCCTTTAAGTAGTAGGAAAGTCCTTTGTGTACGTACTCCCCCGAATCTCTGCGATAGGCAGTGGACGACCACGATGCGTATATTGAAGTCAAGATATCACGACCTTCTGTCCACTGGCTTAAAGCTGACAAATAAGCGGATTCTGCGCCTATGAGAAGTCCAATAACCAGCAAGCCTTGCAGGTCTCCAGTAGAAGACATCTCATAGACATCGGCCGAGAGCCATGTCACACGCGCGAGGTTCTTTTCGCGCTTTCCGTTAATCAGCCAGTTGGCATACTTCAGATAAGCATCACCCCACTGACGCAACTTGTCTTCTTTGCTATTCTTGACGAGGTCTTGTAGCACGTGCATCACCTCCCAGCGACCAAACGAAGAATATCTCAGGTAGAAGCTCACCATGTCGAAGACAAATGGAAAATAGAAGGATACGGTCAGAGTATTGAGAATGATCGTAACGCTTCTTGAAGAATTCGCGTATCGTCTGGCAAACAGCTGTTCTTGAAGCTTCAGCAGCTGTTGAACCCGCTCGTCCACTGGTTCCTTGGGGCCTTTCAGAGAGGTTACTCCAGAAGGAAGGGGCAGTTGGTTCACCTTCGCGCCATGTTGAAGAAGTACCTTGATATTCTCCTCAGAATTTGCTTGGATAGCTCGAATCAGCGGCGTGTCGCCGTAAGTAGCCTTGCCCTCAATCCGAGCGCCCGAGTCCAGGAGCAGATCCACGACGTCCTTGTGATCTGAAGTAACGGCAATGTGTAGTGCGGTCAATCCGCTCCGATCCTTAGCATTGATCCTGGCGCCACGACTGATCAGGAATTCTGCCGCATCTTTGTGACCCCTGGTGGCGGCCCAGCAAAGCGGCGCACGGCCATAGTTGTCTTTTCGCCAGGTGAGACGGCGAGAGGCGACGTGATCGTTACCATATTGTTTGAGCAGCATTTTGGTCCAGCCTACGTTGCCGAAGTACGCAGCCAGGTGCAGGAGAGTGAACGTGGGCGCGACTCCACCGTATTTCTCCTCCTCCCAATAGAGCTCCCACCAACTTTCCCGGATTGCAGACTCTGGCAGGAAGAACGGACGTGAAAAGTGCGACTGATCCATCACCTCGAATGCATGTCGGATGTGCTCTGGCCAGTACATACACGCATAAGCCAAGAGGCTGTCATTCAGGCACGCATTGCTGATTGTGTCGGAGGGGTTATAACTCTTTTCGATGAGAGTTAGGCAGGTCTGCATAAGGACCAGATGAGTCGTCTGGTCCATGTAGAACATGTCTATTCCTTTGATGTTGACCTGCTCACTCTGGAAGAACTCCTTTGCCGATTCGTGAACGAGGTTCACAACGTTCCCTTCGAGCCTCACCAACAGTCCACAAGATGCAAGTTGATCCCTTATCACATCGCTTGGCGTCAGGCCGTCTGACGCTTTTGTCTTCGTCACCGCTGTCAATTCGTCCACTGTCAGAGGTCGGGCGGCGAGTACAACCCATTGAAGCATGGAAACCAGCCTTTCTTTGTCTTCAACTAGCTGAAGCAGCCGCTGATAGACTCCACCAAGACCCTTGGGCATTCGATGAAGGACTTCCTGTACTTGTTGCCAGCTCCTTCCCTTAAGCTCATCCGTGACAAATCCGACCCATAGAAAGGTTCCATTGGCGCCGGCCTCTAGGGCCTGCTGGACCACCAGGAGATTTTCGTCCGACAGATTTCCCTCGGCTTTTAATTCGGCGACTTCGGCAAAGATGTATCTCTCCACGTCCACCCTCGTCTCTTCCTCCGACTCATCAAGTTTGATACGACAATATCGGCCGAGCTTGTTCTCCAGAAGTACTGGTTGAGGCCGGGATAGACAAATGAGCTTCAGTTTCGGCGTTGGCGTCTCCTCGGCTTTCGAGATGTAGTCTCCGAGGGCGTCAAGGAGTTGCCTGAGAGATCTCTTTTCGCATTCGTCCAGTCCGTCTAGTACACACACTACCTGAGTAGACCCACTTCGACTTAGCATAATGAGGAACAGCCTCCACAACGAGGCAAAGCTGGAGATGGTGTATTTGGTCGTTTCGGAGCCTTCAAAGTAGGTCTTGATGTACTCTGCCAGGTGGGGTTGGAAGCTGAGCCATTGGTACAGGATGCCTCTCATGATGGTCAGCGCCGTGTTCCGATTCCGGTCGCGATTACTGATGAAGTAGTAGAGGAGAACAGCGTCTTTCGAGTCCACCATTGGCTGTAACACTTCCGAAAGATATATGGAAATCATGGTTTTCCCTTTTCCAGGGCCTCCTGAGATCCAGAGAAGTGGTGGACCACGTCCGGCCAGCCATGTTTGGTAGCTCGGATGTTGTACGACCCAGTCGCAGGTACCATCGGCTCTCCGTCCCTTCAATGCAATCAAAGAGGTTCGGTCGATTTCGGGTCTTGTTATGAGCAAAGCATCAAAAACAGGAGCCGCCAGCGCCATTGTGTCCGCTGTCCGATCTACCGTCAGGATTGCTGCCTTTGGGGCTGTTGGGATCAACAACAGAATCTCTTTTGCATATGCCGCGGCGGCAGCAGCGGCGTAGCCATGCCAGAGCTCGGAGCGATGTGAATCTGCATAGTCACAGATGCCGCGGATGATCAAGCACTGATCGGTGTCCAAGAAACTAGCCGCCTCTGTCTCAAAACAAAGTATACCGTGCTCGCGCGCCAACTGGGCAATGGTCACCTTACTGGATTTCCACGAGTCCGAGGACGCAATCAGGCCATAATACACTTTAGGGTCTTGGCTCTCCCGCGGTGGTCGACTAAGGATTCTGTTCGGGTCGCAATGATCGCATCCGTTCTCTGCGGATCCTGTGATCACATGCTCATATTCCGAGTCGTAGAGGACGTCCTCATCCGGACCTGGGGTGGCAAAGGTCGTCGGATCTGTCGATACAATATCGGAGATATAACGAGGTATCTGGCTTTCGCCAAGGATACTGTTCGTCTCGGCCTTGCCTGCTGCAGTAAGCAGCAGGTTTGATGGCTTTTTCAAAGCCTGGGTGCTGGTGAACTGATCGTCGCTGGAGGTTCGAGAATCGTACAACATGAGGCCCGGCCGGGTCGCCGTCGGTTTACTGACAACAATATCGCCCAGAGCGATACTATTCTTCGTATTTGGTGCTCCTCCTCCAATGCCGACCATCAGGCTGAAGCGGATGGATGTGAAGCTCTCAAGCATTCGTTTCGCGCTGGCCGCAACCGAGGTGCTGCCATAAACGCCAGAGGGTGGGGATGCGAGTACGACATTATGACCACCAATCCTTCCCAGGACATAGTTGTTGGTATCGTTAACATTCGCATCGAGTGGCAGGCTCGGGTGGACGTCGTCAAGCATGGCCTTGGCCGCCGCAAGCTCCACCGGGAGAGCGCAGAGCCACCCAACTGCGTAGCTATCCCGCGACGCCATCTTCGAATGAAAGTTCGTTGACCGGAACGCAGAGCACATAGAAATGAGAGCTTTGTAGCAGCTATCAAAGCATCGTGCGCAGCGCACGAGACAGCTTGGAGAGCGGCCCAGCCTGATTTAACATAATTGTTCCTCAGCCTGATCGCTTCGGGTGCGATGCGAAGCCCTGCCAGAAGTCAGGACCCCCACACATTCCCTCTCCCTCTCCAGAAGCACGTTTATCGAACAGAGGGCTGTCACAAAGATTGAGGCATTTCAAGACTTGAGTGGTGCGCAAAACACGATGAATCTCAACAAAGCGTCTGTCTGTTTGTAGTCCTCGAAGCCATTGCACTTCGTGGCGCGAGAAGTCTTCAGGGGGCTCATGGCGCGTGCGGGAGGGCACGATTCTGGGGCCAAACAGAGAGATTCGGGTCAGACAGAAAGATCACCGTTCATAGCAACTGTACGCAGGGAGTTTGTCGCTTTGCCAGTTGCAGTGCTGATAGACTTCGAGAGCGCATCATGGTCATATGTTTCCCATATGCGCCCACTCAATATACAGGACGACATCCAAATTACATAAGTCTAGGAGATCAGCCATCCCATCAACTAAAAATAATACGTGGAGATGACTCGGGGGCGTCAATGGATTGCGACACCCGGTAATCGCCAAGGCCGAATCTCGAAAGAACGAGCGGTTCAGCCTTCGATTAACAAAGATTACAGCAGCGAAACACATATGCTATGAGACTTTTCCCCAAATACCTAACCCTCTCGTTTGAAGTCATTCTAACATTTGCCCGAAAGAGTTTCAAAAAGCTGCGAATTCGCAGTCGCCGCCCAAGGGCCTACCCGAGAGCGCACGTGGTGTATTCTCACGACACTCTGAATATTGTGTGAATGACTCCGGAATAAGACAGTGCTACTGCCACCATTTCTCAACTTCCATCTTCACATACGACTACTGCATATACCTCCCTGACTATAGACGTGATTCCAGCCGGAGCAGGCGCGCATAGCTAGACTTTTATGGCTTGTTTGGTTTACGTTTGGTCGTTGCGTAATCCTGATTTCTATGAAGACTCTATGCATCCCCGTGTTTGACTGGCGATGAAGACATAGCTCAACGGTGGAGAGGCGAGATGATTAGACTGAGACATGGTTGTCATGTTATCTGATGGTTTCTATCTAAGCGATTGCCATGCTATGATGTCGCACTGTTTCGTCTTGTTTGTGTTTTCGTCAGTATGAGTAGTCAAGAGAAGCAGCCGGCAAGCGGTTTGCGAGAGTCGACTGTAGTCGGAGGTGGACAAGCCGAGCTTACATTGCAGCATCGCCTCCAAGCAGCAGTGACTCCAATCAGCACCGCCTCCAAGCAGCACCGGTATTATGTTCATGGCCTATGCCACGGGTCTGGTTGCGCGTGCTTGCTGATCGATCCAGCATCATGCTGCACCCCAATGGGGCCAGGCGTCTTGCTGGTGACAAATCTCCAGAGTACGGGTAGTCTAGTACCTCGTCTATGGCTAGCAACGCTGAATTGATGATAGCTACGGGTTTGATCTTGTCCAGCGGTGTGTCTCAGTCGCAGCGGGCTATGTCCAATCTTTGTGGCAACAATGCGGGTGGATGGTATCGGTTCTGATCGAGACCTTGCGCTTACGTGGCTGGGAGGTTACAGCTGAAGGTTATCAGGCGAGATCGCGTTCGGCGGAGAGCATGATCCAGCCCAGGTCAGTAAGCACAGATATTCCAGCCATGTGTAGATAGTCTATTGGTCCATTTGTTTGTTTCGAGGATCTGACACTCTCGAGCCGTTGCATTTGCAAGGCATTGGTCTTGTCCCCGTTGATGCGAGCACGGGCGGGCTTGCGATCGGGATGGTGTTTTCCAGAGGCTGCAATCCGTGCCTACTTCCCGCAGCCCATGCCTATCACCTCGACTTCTCGCTTGTCGAGATTGCTATAAGCTCATGCGTTATACTTAAGAGCTGGTGAAGTGTTAAAAAAGTTGCCGTATATCGCTTAGACTTTCCGCTGCAGCACACGCAATCAGCACGGGCCGTCCACTGCTAGTGTTTCTCACCACAGCCAACCATGGCACTTTCTTCCCTCTCTTCATCTCCATCGCTGACGGCGTCTCCTCGTCTTGATCTCGAAGCGCCCAATGACAATTCGCCGCTGCGTGTTTCAACAGTGCAAATCGACGCCACGAAGCTTGAATCTACGACTATGCTCCAGTATCATGGGTCTTATAGTTCGCGAGCGGTGTTCGTCGGCTGTAGGCGAGTCTGGCGCACCACTCACCTTTTGCCACGCTCGTCCAGTCGCCAGAACGCCATTGGGCACTGTTGAGATTCGGCAGTGATCATTTGCGAGTTTCTGTGCATTTGCTGGCAAAGGCGGTGGAAATGTGCGTTTCAGATTTTTGGGCTGCAGGCTCAAGCTTCTAGTAGGTGCACGCTTTCTCTCTTTAACACTGTGTACAGGGCTATCATCTCGCTGTTGTCGAGGTAAGGCATTACGCCCGACGAGGATTCGGCCATTGTCTGCTTTCCTCTTCTGTTCTCTCGCTATACCTTGCATTCTATCCTCTTCCTTGCCTTCTTGCTTCTTTTGTCTTTGCCCTTGCATTGTACCACTTCCTTCCTGTTACGCGCACCTCTGTTCCTTCAACTACATTATCTATGATACCTTGACAGTAACGGTCGATGGGCCTGTTCGTGGCCCAAGACGGCTATTACCAAGGCTGGCTGGCCACCTTGTTATGTTGCTTCGCAGCTGTTGGCGAAGACGAACACCCAGCTGAGCTGGATCGATCTCGAGGTAAGTCTTCTGACGATTGTTCTTTGACATTCGCTAAAAATTAAACAGCTGCCGCTCGCCCCGTTGTTTGTCGAACACAACCGCAAGCTGTATCGAGTCTGCCGCGTGTGCTCACCCTGCCCGCCCAGCAGCAATCTGACTATCATGAGCCTCCGTCGTCTTCCACATATCCTTCCGAGGGTCCACCATCTTTGCAACCTTTACGACTTGGTGATAGTTCCCTCCTAGGCCCACGACCTCGAAACGATGATCGCTTTGACTCCTTCGGCCACGCTGCCCGACCAAGCATTAGTGCGCCGAACGCATTTCGCCGACTCGACTTCACAGAGGGACAACGTGCAGGCCTAATCCCACTGAGGCTGGGTCCGGTAGTGCTCACACAGTCTACACCGGCGCCACGAGAGTCGTCTATCACACCCGAGGAACGAATGACGAGTGCACATCAACGCTCGGACTCGACACAGGAGCTATTGCCATCAGCCAAACGCGAAAGCTACCGCCAAAATAGAGGTACGCCCTTCCAAAGGTGCCAACGAGGAAGCGTGGTAGCTCTTGAACCTCAACAAACGCCGCTCGCGACCGAAGAGGTTCGACCGCCTACACTGGTGCTTGCAACATCTTCAGCCGGGATTGCTAGACCTCAACCTTCACGACAGTCGTCTTCTAGTACACTACGAAGATTATCGTCAGAGGGTCCATCGCCACTGGAAGGACCAGGAAAATCTACCGAGCGCAACCGGCTCAGACGGAAGCGTTCAGCACAATTGCTGCCGAAGTCCTCCTCGGACACTTTCGACTTGGGCATAGAAAAGGAAGTGCTAGAGCTGAATACCATTGTCGAGGAGAAACGAGCAGACACGTCTCGACCCAAAAGTCCAGAGCCGCAACACATAGCCGCTATTGCTCCTGGCATGCAAGTCCGTGCAAGGTCAGAGACGTTGAACGACATAGGCTCTGCGCTGGCACGACCGCTCACAGCCCGTGAGCCATCCCGCATTTTCGATCACGAAGTCATGTCTCGAACTATCACTAGACCGTCTACAGCACAAGGAGGTCCATACACGCGCAACAGCTCGAGAGTGTCGGGCTGGCTGTCAGGATTGTGGACCACGAACACCACTCCTGCCGTCGCCGGACATGAACTGTTCTACAAATGCGCACCTTCATCGCGCCCAAGACCGTGGTCTGAGGCCTCTCTGTGCAGTACAGCTACGCATATCGAGTCGCCATCCCTCACCCTCGCATCTTCGCTGACGTCGAAAACTCACAGCCGGTCTCTGACTGCCGAGTCAAGAATAACCACGCTGTCGCCACCCTCGACCGTCTATGACCACGAGATGCCGGACATAAGGAAGGACGCTGGAGTACATTGGCCCCTTGGGATCACACGAAGCCAAGTTGGATTGGCGATGTAGTAGCACGATCAACCTATTTCCTTGTTACATTGATACCCGCTGGACGAGACATGAAAAGGCGTTCAAGTTGCCTGGATGGTGCTGGCGCTGGCTGGATTGCTTCTTGTATTTGTACTTATGAAAACGTAGACTACAGTACGCGAGTAACATATAGACGGAGAACCATCGGACAACATTGCTGGTACTCACGGTATTCGCGATGTTGCACGCCTCTGATTGGCTGCCAATCCGAAGCTCTTTGAGATCATGTCGCATCAAAGATTTCAATGACCACGCAACTATCCACCCCCCATGTGACAAACTAATCAAAGACGCCGCAGATAGCTACGAGCATCGGCTATGTACGATCGATATAAAGAGGGCAAACAGCATGCGCTTCGGGTGCTCGGTTGCCCTGGTGTGACACGACCAGATGGCGTTATTTCAGGGTCGCAGCACGCATCCGCTGCTGATAAATGATGAAGCATAACATAGCCCCTTGGTCAAGATACACGCACATCCAAAGTACTAGAGGCCTAAACTTGTATAGAATGTGTGCGGTTCCATCTCTACCGCGGGCCAGCGTGACTTCACCATGACCTCAAGCAGCCCCAGGATCGACCACCGAACGCCTCTGCTCTCCAGTGCTTCGTCAATCAAGGACAGCGAAATAAGCGATGACATCGATATCGAGGATCCCACTCAGCTACACCAAGCAGTACCATCTGTCGCCGATGATGTTCTTCCTGAAGATGCTGTGCTGAGCCGCCATCTCGGCTGGTATAGCGCGTACATCCTTATCATCTCGCGAGTTATTAGAAGCGGCATATTCGCAACTCCCGGCTCAATAGTCCGTTCAGTTGGCAGTATCGGCCTGAGCCTCGTGCTCTGGATTGCGGGTGCCATCATTGCTTGGTTTGGACTTATGGTGACCCTGGAATATGGATGCATGCTGCCACGATCTGGTGGCGATAAAGTCTATCTGGAGTTTACATATCGGAGACCCAGATTCCTGGCAACGGTCCTGATCACTATATCCTCTGTAATGCTGGGCTTCACGGCCTCGAACTGCATTGTGTTCGCTGAGTATGTTCTGTTCGCAACAGGCCGAAGCGGGATCACTGCGGAAATCAAAGTTATTGCTGCGGCACTTCTGGCAGGTATAGTCATAATGCACAGCTGCTTTCTGAAGACCGGAATCGTCGTGCAGAATGCGCTAGGATACATCAAGATCGGGACCATCCTGTTCATGATCTGTGCGGGCCTTTTCGCAGCCCTTCTACACAGGAACAGCATCTTGGAAAGCACATCGATGGCAAATCACAGTGCAAAGACCACTGACCAGGGCCTATGGTTTACCTTGTGGGACGGGTCGGTCTGGAACTGGGGCGTCATCGCAACATCATTCTTCAAGGTCTTCTACTCATATGCTGGTCTGCACAACGTCAACAATGTCATGAATGAGGTTAAGGATCCTGTCCGAACGCTCAAGTCGTCGACACAGGCGGCTTTGCTAACAACATGCGTCCTTTATGCTTTCATCAACATAGCTTACTTTATGGTTGTGCCACTCGATCGGATCAAGGAGTCTGGCGAGCTGATCGCGGCACTGTTCTTTGAACAGCTCTTTGGACCACATCTTGGCAGGATCATACTTCCACTCGCAGTTGCTTTGTCCGCCGCTGGTAATGTTATGGTGGTCACGTTCAGTCATGTAAGTCAAGTATGTCTTACTGACAAGGCTGCCGCTAATGTGAGCAGGCACGTATGATACAAGAGATTGCTCGACAGGGCTTCCTACCCTTTCAAGCAACCCTAGCCTCCATCAAGCCGTTCAATGCGCCCATGGGAGCGCTGATCACGCACTTCATCCCATCTCTGCTGGTCATCACTATCCCGACTGGTGATGTCTACTCGTTCATCCTAGAAGTAGAAGGCTACCCAGCACAATTCTTTACTCTAGCAAGCTCCTTTGGGCTCCTTTGGCTACGTGCGGAGATGCCAGACCTTCGTCGGCCTTACCGTGCCTTCATTCCGGCCGTCTGGCTACGCATCGCACTCTCCTTTGCATTGCTTGCTGCTCCATTTGTCCCCCGAAGTGGCTCAACTTGGAGACAGCATCTGTCGAGCGTTAGCTATGCCTTTGTCGGCACTTCAATGTACGTACATCGCCACACTCAGGCGCTCAATGCTGATCGTGTTACAGCATCACGTTCGCAGTGCTTTATTGGTACATTCGGACCGTCTTCCTGCCTCGAAGAAATGGCTACAGGCTTGGAGAAGCGAAAGCTACGCTTAGCGATGGTACTACAGTCACTAGGCTGACCAAAGTGAAGCTTGATGTGTCTATCAATCATGCCTCCATGCTGCAGGCAGTAGATCCCAACGATGTCTGAACTTGATCTCCTCAGATTTGAGATACTGCCGTGCAGTCTATACATGTCCATTCCAGCCAGGACCATAATTATTGCCACCCGATACATACCAGCGAGCTTTTGTTGCTTGTACTCCAGACATGGCAGCATATGCGGGAGCCACTTCCACCCCAAAGGCGAGCTTCACTCCCTTGTACTTGCCGCGGGTGAGAGTTATGCAGCGATGACATTGTGCCGGCAGTCTCTAATGATTGCAGGGCTCATTTCGTGGAGTGTGGATGATATGCAATTCGGTTGGACATGGCACGATATTGCGTGCTCAATGTACATCCTACCTGACAAATGCAGATGCCTCGCCCCGCAAAGGAAGACATTACTCATTAATCAGTCGACGACGTGATATAAGAACATGACCTACATTGAGCTCCTCTAGTCAGTACAAACAACATCATTACAATCACGACTTATCATGGCCACTGCAGAAGTCCAGATAGCACCCGACAACACCTTCGGCCACAAGGTCGAACTCGATGTTCAACAGACCAAGGTGAAGAAGCACGATGTCTCGACCGAGCTGTACTATTACAAGGACGATGGACATCCTCCAGCGCCAGCTATCGTCGGGTAAGCACCTCACATCCATCATCACAAAGATACAGTATAGTGATGCATAAAGCAGCAAGCCAGAGACCTACGACAGGCCAAGTACAACCCAGCAAGTGACCGTCCATGACATCTCAGGAGAAGAGGACAAGTATACCCTCGACAGCCACGGCTTCCAGATCTACAACCACGCCAGTCAGGAGAAGGAGTTCCGGGACGACAACAAGATCAAGGCCGAGTACTATCCCGAGACCGAGCAATTGTTGAAAGACGCTACGGGCGCCGTTCGTGTCTTCATCTTTGACCATACCGTCCGTCGGCACGACGATGATCAACGCAAGGCGGGAGGCGTCCAGCTTCGAGGTCCTGTTCGTCGAGTCCATATTGACCAGTCTTACTCGGCTTCGGAACAGCGCGTGACCCACCACTTACCCGATGAGGCCGAGGAGCTGCTCAAGAAGCGCTTCCAGATTATCAACGTGAGTGGAGAATGACTACAATCCCGTATATTGCGAACTGACAATACTCCAGGTCTGGCGTCCGATCAAAACAATCTTCAAAGATCCTCTTGGCGTCGCGGACTCCCACTCCGTTCCCGACAGCGATCTAGTTGGGACAGCGTTGGTATATCCAGACAGACGAGGCGAGACGTACTCGGTGCGGCCGAATCCCAATCATCAGTGGTACTACAAGTATGGTCAGAGGCCTGACGAGGTTACCATGATCAAATGTTTCGACAATCTTGATGATGGACGGGCGAAACGAGTACCGCATACCGCCTTCATTAACCCAGAGGAGGAGGACAAGTATTCGCGGGAGAGTATTGAGGTCAGAGCGTTGGTATTTCATGACTACTAGAGTCGTATCGTAGTTTGCTCGGTAGACTTGATTTTGAGAAATCGTTCTGTCCTTGCGGTTCGATGTTTCGTGATCTCGTACACGTTTGTTGTATACTTCATTGTGATCGCCAAGTGCAAGCAGAAACTCACAAGCTGGTCACATGATCATGATCGTATTGCAATGAACCACCAAAAAACTGGCCACGGCTACGGCACGTCGGGCAATGCAAGCCAAGCGATGCAGAAGTGGGACGCGCAATCGTGAGATTCGTGCTTTGCACTTATCACTTCGCGTTCTGGTGAGCCCCACGCCCAAGAAGCGGTGAGATGAGCGCCACGTTCGTGCTTTCTTGGAGTCGCATGGCATTGGAGTCTCGGGGTGTGCTGAGTCTTCGTACACGAGTATTTCGAGATCTGTTGCATAGCTGCGTAGGCATTGTTATTAAAAGACACGGGCGAATATTCTCCGCGGTGCCTGGTCTTATGCAGAAGAACTATTGGTGGCTGGAGGTTACGTCATGGTTTGGATGCTGTTCGGGTGTGCTCATTAAATCTAGACTGGACGACAGCGCCGTGAGTTGGTGTTGCTGGAGTACGTGTCGTGTGCTTGCGACAGCTACCCTGTTCCGGAGAGGAGTGGGATTATGGTGCTGTCGTGACCATGGAAATAATAATATCGGCTCATCCTGAGCTGAACGAACCCACAGTGGGAAAGCCACGCTAAGGCCAATGTAGGAGTGTGTAACCTTCGTAAGACTCGTACTTCCCAGATCCAAGACTCGAGCCTTGCCAAGTAGTGTCGAGACAACGGCGGCGGGGCTGCTCGAGGGCAGTGTTGAAATCATTGCTAGAACTATTCGCTTCATCATATGAATACTGTGGCTTGCCCATCACGTACTCACTCAACTGCTGATCGCGAAAAGTCTCCTTTGCTTCTGCCAGAGATCACCGGTTACATCAACAGGGAGATCTGTGCGTTATCGGGGAGGACTGGGGAAACTCTATAGTACTCCACAGCCGTCACCCACCTTCGCTCTCCACATTCGCTACACGCCACTCTAACGGTATTCAGTCAGTGGGTAGTATTATGCGGAAGGCGCACATGACCAGCTAGAATCACTACGTGGCAATCACGCTTCTCGACCTTGGCCCCGACACGATCTTGATACACGTACATGCCCACCATGTTGCCCAGAAACACCACGCCTGCGGACACGATGACGCCGACCAGGCCTAAGTTGGCCTCGAGGTCTTCGTCTCGAGCGAGCTCACAGTATGTCGATACCGAAGAGCATTTCCAGCAATCAGGCCGTGCCCCAGTAAATATCGCTGCTCAGGCTTCGGCACAATCGCTTCGCGAGGCCTCACGACCATCCTCACGTGGACCCAGCCGGTCTTCCAGCCAGCCGAACCTGCTGCGCAAGAAGAATAAGAATGCACAACCAATCAGCGAGGAAGGTGACAGTGAGGTTTCTGGCGAGGGATTAATGATGCCAGCGCGGCGGCTTCACGAAGTACGCACGGCTTCACCTTTACACCAACATCCTTCAAACAGCTCGGACGACCCGTCGGACGTACGGAAGCACAGCGCTGAAGGTCCACCGAGTACGTCCAGTTCTCACGACTCCGCCGGTAGGAGTCATGCAGCGACTGCGGCAGGTGCTGCTCTGGCAGCGCAACTTGGCACACAGACGCCAATCAAACGACATTCGTTACTGCGAGATGAGATGTCACCTAACGACTCGACTCTGAGCCTAACGAGACAAACAACCCCGAGGACCGTACGGGACCTGGGGTCGGACTATACACGATACTTCAATCCTTTTGCTTCACGAAATAATTCGCAGCAAGATCTGTCTAATACTCTACCAAGATACAACTCCTCCACTCATCTGATGACGGGCGCTGGCGCTCTATCATCTACCGATCTCTCGAAACGACTATCAAACCCTTTCCAGGACTCAAAGAGGATGTCGAACCCATTCGCGAGTCGACCACATACTGCTCCCGGCACACCAATGATACAAATTACGCCTGCACCAAAGCAAATAGGCGAGGTCAGTGAGAAAGAGGCGGGTGCTGCTGCCGTGGGCATGCCGATCATGACACCGACACAAACACCAGTCAGAACTGGTACGCCAGTGTTCATACGAGAGGCGGACCCAGAAAAGGCTGGCTTCTTCCCGTACATGGACGATCGACTCGGTGCTCCCGAATATGCCTTCCCGCTATACTCGGACGAGAAAGAGGATGATGACGACCTACACATGCCTCAATGGGATGACGATAAGAGATTGAAACCACATTGGAAGGACCACTTCACCCGGGAGAATATACTGAGTACATTCGGCTTAGCATTCATGATACTAGGTCTGCTACTCATCTTCGTGATTCTACCTGTCGTATCCTACACCACCAAAGGATTACTGGATTATAATTACGAAACGCCACTCAGTCAAATGCCGAAGACTGGCCAGGCCGAACCTTGGGCGATCGTAAATGATCGAGATTATCCTCTCATGTCCAATGTGAGAACTGGTTTGATCGATCCGGATACTCCTTCTGCTGCCAAGACTAGGGTGGGCGTCAATGGCGACACGTACAAACTGGTGTTTAGCGATGAGTTTAACGAGAAGAATCGAAGTTTCTGGCCCGGTGACGACCCGTATTGGTTTGGTGGCAACTTCTGGTATGGTGCTACTCAGGATCTGGAGTGGTATGATCCGGATGCCATCAACACCGGTATGCATAGCAGAAAGCTAATTGATGACTTGTGCTTGGCTGACTCTTCACAGGCGACGGCACTCTGCAAATTCAGCTGGACGAGTTTCAGAACCATGGCTTGAATTACCGCTCCGGCATGCTAAATTCCTGGAACCAGCTATGTTTCAAAGGCGGTATCTATGAAGTGTCAATGTCTCTACCAGGGCCTGCAGGTGTACACGGGTTATGGCCGGGAGCATGGTCGATGGGGAACCTCGGACGACCTGGACATCTTGCGACTACCGATGGCATGTGGCCATACACCTACAACGAGTGTGATGTCGGCATCACTCCTAATCAGTCCATGACCGACGGGACGAGCTTCTTGCCTGGACAGCGTTTGCCATCATGTTCGTGCACTGGCGAAGATCACCCAACGCCAGGTACTGGTCGGGGTGCACCCGAGATCGATATCGCTGAGATCAGTGGCGACTGGAGCGGCAAAGGTTGGGCGGTGGCAACGCAATCTTATCAAGTCGCACCATTCGATATCTGGTACTATCCCAACTACGAATTCATGGAACTGCCGAACTACAACGTCAGCTATGTCAACACTTACACTGGTGGTCCGTTCCAGGAAGCCGTCTCCACGACGACGGTACTCAACAACGCCTGGTATGATGGTGTGGAGTACCAGAAGTATGCCTACGAGTATGTCCCAGGCTCGGGCAAGAACTCTTATGTTGCGTGGACTGTGGGCGACAATGACGAGATGATGAAGTTCGACGCGCGAGCCACTGGTCCCAACGGCAATATTGGCCAGCGTCCGGTCTCCGAGGAGCCGATGTCGATGGTCATTAACCTGGGCTTCTCCAATAGTTGGGTCAATATTGACTGGCCGAATTTGAAATTCCCGACTGTTATGAGGGTCGATTATGTACGGTGGTACCAGAAGGAGGGTGAGGAGATGGTGACTTGCGATCCACCTGGGTACGAGACCACGCAGTACATCCGGGACCATCCGGAACCGTATAACAATCCAAACTTGACTCATTGGGCTGATGCTGGATACTCGAGGCCCAAGAATAGCTTGATGGATGGGTGCAAAGCTGCTAGTTCGTCTTCGTCCAACGATAAGAAGTGAGGATGACATATTTGAGCGGGTGGAACGAGTGATGATGGCTCGCAATGGCCAAGTTGGTGTCGGATTTCAAGCAAAGGCCCAGCCACAACAAGGAAATCGAAGACGAGCCATACCGCAGCTTTGCGGAATCGAAATCGATTTTCGAGAGCATGTTGCAACATCGTTATATACAGCAGTGTCGCTAATCACTGGATCTGACGAGGAAGGAGGAGCATGATGAGACGCCAAGAATTTGACGATATTACGGATATCGATATGGTCAGATAGTGAGTCGTTGCATGGTCGAGGGCGTCCTCGTTCGGAGGCGTCTGGTACTGGCTATCTGCTTTGCTGTACTGGCGCCAAAGGGATCAATTGATGGCCGAGCATGAGTGCGGCTTGCTATGCTTGTGAATGATGTATTGAGTGCAATGTTGGACTTCGTGTAAATATAGGTCTGTTGAGGCGATCGATTCGTCTGGCGTAATGCAATCGCTATCACAATTAGAAGCCCATCGTGTCCGTTGTGACACCAACCAGGTGCACATGGTTGGGGTCGTTGAGCTACTGCTTTTCTAAGCTATGTGCATGAAGGCGGAGCAGGTAGTCTCTATGGCTAGCATCTTCATAGAGCTGCGGTGATGAGCTCCACTTCTATAGCTCCTTATTCCTGTCCACAGGCAGATGACTATCGAAGCAGAGACCAACAAGGTCAAGATGTCAATCGAAGAGCGAAAAGATGATAAGTGCTTCTATGGACTCAAGCCCAACGAGGACACAATCGAAAGCCATGGCCTACGCACAGCCGAGAGAGAATGTCAATACATGCTGCCCACTTTGAGGTCGATAGTAGAAAACTAACCGAAGTTGAGATTACTGGACGTCGGCTGCGGACCTGGCTCAATCACCACCGGACTGGCTCGATATATGCCCGAAGGCCATGTCACCGGCTTCGACCTCTCTGAAGTCTTCCTAGACAAAGCTAGGCAAACCGCTGTCGAACAGAATTGTACGAATGCGGACTTCGTGCAGGGTGATGTCTACAATTTGCCGTTCGAGGACGATACCTTCAATGTAGTACATACGCATCAAGCAGTCTGCCATTTCCACGAACAAGTCAAAGCGATCAAGGAACTCCTTCGCGTCATCAAGCCCGGAGGAGTTCTATGTATGCGTGAAGCAGATTCTGATACAGTACGGTTCTGGCCGCCGCAGCCCTTGCTGGACGAGTGTTTTGAGATGATCCGAGCTGTGCAAAGGGCTAATGGAGGGAGTCCTGATGCTGGGATCAAGCTGAAGCATTGCACTGTTGAGGCTGGAGTGCCGAGGGACAAGATCGAGTTCACGGCGGGGGATTTTGTGTATCATACTCGTGAGCAGACGGAGGCTTTTGGCATGACATGGCCTGGGCGAGTAACACAAGGTGCGTTAGCGGACAAGGCTGTCGAGATGGGATTTGCTACGAGGTGAGTGATCGTGATTGCTTCGAAGGATGATCATGCGCTGACCAGCGGTAGGGAGCGACTCGAAGAGTAGGGTCAAGCGTGGAAAAGATGGGCGAGAGATGAAGATGCGTTGTTTGTTATGTTGCACGGCGAAGTCATCGCCCATGTCTAGGTGAAGTTGGTCCCGAGATCTTCCCATGTCACTCGGATTTGACAGATCGTGCCATCTCTAGCACGGTTTGAATGCACTGCTTGAGACGTCGTACATGCCGCTCGGTCACATCGCACTTCTCCTTGCATATGCGCTTCCAAGGGCTGGAGCTGTACGCGAAATTGACACAATGCTGAGAAAGACCCCCCAGACATGAGTCACACATATTCCTCCCGCATTCGACCAGTATAATGCTAGAGAGATCAACTTCCTCTCCATGGTAGTATGTGATCATTGTAGGAATAGCGCTACAGATCAGCTCGAATGTATTGATGTGACACGGTCCTTCGTACTGATAGACAATCGATTTCAGGTTCCTGGCATCCAGAAGATGTAACCACATGCTGCGATGCTGCTGGATCATCGACGCCGGACTCGGATCACATGACATCCTGATGAAACCAACGCGACGCAGCCAGCCGCGGGACTTGAGTTTCAGTGACCGGATAAAGCGTGCACCTGTGGCGACATCTTCCATGACGAACTCGTTGCAGCCGCAAAATGTCGATCCAGCCTCTTGATATATTGTTGAGCAAAAGGACAATAAACTGCCCACACATCCGACAAAACTGTTCTTGTCGGGCACGTCGGCCACGAACGTCCCGGTCTTCAACTGGTGCCGACGCCGAGCCCTCTCAGACTCTAGCTCATCCGTCCTCAAATATGTTGCAAGCCCACGCCCTTGGCCAGATGAGACGATGAGAACCACACCCGGTCGTAGCACGCTATCATAGATCATCTGTCGAAGTTCCGGAGGAAGATCGAGGAAACCCAAACCTTGTGATGTGATATGCGCGTGACCAGAATGATGAGCGGTATGATTCACAACCGGGACCACCGACGCTCCTTGAGGCGCTCCTGTGTTAAAACTGTATGCGTGTGTGACTGGGGTCCTGCACGAGGAAGTGAGACTTCGCTCCTCTCGGCAAAAGGCTGCAAATGGTTGTGATGCCCTGGCGCTGTCGTGGCCCTAAGCGCACTCATGTTAAGGCCACGAGCCTGCGCACCTGTGATGGTTTGTGAATTTGTGGGAGGGTCGCCTGCAAGATTCTGGGCTGAAATGGAAGATACTAGTCCCTGCGATGCAGGCACATTAAGTGAGTAACCAGGAAATTGATAACGAAGCCAGCCAGGGTTCCATATCTGGGCTGGCTCCTCGGGCCCAATGCAATCTTCGAGGAGGTCCTCCAAGCTGTCGAAACTTCGGATCTGAGAGATGTGAGCTAGGGAAGGCATCATAATACTCTTGGTAGTCTTACCTCTTCCCCCGACATTATGTTCGCATTGGAAATCTCCACCAACGGGGCCCAATTGATGTGACTGGTACAAGCTTCGTGATATCAGAAGTGAAGGTCAGTTGGTCTTCCACTTGTGAGGTTGCCATGTCAACGATGTGCTTGCCAGGAATCGAGACCAGACCAAGAAAGCACGGCTGTGATCTCGAGAAGCTCCTGCTCGCTACATCACGAACTCCGCTGGTACTTGCTCGCCGCTCTCAGCTTCGGCCCGAACTTGTAGAACAGGAACGGTATCGCGGCAAGCGCCAGGCTGATAAAGCTGAGAAGACTGGTCGCCCATCCAGTGCCAAGTCGCTCGTACATCTGTACCGCGAAAAGCGGGAAAGCGAAACCCATCAAATACCGAGGAATGTTGTTAGCTCCCATCGCACTTGCACCGTAAAGTGGGCCATAGAAGTCCATCAAGTACATGTCGCGCTCATGAAGACGAGGAGATTGCCGGCGCCGAAGAGACCTTCTGCGATGACAGGAGAGATCCAGTGGATGTCTGATCGCGCTGTTCATGCGCTGAAAGACGTCAGCAGATTATATGGCAAGTATGACAGGGACAGTACTTCGACTTACAACCAAAACAGACTCACGGGCAAACACAGCCCACCAATCATGGCAAGGTACAGTCGAGGCTCTGGAGGCACTTTACCGCCTCTGCTTTCCTTGTGCGATCGGGCCACTTGTGGCTTGAACACCAGCTTCGAGAAAAGAATGACGAGCCCGCAGCCGACTATGCAGCCCACGCCGAGGCCGATGAAGGTGAAACCAGTGCTCTCGATCCCGAAGCCGTATGCTTCAGCAAACACTACTGGGAAGGCCTATATTTGCATTGTCAGCTTAGGACCCATCGAAAAATAGCGAGCTTGCGATACTTACTGCAAAGAAGCTGTAAAGCATGGCGAAGTTCAGCGCTATGTATATCGTGAAAGCCGCTACCACGGGCTCCACGAATGCCATATGCATCGGTCGTGTCAAAGTTGAGCCTAAGAAGAATATCGCAGACTGTGTAGCTGTCCTGCCGCTCGTCTTAGTGGGTAGACCAAGCTTCTTGGCACGTTTCTTCAATATCGCGGACTTGTAAGTCTCCTTCATGCCAAACGCAGGCACTAAGCCGACGATCGTGAAAAACAGCAAGGCCCACATTGTCCAACGCCAGTCTTTCCTAGCAGCAACGTAGCCACCCACCAAAGGGCCAATGGCTGGTCCCAGGAATGGCGTGGTGATGTAGATGGCCATGGGTATGGCACGTTCTGCCGGCGTATAAAGGTCGGCTAGGGTTGCACTTCCGATAGAAAGACCCGGACTACCAAACACGCCGGAGAAGAAGCGGCATATCGTCAACGCGGCGATGTTGTTACAGAATCCGCTGCCCAGCGTGAAAAGGGCGAAGATCGGGATGGCTGTTAGATAGACTGCTCGTCGACCATATGTCTCGCTCATGGGTGCGGCGATCATGGGTCCACTGGCCAGTCCAAGTACGTAGAAGACATATGGGAACAAGGAGACCTCGGCAGATACGCCGAATTCTGCCATAAGACTGTCTCTTCCGGGAGTGTATATCGACGATGCTAGGGTACAGACTAGAGCTATAGCGGCTGGAATGAATGTGTGGTAGGTCTTCTTCCAGCGTGGCCACTGCAAGGGATTCTCGGGATCGTCAGGACCATTCCAGTCATCGCAATTGGGCGAAGTTGGCTCCTGAGCTTCATTGGCGGCGGAAGTGAAGGCAGGCTCGGTGACGGATGCATTTCTCGAGTCGACGTCATCGCCTTTTTCGAGATCTTTGTCGCTACAGTCTGATCCAGATCGTGGTGGTGAGTGCTCCGCAGACATAACTGTGCTTAAGCGTGGAGGAGAACCCTCGAAATGCTAAGAGGAATAACAAATTGAGAGTGTGAAGAACGCAGAATCAAGCAAGCATGGACATAAAGAATGTGCTGTGAGATTAGAGACGTAGTCGGTGCAGACCGTTCCATTGAAGACTGTTGTGTGGATAAAAGCCAGCATACTGGAACAGACACAGTTCCAGATACGGTAAACACTACGAAAAGAGCAACAACCATGCATGGTGCACAATCTGACAGAGCCATGCATTGTCCAGATGGAAAAAGATCAACGAGAGTGTCGGGAAGTGAGTCACGGGCGGTTCGTTCAACCGCGTTGGGCGGCCAAAGATGTGACCGTTTCTCGGCGGCGCAACCTCTGCTGCAAACAGATCAAGACCAACCAGACCGTGGTGGCAACAGATGCGCTGACCTTTCTGAGAGGTTGCACGAACTCGGCGCGGTTGCGATGACGTGTGGTGGATGGTCTGCTTGCATTTTCCAAACGGTGTTGCAGATACGATCGTATCGTTTCCCAGCGTGGAAGGCTTCAGCCAATGCGTGGACGTGTTGCTGAAGCGTATTTTCCCAAACGTTGTTGCTTTGTGGATCCCCGACGAAATCGCGGTTGAGACCGCCCAACCGCCCTTAGCGTGCCCTGACAATGCTCCGATGATTTGAGACGATCTCTCCAGACGATACCATTGAGGTCTCCCAAGCAGGAGCAGCTATTCGAGGGCCTCGTACACATGTCCAGAGCCCAACAGATTGAGTATGTCATCGCGCTTGAGAGGGTACGCAAAATATAGCCAATCGCGTTCAGTCTTGTGTATGGGGACCGATGGCAATACATCTGCATGAGCCAAAATATGAACAGGTAAGTCTTGCGCCCACAGCTCAGCGTGAGTAATGCACGTCATGATGGAGATGTTCAAAAGACGATGCAGTCGTGTCACGCAGAGACGTATGAAGTATCGAGTGTTCATTGTTGTGAAGGTGAGCGCCATACTTCCGCAGACCCTGAAGCCACGTTGCCCAATACGGAAGTTACGACTTCTATCCACAAGTAGTCAACAACATGAAACGCAGGAAATCTTTTATGGTTTGCATACAGCTGTAACCATGAGCGCGCTCTATAACTCTGCCCTGCGCCAGTCAAAGGCCATTCGTGCGGATCTAGACAGCTTTGCCGCTTCCGGGTCGTCCACACCAGCTTCACAAGGACAACTCACAACGTCACTAACGTCCTTCACGCGGACCCTAGACGACTACCAAAAGAACATCGATGTCGAGCTAGTCCCCGAAAAAGCAGAGAAGGGCAAGGAGCGGATCGTCAAGTTCCGTGAGGATCTACTCGAGTTCAGATCACGATTTGCAGAGCTGAAGCACGAGAACGAGCAGGCAAAGTATGCCGAGAACAGAGGCGAGCTGTTCGCAGGAAGGGAGAGGAAGGGCTACGCTGGCGGCAGCGATACACCTGAGAATCCATACCGAGATGCTGCAATAGCGAATGGTGGCAGTGGACAGAACGTCAACCCACTCTTTCGAACGAACAACCCCAACTTCCAGGCTGGAGCCAATGGACCGAACAGCTATAGCAACTACCAGTCACCGTACGGCTTTGGAGAGGATCAGCAGCGAGAAAGCCATGCCTTGAGAGAAAACTCTTTCTTCACATCTACAAACGCGACTCTGGACGAATATCTTGAGCGTGGGCGTGCTGTGCTCGGTGATCTGGGTGACCAACGAGATGTGCTAAAGGGTACGCAGAAGAAGCTGTACAACATTGGCAACACGCTCGGTATCAGTGGCGATACTATTCGCATGGTCGAGCGGAGAGCGAAGCAAGACAAGTGGATATTTTGGGGTGGTGTCGTGGTGTTCATCATCTTCGTCTACTTTGTGCTTCGGTGGTTGAGATGACGTAGTGCGTGAGAGGGTACAAGTTTGGCAAAGTCCTGTTAGCGAGGGGTATGGAGTCTTGATTACCAAAAGTTCTATCTTTGGATGTGCGAATGCTCTGCGGTGTCAAGTGCCTGAGGTAGGTGCACGACAATGAAAGCTGGTGCAGGTGATGTTCTGTCGCTGGACGAGATGTAGCGCCAAGCCCAGCCTCGAGACATCAACTATCACCACAACCAATCGAGATGAAGGTGGTAAGCATGCTTGGCATGAGAAGTCAAAACATAGAGACCTCAAAGTCACAATGTTCATGTTTGACAAGACACAAGATACAAATAACTACCACGGGAACAGCCATCTACATATCGAAACTGTTTCTCACCACCTTCGCGACTATCACGAACCTCCTCGCTGGCCATGGCACCACGGACTCGTCAGGGTACAAGCCATGCAAGAAGTAGATGCACAGCGACAGAACCAAAACAGCCTACCATAACTGCGCAAGCTGGGGGCCTGGCAGAAGCGGCTTCACCATCCCTAGTGACAGCCAACAAAGACATAACTGGCTTCAGCGATTTGCCAAGAGAACCCAGAGACATGGTCTATCACTACTCCCTCACCACACTCTACGGCGACGACATCTACCTAAACAACAGCTCCCTCCGTGCCGAATGGTACATCTCAGCCCTTCCACTCCTGGAAACCTGCCAAGCCGTCCACGACGAAGGCGTCCTAATCCTCTACGGTCACAACACCCTACGCATTGAGCTCCTCACTTCATCTAGTACATGGAGACGCGAGTCAGGCCGTGTCGTGCAAGAAGGAAGCCTCAGTTTAGGCGCTGGCATGAACCATCCAGGTCTCGCGGAAAAGCTGAAGGTGATTCCAAGCAGGCATTTCAGACATGTTCGGTGCCTGAAATTCGCCTTCCATGCCTATGACTTCCGGATGAAGAGGATTGTTGGCCGTGATGACCGGCAGCCGTATAATTACTCGAAACTCGCCCATTTCATGATCCTGGTCCGCGTTCGGCCGAGAGCGCGATTTTCTCTCACTTATTTCACTGGCCAGATCGAGAGTCGTGACTTGTCGCCCCAGACTGCCTCGAACTTGATACAACGGCTCCAGCTGGAAGGAAGGCGGGTGAAAGTACTGACCAAATCGAGTATCTTCAAGCTTGCTTATCGGGTGCGGACGACGTGCGATGTGATCCTCGAGGACGAGTTGCTGGAGAGCTTGCTTTACTGAATGGGGCCAGCTCACCTTGATGATTACGGACGCATAAAGCATGGGTCGCATATGATGCTACGGCCATGGGCGCCTTAGATATAATCGCCGTGGCATCTACCTTGGGTTGGTGTGCGGCGGCCGGACGAAGCATTACTGCTTGCTCTTCCGCATGTCAACAGCCCACAGCTGCTTGACTCCAGCCCGTCTAGATAGACGCAGGCGACAGGGCCTACTCCGTATTGAGCACTCGCAGGCCGACTTGCCCGTTTACATTATCCAGGCTTGGACGATGGAACCCAGAGCGATCGTGGAGACGAGCAATACACGAAGACAGTATCAATAGCTCTGCTTTCTGGGAGTACAACATCATAACGACAGCGAACCATCGCACATTTTCCTACAAACGTAAATACAACTCTCAAGCAAAAGCTCAACCCCATCAAAAGCCCACCACGCAAGCCCCCTCAAGCATCCCACCTAACCCCATACCGCCGCTCAAAAGCCGCCATAACCACTCTCCGATCCCTCACACTCTTCGGCAATCTCGAAACCCCCGGACTCACGGCCTCCAACTCACCTTTAGGCACATGGGAACCAACCTGCTGATAATCCGGAACACGGAAACTAGAACCACGTACCTTGAGCTTTTCGCGGGGGTCGCTTGGGGGCACACCTACTTTAGGCTTTTTCTGGCTTTGCTTTTGAGAAGATTTGGAGGAGTGGGATGAGGTGGATATGACGAGTTCTTTGAGGCTTGGTCGTCTGGTGGTTGATTGGGCTTGGGTGTTGGTAGATGGCATGGTGGGTTGTTACTCAAAGGGGTCGTGAGTAGTGAGTCTGTATATCTAGGAGGGGCGGGTTTTTATATGCGGCCTGTGCGTCACGCTTGTGTTTGATAGCTAGCTGATTCACGTATGCATGTCTGGAGGTCCGAAGAATGAGGTAGTATCGTATGGGAAGACAATCTAACAATAGTCCTTTGTAATCATGTCAAGGTCTTTGTACGAACCTGGTTTTCATTCATCTATCCTAAGATTGAGCTGGCTTTGTTTCCAAGCCAGCCTCCTGTAATTTGGTCTTTTTGACGGACGAGGCACAATACGCCAATGTGATTTGAGATCACGATCTCGGCAGGCTCCGGTATGCCATCGTTGTGAGTGCTCGGGGTAGCATAACGTGAGCAGTGCTGTGGAAAGCACATTACTCATGGTGGACCACTCCGCGCGTTCTGCCATCAATCCGCCAGACTTGGATAGCTTCAGGTACCGTAACGCACGACCATCAGTCCTACACAAGTTGGTACTGTCGTAGTAACTTGGTGAACGTGTTTCAGAACGTACTGCGATGTCATTGCCCATCGCTAGCACTCGAGCCACGAGCACTGCTCGCCTCACTCACACTCCTCGCAAACGTGACTCTCCTCGGCGTCGGAAACTCATTGCGTAAAGGCGACTCCTGACTCGAGCTCGTCTGGCTAGTAGCCGTCGTGTTTCGTGAGATCTGAGAAGCGTGTGGCGAACCGAGCTGGTAGAGTGCCTGGAGAGCATCGCGCTCGGCCTCTGCAGTCTGTGTGTCTGTGCGTATCGTTGGCGGGCGACGTGGATGGCCGTTCATGGGTGTTCGCGGTGGGGACATCGCGTTGTTGTAGCCGATTTGTTGACTTGATGGGGCTGAGTAGTATGTTTGCTGCATCGAACCAGGCCTGATGTCTGCTGATGGCTGTAGTTGGGGAGGGTTGTGTGCAACATATCGAGGCTGTTGTGGGGAGGCCATGAAGGTTGAGAAGTTGCCGGATCGCCGCTTTGGGGGGGGTGATGTTGTGCCGTCGTAGCTAAGCGGTGCATAATTCTCGTACATCGATAGCCGGGCAGTGCCGTTGCTGAGCCCTGCACTCACTGGTCGCTTGCTGTACTCGACGTGTGACATGCTGTATCGTTGTGGTGATGCCTTATATGCTGCCAACTGCTCCACCTCGGCGATTGTCTTGTGCTCCCATCCATGCTGCACCTTGGCCATGGCATAACCCAACCTGGACTTCAATGTTGCAGCCAGCTCGCCAGCCCGACTCCCTGTCGAGGACATTGACCCCGCTCGAGATCTCCTGCCTGGGAAGGTGCCAGTCATAGGCGTGTTGGGCAGACTTGGCGCGTTCTTGACGTGACCACTCGCTGTCCTCTTGGCTCCATTCGTCGCTGTGGGCGAGAGCGTGCTCAGCGGGCTGGCAAGTGGGTTGTGTGTACTTTGTATCTGGTCCTCAGGCGTGATGGCACGTTGTGCAGCGCTCGTGACGCTCTTGTGGTGCTGATCATACTGTCGCTCGGGCACGGGTATCGCGGGTGACGTCGGGTCGGTGTCGTTGGTCAATTGCGACAAGTTGCTGTTGCTGGTCTGGAGGTGCGGTTGGCGAACACTACTCGCATCGCTACGTGCACTGATGATGGATTCTTGGGATGCAGACCACGGTTGCTGGGCGTTTGTCTCGGATGTAGTGTTGGCATGGGCGTCGCGGGCGGGCGCGTGCATAACACTCGTGGGCCCCGGGTTTCGAGTGGTAGTGTGTCGAAGGTGTGATACTTGGCTTCGTGGCGTTACTGGATACGACGATAATGTCTCCATGGTGATCATAGGGCCTCCCACTATGTATGTTGTAGTATGAATAGGCGTTCACGCTCGTGCAGGTGTGGTGAACCTGATAACCGATGGCTGTATAGTGACGTTGACCCCAGCAAGCGCGTCCTCGACGCGTGGGTTATGCGAGGCTGGAGATCTCTTCGTCTCTCCTTCTATCCGGACAGAAATGTATATACGCACAAGCAGAATACTGTCCTGTCGCACCCTCTAACAGACCGACAAACTCGAGATAAGTAATGAGAACGCACGAGCGAGTAAGGTGGTGACTAAATGCAGGTGGTGGGACGCGTTCACCCCCGCTTCACTTCACGCGATCATGTGCCATGGAGAATTTGCCACTAGAATTGACCAAATGCAACGATCTGCGTGTAGGTGAATGCTACAATTATATAGTGAGGCATGCTACCTCATCAACACGGTACAGATTGTGCAACACAGCATCCCGGTCGTCCTTCTAGCAACCTCCTTGCCGGTGGATCAATTCTGTTCCACAATTTGTCCTGCCCTTGCCGCTCCCTGTCGAAACGCTTTGTGCAGACACCGAAATGTTGACTGGAAAGGGTGCCGGATGTTCTTGACCCATGATGACCGCAATTCGATCATAGGTCAACTGCCCAGCCGCTGCCGCCAGCTGATGGAAACATCCTGAGCACTCATCTCGTTTCGAGCGTGATTTGCAGCCCAAGCGGATTGGCCAGGCTCTCTTGACGCATCGTCTTGAGTTCCAGCCGGCCTGGGAGCTCGCTCTGCGACTCTCCATCGCAGATCAAAAATTCCTTATCTGTCGCGCAAATGGCCTCTTCAGTCAATCTTGCCAACCCCTCTCAGACTCAAGTAAACATCCGTACCCCATCCAAAAAGACTCTGCACCGCAATCCCCCCACCAAAATATTCCGCATAAGCCCTCCCAAGCGGCAACCCATACCCCAACCCCGCCAACGAACTCCCACCTCCCGCACCACCACTGATAACATCCAACCCGGCACCGTTCCCAACTCCACCAGAAACCTTCTCATTAATCTCCTCCTCATTAAAAGTCGTAAACCCATACTCCCACAACTTCTGATAGTTCTCGGGTTTTATGCCACCGCCCCGGTCTCGAATACGAATGGTGACGCCCGGCGTGGCTTGTCCAAGGGGTCTGATATTGGCTGAGGCAGAGACATCCGGTTTGTTGCTTCCGGAAGCATAATCCACACTCCCCTGTCCATAATTACTGATAGCAGCCTGATGCGCGTGAGCGATCTGGTTAGGTTTGTTCTTGAGCTCCCTCGTCTGGCCCTCATTCGCTGGCGCAGGAGCAATGGTTACCTCGATGGGTTCCTTCTCCGTCCCAGCCTCTATGACGGCGCGGAAACTGTTCTTCAGTAGCTCGGTGAGGATGTATTCCAGATGCATAGGTATGTGTGCTATCGTCGTGTCCGGACTCCCGACAATGTTAACGGTAGGTCGGACGCCGTATTTGAGCTCGCAGATTTCGCCGACGGTGTTTTCGCAGTTGCGGATGATGGTTGCCGGTTTCAAGGCAGTGTCGATCACGCCAATATATGATTCTTCGTCCTCTAATATATCCTTTGCACTTTCGGCATCCGACAGCTCTCGATGCGGACGACTGCTGAAGTGGAGAGCGATATGCTGTTCAGCAATTAACCTCGTGCCTATCCTCGCCCGCAAATGCTCATCCAGAAACCTCGTGACCTCCTGCGCGGTGATGTATTTTCTCGCCTCCAAGAATCCCCTGGCAAGGGTCGATATGGTGTTGTTATGTGTCTGAACCAGATCGGCCATTACGGCCGTGAACTCCACTTCATCTTTCAAGCTCTCTATCCTTCTTTCTGCAAAGGGCAGGAGGGTGCTGAGACTATGGACATAATTCCCGTGGATCTTGCTGACGTTCGGGTTCGCTACTACGATGTATGGTAAAGCTCTTAAACTCTGGATCCGATGTGCTAGTCGTGAGGGTAGGATATTGAGGGTGAAATTGGCACTGTTGAACAGGCCTTGTTCAGAGAGGGGAGGATGGCCATGTTTACAGAGATCGGCGAGGGTGAGGGGATGTAGTGGTTTGGCTGCTAGGCGAGCAATATCCGCATCGGTCACCGTCTTGGTCGAGATGTGTCGTCTGCTTCGCTTCGCAAGGTGTTGAAAGCCATTGTGCCGTGCTACAGCTCTCAAGCTGAGCATTAGCGGCGGTAGGCTGACAGTGACTGTCCTGGGGCTGTATAGACTGGACGTCAGTTGCAATAGAGCGCAGGAGAGGTTGGCTGTGCACTTTGAAGTATACAAGTACATATATAGACGTGGGGGTTATGACTCGGACAAATATCAAACCAGCAGAATCATTGCTGTACACAAGAATGGAGACGTTTTCAATAGGGCGGTATAATACTTGCGAAGTGGAGTCGGTGTCGTACAAAAGGCTAAGGTACATATATATATACACATCTCCACCCATAAGCTATGTCAGTACATGGCAACCATGACACCGAGGATCCATGCAAGAGACGCCATGCTATGCATTTCCCTCCTTCCTCCATTGTAAAAATCTTGCCGGACAGTGCTCTAATAACACAGGACTCTCAAGCAGAGCTGAGACGTCAAGGAGCTCAAGTAACGATCTCGCCGATGTCAATCATCTGCGGCTTCCAGCCCTTCCCGCCCTTGCTCTCAGCATCCGAAGGCAACATGACCTCGTTCTGCGGCGGCGTATACAGGTACCACCCTTTCAGCGCTGCCGCTGCCGCTCGCACTCTGGCCTCGTTCAGACTCGCACCAGCAGCCTCGCCAAGCAGATTCTCGCCAGAATATACGCCAACGACAAACACGGGCGTCCTGCTTAGACGACCCGTCTCGCTGATCAGACGTGCGACCGGCGGCTCGAACTTTTCCCTTGCGCATAGGCGGGAGAGGTCGCGGGTGGGGTGTGTGAATTTGAACATCTTGTCCAGCTGGAGGTGGCGGCTGAGGATGTGATCGCTGTGGAAGGACTTTGTTGCTGAGGCTCCTGCGTGGAGGTACAGGGCTCCTGCTACGGCTCGGACGAAGGAGGCGGATGCACCCTCGACGGTGTTTGCCTCTATCTCGCTGGGATGTGTTGTCTGCGCGGAGAAAGAAGTAGTCATTCCTGCTTCGGTGGCTTCACCATCTCCCTCAGCTGTCGATTGACTTGCTCCGGCATAAGGTTGCGAGTCAACTTCTGGCATTTCCATTTGCAAGTCCCCGAACTCATCATCGTGGACGAGTCGACTGCTGATTCCTCTTCGGTAATTCCAGTCGGCGTTCGCTCTCCCTGTGCCCAGTCGATTGCCAAGCTTTCTCACTCCCGGCATATCCTTGATCCTCCTATCCGTACCTTCTGCGATACTGTTGCCAGCCACCATCCTCTTCAGCTGCAACAAGCCAGGATCGACTTCTGATCCCGGCGCAGCAACCACTTCCACACCCCACTCACTCCTCACATTTGCCAGTGTGGCTGCTCCAACGTACGCATATTGTGCAGCAAACAATACACTCATCGGTAAGCGAGGATAGTGGCAGGTGAGGTACTCCGTCGTATGCGATCCGAGCAGGTCCTGCCCCAAAACAGCGAATGGGGCGTTATTGTATCCTGGTCGTGTGTCGGCTGATGAATCTATCAGACATCGTGCTAGCGTCTGTAGAGGTAGCTTCGAGGGTAAGGATAATCGTGCGTGTAGAGCCGCAAGTTTTGCCGAATGGCGGGCTTTGTGATGCGAAGGCGCATATAATGGAGCTCTGGCTAGTGCTTCGCCATTGTCCTGGAATGCTCCCGATCGGTCATCCTCTAATGATTGTGCTACTGCAGCACTTGACGCTCGCCGCCGGCTAGCAATGACTCTCTTGTGACTCTGCCATTGATGCTGGATGTGATATTGCCGTTGCTGTAGATCTCGTCTTAGAGCCGTAGTTTCGCAGGGAAAGGGACATCTCTGAAGGTGTATTCGCGGATTCCTTGGTGGTTGTATTTGGAAACGATCCAGGCGTATGCGCTTCATTGAGCACTCTGGGAAGTATTGTATCAGCTCGGATTGATGATGGGATTTTTCGTCTCGTCTCCTTGCCTCGAAATCCAAAAATCCATCACGACTGCACGCGATCAAAGCTCGGAGATGAGCTCGGGCCACCTCCAAGTCCACCATCACCTCCAACACCACCTCGTACAAACCAGACTAGCCATTGTGCCCCGACGACTTCGCTACCGCAGACATGAGGTCCACACAGACATTACGGAGTGGAGGCAGCAAGATCCCGTTAGTCTACAACCTGAAGCGAAGCTTTCGCAAGAGCGTGGAACATATATGCTAACCACATACCTTCTTTAATAGCTATCCTAAGCACATTTGGAGTCCGGCAGGAGGATGGTACGCACAACCAACCAACTGGAAAACAAACACGGCAATCATGGGAGCAACGATAGTGGGCATATGTCTTATGGTGGGAAGCGTGAGCGCAGACAGGGAGCACAGGAGCAAGATGCCGGAAGTACGTCTGCAACAGCAGGAAGATCTTCGTTGGAGGAGGACATTGTATACTGACTGATTGTACAGCCTGGACGGTTCTTCCCATCAAGATACTGGTCACGAGAAATCCGAGAGTATGAGGCAGCGCAGGCAGGGAAGGCCGCACCAAAATCTGTATTGGATTTCTAGAAACCAGGTTATGAGACAAGCACCGGCGTTGTGTGTGTGGGCTATGTACAGACGGAGAAACAGTCCCTCAACGTTTCTGATCTTGTAGCGACCAAGTGTTCTGCACGACGACCTGTGGAGCAGTGGATCAGGCAACCCTGCGTGCGCGAAATGGTTTTGCTGCGAGACCCTTATATCGATGTCTTCTCTTGACCTTCCCCCTTCGCCTCCTCGATACTAGCTTTGACCCATTCCCGATAATCCATAGGTTTCCTGCCCAGCAACATTTCAAGCACATTTGGGTTGCCAATTAATCCTTTATCGTTATAGTACATGAACATCCTCGCCGGACCTTGCGTGTTCGCAAAAGCTGCCTCTTTGATATCACCATGACTGAGCATAGTGGCGAACATCTTTGCTCCTTCCTCAATGGGTAATTGCTTGATGCTGACCTCCTTGCCCAGCTCTTCAGATACGATGCTGATTGCTTCGTTGTATGAGTGTGGCGTCGGCGTGCTGACAAGCTCGTACGAAGCATAGAGATGTTTCTCCCGCTCGGCGAAGATATTCGCAGCAGCTTCACCCGCATCTCTCGCCGTAACGAACGAGAAGACCGTGCTTGGGTTCCAGAGCATAGTATGTGTCGGCTCAGCCTCTCCGACCAGCTTAGCGATAGGAAGGTTCTCCATCAGCGTGGTCGGTTGTAGGATCGTAAATGGTACGCCAGATTCTACGAGATACTCCTCGATATACCGCTTCGCATCATGGTTGATCATCTTCCGCACGCACGAGTGAAGCACACTAGAGAATACCAGATGCTTGAAATCACTACCTTGCACGCGAGCAGCATCGATGACATGATAACCCATCTCAGTTTCATGTTCGTGGAAGCCGGGCGTTACTAGATAGCAAGCTGTCACTCCTTCAAGGATGCGATCGCAGTCCGCTTGAGATGCCAGGTCGGCGATCACGACTTCTGCATCTGGCCATTGCTTCTGCAAGCGATCTCGGGAAGCTTTGGAGTTGACTTGCAGGCGTAGACGGCGCCAGTCCTTCAAATGAGGAAGCAGCCCGGTGGCTTGTTTGCCACTTGCGGCAGTGATCAGCAGGAGGCCGTTGTGCTTGTTTACTGGCATGATGCTGAAACCGGAAGCAGAGACTATCGTACCATGAGGTGGGTAAGATGGGATACATGGAAGACAGATGACGCCAGTATGAGCGTCCATTACTTACACACAGGCGATCAGCCCTCCGCTTCTCCGCGCGTATTTAGAGACCATTGACTGGTCGCCACGATACCCTCTGACAGCTAGGCGCCGCAAGTCACGATATTTGGGTGGAAGAAGGTTTGTGTCTTCTCGCATGTTGAAAGCAGATAGCAATGTACGCCCATCTCGACACATCGTCCGGGGTGGAGGAAGGGTGAGTTTTGAGTTTACGGTATGGCTCGTTCTCCTCACAGACCACTAAGCTCGGGGGTGATCGGCCGGACTTTTTGGGCGACACAAGCAACCCTGACAACATCACATTATTTGCTATCCATCTCTCTGTACATTGTCTCCACCTCATCACAACCTCATCACATATACACCAAATCATCGCCATCATGTTCGCCGCACGACAAGCCACATCGTCCGTCTTCGGTGCCGTCCAGCGTCGCGCCTTCAGCGCATCCGCTGCCAATGTGAGCTCCGCCGATGGGAACCAGAAGCTTTCGATGAGGCATTGACTGACACGATGCGATGTATAGGCTACTAAGGTTGCTGTCCTCGGTGCAGCAGGCGGCATTGGTCAACCATTGTCCCTCCTCCTCAAGCTCAACCCAAGAGTCAGCGAGCTCGCTCTTTACGATATCAAGGGAGCTCCTGGTGTCGCAGCCGACATCTCGCACATCAACACCAAGAGTGTAGTCAAGGGCTATGAAGCCTCGGCAGAGGGCATCAAGGAATGCTTGTCTGGCGCCGAGATCGTCCTCATCCCAGCCGGTGTTCCTCGCAAGCCAGGCATGACCCGTGATGGTATGCAGACGGATATCTACGACTCCATCGCAATGGCTAAAATATGACTACAGACCTCTTCAACACCAATGCCTCCATCGTCCGTGACCTCGCCAAGGCCGCCGCCGAGTCCTCCCCAGACGCCAACATCCTTATCATCTCCAATCCCGTCAACAGCACCGTCCCGATCACCGCTGAAGTCTTCAAGAAGGCCGGCGTCTACAACCCCAAGCGCCTCTTCGGTGTCACTACCCTCGACGTGGTCCGCGCCTCTCGCTTCATCTCCCAGCTCAAGAGCACCGACCCTGCCAACGAGAACATTACAGTGATTGGTGGACACTCTGGCGCGACCATCGTGCCTCTCCTCAGCCAGTCTGGCTACACCCTCGAGGGTGCCGAGCGCGATGAGTACGTGAAGCGTGTGCAATTCGGTGGTGACGAGGTCGTGCAAGCCAAGGGCGGTGCTGGATCCGCCACCCTCTCCATGGCCATGGCCGGTGCTCGTTTCGCTGAGTCCCTCCTCAAGGCCGCTCAGGGACAGAAGGGCGTGATTGAGCCTACTTTCGTCGACTCGCCACTCTACAAGGACCAGGGTGTCACCTACTTCGCCTCGAACGTCGAGCTCGGCCCTAACGGCGTGGAGAAGATTCACCCGGTTGGCAAGCTTACGGAGCACGAGCAGAGTCTGCTGGAGGTGTGCTTGAAGGATCTCAAGGGCAACATTGAGAAGGGTGAGAAGTTCGCCAAGGATAACTTGTAGAGGCGAGGGGTTGTGCTACGATAGCGGATGTGAAGAAGGAGCGAGGAGTGGTCGTTTGCATGATAGAGCTTCATATAGTCATGTAGATTTACTGGGGCTTTCACACAATCCTCTCGCTATCATTTCATTACCACGGATGTGCAAGCTGATCTGGAGAGGCATAATCTGCTCGATAAGTGCTTGTTCGGCTCCTTTGTCTTGTCCGGTCGTCCAGCCGTCCCGAGACAAACAACGACCAGATATAGGCACTGCATAAGCTGTATCGATAGGCACTCCTTCAAGCCATGGGCATGCACCACCATATCATATAATTGGTAACGCACATCTAGCATCTCGAGTGACATGGTACGAACGTAGAGTTTGATGGGGCCCCGGGTCGCTCCTTCCTTGACGCAGAATTTATGGCCGGCAGCCAGGCCGGGTCGCTCCTTCCTTTTCCCTTGGACCGAGGTCTGTCGGCATTGGCGCTGTCAAGCAACACGCGTGATGGCATGGCCGAAAGAAACGGCGAATTTTCTCGTCCACGCGGCTCAGCAAGTACAGTGATACATATACAAACGCCTCGTCGTTGAGTCGAGCTCTATATCTGTCTTTTCCGATCTCTCCTTTCGGTTGCTTACAACGGTCGGCCGGTGCTTTCGGGACGACGAGGGAATGTTTGGCATTGCTGCTCGGTCGACTCGAGCTCTGCGATCTTCACACCTTCCGTCTTCTGCTTCCCGAGGACTAGCTGCAGGTGTAGGTTCGGCAGAGCATTATTCTTACGTTGCTCCAGCTAATCGTCTTGTTCTCCCATTAGACATCGATCATGGCTCCCCAGAAGCGGAAACAGAGTAGTCTGCCTGCTGGTATGTGCATGCCTACGATCGATAGAGGATCTAGATGATTGACGTGACCTTGTCAGGCTACAAGGAGGATAGCATCAAGGGTAACATGCTCAGATTCGAAGACTCGTTACCACGACTACCTGTCCCTACACTCGAGGAGACCGCGAAACGATACCTGAAATCGCTACACCCACTTCTCAGCGAATCAGAATATGAGCACAGCAAGAAGGCAGTAGAGTCATTCATCGCGCCCAACAGTATCGGCCAGACTCTTCAGCAAAGACTACAGGCACGAAGAGAGGACCCGCAACACAGGAATTGGATAGCCGAGTGGTGGAACGATGCTGCATACCTAGCCTACCGCGATCCCGTCTGTCCGTACGTCTCGTACTTCTACAGTCACCGCGATGACCGGAAACGAAGAGACCCTGTCAAGCGAGCTGCTGCCATCTCAACGGCTGTTCTGGAGTTCAAGAAGCAGGTGGATGATGGCAGTCTGGAGCCAGAGTACATGAAGAAGCTACCCATGGCCATGAGCTCATACCAGTACATGTTCAATGTTTGCCGTGTACCCGCGAAACCAGCAGATCATCCGATCAAGTACCCTGCCGACCAGAACCAGCACATCCTCGTCATCCGCAAGAATGCTTTCTTCAAGGTTGCTACGCACCACGGTGGCAAGCAATTGACTACAAAGGAGCTAGAGCACCAGTTCAAGCGAATCTACGAGACTGCCGAAAAAGCGCCTGCTGTTGGTATCATGACTACTGAGAACCGTGACAACTGGACCGACATGCAGCAACGACTGATCAAGACGAACGCTTCAAACAAGGCAGCGCTGGAAAGTATCGAGGGCGCATCTTTCGTGATATGCTTAGACGATGCCAAGCCTGTGACTCTTCGCGAGCGAGCAGATGCATACTGGCATGGCGACGGCAGCAACCGTTGGTTCGACAAGCCTCTACAATTTATCATCAATGACAATGGTACTTCCGGCTTCAACGGCGAGCACAGCATGATGGATGGCACGCCCACACACCGCCTCAACGATACCATCATGTCCTGGATCTTCAGCGAGAAGCTAGACTTCAACAAGCCCGGTCTACGCTCTGATATCCCCGACCCACAACCCATCAAATTCCAGCTCAGTGAAGAAAACCAGATGGACATTGCTCAAGCTACCACTCACCACATTGGTCTGATGAGCCAGCATGAACTCCGCGTCGAAGCATATCAAGGCTATGGCAAAGGCCTGATCAAGAAGTTCAAGTGCTCACCGGACGCATACGTGCAATTGACTATTCAGCTCGCATACCACAAATTCTACGGCAAGAACAGACCTACGTACGAATCGGCCGCTACTCGCAAGTTTCAGCAGGGACGAACTGAGACGTGCCGAACAGTCAGCGACGAGAGCGTGGCTTTCTGTGATGCCATGGCCAACCCTTCTGCTACCAGCGATGAGTGCCAGCAGCTGTTCCGTAAAGCGTTGAACGGTCATGTCGAGTACATTAGCGCTGCGTCAGAAGGCAAGGGTTGCGATAGACATCTCTTCGGTTTGAAGAAGCTGCTGAAGGAGGGCGAGGAAGTGCCGGATCTGTACAAGGATCCGGCGTACACGTACAGTAGTTCCTGGTTCATCTCGTCTTCGCAGCTGTCGTCGGAATTCTTCAATGGGTACGGATGGTCGCAGGTCATCGATCAGGGTTGGGGGTGAGTACAGTCCCACTGCTATGCTCATGTTTCGACGGTGGGATGTTTTGCTGACGTATGACTTGCAGTATCGCGTACATGATCAATGAGAACAGTATCCAATTCAACATTGTCAGCAAGAACTTGGGTAGCGAGCGCATGGCGTTCTTCTTGAATGAGGCGGCTGGCGATATTCGAGATATCATGGTGCCGACCTTGGAGACCAAGGCGAAGTTGTAGATGGAGAATTCCGGAGATCTCTTGCGAGTATGTGGTGAAATGTACTGGTACGCATGTAGTCGCTGTCAGAAATGTAAATACACCACTAGGCGCGACTCTCATAAAAGTGGGTCTTTCAGGCTGCCAGTCCCTAGCGGCTGAGGTGCCGCCTCGAAACACATCTTGTCTATCTTTCGTCCACTTATTTATATCCTGCGATCCAACGTGGAAGTAACAATGCACTATCGACTGCATTGCACTCCTCGATTCCTGGCAGCAAATGATGGCGACTACAACACCATCGGCAACAACGCAGAGCCACCATACTATCAGCAAGCGCAAGCGAGCGGTCGACGGCAATCATGAAAGTGTCCCCAAGCGACAGCGACATCAACCATCGTTGACGAAAGACGACACCACCCGTGCCAGCTTTGCAGATCTTCCAGGAGAACTCAGAACCGCGATCTACGAGTACGCTCTATATCCAGACAATCGATCGCCACTCCGACTGGCAGGTGGTGCAGGTCGTTACGTCGCCATCAACCTCCTAGGTGCTACCAAGGTGATACGGAAGGAGGCTGAAGCTCTGCTGTACAGCCTCAACACTTTCCGTATCGACATGCCTCGACTCTGCCACGACGTGGTGCCCATGGGCGAGCTCGACAAGCTCACACCTGCAGGTGGACCGTCTACTCTGTCCGCGAAAGACTTCCAACGCCATTGGCAGGAGCGTAAGGCCCGCAACGAGCTAGAACGGCAATGGTCGGATGCAGCAGGTCTGCCTGGCGTGCATGCGGCACTACAGGCCATGGGACCGAAGCGCTTGCGACAGATTCGTTCCTTTGTGTTCGCATACCATGCTCATCCTAACCCACTCAAGAACATCCAAGACGTCCTGCAATGTCCGGAGAAAGCGGATATAGCTATCAGACTCGAGCTTACGACTAGAAAGCCGTACTTCAGCTGCTCGATCGTGAACGAGCTTACGAGCGAGGCGGACGCGAAAAAGCGAGATGTGTCTTTGGAGCATGCGCTGGAGCTCTTTGAGATGGAGGTTGAACCGCGACGACTGACCTATCTGGCCAGGAGAGATGTGGTCTTCTTCGGTCAGTGGTTGTGTAAGCAGTGCGATCAGGCGAACGTGGGTGGCGTAGGAGGATGGGGGAATATGGCAGGAAGCCCGAAGCTTCTGTATCGACACAACTGGTGGTGATCGGTTGGGATCCTACCCAGGTATAGACTCAGGCGGCGTGGATTTCGGTCGTCTTGCGGCATATGTAGGTAAGTCGTGCGGTCAGTAGGGCGGTCTATAAGTGGGAGCGCACACTGGGATTGAGGCTTTGAATGGAAAAAATGACATTCTTAGGACCACTCAATCTGCAGGTAGTCTCTCCGGCTTCCTCACTTTGCCACCGTAGCCTTCTGACTCCAATAATTCGAAAGGCCGTATGGCAATGCTGATACCATCGTTACTTCCTTCAAGAACGCCGCTCAGCGTGGCTAGACCTTGCACGTCTACTGTACTGTTGTATTCATGAATCATAATCATGAATGGACCTGTGTTCTCCGGCGCCGTAGCATCTGTCGTGACACCGTTCACCACACCGTTACCGTTGACGTCGCCAGGTGGAACATGAGTGGCGAGAGGCTTATATAACAAGGTGCGTCGATAGCCGTGTATCTTTCCGGCCGAGCTGGTTAGGTCTTGTAGGAGTGTCCTTGGGAAATGGTTGCCTGTGATTTTGCAATGGATTATGTGGGTTGCTGGCTCGTCTAGAGAAGTTCTCAATCAGACTGTTTCCAGCACGAAGGAGTAAGGGCTACTTAGGTACCTTTATCCATATGCTCATCATGAATGGCATCCATAAGTTGCAAGTCAGAGGAAGTGAAACTACCCACGTCGTGGCAACTGCTGGTCCCTTCCCAGAGTGAAGTCGTCAAGCGTACACGGTCTCTATATTCGGCGTGATTGAGAAAGTCCTTCTTGTCCGTCTGGTATACGGCTAAGAACTGCTTGAAGTCGTTGCCGTCCGGTGGTGTGGCCGAGGGTATTCGAGCTAAGGCTAGGACTTCATTGTCGTCTTCGGGTATGATTGGGGTCCGGACGACGTGGGACGTTGCACGGTAGAAGCAGGCAGTCTTGACTGCCCTGGTGTAGACCATGTCTCGGATATGCTCTTCGGTGTACCATTGGATCCATGTTGAGTGCGGGACACGGACCGGGTGGGAAGACGTGTGGACGAGGTATGGTTGTGGCATTCTCTCAATTGTCGTCGGTTGTCACCATAGACTTGGTTTGCTTTCCAATATTTCCCCCTGTGGTCTTATCAGAGGTGTCGTCTGCTTGGGAACATGAACAAAGTCTAGGTGGAAGTGGGGAAATGTTCATCCATCCATCCATCGTGCCGAAGGAGGCAATCACGACAGCAGTACTGTATATCTGAAGCCGCATGCGCAGGACGGAAATGGTGACTACATGTATCCCTCAGTCACGCATGACCGTTTTTAGGGTAGATTATCGACAGAACAGTTGTTCATGGTCATGAATTATAATGGTGATTTACAAAGAAAATAGTCAGGCAAGAATCAGCGGCAAGTGATGAGAGTGGGATGAATCGAAAGCACCCCCACTTCGCCTCGAAATTGACTGAACATTTGTCTCGTGCTCATCCATCCAATGACACCCTCCTCGATCACGATACGCAGCATGGACATCACTTCCTTCATCGCTTCACACCGTGAGGTCCTTCTCATAGGCGACTATTCCACCTACCGCGCTCAACTCTCACGTCAACTGCTCGGCCTCCGTAAGCGTCTGGGTCGAGCAACACCAAAGAGAGAGAAATTCGCTGCCAAGGCCATTACTGCTGAAGATGTTGGCAACAACCATGAGTTTGTGCACCTGCAACTGCTAACGGCGGAACGGGCGTGGGCTCATGCTATGTTCATGAAGACCAGTCGAGGCGACGATGTGAGCGGTGGTGGTGGAATCACGGGGAGCACGAGGAGCCATATCATCTCGCGCCTGGCTAAGGCGGGTAGGGCGGCGAAGGTGCTGGTGGATCTGCTACAGGAAAGGGATGTGAGCAAAGCCAGTGAGCAGGACGTTCTGGAGGCGAGGGCATACCGAAGCACTCTAGCTGGAGCGGAGGAGTTTGAGAAGCAGGCTGCGGGACAGAGAGAGGATGATAGACCGAAGGAGGAGCGGTGGAAGACCTGTTTGAGGTCTTATGCAGAGGCCAGGGTGATTTACGCTGCATTATTAGAGAAAGAGAGGAAGGAGGTGTATAGGGAGATCTTGGCGAATACGGTCGATCCTACTATTCGGTATGCGGCATATCAGGCACAACTTTCGACGACGATTCCGATACCGACGATTGCCACCCGATACTTTCCCAAGGAGGATAAGGAGCTGGTGGGGATGGTTGAGAAGGTGGACGAGTATGCTTTCAAGGACAAGCCAGTGCCCAAGGACGAGGACGAGGCACAGGCTTCACCACAAGACATTCCCAACAGTGTTACGTGGCGAGGTCGGAAAGCCAATATTGTGGACGCCTCGATTGGTCAGGCGTTAGCAGCAGTCACGGCGGCAGAGGCTAAGCTACGACCATATCTCTCGTCGAATCCTGCTGCATCGAGTCGAGACAAAGCAGCTGCGTACGATGATATCCTCACTGCATCCCAAGACGCAGCAGATGCTACGAAGCGTGCTACGGACGAGCTAGAGAAGGAGCGGGTAGATGAAGGCGATGCGCGTATGCAAAATTTGCGTGTCACTAGCCTGTCTGTCAACTACGATCTTGTCAGCTGGCGTGTCGGTCGGAACAGAGTCCTGATCGGCAATGATGACGGTCTCACATTTGCTGCTCAACAACCGAAGAAGCCGAGACGACCACGCAAGGATGGCACACCGTACCCCGAAAAGGAAGAACCACGATCACGCAATCTCGCTCGTTTGCGGGAACGCAATGTCCTATACGATGCCACAATCCAAAGCGTAAACTCCGTCAAAGACCTGCGCGGCGCCATGCGAGATGCGACCTTCGTCCAAGAGCTCGACAGCAAAGCCGCCTACTTCCGTGCCCTTAAACTCTTGAACATCAGCTACTCGCACAGCCTGCTCGACAACCACCTCAATGCTTTAGCTTTATTGAAACGAGCCTCGGACCTCATCTCCTCCGCCTCGGCGTCGAGCCAGACACCAGCAAACGCGCCACCAACCCTTGATCTCACTCAGGACTCAACGACTACAGTTCGCACCCACATCTCCTCTCTCCTCTCCCGCACCCACGCCCTAGTCGAACTCCACGCCCTCGAATCCAACGCCCGCATTGCGAACGAAAAGAACATGACTTCCTTTGCCTCTCTAATCCATAACCTCAACGCCTATCCTACCCCAGGGGTGCTCGTCGATGTCAAGAACCTGGTGCAGTACCCGCCCAAGCTCCAACCGGTGCCAGTCAAACCGTTGTTCTTGGATGTGGCGTGGAATTATATCGGGTACCCTGGTCATGAAGGCCAGGTAAAGGCGAGAGATGTGCCGGGACCTGCGGATGTTAATATGGTGAATGGGAATGGGGAGAAGGGTGAGGAGGCCCCTAAGAAGAGGGGGTGGTTCGGCTTTGGTCGTTGAGAGAATGGGAGGCGAGCGCACCTTCCTCATTCGTGAACATTAAGCTTCACTTGTCAATGGCTCGCTGGAGTATGGATCAAGCAAATGAATGTGGAATGCAGCGGCTCATATTAGACCACGGTTGGAACCAGTATTGAAGAAGTGCATTGCGCCGCCTATCACTCGTGATGTCCCTGGCCGGACACGAGGGCACTCGGTGAAAATCGTTACGGAACATGTAACACTTGTTCGCAAGCGCACGTCTCGTAAGCTGAATATCAATTGCCAGAGACTATACTACAGCTTGCTTGCCTCATTCTCCTTGCTTACCTCGACGACGAGCTTGCCGAATTGGCTACCGCTCTTCATGTCCTCAAATAAGCTATTGATGCCATCCAAGTTGTCTAGACCGCTGACGGACCGTGATACGACTGGCTTCAAGTGCTTGCTTTGCACAAAATTGACCATGTCTGCGAATTCCTTCCTTGATCCCATAGTCGAGCCGCGTACGTCGATGTTCTTGAGCACGACACTCATGAGGTATGGCATCTTGGGTGATGTAGTCATGCCATAGACGACGATGACACCGCCAGGCTGTTAAGATGTTAGCAAGTCGGAATTTTTGTAATAAGCAGAAGACGAACATACCCTGATGATCTTCGCTCCGATCCCGACGATATCTCCACCTGCACCATCAATAATGGCATCAAGCTGTTTTCTATCCTGCGGCAACATCTCGACGAGCTTCTTCTCCCATCCCTTCTCCTTGTAGTTAATGCCACCCGCCGCACCAAGCGCCTTAGCCTTGTTCAATTTCTCCTCGCTCCCACTGCTGACGTACACATTCGCTCCAGCCGCTACAGCGAACAATAGCGCCATCAATGCCACACCTCCCCCAATACCAGTAATCAAAATATTCCGTCCTGGCTTCGCCTGCCCCGACTTCGTCATCACCGCTCTCCACGCCGTCAAACCAGTCAATGGCAGAGCCGCAGCCTCTACAGCAGACAAATGCGTAGGCTGCTCCTCCAGCTCCCCAGCATCGATCGTGACCGTCTCACCAAGCGTACCAAGCGGGTTCATCTTCGTACCACCCAGTATCGCATACCCCTTCGGCGACTCCGGGCCCTCCAGATCATCCTTCCACCCACTACCAGGGTTGATCACGACTTTCTTGCCCTTCCATTTCTGAGCTTCTGAGCTCGAGCCTGTGGCTACGACTACGCCGCTGCCATCTGCTAGGAGCGGGACGCCGAAGGTTGTGCCTGGGTACAAGTGTTGGCGGAGGAAGAGGTCGCGGTGATTTAGTGCTGCTGCTGTAATTTTGACAACGACTTCATTATCCTTTGGTTGTGGCTCTGGTAGTTGGATGTGTTCGAGAGGATAGTAGACTTCGCCGGGCTTGCCGTCGACTTGGCGGATGGCTATTGCGGTGGGCATTGTTATGAAAATAAGTGGTATCGTACTTACACTTCCAATGGATATTCTACAGATTAATAAAGGCTTTCGGAGCTCTTATGCTGCTAGGGTATCGATGAAGCTCACCATGTTGTCATCAAAGCCGAGGTCGTCCTGTGGAGAACTTATCAATCCCGTTCGGCCCTCCTTGCCGAGCACCATTCACCAACAATCTGCTGCAGTCTCCCCTAGCAACAATCGGCCCCACATATCTCGCTGCAATTCAAATCCTTCTCGCAGCGTGCACACAGTCGGACTGGAGGTACTCGCCCATCCGCAAAGATAGAAGGAGTGGCAGCGATTGTGCGTGGCGAGTTTGTCTATCGCGATACAATCTTCGTCGATCTGGGCGGCGAGGGCTAGCGCCATCCTCGAGCTACAGAAACCGAGCTCGCATCTCTGCTAAATGGCAGGACCCCGAGAGATCAAGTCGCACACTTCTACGAAGCCCAGCTGATACACTATGGCTTGCCACGCTCCAAGGACAAGAACACTGCCAAAGTGCGACTGATGTAAGCACTCAATCAGGGCAAGCTGCTCATACCACCACATATTGCCGATATGGAGGCGCAGATGAGAAACGAGTATGCTGCTGCTGTGCGTAAGGCGAAGAAATGTAGTGTGGCTGATACACCTGTCACTAAGAAGCGCAAGAGCGAAGATGTGCCGGCTGAAAGCTCCAAGAAGACCAAAGTTTCCCTGAAAGTTGGAGGCATCACAGTCAACATCGAGCAGAACTCTTTGAAGCTCGAATCTGTGACTAAAAGAACGAAAGCTTCAGCTTCGGATGCGCCAACAAAATCGGCTACCGCAAAAGTTTCAGCAACACCCAAAGCTTCGAAAACAGCCCAGGAATGCCTAACGAAGCCTCCTAAGAAGATACCAGCCAAGGAGCCGTCGCCAGCAAAGAAAAAAGGCGAGACAGCCATGTACAAAATTACTCTGTCAAAGACCACACCATCCAAAAGCACTTCCGAAGCGAAAGCAGAGCCACAAGCCGAGATGCTCCAAGTACATTTCGTAGCACTCCCATCACGAAGCAATCCGGGTGGAAGAGGGAACCCAAGAAAGAACCGGCCTTCAAAAACCAATCGACTAACAAGGAGGAAAAAAGCATCAAGAATGACGCTGCTGTTGGGGACGCAACTCTCTCCTACCAGCACGCTACTACTCCACAACGGCTCACAATTCACGATGAGCACAACATCACTGGTATACACGACCTACAGTGCGAACAAGTCGCCCTCCAGCTGCCCGAGTATGTGGACAAGCTAGTGCTCCCCCTTTGCCTCGGCGGCAAGACGATCTGGGGAGGTTTCGAGCTCGCCAACAAATCCAGTGTCCTTCGCATCGATGGCGTTAAACTCGGGCAGAGTGTTTCGTTTGGATGGCGTACGCGAGATAGCTGGGACAGTGGTCGTCTGAAGTTCGGCCGTGGCTGCTTTGGAGATGGAAATGTATGAAGGGAGTGGAGTGCGAGGAATGATTCACAATCTCTTTCCTGAGTCCGTGATGTTCGAGGGACACAGAAGACCGGGGCCGCTGCGGTGTGGAAGGACGGGAGAAAGCTTCCAGCAGGAATGGGATGGGTTCGTTAACGACGCTTATGATCGTTGAGCTACGAGGGTGCTTATGGTCGTTGAGCTACGAGGGTGCTTATGGCAGCGGCTGAGCAGTATAGAGGACTGGAGTAAACGGACAATGTCGAGCACGCTATATACATAGACAACGCTCATCCACAGATGAAATCCTAATCGGCCATACAACCACCAGGACAAATGTCCGTGCCAAGAAAGTTAAATGAGGCAGCATTGACAGCGAAGCCGCCCAGCCGAAAGCCTGGAAAGCAGGCGCTCAGCCACAACACCAAGACTATCCCTCGGAGGAGAATCGTACATGTATAACGAACGTTTCCATTGACCTTTACAGTATCCAAATCTATAACGGTATTCACGCTTCACAACGGCAACATGGCAGAACACCACAGCATAGTAAAACATACATATAATGTCGCAGACCACCTCTTCTGGGACCTCTATCAAAATGCCAATGTCCTGGACGGGCATCGCAGAAAGTCGCCCATCTCTATGGCAGTTTTGAAAGTCTGGAACCCTGTCAAAGTCGTCATGTCAATACTCTGTTGTTGGATTGTGAGTGCCACTGGTTGGAATATGTCGATTTTCCTGACCACTGACAAGCTTCAAGGGTCTAGCAATGGGCGCAAGATTGCTCACTTTGACCATGGTAGAGATGCCTGCCACTGTACCTTACAAATCGGCAGAACAACTGTCACCTCTGCCAATCTCAACAAAGGACGTTGAACGGGTAAAGCAAGTCCACGCCAACCGGCCTGCGAGTGAGAGACCATCGCTAGTATCTGAGGACATGATGAGCGCAGTACCGGTTTTACCACATTTCTGGCTTTTGGCCTTCACTTCGGACACGATCACTGCTATGCTGAAAGACACGACGACGTCCGGCTTCACTTACGTATCTGCCATAATTAGCCTTCTGCTGTCGGTGGACACACTGTTTGGCCTGCAGGGCCCTCTAGCACGATCGGGTTTGTTCATCAGTCTATCTATGCTGTTGGCGCCTCTGCACATGCTCTGGACCCATTGCCTGATCACTCCAGCTACCGGTCCATCGATAAGCGAACGGATGAAGACCATGAGACTCTTCTATCGACCGCTGACGGTGCCCGCGCTGCTCTATGCGACAGCCCAGGCTGTGGTAGTGGCATACCCGATATACTTAGGCCAGCATCTACTCGACATAGACCTTCATTGGGACCTAGTGTCAACCTCACGCGTGCTCGCAATACCATCAACGGCAGCAGTCTTGCACATCTGTCTGTTGCTCCCCACTGGTATAGTATTGAGCCGAATCGAAGCTGCATTGCTCCCCCGGGAAGAGAATATGGTCGTGCCATTCGAGGCCATCAGGATCATTAGTAGCGGTGGGAAGTCTTCCGAGACGTCCTTTGTCGTTCCATGTTTTCAGGCATTGCGCTCTATGGACTTCCAGCTGTGGCGACGGGTCGTCAAACATTCCTTCTTGTGGATGGGCGGCCTAGCCTTGGCTTGGGGAGTTCGCCACTTCTTATGAGAGGGACTATGCGTGTTGCGTGCACAATGCGGCACTGCAGGGGAACGACGCCATGAAAGTGTCGCATTGGAGACCATCATTATCCTCTTCCTCGGACCAGACCGGCCCGAAGTCCGACCTCTAATCTCGTTTAGCAGTATATTGCGGCACAGAGGAAGATCCACCACTCCAGAAGCCAGGTGAAGTGATGGTAGCCACGCAGAGGTCTTTAGTAGCCAATGTCGATATAAGTCTTTATGCACCAGCGTAACCGCACTGTCGATGCCGGTCTCCAATCTCCTACACCGGTACAGGCAACCCATCAGATGCACCTCTCGTGCTACCTAATCCTGTATGTGGTTCACACAGTCATGGCTGTGACCTGCCCTGCCCTTGAGAAGGTGTCTCAGCAGCTGGTCACAAATTCGAACCCTGCTCGCGATGATCTAGAAGCAATGGACTCCCACCGCTGCGCAGCCCTCCACAACGCCATCTATGAGCATGGCTGGACCAGCGCTTTCGGCGACACAGCCGATTTCCTCGCCAACACCGAGACCTGGTGGGAAGCTTTCGCCACCCCAGGCTTCGGCACCGCGGACATGCATTCTTCCGTCCAAGAGTTCCTGAAGGAAGCTCGAGTGCTACGCGATCGACAGGAGCAAGATAAAAACTTCTTCTATTTCATGTCCGGCCTCTCTCATTCGAACATGCTAGATGGTGAAAAGGATTGGTTTGATATCGGTCATCCGAAGAGGTTGATGACGTTATATGAGACTTATTTCTCTTTTGCTACGAAACTGGACGGATTAGTGTGCGTCCCCTAATCATTCGCGGGTGCAGAGTCGAGGGCTGATATCGTGGTAGATACGATCAGCTCAAGCAAAAAGCCATCACGCACTTCGACATCACAGATGATCTGGAATTCGAGCCTGAACAACCATGGCGACCGCTGGAGACCATCCTCACGTTCTGGATCGATCTGATACGGCGTGAGAAAGTCATTGCCGTATCTCCGGAGTTGTCACAGCCGAGGATTGAGTGGCGACCCATTCCGGGCACGCAGAGCGAGGGTATGCAGGAGCTTCCGCAGCATCATCACGTGACAGGGGATGTTTTGAAACTAGACGACCATGCTCCGTGGGCGATGCAGCCTTGGTCGCAGATCGACCTCGACGAAACGTTGTCGGTATGGGAGATGCTTGTGGAGCTGATAGAGCAGAAAATGGGAATGCCAAGTGACCCAGTCTCCGAGAGAATGCTGACTGCAGATGTCCTGGACGCAGCTGGCATACCAGACGGCTATGCTCGCAGATTCCTGTCGCAAGCCAGACGGCCACGCTTCCAATACATTGCGCCCTGACTCGAGCTTCCGACAAAAGAGGCATTCATCGATCAGCCTGCACGGGATGAGCCTCGACCGAATTGGATTGTCCCTGAGAAGAATATAGACTACCCGGAACACGTATTCCCCATCCTACTGTTCCGCCACAAGACAAGCAGCCAGACGAGCGCAGATCCATTCCAGAGTCCATGGACGCAGCACATCCTGACCAACGGAGTCGTTGGCTTGTATCTCGATGCCTGTGATCGAAGCAACCGTGTCGCATACGAAGATGGGTTCCGCTTAGTCCTGCCTTTCGCATTCGATCGCTTCGGACCAGGATGGGCTGCCCGTGGCGATGGAAGCCAAGTGATAGGGTACGATGAATTGTTCCAAAGCGGTGTGAACCCGTTCAACGATAGCCATCCGCCAAAGCTTGTGGCGTTTCTGTCGTTTGCCTACCACAAGGTTGCCAGTAGCGCGTGGAGTGTGGATGAGCACGGTGTAGCTGGTGGTATCGATGTCTGGAAAGAAGCCAATACGGAGGAGTCCTGGCAGGAATACTGGTTGCCTGCTGAGTATATCGGCTTTCAGTAGAGGAGACTAGCCAGAACTCCAGCTTATTTGTTTTGACACTGCATGAGCCTCAATCTCCTTCATCTTCGCCTCGGCTCTGGAGCTCAGATCTCTCAGCTCGTGCTCCAACTCACTCGCGTCAGCCAGCTCACCAAACCTACGACGCCACAACGCCCACCGCTCCCCACAAAACCCGTACATGCCGTCCCAAAGCGGACCTCCCAATCCCGGACGGCCTTGATTACCACCATGCGGAAATTCCTTCTCCATTCCAAATAAATGCTCGCCTGCAATCTCGATCCACACCGCTGCGCCAGGGACATTGAAGTCCAGCGGAGACATCTTCGCACGCTCGATACTGGGGTACTCGAGCGCGGCTCGAAACGTCCAGAGAGCCAGAAGACTATGATCCAGAAAAGACAAGCCTGTCGCTTGCTGACGTGCAAGGAAAGCATTGATGTTTACAAAATTGGCGATCGACTGCGCGCGATCGCTGGTTTCCCACGGTGGTGCGGCACGCATACGTATCGGGGCCTCCCAGTGCTCGCGTCCAATCCAACGGATTTCTGGGAGCTCGCTCCAAAGTTTCTGACCATTGGCTTCTGCTTTTGTCCCGTTGACGAAGCGAGGAGTCGGGAGTTTAGACATGTGCAGCAGAACTTCAACGAGTAGGTCTTGATGTGACGGGTTGTCTCGGGCGTGAAAATAGATAACGAGCCAGGTGTCTTCGATCACGGAGTTGCAGTTCTGTTCGGTAGGGTCGGTGCTGTCTGGGTCGAGCTCTTCAATCCGGGACTCTGTGATGGTGGCTAGGTCCTCGGCGGCTTGTTGTGTCGTGATCTCGTTGGAGAAGAGGGAGTGCAGTATATCTCGTCTGCTTTGTAGACGAGCATTGAGCTGATCGATGACCCATTGTGCCATGGTAGCGAGGCGTTGAAGGAAGTATTGGGGGAGTGAATGTGAGCTGTGCGTAGGGAAAGAGGCTGAGTTGTATGTGTAAGATCTCTCACGCTACTCCACCTACCTGCGGTTTGCCACTCTAGGACGATGGTCGAGAATGATAGCGTGTGCCACGGTGTGACGGACATGGTGGTTGTCCGGCTCAAGTGAATCGCCACGACGCGGAACGACTCCGTCTGTTGAAGACAACCCCCACCAAGCAATGACTCTTTAGACAAAGTTGCGCCTCTTACCGCGAATTTGATTGCAAGACGCACGACCACGAACACAAACATACAGCCAGCGAAGAAGCGCCCAGCAAGAATCGTCCCAGGCCGCCATACCGGCACGCAACACCGCGATCATGTCCCTCACCAACTGCCGCTTCTACGAGGAGAAATACCCGGAGATCGACTCATTCGTCATGGTAAATGTCAAACAAATCGCCGAAATGGGCGCCTACGTCAAGCTCCTCGAATACGACAACATCGACGGCATGATCCTGCTCTCTGAACTCTCCCGCCGCCGTATCCGTTCCATCCAGAAACTCATCCGAGTCGGGCGGAACGAAGTCGTCGTCGTGCTGCGTGTGGACAAGGAGAAAGGGTATATTGATTTGTCCAAGCGACGAGTGAGTCCGGAGGATATTGTCAAGTGCGAGGAGAGGTATAACAAGAGTAAAGTCGTGCATTCGATTATGAGGCACGTGGCTGAGAAGACCGGGACGCCGATCCAGGATCTGTATCAGGATATTGGGTGGCCGTTGAATAAGAAGTATGGGCATGCGGTCGATGCTTTCAAGTTGTCGATTACGAACCCGGATATCTGGAATGAGGTTACGTTCAAGAGTGACGTTATCAAGGATGAATTCCACAGCTACATCAGCAAGAGGCTCACACCACAACCCACGAAGGTGCGCTCGGATGTGGAGGTGACGTGTTTCGGATATGAGGGTATCGATGCGGTCAAGACTGCTCTGAGAACTGCAGAGGCGAAGAGTACGGAGGAAACACAAGTCAAGGTCAAGCTGGTTTCGCCTCCTCTTTACGTCTTGACGTGCCAGACGCTGGACAAGACAGTGGGGATCGAGGTTCTGGAGCATGCGATCAAGGAGATCGAGAGCAACATTCGCGCTGCGGGTGGCAGCTGCACGGTCAAGATGGCACCTAAGGCTGTTACAGAGAATGACGATGCAGAGTTGCAGAAGCTGATGGATCAGAGGGAGAGGGAGAACCAGGAGATTAGTGGTGATGAGGATGATACTGAGAGTGATGAGGGGGTCGTTGCGACAGGCGACTAGACGAGGGATGATTTCTGAAGCAATGAGTCAGGCTGGGTGGGTAGCATGGCTGGCGTAAGGAGTGCGTGCGCCTGGAGCTGCTGCATATTGCAAGCTCGGCCCGGAAGTATTTGGCGAAAGGCGTGCTGACACAAGCGTCTGTATGAGCTGTACGAACTATCAATTTCGAATACAACGCAGTATCGGTTCCAGCCAACGGATGAGTATGGTTCACTAGGTATTTATCATGCAGCTCGATCACATCACTAGACCGTATAGGATTGCTAGAAATCATGACCATTATCGCTGTGTCAGCAATACGTACTGAGCAAGATATAGACAACTGATTCGCAACCACTAGAGGCCAGGATATCGCAGAAGACACCAGCCGCACGACTCACGCCCACTCCCACTATCACTCAATCTCAACTCGCTACTGCGTACTGCCCCACTCAAGTATAAACACTCTCCGTAATAGTATTAACCTGCAATCCCTTCTCCGCCATCTCCGCCTCACACAAGAAATCCAACGGCATCCACACCAAATGCCCCTTCACCCTGTCCAACTCCTTCCTCACAATATCCACAGGCTGATACGGATCAAACAAATGTCCTGCCTTCCTGCTCCCCTTCGCACCCAAAAAGTGATCATACTCCTCGAACGTCTTGACGTGATCATCGGGATCCGCATGGAATAAGTGGCGGAAGATCTGGGTGTTGGTTGTAGCGCGCTCGGTCCACATCTCCCATAGCTGATCAGACATGGGGTCTTCGACGAATTGGTTGTATTCGTCGTTTTGGAACCAGTCATTATCTCCGTCACTGGGCGGTTGGGCGTTGATATCATTCTCGGCGTCGAGGGTTTGGGCGGGTAGGAGACCCAGGTGTTCGCGCCAAAGCATCCGGCGGAGGGTAGCGGCGTGGTGGCCAGCCGTGAAGGGTTGACCATCCATTTTGGAGGGCAGAGCCAGGGTGTCCTCCATTACGATGGAGAGTTCCGAGTCGTGGAAGCCGAGTTGGGAGCGGTCGTTGATGTTGCTTGAGCCGCAAATTACTATGCGGTCGTCTACGATGAGGATCTGTGGAGCTGTTAGTAACTCCTCACTCGCCTTCGACGGAACGTTGAGATTGTTTTACCTTGCCATGAATATAAAGCTCCTCCTGAATGAAATTCTCTTTCTCCTGCTCCCTCATCTCCGCATTCTCCTTCTCCAACCTGCCAGCAGCGCCATGATCCTTCTCCCTCCCAGCATAGTTCTCCTCGCTGACCTTCGGCTCGTCCAGCAAGGCATCCTTAGCAATTGAGTCCTCAGACTGCACATGATCATCCTTCCCTTCACCAGCCAACCCAACATCGCGCTTGCGCTCGTTCCAGGCCTGCTTCAAGTTCGCCTGCCTATCACCACTCTGTATGTCTGCTCTATCAGGCGCTGCAGGGTGGTCTTTTGAGCCCTCTCCCTGTGCTCCGTGTACACCTGTTGGCATGATCTCTTCTGCTTGGGCACGCTGGAGATCTTGATATTTGACGCCAGATTTCTCTTCTTGCTCTTTGAGACCGGGTGTCTTGTTAATGCGGTCGTATGAGCGAAGATTGAAGACGAAGATGTACTTGGTCGGATCGACATTCACTGCCTTGAGACGACCATATATGGAGTGCTCGCCTCGATTAATCGATCTGAACTGGTAGTCCATGATAGCGCGCGTACCGAGCGCAGCATCGTCACGCAAGTCACCGGCGAATCCAGGAATCGTGGGTAGCATTATAATCACCCGGAATTTCCTGCCTTCCTTCTCTGCTCGAGCACAAGCGTCCACAATAGCGGCGCCTATCTGGTTGTGGATCGGCGATTGACGTTCTCCGGTAGCTGTAATGAAGAATTGGTTTTCAATGTACACGTAGTGATGTGCTTCACGAATGATCTGACAGTAAGCATTCTGTATCGACTGCTCAGTCAAGATACCAGAAGACCAATCGGCAGAAGAGCGGACGAGCTGAGCATGGACAGTTCCTTGGCCACCTTCAACCGAGAAGGCACCGGCCAGATTACTCGGGTAGCCTTCACGTTTCGCAGCCATACCTCCGGAGGCAGTAATTGTGCCTTCCTTCTTCGCATTGTTACCAGTCATATGAGCATTCTCTTGCAAGCTACCAGGGTTCTGCATTAGATCTTGACCACCGTCTAGCTGGCGTGCTTCCTGCGGCAGCTGTGGGAGACTCTTGTCGCCGCGGGGATGTGGTCGATGGAGATCGTGACCATGCTCGTGTAGGAACTTCTCCGCGCCATGGCCAAAACGATGCTGTTCACTCGTGTAGCCATGTTCGTCCAGTGTCTCGTGAGCGTCGTGGAACTCATCCTCGCCATCCGCACCAGCCGTCGCACTGCCACCTGGCACGAGACGTGACTGATTTGGTCTGCCTGTTTTATTCTCAAGGTCGTTAAGAGGATGATGAATGTAGTCACCCACTGGATGCTTCGGTCGCTGGACGCCGATCAGGTCCTCGTTATCACCAGTGCGGCCAGTCATGGTAAGCCAGTCATACCTGTCATCTCGCTTATACTTGTCACGCTTGCAGAAGTTCCACCGCAGAATAAAGTGTTCTGCGATGTCATACACACAAGGTCCGATAACGCCCATTGCCACATCATGCCATGGCATACGGCCGTATTCAGCTTTGGACAACTCGTTGCTCTTCCAGTCTTCGACAGATTTGAAATCCATGATGCGGTTGTTGTTGAAGTCCTGTCCTGGAAACAATTCGTTCTCGACACCAGAGGGATGAGCGTCGGCAAGTGGATGCTGTCTGTTGTCCCATCGACCGAAGCATAGATCGAGGCCACCAATGAATGCCAAGTCATAATCAATCACGATAAATTTCTCGTGATGAGCCCAGTAAAAGGTCATGTCGCTAGCGTTCTCGAAGACATTATGGTCCGGATGTCGCATCACAATGATGTTCTTGTAACCTGGCGTGCCTTCCGGACATAGCGCCTCAAGAGCATGTTTGGTATGCATGGAATTACACGAGACGGCAGCCTCAACCTCCTTGTACACCACAACGTAGATCTTGACACCACGCTCGGCAGCACGCTTGAGCGTGGTATCGAGTCGCCACTCCTGCTGTAAGTGAGGTGGCCGACGAAGGAACAATTCAGGACTCAGCCACCAGTCCTCAATGTAGATCGTCTCCTTCGCCCGCTCCAAGGCCACGGAGACAGCATGGAAGTAGTCACGTCCATCAATGTACCACTTGATGCGGTTGCCATCCCGCTCCGGCGCGAATGACTGAAAGCGATGGCCCTCAGCGATAGCGGTCCGTTTGGCATCAGTCTTTTGCTCATGCTCCTCGTCGTGGCGGTGATTACTATTGACCAGATTTTGGAATTTGCCAACACGGTGCTTGAGGTGAACAGCGCCGACTTTTACATCGTACAGATGCGTGTCCTTGAGTTTGTTCTTGAGCTTGCCCATGAAGCCACTGGATTCCTTCTTGTTGGCTGAGGCTTCAGCAGCATCGTGTTTCTGGTCTTCCGCACCACCAACATCGTGCGTTCTGCCTACCATCCTTGCGACTTTCTCTGATCCGGTGGATACGGGAGGCAGTGTGCGAACAAGAAGAATGCGACTAACGCCTCTCTCTCACACGACCACTTTACTTGGCATAACCGGATCTTGCAGTAGAGCCGCCGACTGCCGCCCGATCTTATGGACGCTGCCCGGTTCCTGATGGACTTGCAGAAGTCGTATTCTCACGTACGTCATGCGTGCCCCGCTACTTCCTAATTCTACAGTCACATGCTCCGCTATCAGCTTGGCGGTACCAATGTACGTTAGAGATAGAAAGCGAGGCAAACATCAAGCGAAACGAGCGGAATACGCCAAGGGGGAAGTTGTGCAGCGACAACACAAATTGACATCATCACTACATCCAGAACCATGATACTTCGAAAATCGTTCCAAACTATGTCGTCAAATGCCAGCACACAGTAGCCATGTGCGCCCGTCATCGACCACGACAGTACAGGCATGTCAAACCTCTTCCCTGCCTGCCTCATCCCTCTGCACCTGAAAGGCAAGGTCCTTCAGCCGTTTAGAGAGCAGGCCCTCACTTCTAGCTCCAGGCTGCCGCTCTCGACTGCGGTCACGTTCGAAACTGAAAGGGTCGTCAAGCTTCCGTATACTAGCTAGTTGAGCAGACTCCGCCATGCGAGAGCCCGGTGATAGTGTTGTCGACTCTGACCATTGAGAATCATTTTCTGTACTCATTGGGCTCATCTGTGATCGGCTGGCAGGACGAGAGTCCAGAGGTGACAGAGTTTCGATGTGGAAGGGCAATGGTTGCATTGGTTGGCTCATGTTGTGCCCATACTCCATGGCTGGGAGTGATTGCGCGATATGGTACTTTGGCCGCGACCACGTCTCATGTGTATGGTATCTGTTATGATCGTCTACGATTTCGGCAGCGGGCTTCGGTGTCGCACTGCTCGTATTGACAGCATTGCTGTCTCTGGTCGGCTTGTATGTGCTATATCTAGGTTCCGGCAGCTGTGTCTCGTTGCGTAACTTCTCCTTGCCATCAGGTACACGATTGGCGAAGACAACTCGTATGGATTTGTACAGGAAATACCTGCCTTTTGCTGGGCAGCAGATGTGAAGATGGACCAGGTATCGCAGCATTGGACGCTCGTTTGGATCATCGCTAGCACTGAGTGAAGCCTCTGGTCGATCTGTACCAAGATTCTTGCGAGATGTGAGTGGCATATCTATTATCGGTCCAGCACTGTAGCTGCGTTGCCGTATGAACGTCTTCTGCCCTGGCTCCATGTCTGAGAGATCGTAAGGCACCAAAAACAATTTGACTGCAGTCTTGTTCGGATTCTTGATGATGATTTGAAGCTGTCCTTGCTGCGGTATGCGGTAGCTTCCTCCTGGAGGTGCCTTTGGCGAACCAGACCTTCGTTTTAACTTCGCTCGCTGTCGCTTTCGTGCTTTGGCACCTGCTGCCGACTCTTCCTCGCGGGTGCGTGACGAACTTCGACTGTTCTCTGCACTCAGGACACGATTCAACTGCTGCCGACGTCTCTCAGGTGATATGTCTGCACTTGGGATAGTGTTCTCGAGGTCGACCATGCCGACATAGGGACTCGGTTGGTCAGTCATAGTTGATCCAGAAGCATAGCTGTAGAAGACAGCAGGAAACGGCACCGTAACATGCGGTGGACATCTCAGCTTTGGCGGGCAATCGCCCTTGCCAAGCACACCAATCTGCGCCACGAAGTTGAGTGGCTTCGATGGTGTGGTAGACATACGACCACGTAGTATGGATTCTTCGTATGAGCCTACCATGGGTGCATGTTGTAGACCTGCTTCGGCCAGTGAAGGCCTCCGCAATCTTGGCACAGGCGTATGAGGTAGACTTTGGAAGGAGTGCACTGACCTGCGAGGTTGATGCGCCTGGTATGGAAATATTTTCCCAGCACGTAATGTTTGGTTGTTACCGCCGAGATTACATGCAGATGCCGGGTATTCGACTGACGTTTGTGCGTGTTTGAAGGAAGGCGGCGAGAAGGTATGCCTACGCGACTTGTCTGGGCTGCGAGATGTACGCCGAGTACCAGGCTCGGGCGTATCGGGTCTCGAGGACTGTACGAGAGGACTAGTAGGTGGTTGATAAGAGAAGCTTGCGGCGAGCGTAGCCTGTGATGTCGCCCGAGGTCGAGCTGCTGCATTGGCGGATGGACGTGGCGGACTCGTCAGGCGGTTGTGTTGCGGTCTGGATTGGCGAAAGACAGCAGCAGGAAAGTCTGGGTGCCACGGCGCAACAGGAGATGTGGATAGCGATGGTGCGAGCCCTTCATTTTGCTGCTGGCCGAATCGCTCAAAAGCTAGGCCAGCATCATCCTTCTCTCGGAAGTCGCCGCGATGCAATGCAGATCGTGGTCTCTCGATCTGCATACCCATCGCCTCGTTGTCCGGCAACTTCTCTGGTGTGCGAGGACGTTCAGGTGACGGGGACCTCCATTTCCTGCTCTGCCCACCACTGACGCGTTCAAGCTCAGGTGAGCTCGGTCTACTGTCACGGCTCTTTATGCGCTTTATCAGCTCGTTCCTGTCAACAGGCGTATGGCTGCGGCCGTTTGCAGGGCTCCTGGGCCGGCCAGTGTAGAATGGGTTGAAGATGAGACTTGGACTCTGGCGGCCGTCATGCTCAATTGGAAGACTCTGATCTTCGTCAGGCCTTTCTCCATCTCTTCCAGCAGTTTGCTGTGCTTCGAGCGGATTATAGATAGCCATCGTGGAGTGCCGGAGCTACTCGTAGTAGAGAGCTTATCGCGCAGCGTGTAAGCCACCAACTGATGCTTGCAGCTTCCCTGGCGGTCATGAGGAGAACATCGAATGTATGAGAGGGTAGACCGCCAGCAGTCAGCAGAAGACGGCGTGAGCTGACCAGCAAAGCAAGGACGGTACGGTGAGGGTCGGGTTTCAGGATCACGTATGGCGTAGCTTGATGGAGATGCGGCTTCTTTGGCTTGTTGACAAAGACGTCTTGGCTACCTGGTCTGGGATGTCATTGGCACTCATCAGACATGATGAAGCATACATGGTTGGACGTCTTATCGTCGTCCTATCGTGCCGAGCACATGCCATGGCTGGAGGAGTCGGTCATCTGACGTGTTCGCATCATCGCCAGTTGCGGATTCACCAACGGCCAAAGTCGGGGTGAAGCACATCTCCACTTCTGACCCGAGCTTTGACCTCGAATTTGCCTTCACGTTCTTCAGAAATATTACAACAAGAATCACAAGGACATATTGATAGCGACATGTCCGAGAAGCGCATGAGAGACGATGGCGCACCGGTGCCAGACTATAGACCAGGCAAGAAATCGAAAGTACAGAAAGGCAAGCCAGGAAGACCACAAAAGAAAGGCTTTTCAGTAGGCCCTGCAAATCTGCCTGATGGAACCTACCGACGAAAAAGTACAGTATTACAGTGGGCACAATCAATGATCTATCCTAACCATGTGTAGCTCAGGAGATCAAGGACAGTCTAATCAAGCGTGCCAAGATCAAGAAAGATTATGCCAGGGTTCAGAAGCGTGGCGATGTGCAAAGCAAAGCAGAGACCATTCCTCAGCCTGCTTCCATGCAACTGGAGCGGCAGAGAGCTGCCGAGCATCGGGATGAGCCCGTAGACCAATCCGAGGATCCCGTCAATCAGGATGAGGTCGAGCCAGAAGAACCAGCGGGTGGCCCTCATCCTGACCGCCAGACACTGATAGAGCGAGAGGCCGTGGACCCGACTGAAGCCGCACACCCTGAGGAGAGAGCTCGAGAAAGTCAACGATACGAGCGCCGACAACGAAAGCCGAAAGCTTTGCCATTCAAGCGAGAGCACGATGCAGCCCAGCAGCGGAAAGCTGAAGCAGAGGAACGACGGAAAGCCCGCGAGGAGGCTGAGCGGCAACGCCAACAGAAGATCGAGGAACGAGAGCGCTTTCGTAAAGCTATGGCGAAGGCTAGATCTGGTGGCGTGAATGGGCAGAGGAAGTTGGGACGAGAGAGTCAGGTTTTACTTGAGCGTGTGAAGCGCATGGTCGGTTAGCAAAAGATAGCAAAACCAAAGGCCTCGTTCGCAGCAGTCGTACTAGTCCACGTTGACGATGATGAGTACCTTGTCGTGATTGTACCCGAGCCGAGCAGAGCAGAATCGACAAGAAGAAAGTGCATCTCAGCTTAGCTGTTATGCTAAACTTGTGAATCGTGGGCTGCCAAACGATATCCACTCTGCATGAACAGCGAAACGCAAATCAATAAGATCCCAAGGATCAAATTACTGACATACAAGGTTAGGTTCCCAGTAGATGGAGAGATAAAAGAAGCGGCTATCTGAGTGTCCGACATCGCAAAGCCAACAAAGCCGACCTCATCTCACATCGACCTCACATCCACTTCTTACTAAACAACCGTGACATGTCTCTGAGCTTTCACAATGCCCGTCTATCATATTGGTACGATGTCTTCCCAACAGCTTGATCGTCTCACACAGCCACGCTAACGAACCACGAATCGGCAGTTCTCTTCAAGCTGAAGCAAGGCGTCAAGCCTGAGCAGATTGCTCAAATGAGCACGCTAGCTAAAGGCATGGTCGGTCAGATACCTGGTATGCTCTGCCCACGTCGCAAGTTGAATTCCCCGACTCATCATGCTACAGGTCTACGCAAGCTCGACTTCGGTGGGCCATTACCGGTCACTGCAGGTCGAGGCAAAGGCTACGATATGGGTATCGTGGCCATCCTAGACAAGCCAGACGATGTCACGGTCTATGCGCAGCATCCTGCGCACCAGGAGTAAGTTTGTGGATCGAGACTTTGTTTGACCGTGGGACTGAGAGGAACGCAGAGTGCACAAGTTTAGAGAGGCACTATGTGAGGATACGCTTGCCTATGACTTGGAATTTCCGGAATAGCAAGACAAATGCAGAATCATGACCACGAAATATCGTGCATTTTGTGTAGTACAGAGGTGTTATCTTTGTGCATCACAAGTCGTCTTGCGAGCGTCGTCTACACAAAACGCTCAGCTGAGAACCACCACCAGTGCTGTGACCATTGAACCTCCGTGCTGGCCACCGCTCCAATCCTAACCAGCTGGGTTCAGGCAGGTGAAGGCAGTGACCGCTGTCGTAGAGTATGTCTTGTGCATCGAAATGACACTGGCCCAAATTCCCAGGCCGGCAGATGCAAACGCACCTAGGCAGTACAAGAAGTCGAAGGTGTTGATGATCGGGTTCTTCATGTAGCCACGGATCCAGCGCTTGTTGCCATTGTCGATGCGCTGGGCTTGACCAGTGGCGGGGTCGAAGTCTTCGCTCTCCACCATGGCGGCCTTCTGTACTCTGTAGCCGATCATGAGAATTGGTGGGAAAGTGTAGGTGAACTGCAGAATGCAAGCGGCACCAACGAAGGCAGTCATATTCGCGATCTGAGGGACAGCCGCGGCGATGACGAAGGCGAGACCCCAGTAAATTGGGACTAGAAGCAGAATTAGCTCAATTGCATGTACTCTGCGACAATTTGACTCACTCAGAACAACCCAGATGATCTTGCCCATTTTCTTGTCGAGAGATGGGAACCTGAAGATATCACGAAGAACCGTGGCGTAGATGACCTTGATGCCGATGTTGCCGTACAAAAGTGCAGCGATCAGGGCGGAGATGAAAGAGATCGCGTTACCCAGCGTCTGCCATTGGTAGGCAGAGGCAGGAATGCCCTGGTAGGCGACTGGGTAGGTGAATTGTCCCTGCAAAGTACTCGTTAGCAATGTGTCTGGGAGGCCTCCGGGAGTGGGCTTACCTGGGCAGAGTAGACGACCATTCCCATGATCAGGTAGACGGCGTAGATGAAGATGTCGGCGCACAAGAGGGCCTTCCAGAAGTCCATAGGGCGTCTCATTTCAGCCATGAGCTCGTTGAACAGAGTGGCACCACCGTAAGCGAAAACGCAGTTCATCAGACCATTGATGTAGTTGCTGAGGTCGAGGCCGGGTGGCCAATTGGCGGTCGTGATGATGGGCTGGGTGATATCGATGCCTGATGCCGCCGCAGCTGCGTAATTTGGTGGGTACTTGTGCACCACAGCCATTACCATGATGATCACGATCACGTTCAGCCAGATAGCGAGATTGGAGAGGAACGACAGGCGTTGAAGCGTTCGAATCTGTCCAAGAACAAAACCGCAGAGCATGAAGATGGCTTGGCAAAGGACGACTTCAAGGACGTTAGCCTCCAGGATTCAAACCAAACAATGAACGTTCACTTACAGCAAAGTTGCTTCCCGCCGGATGCACCACCAGTCATTTGGCCAAGAGCCTGTCCGTTGGAAACGATGATCAAGACAACGTTGAGGAAGAACTGGAAGCTTTGGAGAATGTTGCAGATATAGCGAGCCCAGGAACCGAACACACGGAAAGCAAGATCACCATAGTTTCGGAGCGGGTAGCGTGTAGAATCCAGGCCGACGAAGATCCTCCATAGCTGCCAGCCAGAGTATGCGGCCATGCCACCAAACACGGTGTACAAGGCAAAGCCTGGTCCGTAGCCCATCTGGGAGCTGGAGAAGTGTTAGTACCAGCCCTCGAACAAGCAAGTAGGTAGGCATAGTATCCTGCACTCACATTGCCCATGGTACGTTGTAAGGTCCAAGGATATCAGTCGTAATCAGATAGAAGACCGAGCCCCAGGTAGCAGTTCTCACAGCACGCTGCGCGTTATCCCACTCCGACTCAGATATGCCGTATCCCCTCTCGGGTGCTGCTCCGCTGTGCTTCTCGTCGTTGCGGTCACTGTCGCTACCCGTCATCTCCATGTTCTGCACAGGTTGGTCGGCATGCTTGCCAGAACCGGCGAAGATCTTCAAGGCACCGGAAAGTCCAGCGCCCTTGGTCTCGATAGTCTGCTCATACTCGCGGGAGCGGTTGGCCCAGTAGTGGTAGTCCTCAAACGTGATGCTGTTGTCGGCGTAGATCATGCTGCCCCGGCGAGCAACCACGGTACCGTTGACCACATCCGCAGCCACAGAGCCCTGACGGCCTTTGCCAATGGCATCGGCCTCGTCGCCAAGACGTGGATCTGCTGCACCTCCCATCAGAGCGGCTGAGCCGTATCCTGTCGCCATTTCAAGATGTGTTCAAACAATGTCAATGAAGGGAAAGGCAGAAGGAGGATAAAAGTCGATCGGTGTGACGGTGGGCGCCGCGGTCATGGTTATAAGAGATACAACCCTCCGCAGATGAGTTACTGTCTTTGGCTAGCGCTCGTCATTTGTCCCACGTCCTATCATCGGGCCTCCCGGTACGAACGATCGCTGTGCGACTCAGACTTTACAAGGGCCACACTATCGCGGACCACGACCAATCGTCGCACGCGACATGATAGCTGCCCGTCTTACCCCAACACCACGCGACAGAATATGAATAATGACGGGCTCGAGCTTCTGCTGGAGGAATGTTTTATTGCCACGCCAGTCCAGAAATGGCAGGTCGATGGCAGGCCTCGGTCTTAGCTACTGCTGCACCACGCGGATCATACCCAATCAAGATGTATACCCGCCGTGCCAAATCCTACAAGCACACCAAGCGCCGTCCAAGCATGAAATTGGCGTAGCTTAAAAACGACTTTCGCCTCCCCCTCATGCACGACTAGACCGCGATACCACACTGCGGGGAGTTCTAGGTGCATGAGGTCGTATCGAAGACCTGCAGAAGTGTTCGATATGAGAGCCAGGGTGGCCAGTCAAGCTGATGCCTGCGCCGCGGCTACGCAGGTGCTTCGTGGTTATGACAGGAGCAGTGCACAAAAAGGTATGAGAGGCAGCCGATCCAGTAACTCGGCTGAATGCAAGTTGACTTCATGTGGCTTTGCCAAGAGAGATGTACCACACCCTCCATCGGCAGGCGGGTACAAGCTGAAAGTCGCTTAGATGTCACGTCATTTCATCAGGTCGCTTTCGCGAGAAGTAGCAAGGCTGCGCTGGGGTTGACTTGGACGCTTCGAGAATGCTGCGATATCAACGAAAAACTAAATGCAGAAGCAACCAGATATGGGGTCCAGGGAGATGAAAGAGCGGCGGCTACAGAGCACGAGACATCGTAAAGAGAGTTCCACCAATCGGTCTGTGTACGGATCGGTCGGAACGATCATCTTAGTCACCACACTCATACTTTCACTTTGCCGACCACGCCATCGAAAACTAAATTGCGTGAACCAGTGCAATTCCCACGGGGTATCGAAGGCTAGAATGCGACGAAGATGTAAATCTGAAAGTTACTAGACCGTGAAAAGCCGATGCACCTGCCTGCACATCGAATTGTGCCATGCCGTGGGAGTAACAAGACTTTGGACAGAGTAGTGGTGGCCCCCAACGAGATGGCTGTACTATCGTGTGTACGCCAGCTACGTGCATGTAATGTGTGGGTGTCCAAGGCTTGGATTCCGCAGGGCGAGGATGGCTACTGCACAGCGTATATGAGTCCACGGTTCGTGACATGTCCGTGTGAAGTATGGATTTCATCAATATTGAGACAGAGTAATTGCATCAGATTTCGCGATAGTCGTCCACAATGGCTTGTTCTGCATAGTTGAGCGGCCTCGACGAGTCTCGCAGAAGATAGCGCTACGAAACATGAAACCCGGGCGATCGCAGGATGCATGCACTACGGTACACATAGAGCAATGCCGTGCACCCGGTGGTGGTGAGCAGATTGCCTTGGTAGCAAGCTGAAAGCAGATGCGACCAACGTACCATTGTCAATATCGCCGTTCAAGCTGGCATTTGGTCATTCCTCCACCATTATGCGCAACAATGAAGAGATGAGCGGGCTACGCGTTGGCTGAGTAGTCATTCGATTCGCCTGGGATAGGGGAAACAAAGACTGCTTCTTCGAAAGCGTCTTCTCCTACTGAGTTATTGCTTCTCTACTCACTCACCAAGTGTGCGCAAGCCTTATGCATCCGAAGTACCAACCTCTGTCGTTCAAGTTCTGACCGGGAATTGTTCTCAGGCGACCCTACCATGCCAGTCTGGAAGTGGAACTGTGTGATGGCTCTCAAGTCGGCGCAGCGATCCCGGAGGTAGGCTGCAGCAAGCACTGCGCAAGAATAGGTTCCATCTAGACTCGAGAGACACTGGTGCGGACTTCCATTGTCGTGAAGGGGTCATTACGCTCGTGAACGTTGGTGGACCTCAGAGCGATGGCAAATTATCTTAACGGAGATCTTGTACTGCGGCGAAAAGCGGAAGTGTGCCTGATCTGGGTTAGGCATCTTTGCGTAGGACTAGTGATCTCATGGACTTTGTCGAAAGTCTGAGCTGGTGATCATAAGGTATTGAAGGACATTTTATTCCCCGTACTGGTTTGTGTTGTACGTCTGGTTCATGTGCATAGCCCCAAAGCCGCCTTACCTCCGAAGTCATCAGGTCTGACGGGACTGGACACGACTCTTGACCGAGCATCGAGGCTTGTGACTCGGGGATGAGAGTCGTCACAGCTATCATCAGAGGGCAATTGAGCGGCGGACGGCATTCATCAGGAAGCCCGTCCATGGTGGCATGCTAGAGCGAGCAAAATCATCTCTCAAATCCGGAGCTCAGCACACTCTGCGATGCATCAACACGCCACACAAGAGCAATCGTCAACTTCACTCGACATTCTGGGAACATGGCGCCGGCGACCTAGAGGCAACCCATCAAGCATTTGCGACGAGGTCAAGATGGAACGGTACATTGGGTGGAGGTCGCGATGACCTGTGTGGAATCCCACGCAAGCCAGTGGCGGCGGGGACAGGATCTCAAGCACTTCGGGCGTCTCCTGTAGATGGTATCTTTCTCGACTTCCTGTACCCGCCTCAGGCTTTGCTATCGCTCAGGAGCGCTCAGTGTAGCGTACTCGAGACCAGGCATGCTAGGCGGCTGCCTGACGGCTTCGTACAAGCCTCCCGAGGCTACTCTTCTAGGCCGTTTCTCCACGAATTCCCGCCTGCAACTGAACTTGGCACGGAACAGACGCGTCGGGTCAAAAGTAGAAGCAAAGGGGCCCAGAGTCAGCAGAAAGAGAAGATGTACCGCATCGATGCGCACAAAGTGCTCAGTGCCATCGATGACAGCAATCGTGGAGTCGTGGCGGGCAAAATTCGGACTTCGGACTACGGACAGAGTACGGATGAAACACGTCACGAACTTACAGACTCTACTGGTGATCTGGCAGAAGCTGAGGCTGAGATCCGTGGGCCGCAGCATGAGCATGATGGACTGCAGCGTCTACGTAAGATGTTGGCTACGACGCGCGCTGCACCACGCACCGACTCTGGAGGGACACCCGAGTCGATCCTCCGTGTTCTTAGGCTCTACGATACGTTGGATGATGGGAGTAAGCAAGATGTGCGCCTCAAGGGTGAGCTTCTAACCTGGCTCTCCGCGCAGCATGACGCCGAAGCGGACATTCGATGCGGCCTTCTGTACAGTTCTATTCTTCTTGAGCATAGGTCACTTTTGATCTACCAGGCTGCGATCGCCTCATTTCTGCGCCGCGGTCTTCACATTCACGCTGTGAAGCTGCATAAAGAAGCTCTCAAGCATATACGGAATGCCGATCAAGTCACGAAGACGTTCTTTGATTATGCGGTCACGGAGAGCAAATGGCAACTGGCAATGAACGTGTTTTCGCAGTATCGCCTACATAATGCTCAAGGTTCGCGAGGCGTTGAGCTGTTCTGGCTGCATGTATCCGAGCTCCCCAGGTTGCTTGTCAAAGCACTATCTCTAGCCAAGTACTACCATGCCATGGATCGGGCTGGAACAGCAAACCACGCAGTTCGCAGCTTCACTTGTCGCTTCTACGCCGAGGCATTACTGCAGGAATTCGAGGACGAAAGACACCCAGACCCGGCATTCAACCCGAGAAATCTTCCGAAAGGGGCAATAGGTCGCTTATTCGCGCATGTACAGGCTCTTGACCAGGGAGCGCCGGAAATCCACAATCGACTATTGATTGCACTGTTACGGCCTCATCGCAAAGGGCCATACGTCTACCCTCAGATACATCGCATCGTCTCCTACATTTACCTCGCTCTACGAGATTCTGAGACCAAGATACATGAGAAGACTTTTGATCTACTTTTGAAGAGGCTCACGCAGTATTGGGATGATCTGCAGCGGCAAAGTGAAATTCACCATAGTATCACGGTACCAACTGTGCTCAAAGATTGGCAAGGACACTATGGCGTGCTTAGCCGCGATGCAGTCAGCCATGTTCTCTCCTGGTATGCAAGTAGAGGCCGTGTCGACCATTTCGACCGATGGCTGGAATATTATAAAGAGCACTATTCTTCGTACGAGGAGTACAAAGCTGTTCTTCACAGTACAGTATACCTCCACGCAAGACGGGCTGATCTTCCAGCCGCAAGATTGGCTTTCGATGCTGCGGTACAAGCCGCGGCTCAGCATAAGGAGACTCCACCGTTATTATGCTGGAATGTACTGGTACATGCCCACGCTCGCGTAGACGATCTTGAGGGTGGGCTCGAGACACTGCAGAATCTGATCTCCAGTGGCTGCAGACCCGATCACTACTCATTCCACCCGGTCTTACAGATGCTGGCCCAGCGAGGCGATGTTGAAGGTGTTCAGGATCTGCTCGTGCAATACGACGGCATCACGGAGGAGAAGCGTGAAGCCCACTTCGTTGGTAGTTTGCTTTTGGCTCATACCAACAGTGGTGACGTTGAGGAAGGCGAGCGGGTTTTACAAGAGAGCATCAAGGCTGCCAAGACTGGAAGCATAAGAGGCTCGCTCACTGGATCTTTCAACGCTTTGCTCACGGCCTATGCTCTTCGACGCGATGTGGACGCCACTATGCGTATTTACCACTGGATGAGAGACGAAGGCATTCGCAAAGACGCCAATACCTACGCTGCGCTTATTCAAGCGTTAGCTCTGCATCGACAAACACCAGCTGCAACCAAGATTCTCAAAAGTGTTATGCCAAAAGAGCGTATCATGCCCACTGCTTTCCATTATGCCATCGTGATGACCGGCTTTGTCAACCAGGGAATGGTCGACCACGCCCTGCGCATGCACAAAGACATGCGAACGAGAAATATTCGACCGACATTTACTTCCAAACTGATCTACCTTAAGGCCAAAGCGATCAAAGAACATCAGATGAAAGGTGGGAAGGAAGCAGTCACGCCGCTTTCGGACACCATGGCTGAATTGAAAATTATGCTAGCCAATAGCCTCGATAATGATGTTGCAGCACACCAGCCAGGGCTAGCGCTGGGCTCGCGGCAGGACAATAATGGGACTCCTGCAGCGTACTTTGCCTTTCTCATCTACGTGCATGGTAGACGAAGATGCTTTGAGGCTGTCAAAGAGTTACTCAACCAGTACCAGACGAGGACTAATACAGACGGACAGCACAATGTACCTATACATTTGTTGACAGCGCTGATGTCGGCCCATCTTGTGGCGGGCGAATACAGCGAGGTTGAAGGTTGTTGGCAGCTGGCGAAAGAGAGTGCTAATCAGCTTGCGAAGACGATACCAGTACCGCAGCTACAGGCTCTCGAACTCGAGCAGGACAAAGACATATCTTCACAGGCAGTATTGGGAGTCCTCGATCCAAATGCAAGTGATGCGCAGGAGGCTGGCTTTCGCACAAGCGACACAAACAACGCTGTCGTGGTAGATCAGGCCATTCACACTACAACAAGTGTACCGGAGCAATCCTTGTTGGCCGCTATGACGAGCGAAGCACCCACGTCGAGACCATCACCGGGGCGACGACATGTGCTAGCTCGCCCGCTTCGTTACTACCTTACCGCGTTACATCGTCAAAATCGGACAGCGGACTCGGTGTCTACAGTCACCAAGCTCATCCGTCAAGGCTACACGCTCGACAACCATACCTGGAACGGGTTCCTTACCCAACTATGCCAATCCGACCCACCACTTGTGCTCCTGGCCTTCACCCTCATGGAGCGTCTATTGATCCCTCATTTCCCTGGCTGGGCCGCCATGCCTCCTGGGGGCGCACATGCTCCAAACCCCTCTAGTAGAGCTGAAGGATTGGAGTATACCAAAGCCCGTTACCTAGCACCTGGACAACTCATGCCTAAGTACCGCACCATGGTACACCTTGGTTCTGCTCTCCTACAACTGAGAAGAATCGAGGCTGTTGGTAGGAGAGGGCCGTTGGATCGATCGATGTTCCGGGGCCTCGAGAAGTACATCGGAACTCTCAAGGCAGTAAGGAAGCAGGCACCACGAACATTGTTTGCTGTGCAAACGATGCCTACGATTGATGATGCGCTGCAGACTCGACTACTCGGAAGACGTGGCTGAAGATTAGTGCTACTGTGCAGGATGATGTACATAGATGTATTATATGCTGTTGTGCGAATGATGGCGGTCTTTAATTTGACCTCATTCAGCCCCCCCCCCTCGCTTCCATGATTTCGGGAGCAATACCGCCGTTAGGCGTACCACCGTAATACTACGAAAAACGTCACCTCGTCTACCCATCGTGGTTCTCCAATCGACCTCACCTCGTTTCTAGTCGACTTGAATTGTCCATCAGTCCGGCAATACAACGTCTTTGGGACACGCGGCGGTATCATGGCAATGTGTACTGTAGAGATGTACATTCCGAGCCGTCCATTAAGAGCTTGGGATTGGCTAGTCTCGCGAAAAGTCTCATCGCCACCCGGATTTCATCTCGTTCCAAGCAATGACTACGCATGCTGACGAACTCTTGAGTATCCTCAAAGTGGAAGCATCTCGCCAAGATGGTTATAATTACGATCCTGCAGACTGGAATTGAGTGACTGGGGGAATTGGTCTGGGCCATCTCGGAAGTACCTTATCAGCTGTACCAAAACATCAACGCCACTACCAGCGGACCTCTGAGCTTTGCTTTTCCCGCGGACGTGAGATCTCATCTACCAGGCATGATCTGACCTGGTTTCTGGATCCAAGCATTCACTTCATACCAGTATCGTTACACAGCATGTTCAATGAGGCACAAGCCGCCACCGGCCCTTGACGAGGGGAGACCAGCAGGCATGAACGACATCAAAACTTCCCGCCCGTCTAGTGAGGAGACTACGGAAGCGAACAGTTCTGGCGAGTCTCCAGCAGTAGTAGAGGAAAAGCCGGCGCGACGTCTAGAAGAGTATTACCATCGTCGTTCCTCTATACAAGATATCTTCCACCCGCGCAATTCCTCGGTCGAAACACCACGACGCAGGTCTTCACTAGCCTTGCAGCGCACGGCTACAGGCGCAAAGCACTGGTGGAAATTCACCTTGCGAGAGTGGGACGATGATGACGAAGAGGACTGGTGGTTTGCGTCGACCGCCATTCCGTTACTGGCCGCTACCATAGGACCACTGGCCAACGTTCTCAGTATTGCTGCTCTGGTGTCGTACTGGCGGATGTGCCTCGTCGACGACGCGACTCCAGCGACTGCAGCGCAGTGCATACCGAACGCCATTGTCCTGCTTCCGCTCCCTCTCACGGGCGTCACTTATCGTGACCCACATTGGTGTATCAGTCTCAACGCTGTCAGCCTAGCTGCAGGATTCGTGGGAAACTTCTTCCTGCTTTGCAACTTCACGAACCGGATACGGTACATCATAGCACTACCAGTGACTATTCTGATGTGGTACATCGCTACTGGAATTCTCATCGGCATCACTGTGAGCATGGAGCTCTACGCACCGCCCATTCGACCACAGCAAACATACACACAGGGGTTCTGGTACGCGGTCATTGCATGCTGTATGTATATGATATGTGCCATGATGCTCATGGTGAATATGCTTGGTTATGCGCTTGGACATTACTCTCAGCACTTCACTTTGACGGAGTCACAGCGCACCTTGATCTTACAGACCATGTTATTCTTCATCTGGCTCGCAGGAGGTGCAGGTGTCTTCTCGCGCGTAGAACTGAAATATGGTGATGGCACTCAGAACTGGAGCTATGTCAATGCCCTGTACTTCTGCGATGTTACTATCCTTACGGTCGGCTTTGGTGATCTTTATCCTACATCAAATACCGGGCGTGGGCTCGTCTTTCCATATTCCGTTGGTGGTATCATCATGCTTGGTCTCATGGTCTCGAGTATCACAAAGTTCGCAGCGGAGCTTGGACAGGATAAAGTGATCCGGCGCCATGTGGAGCGGAGTCGAGCCCGTACTGTTGGCCGGACTGTCACGACCTCACTCGAGATGGACAGACGGACGACATTGCAGCCAGCGGATCGCCCTGTTATTTCGGCTCCATTCCCAATGCCAACGGAGAGCCGGGCGACAACCATACAAATTGCAGATCAAGCTGGAGAGGGTGCTAACAAGAATCGGCGCACAAAGACTGGGCTACTGGCCTTCAAACGGGTGGTGTCGATCAACAAACAACCACGACAACGCCAGCCGAAGCTCATCCTTTTGCGAGAGGAGAAAGATCGCTTTGATGCCATGCGGCACATCCAACATGATACGTCAGTCTTTAAAAGGTGGTACAGCCTGGCCATGGCGGTCATAGCTTTTGGACTGCTGTGGTGTGTTGGAGCTGCAGTGTTTTGGCGCTGTGAGCATGAGACCCAGAACATGACCTACTTTCAAGGTCTGTACTTCTGCTACGTGTCACTTTTGACAATTGGGTATGGTGATCTAGCACCAAAGAGCAACCCCGGACGACCCTTCTTCGTCTTTTGGTCTCTGGTTGCGGTCCCCACCATGACGATTCTCGTCTCCGCGCTTGGTGAGACGGTGATCAACAAGTTCAAGGATGGCACGTCTGGGCTTGCAGACTTCACTGTACTGCCCAAACATGGTGTCTGGAGATCGTTCCTTGAGCATCACCCATGGCTGCTCGATTGGCTTCAGCAGAGGAAAGAGCGTAAAAACGCACTGAAGCGGGTAGAAGATGGATTCCAAACGGGACCAGATCCCGGGGCGGAACGACTAGCACCTACCATCGACGAACTTGCTCGTGATGATCCTACCAATGACGAACTCGCACGACGACTGCCAGAAGCTATCCGCAAGACAGCAGATGATATGAAGCGTACGCCTCGCAAACGCTACTCTTACGAGGAGTGGGTCGAGTTCACAAGCCTAATCCGCTTCTCCGCTATTAAGGAAGAGGATCGCGAAACAGAAGACGACGATGACGGCCTGATCGAATGGGATTGGATTGGCGAAGACAGTCCGATGATGCATAAAGGTAGCGAAGCAGAGTTCATTCTAGATCGGTTGTGTGAAAGTATGAATAGGTACATTAAGCAGATGTCGAGCAGGACATCTCTGCCAACGGACGGGCAAGAAAAATTGAAGCGTCCGCCTAGTATGAGGAGGAATAGTGGCGATAGTGCAAGCTTGAGACGGCGTAAGGCGGGCGATCCTGGAGATGATATTGGGCCCCTTGACGAAAAGACTGTATGATATTTGTAGATTTTGGCTGACCATGAGACTATCAAGAAGATCGCCGGCTGATTTTGATGTAACGGACCTACTACATTGACGGTTTGCAGGATGTAATACTGTACTACGGAGAAGCAATCTGAACATCACGCAGAAAGCAGCGTGTTGTAACCACACCGTTAGGAGTCAATGGTGATATGAGACCCTCCCGTTCTGCGCTTGAGTGCGACATCTCGTCCTTGGCATTCGAAGCTTGCTATTTGACCGATATAAAGCCATGCTGCTCATGCAACGACATTAAGTTCTATCGATTACTCAGTTGGTGGCTCTTGTGAAATGAATAGTCCAAGAGCACCGTCCCAGATACATGTGCAAGTCTAGAGCCTGCAACAGTGACGAAGACGATGTTGGTTTGTGCGTTTGCCGCATTGTGAAGAAGCTCACCTCGACCCAACCGTCCCAAGCACACAAGACGGCTAAGACGCCGAGTCTGTCAAACCCTGTCGTAGTGCAATACATCTGATTGGTTGTCTCACGTTATCCATGCGTGTTGGTGGAGTCCCCGCACGATGGCCGGCCGGTAAGCATCGGAATTTGGAGGCCCATGAAGTGATCTTCGACACCCACATGAAGAGATCTTCCAGTACATAATGCGGCTCATGGTCTGCTCTTATCGACCTTGCGTGAGTTCTGGCATTCATTATCGTTGAGGGGGGAAAATCTCGTTTTCTTGATCGCACAAGGACAATTTACCGGAACAAAGCATCAAAGTACGTGATAAGCCTTCCTACAAGCCATACCCGCTGCGCCAACCTCACTAGTACTGGGCATGATTACACATCCTGGGCGCCGGGCAGAGATGAACATGTGCAGACGTTCTTTCGATACTTCGAGTATGGCTTGACCATGTTAGCAAGTATGACTAACATCTTTTACCAGAATGTCGGACAAGAAAGGCGACACCTCGCCGCCAATGTACGAGGAACGTCCACATGGCAATGGTCTTCCTGCGGCGGGCCACATGCCGGAGAAGATGAGCGCTGGTCAATACCTCGCGACTCGCCTCTCGACTCTGAAGCCTCCGATGGACAGAGTTGAGAATCCATTCTCGCTTCTCGGCTCGCTGACTCTCAAGAACTGGCTCATGTTCTTGGTGGCTTTCCTTGCATGGACATGGGACGCCTTTGACTTTGTGAGTGAAGCACTAGGCTGAACCCGTCTATGAAGTGTATTATTCATTCTGAACTTTGCTCCAGTTCACTGTATCCCTAACAGTCAACGGTCTTTCCGAAACATTCGGCGTATCTACTAAGGAAATCACCTGGGGCATCACCCTCGTGCTGATGTTCCGATCCGTCGGTGCCGTCACGTTCGGTATTGCTGCTGATCGATATGGGCGCAAATGGCCCTTCGTGGTCAACAATATGTTATTCATCGCACTCGAGCTCGGCACGGGCTTCTGCAGGACCTACAAGCAGTTCCTCGCTTGCCGAGCACTGTTTGGTATTGCGATGGGTGGACTGTACGGCAACGCGGCTGCTACTGCTCTCGAAGATGTGCCGGAGAAGGCTCGAGGTATCGTCTCCGGTATGCTTCAGCAGGGCTACGCGTTCGGGTATCTGCTTGCGACTGCTTTCGCACGTGGCCTCGTCAACACGACTCCTCACGGCTGGAGACCTCTTTACTGGTTCGGAGCTTGCCCACCCATCCTCATCATTGCTTTCCGTTTGTGTCTTCCGGAGACAGACAGCTATATTGAGCGCCAACGTGTCCGTGCAGCAGGCGACAATGTGGGCAAGACTTTCATCAACGAGGGCAAAGTCGCACTGAAACGTCACTGGTTGCTTCTGGTATACCTTGTCCTTCTCATGGCTGGGTTCAACTTCATGTCCCATGGCTCGCAGGATCTGTATCCAACTATGTTGTCCAACCAATACAACTTCTCTGCCAATGCAGTGACTGTCACTCAAGTGGTGGCCAATCTGGGAGCAATGACAGGAGGTACGATTGTGGGCTACCTCAGCCAGATGCTTGGTCGCAGATTCAGCATCATCGTCATATCAATCCTGGGAGGTGCTCTGCTGTACCCGTACAGCTTCACCGGAAGCAAGGCCGTAATCGCTGCTGCCTTCTTCGAGCAATTCTGTGTGCAAGGAGCATGGGGTGTCATCCCGATTCACCTTATGGAACTCTCGCCCGGCAGCTTCAGGACTTTCGTCGTCGGCACGAGTTACCAGCTCGGCAATCTCGTGTCTTCCGCCAGCTCCACGATCGAGGCAACCATCGGCGAGCGCTTCCCATTGCCCTCCAAGCACGAAGGCGGCAAGACGATTTTGCGATACAAGTATGGCATCGTTATTGCGATCTTCATGGGCTGCGTTTATGCGTACGTGATTCTGCTCACGTTCCTCGGACCGGAATACAAGAATAGGAGTATGGGAGCGGTAAGTCAATCCGTCCCTTGTGTTCGAGACTGCTGGCACGCTTACTGATTTCTGTTGTAGGCGAATGACGAAGATTTGGAAGAAGCTACTGGCCACGCTACGATCGGGCACGGTCAAGGACACCGTAGTGGTTCGGATGATGACCAGATCAGTAAGTTATGATGGGTACAGACGATATATGAAGACGGAGATCATGAAGGAGAATCTGATGATATATACACATGATCGTACGTAAGCATCCTACTGTCTTCGTGCACGATAGAAAGCGGAGAGTAAGAAGATTTGGAGCTAAAACCCATCCTTGATCACCCCAGTTTTGGGGCGACGCTTCCAGTCGTGAATCGGATGGAGGAGAGGGTAAATGTACCGCAACGACATCTACTCTATCCACTCGTCACGTCTATCACCTTGCAACTCAGATATCTTCGCCACCTCGCTCTCAGCTTGTTCCACTATTTTCTCCTCCAAACCAGCACTTCTCGCCCCCTCCACATCCCCCTTCGCCGCCTTCCACCGCTCAAACCACCACTCCCAATCCCCCCTATACGAACTCCTCCCACTCCCTGCAAACCTCCACGCCTCTGCCAGCTCCTTCCCCTGCTTGTTCAAATCCACGCACCCCATAGCTAGCTGCATCTTCCCACTAATCATCTTACAGTACCCCCTGAGCGCCATGATAGTCTCCAGATCCAATGCCGGGTAGAAGCGTTCATGGAAGAAGAGCACGTTACCCGGTTCGTCCCAGAAGGAGGAGGGGAAGCCTGGGTTTCCATCTGGGGAGAGGGAGATGTGGGAGAGGAGAGCAGAGGCCACGGTGTTGGTTTAAGGAAGGGTTGCGTCGGTGCGGAATTTGATCAGGGCTAGGGGTATTTCTACGATCGACATTCACAATGTCAGCAGATATCCTCCACGCCTATACCGGTCTCTTTGAATTTACCTTTGGAATCTCGCTCACTTCCCCTTCACCCCTAACAAGCGGATGCATCCTCGAGATCCTCACCCTCGCAAACCTCTCCCGTCCATCTGCTTGCATTTCGGCAACGCAGACGATTTCCACGGCGTCCACCTTTGGTCCTAGTAAAGCGAGGAAGGAATGAGAGACGTTGTTTTTAGCAGCTAGGTGCGCGACGACGAAGCTGTAGGACTCCATATCCATATCGATGACTTCCGTGATATCTGCGTCCTGAGCCTCCGTGTCCGTGAGGCCGGCAAAAGGCGAGCAGAGGTCCTGTCCAGGGCATGAGAGGCGAGATTGTCCGTCGCATGTCGAACAGCAAGATTAGGTACCCTTGCACTCCCTACCCCACTCTCCTCCCCCTCCTCCTCCTCCTCCTCCTCCTGACCACTAGTCTGCACAACCACACTTCCCTTCTCATCATCATCATCCTCCTCCGCCACCAGATAACACAAATGCACCCTCCTGCCCCCCCACCTCCTCAACCCCGTCACCGCATTCCCAACCACAACATCATACTCCGGAAACCCCACCCCCTCCATTAAACACCCCATCTCCGGCTACTGGAACTCCACCTCCCCCGCCTCATCCAAACAAACTCCTAACAGGCAACCACGCGAACCTCGGCGCCCCGTTCACCGGAAAGAAAACCACGCATTTCAGCCCACTGCCCTGCTTCTGCAGCACAGAGAGGCGACCCATAGCTTCGTCCAGCTCCACAGCTCCGGCTTCCCATCGCGGTCCCATTCGCGGTCCTGGGTGTCGACTTCGCCACGACATCCCTTCCACTGCCTACAAAGCCATTTATGCGCCGGCCACTTCCGTCTCCTGGCACTCGCGGGAACAATAGCGGACGGGCGCCGCAGTCGGCACAAAGTCAGTGTAGCTGGGTCGAGACAGCAGAGACAGGTGGTAATTGAGGGGCATAAGACGAGGAAGCCCATGGTGACTGGAAGATCGAACGTGGTGCCTGTTCCAGGGACTTCCAGCAGATGAGATGCAGCTGTCTTATCTTCCTCGTTTCGCCGTTTGCACCTGCATGCGTGTATGCGCCCCTCATCTAATCACGTGCATACCGGCAAAAAAAACCCTCCCCTCCCTTAATCTGGAAGTCGTGGCGGACCAACACTTGCACCAAATCCGGAAGGAACGAAGCTCCGGCCACCGAAATTCATCCGTCATAGCATCCATATCGTCAAGTCCCTCCCGTAACCATCAACGCCAGGCAGGCCTGCAACGGAAAAGGCCTTCATTCAAAAAATTCGACATAACTATTCATGCATTGCTATTTAAACTAGTCTATCCACCTTGTACAAGGTGCCATCATGCTCGCCCGTTATGCTTCAGTCACACCCCATGAAAGCAACTCATGAGGCGATCCGGCTCAGTCCGAACACTCATTCATGATCGAGCGCTCGTTTCCCAAAATCCAGGGGGGCTGGCCGCTTAATCCATCTCATCCCCCTTCACCTCCTCAGCAGCGGGCGGTGCATCCTTCATCTCCTCCTCCCGAACCTCCCCCCCGGAACTCCCCGCCTCGGCATTCTTCTTCGCCTCAGCATCCTTAGCCGCAGCCTCCTCCGCGACCTTCTTGGCCGCAGCATCCTGCTCCCTCTTCGCAGCCGCCGCCTTCTCGGCAACCTCCCTCCTCGCGTCTTCCTCTTCTTGACGCTTGTCGTTGAACCTCTGGATAATCGGCCCGGCGCTCCCGCGCAACTCGTCGAGTTTGGCAATATACTGCGCCTTGGTCGCATCCTCGCCTTCGTCGTAGAGCCAGTCCTATCATCATCATCACAAGTCAGCACCACGAAAACCCGGGTCACATCGCAGTTACGAGAACCATATCCAGAAGAAAAACAAGGAAACTCACCTCAAGCGACTCGCACTTCGCCTTCACCTTATCCTTCTCCTCCTCGCTCGCAAAATCCGCATACCCATTACTAGCATACCCCTCCTCCATCTTATTCCGCATGCTGTAAATCTCGCTCTCCAACTCATTCTTCTTATCCTCCGTATCCGCCACCAATTTGTCGTCCGAAACCATCTGGCCCTCGCGTTCGGTGTACGAGTTCACGACCTCAGTGGTGAGGGAAGCCGTGCCGGATGAGAGTGGCAGGTCGCCTTTTCGGACTTGCTTCTTCACTTTGCGGGTTTTGGGAGCTGGGGGCTTGGCGTCGCCGTTGGCGGCTGGGACGTCGGAGGAGGTGTCCATTGCCTGTAAGGAAGGGGAGGTTAGTGTGGGGTGCTTTTTCGAGCGTTTAGCTGCTCGCTCTTCTGCACGAAGAGGCTGAAGCTCAGGTGGCGAGACGAGCAGCTCCACCACCTCTTCTCGCAACTCCACACTGGGACAAGAAAAACTCACATCACCATCCTTCTTCTCCTCCGCCTTGCTCTCAGGCATCGGCTCCTCAATCTCCTGCTCCTCCACAAAGTACCCCTGCTCCACATTCAACACCCCATGCAAATTCAACCTCGCCTTGAGTTTACAAATCATGAAATCGTCCTTACTATCCGCCTTGACCCCCTTAACACTAAACCTCCCGATCCACGGGTTCATCTTGCCCGGCAGAGATTCCGGCTTGGCATACTTGGCCTCGAGATCAAACGTCTGCTTCCGATAGAAGGTCAGGATTTTCGTCGACGGCATGGCATTGCCCTTGTTGAAGACGGTGAGGCTCGTGTCTTCATCCGGGATATCCGGGGATTTCTCCCAGGCGAATTCGATGGGGTAGTTGACGATGTCTTGGACGCTGAAGTCGCGGACGCGGAAGACGGGGGATAGGATGGCACAGCTGAAGGCGCAGCCGCGGGCGATGGCCTCGTCGGCGTTCAGGGTGAAGTTCAAGGTCTTGCCGCCGAAGAAGTCGGTGATGGCGGCTTTGAGGGAGGGGACGCGCGTGCAGCCGCCGACGAGCTCGATGAAGTCGATGTCCTCGGGTTTGAGCTTGGCTTCGGCGAGGGCTTGCTCGAGGGGTCCCGTGGCGCGGGCGAGGAGGGGTTTCATGAGCTCTTCTAGCTCTTCGCGTTTGAGGAAGCCGCGGACGTCGACGTCGTTCATGATGGACTCGATGTTGAGGGGCGCGCTGGCGTTGGCGGAGAGGATCTTCTTCAGCTTCTCCACGGCGGATGCGAGGCGGACTTTGGCTTTCGGGTTCTCGTAGACGTCGATCTTGAACTTCTCTTTGAATTCGGTGCGGAAGTGGTCCATGATCGCCTTGTCGAAGTTCCGGCCGCCGAAGTGTCTGTCCCATGCGGTCGAGACGACCTTGAGCTCGCCCTTGCGGAACTCGCAAATCGTGCAAGTGTAGTTGGAGTGGCCAATATCAATAAACGCCGTCCGTCTCGGCTTCTCCTCCGCACTGGGCAGATCAAGCTTGGTGATACCATATCCCAACGCCGTCGCCGTCGTCTCATTCACTAGCCTCAGGACCTTGACACCAGCAATCTCGGCCGCATCCAACAAACTTCTCCTCTGCGCATCCGTATACCAAGCGGGCACGGAGAACACCATATCATTCACCGGCAGCCTCAACTCGGCACTAGCCGTCTGGCGGATCTTGGTCAAGAACATGCCACACAGCTGGGTCGCGGAGAAGCTCTCCTTCTTGCCGGAGTAATTGACCTCGGCGCCCACTTGCCCGTTGACGTCGACCAGCTGGGCGGAGACATACTCCTGCTCGATCTGGACGTCCGGGTCGTTGATGCTGCGGCCGGCGAGGCGGGTGAGGGAGCCGACGGTGTTTTTCATGTTGGAGATTTCCTGCGTCTTGGCTGCCTCACCCAGGTAGCGTTGGCGCGGGCCGAAGGAGACGAGGGAGGGGGTGGCGCGGTTGGAGACTTCGTTGGTGATGACATCGACGCCCTTGTTGCGGGCCACCGCCTGAAGACATTATTAGTAGATTGCTGGTAAACATCATGTGATTGATTGATTAGACTTACAATGACCGCATTTTGGGTGCCAAAATCCAGGCCTACCACCGACATCTTTGCGATTGCGTGTGTGTTGTTGACCGCTATCAGGTGGTGGTGGTGGTGGTGGTGGGGTGTTGAAGGTGTGTGCTTGTGAGGATTATCCGAGGATGTTGAGAGGTGTTGTATGTGGTAAGGGCTGTCGCACAACTGGTATGGACCGATTTATGCAAGCGAATAGCGATCGGGGGTGAGTGTAGTGTAGCAGTGCAGCAGTGCAACAGTGCAGCAGTGTGGCTTGAACTTGGGCGCTCGTCTGCTATCGACAACACGCCAGAGTTTGCTAGATCTTTCTTTACCGCGAAAGAAATTCGTGGGCCAATAACATGCCGTCATCTGTGGACCCTGGTTCGTAAGGCTGGACCTCAACCTCCTTCACCACCACTACAGCAACCACCACAGCAACCACCATCTTTTCCATCACATGACAGGTATATACCATATCCAGGGAAGCCATATTCCGATGATCAACAACACCCGGGAATTCCATGAACGAAAAGGCACCTGCTGGAACAACACCGAAACACCATCATACCTGCTAGCGACGTAACGACAGTCGTGGTAGCTCATTCCATACCACCCACCCAATGTCAAGCTCTACCCTTCTCAGATCACCTAGTCTACTTCATCCTCCCCTTTCCCTTCCCAACATACTCCTCCCCACCCGCATCCCCCATCACCACATCCCCCTCCCCCACTCTCTCCCCCCCTTCCTCCTTCTTCTCAGGCCAAACTCCCGGTTTCAAGAGATCCCCCTCCCTCACAACCTCCTCCTCCTCCTCCTCCTTCCCGCCCTCACTATCCTGCTGCCGCCGCTTCCACCCCTGCCCAACCGCATCCTCCCTCTTCAGCGCCGTCAAAAATGCCTTCAAAGACCCCAATCTCACATGCAAGCACATCGGCTCCATCTAGCTCTGCCGCTGCAACTCACCGTGAAAAGGTCGGAGTACCGGGTCCTTGTCCGCTAGACTCAAGGTGGTATCGCAGTCTTGGTCTAGGAGGTGGTATTTCACGTCCACGACATCTGACCCTGCAAAATCATAAGTTGTCTTTAGTAAGGCGTAACATCTGCCACATCCATCGACCTTCCACCAAACAGAAGAAGCATGAATTGGGGTGAGGAAAGAGACACTTACATTCCAACCCACTCCTCCCCACCACCTTCATCACAGCCCACTGCACCGCATACGATGTCCCTTTACTCACATCCAGCACCGTCAACACGGGCTCGAATCTCTCCCCGTCACCGCTGAAATCTATCTTATTATCTTTCCAGTGGAAGAGGCATCTGGTCAGGAGTAGCACGGCTTGGTCCCGGGGTTTGAGGTGCAGCCAGATGAAATTCTCCTCTTCCTGTTGTTCTTGCTTTTTGGGAGGGATGGGGATCTCGAGGGCGAAGGCGAGGGTGTCGCAGTCGCGGGTGCGGGAGGGGGCGTGGGTGTGGTAGTACTATTGCACCACGCAAATCACAAGCCATCAGCATATCTTCTATTCTCACGGCCGAAAAAGACACCATCCACAACCCGGCGCCCCCCCCTCCCCCCCCTTGAAACCATCTGGAGCAGCGAGCAATATCATCCATCCTGCCTGCATAGCACCAAACACGGCAAGAAAGAAAGAAGGAAAAAAAAGGAAAGGGGGAAGACTCACAATATCCCCCACCCCCTCGTACTCCACCCCCCAGTTCCCCAAAAACCCCCTCACAGTCACCTCCCACTCATTCTTCCCGCTGTCGACCCAAAGCGGCGCATCCACCACCGTCTCGAATTCCCGCGCGTAGGGAAAAGCATTACACCCGTACGGACATAATCTCAACGGTAACCACCCCAATCCATCTTTCAGCCCTCCGTCTTTTGCCGCCGGTCGAGGGGCGAGGACGCTGAATTCTTCTGGGGGGTTACGAGTCATGCAGTGGTCGATGCGAGGGCTTAGGGGATCCGTTGGGTCGAGGGGTGGGTCGGTTATTGAGAAGATTGTTTTGTCCTCGAGGCGGGGGAGGGGAGACTGGGGTGGGGACTGGGTGGCTTTTGTTGTTGTTGTTGTTGGGGGAAGCGTTTCGGTTGTTTGGTGGCGGTGGCGTTTGCGACGCTGGTTTCGGAGGATCCAGGTTGGGTGGGTGAGGGCGCGGAAGGGGAGGTGGAGGAGCTTTGTTTTGAGGGTGGATGGAGGAGATGAGGGTGGTGAGTGGCGGGAGGCTTCATCGCTGGTGCCTTCCTCGTTGGCTGTCTGGTTGCTTGTATCTGCCGTGGTGTTGGAGGTCTCTGCGGTTTCTGCCTCCAATTCCTTCGCGAGGTCAGACTTGAGAACGCTGGGAGCTGGGTCATCGATCTCCATGCGGTCCTTATTGTCCTGGTCCTGGGCTTTACTGTCTATGCGATCTTTGGCGGCTTGGTCGTCGCTCGTGGTCTTGGTGTTCACTACGCCACCCGGAATCTCGCTAGGTTCTGGTTTGCTAGCGGTTGCGTCTTTGGTCTCTCCTTCGCCATCCGAAGCGGACTTCTTCCGGGACGGCTTGTTGGACGTTGCACCGTCGGTCTTTACTTCGCCACCTGAAGTTGATTTCTTCTGGTCTGAGTCGATGGCCATAGCGGCGGCGGCGATGGTGGCCTTCTTGTTCTTGGGCGAGGTATTCTCGACGGACTGGAGGGTTCTGTCGTCCATGCTCCCGTCTATCTTGACAATTTCGTGTGATGGATCCATGCACTTGGGCGAGACGTTGTCGATAGATTGGAGGTTGCTGTCGGTTGGGTGTGGAAATATGGGTGCGACTATGTCTGCGTCTGCGTCTATGTCGGCGGCTATTTGTGCGTCTATCTCTGTGTCCAAGCTGTTGATATCGTCTCCGTCCCTGCTATGTCTGCTTTTCACACAGCCCATGGTTCGTGCTTGTAACGAAGTGCTGGTGGAAGAATAGTGGCGACGAGTGACTGACTTGGTTGCTAATCTATGCGCTGTGACGATGATCGTGGAGAGGTGGTAGAAGTGGAAAGGTGAGTGACCGGAAGACTTGCATGCAGTGCTGGGAAGAGCAGGGAGTGGATGATTGTGTGAAGTGGAAGGCGGACCATAGGTAAGAGCAGGAGTGATGGAAGTGCAGATAGCACGTCACCTTCTTAAGGACTTCGTCTCGTTCTTGAACGGGAAGATTGTTGCTTCTCGAAGTACCGTTGCCTGGAGCACAATCCTCCGCCAACACAGGTAGATCAGTATGACAATATCTTGAGCTCTAGATCAACTCTTACAGGAATCACATCATAGCATAATGCGTGTCCATCCCCATTGTGAGTACTGTACAGATCCGTTACGATACAAAAACACAATCTCTTCCCATACTCATCCGCCCTCATCATGATGGTGCTCTCTGATGGTAGGTATGAATCTGAACACTCATGGTCAAATCGGGATGACTGAAGGTCATGTCCTCGGCTGCCTTCATATCCATGACATCATCTGATCTACTGGTCGTCCGAATCGTCAGTCTCTTCGCTATCTGGCGTCGACCCAGCATCGCTAGATTCAGCGCTTGGCTCATGGTCATGAAGGTGTCTTGTTCTGATCGCGATGCCATTTCGACCTGGCCGATTGGTAGACCGACTACCAGACTGACTTCTGCCTGTGTTGTCGAGCTTGTCTCCATCGATGTGAGGAATAGTGATAGCGCTCCTTTTTCGAGCTGGTCTGGTCCGAGAAGCAGTCGTTTGCTCGGGAGAACTGTCAGGGTCAACCGTGTAGATATTACGCTTCGGCCTGTCAGCAGTAGCTGTCGGTCGACGAAGGATCCGATCCCGTTCCTCCTCGTCGGCTTCTACATACGCCAAGCCGTCCACCTGCTTGAAATGAGGCGGATCGTCGTAACCGCTCTCCTCCTGTGAGGACTCCTCCTGAGCTACCTGTTCCTGTTTGGCAGGATCAAAGATTGTGCCTGTAACAAGAGCTTCATCGCCGTGTGTGATGAGGTGAGCCATGACGAAGAGCTGGGGTCCATGCCTTTTCACAGTATTGGCATCCAAGAGTCGAAATAGTGACACGCAGCCGTAAGGATCATCGACTTCAGCAAAACGGTATAGCTTCATCTCGGATGGCTCCTGAGGCAGGACCCACAGCTCGGATGACCAAGTGTCTTTGACAGGTTTCTGGAACAGAGAGAATGTGCCCTCACTGCTGGTCTTGGAAAGATGTTTGTTGATTGCGTTCCTGATTGCATCGGCTGGCATTGCTGTGTTGACATCGATCGAGAAGCGAATATCCTTGGGCAAGGTCATGCCTCGCTCGGTGATATTGTCAGCGCAGTATACCGCAATCTTGATCTGCTTTGGAAGAGGCGCTGGAGGTGTCATGTCGGCGCTGCTGACTAAGGTTGTTGAAGCTGTAGGGGGGCATGATTGGGACGCTGCTGCCCACAGGAGTCACAGAGGGTCGTTTCTGGAATTCTTCCTTCAATGGTGCTTGAAGCTTCTTCCAGGACGAGTCTTTGTCGTATGGAGGGAGGAACTTGAAAGCGTTCAAGGCGGCAGCATCCATATCGAGGTATGTCGTATTGTCGTTGCAGTCCCCGATGCAAAAGTCGCCAAACTCATATGCTGGCCCACTACCATATTTGAACTCGCCACTGGAGTCCTGGAAGCGGTATGCGACTAGAGGCTCGATGTAGCTAATGCCACCAGCCACAGTCGATGGAGTTGCTGTTCTCTTGGATGTACCGACCCGTTCGAAATCGTACGGTATCGTTATGAGCACAGGCTCCACGACGCTACTCGTACCTTTGGGCTTCCTACGAAAGTCTTTGTCGATGTATTGTTTCATCACCAGAGCTGCCAAGATTTCGATCTTGTTGTTCGAACTCAGAGGATCGTTGAACATATCTGATAGTGTGTCGATATTGAGTTGATACTGTGTGGCATCGGCATTGACCCATTGGTCGTCCCCAAAAAGTGGCGTACGCAAGGCCGTGCTGTACCACAAGGGCTTCTTGCGATCCTTGATCAATGCCCTTACCAAAGGTTGGTGTGTTTTCGTTTCCTCGGCCCATGTCGTCAGGAGCTTCTGGATGAAGTGACGAAGTGCACCTGGCTGTGCCATGGCAGGGACTGTGATGTCTCGGATGGTGTCGATATCTTCTTCATCGGCTTGGATGTGAATGGTGGCTTGAACGTCGGCTGTCTTCTCTTCACGCTTGTCTTCCACGCGCCTCGTGAAAGCACATTTAGCTGGTCGATGGAACAAGATGTAATCCTCAGCATACTGCAGCCCACCGTTATCACGATTAAGCTGCTCGATCGGACGAGCATCGCGGCACTTTTCGCCCTCTAGATGGAAAGTGAGGTTGCGAGAGTCGTCCTTCGGAACGCCTAATTGCGCGAGGACATCTTTGACAAGCACCTAGAACACAGTCAGTGGGTTTTCAGCAGGATGAATGAAGGAGGACTTTGCCTCATTTGTTCTCGATTGTGCAAGATCGATACCCTGGCTGAAAGCGGTGCTGGGACCACACAGGCCGAAAGTGCAGTGAGAGCCGACATGCGAAGTCATCATGAGACTGCTCTTGGTGGAGTGTCAGAGGTCAAGAGGGTCTGAGGGCCTTTTCTCCAGCTGATATACGCTCGCGAGAGAAGCACCACGAGAGGACGCAAGTCGTAGGTTGCTTGCTATCTATCTGGTAGTGAGACTTGCCTTCATAGACTGATGTGTTCTGGATCCATAACTACTTGTGTTGCCGCCATTCGTACTCGCAAACATTATCGCATCATTCATCTTCTTTAGTCGTGTTTATGCATTGTACTGCTGCAGGTCCGTTTGTTACGCTGTTGGTTAGAACATGGATATCTGATCTTGTTTCTTTTGATACAGGTCTCACTGCCTCTTCAGATTGCTCGTAAGGCCGGGAATCAAGACGGAATCCATTCGTTGTCACTTATTTCCGCTCTCTATGCTGTGTAACCGCCTTTCATCATGCCCGGGCTGTAATCCACGATGAGTGTAATGCGGCGTGGTATTCACACTCAAAAGAGGACATGTACTCGTGCCGATGATAAGTCGAGGAACGTGTCATTCTCATCTCTTTATATCAGATGACACCGCAATTCTACCAGACTGCAAGATAGACCAGACTAAGAGACACAGAAGATCAGCTAGGTATGCTGGCCTTCTCACTAAAGGCAAACGTACCCTATCAGAACAACCCACAGTAGGAACGGAAAGCCACTGTACTCAATCATCAAGAGCATTCTACTTGTCGCATTATCACCACCGCAACCTCAGCCACACATTTTCTTCACTCTGCCCATGCCAATAATAATCACACCTCAGGGTTATGATTGTAGCCACGACCGCAGCTGCACCAGTTTCCAATCTCATGAGTTATCTCTGACGCCGCCTCGAAGGTGCAGCCATCTCTTCACTGCCCGATCTGGAGATGCCGCTTCTGTCTCTACGAGATGATCCAGCGCCGTCGTTGCTCCGACGTCCACCCCTGCCCTGCACCATATTACCATCATCGGTATCGGAGCTTCCTCGCCTGTCCGCCCTGCCAGATGGACTGAATCCGCCATCGTCCTCCTCAGCAGCCTGACTTGCATCCTCCAGATCGGCAGGAGGATCACGTATCTTGCCAGTAACGAGATGAGGCTCATCTTTGGGCACGAAATGCGCCATCACGAAGAAGCCTATTATCTCCTTTCTGAACCGCAGGTGCATGCAGGAATTCGAGAATTGGTGATTTCGCCCCGGCTTCGTCGTACGTAAGGTCCATGCCGTGATCATCGTCGTATTCGGCGAAGCGGAAAAGCTTCAGTGGCGCTGGCTTCTGTGGCATAAGCCATAATTCGATGCCCCAAGTACCACTCAGCGGCGCCTGGTATAGGATGGCGCATTTGACCTTGGACCCTGGAGCAGACTGGACTTGGAGCTGAGCTTCGATGCGGCGCCGTATACTTCTTGCGATATATTTTGTCACCGGCGGCTGGAAAGTAATGTCTTGTGGGAAGACGAGCTTCACTTCGTCGCTCACCTCGTCGCCAAGATTGGAGGCGCAGAGGACTGCGAGCGAGGCACGACCACGATCACGATCCTTAGGTAGGTCGTCCTTAGTAGTAGGATGCATGCCCAAATGGCTAGGTACGAAGTCGTTGAAACAATATGGCGGCAGGAACGGGGCTTGACCTTCACCGACATTGTTGTCGTCTACTACGGTGCCTATGCTCCTCTGCAAAGCTGTGAGTTTGAACGACTTCCTTGCATTGAACGTCGCAAATGGGTCGAAGTAGTGAAACTTCCCCTTGTCCACCGTCCTGACCTCGTTGTAATATGTCCTGTCGTCATTGATGCAGTCGCCAATGCAGAACTCCCCGAAATCGAATTTCGGTATCGTGAACAGCTTGAACGTCGTACTGCTTGGCTCGAAGCTGCCGTCTCGGTACGCCAGAAGTGCTACTCGGTTTATAATTATCTTTGGAAGCGGCGGCTGCGTGGTACTTGCAAGGGTCCCAACTCTGACGAATTGCCACCCAGTGACGTGCTGCCGCGGGTCAACCGCATCTTCCAAGGACTTCACAGCGGGACATACCTCCATCCTCCAACTCGAAGCTGATCAGCAGCTCCAGCACGTTGACAGCATTATGCTCGGCGAAGAGATCTGACACTATGTCGATCATAAGGAAGATGTCGGCGTCCTCACAGTCGAATGCGACCCACTCGTCATCGCCAATGGAAGGTGGACGAAATGCACAGAAGTACCAAATCGGAACATTGAGGCTGTCTACAGCGTTGTTGAGCTCGGTCGCGGTGTGACTCTTCCTTCTCAAGAACTCAACCACAGAGTCCTTCAGTTCAGTCCTGAGCGCTGTGATCTTCGTCTCATACAGCGCAAGCTGCTTCGTCTCACTGCCCAGCCACATCGATCCAAAGTGATATGGGATATCCACTCTGAGCTTTCCGGGCTGCTCATCGTCTTGCGTATCGGCATCATCGTCAACGACATTCGATTGATGCCGGATGTCTGTGCACCGGTCTGGGTGGTGCTATATGTCCCCGATGGATCGCTACGATCCACGAGTATGTCTTGACCTAGGAATGCGTGGTTTTCATCGCACGAGAGGTCTAGGATAGGTCGTGCTGAGCCACAACCGTCTCCAGGAAGATGGTAGGAGAGTACCGCCCCAAGAGGCAAGTCAAAGTAGCCGAGCAACCCTCGTGTTGAGGACCTTATAGAGCATGTCAGTAATAAGTCGAAACAGGTTTGACAGCCTGACATACGTCGCCACTTGGGATCTCTGTCAGCTCGTCACTATCAAGATCTAGGTGTCCATTCTGAGCCACTGCATTACACAGCCAGAAGTTCGTGCTCGGCATGTTCCTGAATTGTGAAGCTATCGGTGTCCACGCGATGGTGGGAACCTTCGGGTGTAGTGGATTCCTTGCGATTTGATGCTGAAAGCGGACACAAAGCGTACAGACCTATTCGTTCTCGATTAGCAATCCACAGCCGTAGCAAATACCGTTGCACCGCTCAAAGTGCCTCTTTGTGCCACGGAAGCAAGCCTATCCAAACGAAGTCCGCAGCGGCGCGATCGCTGTCTCAGGGTGCTCTTTATAGCAATCAACCCTGAATGGGCCATTGTTATTTCCAGTTAAGAGGCACAAGCAACGAGAGTTTAGCAAACCGATTGCACACGGCTGTGATCGAACTCCAGTATCCTGCACACCTCGAATCCTGTGTACTGTACTGCTCTCTCCATCTTATTGATGAACCACATGAGCCTTCACATACAACGTCTTGTCCCGTTTCCTCACCTGAAGTGAATCGCTCAAGAACTGCGTCAGCTTGCCCTCGCAATATCGAAATAACTTCTTCGGTCCTGCGTACTACGGCATGACCCATAATTCCAACTCCCAACGTCCCATGTACGCGTCTGTGAAAAGCTTGGCCGAGTTGGTGGATAGGCCTGCCACCTGTGATATCGCATTGATCTGTTCCTTGATGGCTTCGGTGATTGTACGGATGGTGTCGGGCGCTTCGACCTCGAGCCGTATGTCTCGTGGGAAAGTAATCCGAGCCAGCTCGCCAGGATGTGTGAGGTGATTGACACATCGTACAGCGATGTCGATGTCATACTTAGGCCAGTGGGCAAGACATAGGCCATAGTCTTCCGCGCGATATGTGTTCAAGCAGTAAGTCGGCAGAAAGGGCACTCCAGAAGACGGCTCAAGGGCACCAGATCCAACATGCAACTAAACTCTCTCACGCAGCCTTGCAAGACTGTCACCTTTTCGTGATACGGACGGATACGGCAGAGCATAATCGTGCCAGATATCGAACTTGATCTAGTTCCAGGGAGTCCACTCGTCGCAGTCGCCGATGCAAAAGTCGCCGAAGTCGTATGCGTGCACTCTGCTCAACTTCCAGTTGTCTTCGACATCCTCACGCCAGGCCAGAAGTACCCAGATGTATTTGACGTCCATTCTTTTATCGTGATCGTGACCTTCACGTATCCATGGCAGGTTACGAATATCGTAGCGTGGATGGTCGCGAGGGATGGGCACCTCGCCTATGTGGTGATACTCGTAGCGAAGCTGCTGTGGCGCCACAAGCTGGATCCTGTTCCAAATGCTGTGCTGTACAGTAGACCTCCGTTCCACTAGTTGCAGTGTCACGCCCACATCAAGACTTACGCCGGATTTGCGAGGGTCGTCCAGAAGATCTGCGACGGTGGCAACACGGTCTAGATTTGCGGTCAATGTCATACCACTCCCTCTGAACCCTGGAAGGTTCATGGTCAGATCGAGCAATAGCATCCACTCATCAGTCCGTAGCACTGTACGCAGGATCCTGTCACTGACGACCAGACGTAGACTCTCGACCTTTACCAGATCAGGGAGTTCGGCTGCACTCTCGTCGGGCGAGACCGTGGTGCTTGCGGAACACCAAGCCGTGTGATGGCATGCTGGTGCTCCAAGCTGTATGAATTCCAGGTGCAGTCCGAGCACTGGAAGGGGACTGGTCATAGGCTTGGTCTCCATTGGCGTGACTAGAGCGTACTGGCTGCAGGGAGTATGATGATGTCAGTAATACCGTAGCTGGCAGATATGTCTCCCATTGCTCAAAGTGTTGATGCCAAATCGCTGTCTCGTGTCAGCCATCTTCTGGGAAGATGAATGCGCGAACAACAACCCGGCCGCATTGCGTTGTACACAAAGACTGTCCAGACATGCAACTTTAACTAAGACACATTGCCACAAGTTACTGAATGTCATCGGCCGACACCTCGTCTGCCCATGATGAGATCGGTGACAACCATTGCAGCAGTTTCGCTGTTCAGTCTCACATACTTGTGTTCAAGCTGGTGCGATGGCCAGATAGGATCTTCATCAACAACTCGACTGACTTGTGATATCTCTGCGTCTGAGAGTGGCGAAGCTCGATTGCCTGATCGGTGGCGCGATACTCGTTCCAAACCAATCTCCTTGTACTCCAAGGCGGAACTATCGGGCTTTCGGCACCAAGACATTTCGCGCATGGTAGTCCCTGGAGGTCCCATGAGTGCAGAGCGATCTTTCCAATGCCGTGAGCTCTTTGACACCGAGGATGTCAGCGATCACACCATATCAGTGGCAAGCCCAATCAATGGAGAACGAAGGAGCACTGGTGAGGCGATGCTAATGCTGTACTGAGAAGTCCATCTCGGCGCGAGTCGCTCTTGCCCGGGCTGACCGCAGATGGCGCTTTACCCAAAGAAGTCCGTACCTTACTCGAATCGCTCGTCAAAAGACCCTGCATATCGAGCTCTCGTACGATTTCTCAGCAATTCGTTCAGCGACAGCACTAGCGGCGATGCGATAACCATTGGCCGGTGAATGATGATGCGAAGCTAAAGAAATTATTATATTATCCGTGTAACTCCGAGACGACGTCAAATTGTTATTCGTTGGTTGTCAACGACACACACAGCTTTGCACTTGCCACTGTGGTTGTTCAAGAGAGGCGGAAATACTGTTGACAGTAGACCAACATAGCCGTCGACAAGATGGCTTCAGTCATGGAGGCATTCAATGCCTCCGCAACCGCATACGCCAATGCCCGAGAGGCGACCATCCTCGCCACCGATTCGAGCTTGATCAGCAATATAGTCAACAATGTCAACATCTTCAGTGTCTTCTTCACCCTCTTCGCCATTGCTGTGGCGTATGATCAAGGTATACTTCCTTTCCCCTCTCCATACACAACCATACACAACCATGCCCAGCTAACATCAATGCCCAGTAACTTACTGGCGCCTCAAAGCCAACATCGCCGGCGAACCTCTCAAGATCCCCTTCGTCGGTCCCTTCCACGAATCCGTCAAGCCCAGCTTCGAGAAATATTACGCTAAATGGCTCACCGGGCCCCTCTCCTGCGTCTCCGTCTTCCACAAATTCGTCATCATCGCCTCGACCCGCGACATGGCTCGTAAGATCTTCAACAGCCCGACATATGTCAAGCCCTGCGTGGTTGACGTCGCACATAAACTTCTCAGAGCCGAGAACTGGGTGTTCCTAGATGGGAAGGCACACGTAGAATACAGGAAAGGATTGAATGGCCTCTTTACCCGACAGGCGCTGGAAACGTACTTGCCAGGTCAGCAAGAGGTTTATAGAGACTACTTCCAGGAATTCTGCGACATCACGTCTCGGAATGATGGAGCGCCCAAGCCATTCGTCTACATGTTCCGTGAGCTCATGTGTGCCGTTTCTTGCCGGACGTTCGTGGGACATTACATGAGTCGCGAGGGCGTCAAGCAGATTGCAGACGACTACTACAACATCACGGCCGCCATGGAGTTAGTCAACTTTCCCATAATCATTCCCTACACCAAGACATGGTATGGCAAGAAAGCTGCGGACCAGGTCATCGAGGCGTTCAGCAACTGTGCGGCCAAAGCTCGTGTACGCATGCGGCAGAAGGGCGCTCAGCCAGAGTGTATTATCGATCGCTGGCTGCTGCAACAGATGGAGAGTGAGCGGTATCGGGAGCGCATTGCAAAGGGCGAGGAAGTGCCGGATGAGGAGAAGCCACAACAGTTATTGAGGAACTTCAGCGACTACGAGATCAGCATGACAGTCATGACATTCCTCTTCGCGAGCCAGGACGCCACGAGTTCGGCTTGCAGCTGGATTATGCAATTGCTTGCTGATCGACCAGAGATGCTGGCAAAGGTTCGCGAGGAGGGATTGAGGATACGACCGGATCCACGTTCAGATGTTACGCTTGAGATGCTGGAGAATATGGTAAGCCCGAATTCCACACCACAAAATTCTCAAGCAAACAAGCACCGCTGACACATTCCCCACAGCACTGGACCCGCGCCTGTGTAAAAGAAACCCTCCGCTACCGCCCTCCCGTAATCATGGTCCCCTACCTCGTGAAAAAGGACTTCCACATCCCCGAATCAAACTACACCGCCAAAAAAGGCAGCATGATCATCCCCTCCACCTGGCTCTCCCTCCACGACCCAGAAGTCTATTCCGATCCGGACACCTACGACCCGGAACGATGGATCTCCGGCAACGCGGAGGAGCAAGGAAAGAACTGGTTGGTCTTCGGCACAGGGCCGCATTACTGCATCGGACAGACGTACGCCGTTCTCAATCTGATATGTTTACTGCATATGATGGCTTCGGAATTGGAGTGGACGCATGAGATTACGCCTACTAGCGAGCAGATACGGGTTTTTGCTACGATTTTCCCGATGGATGATCTGAGGTTGTCGTTTAGGCAGAAGGTGGACGGTGAGACTGGCGTAGCGGCGTGAGAGGTTCTCGCTGCGTTGTGTGGGTTCTTTTATACAAGATGTTTAGCGTTCAAGCGCTCGGGGCTGGCAAGGCGCATATAATCTTCTTCCTTCCCTGCGGCCTGAGGGCTGTATGGCTTCTTTGGCCTGGGACGATGAAGGCCGGTATAGACTTAGAGAGCATGGACTTATTGACCCGAATCAGCACCACAACTAGGTGCTCTGCTCACGCTCGGCTAAGAAGTGCTTCCTCATCTCCGGTTCGGCGATATTGAGTTCTTTCTCACCAGATACGGGCTGCCAACGCTATGCCGCACGATTGCAAATGCTTGAGCACAAAAAGATGAAGAAGCACAAGTCCCTCAAGGGTGACGAATTTATGCGAATGATCGGTGTCGTACCTGCCGCTTCGGGAGAGCTTTGCGCTGGACTTGGACTTGTACAGATGCGGTATGCCGTTCGCATCTTGCTTCAGCTTCGACCAACTCCAACCAGTTTTCAATGTTGCAGGTCAGCTATCATTATCAATGGTACGCTCAATAGATAAGGTGGGTCGGTTGGGGCTGTGCACGATCCACGATATGTGATATATGAACATGAGCGCCATGGTATTGAGCATATCTATCTGCGTGCAATGAAACCTCTTCTTCCCGCTGTACACGACCGCACTCACTCCCATCGTTATAAGCATTCGTACAGATTAATCCATAGGACTGCTACAGGGTTAGCGAGTACATCATGTTTCAAGAATCTCAGGGAATGCCGACAGGGCCGCCTCCAGCCTACGAAGCGATCGTGGCTTCGAGCCAAAGAACTCCGGCTCAGGAGAAGGCTACGAGCGAACGATCTCTGGCCCTATCAGACCAAAGCTACTCTTCCGTAGACGAAAACGATGAGATCCTACAAACCGCTCTCGACTTCAGCCATCACGCTCCATCAGCTCAAATCTCCCGCCAACGACTTCCCGGTCCGGTCGCTATACCGCAAACTGCTGGCGCTACAGGAATGCCTTTCATCAGAGCCTACGCCCCCGTCCTACAGAGCCATGGGGTTAGCATGAAGGAGTTCGTAGAATTTGTTGACAACTTCAATATCGTCTCGGCTAGCAGTCCACCACTTCAAGTCCTCGACCTTGCCAGTGGCGCGATCGGCATGATACCCATGGGCCACGCTCAGGCCATATCAGCGGGTGTACAAGCTCTTGTGAAGATTGGTGATGCCGTGCAGATGAAGACGAGAGCAGGTTTATTCGTCAAGAAGAGTAATACTGATTTCTTCCATCCTCGGGGTCTTAAGCTGGAGCTGTTGACTAGTGCGGCTTTGAAGGCGAAGCTTGGGATGGATCCTGCGACTCCGATTGCAGGGGATATTGGGCAGAGCGAAGGACTGAATGCCACCGAGCGGAAGCTTGCGGGTCTCCAGGGAGCTATCGCGCCGCTAGTCTTTGATGTGCCGTCGCCGAATGAGCCGACGAATGTCTTGGGTAAGATTACTGCGAAGCAGCAGGTCAGTAATGCTAAGCGAGCAGACAAGAAAGCTCTGAAGTCTAGGGAGAAGTATGTCGAGATGTCCCAGGATGTGGATGAGAAGCTTCGCAAAAGAACCGAGAAAGTGGAGGAAGAATACGAGATGCTTGATTGCGAACGGGAGAAGATCGAGCGGAAGCGGGATAGGGAGATGGAGAAGGTGGCGAGGAAGGAAAAGGATGGTCCAAAGTGGGCGAGGGAGGAAGGCAAGGTGATGAAGGAATTTGAGAAGGATATGAGGAAGTTGGAGGAGGATCATGAGAAGGTGAGGGAGAAGTATGAGGGGAAGGTTGGGAAGAGGGAGGGGAAGCGAGTCAAGAAGGATAAGGAGGCGAGGAGGGCGGAAAAGGGGGTTTGGTTGGTGATTGACAGTATATGATATGAATGACTTATACGGCCACATCAACCCATAGACGGTAGGGTTGCTGCTTCCTTTTGATTTGTGAATGTGATGCCGGATTAGGGGTTTGTGCTCAGATGAATGTACTACCTGTAGCATATGATATTGCTTAAATGCGGTTCAAGCATATGACACCTTCAATCACTCAACGTCACTTCACAGCCACTGAATTAAAGATTTCTCTTGCCGCTCGCATGACCTTCAGAAGTAAACGACAGCTTCCACACAAATTCTGGCTCACACAAACAAAGTACGACAACAATGACTGACCAGGCTCTCGTCCGCCACGAAATCGCCACAGCCTCCTTCCGCCTCTGCTCCGACGATGACATTGAGGAAGAAGAAGACGACGACCAGGCCCACATCGTCCAGTACACTCTCACACTCACCCCCTGCCCCCTGGCTACTGAAATCTTCATCCTCAAACTCCTCGACACGGACGGGCATCTATTTTATTGCACTTTCCACGAGGAGAGGGAGCCGTGTGTTTATCGTAGACCGGTAAGTGATCTTATTCAAGTATGGCATCCGGACAAAGTGGAGGGTGGAGTGTTTTGTTTGCATGTTGCTAAGCGGGGAAGGAGAATCAGCGAGGCGGAGGTTAAGTTAGTGGAGAGGGAGTGGAAGGGGAAGGTTACAGAGATTTTTGGGATTGATCTGGAGGCGGAAGAAGTAGTGGAGGACAGTAGCAAAGCCTTGGGGGATGGGTCGGGTGGCAAAGGTCCTACCAGAGATAAGGAATTGGGGCAGTGCGGCGTACGAGCAGCCGATGAGATTGGTAACCAAATGCCGAAGATGCAACGTAGTGCGAAGGGTGGCCTGGTATCACAGGCTGGCTCAAATAAGGAGCAGCCGACCAAACCTACGGCAAGCTCCAAGGATGATGGCCAGAGAATACAAGGTACGTCTCCAGCAAAGTGTGACCAAGTACAGACAGCTGATATACTGCTAGAGGCCACGGTCACCACAACGAGTAGTGACGATGCGCACAAAGCTGCTGAATTGAGCAAGACGGATACCTTATCAAACCTCAGTGCACTAGGACGACGCGAAGGCAAGAAGCTGGCCACTAGGGATGACCATTCAGGCCCAGTGGGAGCAGTCGGATCAAGAACAGCCTCGCAGGTCGATGGTCTAACGCGAGGGATCGAAGCACCACGGACGAAGACGTATAAAGGCGAGCACGTCGGACAGTCTATCGTCCGTGAGCCAAAAAGCCAGTCAAAGATTATCGGCTGGCGTGGAACAGCCACCGAAGTCACCATTTCATTGCGCTTCGTCCTGGATGGCACTCCGCTGAGCCCTCGGATTTGGCAGCCGATAACAGACATTGTTGTCCCAAGAACGACGACCATGCAAGACTTGCCATCCCGCTTACTGATTTTCATCCATCAGCTAGGTGCTGGTGATCACGCTCTGATGGCTGACATGCGTGAGAAGTGGTATCGGCTCACGTTCGTCTTGAAGCCTGAGCTTGGTGACGAGCGCGATGCGTATCTCGACTTTACCACGGGTCGGGTGCCATTCGAAAGCGTCTGTGATCTGCTCCGTGATCCTCACAACCTCCAGGAATCCATTGCCATGGCTGTTGAGTTCTCAGGCACCAATGTCGACAAACCCATCTCGACTGTCGAAGGAGCTCTTCAACCCCAAAAGAACAGCACCAGGCGTATTTGCCTAGGTACAATCCACGGCAGATTGACAGATCAAGATCGTCCAGATCGTATCCCAACGAGCGTGGCCATCGTCGGATCGATAGATATGGACAAGCGAACAACCATGTCACTTTCCATTGTCCCGGTGTTTCTCCTGCAGAACCTAGTTGTCGGTGACGCTGGGGCAGGCGATACGCTAGCTTTTCGTTCCGACTATGACTGGAGAGATCGTTTCACTGGTGTGAAGTCGAAGGAAGAGTTGCTGATGAGGGTGAACGAGCATGTTGATGATGAGGGAGAAACAGACGAGCTACCAACAGCACTATCCTACTGTTTCAGTCGATTTGCGGACTTCGGTCGTCTCGCTGCGTGGCCAAAAGATCGCGTACACATCACTGTACGCTACGTCGACCTCGTACCGAACGACGGGACGAGGGAAGGATCGATGCCGACGCAACAGCACTTTCTTTTGGTGTCTAGTGATACACCGACGTCCGTCCATAAGATAGTCTTGGACAGGATGGCGGGGACAGCTGAAGCGAAGGGCCTGTTTTCTGCTGGAGATGTTGAGAAATGGAGAATGGTGATGTTTGTTTTGCCGCAGATAGAGGAGATGGCGAAGATGTTTCTGTGGGAAGAGGGATCGATTGGACAGTTTCTTGGTCTGGCTGGAAATGGGACGGTCGGGAGGTTGCTGGTTGAGGCTCATGTTGTTGCTAGGTAAAATATCTCTAGTTTAGTAGTCTTGCGTGGAATAGGCGAAGTTACGATATCATGATGCATTCCCAGAGTATATGAACTGTAATGAGCGGCCATATCGCCTGCCAGTATAATAATCCTGGATCGTGCGTTGAAACAGTTGTGACAGATGACAGCAACATCCGAATGACATGGCCCATTATCCGTTAGCATATAGTCCTCCAGTCAATCTATAGGCTTGAGTATTGTTGAGAAGCCAGAGAAGCCGTGGCAGGCAGTGCATGATCTCGACGTACGCACGGCAAGAATTCCAGGCGTGCTGGTTTCAACGAATTCCAGTGCTCACAGACCGTTCGACATGCGGTGATATCCATCATATAGCGCATAAATAAGAAAGGTACGAGCCTCGGGCCAGATGGTGACTGAAGGGAGCCGAGATCAATGGTCTATAAGTATAGGAGCGTCGCCTACGATCGTCCGCATCCTACGCCTTGAGCTTATTGCTTACCACCCACCATTTACGGAAATGGCAATCCTGCGTAACGCTTTGCCGCACAACTCGGCCACTCAGCCTGCGTTCGCTGTGCGGTTTGGAGCTCATCCGAGGCACTGACCGCCGAAGCAATATCTCATGACCGTCAGCTGATGTCAAAGCTTCTATGGCTGACAATTTGCTGCTGAGGCGGGCGGTTGGGCGGCAAAAAGCATGAGCTTCAAAGGGCAGTCAGTTCTAGGGCGGCCTTTCGTTGAGCGCATATGACCCGAACGAAGATGCTGCTCTGTCACTTGCGAATGATCTACCTTTGACAGCTCTGAAGCTTGCCTTGCTATCTTTCATAAGTCGTTATAACCGCCGAGTTCGAAATCATGCAAAGGCTTGACATCGGTCGGGTGGTCTGGCGCGATGGCAGCGTGCGTAGCCTTTTGTTCCTCATTTTTCTGGTGGGCGCTGTGCTCCCTGGTTCGATCTACGCCGTATATGCACTTGAGTTCCACCCCTTGGCCAAGTATCCAGGACCATTGCTCGGGCGACTGACTCAGTGCTACGATCTCTATCATGCCTTCCACGGCGACAAGCATGTGTTGCTCTACCGCCTTCACCAGAAATACGGCCCAATCGTCAGGTTCTCGCCGAACACGATATCAATCAATGATCCAGTGGCGCTGAAACCGATATATGCGCATGGTGCCAATGTTAAGAAGTCCATCTTCTACGAATGCTTCCGAGCCGCACCACAAGCCATCAGCACGTTGCTGGCTACAAACAAGACACACCATGCCAGGAAGAGACGGGTCATGGCACAAGCCTTCTCAGCTGAGGCATTGCGAGGGCTCGAGCAGTATGTATTGGGTCGTATCGAGGACTTGGTCGAGAGGATGAATATCTTGCTCGACCAGACGCAAGCTGAGAAGAGCCAGAGTACTGTGACGCTCAACATGGCCAGCTATCTGAACTATTTGGTGTTCGACATCATGGGCGAGCTGGTATTTGGTAAATCGTTCGGTACGCTCGGAGATGAGCCAGAAAATAGAGCCGCTATCCGTCTGCTTGGACGAGCTGCCAGGCGCAACTATACTGTTGCGGCAATGCCGGCCTTGGCACAGTACGGGATCGAGAAGTATCTACCGTTCCTTCGAGGCCTATACCATGATCGAGCAAAGTACCTAGCATTCGGCAAAGGACAAGTACTGGCTCGTGCGAAATAGAACGGCCTCGGTGAAAGCGGAAGACGAGATATCTTCTCCTATCTGCTGCATGCCCAGGTAGGATGGCACCCATGGAACGTCAAGATCTTCGTATACTGAACAGCAGCAGGATCCCGAGACCGGTACGGGTATCCCGATGCCAGGATTGTTCATGGAGGGTAACACGCTCATCGTAGCTGGCAGCGACACCTCCAGCACAACAATGTCTGCCGTGATGTTTTACCTGCTCACGAAAGCAGACGCGATGAGTCGCCTGAAACATGAAGTCCTCAGCACTTTCCAGAACGTCGAAGAGATCTGCAAGGGCCCGAAGATGCAGGCGTGCTCCTGGCTCCGGGCGTGTATCGATGAGGCAATGCGCATGTCTCCTGCAGTGGCCGGTCTGCTCCCGCGCGAAGTCATGGAAGGCGGCTTCGGTGTTTCTGAGTTGGACCTGTTCTTCCCAGCTGGTGTACAAGTTGTTGTCGAGATTACCCGGCGGCAGAGATGAGTGGATGCACTATATGCGGGCACGAGGCACACCTCCGAGGCTTATTGATACAATGGTGATGTCCCCCTAAGTGACGAAAACAATGTGCCCGATGATCGAGATATTTGCAAGCCCATGGCGAGTCGTGCACAAGTCACAGGACTCACAGGCCGCTGAACTGATCGCCACGTCCGACATCGCCATTCGTTCTCACTGCTACTGCGCCTCTGTTTACGCGGCAAGCTCGAGCATACTCTCGTTCAGCACGTTCCTGTTTCAAACGAATCTCTCGTTTCCGCTCATACACTGCGCGAATCGTCCTCTTCACTTGATCCCTCCCTTCAGCGTAGTTCGCCCTCGCAAGATCGACAACTTTGTTAATCTGCTCGGGTGTATAGACGAAATTCCACGTTGACATGAAGTCGGCCTTCAAAGGATCGACACCAGGTACCGTCTCGTTAGCTAGGAAAGGGAAGTATATAAGTGCGATACCCGCGCTCGGCGACGATAGATGCTGATGATCATCGTCAGAGTCTATCAGATGATGAGTTGGTTCGTCCATGTACTCGTATCGTTCTTCCTTCGTGCCCGCCCAGACAGTACAGTAGCCAAGCTCCTTCTGGGGGGGCTCAAGATGATCAGGTCCACAAGCTGCATCGGCTGCAGCCTCTCCTGCCGCTTCGAGCTCAGTTGCAGTTGTATCATTCTTATTACTCTTCGGTGGCCAGCCAGCACCCATCGGCCACCCTTTGATACCGCGCTGTCGTACATAGCCATCAGTAACCTTGATCCAGTTGTCGGCTTTGGCGTCGGCCGATGCGTCGAAAGCTACGATTACGTCTACTTCTCGCCCCGGTCTGAGCAGTGGATAAAGTGGCAAGTTGTTCGCCATTCCTGCATCCATGAGCTGCAGATGTGTAGTAGTGTGGATGCTCTCCGGTACAGAGTCAGACAACTGGTTTCGCATGCCAAGAGCGAAGTTTGGTATTACAGCTGGGTCAACAGGATGTACCTTGACCAAGTCGTCGTCTCTGCCCGAAAGCAAGGTGTCGAGCCCACCAAGCCCTGCAGCGCGCAGCAAGGGCCGGATCTCTTTATAGTAATGGGACAACGTAGCGCAGAAGGCGCTTCCCCATATTCCCATCATGAGTGGGACTCGCAGCTCAGGCAGAGCAAAACCATTCTCTCTGTAAAGCGAGTTCCCGCCATCCCACTTTCGTCCAACAGCCCACGTAGGAATGCCGGCATCGAGCTCCTCACAATAGAGCTCATACGGTGTCCATTCGTACCATTGGAACCAATCGAAATGTTTAGTAGTGAATCGAGCTTCTTTGGCCATGGCTTCGACCTTGCCGACTGAGTCCGGGATTTCGTGGCGAACGGCTGTATATATTGGCAAAGGCTGTTTGCCTTCGTCGGTGAAGATTCGCTGATTCGAGATCTTGAGGTCGTAGTTGCTAATTCGCAGTTCATGCTTCGGCACCAGCAATCGTGCTGCCAACGCCAACCCATACACGTCCACCAGCCCAAAGTCTGCGTCAGGCACCCCGCGCAGCTTCTCCACAAATCCGCTGAGTAGATACTTGTTGGTTGGCGCCTGGCTCAATAGATGCAGTAGCGAAGGTGGGGATGCGATGTGGATGCCGACACGGTCCTTGAGATGTGCTAGTATTGCGCCATAGTCTTGTCTACCGATGGAAGAGTAATAAAGTGTTTGCAGCCAGCAGCTACCGCTGACTCCAGCCGTATATGTCACGCAGTCGAACAAACCATCTTCTGCAGCAGACAGATACGATGACGCTCCCGCTACAAGAGCTCGGAGACCGCCTCCACTGCCACACATGCCTATGATAGGCACATCTCTCGGGTCAACCTCGGATTCCGATAATCCCAAATAGCGACCCAAAGCTGCAGCTGTCTGGCGCTGACGCTGACGCAGAAACGACTGCTCTTCGGCGCAGAGATCCTTCGACAATCGTACTTTGGCATCCCACACAATCTCTGGATTGATCTGCGGATCATGCGCTTCCTCCCAGATCTCCCACGATAAAGACCAAGGTGCCATGGAGAGCTCATTCTGTAGCTTGTCGAGCCACTCTGGTAGTAGGCGCACCCAGGTCGGAACGATCATGCCAGTAATCTTCTCGCGAACTGAGATGAGGTCGATGCTAGTGAAAGTGCCACACACGGCCGAAACACGGCCAGTAGCTAGTTGCCATGCGGAGAGTGGGTCTTCAGGACCATCGCCTTCGGTATCGATGACACGAAATTCACGTGACGAAGGTAGTAGAGGGTCCTGAGGTTTCCGATTCGAAGGCTGGGACCCTGTACGATTTTGTGACGGCTGTGGCTCTGTGATGACCGTCTGTCGTGGACTCCAGTTCTGCGTAGTGTCTCGTGAGCTGTCTGCCAACACACGCTTGCGTTGGCCATTGGCATATGCTGCAACGACAGAACAACCGAGGACGATTTGTAAGGTCTTCGCTTGCTGGCCGCCACAAGCTCGCAGCAGTCGTACTGCCGAACTCATGGCTGTCTGGACGCTGGAGCTGGCGATGGCGTGAGCCACATACAGTTGACGTGATAACGAACAAAACTTGCTGCGGACGACAGGGGAATGCCCCATATAAGTGGCTCGCCCCGCTCCGCTTTCACGAGTCAGTCATCTCAATCTCGTCGTCTCACAAATACCGCAGCTTCCCATATACACAACAATCTCATGAGCTCACCAAGAAGCGTTGTTTCAGTCTATTGGACACCACTCCTTGAGAAGTAGAACTTTGCAAGATGAAGCCACCAGGCTGCAGATTACCGACCCAGCGTTCGTCTCGAAACACTTTAGCGCGTTCACAGGGTGCGCGAGCTTCGATGTTCTCATTCGTCAGCGCTATTCATCGATATCTCTTTCGACTACATGCTTATTCGGTCGCTACAGGCGGCCCTGTGCCCATACTTTTCTCGTTTGATCAATGGGATTGTCCCCATCTTCTCTGGGCTCTAGAATTATGGTGATGGTCACGGAGCGCACGCAGGAACCCATCTTTTCGCCACGCCACGGCCGCTTATTCTTGTGTTGAGGCAACATTACACGACCATCGAACCTTGGACGACCTCACAATGGCCTTCTCAATGATGGAAGCCTGCGGCACGGGTGCGCCTCTTCATCTCGAGAACCATTGTGATGTCCATCGGCCAGCTACGGTACTACAGAGGCGGTAAGGTGTCGTTGAAGTATTCCTTCCCTTCATATTGAGCTTGTGACCATCGGTCAAGACCTATCGTTCACTTTCTCATTCAGTCACTCTTTGTACAGTCGTTCGCTACAAAGTATCTTTCCTCGTCAATAACCTCACTTCCCCAAGTCAATCCTTCAGCATGTACAGCAGCACACTAATTCTCGTTCTTCTCTCGGCGACAGCGATCGCATTACCCATCACTCGTCGGGATGCTGCGCCTTCTTTTCTGATCAACGGAGATGCGCCCTTCACCGTTGATGCCGCTACTCTAGCTGCCTCACTTACGTGTCCAAATGGCAATCCGAGCAGCAAGTCTCCGCCGGTCTTGCTGGTTCATGGTAGGTCCGTCACCTTGAAGCGTTGACTGTCATTGATGCTGAGGTTCACTCAGGCACAAGCACTACTGGTGCAGAGAGCTGGGGCCAAGGCTATGTACCGGCTTTGGCGGCCAACGGCTACACAGCATGCTATCTTACATTGCGTGAGTAGAGTTCGATCGATGTTTTGCGATGGGACTGGTTCCTAACAACAATCTTTATAGCGGGTCGAGCCATGGGCGACATGCAAGTCAGCGCTGAATACGTTGCATATGGTTTACACTACATCTCGAGCCTAGCAGATGGTGCCCAAACTTCAGTCATCTCACATAGCCAAGGTGGCCCCCTCACACAATGGGCTCTACAATTCTATCCGAGCACGAAAGCTGTCACCAGCACTCTCGTCGCGCTTTCACCCGACTTTACTGGGATTCAAGTGGGTGGTGGTAACCTCAGCGACTTCTGCATCGGCAACTTGTGCCAATCATCGATCTGGCAGCAGAGCGCAGGTAGTCACTTCCTCACTTCGCTGGGCAGCCACGGCTTCCAAGCTCAAGTTAAAACTACATCTATCTGGTCAAAATTCGATGGAGTGGTCTCACCAGCCCAAGGAAACGCTAATCTGCCTTCCGCGACCGTCGTCGCTGTTCAGGATCTGTGTCCACTACGGCTGGTAAGCCATGTCTTTATGACCATCGATGCCGCTGCCTTCGCTCTCGCGCTTGATGCGCTCCAGCATGGATCGGCGGACTTGATGCGAGTGCAGAGCCAGATTTTCAGTGTCTGCTTTAGGATCGCTGCGAAGAATATGCAGATCAGTGTGGCGAACCAGGTTCAGGCGGCTTGGGACGACGCTATAGACGGATTTGTGTGAGTACTTCTTTGGTCATAATTTGTGGTGATTATTGCTGATGATCGCAGATTGGGCTCACCACGGGTGACACAGGAGCCAGGATTAATGGCATATGCTCAGTAGCTGCTATTTTCTATCTATCTAGAACAAGCTTACAGCTATAGAGCCTGATCTCGTACGCAACACGACATACCTCCTCTCTCGAGTGCACCTTAACCCTGCCACAGCCAGGAGTCCCCGCAAGAGCCAGTAAAAGTCGCACAGTATATGGGAGCGTAATGTCCACCTTTCCACAATCGATGGCCATCTGCGAAAGGACTACACTGTCCACTTCGAAAGCTACACGCACCATTGTACAGTTCCACAACTACTGAGCCAGTATTACAGCATGCTTAAGGGCCATTGTGAATGTATTGCCAGATACTGCACTCATCAACTGGGGGGTATCGCGAATCATGAAGATCTCAGCACAGGGTACTTGCTCTGCTTGCGAGGTTAGCGACTTGTGTCTTGCGCCAAAGACCTGAAGCATGATTAGGCTAATCGTTCCAACCACTTCGGCGAATCGTTGGTCGTGTGTCTTGCCGTTGAGTGTGAATTGATTCCGGATCTCGCTCTTCTGGAGCTGTGTTCGTCCCAATGTAGACCCCGTCGGACTCGCTATGAAGGAGGTCGGCTGCCGCTTTAACCTTTGTCCGGAGCCTTTCCTCATGAAGACGACAGTGTACAAGTACGACCTGCGAATGCGAATGCGAGCTTTCCTCATCCTCCAGACGGACTTACGTGGTCTACGGTGCCTCATTGCATCGACCTCCTCATGTGTAGGACCAGACTGAGCCACGAGTCGTTGCTGAGACAGGTGATCGTCGGCCATTGAGCTGCTATGATCAAGCCGTGTTCAGTTAGCTGGTTCTTGGCGAGGCTGAGCAAGACAGTGAACATGGTAAGAGATGCGCCGACTATGATGCTCGGATGCCTATATCTACCGACAATGGCTACCCCTGGTCATTGAGATATCATCGAGAACCCACTCCGTCAAATTAGCTTCCTACTAGCATCAATACATCATGGTGGTCCACGTCGAGCCGGCAGCAATTGAGATCGCGGCATCGCCACAACGTGTCCGAGAAGTGGTTCGTTGTCCCTAACTACACAGTAGAAACGATATGTCTGACAAGCTGGCCCTTCAGGTTCTTGACTTCCCGAATTTGTCGGTCTGGCACAAGGGTCACTTCAAATATATCAAGGTCCAAGGTGGCAAAAGCGGCAAAGAGCTTGTCCAAGGCGACAAGCTGGAGATTCTTCTCGACCTTGGCATGAAGTTTTCGCCAGTCATCCAGGTACCAGAACTCTAGACCCTATAAGTATCATGAAGGCACTAATTTGAGGTGTGTATTGTAGGAGAATAGCCCTACAAGGCTGCAGTGGCGAGGCAGTATGCCTGGAGTTTTCACAGGTGACCACGTCTTTGAGTTCCAGCCCTCAAAGATGAATCCGGGATATACAACCTTTGTTCAATATGAAGACTTCACTGGGATGCTGTCGCATACTATGAAGCCAGAGAAGAAGTCGGGGACGCAGAACATGAATGGCTTCGTCAAGTACAATTCTGACTTGAAGGAGAAAATGGAGAGTGGACATTAGCTAGGACTTTGTAGGTACTGTAGGAAGAGTGGTTGTTTTGTGAGCATCAACGTGATTGTTTCAATGAAAGACTACACGAGCATTAGAAAGGTTGAGTTAGGGGTGTAATAGGCTCGAAACATCGGATATCTGGAGTAGTAGTCGCGCCACTAGGAATGTATTACACTAGAGTATGCTTGGCTTTTGGGGACAAGGCGTACAGAGACGATATTGAGACAGCGTTCAAGTAAGAGTGAGAAACCTGAGAAACTTGTGGTGCATGACAAGACGGAGAAAACGAGATCTGATTACCGTTGTAAATGCTCTCGTTATACTCGAAAGAGATGATTGGAAGCCATAGATTTGGGCGATCGTGTCCTTTCGACTGGGTCATTTGGAGACTCGGATGTGTCATCGGGAACAAGGGAAGGATGTGGAGTATAGTTGTCGCTGGTCAATACTGAGGACATGTTACCCGTGCCTGAGACTGGGTCTGTCAAGGCGAAGGACGCACTTCTTCCAGCCATGCCTGGAATCTTCTTGGCTGGCTCTGTTCGATCGAATAGACGGTTGGAGCAGTCAGCCATGAGCTTGTCTCGCTCGTCAAGTCTGATTGGAGACATCAGAAGTCTCCTCGGTGTCAGAAGCTGGTCTGATTGCGTCGCTTTGCCCTCCTCTCACCCTACTGCCTGGCGTGGAACTGAAGTCAGAGATGGTCTTTGTGGATAGCGTAGAAGGTTCCCTGAAAGCCTCGTCGATAATATGTGCTCCATTGGAAAGCAGCCAGACCACTTTGTGGTCGGCAGTCTTGATACGTGTGGTGTTGGATGTGAAATTTTTCATAGCTGAGCGGCCTCTACTGGTCCCAGATAACTTTGCAGTGTCAGAGGCATATTCTATTGGTATACCACGATTGAGTGAATACTAGTAGTAGTCCGGGACCTTGAACTGCTGAAGTTCTTGTAAAATCTGAACTTTGCCTTGCTCACACGACTGCAAGTCGACCGCTCCGGGATCCAAGTATAATGTATTCGCAACCACCATTATCTTGACCCGACAATTTGCTCTCGTCATTGCCGTGTGAAGTATACTCAGAAAGCGAGTAGCGCCTCGCCTCCCACATCGATCCATCCTGTCCACGACAATACGGACGGTGTATTCGGCCGTGAACATCTGCATCAGTACTGTAAGGCTGTCTCGAAGAGATTCAAGTGCTTCATCGGTAGGCTGATCAGCAGAAGCGTTCCTTGCTGTCGAATACTTTCGCAGCGGCACGGACAGAGTGCTGAGGTAGTCATCAGGCCTCAGAGCTGGATCCATACCCTTGAGAAGCTGCAACTGAATTTCTGCCAGCACTTCGCATACATCGACAGCTGAACGACTCAGCGGATCGAGAATGAGAGTAGCTGTGCATCCGCGGTTCCCTGGAGGGTCATGCATTGCTTGAAGGGCGAGTGGTGACATCCAGCAGTGTGGACAGTCCTGAGCATCAGGATGTGGGACTGCAAATATCAGTAACATAGACGACTGATGCGGATCATGCCAGTGGGTTAAGGCATCTCTTGCCATAAACAATGCTATTTGCTCGGCAGACATCCACTGAAACAAGCTGTAGAGCTTACGATGCAATTCGAGCTGCTCAGCGTATTTCGCCTGCCACTGCTTGTGTACCTCCAGAGTCCAGTGTGTGGAACCAAGCAAGGCCTGTAGGTCCATCAAATCGCGGTCGTGACTGCTTGCTTTGAGGTCGGCCAGCTCTTTGTGGAGGATGTCGTTCTTCGCAATCAAACGCTCGTTGCCTTGCCGGATCACATTGACACTATAAGTCATCAGCTCCTCGCACTTCAGCCGTACGTCGGATATGAGGTCTTGCACCTTTTCGGCGAGACTGTTGAATTTTTTGGGTTGGATGGTCGCGAGCCACCAACGAGCGATGCCAGGTTTCTGATAGTAATATGCCGACTGCATAGCCAATTCGAGTATCCCGGTATAAGCAAGCAATATCTTTGCTCGCAATTGTCTCTGATTAATCTCGCTTTCTTGGTAGACCTCCTCGAACATGCGAAGTCCAGGCAATCGATCATGCACCTTCTTCATGGCTCCAGTGATTACGTCGTCAGTCTTCATTTTGGCATAGGCTATGGCAAAAACCGCGCTCAGTACACTCACTGCGAGGCTGCCGTACGGTCCAGCAGCCTGTGCAGCATCTGTAAGAGGTTTGAAGTCCTTCAAAAACTGGGAGACACCCGCTGCAAATGCTGTGGACGTGCGTGCAGCCAGACCGAGGCCAGAGCGGTGGGCTGCATCGTACTCGTCTCGGTTTTGGTCTGCTAGCTTCGTCCAGTGCTTTATTGCAACATCCATTGACATCGGTTCAATGCGATGTTGCTGGTCGGCGACTTTATGACGTCCTTTGCCCGACGACTCAAACTCCATCTGCTGAGCTTCGACACGCTCAATGTAGTCCCTGTGCCAATAAACTCAGCATGTACTTCACAGCGTAGCCACGTTGCAGTGGTGGGCAGCAAGTCTCACCAGTCTTGGGCATCCAATTCCAATGAACCATCTCGAGCTTCCTTCTTGGCGGCCATTCCGAGAACTGCTCTTTTGTTTTAATCCTATTGGTGTCACCAATACAAAGCAAACCATCTTTTTACATTTTTGCTTGTCGTCTTCATGGAATGAAGATTTCGGTGGGCCGCCTGAGGTAAGGTAAGATTCCCGTGCTCAGTTGCAAGATCGCGGCGATTACACTCCATCAAGATGATGTACAGCTGCGGACGACGACACTGCCAAAGTCTAGCGCCAACATCCTACACTTTATCCGAAGCGAATGGGATGCCTTCGCAAACCGCAGGAGGCCACTGGAACCGATGCACGTAGTCATTGGGGGCTGACCTGCACGTCAGCCGCACGCTGCATAAGGAGTGCTGGGGCCATAACGCGTAGGTGCTATGATCTCCAAGTAACGAAGACCGATGGGAAGACCAGTACAGGCGTCCGGGCACCATATATCTTGATAGTCAGCTTCTCGATATTGCACGAAAATCGGCGCCCCCAGTTCCTCCGCTGGCCTGAACGATGAGAGACTCCATGACATGCAATACCATGAATCATCCGCCCGCGCTGTGGACTTCATGCGCGAGATAATTACATTGCAGGATGCAAATCCATGTGACGATCGGCGCAGCTTGCTCGATCCTGATCACACCACCACCCACGCACGCCACCGTGCAGCTCAGCGCGGCCTGCCTAGCAATAAAAGCAAGCGCTGACAGACATTTGCTTCGATAGCAACTCGTCGATCGGGATGTCTATTCATCAAATCCGTGGCCGTCTGTCCTCGTGCATCCACCGACCTGTACCGTGGTATATGACGCTTCGCATAGCGGACAGCGAGCTAGCTTAATCATAGCTGCCACTGCTTGCTTTACGGTAACAGGCAGTCATGGCAGGCGACGATGAGAAGAAATTAGAGGACGACAGAAGGTCGGATGGTGAAGGTCGGGGGGATCGTGACAGGAAGCCCAATGGCGAGAGAAAACATGAGTCTGCGAAAAAGGTTGATGGGCTGGTACGTCTGTCGATGAGAAGCTCCAGTACCTTCTGACATGTGCGTAGGTCACCCTAGAACAGAAGATTGCGCAATTCGAGAATAAGATCGCTATGCTGGAGTCCAGATTGTCAGCCCAGGAGAGCAACGGAAAGAGGGCGGAGTCCAAGTCTGCACGAGACCGCGTAAGTCTGTGTTGTCAAGCCCAACTACATGACTAATGTATTATCAGAATACGAAAGCAGACGAGCCAGGATCACGAGCTAACAGTCCAGCACCCTCAAGCCCGGATGCTTCTGCCCCAAAACCTCGTATCCGTGTTGTTGTGTCCAAACAGGACATAGATGGCGAGAGAGTCGACACGGATGAGAACTCGTCAAGTGAAGCTCCACCCATGAAGGAACATGATAACGTGGCTACACTGTGGAAGTACGTATGGAGAAGCAGTGGCACTTTAGAAGTATTCGACCTCAACCTTTGTGCTTTGCTAAAGAAGCTGCTCGCACACTATCCTCCTTTCAACCACTTCCTCGGCAATAGAGTCGAGATAGACTCGCCATACGAGCCATTGATCTTTAATTGGGACGCAATTGTGGCCGAGTCAGAGCTACAGACCGGAGATGATGGAGTCCTACGAGCACGTCTAGATCTGCGAGATCTTATTGTGGCCATCAGGAAAGGCTCTGGCGACCCGAAGCTCGACGAGTTTTTTCGCTCTCGCGACGACCTCCGGCGAGAGAATGCTATCTCGTTTGATACACTCTGGACGATCTTCCCGCCGGGTACGCTAGTGTTTGGTCAAGTTTTCCTGGACGAGCCGCAGCTTTTCATGGTGGAAGACCAATACGAAACCTGGCCAAGAGACAACGAATTTAGTCGACGCTCGGGCACTCCAACGATATGGGAGCTGGATTGCTTCATGTACGACTACACAGGTAATAGTTTCCAACGACAAAGTGTAAAGCTTCCTTTCAGGGAGTTCACGGGCGCTACGCCAATACTGCAACTGCCATATCGCCCAATAGAGGCGCTTGGAGACAAGGAGCGCGAGGAACTCATGGCCAAGCTCTTGAAACGTGGTCGGGGTTTCAGAGACTTTTGCGTTGCGAGGAACGATACTCGTATGTATAACTATGCCGGAAAGGCTATGATCGATCATCGTGGTTACCGACGACAAGCCGCCTCTTATGATGCAGTAAGACAACCGCCCAGTCTTGCAACGGTCTTGATATGTGGCTGACGCGAGCAGGATGATAGCGACAGTGATGACGACCGTCGTCGTAGAAGGCGCGGCAGAGCCTCGGTCGTTCAAAGGCAAGAGACTCTGTCAATATCATCGACGAACGTCATGGTCGACTATCTTTCGTACTTCCAACATGGACCCAACGTACGCCAACGATGGTCTGTCTCGAAACTTGGTGAGACCTCGGTTTCTGATGATGTCTGGAACTGTATGTGTACGGACTGCCAGGACAACGAGGGTCGCAATCGTCTCAAACCTCAATATGACGGCATGAACGGTGTCGACGACCGTGATCTTTGGGAGGATCTACAGTTCCAACTTTGTGCCCCTCGAGTACTAGGCTACATCTTGAAGGATAAAGCCTGGGCTCAATTTGCAGTCAGCAAGCTTGCTTATATGAGCCAGGAGGACGAGAGGACGGTCATGTCAAAACTTGTTCTAGATGGTGACGATGGAGGCCAAAGCCAGAAAGACTTATTGTTGAACCTGGTCAAGCACCATGGCATGAAAGATAGCTCAAAATACTCTCTGGAAGACATCGTGGTGGACAAAGGCAAGGGGCTTGTGTTTCTGCTGTACGGTGCTCCAGGCGTGGGTAAAACTTCGACAGGTAGGTCCGACCTTGGCAATCTCAGTGAGTAGCGGAGCTAACTGTAGCAGCACAAATGGTGGCTCGCGCGGCAAGGAAGCCATTGCTATCGATATCAGTTGCTGATGTGGGCGTGGATGCCGCTGCAGTCGAGAGAAATCTCCAGGCACTGTTCGACCTCGCAACGAGCTGGAGCGCCATCCTTCTAATGTGAGTGCTCGCATCTTGACCAATCACCCGTCGCTAATTCGTGGCGCAGTGACGAAGCAGATGTCTTCTTGCAAAGCAGGAGCAAGGGTCAGTACGGTCCATCTGCCGAAGGAAGTGCTCTAGTGTCAGGTACGTGGCTTTTGACAACTCAGCAACACCCTTATTGACAAGCAAACAGTCTTCCTCCGCGTGCTGGAATACTATCGCGGCATCTTGTTTCTGACGACCAATCAAATCGCTCAGTTCGATGTTGCCGTGCAGTCACGGGTACACATTGCCTTCAAATACAATGGCCTCAACAAGCGCCAGACGGTGAAGATCTTTATGGATTTCCTCGAACAGCTTGATGATCGCGGTCTGGTATCTGATCCTGATGACATTGCGGATTGGGTCAAAGAGGACTTTTACAAGCTCAAGTTTGATGGCCGTCAAATCCGGAACATCATTAGCAGTGCCATGGGCTTTGCCAGAGGACAGCAGCATACGAAACCGACTACGAAGCTGACGAAGAAACATTTGAAGGCGATCGTGGAGAATGTACAGGAGTTTCACGACGATTTAGCCGGTCAGATGCAAAGATGGCAAGACGCGCAAGCGATGGCAGGAATCGGCGTCATGAAGTAGTCTGTCAGCCATCTCACAGCTGCGAGCAGATCCGCATCTTACCCTCATTGGGAGCCTCTGCAGCAGTGGCATTGCCGCTCTGTACTTCTTGCCTCGCCGCTCGATACGCCTCACACTGGGACGGGGCTGTTGGATGCCAAACGCTACTTGTGTGTTTACCACGATCGTGCAATGACAAGCACTCCTCGTAGCTGCAGCCATGAACGAACCATTAGGCATCCACCGCCTGGGCCTGACAACCAGCGGACAACGAGAGTTACGATACAGAAGTTCGTCATGACGGGTTGCACTTGCACATGTTTGTACACTCATGCTATAATGGATCGTTTACTTTCATGGGTCCTCGTATACTTCCCTATAATATCTCTTAAGCCATACATGCTTTACCCAAACCGGCGCCAATTAATGTCCCCTTCCAGCACTTCTAAGACTTCGCTGATACTGCCTGTCGGCGCTCGTGCGAGCAATCACAGGCGCCGGCGCAGCATCTTCCCCATTACTTATGGGACGATTCGGCATGTTTGGCACCTCATCCTTCTCATTAAAATCGCTGTCCGTACCTTCCACATCGCTCTTCCTCGAAAGACCTCGATCCATGAAGTCCATACCAGTGGGGCTGTCGTTATGCAGAGTTGGGCTGCTACCACTACCAGGGTCACTGGTCTTGACCTCGTCGCTGAAGCGTACATGCTTCTTGTGCCACTCCGTGTCTTCGTACAAGAAGGGCTCTTCCATGTCGCCTCGGCCATACCATAGTGGCTCGTTGTCGGCGATCTTTCGTACGTTAAGCCATGGGTTAGGACCCATGGATGCGGCGTGGAAGATGACATCAATTTCTTCCAGTGATCGGTAGCCGGTCTCTGGGTAGAGGAAGTAGATGACTGGTACTGCGACAAAGTTGCTGAAAGCGAGGTCAGTACATGAGCGTTGCTATGAGAACTCTGAGGATATACTCACGTGCAGGCGAAGATGATGTAGGTCCTGTAGCCGATGTTATGGAAAGCGATAGGTGCGATGAGTACAACGACAAAGTTGATGAGCCAGTTGGCAGCCGTCGAAAGAGCATTCGCGGAACCACGGATTCGAAGAGGGATGATCTCGACCTGATACAGCCAGGCCATGCCCTGCCAGCCGATGGCGAAGAAGGTGCAGTAGGCGAAGACAAAGACTGTGCCGGCAATGTTGCTCGATCGCAGGTCCAGGTACTGCATAATGCAGATGAGCACCATAGACACGGCCATGCCACTTGCGCCAAACATGAGCAGACTACGACGGCCCCAGAAGCGATCGATACCTATCACAGCCACGAAGGAGGCCAGGAAGAACTCGGTACCAGCACCAGCGGCAATGAGCATTCCGACCCATCGTTGATATGCAAACATCTGGATGAAGATGATAGCCAGGTATTGCGTAATTAAATTGATACCAGACATCTGTTGGAAGACCTGGAGGACAAATGCGAGTGCGACGCGGTGGAAATGTCGGTAGTCGCCCATGCTGAAGACATCCTGGTTGCCTCCCTTGGACATCTCGAGGACAGCGTCCTTGATGGAGAGGAACTCCTGGCGGGTCTCTACAGCATCGGCGTCGTTGTCGTTTAGTGCAGCGAGTACCTCCAAGGCCTTGCTCTCTCGGCCAGTCAAGATGAGCCACCTAGGAGACTCGGGCATGAAAGCCATGAGCGCGTAGACCATCAACGCGAAGATGAGCTGAATGGCAATCGGCACACGCCATGCGGCTGAGCTACCAGTGACAAAGGAGAAACCGAAAGCGATCCAGTAGCTGAAAGACAGACCAGCAGCTATACATGCGCCAGCCGAGACCATGAGCAAGGTACCACGTCGATGCGCCTTGGTGCACTCTGCCTGCCACGCCGGGACAGTCGCAGTGTTGAAGCCATTGCCAACGCCAGCAATGACTCTGCCGGCAATGAATTGACCGTACGAGAAGGATGTCGCTTGGATTATCTCGCCGATGATCAAGATTGTGGTGCCCAAGTATATGGTGTTCTTACGGCCTATCAGGTCGCCCCAAAAGACGGCGATCATGGCTGATACGAAACAACCAATGTTCCATGCTGCGACTGTGACGCCCTGTATGGCTGCGACATGTTGACTGCCCGGGTTTCCAATGGTATCGATTTGTGGAAACTGTCTGCGAAACTCGGGAACAGCGAGTAGGCCAGCGAGATCACCTTGATCATAGCCAAATAGACTATTGCTACCGTTAGCAGACCACCCGATGGCACTTGTCGGGGTGCGTGTTCGTACAAGAATGCTGTTCCGGCAACCAATCCAATGGCTACTTGTAATCTCGCGCCTCGAAGCCCGCCATAGGCGCTGACCATGATTGATGTCGCGCGTCGACTTTGCTTACGGTTACAGTTCTTCCGATTGGACCCAAGATGGTAGTCGCGCCGTCTGGTCAGATATAACACCTGCTGAGAGAATACAGAATGGAGACGTGACGGATGAAGTCGAAGATGGAAGATTCAACGGCATCGCGTGCGCCCAAGACTCGAGACGAAGAGCCGTTACATTCGTTGATGCGCACAGTCCTGTCATGCCGAATCCGTGACGTAGAGACTTGCATACATGCACGCGGATCGTGCTCCGGTATGGCATGGCAGTTTCTGCTGTCTCACGGCAGAAACCGTCGACGAAATCTCAACTCTGGTCGACAGATTTTTATGTCTCACAATCGCAAGCTATGTCTTGACTCTAACAGGTCGCTGGAAGTGTCACTGGTGTTGGCACGTTTCTGTTTGCAGCGCAAGTGGAAACCATGCATGTCGAAAGTGGCGTGCCGGACTTGCATGGTTCCTGCATCTCCAATCTCGAATTGCAGGGGTATTTTCATCGCGCCCGGTAAGCCGACTCCGCGACCGATAGCTCTACGGCGATCGATCTGTGTGGTTTTTAGCTCAAGAAGCGCGGTTGCAGTTTTGGGAACAGCATAACTCACGGAAGGAGGAGATCCGTGAGGCACCTCTATCAGACGATATATTCGATCAACACTTTGTGCCTCTCCATGCGGGCAAGAGTCCGACATTCCACTCACAAAAGCTGCACGAGTGAGTACGGCATTCTGGGACCGGATGTCGCACAGCTTGATCAGACGCAAACGCCAGCAAGACGCACATCGCAACCTGTGGTGTAGGCTGGTCGTATCTCGTTTATATGTAAGAATTACAGATGGCGGATTGTCATACCAGACTAATTATCAGCCCAACACGAAGGGTCATAAACTCACAGGTTTGACACGGTCGACGTCGGATTGAAGTAGCCATTGAAGTCCAGCTTCTGCAATAGCAACTTCACCACCTCAACATCTGTATCCCGTGATCGTGACCTTGTCGGCTTATCAACAAGCTCCTGAAGCAGCTTGATGAGATGTCGTACAGAGCCATAGAAGCCCTCGTATACATCTGACCGCTTCGCATCGTTGACAGCAGCTGCTGCCGGTTTCAGGACAGCGATAAGCACGTTATCGACTGCTGCACGTATCGTGATCTGTTTCCTCCTCAAGAACAGCCTGCTTCTGATGCTTTCAAGACCTTCGTTGTGCATGTCCCGCAACTCGTGTATGCTCGGAATGTGCCCGACGTCACTGCTCGCAAGTACTTGCTCTACAGCATCCAGTGTATGCTGTAAATCTGTCCACGGTATAGCTATGCCGACGTCCATGAAGTGGGCCATCAAGGCAGCAACTACGTGTTGAGCAGCATGTGCAAAGCGCAACCCTGTCAGGTCCGTTTTGTTGCATGTGCTCCTAAGGTGCACCACTACATATTGTACCCGGAGCATACGAAGTAGTGATCTGAATACATCATCGTAGCGTTGTAGACTCGTAGGAGTGATGATCGCGTCGAGTGGTGACGGCGGTGTGTACTGCAGCTTCAAAAAGTCAAGAGCATACAAAGATGAGGCATCCATAACCTTATCGATCTCCTCGTCCGGCAGCTCACGAATAGCAAAGCTGAGGCCGCCAGGAATCTCGTCTTTTCTTCTCTCGTTCGTGCTGTGCGATCTGATACCTTGATGATACGTGTCTGTGAGCACACCAAGCAATGTAAGCCGCAGCTCTGAGCTTGCAGGTGGCCATCTCTTCTCGTCTCTGGCGTCCAAGCGGAGACCCATAGTCTGAGCTGTTGGTACCATCCCACGCCGTCGCTCTGCAGACTGCGTCTCGGCACTGAACAGAGCTGTCGATAGTCGGGTGATAAACTCGCCACTGCCCAGAAGTTGGAATGCATGCTGCACGTTGAGATGCTGCCGCAGCATGCAATCCTGGAAGAGGTGCGACAGTAGTAGACGATTTAGCCGCTGCGCTTGTGCCAGAATGGCGGGTCGCAGACGGTCAAACGGTGTTGTGGTGGTTGAAGCATCTACTACAAAATATGTATTCCCAGACGGGCTTTCACATAACGCTGTGGCGGCAGCAGTACACAACTCATCAGTCTGTGAACCTACGTGAGTTTCTGGCTCAGTAGACATCCGCAAGTCGATTGCTTGAAGAAATTGGTGCTGGACATCGTCATGGGACCAAGCATTGGTCTCCTCTTCTGTTGTCATCACTACATCGCGCAGTGCAGAGTCCGAAGGCGGGACCGGTACGAGCTGTGCTTTTACATCAGTAGAATAAGTCGAATTGGTTGCTTGTACAGTGTCGAGTCGAGTTCCGGGGAAGTGCGCCCGCAAGATTTTCACTGTTTCTCTTGTGGCGAAGACTAGTCTTTCGTGTTCACGATCCAGCACCCAACCTGCTATGGAGTCTTGCGCAACCGTGGGCTCCGAAATATCGAGCTGCTCAGATGATCTGGGTGTGTTGGTTGTTGGTCGTACGAGCGGCTCGGCCAATCCAAGCTCTTCGGCCATGTGGACAAGCCATGGACGGCTAGCTTCTTCCAGCAGTCTGTTGCAAAGCAGAGCCGAGAAGCTCCCTGTCTCGTTTACTACAGTCGCCGCGTCCGCAAGCCTCGATATAATCTCTTCGTCGTTCACAGCAGCGGAAACGATATCAACCAATTGCTGAAGCAGCTCCAAGACTTGATGTGGTCGTCGTAGAGCTTCTTGGAGCTGCAATATGGATTGACAATGGATCCTTGATATGACATGCGCTTCGAGAGCTCCCAGCACACGAGCAGAAGCATTGAGTAATGCTTGAGCGACCGCGCACGATGTTTGTGCTCGCGGGCTTGTTGTCAAATCTTGCAGTCTTCGCAGGAGAGTGCCATAGTCCACGATATTAGATGTAGCGGAGTCGGTCACAGACAAGCTTAGTCCTGCTGTAGGCGCTTTGTCGAGTGTTCGCACGAATACTTGCTCGGATGCTTGCCATTGGAAGTGTATCGATGACCGGCCCAAAGCTAGATTGCGGAGCGCATCTAGAAAGACGTCTCGTGACAATACCCCGTCACAAGTGGTGTTGTGATGCCATGCCAACGCAGCGTCGAACACTTCTGGGCTGGACTCTGACAAGTATGCTATACGATGCGCACCAGTCACTGCCAGCTTTTCGAAAGCTTCCCATGAACGAAGCTTGGGGCTGAATTGTGACACCAGATTGTCAAGGACATCTAGGTCCCATATATCTGACGTGGTCCCTGGTGGTGCATCCTGAGGGCCTAATCCATGGTCTTCGTCTTGACCAAGAGCAGATAGCTCAACTACCGGCGACGCATTCCGCTCAGGCGTCCCCGTAGACCTGAAGTCAAGTTCGAATAAATTAACATGTTGGTCTTTCCACGAATCTATGTGGTCCTGCTGAAGCACCGGGATCTGAAACAGGTCATCCTCGCCAAGCTTAACGTCCAAATCTGATCGTTGGCCTATCTCAGTAGTCGTGAAGGCGTGCCCATAATCCATCACTCCAAGACATGCGAGCCTCGTGCATGGGCCCACATTGAAGAGGATCGGGAGGCGATCAGGGCATCATGTTATCATTTACACAGTTGTTATAGAAGACGCGCCAACGCGTCGACCAATCGGACGCCCTCGGGCTAGCATCCACAGCTAAACTCAGAGAGAACCTCTTTCCCTACAGCATCCTCTATCTCTTCTTTCCTCACCTCATGTGACTTCAACTCTGTAGTTCGACACCCGCTCAGCACATCAGCTTGATCGGTTGCCAAAGGCTAATCGCTTGAAAGAATGCGCTCCACATGCTCAACGCCGCTACTGAGCCTGCATAGTGCCAGGTAATCACGCACTCGGGCAGCATGAAACATTCCAAGTGAACTCGTGATAGAGTGACGCAGCATCTGATGCATGGTATTCAGTCGGATATATATATCAAGCCTGATCTTGTAGCTATGTCCAAGAAGAAGCCGTACGTGATCTCGGCAATCCACCTACAATTGTGCGCAAAATGACTGTCGCATGCTAAGACCTAAAGTTATACGGTGCGTAGTGTCCTCGAGGAGCGCCTATACCTAAAATATCTAATTATTATCTTAATAAAGCCTTAAAAAGGGTAGGGATTATAATAATAGTTCGAGTTAAAGGTATTATTACTTTTAATACGCGTTATAACGCGGCGTAAGGAGCCTTAAGTAGCTTCCTAGGTATAGGCGCTCCTCGAGGACACTATACTTTCCCTAACTTTTGGTCTTAGCATGCGACAGTCATTTTGCGCACAATTGTAGTTCAGGGTGCGAACGCGATGCCAGCTTATTCATCAAGATAAAACGGGCATAAAATCGTACATCACAAGGCTGAACGACGTATCCCCGCGAACCATGTGCTTAGAACGGCAAGGTGTCCAGTACCTACTGGGTACACGAAACCCAGCTCGCCCTACGTCAGATCTATATCACGATTGTGGTGGGCGCGGTTGCAACAATCTCCAATCTCAGTTGTCTCCCTTCCCCTTCCCCAGCCGCTTTATGTCCTACCATTGTTGAGACTGAATCCGCAGGACCGTACATTCCGTCGAGGCGTGAGACAGCTATCTAGTCATCATGGCTAGCAGTGACATCCTCCACTTCTTCCTGGTACCGTCAAGCATCTTGCAGCTCTTGACACTAGCATGCTGTGTTGTAAGGACCCCATCCAACGTTCGGAACACGACTGACAGATGCAGGGCGTCGCGTGGATCATTGGCTGGGGCGTATATCACGCCTACATGCATCCTTTGTGTCGATGTAGGCGCTCATGAGCCCGTGGTATACGACCTGAGACCCAGTAACTAATTCATGCATCAACAGATCCTGGACCGAAGCTATGGGCTGCTTACCGCATACCATATACGTATTACAATATCACAGGTCAATTGCCCTTCATGGTGGCAAAGTTTCACGACAGGTATGGTCCTGTTGTTAGAGTCAGTCCGGACCATCTCTCCTTTATCAGTCCAGAAGCATGGCAAGGTGCGTTGAGCGATTGATTGTAACCATTCATCCATGAAAACGGGACTTGACGTCATTATAGACATCTACGGTCTTCAATCAGGCAGGCTACAGAATCAGAAGGATCATTTAGGGTATCTCAACGGATTCAGTCGTACATGCCGTTGAAAATATGCTAATACTAACACTCAAGGTATACGCCCCTCCCGCCCGGATGGGAGCAGAGCATTGTACTGTCCGACGATGTTACTCATGCAAGGTTGCGCAAGATGTACGGAGCTGCCTTTACGTCCAAAGCTCTGGAAGAGCAATCCGGCTTGCTATTGAGATATGCCAATCTTATGATTGCCCAACTCAAGGTCGCTCTTCAGCAGGATCCCACGCAAGATGTGTCGGCGTGGTGTATGAATAGTCGTCAGGATGAGCAGTGAGAGCTTCCACGCTGATACGGGCTCCAGATAACTTTGTGACCTTCGACTTGACGGGAGAGTTCGCCTTCGGCGAAGCATTCAACTGCCTGGTCTCGGGTGGGCAATATCACTTCTTCATGAAGACAGTATTTGAAGGCGTCGTGGTTGGGCTGCAGCTTGGTGCCTTGCAGATATATGGCGTGATGACACTATTGGAACCATTCATTCCGAGGTCTGTGATGAAGCCGAAAGAAGGTCAGCCGCACCATCTCTTCTTGCAATCACCACTGCGACGTTCCTGACTGGTTACAGACATGGATAACTACGCACAAGCCCTTGTGGACAAGCGAGCTGAGCGAGGATATGACCCGAATGTTGTCGATGTTATGAACTACCTGTGCGTGTGATTAGCGACGATTTAGCATCTACTATCTGACAAAACCACCAGACTGCAACAGAAGGAGCAAGAAGGCGAGCTCAGCCGAGAAGCTCTCCACGAGAACGGCATTGCGCTCGTGGTAGCTGGCGCCGAGACCACGGCAACTTTACTCACGGCGACAACGTACTTCCTTTGCAGAAACCCAGACACACTGAAGAAGGTGCAGCAGGAAGTCAGGTCAGCCTTCAAGTCGGACGAGGAGATCGATGTACGATCCGTCAACAATCTGCCGTACATGATCGCGGTTTTGTCCGAGGGTCTGCGTGTCTTCCCACCATCGCCATGGGGCTTTGTGAGGAGGATAGCAAGTAAGGCCGGTCAGGATGTGGCGGGTAACTACGTTCCTCACAATGTATACAACATCTATGTCGCCAGCACGCTACCTGCTCAGTGCTGACGCTTGTGACAGGCTCGTGTGTCCATCACCCATCATGCAGCTTACCGCTCAGAGACCAACTTCGCTCGCCCGAATGACTTCGTACCAGAGCGTTGGATGTCTGATGTTCCAGCAGAATTCAAGAACGATCGACGAGATGTGCTACAGCCATTTATGGTAGGCCCTCGAGGCTGTATTGGAAAAGGGTAAGATGCATCGATATTGCTCGAACCTATACAATGTTGAAGCTGATCTTCTTAGCCTTGCGTATGCTGAGATGCGGCTTCTTCTTGCTAAGATGCTCTGGCACTTTGACTTCGAGCTTGCTGATGATAGCTTGGATTGGTATTCGACGTGTAAGCCGTACATGGTATGGGAGAAGGGTCCTCTGAAGGTCCGATTGACGCCTGTACAGCGTTGATTTCAGCTAAGCAGGCACATGATTGACGCGCATGATAAAGCGAGGCAGCATGCAGGACCTGTAGGTTTGATTTTGTGCCTATGACAGAGCGTTGTAGAGATATAGGCAGCTTTTGTCCTGTGCAGGCTTGTCATACCATTCTCGATATGCGCACCTGCACTACCAGAGTGAGTGAAACTTGCTTGCTTACAGCCACGGGCTTTGTGGCTTTGCAATCTGATAGCTCGCCATTGCTGATATGCTCGGTTTGCATCTCTGAAGCAACCAAATCAGAGAAAACTGGATACCGGGACGGGAGGACCGAGCCGAACACCGTGCCCTCCTTCAGACAGGTACCCGCACTCGACCTTCACCCTCTGCATATGTTGCGCGCGCGCGCCGCTGCTCTACACTACTACGAGGATTGCGGTCCCAAAAGATGTGGTGTAGAACCCGCTCTCCCAATGCACCGGCCTCCTTTCCGTAATTCTACCATTGCGACGAGAACGTCAACACCACAACCATGGTCGGACAACGTCGTGCCATGCAAGCAGAGGAGGCGGCGGAGGTGGAGGTGTTGAATGCCAATCTGTCCAAGATGAAGTCCGTTTCGAAGAAGATCCAGGCATCCATGTCTCGACTCGAGCAATCCGGGCGTAATGTGCAGGAAGCTATCGGGCCGGTGTATGGCAATACTCAGCGTCTTCAGGTCCAGAATGCGAACATTGATCGGATACTAGCGGCGATAGACAAGGTGACACAGCCATTGGACTTGAAGGACAGGGAGGAGAGAATATTGCGAAGTCGACCGGACCGAGTGGGTTTGCAGGAGTACATTGGCAGTATCGATCGTACGAATCAGGCATTGCAGAACCTACAACAAACGAATCTGAGGTCAAATCAGCAGGCTATGGCTGAGCTGAGCAGTCTGTTGGAGATTGGGACAGCGAACTTGGAGGGCGAGTTTCGGGATATGTTGAAGCAGGACTCGAACCCTATCGAACCACTGAAGCAGATCACCACTGGGAGCCCATATCCTCGGATCAGTTCTGGCAAGTCCGGTCAGCTAAGAACCATGCATGCGCATATCACTACATATGCCGCACAGTCGACTGCGCGGGGCGACCTTTTGCCATCGGCTAAAGCTTATGCGAATGAGAGAGGTCATTATCTCATGATGTCGCTGCAAAATCTGGCGACAGCCTGCAAATCTACGGCAAGAAAAGTCGATGCAAATGCTATCTATCGCCAGGGTAGCAATGGTATCGGCTCCTATGCGCAAGGTATTCTTGGCATGTACACCACGGAATACGACAACATATGCCACATCTTCAATCGAGAAGAATGGGGCCCGGTACTGCAGGCGACGTGTCAAAGCTCGCTACAAGCCTTCGCCGCGACATTGCAAGCGCTGGACACGCACATACGGGAGAACATGCAAACGGACTGCTACCTCGCTTACGAGATCATCGAGGTCGTCTCGAATACGTCTATACAGCTGGAAAGCAAGACTGGCGAGCTGAAATACGCGATGTCCGACGCCCTGAAACCGATACGGGAGACAGCCAAGTCATCTCTATCACTCCTCCTCAATACCACAAGACAGCAGATACAACAAATGCAGTCTCTACCACAAGATGGCAACTCTGTACCGATCACAGCAGAAGTCATGACTCGACTGCAGCTCATGACAGCATACCTTTCGCCTCTCAGTAGTATTATGCGCTCACTTGGCGACGGTGGCTGGACACAGACGCCTTCCGCAGGCAACTCAACAGCCTCAATCCCGACCCTCAAATCCTTCGACGTAGGAGCCGACGGCAAGCAACTCTTCGCTCACTACGCCACGGACACCATCGATGTCCTCCTCAGCACTCTCGAAACTCGTTCCCGCACCCTCCTGCGTGGCAAAAGCCTTCAAGCTGTCTTCCTCGCCAACAACGTAGCAATCGTGAGCCGCATGATCACCTCTTCCGAATTAGACTCCCTATTATCGCCATCGTCAGGTGGGAAGTTAGATACTTGGCGCAAGAAATCTACCCAATCCTACACAGATGCCTGGAAAGAACCCTCTTCCCACCTTCTCGATGTCCAGTTCACAGCGAAAGCGCCCCGACCACCCTCCACCGGCGCTGCCGTCGACAGTACAGCTATCCTCAAAGCTCTGTCATCAAAGGACAAAGATGGCATCAAGGAAAAGTTCCGAGCCTTCAATGCGTCTTTTGATGAACTGGTTGCGAAACACAAGAGTTATAAGATGGAGACTGAGGTGCGGAGGCACCTGGGTAGGGATGTACAGGGCTTTATTGAAGCGCTTTATGGGAGATTTTGGGAGCGGTATCATGAGGTTGATAAGGGGAGGCAGAAGTATGTCAAGTATGACAAGGGGCAGATGGGGCAGGTCTTGGCCAGTCTGTCTGGGTAGTGGGGCGCAAATGCTGATGATGGTTCTTGATATGTATTCCAGCGTGGCGTTTAGGTGATGTTGACTCTGTGTAGGACTTCGTCTTCTGTGCTTGGTCATTTCAAGACCATGAAGCCTGCGCTGTATACTTCAATGCAAGTCCATGGATGACGTCGAAGACAAAGCGCCTCTTTCCAGTCACCTTACCGCCGTAGAGTTCGCCGGATACTCAGGATCATGCAGGAAGCGCATTTGCGCTTGGCCGCTGACGTGGGTCAGCCTTTCATTTGGGCGAAGATGCTAGCAGCATCCTGCCTGCACGGTTCAATCCTTCATAACAGCACGGGGGGGCCACCACCTCGCGACATGCATGACCAAGGAGTCATAAGTCATGCCAACCACCTCGCCATTGTTGTGCGATATCTGTCGGACGATGTTCCGCGATCTTCCGTCCGAGAAGCATCAAGACTACTCGTGTGATGCAGCAAAATTCTGCGAGATGTAGCGTGAACCTCCGATGGTCATTGTCATGATCTAGGCCAAGATGATGTGTATAAACAAGTCAACAATTGACTGCAGATAGATGCAGGTCCCCGGGTTGCGACGAAACGAACGTACTCACGAATACGATGCCGATCGAGATACACACGGTCTTTGCTGCTGGGGAGATACAGCCCAGGCTCTGATGAATAAACCCGTGACTGCTCACCAACACCGGAGCTGGTCCAAGCGCAATTCACTCCAATCAGGGCAGGCACGAAACGCCGAATGCCAAGACATATCAGCTTGTATAAACACCGCTTTCGACGACTTACCAAAGCAAAACTTCTTGCACACTTTCTTCTCCTTTCCCTTCGTACAGGTCGCACTAAGCGTGGCTTGACCATTCATTCTGATACCCACATATCTCCACTATCACGTTACACTGCACCAATCTTTACGAACTAATCTTCGCCAACAACAAGACCGCTTTCGCATACCACCAAAGGACCGCCTTCCCATCCTCAAAGGTCTGCCACCAGCGAGCGACAGATCTACAAAGAACAACTCCTCAACAACAACCTTCACGCAGCATTCAACATGTCTGTTGGGTACAAGCTTCTTAGCGATTGTGAGTACAGCTAGTCTCAATGAGGATATACGTAATCTGACATCTTCCAACAGACGACCCTCATGTTCTAAATCCCGCTTTCGACCTCGACGGGAATTCCTTGGACGGCAACCCAAATTCTGTTTTGGACACCAACTACTCCGTGCCTTCCAACGCGGCTCCCATCCCTACCAAAGAGAGCCCAACTGTCTACACGCAGATCTCACCACCGCCGCGCTCTAGCCTCTTCGTTGTGTCGTCGCTTGTTGCAGGATCTGATCGCAACGCAGCCGCACCCGACGACCATCACTTCACTCCTAGAACCATCGACTCTCGTCCACGCAAGAAGAGAACCGTCAACCAGTCAACTTCAGCTGGCGCTCCTCCAAACTTCGCTCCCTTCGCTCCTTTCAGCTCACCAATCACACCATCTTCATTCAATCTGCCAATCACAACAGCCTCCGACTCGTACACACCCACAGCGGCAGCATCACCAGTCCCATCTTCCAGCAAGATCACCAAACCCAAACCCAAGACCGCGATGCCTCTAGCGAAGATCACTACAGCCAACGGATCGACTCGCATCGCTGGCCACGCCCCAGAGCTCGACACTGCTCCTCCAGTCACCGCTCGCCTCCCACCATGCGAGATGAGCGCCGCCGAGCTCCTTTACCTCTTCCCCAACCACACCCAATGGCCAAAGGTCATGCTCCGTCTCCTTGGCAGTGGCTGGACAGTCTCCGACATGGCCAGCGCCGCAATGTACGCCCGCGCCATCGTCGACGACAAAGTCCACAAGCGTCGCTGCGCCGCTATGCGGTATCAGACGTCTGAGGCTGGGCGGGCTGAGTTCAATGATCCGACTTGGACGCAGACGAAGGCGGCTCCTGGTCAGGTGTCTGTGGTGACGGACTACGATGTCTCTACCTACATCCCACGCCACAGGAAGCACCTCATCACCATCAAGCTTCTAGACGTCGCTCGTGGGGTGCAATGGTGGCCAGCAACGTCCGATCGTGGGATCGTCAGCCAAGTCGTCCGCTTTGCCCGCGACAACCCTGTTCTCTGCGTCGACTTCACCACCGACGACATCCCGACTGTCGCTACACAACAAGGCTTCGTCATGCCGCGCGATGCCTCTCGCAGCGACTGGGACACCCTATGTCTCCACAACTTCCGCACTGCACTCAACAGCGTGAAGACGAGGATGGCGAAGGGCACGTTGTAGCCCGCAAACAGCTCAGACGCCGGGAGGCCTGAGCGTGCACACTGTTACTACTTTCTCCGGTCGACTGCTCACATCCGCCCTCGTATCTTCAAACGGGTGCGCTCAACTTCTGCGACCATGCCACCGACCATGCTACGGAGCGAGGTGGGCCTAACCGGGAGGTTCTTCTTCATCAAGCGTGCTTATAAGTCATTTCTGCGTGAGTGATGCAGGGCGTTCATTGTTCTAGCTTGTTATGAATATCGGAATAGTTGATTCAGCATGCATGTTGAGGAGTAGATTCATGAGGCGATGCCGTACTAGTCTACAAGGTAGATACCATTTTACAAACAGCAATAAAATTGCTCGTATACTCAGCCTGCCCCCTCATATCCCTGTCGTCAGCAAGGCACTTCATACCCCTATCCGTTCCGTCGTGAGGAAGGCTTCGCAATATCCCAGACCTGATATCAAAAGGCAAAAGCACGGAAACCCAAAGAAGTGGTAAGCTCGCCAACAATTGGCCATGCTAGACTCGTTTACGGGACAAACATGCATATCCTCTCGCGCCTTTCGCGAATGTATCCGCTCTCCTCCAATAATCTAGAGAAGTAAAGGTGCTCCAACGCGATGCACTCCGTTGGGTGAAAGTACATGAACAGCGTTTCTCAGCACACAAGCCGAAGACAGAAGCCAGGATAGACATACAACCCATGATTATTGTTACAGTCAGAACCAGATCTAACCCACTTGCCTGTACCAGCGTAGGTCCCGCACGGACATCGCAACATGAACTTTCTTGCAAAACCTAAATCTCATGCCTCATAAACCCCTCCATCCCCTCTCCATACGGCTCCACTCCCCCTTCTCCACCAAGCCCCTCGCCCCCAGCCCCACCAACACCCGCGATTTCCATACCCACCCCAGCCCCCTCCTGCCCCACCACCTTAATCTTCACCCCCCCCATCCTGCCCTCGACCTCCCTGACCCTCTGCCGAAAAGCCAACCGATCCAAAAACAACCTCTGCCGCATCCTCTCCACCTCCCGCCTCTCCGCCTGCAACAACGCCTCCATCTCCCCAAACTGCTGGAGCTTGAGCTCCAGTTTCTGGAGTTGGAGGTTCACGGCCGCGGAGACTTGGGCGGAGAGTTGGCGCTCCGTGTGGGAGGCCAGGGCGGCAGAGCGGGCGGCTGTGAGACTTAGGGCTGTGGTCGGGAGATCGTGGGATGACGAGGACGTTGTTGTGGTGGTGGGAGGCTCGCGGGTGGCGAGGGAGGTGGTGTCGTCCACCTCCATCGACTCCGCACGTTCGCCCTTAACGTCCGTGGTCGAGTCCTTGGCGGTTTCTGCACCCTCGGCTCCCGAAGCACTATCGCCTTCCAATCGAAGCTTGAGCGTCCGCCTCATCTCCTCCACACTCTTCCCCGCCGCTTTAGCGGTGGTGGCCGGATCCGCGAGACCAGCGAGGAAGCCCATGACGCTCATGACGGGATTGTCGAATTGGCTGAAGGGTAGTCTGCCGCCAGACAAATAACTCAGATCCTGTGCGCCAACACCTCCACCATTGGCGTGGCCGTTGGTGGAGGGAGCGTCTTCGAGGTACTTGTCTTCAATCTCGAGTTGCAGGAATTTGACCACGCACTGTTCTCGTGTTCGGGAAGCGACGTGGTCGGCAACAGATTCCCAGTTATCGTCGAACATTTCCAGACCTTCGAGGAGAAGAAGGAGTTCTGAATCCGACCAAGCTGCTTCGCGGTCGCCGAGGGACTTGTATCGGTCATTTTCGATCTTGACGTAATCCGCATCTGTCGTCGAGCTCGGGAAGCGGCCTTCCTGGAAACATAGACTGCACAGATCGTAGCGTTGCTCTTTGGTCGGTTTCGACGTCGTGGCTTCGCTGGGCGGGTTTTTGCTGTTGTGGTATCGGACACGAGTGCAGTCTTTGCCGCAACTGTAGCAAAAGTACTGTTTGCCGTCCTGCTTCAGACCATCCTCTAGACTCCTCGCCGCATCGCCGTTGCTATCCTCGGTCTTGGCGGCGGGTGTGACTTCCTTCCCCTTGTCGTCGTAGATGTTTCGCCGTACTTCGAGGTTGAGGTCGGCTTTCGTGGCTGTCGCTGCGCGGTCGGTGCTCGGGTGTGGCTTACCAGATGTGGTTGTGGTGGCCGGGCCGGGTTGGAAGGGTTGTAGGCCTCGTGGGGTGTCGGCTGTGATGCGGAAGTGGCCAGTGAAGGGTGGGCCAATGTTTGAAGGTCGGGTGTCTGGGTCGATCTGCCGATCACATTAGTATTGGAGCAGGCCATGCACGTTGCTTAGTACTTACTTGGTAGTTAATCAAACCCCACTGCTCCAGAAAAGCATGCACGCGCATGATCGCACAGACATCTCCAGCCAAGTTTCTTCTACACGCCGTGACAGTCAAATATTCGGACGGGTTCAGCCGATACGTATTGACCATGAAATCCCGGTAATCCTTATACACGGCCGGCGTCTTGCTCCGATTGCGGTTGTTGAAGAACTCGGGTAGTGCTTTCCGCTCGATGCTGTGGATGTCGTGCATGTCGAACCAGGCACTGTATGAGGGGAGGATGATGGCGTGGTTCTGCTCGACCAGATGTGCGCGCGCCGACTGCTCGATCACACTTTTCGTGACTGCTGGCACAACATCCGTCGCTTCGACTGTAGCCGTGCCGTCTTTCGCATCGCCCATCTCCTCATCCTCGCCACCATCCTCTGCTGCGGCTTCGGGAGCGGGGGCATCGGGCGCGTCGAGCGGGTTGTCTGATATGGGTTGGGCGATAGCGTCGTCGGTTGTTTGTGCCTTCACGTCATCTGCCATGGCTGTGTCCTGTTGCTCCTCCTCCTTGCCCTCCACCGCCTCATTCTCCACCGCAATCAAGTCATCTGATGCCTGACCAGGCGCGTTGTGGTCCTCGTCCGCGAAGCTACTGTCCATCGTGCCTGCTGCAAAGGCTGGAAGCTTCCTGCCTCCTGCCTCCTTGCTCCCTCACTCCTGCAGCTGTTGCTCGGAGAAGGAGCGGACAACGCGTCACTCGTGGGAGTGTTGTTTCAGCGGCTGCGGTGAAGGTCGACGAGTATGTGAGAAGGCTGGTGCGTAGTGTGATGTCGCCGGCGCAAGTGGGATGTGATGGTGGGATAAGACGTGTGTCGCGACTTTCACCAGCCCAATCGCGCTGCAAAGCGCTCGTGCTTTTGAGCTTAGCCGCACTAATCTTTGATTTGCTCGGACACATCCGAAGCTATAACTATGTCAAAACCCTTTTCCACAAACCGGTTCACTTCCAGTCGGCTGCCAGTCTTACCATTGGGAGCGAGAAGGCAGAACCACATATCTTAGCCTCGCTACTGCCTATCTACTTCTACATCCACAATAGCCATGCTCGAGGCGTCCAATCCTTCTCACCAAGATTATTGAGGATGGGAGAGGGAAAGGCATGGTGCTGCATGGAGACACGACTCGGCGACCACCTCAAGCGGCCAGACACTACACGTTCGCTTTTGGCGCTTTGAGCCAATGCAACATTGGTCTGGATGAGGTATATCCCTCTTGTACCCCAGTATAGCCATGCCTCATGGATCCGCCACAGCAGTCCAATTGATTCCAATCTGCGTCCCTACACTCTTCCCTCCTTTCACCACATCACTATCCACACCATTAGGCACTACCCCATCGACTTTCTTCGCCGTCCAGGCCTTGGGTGATGTCAGACCGAGTCGCTCGGCAGTACCTTCGGACAACTCAGCCATAGCATTCACCTTCTCGACCTCGAACCCGGCGATATTCTTGTACACGGCGCCGATACTTTCCAACTCATCTTGAGATATGATGTCGTTGATGTGTTTGAACCCCTCTGGTGCACGTTCGTACGCAATTTGCATAACATGATCGGGACCTAAACCGAATATCAGCATGACCAGGAAATGAAGTATGAGCACAAAAGCATGTGGCGAGGACGTACCATTCCCTCTATTAGCCATCACAATCCTAGCAGTTGCAGGCAACCTCTCATCCTGATACCGCATCAACGCCTCCTCAACCCCACCAACTTGCTCACAGAGCAGCAAATACTTGGTCAGCCCCGCCGCATCCATGATAGCCTGACTCGCCCCATTCGACCCGATCGGATACATAGGATGCGCCGCATCCCCCAACAAAGTCAAATGCCCGAAACTCCACCTCTCCACCGGCGTGCGGTCGCACATGGGGAATTCATACACTTTCTCCGTCTTCTCTACCAAGTCCGGGACGTTCAAGAACCCGAATGTCCAGCTCTTGAACGCTCCGGCGAATTTCTCTTTAGGGACCGAGATCGTCCAGTCGGGTTTCTCAGGCGGTGTGGTATCGGGGTCGTTCTCGTCTCTGACCCGTAACTCGGCAATCCAATTCACCAACGTATTTCCCTCCTTCGCCCCTTCGCCGGATGGATTAGTGGAGGTGGAGACAGGACTGATAGGGTACGCGATGAATTTCTGGTTCGCATGGCCAGACCAGACCATACTAGCGCCTGTGAGGTAGGGTTCCCGTTCTAGACATCTGCGCCAGAGGATCCGGCCAGAAAAGTTGGGGGGCCCTTCGGCTGGGTATAGAAGGCGGCGGATGGTGGAGTTGATGCCGTCGGCTGCTATTGTTATGTCTGCTGAGGATGTCGAGGTGGTTGCTGGTTCGTGGGTTTTCCGTTGGATGAAGTGGAGGTTGATGGTTTCGTGGCCGGCCGTGGATTCGCGATCGTAGCGTTCGAGGGAATGATTGAGCTTGACGCTGGCTTCCCCTAATCTCTCCTTCACGGCTTCCAGGAGCAAGAGTTGCAGGTGTCCACGGTGGATACTAAATTGTGGGACTTTGTAGCCAGCGAACTTGCCTCGCGGTTCAGAGATGATGGGGTTGCCATACTGATCGTAGTAGTTCAGTTCGCGGGTCTCGACACCAGTACTCTGCAAAGCAGGGAGTAACCCCAGGTCACGAAGGATGAGAACGGCATGAGGCTGGACATTGATGCCGACGCCTAGACTCGTGACTTTAGTAGCGGCTTCGAAAAGGATGATGTTCGTGAAGCCGTGGGCGTGAAGATGTAAAGCTGTCACAAGACCGCCGACACCGGCACCAATAATCGCTATGCGAGCCGCCTTGATGCCCTGAGGTGTACCATTGGCGTTGCCATTGGTCGTCATCGTGATTTCTGCGGCCTACAGAAGAGTATCTCGTGCCTCGCGAACATTGCCACAACTCGAATAAGAGACAACGATGATGGTGGAGTCAACATTTTGTTTTCCAATGGCCATGTGGTTGTGATGTGGAGAAAGATGGAGAAGAGTAGCCTTTTGCCGGCATTAGTGCCGGTACTGTCCCAGTGTTCTGGCCCGTCCAGCATGTGCTCTCTGTCTCTTCGGCATTGTCGGGTGTAAGTGAATACCAGAGTCATTGCCGGTGTACTGCGATGTCCACATGTGTGGGATCGTACCTTGTGAAGTTGAAGTGCGTCGAGATGTGGAGTGAAGCACTTGTCGTGGCTGAAGTTGCGAGAGACTTAGCGTACCTACCAGATTAACGTATAGGTAGTACAAGATGATCGCTACAATAGGAGGAATGTACCAAATCGGATTTGCATGTAGACGACCGTTAGCTAACTTCACATCTCTCCTTAAGCATAAGGCTTAGTCTCCTGCTCACACCACTCCCAGAATTTCTTCGCCCCCTCCTTATTCGCCTCAATATCACTCCTCAACATGACAAACCGACCCCAAGGCCCCACATACTTCCCACGATGCTCAGGTTTCCCAGCCTCCTCACTCCATCCAGCAAACAACTCAGTATATCCACCAAAATGCGGCGGGTAGCACAAAAGCTTTGTGAACCATGCCTCGAAACCCTGTTGATGGCGTTGTAACTCGGACATTAGGTTACCTGGGTTCCAGGAGTTGGACACGATTCTGCCTTTACCGCCGTATCGGGATTGGTATTCGGAGGCGAGGAGACAATTGCTGGCTTTTGTCTGGGCGTAGTCTGCGAAGCGATCGTTGTGCACTCTAGGGCCGCCGGAGGCGTCGAATTGCACACCTCCTTTTGGTGCAGCAGCCGTGGCGAGGGAAGCCGCCCACGTTACTCGTACGGAGCCGGGTGCTGATGTGGAAGCGGTCTTCTCGAGCAGTGGCGTGAGAAGTTTTGTAAGGAGGAACGGACCGAGACAGTTTGTGCCCATTTGCACCTCGTAATTCTGAGCGGACTTCGTGCCGACGGGCGGTGCCATCACACCAGCGTTGTTGGTCAGGACGTCTAGTCTTTGCTCGCGGCGCATGAATTCTTGGACAGAGCCCTTGATGGAGGGCAGGTCTGCCAGGTCGACCTTTAGAAATTCCAGTCTCCCATCTGATGATGTGATGGACTGCTTGATCTCACTGATCGCAGCCTTGGCTTTGTCTTCGCTCCGGCCTGCGAGGTAGACTGTGCCGTTCTTCTGGTAGAGCATCTTGCAGAGTTCTTTGCCGACACCTGCGTAACCACCAGTCACGATAAGCACGCGGCCGGTCTGGTCAGGCAGCTCCTTTTCCGTGAAGGTTGGCGCGGGCAAGAAGAAGCATTGGCGGAAGGCATCTGGTAGGCGTTGTCAATTGTGGGACGAAGAACTTGGATGTGATGCTTCCATACCATAGTAATATGACATGGTGGCGATTTCTTGTGTGTGTCCAGAAGGTATCGAAGACTCTGCAGACCTGCTCCGGAACTTGGTGGACCACAGAACCTTCGTATCGTGGTATCGAGGTTTCTAGTCGGCCAAGATGAATGCGCAACAATGGGTGGACGCTGGGTACTCCAGGAGAATGTTGCGAAAGGAAGGACGAGACAATGGAGCAGCTCAGATAAATAGCGAAAGACAATACAATGCCTTAGTCGATTCGACTCGTCGAGCAGTCTAACTCACGCGAGTAGTGACATCTAGCCACATTATCAGATGCGGAAGAAACACGCCATGACCTCACGGTGGTGGGGTTGAAGCTCCGGATTGCATAACCTCAAATTTGAGTTTCAATGCAGTCTTGGCGCGACTTTCACAATTCCATCCTTACAGACGAAGGCCATATCGTCTTACAAATAGACCTGACAACCGCTATATCGATTGCACATCCTCACAAATATATCGACGAACGATATCGGATGATATTGCAGTATTCTGCAAGTCCCAACCTGCGGGAAAAGCCGCTCTCGCATGCATGCACCGGTCGATACTCGCCGAGCCGTAGAGTCAAAGCGCTACACGCCTAAGACGCGCTTCCTACGCACCTCCATTCCTCGACCCACGCACTCATGGCCGACTTTTCATGACCACAAACTCGTCTCCCATACCTTCCTGACAGTCATACGTGTACAGGACATGATCACGAAGCACTAACGCAGCTCACCCACCACAAACACGACCTTCTACGCGCCGATATTCCTTCGCTGAGCGGGGCTCGGCTGAAGACGTGTAGGACAGCTTCTTGCAGACTCTGCATGCTGCGTGACACGGCCAGAGACATATCTTCGCGTCCCTACAGCTTCAGCGCAGTATGGTAGATCCAGCAAGCATACGCGAGTCGCCATTGGCATCGCGAGAAGAGCACAACTCGGCACCGCGTCGACCTTCCCTCCTCCCAGCCTTCGAGCCCTTCTCGAGCTCTCCCGGCGGTCTACCGCGCCAGGCCAGCTTGAAACGCAAGTTCGATGACTTGACCGATGATAGAAAGTACTACCCAACACCCGTACCTACTTCGTCCACCGGTATCCTGCCCTCATCGCCGCCCTCGCGTCAAACGCGTCCACCGGAACTACAACGGGCCGTGTCTCAGTTATCCGAACGCGCTCCCCTAGGAGATGTACCAACTCTTGACCTACCTGCCAATGGCGAGCCAGTCCTCATGGGTCGATCGAGCAACTCTTCAGATTACCAACTTTCTGCCAACCGACATATCTCACGCGTGCACGTACGCGCTTCATATCATTCTTCGGATCCAGAATACCCGGCTGGGAAGGTCGAGGTGGAGTGTCTAGGGTGGAACGGAGCAAAAGTACACTGCAGAGGGGACATTGTCGAGCTGGCGAAGGGTGACTGCTATGTGTCAGACAAGCCAATGGCACAGATCATGGTGGATGTTCAGGACACGCGTGTCATGCTGGTATGGCCGAAAGACGAGTCACGCGACCCACCTTCAATTGGTTCTCGCTCACCTTGGGCCATTGAGTCGCCGTCGAAAAGGAGGATCGTGTCGGCGCCGCAGTTCGCGTCCAGCCCACCTGCCATGCTGCCGCCAAGACTTCGATCCCCAGTCTCACCCACACCTGCTGTCAGTGCTCTAGGAGCTACTTTCGCATCAACATTTCGTGGGAGTCAAGATGCAGAGGGTCCCGTACTGGTATACGAGGACCACAGCTCGGATGACGATGCACCTCACGATGCCACACCCGAGCCTGTCGTTGACAGCTCACCTGTCCGATCTGTTTCGTACTCGGCGCAGGAAGTGCCGAAGTCATCACCATCTGGGGACTTGTCTGAGCACGAAGAGTTCTCCGAGCACGATGAAGAGAATGATCCGATCGTCCACTCCTTCGGTCCGTTCGGCGATAATATTCTCGACCGCTTCCAATCCTTCCAGCCAAAGTCGCCAGAGTCTAAGCGGAAACCGCTAAAGCAGTCCTTCAGCTCCCCGAACCGAAGCATGACAAAGCCCATGACAAACGTCAGTCCAGTCAAGAACCACGTCATCAATCAGCTCGCTTTCTCACGTGTCCACGCACTGCCGCTATCGACCATCCACACCAACCTTCCAGCTGAGCTTCGGGGCGCCATGGCCATGCCCTCCGATACCGAAAGCAGTCGCATCCTGACCGCCTCCGACCTGAAGACACTACTCGATGGTATCCCTTGCGTCGGCGAGATCAGCCGAGAGGGTAAAGATGCCGCTGGCAAGTTGCTAGAGAGCGAGTTCTACTATGTGCCAGAAATGGATGGCGACACCAATCGACGGGAAACTGTGACTCAGAGTTTAGGCAAGACCAGTATTCGTGCTGCACGGAAGCAGCATAAGGTGCGTCGTCGTCGTCGTCGTTGTCCCTTCCTGCCGTGTGCCAAAGCTGACCATGTCTCACAGCAATACTACTGGAAGAAACCCCGCCATTAGCTGGTCCGTTTCGTCTGGTTTCATGGTCACGCGATCATATTGCCGGCTCTTCCGTGTCAACTCTTTTCTTCTTTCACGTCGCGCATGTGTCGGATGTCCGGTGTACGTTGCCTACTGTGCAGCATGGGTAGCAGTATATGGTTGTTCGGGCACGTGGTTGACGTTTCTCGCGTTCAGCGATGGAGTTCGGAGTCATGTGATTGTTCATTGCTTGGAAAAGGTTTTGCTTATCGCAAGGCTGTCGCGGCGCGGATGGGAGGATTGACATGTCGAGATGATGTGTAGAAGCAAAGAGAAGTAACGTTGTAAAAGGTCACCTCATTGTTGTGGTTGCTTGCAACCTGTCACATGCATTTCACGGGATGACGTTGGCGTGGTGGGGTCGCGGAAATGCCAGTTCCGTCCGCTCCCGTGGTGCCTGCTAACCACTTTCGTCCTCACCAAGCATGCACTCCTTGCCTTGGCTCTGATGGAGTGAGTCCATGTACACCCAGATAGGAACAATCTGCGCTGGAACTCTCAGCTGAAGGATCGCTGCACACGGCATGACTGCCCATTTCTACTACGGAGCCATTGGGATTAGATCCCCCAAGCGTTGACAAGGGGAGCTGCAAGTCATGCAGTAGAAGCAAGCATGGGATGTGGTCGGCTACATGAATGTGACAAGACTTGCCTCGACAGACCGGAACGAGTAAAATCTCGGGCACGAGACCTCGAAATCGTTTGGTTGATCGTGCCGTTGAGGCAAGCAGTAGCAGATCTTGCGCCAGCCGCTGATTTCACGTTTAACACAATAACGATCTGAAGGTGTACGCTTCTGTGTTGGCCCCTTGTGTATTTCCGCAGATAGCTTGCAGATAGCTTGCATACACTCTGACGGCATGATAGTGCCGCACTTTGATTGTTGTACGCCATCTGCACGTCTGTGGCACAGTCGATCAAAAGGGTAGGCCGAGAGCAGCCAATCAATGGTATTACGCTACTCTGTCTGCGATGTTCGGAAGTGACTTTGCCTTGTAACCATACCTTAACTCTGGAATCCTTTGCCATGCTGAAGTTCTCCGTGGAGACCATCTATTCCAATCGTTCAGCACACTGTCTTGTTCTTGATTATACATATTCATGCGCCCAAGCCCTTTTGATAGCGGATCGCCATCATGATGATCGACAGTTCGAGGAACGAGAAGGGCATGATTCCCAATGAAATCAACACTGTGTCTGAATCGAACAGTCGATATGATGTATATCTACCCGTCGTGCTCAGCTGGCAACCGTCCAATCACTGATCAAACTCGCAGAGCACGCTCGATCACATGGACATGCAGCGACTAGGCAAGAAACAAGAGTTGAAGCGAAACTTTCGTGTTCTGAGCATCATCTCTTTCATGTGCTTGATGATGGGTACCTGGCCTATTGCAATCTGGTAATGTGCTACCTGACTTCTCGGCACGTACTTGAACTGACAGCATGTGTAGTGGTACAACAGGCGGGCTCGTAGCAGCTGGAACCGGTGGCCTCATCGTGGTGTACATCAGCAGCGCTATCTTTTACTGCACGATGGTAGCATCGATTGCCGAGATGGCGTCCATTGCTCCGACGGCAGGCGGGTAAGACAACGGGAGCTGACTTCACCTCGCCAACGGTCTGTCCGCTGACCCAATTGTAGGCAGTATCACTGGGCTTCCGTGGGTGATATCGCTCCAGATAACGAAGGTGGGACGGTTCTGACCACTCTTTGTGCTATGTGATCAGGAATTCGCACATCCCAAGGCGCAGAAATTCATCAGCTACGTCGCCGGCTGGCTCCTCACGACTTCCTGGCTCGTTGGTATGGCAAGCGGGTTCTTCCTCATAGGCCAGCTTTCCCAGGCGTGCATTCAAGCCGGTAATCCAGACTATGTTCCACAAGCTTGTACGTCGGAAGATGCTGTCCGGATATCTTGACCATCACAGACACTAACTCCTGGCTTTTAGGGCAAGTCTGGCTCTTCGTGGTAATGTTCAGTACCGCCGGCCTCATCGCCAACACCGTCCTCGCACAATACCTCGCCATCTTGGAGATCATCGCAGCAGGCTTCTTCATCATCGCCTTCGCAGCCAACATCATCATCTTCTGGGTGATGGCACCCAGAAATTCAGCCTCCGAAGTGTTCGGGACCTTCACCAACGGCAATGAGTGGCCAAATTCAGGCTTCGGGATCCTTACTGCACAGATATCCGTGTTGTTCTTGCTCATCGGATCAGACGGAGCGGCACACCTTTCGGAAGAGATTCAAGATGCCAGTGTTACCGTCCCGCGTGGCATCATGGGAAGCTATCTGCTAGGAGCGGTTACTGGGTTCATCGTCTTGGTGACTTTCTGCTTCGCATTCCATCCAGATGCTTTGGACTCGCCGACTGGGTTTCCATTCATTCAGGTATATGTGGATACCACAGGATCGGTTAGGGGCGCTCAGGCATTGACGGCGGTGCTGATATTGCTGATCTTCCTTGGTGGTGCGAACTTCATGGCTTCGGCGTCACGGCAGACATTCGCCTTCGCTCGCGATGGAGGTCTGCCGTTCAGTAGACACATTGCTAAGGTGCGCGACGCGATATGGCTTGGTGCAGTAAGATATGACTGACGCGGCGAAGGTTAGTGACAGTTTCCATGTGCCTCTGTTGGCTGTGGGTCTCGCGTTCATTGTACCCATCCTGCTCAGCTTGATCGACTTGGGGAGTACAGTGGCCTTCGAGGCGGTAAGCGTACATATGCTCTCGGATTATCACGCCTGCCACTGACCAGTCCTTCTTAGATCGTCAGCTTGCAGCTCATTGCTCTATTTGTCACCTACCTCGTATCTATAGGCACTCTCGTCTATCGCCGACTCTACGGTCCTGCACTCCCAGAGCGAAGGTGGTCACTCGGGAGTTTGGGCATGCCTATCAATATTCTGGCATTGCTCTACGGTTTCTTCGCACTAATCTTCATCGTCATTCCGTCAGTACCTGGACCGACACTTGAGGAGATGAACTGGGTATGTTGAGCCGCGGAGCAATTTGAAACGCATGCTGATGAAAAACAGGCTCCAGTCATATTCGTCGGGATCCTGGTGTTCGCGCTGGTATATTACTTTGCAGGTGGCCACAAGACATATGATGGGCCGGTAGTGTTGGTGAGAGACCAGAGCGACTGGAAGCGAAGCGGATGATCATCGCCTGCTCCAAAGCCTAACTCCGACTATGCCTCCATATCGTAGCAAGACCCATGTAACGGCTGGACATAATCCGGGCCTCGTGAGCATGCATGCGGAGTAGAGTGTTCTCCGCGCAACGTCTGCATAGACTACAGTAGCAGCTGCCGCATCAAGCAACGTGCATGTATGGCACGAGGACGCAGGTCGAAGTCGCACGACAGCATGTCTTGTTCGGGGTAGTGACAAACAATGGCGTATGAAGTCGCTGTATAGCGATAGACTTTCGGTACTTGGCTGGTCGGGAGATTATTGTTTGGTGGACTTTTCCCATTGGTGTCCAGACAAGGTTGTTATTCTGAGCAGTGCGGAGAATTAGGGCGGGTGGAGGGCACGGGCGCAGTCCACGAAAGCAGGGTCATCAAGCCCCTTTGCGACTTCCATCCCAGCTTATACAATAATCCCATTTTCCCGTGCCGTCTTCACTACACCACCCACTCTGCTCCCAGGCATCCCGACTGCCGTGCCAACGACATTGCTATCGGTATCTTCCCTCTCAAGTCTTCATTCTTCACTAATACACCACCCTCTGCCACGGCCCGTGCTGGACAAGTGGAAGTCACGAGCCTCGGACGACGCGGCACTCCAGAATTTCTGGTAAGTAGCACGCACACCAGCATCATCGGCTGCACTTCCGACACGACTCCCTTCGCACTTGCAAATACCACACGAAGCAGGACTGACACGTGCGCGCTTGCTACAGACGTAATTCGAGAAGGTACACTGCGCTCACTGCACAAACACACTTGCAATGGGTAAGCTCCTCCCACCCATCACACACCACCTCCTCCATCACCACCCCCTTCCACCATCATTTGCGCGCCGCGCCATCACTCCCTTCCCAAGAGAAAGATACATCACGTGGCATCGAGCTGGCATGAGATAGTATGCGCCATGTCCATCCTCGTAGCACACAGCAGCCGCAAGAGCCTGGCCTCACTGCCCAGCCCCGTCGACTCCGGCGTCGTTGGCACAGCTTCTGTCGCTCGCAGCGTTCGACCAGGCTCGGCCGACCTCTCGAACCGAAATGTCAGCATCGCGTCGTCCACTACTAACTCACGTCCAGCCACAGCAAATGGGTCAATGTCAGGGATGCCAGGTGGCATGCCAGGCGCTATGCCGGCTTCGGCCCCTCCTGCTCGCGCTTCGCCTGTCCCCAACCAAGCCATCCCCAATGGCAAGCCCACCTCTCCGCTCGTCAGCACCAGTAACCCTATGCCGAATGGCGGTGCCGGTCAGACTGCCCCACAGACCATCACTTCCAAGGACCCGAAGGCTGCTGCTCAGGCTGCGTCAGACATGAGGAATATTGTGCGCAGGAAGCTCACTGGATATGTTGGTTTCGCCAATCTGCCCAACCAATGGCATCGCAAGAGTGTGCGAAAAGGCTTCAACTTCAACGTTATGGTCGTTGGTGAGCGGAATATTCACTCCTTCAAACCCTTTCCACCATGAAACTAACAGGCTTCACAGGTGAATCTGGTCTTGGCAAGTCGACTCTCGTCAACACTCTCTTCAACACCTCGCTATACCCACCCAAGGAGCACAAGCAGCCATCTCTCGACTTTGCGCCCAAGACTGTGAGCATACAAAGCATCAGTGCCGACATTGAGGAGAATGGCGTGCGCCTCCGCTTGACCGTCGTCGACACTCCTGGCTTCGGTGACTTCGTCAACAACGATGACTCGTGGCGACCAATCTTGGAGAACATCGAGCAGCGCTTTGATGCTTACCTGGACGCTGAGAACAAGATCAATCGCATGAACATCGTTGACAACCGTGTCCACGCCTGCGTCTACTTCATCCAGCCTACTGGTCACTCCCTTAAGCCGCTTGATGTTGAGGTCATGCGCAGACTTCATACCAAGGTCAACCTCATTCCAGTGATCGCCAAAGCAGATACACTTACCGATGATGAGATTGAGCATTTCAAGCAGCGCGTGAGTATGCCATGTCCCAAATAGTGAAAAGCTGCTGATAAAGTCTTCTCCAGATTCTTGCCGACATCCAATACCACAACATACAGATCTTCGAGGGCCCACGATACGAGCTTGACGATGAGGAGACTATCGCCGAGAACAACGAGATCATGTCCAAGGTTCCCTTCGCAGTCGTCGGCGCCAATACCGAGGTGCAGACACCGGAAGGACGTAAAGTCCGTGGCCGCCGATACCCATGGGGCGTGATTGAAGTCGACAACGAGGAGCACTGTGACTTCGTCAAGCTCCGCCAAATGCTCATCCGCACGCACATGGAAGAGCTGAAGGAGCACACCAACAACACTCTCTACGAGAACTACCGCTCCGACAAGCTCACTGCTATGGGTGTCGCCCAAGACCCCTCAGTCTTCAAGGAGGTCAATCCGGCTGTGAAGCAAGAAGAGGAGCGATCTCTCCACGAGCAAAAGCTGGCCAAGATGGAGTTGGAGATGAAGATGGTGTTCCAGCAGAAAGTGCAGGAGAAGGAGAACAAGCTCAAGCAGTCTGAAGAGGAGCTGTATGCCCGACACCGAGAGATGAAGGAGCAGCTCGATCGACAAAGACTGGAGCTGGAGGAGAAGAAGGGCAGGATTGAGAGCGGACGCCCTGTGGAGGATGCTAAGAGCAGGAAGAAGGGCGGGTTCTCGTTGAGGGGTTAGGGTGCTCGTGATGGTATGGCTATCCTGTTATTACTTTGGTACGGGTTGTGGAGGTGGCTTTCTCGTTCTGATCAACGGAACAGAGAACTGCCATCTTTGCGAGCTCAGGCTGCAGGGTGTACTACCATGAATGTTGTTGCTTGGAGCTTTGGACGATGTTGTGCGGAGCTTATTAAAGGGACGAAAGCAATGTGGTGTGGAAGCGGCAACAGTAAAGGCTCTCGAATCGACGTGGGAATGGAGCGAAGCAGTGCAAAGTGCGGAGGGGGTGGGTGGTTGGAAGGGGCAAACACTTTTCTAACGTGTCACTAATACTGCATAAAACATCGACACGGGAGCTTGAAGATCGGAAATATCCTGCGGCGGGTCCTTTGCAGGCGGAGAGGAATTCGAAAAGATCTTGTTGCGGTTTTATTGTTGTGATACCACAGCGCCTCTATTCTAGTGTGCTCTTGCTTTGCTACTATGTCTGTTTAGCTAGTTTCTGCATGTATCAAGTGGTGTTTCGTTTGTATCACCGTTTTGTGCCTTCGTGCATGGTGGTCGTGGTTGTTGTGCTGTGCCGGAGTGTGGTTTGGATGAGGTAGGAGAGGTTCGTAAGCGGTGAAGTTGAGAAGTTGAGCGACGTGTGGCGGAGTCGATACATGTGAACTAGTGTATGATCTAGCTGGCCTGCCGTAAGGGAGAACAGTCTGAAATTCACCGTCAAGGGTGGCTCGGTGTTGCTTTTCGGTGGCGGCGTGGCAGATTTCGTCCTTGCCCGGGCTTCGTAAACCCCCTGCGCCCAATTTTTCGTGTCCCGGCCGCTCAGTAGATGGCAGCCGCCGGTTGCAATTTTGACGAGGAGCTATTCTTTGCGAAGAGGTCGCTTCTGATCTTGTCCTCGCGACCTTTCGGTCATGTTGTATTGCTTCGACTGCCGACCTTGTGTTTTACCTACGGTGACAGGCACTCTCTGCGCGTCCTTAAGAATGCGCTTCTCGCTACTTTCGCACCCGAACCACCGCAGCCATAGCGATCCCGTAGGTCCTCTTGACGTGATACCGTGTCATAGCTTCCCTTGATGATATATCGCACCGACTTGTCGCAGCACTCTCGCCCCTTGGCTTCGCCACCCTGCTTCACACCACCGAACCAACGTCACTCCCCGGCGCATTCCCAGCTTCCAAGCATATGTAACAAGTCAATCAACCTTCGCATCTCAATTACGTAGCTCAGTCGGTAGAGCGCCAGTCTTGTTCTCCGTTCGGGGTTTTGACTGGGTCAGTCGTCGGTTCGAGGCCGGCCGTATCCACACCCTCCGCTACTGGAGGCGCGACCAGAACGATCAAGTGAAACCTCCGTTCCCTGCAGAGTGCAGGCCCCCCATCCGGAGGTGGAATTCGAAGGATGGGGTTTTCTTACCACTCCTATTCGACTGCGCTCTTCCCTGCACGGCGGGGTCGAGAAGTTTGGGTTTCTTTCCATTGCTCAAAAGGTAAACGTCTGCTCTGCGGATGTTTCCTCCCAGCTGATGCCTACGGGGTCAACTGGTCCATGTGCACTTTTGGTCGCCATACTTCTTGCGGTTGAATGGCAGGCGTTCAGTTGAGTGCTGATCGAGGTCACTACTACCGTGGATCTTTGCTCGGAGTATACACTGGCGGCCCTTCAGTGCGGTCCATACTGCATGGCCGTCTTCTGGAGTCTGGGAGATAATACTTGAGATGACTGTCCATGCAATCTTGAGAGTACCCAACCAAAAGCATGACTTAAGTTTTCCTCTCCGGTATACCTTACGTTCTGCGGTGCTCACATTGCGAAAAGGCCTGAGGAGTATTGTCTTGGCATTGAGCATACAAAATCGATAGCACCACCTACTACCGTACACAAGTGAGCAGCAAAGCTCTGCCTGCTTTGAAACAACGACACCAGCCAACTCCACGCTGAAGTACATCCCATCATAACAATCAAGATCGTTATCGTAACACATTCGCTCGTCTCACACTCATTCGGTTTGCGTTATCGGCTCGGCCGCTGCAGAAAGTGCAGGAGCTTCTTGGCTCGTGGAGGTCGCAGGTGGACTTGCTAGTGGCGAGCTCGGGACTGGCATCATTGTGCCGCTTACAGTTGCAGCAGGATTTGTGGTACCGGCGTCAGATATCTGTCGTTCTATGCAGAATGTTAGCAACACATTGGTACATGTATAAATGGTTTGCAAATGTGAAGCACGTACCTAGCTCACGAATCCTCGACTTCAGCATCTGGTTCTCCCTAGTCAAAGTCTGTGTCTCGGCTTGGTAGAAAGCACATTCATCTCTCCCTCCTCCAAGCAGGAAGTCTTCAGTGTGTGGCCCTAGGCCGCTGGATGTTGGTCTGATAGCTGGAGATAAGGCGCGTGGGCTTTGACCGGCATTTGACAGCCGGGAAGAGCTTTGTCGCGAGAGAGAGTGCGGTCTATTGAAATGGCCAGCATGCGGAGCCACTGGCGGTAGACCAGAAATTGATCCAGGTCGAGAGTATATGGGCTCTGTTGGCACTGTGCTGGCAGGTGTATGAATAGTGGACGGTGGTGTCTGGAAATGCGATTGCTCGCTTGAAGTTGGTGAAGGCTCATGTGACTGCTGTTGCCTCTGCAGAGTAGCCAGCTGATCCTGCTGTAGCCGTATCATCTGCAGTAGCCTGTTGACTTGTGCCTCCTGCTCATTCTCCAGCTCTTGGTGCAGCTCTCCTAGACTCGGCTGCCGGTGGTGGTGTGGATCTGCAGTGGCCATGACGAAAGATCTGCGAGCGCTTCTCGGCGAGGATTGGTTGCTGCTACTTTGCTGGAGCTCGCCAGGAGCAGGGACGGTGGGGTCGTTGATGATGAGATTATTCATGAGACTTGATCTTCTGCGCTCCAGACCGTGCATGCTGCGGACTGGAGAGTTGCTGCCCGGTGATCGTTGGAGGCCACGGTTTATAGTCGCCGCAGCCTGGAGTGAAGACAAAGGGGGTGATCGTGGTGAAGGCGGGCCATTGCCTCTCTCGATATGGTTCAAAGATATTCGGCGTGGGCGTGATGCGTTCAATGGAGATGTTCCATTCGGGGATGGCGAAGTGAGCAAGCTGTTAATGTCCGGCATGTTTGCACGAACGATCGTTCTGTCATCAACGTTGTCGTGTTAATCCTGTCAGCTGGCCTCCACTCATGCTTGCTGCTGGAGTCAATAACGGGACAAAGAGCAGCAAACGCCAGTCAGGCCGTTGTGCATGTGACCTGCAGCCAGCTGCGTGGCTCGCGCCGTAGCTGGAGTGCAGCAGCCTTGCAAGGATTGTGGTCGAGCGACAGCACCAGAAATAACCGTATAAACTGATTGCCAAGACCATGGTCTTATAAGATTTGATTACACTTTTATCAATTTTTAACGTGGTCTTCAAGCGCAGGTGGTCTTGTGGCAGAGCGTGGTCTTGGCAACCAGTTTATACAGTATTCGTTGACTTTGACTTTTCGCTGTTTGCTATTGGTGCCCAAACCGAATATGTCCCACCTCTACCGGCGACTTGGACGGCCTCGGCCAGACCGTGGAAGTGACAGATGCACCTCCATTACGACCCCGCCACCGTTGTCCAGGATTGACGAGATGCTTGTCCTTGTCAACACTTATCAGCATGATGCTGTCAGACGGGATTGCTTGTAGCATTACCTCCCCGCAGCTCACTCCGATTCTGCGAACGTGCGTTCATTCCTACAGTAGACGGCGCAGACGCTCCATCATTTCTCATCACATCTCACCGGCAGGCTCGGGGGCAGCCGGCTCGCCTGAGACAGCCGAGCAGCGCAGCCATATCCACTTCGAAGTACTGGTCCAAATGAAACACGACGATGTTGGCGTACGCTCTCGTCGGTTCACGGTATGCCGTGATGATAACTCTTACATTCGATATCCAGACGGCTCTATTGTGTGTACTCACGCCTATACCTGTCTGTTCACTGCCGATGGCTTCAACTATCATCTATGAACATCACGATAGCTCAATTTAACTCCAGCTCGACTCGAACTCTCAAGTCCCGGCAAGCGTTCCGGATGCTCAAGGCGCGACAAGGCGCAAACGCCCAACGCCCGTGCATGAAAGCCCACTTCACAATCTGGCCCTGGACTATCCATGGTCAGAGTCGACACTAGTTACCGACCAGAAAAAGAGACGTGCGCGTGATGCTAGAATGTCCTGACCTCACATCCTACTTACTCCAGTCCTGTCTATTTCTCTTACCTTCTAAAGCGACATACACCCAACGAAACTACCGAGTCCTGTGCTGTATGGCCGACTCTATCGGTACCGACCATATACAGTCACGCCACAAAGCCACGGCGTGGAACCTCAATTTACGCGCAACGGTCGCTAGCAAGGCATTGCGAAACGCGTCTTCGGACACCTGCAGCACTGTCCGACGCTGCCTCACCTGTGTATAAGCCCGCCCGTTTGTCTCGACGTCTGCTTGACGGCCCCGGATGGGACTACCTTCCTTCGCCGATGCCGCCTCGACGCCTCTCTCGGTGTACTACCACGATTGGCACACGCAAACAGCAAGTGACGACCGCCTGACGACTCAAAGACAAAGCGTACGATCTAGGAACTCGCACCACCCTTGGGATGAAGACAATGCGACTACTGCGCAACTCTCAGCCGTGACCGAGTCTGCGCAGCAACCGCCACAGCTGCGGCCGCGTGTCTCAAAAATGTCTCTGTTCAACCTCTTCAGCAGACCTAAAGTAGAGAAGGCGCGCGGATATGCCGAAGCTGGTCTCGCACCAACGCCGGCACTGAAGACCAAGCAGTCGGGTACCTCGAGACTCGATCTACTCGCGCAGGAGAAACCCGTGGATGCACCGGCACGGTCTGCAAGTGCTCTTTCTTTCCGCAGGCATATCGACAGACCTGCTTCGAGGACGTCGAATAACAGACCAGCTGGACCGCCTACGCGACGCACAGCATTCTTTGAACCACCTCCTCTGTTCCAAGCATATCCTCAATCGGCAAAAGATGGCACGCTCCGGGTGTCATCCGTCACGGCCGAGACTGTGCTACAGAAGAACAAGTACCGGCAGACCATCCTCAGTGTACCTGAAACCACTCCACGAGGCAGCACAGATGACAGCACAAGCATTCAAGCCCGACCAAGCGCGAAAACATCGCTACGACATGTTGCCAATGGCTCAATCACTTCCTCCGAGCTTCCCAGAAAAGTCATTGTGCTCGTTTCGGCTGGCTATCTGCTGCAGTATGCTGAGACTGGTCCGGCCAATCGTTTGCCGGAGAGAGTCCTTCAGCTTGGGAAGGACTCGGCGGCTTTCGCTTGCGACTTGATACCTGGAAAGCATTTCGTGCTGCAAATTTCGCAGACGGTAGATCAGCAGGGTGTAATCGTGCCCACCAGTGGCTCGCTGTTCACGAAGCTAGGGTTGCGAAGTGCGGCTTCGAAACGTGTTGCCTCAAATCTGCTGCTGGTCATGCCGGATGCAACGGAGATGAACAGTTGGATGGTGGCTATACGGGAGGAGATCGAGGTGCTAGGGGGATTGAAGACAAGATCTCGGACCGCTGCAAGTACGCTGAAGGATGATTTGGAGGAGGAGGCGGACGAGGACAGTCAGAAGTCGCATGATGTAGATAGAGACATGGCTGGTCCTAAGAAGCGTGGGATACCAGCAAAGAGGCTCAGTCAACTCTCGTCCCCACCATCCCGGATGCGAGATGATGACGAGAAGTCGGAAACTGGAACAATTGATGACATCGAGGAAGAAGCGCAGCAGTTGGCGAACGAGAGCAGTATGTCCCTGGACGTCGGAGGAGTTGATATTGATGCACAATCAATACATTCTTCGGTAGCTGCGTCGCTGGACCAACACAGGCTCAACAGTCTCCGGAGCAATCAACGAATCTCGCATTCAACCGTAGCTACGACGGTCGGATCTTCGAGAGCGAATTCTCTGAGCGGCTCACCGCGGAACGAAGTCAGAGAACCTGTCAAGCTCGAGGCGACTGCCGAAGTTCCCCAGCAGAAATCTCAGTATCGTACACTGGCATCCTACTTGGGCGGTAGAAGGCGCTCTGCTATGCCGCTGTCGATTATGAAAGAGAAGCCATTGCCTATGCCTGATATGCACCGTCAGTCAAATGAGCGCAACCTTGAGCGGGAGTCCACGGAGAACAGGCGTATAAGCTCGTCGCCACGGAAGTTGGTTGTGGCAGTCAGTGAGCCGGATCTTCGGGCCACCGCAGATCTCAAGGCGCGGCATGACTCGAGGATGCCGACGCCGCCTAAGCTCCACGAAGAAGACGAGAGACGGCATAGTGTCGTTGGCGACCTCCCATCGCCCGCTACCTGGACCAACGATCGGTCGCCACTGAAGAGGACATCTGTGATTCAAGCAGCCACGGTGCAAGCCAATGCGCAGAGAGCGAGCATGCTGCGCGGTTCCACGCGGTCGAGCGACGGCTTCAGGAGTCGAAGAGCATCTGGCCAACCCAGTTTCAGTCTTCCTTTGAGGATCAACCCATCCACGCCGGAGAATCGGCCGCCCACAAGGGACAATCAAAGCTCGTTCAATCAGGTGGAAGCAAGTAGTGGAGAGCCGACGGTGCATGTATTGACGGCCAAAGTCGAAGCCACCCAGCCTGGCGCTCCCCCATCGAAGGATGGCCAACAGCTGCCCCTTTCTCGCTCTCCATCTGGCCGGCTATCGCTGTTTCCCTCGGCCACGCCGTCGCCTGCTGTGTCACAGTCGCCAAGTCCGAACGACATCAGAAGTCGTTCACCTTCCGCAGCAGCGATGGCGCAAGCTCATAGCCAGTCGCTAAAGCGACCTACGAGCATACAAGTACGTTCAGACCGTGCACCCTTCGCCCACAGCATGCGCATGTCCACCCATGGCATGGTCCCGGGCCAAGCACCAGCTCGCTCTTACACCGCGCCAATCCGAAGTTTACGTCCTTCCCGATCATCAGCGCAGTTTCAGACGTCGAGATCAATACCTACTATTGCTACAACAGTAATGTCGCCGGCCTCTTCAGCGCAGCCTTCGCCAACGGACCCCTTTAGTGGCCTTTCCGCCAGTGGTGACCTGCCTGCCTCGGTAGAAGCTTCAGACAAACCCACGCCTCTACCGACTGACCGCGCGCTATCACCGACTCCATTCCAGTCCGGTCCGTCATCCCGTGCTAGCGGTCGTAGAGTCCGTACGATGTCTTCACTGCCAGACCTGGACTTCGGTATCCCCGTCGTTGGCTTGGGACCACCCGCACCTCCACCCTCAGTCCCGCTACCTGCACCACCACCCATTGGGAGTATAAGTCGGCCATCAAGTCCTGCCCTAAGCATGTTGAGATCGATGCCACTCCCTCCCACCGGTATGGGTGCAATAAGCAGGCCAAGTAGTCCTGCACCTGGAAGACCATTACCTGTTCTTCCTGGTGGCATGCGTACGAGTCGCCCGACTAGTCCTGTTCCTTTCGCCAGCAGTGGGCTAGGTATACAGATGGCTGGTTCATGATGACCTTGGTCTTTCAGGCCTGATTGGCCAGTTAGTATGCATGCCATGCCGTGACTCTGAGCTGGATACTTGGCTTCCTGGCTACGCGTGCTCTTGTAGTTATATGCTCGACGCAGGAATACGAATCACGACAAGCTGCGTAAGCTTTGGCCCAAGTTTTGGATATAAACAAAGAGTAGGAAATAATGCAGGAGTGACTGGAAGCCTATTATCCATGTTGGGTTGGCATGTTTGGATTATTTTTTATCTACACGAAAGATACCCACTTTAGCGTATATAATGTCTTGAAGAACATACCGTCTATTCGACTGAGCCTGACGAGCGGGTGAGATTGCCATCCTCCCATTCCTACTGTTGCAACAGAGGTCACGAAAACTTGGCCAATGTCTCCTTGACCACACTTTCAGCATATTCCTCTGCATCGTGGCCATGGATCCATTCCTCCCTGGGCATTTTGATACTGTCAGGATTTGTCTTCACTTTATCCCAATCGGCTTTGTGCCACATCTATTCTTCTGTCAGCACAGACAATCGCAAAGAGGCAAGTAACGAAATGGAAATAACCACACTCACATCCCTCGTAGTCTCGCCTGTCTTCTGCACAGCCTTGACCCTATCATATCGTATATCCTGGAATGCTCGAGTCGCTGCAGCAATATTGTCCTTGCCGGCTTCACGAAGAGTGATGGCTATTGTGACTCCGTCTTCCATCGCCTGAGTTGCTCCCTGCGCGCTCGTGGGCAAGAACGGATGAGCAGAATCGCCGAGTAACATCGTTCTCCCACCATCACTAACCCACCGAGGAAGGGGATCCCGATAGACAAGTTTCCAATCCACCAACTTGTCTTCAGGAGTCTTGGAGATGATGCGTTTACACATTGGATCCCAGCCATCGAACACTTTGTAGGCGTCTTCGAGCTTGCCGGGAAAGGACCACGACTCGTCGATGTCTTTGTCGTCGATATGCGTGAGTACCCAACAGCAATCGCTGCCATTCTTGATGGTCGAGAAGAGGAAATGCACATCTGGACCTATCCACCCATTGAAGGTATCGCCGTTCTCGCAGAAGTGCCGCGTCTCTGGGTCCGCGAGCATTTCTCCATTCGTGAACCAAGCTCGGAAAACAGCGTATCCGGAAGACTTGGGTTTGTCGACGAAGCCGAGAACGAGCTCTCGGGCTTTACTCCTAACGCCATCGGCGCCGATGACCACGTCGGCTGTGCAGCTTGTGCCGTCGGCTAACTCGATACCAGCGAGGGCTTGGGTTTCGAAGTACTTATGTATCCTGCAACCAAGATGAATCGGAATCCCGAGGTCGTCCTTGACATAGTTGAACACGATCTGATGAAACTCGCCTCGATGTCCATTGAACACAGGGGCTTCTGGATTGGGCGGAGGCGACTTCTGGTTCATCACGATTTCACCAGTGTCGTACTTGTGGATGTTGAACCCATAATGTTGCAATTTGATCGCCAGTGGATCCAGGCGATCCGAGATCCTGTCGCCAGAGCTGGTGAACCATCGCCGGAATATACGTCCTGCATTTGCACCAAAGGAGATGATGTCGCCGAGGACTTTTAGGTCTTTGAAGGACTCGTATAGCTCCACGGTGTGGCCTTGTCGGTGGCATTCAATGGCTGCGCAGAGACCACCGAAGCCAGCGCCTACTATCAAGACCTTGATGCCACTCTTTGGCCTCCCGGGCTGGACTGGCTGGATAGGTCGATGCTGACTGGGCTGTGTGGTGGTGCCATCGGCTTGGTGACCATTGATGTGAGATGCAGGACTGAGGATCGCTTCACCTGCTGAGACTGCTGAGGGTGACATTGTGAGCACCCTCTCCTTTATCACTCACCAGCCAAGGTGGATTGCACGTCCAGAACACCACGTCTGCGCAAGTCTCAAGAGTACGGTGATGATCGAATTGTGTGCCGACGCAGCAGATAACATGTCGTCTACCCATTTACGGAATCCAGCCGTAATGAGGATATGGAACAGTTACCGGCATGTCCTCAATATGAGTTGCCGTATCATCATGTGCTAGAGAGATGTATGTGCCGGGGTGACTCGTGCCAGGCCCTAATCTACCCCACATGCCGTGAAGCTTTGAGCTTGAGTGGAGTGGAGTTACTCTTCGTGTTCGCGGGGATGGAATCTGGGGTTGCAATCGTTGTTGAGCAATCGTGCCGTGTCTGGAGGCTCTACATAGTACGGCAATTGTAGTCAGTATTTGCCGGAAGTGCGTGACTAGAACATCGAGTCAGACAAGCCGGCAAGCACGGCAGGAGACGTGCCCTTCCAGATGTGGTTGTGAGCCTATGTCTCTTGGAACCATCCGTGTTTGCTGATATTGATGTAGAGCAAATCAGGACATCACCTTCGTAGCATCGCTATCATTGTTCAAAACCTGGAATAAGGGCTCTCCGTCTGCCATGGCCGTGGTTGAGAACTTGAGGGCCGCAGGCTCGTTGTCGAGCCTGTTGTCATTGAAAGTGTTGGCTCTGGCGTCAGTATTGCTGGCTGGACTGGGTCTTACGTGGTTGGTCGTCGATTATGCCAGAATGCTACGACTTCACAGGAAAATGGTATGTGCAGAATGTTGTATAGAAGCGTATGGCTCTTACTGATAACTTTTAGCCACCCGGACCCATACCTTGGCCAATCGTAGGGAGCACTTTCTCCCTACCCAAATTAAAGCCCTGGTACTACTTCGAAGCACTTTCGAAGCAATTCGACAGTCCAGTGATCACTTTTTGGATTGGCCGCAGTCCGACAGTCTGGATTAATGACGCAAAGTCTGCTTCGGAGATACTGGAGAAAAAAGCTGCGATCTACTCGTCCAGGCCACGGATGGTTGTCTTTGCCGAGTTGACAGAGATGCATCAGTCAGCTGACCCGAACTCCAAGCTGCCCGGCAATAACCTGGTCACTATGTTCTATGGCGAGCGTTGGCGTGTCCATCGCAAGATCACGCATCAGGGTGTCGGCTTGCAGCAGGTGCGAAACTATCGTGGCTTCCAGAACGATGAGAGTCGATTGGTCGCATACGACATTCTTCATGACCCGGCCAACTTCGTAGCGTATTATGAACGCTATGCAACAAGCGTCGTGTCAATCATTGGCTTTAACCGCAGAGTGTCGAGCATTGACAATCCGATCATTACTGAGGTGATAGCAGTGATGCAGAAAGCTGCTGAGCTGAACGTGCCTGGTAAAGAGTTCCCAATGCTATTTGAGACATTCCCAGCGCTGTCTCATCTGCCACGATCCTGGTTCCCATGGTTTTTCAAAGGCATGAGTCGGCGACGCAGAGGCCAGGACTTCTTCTATACCCTTGCCGAGGAGGCGCACAAGAAAGACCCGACACAGACGTGCTACGCGAATTCGCTATTCAAGGAGCAAGAAAAGTACAACCTCGGAAAGCCAGATATATCAAGCCTTGCGGGTAACCTTTTTGGTGCTGGTAGTGATACCTCAAGCTCGACTCTGGTCACCTTCACCCTGGCATGTTGCGCTTTTCCTGAAGTCCTACCTAAAGCCTGGGAAGAGCTAGATCGAATTGTGGGTCACCACAGAAGTCCGTCGTGGGAAGATGAGGCGGAGCTCTCCTACATCAAAGCTTTCGTGAAGGAAGTATTCCGCTGGCGTAGTGTTGCCATCATTGGTGGCCAGCCGCATGCTCCAGTGTCTGACGATGAGTGGAATGGCTATTCGATACCCAAGGGTACCTGGACTCAGGGTAACGTTTGGGCAATCCATCACAACGAGAGAGACTTCCCCGATCCTGATCGATTCAATCCCGAGCGCTTCATGAAGGATGGTCGGGATGCTCGCCCCTTCCCTAACGAAAAAGGATACATGACTTTCGGCTGGGGACGCCGAGTGTGCTCCGGCCAAGGCCTAGCCGAGCAGGGCACCTTCATGACCATTGCAAGGATGTTGTGGGCTTTCAACATTCAGAAGGCGCTTGACTCGCAAGGGAAGGAGATCCCAGTTGATATCTTCTCCTATAGGTGCGTATGCAATCATTGTGCAGTTGAAAGGATCACTGACATTCGTGCTAGTGACGGCTTGAACTGGCGACCGCATCCGTTTCCATGTCGGTTTACTCCTCGATCACCCGAGATTGTAGATGCAATTGAGCGTGAAGGACGGCAAGCGCTGCAGGACTTATCGATGTATGAAGGAGAGTCGGAAGCAATCACAGCATTCTTCAAACGGAACAAGTGACCGAGAGAGGGGACATCAGTAGTGGACACTCGGTGGGCCATTGAGGATTAGTCCTCTCCATCGAATTTATCCACGCTTTCAGGTCCCAACTCTGACACGTCATCTCGATCTCTGGCTTGTGTTGTGTCCGCAGTTGTGTGATCAAGATCCTCGGATGCAGTACGTTGATGCAGACGTCGTCGCTTTTCGTGGCCCGCGACACCACACTCGTGCATCGACACAAATGCACTTTGGGGAACTGCATCGACAGAGAATTCCCAATGACTCCAGTACTTCACTTGGCGACGCCAATGATCTGCACTCTCAACCTCTTTCCCTCCGACTAGTGGCCTGAGCATCGAATTGTCATATTGTTCAGCCTCGTCTGGTGTTTTCCCGACAATATTCCAGAGCTGTTGTACTTCCTCCTTCGAAGCATCCCGATCAAGGTGTTCGAGGAGTTGCGCCTCTGCTCTGGCAAACGCCGATGGGCTTAATGATCTCCTGCGCTTACGTCGAGGTGCAGGATCGCGCTTCGCATCATTTCCAAGCCCTTCCCCTTTCTCATCGTCATCGGCCAAGGCTGCATAGTGGTCAGAGCCATCTTCGGATAGGCAATCTGATTCGCTCACCTCCGTCAGGTCATCGCTGCCGAAGTCAGACAAAACCACGTCACTGAGATCGTCGGCACTGGTCAAAGTCGGGTCTATATCTGCAGCACCAAGCTCGTATTCGATCTCACGTGCAGTGAGTTTCACTCCAGTCTTAGTGCCAGGCCGGCCGTCTTTGTACCTCTGAACGTCGCTGTATACCTCGATACCTAATCTCTGTGGCAGCTTGGCCCAATATGACGGCCACGTCGGCCGCATTCCAAGTATTGAGATCGCAGCCCTCACGTCTATCTCGCGGACTTCGGGCTTGGGCTGCCAATTAGCCCGTGAATCGTCGCTTGCCCGCAGTCGAGATTGAGACTGATAAAGGGTGCCTTGCACCAGGCGGCGTGTTTGGTACACGACGAGACTGTACAGGTCTTCGAAGGCTGTGCGGAAGATGGCAGGACCTTCGATACTGCCGTCAGAGGGTAAAAGCTCACGCCAATTTTGCTCGGAGCCCAGCGTAGAGTTCATGAAGATCGTACTCGATAAATCCAGCAGAATCTCGGGGTTAAGCAACCCAAGTGCAGTAATTTCATCGTGGACGTCATCTTCTTTGATTGCTGCGGCCCTGTCATCTTCACTTATGTTGGAATCATCCTCAATGACGGTGTCCGTGCCGGCGACGATCGAGGCAGCAAATCTTTCATCAACCAACCAATCCGTACCATAATTTGCTCGCTCGTGGTGCGCATCTCTAAATTCCACTTTCTGTCTCAAGACATCTGCTGCAGCGTTCAGGTTGGCTTCAAGCTCAGGGCTGATTTCATATGCAGCAGACACGTTCTCGAACGAGAACCCTGGCGTATGAGGCTGAGTGAGTGCCTCCGTGGCCCCATCCTGCAATAGATTGAGATAGAAATGTATCTCGGGTTCACTTTTAGTCGGGATTGAGCGCGACAAGGCCACCAAATTAGTGGATCCATACTTCTGAGCATTACGAAGCACCGTCTGCTTCTCAAAGCTCGTCCAGTATGATGCACCGATTTGTGAGGATGCCAGAGGTTGGTCATTGAGGCTCGTAGATTGTGTTACCTCGCTAATGACTGTGTTGAAAAGCTTACGATACTGTCTTGCACTGCTTTCCTTGGATGTGGCGGATGCATAGCCGTGGTCACGGTGGAGTTGACTGGCATCATCTTCAATATTGACATCGCGAGATGTGAGTATAGGTAGCCCATCTACTTGCCTCGAGTCGTGATCGGTGCTCAGATCTGCGTGCTCGCCTTCGGAGGCACGGGAAACCTGGCCCAGCGACCTTCCATCACCTGCTCCATGTTCGGTCCCGGAAGACTGCACAATTTGCGATCGCAAGCTCATCCGCTGATGCCGGTCAGTACGACCGAAGTGCCGTCGACAGATAGATGCATATCACGTTACACGGGAAGTCGCAAACATCGAAGTCAAGGGTCGAGCGGCTAGTCCCGGCGGGCCGTCACCGCAGCTTTCCAGGGGCGATAGTTGAGATGTCTAAGGCAGAGCGAAGTGTGGGAAAACGTATACGCCAGAAACCAGGTCATCTGGCCTGAGCAGTGACACAGGAAGCATAGCGGATACCGACTACTTGGAGATACTTTCTGTTCGCTCGTGCTATGCACGGTACCTTGATCTTAGCCAACATCAGTACTGCAACCAGCCCGTTTCTGGACACAGTATGAGCTGCATGGATTGCTCTTGACAAACAACAATTTCGACTCCACGAGCAATCTCGATAGGCCATGTTGCCGTCCGAAAAATCAGGAGTACTCCCTCGAGCCTATTGCAGTCCCCGGTGTGGAGTTTGCAACTTGTATCTCGCGGCAACTCGACGTATCTGAGCAGTCGCGCTCGAGTCCGGCAACATCACGTAAAAGGTTTTCAATGCTTGTCGAGTCGGCTCACTTTTGCCAGGTGCCATCTCGTTCCTCTGGCATAGTCTCCCGCCACATGTAGGGTGATCCGATCAAGCAATACATGTCATCGTCGTATGCTTCCCGGGGTGGAAGGCTGCGTGAGTTTCGATCGAGGTTAGCTTCAACCAGGAATAGTCCAGCGCTGCGTTGTACCGTGGACCTCACGTCTGCCAGCTTGAGTCCACACGCTGCTGGCGCGAAGCAAGGATGCTTCAGACTGTTGTGACGGCCTAGGCCCGTGAGATGAGGGACGGATCCGCGAGTTTTCGCCGTGCCCAAAGTGATCGGTTGCCAGCCATGGGTCGACTGTATCATCATCCTCACCGCGACAAGTACAATGGCACAGCATCAAAATCTACTTGCGACTCTTTCCTTCTCACGATCTCACCCACAACAGCCGTCTTTGGGCGCATTGCGTGTAGCATGCATATCTCCGAAGTCTTTGTTGAGGGACCGCATGCGGCTTGACATAGCACTCAGCTCTGCGATCGCCATCGCCTTCCATAGCCTTACATCTACGCCGTCCGCGTTTCAGATCGTCCTCGCCCGCCGACGTACTCGTTCAATGATAAGAGGCAAGTTATTAGCGACGACGACAGTCACGAAGGATGGCCCATCACGCGGCCCAGGAATGCGGAATGTCCCGTACACTCCAACATATGCCAATGGCTTTCACCAGCTGGCATTGACACACGGCTACATGTCTACTAACTCGCAAGTTCTTCCAGCAGCGGAAACAGGGCTATTGACCACTTGGTTGAGATTGTATCATCGCCATGTGCTGCAGAGCTCCATGGCGATAGCATGCCTTGGTGTACCTGGGCGACACTGTATTGGCTTCTTCAAGCTTGCGAGTGCTCGGGATGGTCGAACGAGCATCGTAATCATCGTCTTCAGGCTGACAAGGTGCAAGCTTGTAACACTACCGGTATTGTGACTATGTCGGCTTGAACGCAAACCGACAAAAGGGCTGCAGAACGACAGCTCTAACTAATTATGGTATAGCTTTCCATGAGCTACTGACATCGGAAACAACGACAGGATGCGATTACGGCCAAGCGGGCAGTGGCTGCAGTCTCACTGACGCTCAAGAGATCCGTACGGATGGCGGTCTTCATACTAGCCACAGACGAGCGGAAGATAAGTGCGATGCAGCATGCATGGCGAACGTCGCGAACGGAAACATTTGAACTTAACAGGCACACTTCTTGCCTCGCTGACCTCACAGCTCCACCGCCGCACACGATAGGTGTCGTTGCTTCCTGGTAGCACTCACGACTTTGATAAAGGTATGATCACACCCGCAATCATCTGATGTGAATGTACGGACGATTCCCGCCTCGGAGCCAGCCTAATGATCGGGAAATTCTCCACAGATCACGAGACCAAGCCGCAGCTGCCCTTATTGTGAATGGGTCTATGCTAGCTCTCTTTACAATGAATTTGAGCCAGCTATTTGTTCGACGATACATCTCAGCGAGCATTGTGAGACAACGCATCCTCTATAAAGTCGGCACCCTCATCGCCTCAGCTGATCACCACGCAATACCCATACAGTTGCTCGTATACATACAAGACACCACCATGAACGGACGCAACAACAATTCTCCCTCAACCTCGTGTCGGATGATCATCGACCCAAACGAACCTCGCTACGCGCCCCGTCCGACACCTCCTCCGGCGAAGTGGCGAGAGCTGCAGTACGAAGTCCGAACCACGACGCATCCCGTGGTCCCAGGCTTCATCATCGCAGGATTGCCTGGAGGGTTCACCGGCAATCTCCCTGCGGTAGCCAATACACAGTTTCACCAGTGGCTCCAACGTAATCCACCTCTGGTGGGCGGTCCTGGTGCTTCCCCACGCTCGCCCGTGGTCCCTCCAGCTCAGCTACCATGGCAGGGGATGCAGCTCCCACCGCAACAGCCGCTACCTCACCAGCAGCCACCTCGACAGCCACAAATGACGCCCAAAGACGCACCGCCACCAGCCAGCCCTGTCAGTACGCCGAGAAGATCCGTCGATACTCGCATCAGGGACAACACTAGCTACGGTGAGATCCTCAAGGGTCGCCCGCATTCCGCAGCCCGCCCACCACTCAACATTGATATCAGTATTGCTGAGATCTGTACTTTCTTCCCAAGCTGGTTCATCAACCCCCTGGTCATACTGCGTGCTATGCGGAATGGGTTCACACGCAATACATTGGCGGATTTGCAGATCGGAGCGGTTGGTTGTACAAGTGCCGGTGATCGCAAGAAGACGGAAGATCGGCTCCAACAGCAGATCAGCAGGGGTGGGAAGCTGGAGCAGGGTACCGAAGCCAGGTGGGATAGAGCCAGCTATGTCCAGCGTGTTGGGTTGCAGAACGACCTCACGGCGAACTACTGGAAGCAGCGTGACGGGTATGGGCCGAAAGAAAATACTGTGGATTGGGACGACTTCGAATTGGTGGGCGTGTCGGCTGCCGTTCCTCAGGCGAATTGGCCTACCGGTGACGACAAGTTGCTGCTCACAAGATGCCTCGAATTTGCCTCTGCCAACCAGGGGCTACACCTTACTACTCACCACTGGGCGTGGATCATTCAGAACCATCTCAGCGGAGTCATGGTACCACCAGCACCAGCTGGACCAAATGCAAACCGCGACACAGCTGCAGTCGGGCGCCTTTTTGGTTAGGAAGTTGGACTGGAAGGTGTTCACATCCGGTGGAGTACGTAAAATGCGCAATTTCATAGTGTCCATCAATGTTATTCGAATTGATTCTACTCACCACAATTTTAATAGGTACGATCTGATGACGCTCACCGTACGCCTCTATCTTGAAGTATAGTCCTGTTCGAAGCAGATGAATGTGGTCAAACTCTGTCGCCAAGGTGTGAATGATAGACTACACATTCATCAACAAGGTGACGCAGATTCCTACTCCTCGCCAACACGGGGAGGCACGCTAGCGTAGCTTGTGCGATTCAAAGAAGATACGGCACGTCGAATGCCAAGGATACCGCAAGCTTCCTGTTTGTAGAAGCAGGATTTTGACCTCCGTTTCTCAAGGGCACTTCGACTTCCAACCTCTTTCGCAACAGCCTCTTTATCCTTACCCGCCCCGCGTCTTTGCACATAGACAGTCACACCTTCGCTCCATCACCCCACCAGGCATTCACAAAGATACACTGCTGTAGCACTATTGTTAGCAGTCGCAGAGATTGCCTTTCACTTCTCCAGCCGATTGCGACTAGCAAGCGATAAGCACAATAGTCTCTCCTTACCAATAATCATCTACAGCATTCAACATGGCTGGCAATCCCCTGAACCTCCTTGGCGACTGTAAGTACTACTACACTCGAACGTGATATATCTGTACTGATAGCATGTACAAGACGGTACGTTTGCCAACAGTCATGTCGATGACCTGAAGTTGGTTGGCACCAACGACCAACCACTTGACTCCAACTCTACAACGAATGATGGAGACTTCTTATATCTCCATGCAGAAGGTAGCTATATCTGATGATACCCTCATGAATACAGATGCTGATTCTCATAGACTTCAAACCTGGAATGTTCCCGTCCGAAGGGGATGCAAAGGTGATCAAGGAGTTCGACGCATCCACTATGTTTCCACATGGTCATCCGATCCCGGTCTATTCGATCACCAAGGCTGAGTACGCTGCTTCGCCCCATCTAGACGACTTCGGACTAGAGTCAGTCAATATGTGTCTATCTAATGCAGACACACCTGCCGTCAGTCCTGCTGCGGTTGTACCATATCTCACCAGCGCTGCTTACCCAGCATCCAAGGGTCCCAATCCACCAAGTGCTGGCCGCGCCAAACTCACTCGCAACGTCTCATCTCTTAACAACGCCTTCCCGATCTCCAGTCGTCCCATCCCAAACCATCGTCTCAGGCAGAAGTCGAGTTTCTCCATCCTGCAAAGCAAGCAGAAACGCAAATTCGACGAGCTTGACTTCGACAACGATGTCGACGCAATCCCACCTTTCAGGACTTTGCCTACTAGCATGCCGGGCACGTTGCCAGATGCCCCAAGAGGCAGCCCATCTGGGATCGTGCCCACATTGGCGAGTCGTGCGCAAGATGCCATCCGCGAGATGAGGGCAGGGTGTCTCAGCCCGATCTTCGCAGACAAAGCTCGACAAGCGCCACAGTCCCGCTCGCCTACTGATTTCGTTGACTCCATCGAAAATCTCACGTTTAGAGACCGCGGCCCAGCAAAGAAGAAGTCGAAGCGCACCAAGCCGTCTTCGACACACTCGTCCGCGCCGAGAGCCAACCCCATTACCACTAGCCCAATTGGTATCATCCCTGCTACTGCTATGGCAGCCACTATGCCGGCGACTACAACCCATCAGCCGGCTGCGATTATACCCTCGCTTACAAGCACGTCTCGCCCCCTCAGCGAAGCGAGTACGAAGACACTTACACCATACGCGAAGAAACTCATCAGCACCGGCCATCTACGCAATGCTGGCTACGTGTCTGGTTTTGATGACATCTTCGCACCTCGCGAGAATGCTCGTCTGCCCGACTGTAAGATGAGCGCAACAGAGATTCTCTACTTCTTCCCACGTCACACTCAGTGGCCAGACATTATGCTGCGTCTCCTTGGTAACGGCTTCAACTCATCGACAATGGCAGACGGCATTCTGTACTACCGCGGACGTCTTGATCTCGAGCACCATGAAAGACGAGATGCTGCACAGCGCCGCCAAGTGTGCCACTCGGGAAAGGAGAAATTTGGCGACTCAGCCTGGAAGTCTAGCGAGGCTACAGCGGCCGAGGTCCACCCCGTCACCGACTACAACGTCTCCTCCGCCACTCTACCGAGCGGGCAGCATGCCACCATCCTCCAGAGCCTCAAGCTTGTCGACGTCGCACGCGGTGTACAGTAGTGGCCGCATCGCAACGATCGGGGGCTTGTTAGCCCGGTCTTATACTTCGCCCATCACAACCCTGTCGTCTGCGCCGACTACACAACGGATGATGTTCAACGTGTAGCTGCCGATCTGGGCTTCGTAGAGGCTGTAGGGGCTAATAGTCGGGACTGGGACCAGCAGTGCTTAGCTAGGATGCGTGTTGCCACCAAGGCAGACAAGGACCGGATTGCTGCAGCTGTTGTGGTTGAAAAGCTTCGCAACAAGGCTGAGTTGTAGGCTAAGACGGTCGACGGCCCCGCTACTGAAGCTTTTGCTCTGGAACGGGAGATACTTGGCGCAAGAGTGATGCTGCAGCCAGTGATGCCGGATGCCAGCAAGACGCATTCCAGTGAAGACCTACTTAAGAATTAACAGCACCGTCTTACTCCAGGCAGAAAAGATGAGGCCAGACGGCTGACTTTGGCGTACCACAATCGTTGATGGTATTACACCACTTGCGGCGCTTCAATATGCACTACCGGCCGAACTTGTGTTTAGAATGCAATACGTTCGAGATCGTTGCATGGTTGTCTCGAACTGTTGTTCTTTGGGTAAGGCGGTCCGGAGGATGGCTGACGATGGACAGGTGGTTGTGCATTGGGGTGAGGGCGATAGGTGCATTGTCGACTCTACGTCCAATATCGAACGAGGTTGGATCGGTGGTGGTGGCTGATGGGTACACCTTTCGAAGATTTCCGTACAGAGTCTCCTGGTCGTCTCGATGTAAAGTAGATGCACACAGTAGTCGTTCAACATGTCGACTATAGTCGAGCTCCACGTCCAGCTTCGGTAGAAGAGCAGATGGTCTCTCCTCAGCTCCTGTATCGATGTTCCGGATCTTTGCAGCATAGTTCGACTTTCATGTTAGTGGTCAGGTAAAGTGAAGAATCCATTGCAGGAGCCCAAGGCAGTTCAGAATAATTCTCATAACATCATACGGAAGAACTTACTTACACACGAGCCACCATATATACAATCCTCGCAGATGTGCACATTCCTCCCTGGAATTCATGAAAGACGCTTCGAAGCTTGCAGAACATCCCGCTTCCAACACCCCTACCATCACGAACTCTTCAACTTCTCTGTCATCTCCGGTACCTTCTCAAACAAATCACCCACCAACCCAACATCCGCCACCTGGAAGATAGGCGCATCGGCATCCTTGTTGATGGCGGCGATGACTTTGCTGTCCTTCATGCCAGCCAAATGCTGAATAGCACCACTAATCCCGGCGCACAAATATAGCTGAGGTGCCACGTTCTTGCCAGTCTGACCCACCTGCAAGCTGTTGTCAGCGAATCCGCTGTCAACAGCAGCTCGCGAAGCACCAATCGCGGCACCCAGCGCATCAGCAAGAGGAGGGATAAGCCTCTCGAATTCCTCTTTCGACTTCAAGCCCCTGCCTCCCGAAACGACTCGTTCCGCACTCGCAAGCTCAGGCCGGTCACTCTTCGCCAAGTCCTCACTGACCCACGTCGTAGGACAAGGAGCCTTGGGATCCACACCCTCCTCTACACTGGCACTGCCTCCCTCCGCGGCACCAGAAGGGAAAGCCGTACCTCTCACCGTAACAATCTTAGGACTATCCTCGGACTGAACAGTCAGGATAGCATTCCCAGCATATATCGGCCTGACGAAAGTATCCTCAGACTGAATATCAGTGATATCAGACACCTGCTGTACATCCATCAACGCCGCGACCCTAGGCATTAAATTCTTGCCAAAAGCCGAGTGGCCCGCTAGGACATGCGTGTACCCTCCTTTCTTGATGTTCTCGATCAACATCGGAGCCCAGTTCTCGGGGAGTCCTTTATCATAGTCGCCATTCTCCACGAATATTATCTTCTCCAGCCCTTCGACTTTGGCGGCTTCGTCGGCGACGGTCTTGATGTTGGAGCCAGCTAGGATTCCGTGGACAGGCCCGCCAATCTTTTGGCCGGCGGAGACGGAGGCCAGGGAGGACATGTTCAGTTTGCCTTCGCGTTGTTCGAGGATGGCGAGAGTCGAGGCGAGACGGCGGAGATAGGCTTGGGACAGTGGTCGTGGACCGACTGGACGTAGACATGATGTGACGTGCCGTAACACACCACTTCGTGTTGGTAATGCCATCGATGGTGGTGTGTTTGGGGGTGGTCGACCTAAGATAGATTCAATGCTCATCATATGCGATTGCGGCTTAAGTTTGGGCCGAGGTCATACGAAAGCTCGGACCCTCCTCTCTCAACTTCACTTGACTCGGGTTTATTTACAACCGATTCCATCACGTGAGATTTGATACCATGTGCTTTCGCTTGTACCACGGTCATTGTGGAAAGAAGAGAAATGAATTCACTGTTACACACCACACGAACTTGACAGATCGATGCTCCTGCAGCCGGCGCGACGAAACCTGGACACGCGAGTCACTACTACCCTTCGAATCACGGGCGGAGACATGGGTGGTCCGTGTTTTGGACTTTATGAACGCCGCCTGGCCAAGTACACGGATGGCCTGCACATCTTTATAACTAGAGCACTCCCGATCTATCTGGCGGTACTACTCGCACGGAGTTCTCTGTAAGCATAATCGATGTCTGGTATACGACAACAACGTATGCACCCTTGTCTTCTTAGCTCGGTATGCTGCACACGCCTTGCTCAGCCGGCCAAACGAACCATCGTCCCGTCTCCGTCTTGATAAGCCTTTTCTCGACCAGCGACATGATCAGCGAGCCTTGCAGAAGTCTCTCATCGTGTTGATGAAGCTGACTGCAAAGTGTGTAATCAACATGTCCTGTTCCGGGTCGCGCTACGAAATGCGTGCCAGATTTGAGCTAGCTTTGAGCTTGATGATCCATTCATCTGACCACGAAGTTCTCTATCGCGCTCAGTTCACATGCACAAACGAGGCGAGCCACCAGCTGCGGGTGCAGGTGACATGCGGCCAATGAATTGCATACCGCACTTGACCATGATGAGGATTGACAATAGTCTCTGAGCGGACGTCGTCACAAACAGTAGTGGGCGAAGTAAGTACTTTATATAGATCGCCGTCCATCTCTGACCACCATCTGTGACTCATATCATCAAGACTCCTGCTCATGTACATCATTCGTGACCAGGACTAGTCACACCAAATACCTACGAATTAAGAAGCGATGGGGTCCTTGTATAAGATGCTTCGAATGAAGCTTTCTCCACCAATCGACACGAAACCCTCGCTCCGAGGTCAGACCGTGCTCATTACGGGTGCAAATGTGAGATCGTTGCCAGGCTTGAAATGATTAATAGGGCTAGACAGCTAACGAGATAGGTTGGTCTCGGTTTCGAAGCAGCCTTGAAGTTCGTCCAGCTGGGCGCCGACAAGGTAATCATGGGTGTCCGTTCGGTCGAGAGGGGCGAACAGGCGAAGCAAGAAATTGAGCACCGGAGTGGTCGTACGGGTTGCTTGTTGGTCTGGCAACTGGATATGCTGGACTATGGAAGCGTACAAGCTTTTGCGGAGCGCGCCTCCAGTGATCTCGATCGTCTGGATGTCGTGGTGCTCAATGCTGGAGTGTTGATGTCGAAGTTCGAAAAGTCCGCACACGGCTGGGAGAAGACATTGCAAGTCAACCTATTATCCACGATCTTGCTGGCTCTACTCTTGATGCCCAAGCTGGAAGCAAGCAAGACAGAGAAGCATACGCCAGTGCTCGAATTCGTCAGTTCTGGTAATCACATGCACCTCACCAGCCTCGACGATCAGAGCAGCATTTTGGACAGCTTCAATGCAGCCGAACACTACTCGTTTATGAGACAGTACGATCATTCGAAGCTTTTCCTGGAGTACGCCAAAGCTGAGTTGGCCAGGAGTTCAAGCGGAGATGTGTTGGCAAAGCCAAACGTCTGCGTCCTTTCGGTCTGTCCGGGACCTGTGAAAACGAATCTGGTTCGCGACTTCATGAGTGCCTGGTATCTGAGACTTGCAGTGGGTATGGTCGGAGTGCTGCAGCGATCGCCTGAAGAAGGGGCCAGGACATACATTAGTGGAGCAACATCAAGTCTAGCAGTGCATGGCAGCTTCTGGCAAGACGACCAGGTCCAAGGGTATGTGGATTATCAGATTGCGCGATTTCTGGTACTGATATTGCATTAGGCTTGCACCACTGGTTGAAGGTGACGACGGCCATGCAAGACAGGCCAAAGTTTGGGGCGAGCTCGTGGCAGCACTGAAGACTGATGTGCCCAGCCTGGTCGTGTAGTATGATCTAGGCCAGTCATTCATGTGGGCCGTACGGATATAAAGTCAGTTACGGCGTTCTTGACTGTGCATCATCTCATAATGATGCATCTCGCGCGTGATAGAATAGCGGTCGTGACCGAGTTACCTTACTGGGACGGAAGGTAACCGGATGATCGTCTGAATGACTCCTTGCTCACTCAATACTGCCAACGCTTTGTTTCCGACGGACCACGTCGTCTCACCATCCAAGGTTAAGGTGCCGCGCATGCTGAAGGAAGCCTGCGGAAGGAGACGAGAAATGTTGACGCGTGAGAGATCTTTGAACTGACAAGCTAACCGCTTCCGGGCAAAGGGCCAGAGCTGAATATGACCGTCAGCATTACAATGAGCGTCATCTTCTTTCCTATGCCTGAAGTTCGCATAGGTCTTTTTGGGCTGATCCCACACTATCGTAAGCATCGCGAACTCCAGAATATAACCTGCGTAGCGTACTATGAGCGCACGGTCTCAAAGCTGCACCAGGAGAGGCGCATGTTTCCTTTTCAATGAGCGGTGCGATCAACACCACGTCGACACAAGACAAGTGACTAGCCCAAGCTATCTTGACTGGGAATGTGCAGGCCGGAGCCGTTTTCTCACCTTTGAGAATCCACATTCTCCTTATCATCCTGCAATCGTGCTTACTGTACAGCCGATGTTGAAACTCATGATGCTCGGCTGAATGTTCTGCTCTTTGGCTCAAACCTTGGATAACCATCAGCTTACTACAGCAGCTGAGCTGAGCTTAGTATAAAAGTCTTATTCCGTAACCTTCACATCAAAAGCAACTCACACTCATGATCTGCCAGTTCACATAATGCCACTCACGACGTCGCTCCCGTTTGGCCTCGACGAGGTGGACGTTGTCATATGCGGAGGTACGACAGCAAACACCTTTCCTTCTAGACCGATATACTGATGGGAGATAGGTGGTTTGGCCGCATGTGTAGTCGCTGGACGTTTGGCAGAGGCCGACCGCGACCTTGTGATCCTCATGATCGAAAGAGGTCCCAACAATGCGGGCTTAGATATTGTCCAGCATCCAGCACTATTCATCATGAATCTCTTGCCAGATAGTAAGACGGCATTGTCCTATAAGTCAAAACAATCGAAGCAGCTGGCCGATCGAGAAGTTGTAGTACAGACTGGTGGAACGCTCGGTGGCGGCAGCAGTATCAACATCATGCTGTGAGCAACCCGTAGGGCAGATTGCCTTGAAAATCTCTTGACGAGTGGCTGATTGGCAAGAAAGATACTCTCGCCCTGCACTGGGAGACTTCGATGCCTGGAATGCTCCCGGCTGGTCAGGCGACGACCTTTTGCCGTACATGAAGAAGGTAAATGGAAATCTGGTGTTAGTGATGAGCAAATCCCGCCGCTAACAATGTCAGATCGAGTCCTATCATGGCACCGGCACGGACTCTATGCACGGGAATGACGGACCACTGCAGATCAATAAAAGTGTGAAACATGGTTCTCGTGGGCCTACGGACTTTTTGCACGCCGCGAATTCGTTGTGCATACCAACGACTACTGGCCTACAAGATGGCTTGCCGGACTCGATCGGCTACGAGTATGCCAACAGTACGATCACACACGAGGGCAAGCGTCACGATGCTGCTACTGCGTATATTCACCCGAAGCTGAGGGATGATAAGCATCCGAACCTGCACGTACTGTGTGAGACCAAGGTCAGCAGGATTCTCTTCGATGGTAAGAAACGTGCCGTTGGAGTGGAACTCAGCAGCAATGGGCCGGCATTTGATGGCGCCATGAATGGAGGCGCAGTAACCACGATCAAAGCGCGCAGACTGGTCGTTGCATCTTGTGGTGCAATAGGCTCGCCCTTACTGCTCGAGCGGTCAGGACTCGGTAGCTTGGAGGTGTTAAAGAAAGCGTTTGTGCCTATGGTATCTGATCTACCTGGTGTTGGTGCCGAATATCAGGACCACAACTATGTACCTTGGGCATACAAGACCAATGGGAATTCTGACGATGCTCTCAACGACTTTTGGCGAGGCCAGATCACCACAGAAGATGCTGAGGCCAAAGGTCTGCTGGCATTCAGTGGCTGTGATCTACACGGCAAGCTTAGGCCAACAGTCGAAGAGGTGAAAACCCTTGGTCCAGCATTTGAGGCAGCATGGGAAAAGGATTTTGCAGATAAGCCTGGAAAGCCTCTTATGCTCGCAGCAGCCGCAAGCACGTGAGTTCTGGGTACACGGCATTTCGTTGTGTTCATCAATGCTGATAACATGGTCGATAGGGCCGACCCAACACTTCCACCTGCACAGTACTTCTCCGCAAGCCACTACACAGCATATCCATACTCCAGAGGCAAGGTGCATATCACTGGACCTTCACTGCAAGATCCGATCGACTTCGAGACTGGATTTTTTACAGATGAGCACGACCTTGACCTCAAAAAGGCGGTATGGGCCTACAAGAAGACCCGGGAAATTATGCGCCGAACGTCCATGTACCGCGGCGAGGCACCAGAAGAACATCCAAGGTTCCCAGCCGGCTCGGCAGCTGGTCTATACCATGGCGAGAACTCCCTGATATCTCAAGGCAAGGTCCAATCCTTGCTGTACAACGCTGAAGACGACAAAGCCATCGAACAGCGCCTTCGTGAGCGAATTGCTACGACCTGGCATTCGTTAGGCACATGTCCGATGAAGCCAAGAGAGCTTGGAGGTGTTGTTGATCAAAAGCTTAATGTATATGGTGTGCGAGGTTTGAAGGTCATTGACTTGAGTATTCCACCTATGAACGTGGGAGCCAACACACAGATCACGGCCTACACCATTGGAGAGAAGGGAGCTGATATCATCATCAAAGAACTCGGTGTTTGCGACACAGCTGCCAATGGTATAACAATATGAGTTCTAGCCGGTGAATAGTTGCATCCACAATCTCTGCTCAACCCCTTTTGTCTGAATGCACCGCGCGGGACATCGACAGTCGGCTTCCATGCCCATGTAGCAGTAAGTTCGCGCGAAGTAACTGTCCCGACCGGAGCTCGGTGCCATTGTGCGTTCTATACCAAGGTACACCCATGATCTTGTTGCAACTTCACCAGTACTTCGTGGTCCACCTTGCTTACATTGTCCGACAGTATTGGCAGGCTATGTTTCTGACCAAGCCTGCTCAACAGCTCAACCACTCCGCCACCGTTCGCGAAAGCATACATTTTGCTAAAGCGAGACATTGTCGAAAATCTGAAATTCGTGCCTTTCGGTACGTAAATCACATCTCCTGCAGATAAATTGGAGGAGGTATGTGATTCGAGATGAAACTCAACAGCTCCTTGTGTGACCATGAAAGCGTGGTGTACTGCGTCGAAGCGAATTGATTTTTCCTTGCCTGCGAAGATGCTTGCCTCTTGATGCTGGCATGATGCTTCGATACTCCCGATGGCGAACTTGCCATACGATTCAGCCGTGGTAACAAGGGGTCTGGATACTGTTCCTCCGACTTCGTAAGCTGGCCCTGTGGCATTCTTCAGAAAATATGGTTCTGGTATGCCGGGCAATCGATTGTCGCCGGACTGCCATGCTTGCGGTTCGAACTGCTTATGCTGCGGACATGGCACCATATCGAACTGCTCAGCTGCCTGCTTAAGACGTGGCAGCAGTACCTCGAAGAAATTGCGTTCGTCCTGCATCGGCCACATTGGTCCTGAGTACGGCTCCCCGATGAAGCGGAAGAACTCCTCCCAGCCTCCAGGCACAATCAAGCCCGCGAATTCAGAGTGTGGACCCAGAACTTGGTACTGATGTATCGTCCCCTAATCAATGTTCAGAAATAAGCCTCACGTGGGAAGTAAAGATGACTTACGGGCGGCACGGATGCAAAATCGCCCGAAGTCATGATTCGGCACTGATCTCCAGCCCAGACATTGACTTCTCCAGCAAGACATAAGAAAACATCATGAGCTTCTCGGTGATAGTGAAATCCTATAGGATCGCTTTGACTGCCTCCGCTGGCCACCATGGCAAAGGCATTCTCACTCTCCTTACCAGTGACCAGAAGTCGGGTTGCTGATTTCGATAGCGGGATGTATATGATTTCTCCATCTTGAGACGAGATCACGTATGGCTTGCCAGGAGCACCAGGAGGCAGTTGTCGTGGTTCTAGTGATTGAGTATGATCAACAGAGCCGTTCGTCGTGAATTCCATCGTGAGGTATGTTCTTGGGCGCGACTACGATCACTAAAGCCTTTTCGTAGGATGTAGACATCTCGGTGGGCGACGACGGTCTTATACTATCGATTCAGCTTGAAACCCCCTACTCAGTCAATGACCAATAGTACCTTGCTAAGACAATACAATTCACGGAAGTCGGTGGCGGTGCGTCGTTCGTCGTGGTAACCTCTCGGATGTGCGGGCGAAGCCCTAACCGCCCCTCGAACAGACGCATGGCTCGCGGCGGTCCAGGCATTTCTGTTCGGCATTTCGTGTTCCGCGATGGAATGCTACCTACGATACTAAGACCTCATGTCGCTTCCATCGCTAGCCGGATATGTGACCGTGATGTGTGGCACGTGTTGAATGTGAGGATAGCAGTGTGCTGTCTGCATATCTCACCGCACCACTGACAAGCAGCCGCTCTCGCAAGAAGCATCTAAATTGATATATTCTGAATCATGGGGAGCAGAGTCGCTACTACTGTGCGTGTAGGCCTGCGGAAGCCTGAGGGCGATTCTGTGTCAGTCGTGAAGCGACGATGGGCAATGACGGTGATACCGACTGATGGTCAGCAGCAGCAATATGAAAATGGAGCGACGCCATGGCCGTGACAATGTACTGGGTACTGGATTATGGACATACTATATACTTTTAGGGAGCCGGGCGGCGCTTCGAGGGGACGATGGCACTCCTTAGGTCTCGTGGTAAATGTTGCTTTGGGACTTGGTGACAAGCGCATTCGGATTATTCGGCAATTGTCGAGGTAACGAATTCACGAGCAGGTGCATCAGGCTGATCAGGCAGGTGAGGGTCCCATCGATGCCAGAAGAGCAAGAGGTGCGATCGGCGCTTGGCGATACGTACGCAAGAAGTCGCATTGGGCTGCTCCATCGCCAGCAGTTGTTGCTTTGGGAGTGGTCGAAACGGAGACCAGATGCGCATAGGACTCTGTACAACATGAAGTGCATCAGAACACGCCTACTTCTTCCTCAACACGACCATCCTCGCCATAGCTTGGTCGGCCTTCCTGTAGTCGTCGAGCTTTGTGCTGAGAACCTCAACGGCACCTTCATTGCCAAGTCGCTTCACTTCGGCAGCAAATCCTTCAGTCTCCCAAATATTGTCAAGGACGGTAGCCACGAACAAGCCTCCGGACTTGAGCACTCGAAGGAGCTCTAGAAATGCAGGGTCGGGTCCGACGTGGCCAGTGGTGAACGTGCCGACACAGGTCACGACATCGTACTTGCCGTCTGGCAGTTGAACCCGCTTGGTGAGATCTGCCGGTGCTAGGGTACGATACTTGCCAGTCTTCTCGGCGACGCTAAGCATACCCGGTGACAGGTCAATGCCATCAACGATTCGTGCACCCTGCTTTGCAAGTTGGACGCCGCAGAGCCCTGTGCCGCAGCCAGCATCCAGGATTTCGCCGTCGATTTTGCCACCAGCGTGCAACACGCAAGCTACAGTCTTTTCTGGGCCACAATACTCAGTTGACGTGCCCATGACGTCCTCATCGTAGGTGATAGCCCACGTATCGTAGAGCTTGATGTGGTCTTCGGGGGTCTTAAGGTCGTATGCTCGGTGGCGATGGTCGGAGAGGTCCCAGCCAGGGCCTGACTGAACTGCGGCTGCCATTGCGAATAATTTGAGGAGTTGATTGTAATTGAAAAGATAAAATCGACGTAAAAACGTGCTGGATATAGGAGTTCGGAGCTCAGGGCACTCGTCGCAAAGGCCTGGCACTTATACCTTGTCATTGCCATTCCAAATGACCTATTATTGGGTGACTTCATTGCGATCGTCCGAGGCACTCCGCACTCGTGCTGCGTACGAAGCTGTGGATAATACTGATTTGAGGCCAGGTTTGCGGTAGTTGCGTGAAATCTGCGCAGCTGAAGGTAACGACCAGGACAGCAAGATCGAGCGGTATCTGGTCGAAGACATGTGTCTTTTCCTATTGACCCGAGAAAAGGCGGTTCTCAAGGAACTCATCAAGACTCGACTCACCGGATACTTCTATGTTATGGTCTATACAGGGCTTTATGACAGTCGTTGTCTGGCCGGAGAAGGAGGAAGTCGTGAGAAAGGCAGCGTCTTGGCGTGTCCTATTCATTGGATGGTTGAATCACGCAATGGGGTCGGACGTGGAGTCCGGTAGGTACCTGGTGACCTCCCTGCTCTCGGTCGTGTTTGAGCTCCCGTCCTATCCGCAACTCACGTGTGTGCGAGCCCATTTGAGAGGCGCAGTCCAAACGTGTTGTGTGGACCCGCTTGCGCAAATGCCGTGGCATCAACCCTATGAAGTCGAGATTGTCGTCCGGTGTAGGAGCAGAGGTCTGACGTGACGTATGCCAAGCAGTTGCTGTACCTCGAGGTGAAGTTGGGATCTCGCAGCATCCTTCATTGCCTCTCTTCCAGATTTCAATTGCTTCGATCTTGATCACGTTGAATGTGCGTAGCAACGAGTCATCAATTGTAAGCGACTTCGTCTCGTTGGGATCTGGAACTGCCACCCAGAGAGCTCAAACCCGACATCAATCCGTTCGAAGTCGTTAGATGCTAGACTTGAAAACCTTCGATCTGCCAGTATATAATTCGAAGAGCTGATGACGGAGGTGCACGACGATGGAGGCTCGAGAGCTATATATGAGGCGCTTTAAACTACGCCCTTATCTGATCACCAAACATGAGGAGAAACGACCCAAGATAGGGCAATCAGTCCATAGGTGACGGCTACAATCATCGTCCGTCGATCATCCTTTCTATCTTTGATGACCTTCAAGCCTCTACCCTTCATGTAGAGTGATCAAGACGATCATATGCAGACCATACATTGAACCCTCGATCGTGCTTGACCATTCTTGTTATATGGTATGGAGGATTCGTATCAGGTTGCTGCAGTGTCATTATTGAACGGCAGACAGCTCTGCCGTGCTCTCCAACCGGCCCCCACTATCTTCCGACCTTCTCCATCTTTCCCTATACCATAACTACACTCGTTCTTTGCTGTTCGTCTTGGCAGGACTTGATTACTACGCCTTGCTCTGCGTAGCAACATTACGATCAACAGAGTTTCCTCAAACATCCCGGCTTTGTACCTCACATCAACGACCATGGACCAATTACCACCCCTCGGCAAATCCATACAAGACATCGTCCTCCCAACCTTCAAAATCTACAGCCCACTACTACAGATAAACGCCGACTTCATCCGATCCTGTCGAAGAGCAACGTTCACATACGGCGACCACGAACGGCAGAAACTCGATGTCTACTTCGCACCTGAACCTGCAGTGATCAATGGCCGACGACCAGTCCTCATGTTCGAGTATGGCGGTGGTCTTGTCCAAGGCAGCAAATCACTGCCCGCCTTCCCGGACGATCTTGTGCATGCCAACGTCGGCGCGTACTTCGCCTTGAAGCACGGCTATAGTGTGGTGATTGCGGACTACAGACTCATGTCTCACGGCGCCAAATTCCCTTCCGGCGGCGAGGATCTTGCAAAGGCTGTCGAGTCAATAGTCGAGAACGAGTCCGGGTCTGGGACAGAGCCGATCGATCTGTTCATGATGGGGAATTCTGCTGGTGGGATTCATCTCTCGACTTTCTTGCTACATCCAGACTTCGTGGAGACGAGACGGAAGGTGTTAAGTGGCAACGGGACGCGGCTGAGAGGAGCTGTATTCCTATCAGTACCTTTCCACTTCGACTCTGCTCATCCCGAGCGCGCGAAGACGCTTCAGGCATACTTTGGCGACTATAACGCAAATTCACCGCTGGGTATACTCAAGTCAGCTTGCAAAAAGAACATGCCACCGGACTTCGTAAAAGCTGGTGCTAGAGTATTGGTGCTTGATGCCGAGCTCGATCCGGAAGACGAGATCCTGAAGCCACGAGATGCGTTTGTGGAAGAGTGGCTACGGAGTGCCGATCCTACAATGCGTGGTGCGCTAGCTGTCGACCAAATGCCCAGACACAACCATATCAGTCCTTTCGTCAGCTTGGGCACGGGTATTGAGCAGGAAGAGGCATTTGGCGCGCAAGTGGTGGCGTACTTCGACAATATCAGGAAGTTCGCGCCGTTGTAGACCATATTATGACGTCTCCTAGCTCACAAGATCTGACAGGATCCGTGGCTGGCAGTAATTGTGACATCTGAGGGGGCCGTGGGTGCTTCCAGACATTCAAGGTGCTTCATACTAGTGAACTTATTGCCCTCGTGGCGAGAATGTGACTGCAGTAGACGACCGCGTTCAGTCTGCATCACTCCAAGCAAGAAATTCTCCCAGCGCTCAGGCTGAAAGGAAGTCCCGCATGTATCTGACCGACCGAGGAAGTGATCTTGCAATACTGCTTTTGCCTGCCGGTGAGTTTGTCGTCTGCGGGGTTTGAATTGCTGTGTTTGTAGATCTCACGGAGCCGTGGCCGGGCAGCGTCTTTATTATGGACATACGTGGGCGTGATGATGTTGCAGACGCATGGGACACATGAAGTTGGATGCATGAAATGGAGTGTTATTAATTGGGTAGCAGTCTAGGACGGACGTGGGCCGTTTTGAGATAGATCTGTATATTGGATTTCCAGGTCCTCGGGAGAGCATTCCAGTGGCTGACGAAGCTTCGACGCTCGCTTGTTGTGATGTTCGACATGGAATCAGGAGCCCAGATCCTTCTCATCGCCTATGTAATCAGCCTGACTAGGTCGACGTTGACCCAGGTTTGACCTTTCCTTACTATCTTGTCCATATGACACTGAATACATGCTATATATGCGTCTTTGAAAAGGCGTTGCGGAAGACTATTTCGAGCAGCTCAAGTGAGATCATCGTGCCCTCGTGGCGCGGGAGCTTTGGGCCGCAGTAACTAGGTCTACAGTGCTGCATTCCACACCTTGCGCGCGATACGTGCTTGCGACGGCCTACCTCAACTTCACCTGTGGCTTCACGTGCGCGAACCCGACCAGCGAAGCAAGCCGCAGCTGGCCGACGATAAAGCATTGTGTGCACAGCTCCGCAACAGCGCACAGCGAAGCTGGGATCACGAGCCGCTCGCTCATAACTAGGAGATACCTTACACTACCTCCCATCCAGCCATACCCACCTGGTCCTAGAAACGACGACATCTCTGAAACCTGCATGTTTACATCACGATTGTGCTATTCTGGACTGTAGCTGCCGGTTTGGTCGCTCACTCGCGAAGAGGCGCCCGCGCGCTCGACCGGAGCTGACAGGACGATGGGTGCCTGCGTGAGCAGTGGCAGCAACGAGGAAGGAGATCAGAAGAAGCGGAGTCAGGCGATCGATCGGACACTAGAGGAGGACTCGAAGAAGCTACGGCGAGAATGCAAGATTCTGCTATTAGGTAAGCTTGGCGAGACAGCAGGTGAGGTTGCGGAACGTGTAGGCACCTACTGACTTCACGTGTAGGTTCTGGCGAGAGCGGGAAGAGCACGATAGTGAAGCAGATGAAGATCATACATCAGAATGGCTACTCACGGGACGAGCTGGCCATGTACCGGCATACCATCTACAAGAACCTGGTGGACTGCGCAAAGGCGCTGATAGGCGCGATGCGACAGTTCGAGGTCGAGGTAGAAGACCCCGCGAACCGAGAACGATGCGAGTATATCATGGAGTACGCAGTAGACCCAGATCCACAGCAAGCCTTGGATCCGAGGATAGGCGAGGCCGTATCACATCTGTGGAAGGATCCGTGTATAAGCAAAGTCTTGGAGCACCAGAATGAGTTCTATCTCATGGACTCCGCGCCATACTTCTTCGACGAGGTAGAGCGAATATCGACACCGGACTTTGAGCCCACAGAGGCGGATGTGCTGAGAGCGCGAACAAAGACGACTGGTATCTACGAGACCCGGTTTCAGATGCAGCAACTCAGTATACAGTAAGTCTTGCCACTGACAACACATGCATAAGCTGACTTCTGTACAGCATGTTCGATGTTGGTGGCCAAAGGAGTGAACGGAAGAAGTGGATACACTGCTTCGAGAACGTCACATCAATCATCTTCTGCGTGGCGTTGAGCGAGTACGACCAGGTCTTACTGGAGGAGAGCAGCCAAAACCGTATGATGGAATCGCTGGTTCTCTTCGACTCCGTGGTCAATTCGAGATGGTTCATGCGGACTTCCATTATCTTGTTTCTGAACAAAGTCGACTTGTTCCGGGCCAAGCTTAAGAAATCGCCACTCGCCAACTACTTCCCGGACTACTCTGGAGGCGATGATGTCAATCGAGCAGCGAAATATTTGCTGTGGAGATTCAACCAGGTGAACAGGGCACATCTCAACCTTTATCCTCAGTAAGCACATCTCTTGGATGATCCTGTAGGTAAGTCACGCTAACAGATATAGTTTGACACAAGCGACCGACACCTCGAACATTCGACTAGTCTTCGCCGCTGTCAAGGAGACGATACTGCAGAACGCTCTCAAGGACTCCGGTATACTCTGATCACAAATCCACCAAAGGTCGACCAGATCACGAGTTACTCTCTCCTACTGTCCACCTCCTTTGTCCTTTTCGGGAGTAGCAAGGGGTTCAGGAGTTTGCGAGGCGCGCCTGTAGCGCCCAATGAGCGGAATTACTTCGATGAGCGATCTCTGGACACCATTTGAATGACATTTCTTTGTACGAAAAAGTGGCAGGGGAACTTTTATCTTATTTTATCAGCCGTGTGTCTCTCACTTAGCATGGCGTTATCATCTGTTTGGCACTATGTTTGCAGGTTATGGGAGAGGGGAAGCTGCATGGCTAGGATGGAGAGGGACGCAGGAAGAGTGACGTAGGGTGGGCAAGCTGCGTTTGCTACACTTAGCAATTGGCAGAGGGGAAGGCGAGCGTGCGGTGATTATGAAGTATCTGCTACGATTGCTTTTCTTACAGAGAGACCTACTATTGCTACTACGATACTAGTCACTAGCTATTGCTGAGATCGATGGGGCTCTAGCCTGACGTTGGATAATGCAGGCTGGAGGAACAGCGGCCTGGTAATGAAAGCTCGAACATCAACTTTCCATGCCTCCCGGTCTTGTCTCTTACTGCTGTTCACCAGCTCTTTAATATCCCATGATGTACGATGTGGCCACGATCAAAGAAGATGTGGTAGTACAGTCCTCCGCCCAAACGGGGTACCTGCAGAACCGAAACGGCGCTAGCGCACCGTGCGCTTTGACAGCGAACGTTGTTTGGTTTGGTTCGGTGAAAGACGCCTCTTCATGCAACAGGTCGCTGGTAGGTATGCCACTCTACATCGCGACCCATCATCCGTCGGGTCTGTTGATGGCCGACTGCCTCATATAAGATGCGTGCCTGCTTCCGTCGATGAAACGGCAGTGAATTCACGTGGGCGTACCTGAGCCGCACTTTGCCGTGCGGTTGATACAGCATGCATATGCATACAATTGCAAGGTAAAGTATCGACGGATTCCTTGTTTGACTACGATTCCTCGGTCACGGACAGCTCGACACCGCATCACCTATACTTCTGACCGTCTCGTCGTACAGCGGCAAAACGGCAATTTGCTTCACACTGGCAGCGGGCCACTCGCGCAACAGTCACACAAAGCCACATCCACGGTACCAACAGCCAGTTTTGACGTTCTAGGACTTATGTGACAACGTGCTGCGCCGCAGCGTCACGATACTTCTAATGAGATTCTCACAGTCACTACCGGACCAAACTTTTCACTCTGTAACTTCATGACTGCCCTTCGTGCTTTCCTCTTCCGACTGGGCCATGGACCGCTTTGAAAAGTATCTTCCTCATGACCCCTCTGACATCAAAGCATTCGCAATTCCATGGACTCCTCACTCAGTATCAAGTCATGGCCAGTCAAAGACATAGTCTACGTCGGCATAGTCGGCACGGTCATGGCCGCCGCCCTTCTCGAATGGATCCTCTGGCTACTGGCATTCCTCTACTGTCTCTGCAAAGTCTTTCAGAAAGCAGACAAAGGCATGCGCTGGAGCACCCGGATCTTGGCAGTCGTCAACATGGTCTTCTTCATAGCTATGCGCTGTGTCTTTCTTCCCGTCATGCTGGTTACACTGCCATTGCCGCCCCAGATCACGCAGTGCTTCCCACCTGATGTGGTGGATGTGTTACAGCTGTTTGCTTTCTGGGCTTTCGCAGGGTTGTTGACCGTGCCGTGGCTGTTTTGTGTATACTCGCTCATCACGCATGATGTGGGACGAACGAGGAAGGTCAAGACGGTCTTGGACGAGTATACGGCGCCAAAGGTCGTGATTATCATGCCATGCTACAATGAGCAGCCAGATGTGCTGCTCAGAACAGTCGACAGTATCGTGGACTGCGAATACCCGCCATCATGCATGCACGTCTTCCTTTCGTTCGACGGCGACAAGGAGAATGATCTCTACACCGGCACAATCGAGAAGCTCGGTGTACCACTGACGCTTGACACCTATCCCAAAAGTATCGATATATCATATCGCAACTGCAGGGTCACCGTAAGTAGGTTCCCGCATGGTGGCAAACGGAGCTGCCAGAAGAAGACTTTCAAGCTCATCGACCGTATATATGCCGAGTACCTGCGGCGGAACGACAATCTCTTCCTCCTCTTCATCGACTCCGACTGCATCCTAGACCGCGTCTGCATCCAAAACTTCATGTACGAAATGGAATTGCGCCCCACCACCTCAAAAACCAAGCCCATGCTAGCCATGACGGGCGTGATAACCTCCACAACGCCAAAGAACACCATCATCACTCTCCTCCAAGACATGGAATACATCCACGGCCAACTCTTCGAGCGCTCCGTCGAAAGCACGTGTGGCGCCGTGACCTGTCTCCCCGGCGCCCTGACGATGCTACGCTTCTCCGCCTTCCGCAAAATGGCTAAGTACTATTTTGCCGACAAAGCAGAACAATGCAATGATCTCTTCGACTACTGGAAGTGCCACTTGGGTGAGGATAGGTGGCTCACTCACCTGTTCATGGTTGGAGCGAAGGAGAGGTATCAGATTCAGATGAATACGGGGGCGTTCTGTAAGACTGAGGCGGTGCAGGATTTTCGGAATTTGCTGAAGCAGAGAAGGAGGTGGTTCTTGGGGTTTATTACGAATGAGGTTTGCATGCTTACGGATTGGAGACTGTGGAGGCGGTATCCATTGTTGCTTCTTATCAGGATGGCGCAGAATACCATCAGGACGACTGCGTTGCTGTTCTTCATTATGGTCATCTCGATCATGACGACAGAGCAGAAGGTGGCGAACCTGCCTTATGGATTCATTGCGGTATCTCTTGGCCTCAATTGGCTCCTAATGGTAAGCTATAATCCCATGTTTGAGTCGTCGACCGGAGAAAGCTAATATGATTGCAGATCTTCTTCGGTCTCAAACTGGGCCGCTACAAAGTCATGCTCTACCCGCTAATGTTCGTCCTCAATCCATTTATGAACTGGCTGTACATGACTTATGGCATCTTCACCTCCGCCCAGCGTACTTGGGGCGGCCCACGTGCCGACGCTGGAGTCGCGGATAAAGATACTAGCCCCGCCCAGGTCATCGAGCACGCTAAGGCTATGGGTGATGAGCTCAATGTCGTGCCAGAGAGCTTCCGGCCTGCCCTGGAGGCGAAGGCTAGGGACAGAGGCATGCCTGGTCAAGCGCCATTACTGCCAGGCTTCGACATATATGGGCGTTTTGCGCCAGCCGAGATGCTCCCTGGGGGCTGGTATCGACATGGCAATAACTCGGTCCAGCTTGAGCGTGCTCCTTGGGCGATTGAGGAGAATATGCCATATGCGCACCGTGGATATACCGGACGAGATAGCTTCGACTCGATACAATCAGATACCTCGATCTTCGTGCCGAAGAGAGTGGAGAGCATCTTTGACGATCCTAGGGACGCTCTAGCATACCATGCGCGAAGGGAACAACAACGGCCACCAGGTGGCGCACATCTGGAGAACGCTGGTGCCTTTGAGATGGGTCCCTACCAAAGCCTCGTGCAAGGCCGTCGAGCTTCCTTCGACTCGATAGATTCAGTGCCGCTGCACTTCAACATTCCTCCACCCCCACGGCAACAAACATCAGGGTTCCGGCCATCTAAGCCTCGAGGCCGCAGCCCCGGCCCATCAGAAATCCCACGACTTGGGCCACTTCCTCCGCTGACACCCCTCACGATCCCGAGCTCAGCCTACCACCGCCCACGCCTAGCAAAGGCCGAAAGCAGTCCAGGCAGCATCACAAACATCGGCCGATCCCCTCTAGCTCGCAAGAGCTTCACACGACTAGCCAGCCCGCCATTGTCAAACAGACCACCAGCTCAGATCCCAGCTCTGCCTTTAAACGCCACGACGATCGTACAACAGCACGAACAACAGCGCGAGCCGGACGAGCCTGGAGAGCCAATGTCCGCCACCGAAGTCTTGGCGTTAGAGAGGGAGTCAGCTAGACGAGCTTCGAAGGAAGCTGAGAGGAGAGGGAGGAGAGGAAGATCGATGGATAGTGAGATGGAGAGACGACGGCCGAGGAAATTGAGTAAGCGGCCTCGAGGTAGCAGTCGGTCGGGGGAGTAGGGTGTTGTTCTCAATTTCTACCGTTCCCACAGCCATGGCTACAGGTACTGGAATGACCACGAGGGGTTGATTGGGTGGACAGGTCTGCTTGCTTGTTTGTTCGCTCACATCAGGAACCATATGTAGATGATAGATTTAGCACAGAGGAAACCGAAGCAGAGGCAACGACAAACGGGCACAAGACGGGGTGGAGAGCATTGATTATACTTTGAACATTACTGCTTTTTGTGCAATTGCATATCTGCTTTGCAAGGAACGCGTAGGGTGGTATCTCGATAAAAGCAATACAATACGACACGTCCCAACAGCGCCACTTTTGCGCCTACTTTTGTCTTCGCCTTTGATTTCCCCATCATAGACTCGATCGCCGATATTGGTGCTGTATGTAAAGCTGGCTGCGTGGATTCTGCCTTCCTCTCATCTCCATGTCATTTCATGTCTTGTCCTTATGCCTACGAAGCACGCCGGTCAAGGCAGCATGAAATTGCTCGATCGTGGCGGTGGTTCGGGGTATGCGATACCCTCTGGCATGCCATTGACTCCACGCTCGTCGTGGTCCTGCTCCGTCAACGACTCTCCGTTCGACAACCTCGGCCGTTTCCTACCGTCTGTGTTGTTCTCCTCCTCCTCGCTCGCCTTCGCCGGTCTCTTCCTCAGCTCCGCGATCCTTCTCCCCGCATCTTCCAGCTCTGATCTGAGTCTCGCGATCTCCTCGTCCTTGACCTTTTCCGCCCTCCGAGCTTCCTGCTCACTATTCTCCAGTTCCGCGACTCTACCACGGAACAGGCCGTTGATGACTTCTAGCTCGCTGACTCGTGTTCGAAGATCGCGATTTTGTTGTACGATTTGATCGTGTGTCTGTGGTGTGTCCAGCTGGCTGCTCGGTCCGTTCAGCGATAATGACGAAGGCGAGGGTTGTCGGAATGTCGTTGTTAGGGATGGCGAGTGATACTCGGGAGCGAGACTCACGGTATCGAAGATGTGTTGTGGAGCAATGTTCGGGTCGTGCTGTCTCGGGGTGTGACTCCTCGATAATGACTGGCCAGTTGCTGTCAACCCATCGTGCCCGGGCAGATGATGAGCATGATTATGCAGACCCACACTCGCAGCATCTGGATGCGCTGCTGCCAGTCCACCGACATGGACTACTTGCTGATGATGCTGGAAGCCCGCCAAGCCATTACTACCATCGCCACTGTCCCTTTTCTTCCCCAATTGCGACGTCTTCACTCTATTGCGGCTCTTTATAACATCTGTCTTGAGGGATATCGGTCGTGGTCTGCCGTGAAGTTTGAGGAAGAGGCCGCAGGCATTGCAGAGGACGGCGCCGGCTTCATCGCGGCGCCACAGAGGGGTGGTGCTGGTGCCGCAATTGAGACAGACCTGACCGAGATCATGTTAGTCCTTTCTTGTCGCATTATTAGTGTGACCACCGAGGCATGATGGTTCGTATCTTATCGCGATAACGCGGACGATAACGAACTTGGGGTGAAAGTGGCGACGGAAGGGCGAATGAACTTACAGGCACACCTGGCTGTCCTCCTGGAGTAGCCATACTCGCATACTGTGGGGTTGCGTTCATGTTGGCGTTGCTCGGGGTGGAAGACCGGGTACTGTAATGCGACAAGAGGATCAGTTTCTCGCGCGAGGAATTCTTGGCATGCGATGCGATAAGAGAAAGCGCGCTAGCCATGCCATGCCATGCCATGCCTCGGAAGCAGCGAGCTTCTTCAAGCATTTCTCAAGCTGATTGTTACGGTATGTGAAGTGAGGCGTGCAGACGTACCTGACACTGCTGCCCGCCGTGCACGCAGCAGGAGCACTGGCTGCCAGGGCCGCCAAAGCAGACAAGGCAGGTGATGGGTGCGACGATGTCTCGGCGACGACACTTTCGTACGATCGTTTTCTCTCTACCCTCTCCTCTTCCTGCGATTGTCTTCTGGCTGGCTCTTGCCTCTGGTCTGGTGGAGGATGTATCGAGACAGATGGGTTGGACGATGGATTATAGCGGTAGGTTGGAGGTTGTGACGGTGCATGTGGCACTCGTCGAACTTCAGCCGCTGTTGTCTCGGCAAACGGTGAAGACCTCGTCGGGTGGAAGTGTTGTTGCACACTTGGGATGGCGAAGGAGAGCATTGGATTCGATCTGAGCTGATCTGGTCTGGTCTTGACTGCCTGAGATTGCCCTTGGCCGTCGACGCGTTGAGCTTCCGTATTCTCCTTACTGTCGTCTTCTTGTCGATGGGGCAGCAGGCAGCAATGCGTAGGAGCAAAATCAATATTACAGTAGTATACAATGATGCGAGATGGGGAATTGTAATGCAGAAGATCGCATTGCAATACAGCCAATGGCCCTCTCCAAAAACATTGGCGCACTGATAGGAGTTATCGTAACCTTGCATGCCGGAGCTCAGACCCGAAACGAGATGACTTGCATACGCTTCATTTCCCATTGACGGACAAGATCAAATTACTGTCTGAGAAGCTGATATTGTGTATAACGACAGCATCGTGGGAAATACAGCTTTGATGGCACCATTCTGTCTCGCCCGTGTCTTGATGTTGTGAACAAATGTCCAGCAACATCGTAGCTGAGTAGCTCCCCTTTCTGCAACCCAAGGTGCAGATGCATGATCGACACGCATGAGCCACACCCTCTCGGTCCCGCAGAGCCGCATGTCACAAGCTCCACGCGATGGAAAGCTAAAATCAAACGCCGGGCTGCTGCTGTAACTGCTTCAAGCATTATGGTCTGCAGACGACAGCGAGATCTCTTCCAACCAAAGTAACCACATATGATGCCTCGCCGGCCTCAGACCTCAGGCTACGCTCGAATAGCCCAAGCAGAAGAGGAAGAGGAAGAAGACGAGAACGCCTACTCCGACGACCCCGAACATGATGATTATCTCAAGCTCTCCTCCCAAGGACCGGAATATGCTCCCATACAACCTCCCCGTCGCGAGCGAATGCAATTGCCACCTGATGGGGTTCCCGGCTCATCATCACCCCATCGCATACCACGACGACGGCGAACAAACAGCGGAGTCGACATCAAAGCCATAAATGCCCGCCTAGAACGCTGGGCGGAGGAGATCAAGGAGCGATTCAAGATCAAGCGCGTCAAGGGCAAGAGTTCCGAGGACGAACACCTGGAGATCTACTCCTCCGTCTTCCAAGCCCCCGAAGGCATCCGTCCGGCAACCAAAGCAATGCTTGAGAACGACTCGAACGACGAATACATGCAAGGCCGACTTTCGAAACTCGAATTCGACGATATGGTCGAGAGTGTCCGGACGGCGATCGAGCTCAATGTCCATCCCTTGTTGATTTCGCAGGGTAGTAGTGGATCTTACTTTGCTCGGAACAGTGGAGGGAAGGTGCTTGGAGTCTTCAAACCGAAGGACGAGGAGCCGTATGCGAACAAGAATCCCAAATGGACGAAGTGGATACATCGGAATCTATTCCCTTTCGCATTTGGACGAGCGATGTTGATACCTAATCTGAGTTATGTCTCTGAAGCAGCGGCGTATGTTCTCGATTGCCAACTCCGGACAGGATTAGTTCCGTACACGGATGTGGTGGGTTTGAGCAGTAAAAGCTTTCATTACGATTATTTTGAACGGAGGGGATATTATAGGAAGGGTAAAGCGCTGCCGGAGAAGTTGGGCTCGTTTCAGGTGTTTTTGAAGGGGTATAAGGGCGCGACGGAGTTCTTGCGAGAACATCCTTGGCCGGATCAGAGCGTGGATGCGGCTGTGGAGGCGAGGAGGAGGAGGAGGAGGAAGAAGCGGAAGACGTGGGCGGAGAGCTGTAGGCCGGGAAGTGCAGAGGCTATCGATGTCGAAAGCGAGGATGAGGTATCTGGCCTTGCGGGGCGCGAGCAGAATAATACGCGACGAGGCGAGTTCTGGTCCGAGGAATTACAGCAGAGTTTTCGGGAAGAGTTGGAAAAATTGGTGATATTGGATTATATCATGCGGAATACGGATCGAGGGACGGATAATTGGATGATTAAAATTGATCGGGAAACCCAGCAAGCGCAGCTGGTCGTTGAGCCGCCGACGGAGGATGCGGATAAGGATTCGGGGTATAAGCGGCGGACGGAGAATATGACCACCTCTTCCACCAAATCTTCAGCAAATGCAGCGGTCCCGCATATAGGCGCCATAGACAACTCCCTGTCCTGGCCGTGGAAACATCCGGACGCTTGGCGTAGCTATCCGTTCGGTTGGCTCTTCCTTCCAGTCTCGCTTATCGGTCGGCCGTTCAGCGCCAAAACTCGATCTCATTTCCTACCTCTACTCTGCAGCAAAGACTGGTGGACCTCGACAGTTGTTCAACTGAGGCGTTGTTTCGAGAAAGACGCGGATTTTCAGGAGAAAATGTTCGCCCGGCAGATTGCCGTGATGAAGGGCCAGGCTTGGAATGTTGTCGAGTGTCTCAAGGAAGAAGGGTTGGCTGGTCCGTTGGAGCTGTGCAGGAGGGGGCGGGTGATGGTGTGGGATGATGTTGTTGAGGTTCCGGTGGAACGGCCGTTGGTGCGGGCTAGCGAGGAGATGAGACGACGGAACGGTGCTACGGTGGACGCTAGGAGGACTGTTGCTGCTGAGAACACCACGAGTATCAGGGAGGAGATGGACGAGGAAATGGACATCTCCGCCGCACGCGACGAGGAGACAGGCACTGGTGATCTACTCAATCTCTCGCCACCAAAACAGGCGGATGGAAAACCGAACCGTTTCAACTTATCCCGTGAGAACAGCAGCCCTGACATCCGACCACCGGACGCCCTTTCAAGCCCCCAAAAAGAGCTCTTCCCAGCCCCTCGCACCTCAACACCAATATCACGACCCGCGCACCTTCGTTCCGTCACCCACCAGCCCCCTTCCTCACCCCATCGCAGCCGCATGTCCCACGACATCCCGCGTCTAGCGTGGCAATCACCACAGGACTCACGGAAAAGCGGCGAGCAACGACGACGGCGGTTCTCGTTCGCTACTAGACGTGGGACGAACTATGGTGGCGAGTATGATGAGGATGAGGAGGATGATGAAGGGAATGGGGATCTAGGGTTCGCGGCTGTGGGTGGGAGGGAGGGGGTCAGGCGACGGGTGATTGTGGAGAGGTTGGAGGTCGTGAAGAGTAAGGCGCCGTTCTTTAGTTGGTGTTAGGGTTGTTTGTATGAGTGTGAGAATGCTGGATAGCGGTGGTGTTCTGGTTAGGAAGGTTACTATAGATTAGATGATACCCACGAGTTGTCTGTTTTACTAGATGAGCGCAAACGGAAACGTTTATCAACAGTCTTTTCACAGCGGCCGCTCCAGGCTGGCTCATGCTATCAATCTATCATGTTGTCAACTCGATATATTTCCTTCGCTGCCGCTGTTGATTGTCTTCCATATACTGTGGCGTCGCTAGCGTGGGATCATCCGGCGCTAGTGATTCGATCTACGCCACACATCCAGACATATGAACGCTCGACTGCGAACGCTATCGCAAAGATATCCACGCTTGGACAGTGTCCAGACTCCCTGGCGACGCTCCGGAATAGCGATCGCGTATTGCTGCCGGCACAGCAGCAGCCATCACGCAAATACCCCGCGACCATCGAAAATCAAGCACCAAGGCTTTGCCACCTCCCGGACTACCTAATGATAACCACACAGCCGGCAGAGCAAGTTTACGATTATCTCGAGAGGACATGCCGCCGCCATCTTTAGCGGCACAACTGCTGAATCCGAAAGCTGCTGCCAAGGCTGCAGAGAAGGAGAAGGCGCATAAGAAGAAGGCGCCGAATTACGGTACGTGAATCTTTCTTCGCTCACTTGCTCGGTGAGCAACCTCACTTGCAGATTTTGCGGTGAAATCCGCTATCCGGTTAGCTTCCGTTGCGGTCACATGCTTCAACAGCTGCCGTTTGTGACTGGTATAAGTGTCTGCTTTGAACTTGAAGTTGTGTTGATTGCACTCTTTGCAACCACAACTGGACCAGGACTTGGCTGGTCTGCTTCGACACATCCTCACGTAACAAGTACCGTCACTACATTGGCACTGGAGAGGCCTCACGATGGCGCCTTTTGGCTTTGGAGGAGGCCAGTGGTCGGACTGGAATCCCTTCTCGAACAACACAAGGCAACCACCACAGGGTCAGCGCCGCCCTCAGCCGTATGACGAGCAGTTCGTGCCGCAGCAGTTGCCGGCAGCGACCCAGTATAGCGACTCGCCCAATCGTCAGCTCATGGACCGTAACACGTTGAATGCGGCAAACTTCGACAACCAGAACACTCCCCCAATTGGCCCAAGCAAGCGAAATAATGGGCCGTACGGAGACGTCATATACAATTCCAGTACACACGGCTACAATTCGCATAATCTGGATGTGTTTGGTCAAGGTGCCGTCAACCCAAGCATCCGCCCTCCAACCACAATCAACCCACAGCACCTCCACCATTACCCGTCGCAGTATGTGCAGCAGCCAAGCATTCAACATGCTCGGCGCGAACGTACTCCAGAACAGAATCTCTACCAGGCACCTCAGACTTATGCTCACCCGCAGCAGCAGCACATTCCACAAGTGTACAATCTGACAAGCCTAGGTCCTGCACAGTCTCGCAAACCAGCACGTCTAACAACTCCGCCACGACAGGCCAGCAAGCCCATCAGTCCATCAACACCAACGAGTGCGCAGTCATCGACACCTAATGTCGTGACGCCAAGATGGCATGCACGAGATCTCTTGCCTGGTCGAGGCGTGAATGCCGCAGGTCCGACAAGTGCAGCTCTCACACAGGGTGTTGCGAAAGACAATCAGTCTGCCACCGGAGAAGCGCAAGACCAGGAAGATGTCGGCATGAGCCACTTCTTGGGCAACATTCATCGAATCACCAACCGTGGTGAAGCACCTCAGCAACGCAAACGCAAAACAGAATCTAATGGCGATGAAGAAGGCTCGCCGGAGCCAAAGAAGTCGAAATCTACCTTTCACGGCATCGCAAGTGGTGGGCAGCTTGGCAGACAGCTCAAGGAAGATCGGGAGAAAAAGGCTGCTGAGTCTGGGCCTGCAGCTGGAGCAATCGACTTGACCAATGATGACGAGGAGCTTGTTGTGACTGGAGAGAAGAAGATCCCGGAAAGAGGCAACGACGACAAGGAGATCTGTCTTGGTGTGATCCAAGGCAAGGCTTCTATCTCACGCATACCGAACTACTCGACGAAGGCATGCAAGGCTATCGGAGACGAGTCATGGCCGATGACAAAAGTCGAATATCGTCGTCAGCCTTCGCAGAACAGCCGCATCGAGTTGCTTGATCGTGGTGGAGGGAAGGTGGTCGGCTTTATCGACATGAAGCTTGCTTCCGCGCTTTGTCCGCTCCTTGATGGCCAAAGCAGACTCCGTGTAAGCATCCGTCTCCAGCCGTGGAAGCGCACGAAACACGCCCATACACCTGGTCAAGCGGTCTCCGAGTATGTTAATATCATAGTCATCTTGCACTGCCCGAGGAGGTTTGGGCTGCAGATCGGCAAGTTTCTGTCTCAAAGGCAAATCTTCCTCAACACTCCAGCGTCAGCAGGCATCTACGTGGGCTCCGAGATTGATGTACCGGGTCTTCGTCCCACGGGTATGGGACCTGGTGCGGGCGATCGCAGGCCGCAAACTCAGGCTATCGTCAAGGGTCGCACCCAGGAGGAGATGACGCGCGAGGCTGAAGTGCTTTTCGACAAGATCAGGCACGATGATCTTCCGCGCAGGCAAGCGAACGAAGACTTCATCAAGCAGCCTCTTATGGATCATCAGCAGCAAGCTCTTTCGTTCCTGTACGACCACGAGACGTACAACGATGATGACAAGATTGACGACTCGGCCTTCTCGTTGTGGAAGCCCAACGTTAACCATCGCGGCGATCGCACATGGGTGCATCACATCACCGATCAGGAAATCAGGCACAAACCTAAGCCAGTGAAAGGCGGTATTCTGGCAGATATGATGGGTTTGGGCAAGACCCTCAGCATTCTGGCTTTGATAGCGGAGACAGAGGCACAGGCAGAAGTCTTCGGTGAGACAGGGGCGCCTGCAGAACTTGAAGGTGTTGAGCGCAATGCCAGGACTACTTTGATCATCTGTCCGAAGTCCGTCATGTCCAATTGGGAGGAGCAGATTAGGGCGCATGTCAAGCGAGATATGTTCAGTTGGTACTTCTATCATGGCTCGAAGCGAAGCAGAGATATCGATGAGCTTGCCGAATACGACATCATCCTCACGACCTACGACACGGTCGCGGCGGACTCAAAGAGCAAGGCTGGCACTCTTGGTGCTATCAACTGGTTTCGTATCGTTCTTGACGAAGCACACACCATTCGTAATCAAACGACATACCAGGCGAAAGCTTGTATAGAGCTCTTAGCCGATCGTCGATGGGCTGTAACTGGGACACCAGTCCAGAATGGTCTGAACGATCTTGCTGCACTAATCAAGTTCTTGCGTGTCGAGCCGTTCAGCGACACACAGTCGTGGAACCAGTACATCCTCTCGCCACTAAAGAGCGGCAATGCCAATGCCATCGCGCATCTTCGTCTGCTAGTGGACGGCATCACGTTGCGCCGCATGAAAGACAAGATCGGTCTTCCGCATCGCAATGAGTACGAGGTGGTTCTTACACTACCGGACGAGGAGCGTAAGATCTACGAGCGCATCGCAAGCCAGTCCAGTCAACAAATGAGCCTCATGACCGGCGGCCACACACACCGTATGAAGGGCAAGGCATATGCCCACATGCTACGCCTTATCGATCGCATGCGTCGGTTCTGCGCACACGGCCTGGACATGTTCAATGACGAGGATCGAAAAGAGATCGAGGAGGGTATGAACGCGGATAATGCTATATCCATCATCGACCTGGGCGACGACCCAACACTAGGGCCATACGAGTTCATCTCACCAAAAGCTGCGCTCGAACATCTGCAGCTTATGATCGAGAGCAATAATGATCAGTGCGATCGTTGCGGCGAAATCTTGCTTGATCAAGACGACAAAGACCAGTTGGAGGGTGATTCCGACGAAGAAGGCGACAGTGATGACTTGATCGGCCACCTTACGTCTTGCTTTCATCTGCTTTGCCGCCAGTGCAAGACGCCCTACATCCAGGACGCAGAGAAGACGATGACTGCAGATAAGCGTCACACATGCGTACTTTGCCAGCAGTATCAGCGCTTCGGTCTGTTCGACTACTATCGTTCTGCACTTCGGGATCATATCGAAGACAAGAGACAGAGTGTAAAGAAGCGGCGTCAGCGTGCAGAGCAGCGTATGGAGAACTACGAGAAGCCATCAATCAAGGTTCAATGCCTGATTGAGGATCTACGCAAGGCTGAAGAGGAGACGAACAGGCTGCCTCCGGATGAGCCACCGATCCGCAGCGTCGTCTTCAGCCAGTGGACGTCCTACCTCGATCTCATCGAGCTTGCTCTGATCGAAGAAGGTATCGGCTTCGTACGACTCGACGGTACGATGACTGTCAAACAACGCAGTGCGGTTCTCACGCAATTCAAGACTCTAGCCACCACGACTGTCATCCTTGTCTCCATCAAAGCCGGTGGTCAAGGCCTGAACTTCACCCAAGCGAATCACGTCTACATGATGGAGCCGCAGTACAACCCTGGCGTTGAGCAGCAGGCAATTGATCGTGTTCATCGTCTCGGTCAGAAGCGCGAGGTGTTCATCAGCCATTATCTCATCAAGGACAGCATCGAGCAGAAGATCCAGGTTTTGCAGAAGAGGAAGGAGGATCTGGCGAGGTTGACGTTGGAGCGGAAGATGGACAAGGCGGAGAAGGCCAAGCAGAGGATTGATGATCTGAAGGATTTGTTCAGATAGGTGGTTGGGTTCTGAGAGACACAGACCGATGCATGGGGTGGGTCAGCGCGGAGAGAATTGGCGGGAAGCAGCGTGATGAAGTTCTGAGCGGTATTGATGAGTATCAACTGCGTCTGGCGTAGAATTCGAGCTCGGATTTTTATATCTACTGTACGTCAGTGCAAACTCAAGCCCACTACAGTCCCGTCCTTCGCTGTATGGCAGATGGTACGAAAGGATACAAAAGACTTCGCCTTTCACACAATCTCGTCACTTCGTGCGTTTGCATTTGCCATATGCGGTCTCGGAGCTGGCGGTGCCGTGATCCACCAGTTTGGTTCGGAAGCGAGAGTGCATTTGTGGTACCACGATTCTCACTGACATCGCCTTCGACATAGGCTAGCAACAAGGCCATCGTACGTCTGGAAAGATCTTCCGCTCTTACGAAAGCAGATCGGCGCTTAACCATGTCCCGATTTGCGCTCTGACAGGCGCCTCAGCTGTCGATCACGCCCAATTTGTTCTATTAGAATAAGTAAGCACGCCACAGACTCACGGCTTGACGTGTCGCTCTGTGCACAATCTGCAATACTGCTTGACCACTTCCACTCCCAAACCAATAGGCTATGATAACTGCCATGATAGCTGCACCTGCAAGTTGCGAGGGCCGCTTGTACCTCTTGGCGATCTGCTGCATGCGTTGCCTCCTTCGCTTCCACTCCTCGGCGCGTTTGATCTCCTCGGCGTGCTTGGTGTACATGGCTTCCCCTTCTGGGAGGCTCTGCGTGGCGAGCCGCTGCATGTCGTGAGTGGTCTTAAGCACACTGTAACGCGAAACTCGGCTCCAAGCTCGGCTCGGAAGACCCTCTGGTGGATGTTCGCGGAAGATTGTGAGAGTCCGTTGAATGAGGCCGTCGAGATCCAGTGGCTTAGGCAGCCTGGTCAAAGTGACGTGCAACATGTCCGGCTCGTCGGCTTCGATTTCCAGTAGCTGCCTCTTGCGCGATATGACTATCTGCATCTTTGGTCAGCCGAGGCGCCCCGGTATTATGTCGTTGCGAACGACAAGATATACCGTAGCAAAAAGATACACCGGCACCGCCGCCTCGCTAGCCAGCAAAAAGTCGAAAAGCCGCGCAATGACGCCGTACTCCTCGATATCGTGCGCGTAAAGCGTCAATATAGCTGGGAGCGCGAAGAAAGGCTGTGATTGTGAGAGATGATGATAGAGCTCGGCATCCGCAGCATACAGTATGGCTGGCAGCAGATGCAAGTGAGATTCTGTGCCGGACATAGTCGGTAGCATGAAATCTCGAATTCGAAGTAACGACAGTCGTGCTACCGCTGGGACTGCCGCCTCCGCGCCTAGAACAAGCAAGAATACCTGCACAATATCGTGGTAGCCCTGGAAGTAATGCAGCATGGGATGAGCACGCAAGACTGTGGTGATGACATGTGACAGCTCCCCCTTACGGTTGTCCTTTGTCTTCTCGGGCTCACCTGTCAGGAACGATCGTGATCAGCATGCATCTATTAAAGTCCCCAATTACATCTCCGTGCTGGCCCACCTGCTGGATAGTAAACGAAAGAGCGGTTGACATCCAATTGGACTTGATCCTCATCTCGATGGACCGCTGCTTTTGTGTCTGGTAAAGCGATGTCTCCGGCGCCCTCACAGCTGAGCAGGATAGGCCCTGAATAGTCAGTGTTGTGTGAGCCGCAGGACAAAAGGTGCTCGCATACATGCTATGCGTCTAACCTCGTCCTCCACTAGTCCATCGTTGGTGGCAGCCAGCTCGCATAGGGTCTTGCGATCTCTGTCTTTACATGCTTGAAGAATGTTTTGCACTTTGTCGCGCTCGTCACGAGTCAGTGGCTCGTCTCTCCATGAGGCTGACAGTGGTGGTAACGACATCGAGACGCCACTCAATGCTCAATTTTTTGCTTTCCTATCTGGTACCGGCGGTCATGTAGCCGTCCGCTACGCTGACGAATAGGGCCAGATGATACGGCACCAAGCTAGTGGTGAATGGTACAGGCATGCATCTTGCCAACGTTTCCATCCAAAAAAGGTGTGTAGTACGCTTCTTTTCGTTAAGATCGGGATTGGAAAAGGCGAGAGCGCAGTAGTAGTGGCGTTTAGACGTACTAGTCCTTTTCCGTTAGGGTGGTCCTGTACGACAAACGACAACGGAACCTTAGTTATTATTACCTAACCACGATCTCTCGAATAAGTTTGTCCTGCGTGGTCATCCTCTCAACCTATTACAAGCGCTTCAAGGCTGCCTATAACCTCGCTACCTGCACGTCATCTGCTTGATAGCTCATTACTCGGCGCCACACGAAGCTCTATTGCCGCGGGTAATTGCCCCACCATACCTATCACAATTCCTGTCCGAGCCATCCTGGCCCAACCACGATCGATTGTGTTCCAAGGCCACGGTTCGGTGCATCCGGCAATGCAAGGGATTAGGCTAACCGGGGACTAATAGAGCAATCGCAAGACAGACATGAATTGCCAACCAATCAAGACGTAAAGGTAGGCAGGATTTCCTTCTCGTTTGAGCTTTCTTACACTTAGGTGCTGCAACCTACTGTGACTCTCAACTGAAGGATTCCGTGTCTCTGGGCCGTCTAGCGTTTCAAGTTGTGCTTCGCCAGCAAGTGCAGCCCGGATCAATGTCCAGTCTGCTATCGAGGGCTGACCTTTAGGCAGCGTTGTTCCCGACCATGCCATTAATGATATGCCGCATTGCACCGGAGGTCATTGCTTAGGACTGCTCTGCAGTCTGAGGAGGAGACAGCCTCTCGAGCAGTCACAGACGAGATGGTGGACAGACAAGGCATCGGTATTTTGACACGAACTGTGACCAGGAGTCCTGTGGTGCAATGGATTCTTCATGCAAGAACCCGGGACAAAAGTCTGAACGATGCAATCTTCGTTGGCGATGACTTCGTGCATGTCAGGCAGATCCTACCTGGCGGCCATCTTGAGCATATCACCACTAAAGACGACTTCGACGCACGAATCCGCGCGGCTTCTGTTATCAATATCGAGGATGACTTACCGGACGACGATTTCCTGGTCAAAGAGGAAATGGGCATCGACAGCTGTGAAAGGTACATCCCACGAGATGTGCTAGTCTTGACTCTGAGTACCAAGGATCTTGTCTTCTTGTATCTCGCAGCAGACACGGATGGCCACTATAGCTTCGTCCAGCAACCATGCCCACTACCAGCTTTCGATCGCATGCTACTCCAACCTGGCGAACATGTGGCAGTCGATCCGGAATCTAGGGCTCTGGCTGTAGCTGCGAACGAAAGAGAGATTGTCATCTACTCGATCAAGTCTCGAAGACATGTGCGACAAGAGATCGGACAGCGCGATCCCAACTGGTGCCCTGTCATCGCCGAACGAGCACTACAAGTTGAAGGTGTAATACAGTGCATGGAGTTCTTGATCCCTCCTGACGGCGATACCTCGCAAATCATCCTCTTGCTTATTGTGATCGATGATCGCAAGATGAAAGCTATCTGTATCGACTGGCATAGAGAGGACCATGACGATCCCGACCAGAGACAACGGGACAACTCCGATCCACTCAGTGCTCAGATGCACCCTGCTCTGCCACTTTCCACCGCCGGGACAGTACCGAGTCTACTCATCCCGCTTCGTAACGCGTCATTCCTTGTTGTCACGGGGAGCGAGGCGACATGGTACAAAGACATTCGCTCGGGCTCGTTGACAGGCGCACTCTCCATGACAATGGAGGGTCAACCCCAACAGCCTGGTAATTCAGCACGGTGGCCAATTTGGACCAACTGGTGTCGTCCGGCTCGAACTCCAACTGCTAGACGGGAGAAAGATCACGTCTACGTCGTGCGAGAAGACGGCCTTGTGTCTCTACTGGAGGCCACCTCATACGATACTGTGTCTATCACAGTGGCAGGCAACCTCGACTGCCATGTCGGAACTGCTTTCGCATCGCTCGGTCGCGATGCAGATCCCGACGTGCTCGCAGTCGCGGGTGAGATGTGCTCTGGCTATGTGGTTAAGATTGGTCACTGGCCAGCAGACGGGCTCAGCAAAGTGAGCGACCTGGATTGGGCGGACACTATGACAATGGACATTGTCGAGATCATCACAAATTGGGCATCAGCTACGGATATGTGCATGACGAAGCTACCGCAGTCGCACGGGAGAGCACTTCGGGCAAGAGATGCGATCTTCGTAACATCAGGCCGTCAGCCATATGGTTCGGTTACAGAGCTCCGCTACGGCCTAGAAGCTCGTCTGTCCTTGGTGGGTGAACCTGGGGCTTTACCTGCCGTCACTGGTGTGTGGGCATTATCATTTGCTGAGACGGCTTCATATCTCATACTTCTGACGACGCCCACGAGCACAATCTGCTTGGACCTGGACGATGGTGTCATCGATACCGATGCACTTCTCACCGATCAGCGGACCGTTATGGCAGCGTCAACTACGCATCAGAGTATTCTACAGGTCACCAAACACGGTGTCTGTGAGACTACGAGCCTGGTCGCCAACTTTGAGGATACTGTAAAGAGACCTTGTAGAGATGGAACTGAGATACTTGCCGCTGCGATCGACTTGTACAACGATCGGGTTTTGTTGATCGGGTCGTGTAATGGTCGTTATGATTTATCCTTCATGACCCTGCCGCTATCTGATATGCAATCTCTGGACGGACCGAGTATAACGCTGCCCTCGATGCCGTTAGCAGCTGCATGCTCGGCATTGGATACTAGTACCCTTGCAATCGTGTCAACAGCAGAGCACGGCATCATTGCACATTTCATCCAACAAGACCAGATCAGTCGAGGTCATGTCCTGTCTGCACCAACGAGTATGCACGAGATGTCGAGCCTTTGCGACTCGGTGGTGATATTACGGCCTCCAGATCTTGCGATACTCCTGACGCTGTGCGGTCTTCGAGATGGGCGACTAGTAAGCATACTGTTCTCGGTCTCGGAGGAAGGAGGCATACAAGTCCTTGGCCAACACGAGATCCGGGTAGGAAGTGGTTCAGTTCAGCTGACTTTGACAGCCGAGAACCACTCTCAGGCATATATGTGTGTCGGCACCGATATGTGCCTTGTGTCGTGGGATGGCTCCGATTCCAGTCACGTTGCTATCGTCAATATCTGGCTGTCCGATAAAAACCAGCCTGAACTACCTCAAGGCGAAGTGGCTACTTGTGCGCAATTGCCCATCTCGGACTATCTCAGTGACACGACCTTGGGTGGTTCTGTGATTATGGTCTCGGACGACCAACTTCTGATAGGTCAGGTCACTGATGAGCCTCACGCTGTCCCGCGCCAACTGCATCTCGAAGGTACGCCGAATCGACTGCTGTACTGCGAAAGTCAGAAAAGTCTAGTGGTTGCCTCTATGAAGATTGGAGTGAGGACGTTTTCAGCTCCAAATGGCAGGTCCGAAGAGAGACGTCAGATATGGCCTATTCTGGATTTTATACCAGCCCGGGCGGATGAGTCCACATACACCTACGACATGCAGCCTGGCGAACGTGTGTACAGTCTGATGGAGTGGTCGTTCAAGGAGATCCAGGATGAGAAGGACAAGACTTACGCCTTCGTCGTTGTTGGTGGAAGCTACGTGAAAAGCGATGGCTCGCAAGGAGGCCGAGTGACGTTCTTACAGCCTAGTCAGTCCAACCGAGAGGTGACGGCTGTCAAGGAAGGCAAGTCCACTAAGTTCGATGCACCGGTGTATGCGCTGGCTCTGTATGATGAGCTGACTTATGTCGTCTGCTATGGACGCCATGTCGCGCTATATCGCTTCGCACCAGACTCGCGGAAGTGGTCGGTGATTACCTCACCTCTGCTTTTAGCTCATCCAGGCATCTACGTCACTGTCGCGGCACCTCTCATCTATGTCTCGAGTTTAGAGGACTCGCTTATCACTTTACGCTTCGAACCAAAGTACACAGATGAGCAAGGCGAGGTGAACTCACGCCTGATTATGGTCGGTGGCAGTCCAAGAGCTGATGCATCGCTGAGCCACCTCATTGTCGACGTCGATACAGAGACCAGTATTAGTCTGCTGACTACTAAAGCTGGAAACATCGTCGGCCTCGCCTGCAGATCATTTACGGACACGACGCTACATGGTCAAGTCGCAGACAGCATCCTCTTCGAGGCTTCAATGCCTCGATCTTTGACACGCATCAAGGAAGCCGGCATCCGCCCACCATGGAAAGCTCTACTACCTGCCGGTGTCATCAAAGACAACATCATCGGCATCGCAAGTGACGGCACGCTGGTAGGTGTCGCTCTCCTCGACAATAAGCTCTGGCAGAGCCTCTCATGGCTACAACGATTGTGCGAATGGAGTCCGCTGCTCTCACCATATTCTTGCCACGAACCGCCATACAGTGTGAATGATATCGGATACGCACGCTACGAGCGAGCCCTGCCTATGGGTATGGTTGAAAGCACAGCCGAGGGCAGCGAGTTAATGCTGCGAACGTCGATTGAAAGTCCGGTCGACAGGCATATCGATGGCGATATACTCAATCGACTGCTTGAGCATGGAGGAGAAGAAGTGCTTGAACGAATCATAAACGAGGCAGCACAAAGACAAGATAGTTGCGGTATCTGGTTGCGAGCGCATTTGCAGCGAGAACTTGACGCTGTGCCAGAGGTCATTCGGACGTTGCGAGTACTTTTGAGTGGCTGGCTGTGAGAGCTTCTGGTCATGGGAGATCAGTGGAGGGCGAAACCGTCTATCAAGCGTATACGAACGCAGGGATAGTTGTCTGATCGTACCAGGAATTTATGGAAAGCGGGTGTTATGGCAGTCTTAGCAGCGGGAATGGCGTCCTGGGTGGCTAGCTGAGAGAAAAGATACCCAAGTAGATCATGGGGTGGGGGTTGGCGGGCACGACATTGATGCATGCATTATGACCTTATCATTACTATCACAATATAGATCTCTTATCCGGCATCGCCCTTCTCCTCGCCCGGTTCCGCAACAGGCTCCGGCCTGACTTTGTGTGCGTCCTCTCGCTCCAGCTCACTAACAGTCGTTACCTTTGGCCTATCCTCAGAGGGCCTGCTCTCGGCATTAGTACCCTGTCCGCTCGTTGTTCTGTTCCAGCCCGTCTTCCGCTTCTCCGCAGCCCAGGTACCCCATGAACTCAAGTAAGCACCTGCTCGCTGACTTGCAGCGGCAACGCTAGCCTGCGCTTGTTGTAGATCAGGTCTGCCATACGTAGCTGCTGCACCACTCTTTTCGTCGCCGCCTCGCGACGATGATGGTCGAGGTGGTGATCCCATGGCAGCAGCATCTCGTCCTTCTTCTGCCCTCTTCCGCTGTGCTTCACGCATCACTTCGATATCGGCCCAGACCTTGTTGAACGCTCCCGTAACCTGGGTCCGTCCATCTGCTAGTCGTTTGTTGACCACGTCCCTCGTTTGATTGAAGCGCTCGTCAAGATGAAGCTCGGCTACCTGTGCTGCTAACCTTCTCTGAACATCATCGATCGTCAGACCTCCAGCACATGGATGTCGTGGCTCCACTATGTCGAACAGGTGGCTATCTGTATTCCTCGCCCAGAGTCTGTAGTTCTCTGTCTGCCGCCAAGCTTCGAGAAAGCCAGGTGCAAAATCTGCTGACGGATTGCCGTCAATATCGGCTAGTAGTGCTTTCGGATGACCATCGCTGCCATGTTTGGCAAGGTACTGATGATAATTCTCCGCAGACAGGAGGGCCAGCAGGTACTCTTCGAACTGTAGTCTGATGAATTCCTCGCTACCCGCATAGCCGTGGGTTTTCGGTCTGGACGGGTCAGTCTCATCCCACGTCTCATTGACCTGTTGGGTTAGAAAGTCGATCCATCTTCGGTCTGCGGTGGACAATGTGACTGCAGCTCGTAGAGTGGGCGAGAGCACGTTTACTGTCTTTTCATCAAGGTCAACCAGAACGTCACAGTAACGGTCTTTCTGCTGGATGAGCAGAGCGTTTGTGCTACCGACAACATAGCTCTTCGTGTCCAGATCCGTAAGGATGTCCAATTGTTGTAATGGCGTGTATGGTCCGAATACGCTTCCCTTGCCAAATAATTGCATAGGCACACCAAGGTAATTTAGTAGAGAGGCCCTGTCACTCGTCTTAACTGCGTCAGGCTTCCGTAGGCTTTCGGCATGATGGTTCATCTGAGGATCAGCACAATCCTGTAGACATCGAACGAGATTCGGTATCAACGAGATAAGCGAGAATTGCATCTGACAGATGTGTTCGCAGTGGGAGCCGAAGAAGAGCATCTGTACCAATGTCAGCGACCAAGAAGTAGAGCGATCGATCACTCTGTGAAAGATCTCACCTTAGGTTGCAGGAGCAAGCACTTAAACAACACCAGAATCTGCCACTTATACTGATGCACCAGCTCCCTCAAACTAAGTCCAAAGTACTGATAACCATCATCCTCCAGCATACTCGGCGGCGGCTCTCTGCACAAATTCTCCTGGAAACGCTGCTCTCATCATCAGCACTCTGACCCATCTCGATCATGACCGCGTGAAGACACCCACTAACCCACCTGCAAAATCTCCGTATCCCGGAAATCCCTCTGATCGAACCACGCCCGGGTAACCACACTCAACTTCTCCCTCAACTTGGAGAACCGCTCCGGCTGCTCGGTAATAGCTACCACGGCCTTCTGCACCGCACTGCGCGTGACGTCCTTACTCTTCCACTTCAGCGAGTCGGCCGGTATCTGCTGCATACAGCTGATCCCAAACACACTCGTCGGTTCCACGTCCTCGCCTCCATTACTGCTGGCTTTGTAGACGAGGGAGAAGTAGCTAAATTCTTCGTCGCTTTGGTGGGCGCCGTCTGGGAGGGCCATGTATGGTATTAGACTCCAGTCATTCTCGATCGCTGGGTCGCTGCCCTCGGGGACGCCGATCCAGTGTTCGATCTCCGGGCCACGGGCATGGTGAAAGTCCACGACGCAGACGAGAGATTTGAAGGTCATGATGGTCAAAATCTCTAGATCTTGGCTATCGCTTTCAGCCAGTATCGGTGTGGAATGGGACGGACTTCATGTCCTCGTATTGGCCGGGCTAAGGCATCTCCTGCAACGGCAGCAAAAGTATTCAGTGTAATGGCGTTCCTCAAGAGCTAGCTACACTTGCGTCACTTGAGTACATGCACGACCAACACATGCAGATCTGCAGTGGCATAAAGCTTCGAAGCTTCGTGATACCGTCACGAGGCAGCGCAGAGCCGCATTTCTGTGGCTGCAAAAGGTGGCGTTGCAACCTGAGCATGTGAATGTGAATGTCGCACATATGGGCAGATCGATGGGCCGGTCACATCAAGGAGATTTAGCGGCCATGCCCACCGCCAGATCGACCCGAAGACTAATTTACCAGTTGTTCAAATGTTCATGATGTCTAGCTACTTATTCTAATGCCTACCAAGGCACGACCATAATCCCGTTATGTTACTACATACGTGCGGCGACTGGCCAGCACCGTAGCTGCATATCTTCCGATCCATCTTAGGAAAGCAAATGTGTTGGCCTGCTCTCCCATAGATTGCCCACTGCCGGTTTCTTCTAATTGGACTCCGTGCCACGTTCATGTTGTCGAGATCGGCATTGTCGTCCATCTTAGATTGAGCAGGTTTGTTGACGCCGAGCTCAAGGTCGGCTCCGATCAGGGGACGAGGCGAAGCAGCGCTATGCTTCGACCTGACCATCGTGGACAGCGGCTTGTGCTTCGGCAGCGGATTCGGCTTGAGCAGAGTCGACGTTGTGGTAGTCGAGGATCTCGGAGTACCTGAATCTCATGTTAGTAACCGCGGCGAAACCACAAATCTAGTAGGAGAACATACATCATAATCTTCCATGTGTCCACAGGCAGGTCGGCATCACTAAAGCTCCAATCGAACTTCTCCTCCGCCTCCGGCTCATCCGTGGGATCGTGGTAGGGCGCAAGATATGGGTCCTCAAGCGCCCCACCAGCCTTTATACGTTTCCGCGGGTCGAATACTAACATCCTCTCCAAGAGTTCGATGGCCTGAGGATCAGCAGTCTTGAACTTGTTCTTGAGCGGCACCCTCTCCCTCTTTGGCAGACTCTGCACAAATCTCAAGGTGTTCTCGCTGCAGATACCGCTGATAACGTCATCCGGAGGCGTTCCCAGCAATTCTGTGATGATGGAGAACTGGTTGACGTGATCCTTGCCTGGGAACAAGGGCTTGCCTTCCAGCATCTCCGCGAAGATGCAGCCGGCACTCCAGATGTCCACCTCAATGTCGTACTTTTGCCATGTAAGCATGATCTCGGGGGCACGGTAGTAGCGGGTCGACACGTAGCCAGTCATCTGTGGGTCTTGTATACGTGCCAAGCCGAAGTCGCAGATCTTGAGGTCGCAGTTCTCGTTGATGAGGATGTTGGAGGGTTTGAGGTCGCGGTGGACGACGCCGGCGGAGTGTACATATTTCAGGCCGCGCTATTCGGTATTAGTATGCTGTTTGTAATAATAGAACTCTAATTCGTCGTACCAAAATCTGGTAGAGGAAATACTGGATGAATTGCTTCTCTAGTGGTCGGGAGGTGAGGAGTCGGTGTAGATCGGTGCCGAGCAACTCAGTGACGAGGTACCTGATAGCCTGTAAGTATGGCACAGAGTCTGAGCAGACACTGCGATGCTTACAGATCCTCCAGTGGTGAGATGAAGACGTCCTGAAGTCCAATGACCTATTCCAGTAATCAGCATCCCCTTTTGTCCATTACCATACCCTAGGCCGCTTCTGACATACATTCTCATGCTTCAAGTGCTTGAGCAGCTTGAGCTCACGATATGTGCGCTTCGACAACACGGGAGTGCTGAAGGGCTTCATGATCTTCTTTACCGCCACCGCTTGACTGGTGAGCTGGTCCTTTGCTGAACTGCGCCGTCATGAGTATACATCGCCCTTTCACATATCTTCCGAGTCTCCAGACTCACCATACTAGCCCAAAGGCTCCCATGCCCACCGGTTGCAGGTCGGTGTATCTCGACGTGATCTCGAAGGTCGTCTATCTATCGTATTAGCTGCCATCGTGGGACTCGTGGAAGCGCGGAGGTGGACCGACACCAAAGATCTGGGCTGAATATCACGATTAGCATGACTCCAGCTATAACAACATTATCATACACACCTCTAACGAATTCTGCCATGGCGCCGGTAATCTGGTATTGTGATGTTGGGGTGGTGTTGGTGGGTCTTGGGCGCAAGCAAGCAACAGTGAACAGTGAAGTGCACCCCGCTAGAACTACTGGATTTTCGGAATCCGCCTGAAGCAGCTAGAACGCAGAGGGAAAACAGGAAAGTGTACGGATTGGATCGATTCACTGCCGCTTCTTCCTAAAAGAGGGATTTGTCGACCTCGAGTCTGCAGGCCCTTGGCAAAATGCGGTGGCTGATGATTTGCGCTTCACGCGTGGAGAATAATAATAATAATAGGTCGTTCGCAATGCGGGACGGCGAAGATCGGCGCCTATATAAGACAATCTTCCAGGTACGGTGCGGTCGGAGGATTTTCGTTTGCTGATCTTCCAGGAACAAGTACTTCTCGACCTCGTTAGATGTAGGTAATTGGGGGCGGGCGGAAAGGAAGGATGTCAAATACTGTACTTTGGACTCGCGACAAGCAAAACCACACTATCCACCAAAATCCTGTTGGAATAACGCCACCTACATCGACTACTTCCGAAGCCACAGTCTAGGCGATCCGCCTTCTGCCGAGTAGGTTTTGCGAGATATTTGCCAGATGTACACCGCCACGTGGCGCCATTCTGTTCTTGGGCTGCCATCAATCATTATTATTTGTTCAACCACTTCGACCAAGGGGTTACGTAAAGCTTCACGCAACACTATTGTATCACGACGCATTTCTTATTCATGACAGGCTGTTCACGATGAATATCTGGCCAAGCAAAAATATGCTTCCCGGAATCATCGTCACCAAGAATTCTCGTTATTCGCGGAAGGCCTATCTTACCACATGTTCGACCTCTATACGGAACATCTACAATGCCGGCCCCGACCGTGCTCTGTCCACATCTTGCCTAAGATCCAACAATCAATATACTTACTTCCTCTCCCACTCACCACGCTTCGCTCTCTCGCAGACATCCTTCAACACCTCGCCACCCCACTTAAAGTCGTCCATGGTAAGATATATCTGGCCACTCAACCTCACCCACCACGCATCAGCATAGAAGAAGAACGCAATAAACGTGTTCTTCTCCTCCACCAGCCTCTCCGACATCCACTGCGCCATCCTGATCGCCCTCCCCTTATCACCACCAGCATCTTTCTGAAAGTCGAGCGGCAGCCTGACATTCACAAAAGCACACTTCCTCGCCTCATCCCCTTCTTCGCCCATACACCGCGTCCCAAGCACTTTCGCCACGGACCTCCCTGCCTCCCTAGCCTGCTGCACACAATAACCATAGATCGCCTCCTCTCCCTTTCCCCCCTCCCACACTACCCTACCCCTCCACTCCAGCGCCGGCTTAAAGCAAAGATAAGGACTATTATCCACACTCGCCACAAACTCAAAGCTATGCACAAATCCCGAATGCTTACTCGGCGGCAACGGAGACACCTGATCATCCCTCCCCTTCGGCACGAAACCATGGGATGTCGGGATCGTACTCCGCATCAGATGCTGATGCCGCTCGGGCACGTAGAGGATGGCGCAGGGGCGGGGCACGTAGAGCCACTTGTGGACGTTGGAGAAGAAGAAGTCCGGGTCGAGGGTTGTGAGGTCGAGCGAGATGTGACCTATGCCGTGGGCGCCGTCGATGCAGGAGAGGACTCCTTGTTCGCGACAGAGGGCTGTGAGGCGTTCGAAGGGGAGACGGTAGCCGGGCATTGAGACTATGGTGTCGAAGACTGCGACGCGGACGTTCTTGCCGGCTTGTTTGAGGGCCGTGATTTTGTTCGAGAAGGCGGCGACGAGATCCTCGTCGGGGCAGGGTAGAGTGTAATCTACCTTTTCCTTCTCGGCGGGTGTCGTTTCGACGATGTAGTCGATCGTTAGTTCGCATGCTCCATAGGTCGTAGCAGCATAGATAATGACATCGTTCTGCTCGAACACCAGGTTTCGAAGCACTGTGTTGACGCCTGTACTCGCGTTGGGGATGAAAACGATCGTTGGTGTGGGTGCGTGGAGGTACTCTGCGACGGCTTCTCGTGCCTTATCCAAGAGGTCTGGGTAGATGTGACGGAGCCAGGCGTCTGGTCGGGCTTCGACATCGTCTTGGAATTGTCGTTGCACGTCTCGAATGGCTTTTGGGTAGGTGCCGAAGGAGCCTTTGACATGTGTTAGTCGTCTTTATTTCTCAATGGATAGGAAACAGTTTTGATAATGTGGGAGGCGTCGTGATATACTAATCTCGACATACCATGGTTGAGATTCCGCCATCCATCCGCAAAAAGGAAGTGCTTTGCAGCTTCGGCACCACACTCAACGGTGTCGTTGTCGCTGATCTTGGGACCGTTCATCTTTGTTCTAGTCATCGTTGTCATATACCTCTGGGTTGTTGTATAAATATAGGCAGTGTTCGATCGGCGTATGTATACAGATACACACAGCCATTGTGACTCTAGAAGTGAAGGTAGTTTGACTCACTGAAATGCCCCACCTTCAACGCCCTTCGACATGGAGAAGATACATGCTGCCACAAGATTATCAATCCAATATGAAGCCGCTGACGTATCACTAATTGGTCACAGATCCGTGATGGCAACGAGATTGTGGATTTATCATAGAGGTTGTATCTAGGCTATCACTACCGACTCAGCAGCTGCGGCACTAGGTATTGCCAATGGCAGCCACGGCTTCCCCATCCAAGTCAAACCAATCGTGCTACCCTTCCCAGTAACACTACTCTCGCCAACCTTGGCCTTCTCAAGCACACCACCACGCTTAGTAGCATATCTGACCGCAACACCAAGACCCTCAAGCCCCGCTGCCGCAGCTGCAGCATTCCATAGGAACTGCTTGACCTGGCCGTCCCTAGTAATTTGCAATACGCCCAACGGCGACTGCGATCGCTGTACCGCGGCCTGTACTCCTTTCGTACTGGGCTCAATGCTGGAAAGCAGAGCTAGCACTCCGTCGCCTTGCCAGCCGGCTGGTGCTCCTGTGTAGGTGCCATCGAGCTCACGGACCATTGAAGGTGTGGGCTTGGCAGCCTTACACTGGACCAGTACCGGTAGCGCGTGTGCTTTTGGGCTGGATGGCAGTGACCAATGGCCCACGAGGTCTATGCCCAGGTCGTTGGCCCGGCCGATGCGCCGGAGATGGAAGTTCAGGGTTGCTAGACTGTTGGCTACAGTGTATTCGTAGTGTGTGCCGCGATAGACTGTGCTTGTATTGCTCAGGCCCTGCTGATCGGCATAGGATATGAATGAGGTGAGGTCGGTATGCTTCTGCTCGGTGGGAGGGAGAAGACGTCGTGGAACAATCTGTTCCTTCCTCTTCCTCGTCTTCACTGTCTTAGCTGGCGGTGTCGCACTCGATGGAGAGTCTGTGGCCTGCGTATCCTCTCCAGGACTTGGGCTTTTGGCAGTACGTGTCCTCCGTCTTCTCTGTGGCTTTTGTAGCTGTAGGTCGAGCGCGGCCTGTCTTTCGACAAGGCTCATATGTTTCGGTTCATCTACGACGACCACTTTCACTTTTTGCTGTGGAGATGATAGTGTGGGTGCATTAGGAACCTTTGGTGGCCTTCCTCGCCTTTTCGCGGTCACCGTGGCCGTAGTATAATATCGTAGGTGTCGCGTGACTGGTGTTGCGAGCCAGCCATGGCTTCGTAGCATGAAGATGTCGGGAGAAAGACGCGGTGATATGGTTTACATGATCCAATACATGGATGTTGTCTCCGTGACCCCAGCGATAGTGACCCTTTCTTTCGTTGATGAACAATGGTGAAGAACGACGAAGCAGTTGCGACTCCGTGAAAGCATTCATTTAGAGCTCCATATTTTAGGCTTCGTGGCGCCGGGTATGCCCGCTTCATGCTGTTCTTCCACATGCAAGTCGAGCTCCCTGTTGTCCATCGGCATGTACAAGCCGCACCAAGGGAGGCGATTGTCCAAGGAAGACGCGCGCTGGTGGTATCGCTTCATCCTACCAGCATCAGACACAATCGTCAGGAGCTGCAAAGATGGCGGACCGGCTCACGCAGCTTCAAGATGCCATTGACAACGTAGGCGGCCTTGCAATAGCTGTTGCTCCGTACTTAGCTGACTTGACAATAGCAACTGACCTTGATGTACGCTGCGGTCAACTACATCAGGACGCGACATCCGTACGGCGACATCCCCGGCCAGCCCAGTCAAGCACCAGATCCAGCTCCTCTTTCAGCAGTCCCGCAGAGCCTGCCAAATGGCGATGGCAGTCAGCCTAACGGACCCGTACCAGGCGCGAAAGCCATAGCGCTAGATCAGCAGCAAGGAAGCAAAACCTCGACTCCGCCGCCAGAGCAACCAGACAATTTCAATGCCTCCTTGCATGAATTGGCTAGAGATCTGGTGTTGCAGGAACAGCAGATCGAGATCCTGATCAACAGCCTGCCTGGTCTGGGGAGTAGTGAACCCAGTCAGCAGAGGAGGATGCGCGAGCTTGAGGCAGAACTGAGGACTGTGGAAGGGGTGCGAAGGAAGGCTGAAGAGGAGAAGGAAGTGATGGTGAACAAGCTCGGAGATATTCTGACCAGAACACAGCGTGTACCACGAGACACGAGCATGTTACAGTCGCATGTTCATAGACATGTGACTATGTCCTGAAACTGGCCACGTGCCGGTGGATCTGCACATGTAGAAGGCACACTCACTTGCACACATGAACGGCCGGAGCACAATCCAACGCTAATCTCCACATCCACAACATGGTCCATTAAGCTTCGCCACACCAAGCATGCCCGCGTAATTACAGTAGCGAAGTCGACCAAATTGCTAGTCAAACAACAAACCCAACACCATGTCCAATGTGAACGAAGCCGAGCAGCTCAAAGCAGTAATGCGCCGTGTGCATGCAGAAAACAAAGGCTTCGCAGACGCACTGCAACGACGGGACAGCAGCCGAAACTTCACGCATCTCCCATCCAATATTGGAAGCACCGAGCACTCCCCACTACTCACCCGCCGTAACACAGTCGAGAACGTTGCAGCGTTACAACCAACTGCTTCGCGCCAGTCATATGTTCCTCGTGCCATCGAGCAATACAATCAGCAAATGGCCGAGGCCGCTTTGACAAGGAATGGACGAGGTCTGAAGGCGAAGGCCACGACGAAGGTCGATAAGTCAAATCATGTGTGCTGGAATTCGAGCTACTGCAGACCTGCGAGCGAGATATTGGAAGGTCTGTTGGGGAGGAGATCTGACTAAAGGGTGGGTGCAGATTAGCAAGCAACCAAACCGCTTGTAGAGCTCGGGGACTCTGAATAAGAAACACGAAGATTACGAGATTTGCTTTCATGTGGTACGTTTATCCTGCAGGGCGTCATGGAAACGGAAGGCACGAAACGTCTTGGCGCGACCCCCGCCACAAGTCTAAGCCACATTTTGTAACAAATTTGACAAATCACATTTGGACCACAACTCATGTAACTTTTCTGCGCTCTCGATATCTCATCATCGTTCTTCGTGTATCTGTATGACCATGGCCGACGCCCTCTTGAACTGGTTTCGTACCAGTCTGCCGGCCGAGCTAACAGAAATTATCGAACCTTTCATCACAAAGCTCGAGCAAGGCCAACACCAGTCTCTTCTTGAAAGTGACCATGCTCAGGAGTTATTTGGCCACCAACGATCCGATAAGACCGAAGGTATTAGACTTCAAGACTTTCCCAACTGGTCCGACTTCATCTTCCACCGTCTTGGACTTTTGCAAGCCGATCGTTCGAGACCTGAGAAACAATATATCTTTTTCTGCATAGGCTATGCTGCTCTTCTGACGTTCTTACAAGCGGCTGTCACTGGTCCTCCTCTAACTTTCGATCCGGCCAGATTGTTGTTTAGTCAAGATGTCGCAGCAGAGAAGGAGTCTATCAAGGCTGAGAGGCAGAAGTTGTTGGCCAGCTTCAGTATGGACGGCATCGCTGCATACAAGCTCACGCCTAACGTTGAGCTGTTGGCTCTGGCTGACATAATCTTTACGTGTCCACCTGTACTGAAGAAGGTCGAGGTGGCGAGGTGGGCGAAACTGAGGGTGGCGTTCCTGCAGCAAAGGTTGTTGTCTGAGGTTTCGTCAACATTGCAGGATGTCATCTACGATGATCTTGGGCTGGTAGCAGATGCGGTGTTGGGTGACGATCAACAGCGTGGTATGGACAAGCGGAGACAAGCTGAATTCCTGCTCGAACGCTCTACTATACATATCCACCATGGACTTGACAAGTTTGCTCGGGAGGATCTGGATCAGGCGAAGCGGGTGAGAGGGTTTAAGTACGCTCTGACTGGTTTACTGGGTAAGAGGACGAAGTTCCAGCAGCATGATATCAGTCAGCTTGTCGTCCTCGCCAGAAGCGCAGAGGACGGCGAACGCGCCAATGACTCAAACGGGCAAGTTGTTAAGGAGTCTGAGACGGCCTCGAACATTGAATCCCAACCAGCGGAAGTCGATCTAAACGATGATACACTGCTCGAACGCATCAGCTTTTCTGATGTTGCAACAACCTCGAACAATGCTGCAAGGGAGGAGTCATTGCCAGCATCTTTACAAAGTTTAGATGCTGGCAACCAGCCTCAGCTCAATCCTCTTGACTCCACACTTCTGCTCTCCTTCGCTTCGTCAATCACAAACACCTCGCCAGCAAATGGTCTGACCAGGGAGGAGACATTACCATATGCTACCCGCGTACTCGATGGTGGCAGCTCGAATTGGCAGGTCTACACACAAGCTCTACTGGTGCGAAGCAGGATCGAGGGATATAAGTCAAGAACAGTAGAGCGGGGCCTACTACAGCTTCAAGCATTGGTAGATCAAGTTATCGCCGATACTGCTGGCGCCGAAGCTGTCGCTGCAACTGGGCAAAGTAATGGAGACCACGCTGCTACGTCCTTCCTTCCACGACCAAAGGAAGCAGAAAGCGCATCTGTTGCTGAGCGACTGCGATACATCTTCCAACTCGCATCCCCTTCAAGATGGGACCTGGAAGCCGAATTAGCCACTCGATGGGTCTCACTAGGAGGCCTGAGATCGGCTCTCGAAATCTATGAACGACTTGAGATGTGGGCAGAAGCTGCCTTGTGTTACGCAGCCACCGAGCAAGAAGGTAAAGGTAGACAAATGGTACGAAGGCAAATTTACCATGCCACGAGTAGTGATGGAGTTGTATCAGAAGCAGATACTAGAGAAGACGAAGAGTGGCAAGGACCAGAACGATCGCCTGCTCCTCTCGATGCTCCACGGTTGTACTGCATCCTTGGCGACATCGATCAATCCGTGGAGATGTACGAGAAAGCGTGGAAAGTGTCCAACCAGCGCTATGCCCGTGCGCAGAGGTCATTGGGGAGGCATTACATGTCCGAAAACAATGCTCTGAAAGCCGCCGAGGCCTATGCCAAGAGTTTGAAGGCGAATCAGCTCCACAATCAAAGCTGGTTTGCGCTGGGATGTGCTTACCTCGAGCTCTCACAATTTGAGAAGGCGGTCGAAGCCTTCTCGCGCTGCGTCCAGCTGGATGACACGGATGCAGAAGCTTGGAGTAATCTCGGTGCTGCATTACTTCGATCAGAACCGACAGAAGAAGCCCCTGATACCAATACGACTATCCAGCCCCCAGCAGACGAAGACAACACCAACATCACCGACCACAAACCCACCCGCACCGCCCAAAAGAACCGCCAAGACGCCCTCAAAGCCCTCAAGCGCGCCGCGACGCTCAAACACGACAGCTACAGGATCTGGGACAATGTCCTCACCATTGCCGCCTCCGTGGTCCCGCCAGACTATCCCTCCGTCCTCGCCGCACAGAAACGCATCATCGATCTTCGTGGGTCGATCGAAGGCGAGAAATGTATCGATATCCAGGTTCTTGGGCTCCTGGCGCAGCACATCATTTCTACTGCTGATGGATATGATCCCTCGGAGCCTGGATTAGCAAGGATGTTCGTGAGATTCGTGGATGACAATGTCGTTCCGCTTATCACAGGAAGTGCTGAGCTATGGCGGATGGTAGCAAAGTTGGCGCTGTGGCGGAATCGACCTTCCTCTGCTCTTGAGGCGGAGGAGAAGGCTTGGAGGGTGGCTGTTGCGCAGACGGGATGGGATGGGGATAGTGAGGATAAGTGGAGGGATGTCGTTGAGGCGACGGTGAGGTTGTGTGATTCTTATGAGTCTCTTGGGCAGAAAGAGAGGACTGAGGGGATGGGGGCGGGGGAGTTAGTGGCCAAGGATTGGAAGTTCAAGGCTAGGACTGCGGTTAGGACTGTTATGGGAAGGGGCAAGGCCGTTTGGGAGGGGACGGAGGCGTGGGAGAGGTTGGTTGAGAAGGGGCAGGAGTTGAAGGGGTGAAGATTTGATTGTATGCTGTTCAGAGGATGGATAACTGGAAACACTGCAGTGTTTTAAGCCCATTTGTTCTCTGGCCAATACGATCCTACAGTAAAAATACCCATAACGCCATACATACCCAGGCAGTCCGATAGTTCTCGACGAGCATCGCTCTGATGCTACAAATCCTCTCACCACAAATCACGCATTTCGTCATCGTACATTGGTGTGATCATCCTATCACGCAAATCAGTCATCCCCGCTTGTTGCACCACAGTTCAGATCCAAGGCTGTGGCACATACCTCGCCGGCCCAGCAGCCCTAGCCTCGCGCCTCCGTCTCCTCCTCTCCAGATACGCCGCATCGAGCTCCTCACGACTCTGCCCGCGAAGCTCAGCCGCCCCACCCACCCCTGAAGACCCAGCAGAACTGGACCTTTCGCTCTCACCGTCTGCATTATCTTCACCGCCGCCCGTAGCATCAGTGATCTTATCCCGACACATAGGACACGTAGCATTATAACCCCCCAACCACTCTTTGATACAGTCGACGTGGAAGAAGTGTTTGCACCTCGGCAGGACTGTGACTTCGACGCCCACTTCGACGTCAAAGGTGCACACTCCACAGCTTGCTTTCCCGTCTTCGCCCATATCTTCTGCCGTCAAGGTTCTCGTGGGTAGAGCTTCTACAGCGGTCTTGGGCGCCTTGCTCCAGTTTAGTGGGATGCCGCCGTAGATGTCAACGGGAACGTCCCGGTTCTGGGCGTCGAAGTGGGCGGGGTGGTGCATTTGACCGTGGCCTAGGAGATGTGCTGCATGACCTCGATAGTGGTGTCGATGATGATGATGATGATGATGATGATGATGATGATGATGGCCATGCAGCTGTTCGGCAGCACGCCGTTGCAAAACCTCCTCCTCTGTCAAAACGAATCGATCTGCCTCCCCATCTCGTAAAAATCTCTGCACTTCCGGTGGCAGTTGATCCAGACCAGCTACTGCGGAACGACGACGCGGTAAGAGACGTCCGTCCTCCTCGCCCCTCTGCAATGTCGGTGAGGGAGGCGGCTCATAACCAAAAAACCCTCGACCCGATGGTCTTGGTAGCTGCGTTCCACGCTGCGTAGGCTGCTGAGACCGAGCGTGAATATTCCCCGAGCTATCGAAGAAGAAAAGGCCATCCTCCCAGTGCTCTGGCCCAATGGCGCGGAGGAGGTCGGCCTCATTAAGCTGCGCATCTTCATCCGGAGCTTCTGGTTCAACGTCAGCGCGCGGAGCCCTTGCTGCTAGCGCCGCTGCCTCAAGAGATGTAGGGAGCGGTGGGCGCGGGCCGTAAGCACGAGCAGGGTGATCATGATGATGAGCCCAGATTGGTGGAGGACCGGTCCGGCGCAGCGCTTGAGCTGTGGCAGCGGCTGTAAGGGTACTTTCTGCGATCCGAAGGTCTGAGGGCAGCGGTGGCGGCTCGTCGTCTGAGTTATCGGATTCAGATCTTGGTGGTGTAGCGACAGTACGAACGACTGTGTACCGAGCCGGAGCATGAGCAGCCGTAGTATGAGCGCCTGGGAGCCGAGTATCGTGGAATCGCGGTGGCGGAAGGGAATCGCTCTCACCATCATGAGCAGGTGATACTGCACGGCTCAAACCCTCACGAGTCGGAGGCGGCGCACGCGGCGTGAAGCTCACACTATGCATCCTCCACGCCTCCGCATTGTCTGACGCATCAGCGCCTGTGACGACGATATCCGGTACCGCCACACTGTCATCGCCACCAGTCTCTACACCTCCCTCAGCGTGATGCCGCTGACACGAGACCGGATACCCACGTTCACGTCCACGTTCACGCAGCGGTGGCGATTCCATCGCTCGCAGGAAAGCCATATCGGCAGGCCCAAAAGCACTAGAGTGGAAACCATCGAGATCGCTGTAAACCTCCTCGTCGGGCAGTGGTGGGGCGGCTCGGAAGTAAGAAGCCTGTTGAGTCCTTCGGGAGTCGCTGGTGTTGTTGTTGGTAGAGACGGTGGTGGTGGTGGTATTGTGTTTCCTACCAGAGCCAGAGCCAGAGCCAGATTCAGAGCCAGAAGAGTTGATGAAGCTGGACATGGCTGTCGATATCTGTCTTCCGTATGAGTGTTGGTGCTGGTCAGGTACCTGTCCTGCTGTGTATCTTGTCAACTATGGTGAGCTGGTCGTACAGTTTAGTGTCTTGAATCCCTTGCAGTTCTCTGAATATACTAGGTTAATACTCCTACCAGCCTACCCTATTTAACCACTGGCAAAGAACGGCACCGCAGTCGTGGCCGTGTCTCGATGCCCCGGGCGTCACTTGTAGCTGGTGAATCTCACCCAGACAAGTCTTTGTTCTACAGCCTGTGGCATCGCATTAAACAATGCCTTTGTGGTCACCGCGACATTCACAAGTGGTTGTTGCATCGTCGAAGATCTCCATTCTGAGTGTTCCGTGGTGAATAATGTCGAGAGTGGGAGAACTGTACTACAGTCACGTTAGTGCCCTGGAAGATTCGGACGTGTGTCGGGGAAAGAATGATTGCGTGAATATAGGAGGGGACTCGATAGCCACCAAGTGGCAAGAAAAGTCGTCCCTGCTAAGCTGCCATGACACTGCTGTGATGATGGCAGTATGCGGACATTGGTAAGGGAGTCGTATATGCTCCTTGGGTGTGGCGAGCTCAATGCTTACGCGATATCCCGTCTATCATGCCAACCAGCATAGCCACCTCATACGCCCACGTATTTCCGCCGCACTCAGCTAACATCCATCTCATCCCCACCACCACCACCACCACCACCCTTAGCCCTCCGCTCATCCACCCTCTTCCTCGTCGCCGCCTTCGCCTCCTCAATCCACACCTCATGCGTCCCCTCCCTAACCTTCAACCCCGTAACCCCCTTCATAACCTCCCCCACAAACCCCACGAAATTATGTCTCCTCAAAGCATTCTCCCACCTCCACCCCCTCCTCTTCTCCTCCTCCCTCGCCAACAATGCCGTGTCCCCAATCTCCCTCGCCTTAATCCTTAAATCCTCACACATAGCCAGGAGATTAAACCGGATCTCCGTCTGGGGATACCGTTGGATCCGACGTTTGAGCACGGGTACAACGGCATCGGCGAAGATTTCCGAGGGACAGGCTCCCGGGTCCCCGTGGCGGATGGGTGCGGGTTGCAGGCCATCGAGTTCGTAGAGGGTGTCATTGATAGAGGTATAAGCGATGAAATGATAGACGTCGTCTTCTTCCGTCGCTAGACGTGTCTCATCGCTGACGAAGGGGGAGGAGCGGGCGAAGGAGTTGTGGACGTCGCGGATGAGGTCGCTGTTGCTTAAGGCTTCCCCGCGGAGGTCGGCGGGGAAGGCGGAGGTGAAGTCTTTGAATTCTTTCAGGTTGGGTCCGATGGTGATCTTGCCGCTTTCCTCCTCAGCCTCGCCGTCTTTATTGAGTAGGACGGACAGTAGGGCTTGTGTGCCGCAGGCATTCTGGATCGTCTGTGCCGCAAACCATACCGGCTCCCCGTCCTCCTCCTCAGCTCCTTCTAGCGCTGCATAGTCGAATTCGCCATCGAGGGGTTTATCCTTGGCTGCTTTCTCGCCTGTCGGGTATTTGAAGAGGAAGATGACGCCGATGGGGTTGAGTTCTTGTAACGATTCAGGATCGAGGGAGATGAGTTCTTCGAATTGCACATTCTGGACGCCGAGGGATTCAATGAGGAAGGTGAAGACGCCCTGATGTCAGAAGAGAAGTGTTAGTGGGTGGTGGAGTGTCTGGGCTGGGCTGGTGATGGTTTGGGCGAGGGAGGCGAACGAACGGCGTCGGATTCTCTGTTTCAGATGTGGGGTTAGCTTCTTCCTATCAGGATGGACTGGACCAGGAAGGCACGTACATTGTATTCCAGCCTCCAGACATGTTTACTATGAGATCTGAGGTTTGCTATGTTTTCCCACCACGCGACAATTTGATCTGTCTATCACATGTGCCTCTGAAACATGTGAAACCATAGCTTGAGCTCTGACCACGTAATGACGTCAGACGGGCGCGGTCCACTACGCGCCAAAAGCTTCCAACAAGCGACAGGTCAAAGCAAGGAAAAGCGAACAATCATCTTTCTCTTATCCACGCATACTATCTCGCTCGTGACTCTCCCTTGCTTCATCATACCCACGCCTAACAAATTTACTCCACGACAACCGCCATCGTGGCTTCACCAACAGGACTTCTGCATCGGCCCAACAGCGAAACGGAGGATCCAGCAGCCAGTTTCATCACCGATCGCAGCGCAGACGAGGAAATGTCTTATGCCGATGCTGCCAAGAAGGGGCCGAAGCAGGCCGAGAAAGATGTATGTATCAAGCACCTATTACACATTTGATCAGGAAGGTACGATGAGCTAACACGTGCTACAGAGTATGTTTCAACCCCACCTCACTTCATCTCAACTCACATGATATATGGTATTGATTTGATACACCCAGAAATCCCCGACACCGTCCCCGAAATAACCCACTCCGACTCCGGCGTCCACACCATCGGCGGCGGAAACCACGAAAACTCCATCCCTTCTTACTCCGACCAACAAAAAGCCCAAGAAACACGTGACTCTGCCTCCGCAGCCCGCGACCAAGCCTCTGCCTCCTTCCAAAACGCCTCCGACACCGCCAAAGCCTCCCTCGATCAAGCCTCCCAAGACGCCAAGGCATTCATGACCCGAGCCGAGAGCGGCGCGAAAAAGACCGAAGCGCAAGGAGCGAAGAAATACCAGAATTTCACCAAAGAGGCCGGGAACAAAGACTGGGAGAAGTTATCCAAAGACGCGCAGAAGCAATATCAACAACTCGCTTCCGAGGCCGGGGAGGAATGGGAGGATGTGAAAGTCCAAAGTAAGAAGGCCGGGGAGAAGGCGAAGAAAGAAGGTAAGGAGGCGGAGCGGTGGGCGGACAAGAATAAGGGCAATCCCGTTGTAGTGGGGAATTTGGTCGTGGTGGCGGCGATGGGTGCGTTGTTGGGGACGGGGGGGTATAGGATGCACAAGGCGGGGAGGTTGACGTGGAAGGTTGCTGGGGCGTGGGCTGGGGCGGTGGGGCTTTTTGCTGTGGGGGATTATTTCGTGAGCCAGTAAGTGATTCCTTTTTCTTGCCATCTGTGGAGTTTGTGGGACTGGTGGTGGTGATGGGGCTCGTGCTAATATTGATCGCAGATGGCTGTTTAGGAACAAGTACCCGCCGAAGAACTAGAGGGCCGACTTTCATCTGGTCCTTCTGTGCACATAGATGTCCATCTCCAACTCTCCCTTCTCGCGGACTCCTGGACACTTTGGCCAGGCGGCACGCGGTTTGTAGCATACTTGTACGATTGATCTTAGCAAGTCTGCTTTTTGGTACATCATGATTTTGCCCATGCATCCTTCCAGGTCACATCAACGACTTCTGACTATCTAGAGCCCGGCTTCCAAAAAAGCATGGCCTCAACTGGCTGTGTCACAATTGGACACTTTGCGTTGGCTCCGTGTCAGATGGAGCTCTCAATCTTATGCTCCCAGTGATGCAGAGTTGCCATCTATTGCAGCATTGACGCGACTCCCATTGCACGCTGTACGATGTCTGTTCCAGGACATGAAGGACACGAACGTCCCGCAGCAAATATCAACGGACGCAGATGAGTCTACTTCCACAGAAATCTCAGACCAGGTCTCAAACGTGCGGCGGGTTGGCGACTCGGCTACTGCGTCTGGCAATGGTACAAGCAGCTTAGAAGTCCCAAAGACAGCGCGAGAGGTACATCAGTGGGCTAGGGCTAACTTCTACCAAGCCTGCAGAGGGTCGCGAACGTCGCATACACGCGCGGACCTGCCATTCCAATGTACGTCCGGTTGTCACTATTCCACAGACAAGATCAGTGCCTGGAGACGACATGAAATGAGCTGGCAACCTCAAACTTTCTGGCATTGTCTAGTCTGCAGGACCGAAGAAAGGGGTCCTTCTATCTATGCGCGGAAGGACAAAATCTTTGACCACATACGTGCTATGCATGGAGAAGTCGACCGCTCCATATCGGTCAGTCTGTGCGAACGCTCCAAAATCCCCATTCACGCGGGATTCGAGAAAGCGTGCAAGTTTGTTGATGCCGTAGGTAGGCCATGCCGGTCTTCTTTCAAGACATTCGAAGAGCGAACTTGGCATTACATTGCACACTTCAGGGGTCAAGTAATCGACGGTCCATGGACCCTCATACCAGGTCGCAACGAATGGTTTGTCGATAATGAACACGACGATGACGAGATAGGCGGTTATGACGAGGCTAAAACGATACGTGATGCCGATACCTACTTGAGGGAGCAGGTCAATTCTGGTGTTAGAAGGGCCTACGAAGCCAATATGACCGCTCTCGCGAACTGCGTATCTGAGGACGAGAGGGTCGATGGCCTGAGCAATCTAAGTCTTACGATGGTGGCTCAGAGTCCATTCGGAGATGATACTCATGCCGACGACGACCTCAGTGGCCACGCCGACGATATCATCACGGCAGATTCTGACCTTGGTCTACGGCAATACGACAGCATCGGTGAGCACGCGGCCAGCGGCTTAGCAAACTGTCCAGCAGCCGGTAATGTTCCTGGTAACATGCATGGCGAACAAGACGACAATAACTCAACCAACGGAGGAGCCACAACCGCGGCGGACTCCGGGTATCACTCTCAAGATCAAGCTTATGGTTCAGGAGATTGCGAAACTCGCCGAGCGGACATATCTCGGGTCGCTCGTGGCATGTTTGCCGCTGGACATATCTCACTTCTTCTGGGATCGTGCTGAAGAGGACATTGATCGATGGAGAAGGCTAATAAGTCGGTTGGTATGGCATGCAACGGCTTGCAGATAACCCGTTTCAGCATAAAGCAAACAACTATCAACGTTGTGAACAAAGATCACTCCACACCTTCTTCTTCGTCCGCCACCCCGCATGAATCAGCATCTTTACACTTCCGAGATGGCTAACGTGTCATGGCCATCACAGTGGACTGCCACATTAATTCGCAGCCAACGAACATCACCCGCGACTCTCCCCCCTCATACACTGTTGTCTCGCGCGGGATGAATGAGGCGCAGCCTGCCACGAGCAGCGGCGAAAAGCGTCTCAGGTTCAAGCGCTAGATATGAATGAGTGACTTGGCTATTGACAGAGAGGTGAAGAGCAGAAATATAGCCCCATTGTTCCAAGATACCAAGCCACCTAGCCGAAGGCGTCATTCTTAGCTGAAGGCGGCAGAGCTTGGTTCAGGCTTCTACTACTATAGCTATAAGAATGATCAACTGCCAAGAAACCATTTCCTATTACCACATGCTGTAGCAGAGACTCCATCCTACATTGGTGGAATTTCCTAGGCGAGCATCACTGCCTATAGACGGCTTCCCAGACGATCCACTGGACACTGAGTGACCAAAAACGCATGAATTTTCGCCGCGTAGAGCGTGGAGCGTAGAGCGTAGGACGTCTTCCTCTCGATGATCGAGAGCTTTAGGTCGTTGTGATTAGAGGTCAAAAGGAAAATGCAAAACATACAACAGCAGGCATTCGCCAGTCGTCACCGACCTGACTACTACTCTACCGGTCCCCGGCTTAAGTATAGGAGAGCGGACGGGATCCTCTGTTTTCCGGGGCCTATGGTCGTATGTACTGGTTAGTGGTAAATTAAAAATTTATATCCGCTATCTCAACTGCCGAGTTGGAGGCACGAATGGAACAAGTCACAAGTTCGGTCTGGTGCTGTTGGAGCAGTAAGCTACTATGTTACATGCAACGGATACATCAGCACAGATACGTAGCGTCACAGCATTACAGGGAGCAGGTAAGTCGACAGCCAACTACGGAAATGCCACATTGATCACGAGTGGGACCATTGCGGGTTTCGAGATGTGGGAGCATTCTTTTACACGTGTGAAAAGACCAATCCTCTCTCTCTCTCGCTGAATGAGACGTGCACGCTGCGCCCTCCAATACATTCGTGGAGTCGAGAGTCCGGCTTCTTATATAGTATAAGGCAAGTATTGTAAGCCGTACGAGCAAACAGTATGACCGCATGCGGGCGTGCTCGTCAATGTGATTTTGATCGACACTCTCAAGTCTTCGTCGTCCATGTACACAGCTGCGTTCTTGTCTCATTGGCATAGGCGGCGATATGGTTAGAATCTAAGACGTACGGCAGCAGGCTTCCGCACTTCAAGCTGTGGGTGCAACGGAAACTTTCTGGAAGCGCGGAAATGTCTACACATTATCTGACAACCTCACAGGGCAATGTCTTTCGATCATGCGAACAGTTGCAATTGGCAAGTGTACCATTTCCGTTCCTGCCTGACTGTCGATTTCGTTTCCACAGCCATCAACTTCCATATCAACGAGCACATCCTACGCATGTGAGTTCCTGATGCTGTCAGGCAACCCGTTATAGGCATCGTACTGCTTATTGAACGCGGAGGACGCCCTGGCCATCGCAAGTCAGCTCTTGAAATCTCTTGTTCATAGAGGCAAGGACTTGCTTATCGCATAGGGAAAGAAATACCGGCGCCTAGCAGCATGATCACCGAGTAGGCCATGAGTAGCCGCGTGCGCTATCTTCCAACACAGAAGTAGTCTCTTCCTCCTTCCTTGTGGTGCGAGGGGAGCCAGCTCGACCTTTTCCTTCGCAGCACCGATTTTCCAGATCCGAATACATATCCACGCAAGATCAATGGCACTGGGCACGATCCTGGTCAGCCAAAAGAAGTGTATCGGGGTTAGGAGGAGGTCCAGTGCTTACCCATACATGGAGAAGATGGAGAAGGCGACAATATCCCAACCCGACCATAGGTATATGCACCAGATCGCAGTCAAGGCCATCCACGTAGTAGTGATGATCCACCCGATGCCCAGATACGAGTGTAGCCATCTCCATTGTGATATTGGCTTCCAAGGGATTCGTAAGAAAAGTGCGAGTAGTCCGATGGCGAGGGTGACATAGCCGAAGACTGCGTGGAAGATGATGTAGGCTGGGACGCGAGTCCCAAATACCTCGCCGTAAAGCTCTCTCGTGCGAAGACTTGACTCGTAGCCCTGCGCGTTTCGGTGGATGAGGTCCAATGAGGCCAAGGTCTGTAAGAAGGGCATTTCGTCGAGCTGACCGCGCGGGCTTGAAATGAACAATAGGGACTGAGAGGAGATGATGAGAGCCGAGGACTTGCGAGTCCTCGGAGGCGTACTTATAACACCATTACTTACATGAAAACGCCGCAACGGTTGCGCGACGTCAAGACCGCGTGCTTGTGGTATCATGACCATAACACATCTGTGGTCTGTGATGTGTAGAAGCATGGGCCGAGATCGTGCTAGTAGATGGCGCTAGTTGGAATACGCAACTTTGAAACCACGATCTGGCTAGTCCGGCTTCACTTTCATCCGCTTGCAGGCTTAGAGCATGACGGCCACAGTGTGTTTCTGGAGCGACACGGGATGGGAGGATTCGCGCGCTCCTGGAGTTTCCTGCTCAGGCCTGCTGGTATTCCCTCATCTCTGACATATCGATGTCCAGCGCCTCTCTGCTGCCGAGCGATGACCTGAAATGCGTTCTCATGTGATGCAGGTGAGTGGGATATCATGTCTGGCCGTATAGATCCTGATTGGCCACAGGCTTGCAGTTAAGCACAACAGACATCTCCGTGGATCTAATGGGGGAGTGTTAATAGACCGGAGTTCTTACGACGTGGACGATCCGACATTGTTGTAGAGTCTCCATGGCTGCTGTTAGCATGCTGACTTACTAGTCCTAGCCGGTAGGGCACCAACGCTGCTCAATCTACATGCGATTCCTTATCAAGCAAGCACGTGTCCATCTGTAGGTGCTGTACAGGCTTCCTGAGCGAGGAGGGCGAGATACGAAAAGAGTCAGCTCGGGGCTGGTATAACAGCTAGCTTTGGAGGGTGTAGCAGACTCCATGAACTGCCACTTTGTACGACAGACGCAGTATAACGTAGTACGTGAGGGAATTGCTAATTCTACCGACTGAAGCGGAAGCTCGCATCCTGCTTGTCGGTCAAATCGATCCTCGCCGCACCCGTTGTATCGACGTCGACCTGCTCCTTGCCGGTCGAATGCTCACTTATCCCGCTCGCTGAACGATCTCTACCAGCATTGTCTCTCGAGCAAACCACACGATAAGCAAGAGTGGCCGAGAACAGCAGACACCACGTGACAATCGCAGTCACCACACCGTCAACGTATCTTGGCCCATGAGTCCAGAGCTGCGGAGCACTGATACAACCTGCGCAATATCCGATGAAGAACATGGTATTGACGACAGAGCGCTTGGTGTTTCCCTTGACGTTTGAGGCAGTTAGCGAGAGCAGGATAGACCACGGTGCCGTGATACATGAAGAGAGCCAGGATGCGACAATCAAACCCCAGCCAGCTTTGACAGTTAGCCTCATAAGGAAGATGTTGCCAATCAATGGTGGAATGCAGAGAGCCATGGCCACGAATGTTCTGTTCTTCGGAAGGAGCACACAGCCAAGGAGACCAAGCCACAGGAGTAAGATCTGTACAGCGCCCGAGGGTGCAGTGTGCAGTAAAGTTTGGTACTTGTCGTAGCCAAGGCCTTTAATAACCAACGAAGCGAACTTGATGGGTAGGTCAGCACGAGCGACATGGAAAGGCTCGCAATTGCACTTACTGTGTGTACGGGAGACTGCATCGTGACCAAAACGCCGAACCAGAAAACGAGCCACGACTTTGGATCCAGGAGTGCCTCTTTTAGCTGAGCAGTGGAGAAATTTGTCTTGTCGCCACCCTCGCGATCCTTGATCATGCGGAGCGACAGCACGTGCTTCTGGCGTGCGTTGAGGAACCAAGCATCGTTCGGTCCATTGGGCATGCACAGGTAGAACGCCACGCCTGCAGCAATAGTGAGAGCGCCGCAGACGAGGAAGAGCACACGCCATGAAGCGATCGCTAACGAGCTGTTCTTGCCAATGCCGTACATGAGCAAGCAGCCGACGATCTGCGCCAGACCATTCATCGTGATCCACAGGCTATGAGCATATTAGCATCTGCCTCGACTGGTTCTAACGTGAGTTTGGCGTACGCTGTCCTGGAAGCATGCTCCTCCTTGCGGTACCAGACGGCGGTGATTGTGATAAAAGCTGGCGAAACAGCACCTTCAGCGAATCCGAGCAGGAAGCGAACAGCTGCGAATCCAGCAAAGTTCTTCGGCGCTGCCAGACACATGCATATGGCTCCCCATATGATGATACTGGCTCCCACGAATTTGGTGAGGTGGAGCCTACTCATGAGATAGATGACAGGAAATTCGGCCACGAGTTGACCTTTGTTCCACATTAGCACGGATGTTGCTCGCCAGCCATGTGGGTTAGAGGCCAACTTACCAACATAGAAGATGGAGCTGCACCACGAGTATTGCTTGCTCGTCATTCCGAGATCAGTTATCAAGCCGAAAACGCTGGCATAGCTCAGACTCTGTTTGTCCAAGTATTGGAGGAAGAAGACGGCGCAGATCTGACGGAGACTTAGCGGTTGTAAGTAAAGCGTCAGCAATGAGGAAAGTCACCATTGGCAAGACTGCAAGATCAATCTTTCGGAGCACTGCCTTGTCCTGTTCTGTCGTGTAGGAATCGCCATACTCGTTCACTTCCTTCACTTCTCCCACACCAAGCTTTTCATCTGGGGAAGGTATCGTGGACTGAATAGTGTCGCGCTGCATATTGTTGGTCAACGTGGCCGAGTGGCCAGCCGCTGTGATTGTGAGGAAGAGTATCCAAGCGAGAACAGTATTGGAAACGAACAATATTGCTAGTCGACATATTGGGCGGCGTCCACTACATGTGCTCGACTGGGGATACCTGGATCCTCGTCCTCGTCACGCCGCATTCCCCGATGATAACGGCTCTATCGTGGGGAAGCCAGTCTTCCGACAAATCATGACTCTTTCGCTAGCATGCCGATAGAAGAAGCTCCACACTGTCGGTAAAGTGTACGCGAGCGCTGACTCGCTAGCTTGCCCGGCGCAGATAGAGTCTCGGAGACGGCTAGCTGGACGTTCAGTATCCCGATCACAGCTTCGCTATGAAGTCAAATCATTGCGAATGTGGATGCGGAACCCTCATCACTTCACAACGCTCGAGGACTCTTGACAACATGCTGGAAGAATCCGCCATCAAGCCTTGGTTACGATCACCCACACAGCGGATTGCACTCGCCAATGCTAGATTGATCGATGTTACCGACGGATCCGTCCGTAAGAATGCTACTGTCACCATCGTGGATGGCCTGATCCAAAGCATCGAAGACTACAATGAATCCCGCTTGCAACTACTGCGCCAGGAACGCAGCAAGGTCGTTGACTGCTCTGGCATGTATTTGTGTCCTGGTTTAATTGATTGCCATGTCCACCTCATGGCCGTACCCGGTTTCTCCGATCTAAACAAAGCATTTGGAAACGCAAACGACGTTTCTGTTCTGCGGCAGCCGTATGTCTGCGCTCAGATGCTACAAAGAGGCTTCACCAGTGTTAGAGACTGTGGCGGAGCGATGTCTGCGCTGAAAGAGGCCATTCAGGACGGTGTCTTCACTGGCCCACGGCTTTTCATCGCAGGCCACGCTCTTTCTCAATCTGGAGGACATGCAGATTTCCGGAGTTCGCACGATCACAGCATGTGCTGCGGAGGAACCACGACTGGCCTAGGTCGAGTGTGCAATGGAGTACCAGAGTGCATGCAAGCCGTGCGTGAAGAGATCCGCTCTGGATCCGACTTCATCAAGATCATGGGATCCGGAGGTGTGTCTAGTCCAACCGACAAGATCGATCACTTGCAATTCACCGGCGCTGAGATACGCGCAATGGCGGACTGTGCTGCTAATGCCAACACATACATTACTGCCCACGCCTACACCTCTCGAGCTATCCGGCACTGTATCGAGAATGGCGCCCGAGGCATCGAACACGGTAACTTTCTGGACGAGTCCACGGCAAAGCTGATGGTAGAGAAGGGCTGCTTCTTGACACCCACGCTTGTAACGTACGCAGAAATGGCATCTTCCAAGTGGCAAGGCTATCTTCCGATAGAGTCGGCTGTGAAGAACACCGAAGTACTCCGTGCTGGGCTGCGGGCGATCAAGATCGCAGCGGCTGCAGGTGTGACGATTTGCTTTGGTACTGACTTACTCGGGCCACTTGGAGAAGCTCAAAGCAGAGAATTTGCTTTACGGTCAGAGATTCTCTCGCCGTTAGCCATACTGCAGAGCGCTACGAGCAATGCTGCAAGACTTATATGCCAGTCAAATGCCCTTGGTCAAGTCAAGACAGGTTTCTGTGCCGATCTTCTGCTCCTGGCGCAGAACCCACTCGAGGATATCACGGTGTTGGACAAGCCTGAGACAAATGTCTTGGCAGTTATAAAGGAAGGAAGAGTGCACAAGTCGAGATGCAAAGAGTTTGAAGAAGATGGTGTCATGCCGGTCCGCATAAGGTCTTCATTGTGACCTCTCTGTCAAAGTCAATATAGAGTACCATGTGAGCATGATGGACGCCTTATTCGCTCTTCCGCGAGTGTACAGTTCCCCAAAAAAGTGAACTACAATTTCACGGCATGTGTGTTATGAAGAGCTACTGAAATTATCGGAGTTGGTCTCGAGAAAAGAGCGCGTTGCCGCCCGACGTCATGTCCAGGTATCCGAGGAGGACGGGACTACGTACATGATACCGATCGTCCGAAGATGATACGCACTGATCGGCCTCGGATTGACAAAGTCTAGCTCCGTGATGGCACTGCTCTACAAGAGCCGATGGCTATCAATTCACTGTCGACAGTGGTACCGACATGAAATCCTTGCTTCACCTACCTCCTTCACCTACCTCCTTCACCTACCTCCTTCGCCTACCTCTTCCAGAGTGCAACTCACCCAAGAGCTGAAAAGGCAGTCATGCTGTCGATTGCCACTCCCTTATGGTTGGCATGGCTCATTGGAGCGCAGCGCGTATTATCTGGGCCTATCGTGACTCTTCGGAATGGGACATACGAAGGCAATCACTTGTCAAGCAAAAAGCAAGACATCTTTCTTGGTATACCTTATGCGCAGCCCCCAATCGACCGTTTACGATTTCGAGCACCACAGCCACTGAATGGTATCTGGTCCGGCAACAGAGCCGCTACTGAGTACGGCGCAGTAGTACGTCTTGGATCAATCATCGATTCACCGCCTTGAGTATTCTTGCCGAAGCCAATTTGTGGCATTGCGGTGTATGCAATTCACGACGCCACCATCCTACGCACCGATGTCAGAGGACTGTCTCAGTCTCAATGTGATATGTCCGGAGCAAGCAAAAGCCGGCAAGTTGCCAGTTGCTGTGTGGATCCATGGCTTAGTGCTTAGAGCGCGGCCGCAACCCCGTCCGGACACATGCTAATCAGAGACAGAGGAGGCCTTTACAGCGGCGGCTCCGCGAATCCGTCGACGAATCTCACACATTCCGTGTACCAGTCAACACTCGCAGGAAAGCCAATCATTGCCGTGTCGCTCAACTACCGTCTGACCGCTTTCGGTTTCTTGTCAGGCAGTCCGGAAGTGAGCAAGCATGGAAGCTTGAACAACGGCCTTCGCGACCAGCGCCTAGCACTTCGCTGGATCCAAGAGAACATCGAGACTTTCGGTGGCGACCCAGCCAAAGTCATAATCTGGGGCGAGAGCTCCGGAGCGCTGTCTGTAGGTAAGCAGCTCATAGCTTACCAAGGCCGCAATGATGGACTTTTCCGAGGAGCCATAATGGATTCTGGTGGCATGGTCGAGAAGTGGCCATACAATATTGCTAATGCTACCGCGTATGGAGAAGACCTCTATCGCAACCTGACGGCCACTACCGGCTGCCTCAACGAGACAAGCTCATTGGAGCGTCTGCGCGATTTACCAATCGAGCAACTGTCTGCTGCCCTGAAATATAGCGCTACACCCGTCTTTGCGGGCACCGGCCTCGGACCATGGCTGACGGTGGTCGACGGTGAGTTTCTCCAGGATAGGCCGTCTGAATCGCTTCGAAAGGGACAATTCAATAGCGATGTCGCCATTATGTACACGACCTTGACGGACGAAGCACGGTCTTCCTATGGTCAGGTTCAGTCAATACAGATAGCGATTTTGCCAGGCTTATCGCATCGGCGGGACCCGATGAGCAGGCCATCGAGACTCTTGAGATACTGTATCCAAATGTCAACGCCGTGGGTCTGCCCATGGACTACCATCCGACAGCCAGCGACGATGCTGCCCGAGGTGTACAGTATAAGCGTGCAGTTGCGTTTCTGACCGACGCAGTGGAAACAAGCTCGCGTCGATTGACACTCGACACGTGGGCCAAAGCAAATGCGACTGCGTATAGCGCCCGATTGGACCTGATTCCCATGGATTTGCCATCTTACTTGGGCGCGTTCCATGGGGCAGATCTGAATATCGTCTTCAACAATATTAACAGCACGGGCAGCAACATCGGTAGCACGGCCTATGCAAGCCCGCAGTTCCGGCTAGCATCCGAGCTGATGAGCCGATCTTGGGTCTCATTTGTACATGACCTGAACCCGAATGGGCATGGTGGTAAGAGCTCTATTTTCGTTCATGATTCGATGCTGACAGCTGACGGCCCTCCCAGTCCCGCACGTCCCGAAGTGGCCAGCGTGGCAGATCGAAAACTCCGCCGAAGTAGGCTCCAGCTTTGTTTTTGTCGCAAAAGCCAACGATAGCAGAAGCGCCTATGTTGAGCTTGACACCTATAAGCTGGCACAGACCAGGTATATCAATAGCATCTGGAGCACGCAATTGAATTACTAGTGGGAAATGTTACGGATCATGGGCTTTCTATGTCCTGAATAGTGGAATGGTTACTACTGCAGAATCCGTGCCTGAGTATAACCACAGCCTTGGGAATTCAGTACGGGTTGTCAAACTGAAAGTCGAGATCAGTCGGTTCCGCAAAGTCGAGTACCCCGAGTCCCGTAAGGCCCATTAAATACTCATGATCGTCCTCAAAGATAGAAGGAAAGTCGTATGGGATGGTTGCATTCGATCGCAGTATTGAATCGCACTGATCTGCCAGGGCAGCTCCAATAGATGTCTGAGGCAAGGTTTCCTCATATGAAACTGCCTGCTTCGTAGCCAATGAGTTGCAGGTAGCATCGGGAAAGGTGACACCAGAGACCGATGGTGGTGTCGGCGGGACTGAGATATGCCCTTGTCCAGCGTTCTGAGATGACCTGGGTCCGTCTTGAAACATTTCTGGTTGTGCTGCATGCGTGTTTCGTTCTGTGTCCGAATGACTCGCTGTGGTCAGCCATTGTGCCCATTGGTGATAGTCGGACCCATCGAACGGAGGTACGTTCGGCGTTGACTTCTCGTTCGATCGTGTGCGATTGTTCCTGATCTTAGTAGTCGCTTCAGCAACAATGGCTCGTACTGCTTCGACAAAGTGAACGCCTTTCTGTGCAGTGGCGTTCTTCCCTGCCATCAGCTTGAGGTAGTCGAGGCCGACCGCAGCCACCAGCTGGCAGTCGTACTCTCCGGGAATCAAGCCCGCTACAAGAAGCACGATTGTAGCAATACTGCAGCCTTGGAAATCAGTGAACGAGAACCTGGTTAGGTTGCCAGTGTTATGCAAATCGTCGAACAACCGGAGCATCTTCCTGGCAGGTTTAATGCACGATTGCGCAAGTGCGGCGACGTCAGGATCGACAACCACTGGAGACTGACCGGGACGAAGTGCTGAGTCCAGGTGAGCCCTTGCAACAGTGACCACCGAGATTTTGCCCATTGCGATCCATGCGAAGTAGTAATTCAAGTAGATATGTGTGGTAGCACGATAGTAGGAGGATTTAGCGTGAATTTTATCTCGTCTGAGTGCAGTCGGCAGAGACTTCTTCCACTCTTTTAGTCTTGCCTCGAAGGCCAGACGTTGTTCGATGTCCAATGGTCTAGCGGAAATACAGCTATCAGTCGTGATACTTGTTGCAACGACTCACAAGACACTCACGGATGATTTGAGAGGTCGTCTAGGACTTCAATCAATTGCGCATTTGCAATCTGAAGCAGAAGATTGTTAAACTTCTGGCTCGAATCAATGTAATCACAAGCTTCGGGTAATGCGACCGAGATCTGGCTCCCGTCGACTGATTGCGGCCTGCTGAGCTTCACTGTGAGCGTTCTTTCGAGAGAATATACAGACCACCATAAGCGTCGGCGCACTTCTCGGTCAGCATCGCCTAATGTAGGGTCCGAAACTTCCCGATGAAAGTCAAGTGCCATGCTTTTGCGTAACGCAAGACCCATATACACGTAGGCAGCGCTGATGGCGCTAGCTGGCATCAGATAGACACCCAGAACAAAGGCCGCTTGGACCGAGGCGAGAGACGCAGAATCAATGATGTCGCCCATGAGCAATCTAGCCTGGTCATAGAAGACACGCCCGGGATCGCCGGTTTGTAGTGGCGGCGACGAAACACCATCCGATGGCTTGGCGAGCGACGTCCATTGGCTACCAAGAGCAAACACTGCAAGTGCAAGGCAGATGAAGCTTGCATCGTTGCGAAGGCGCGATGCTGGGTTCTCGTACAAGTCGTCTAGATCAGCTGTGAAGCGCGACTGGTTGAAATAAAAGAAGCAATCTGTGCCATGCTCTACACAGACAGCCACCAGAAACAGTGAGATAGACAATGGAGGAAATTTTGAGAATGCTGCATGCGCACGTGCTCGCTCGCCTGGAGAGTTGGATGGAGCGCTCTGGTAACGTTGATGTCTCGCTGCGCCAACTTCGGGTACGCTCTGTGGCTCCAGACAGAAGGCTTCGCGCAACCTGGCAAGAAAACCCGCCAAGCCAGAGGAGTCAGAGGTTGTTAAGGTGATGTCAGCGGCGACCGCATCTACCTGCTGTTGTCTCATCGCAACAGGAGTCTTTCCGGAGTGGTCATCGAGCTCGGGATCCAGACGCATCAGACCACTCGAATCAGCGTGCTGCGAAAGAATCGCCGTTATTGAAGCGGTTTCGCCATCAACAAGACTGCAGTGGTACCCACCAGTCTGACATCTTTGGCACAACCCGTCAGGAGTCTCGATACACTTGTGCTTGCGCTTTTTGCAGCGGTCACACGCCCTGAGAGCACGCTTCCGGTCCTTGTCGGCAATCCGCCGGCCGCGACGTCGGAGTTCTTTTCTGGAGGTGCTGGCATCCATACTTTTCGAGTACACCTGGAAATAACAGAGAGCGGAGCAAAGAGACTCGCAGGATTGCCGTCGGGGGCTGTCGTAATGAACCCTTTGTTGTTGAGATGTATCGCGACTCGAGTGGAGGACTCCCGTCTTGTTCTCGGCTAGCGCGTCTGTTAGATATTTAGCACAAGCGAGATAAGCTAGTACGAGCTAATGATCTTAGTCACAAACCGATAGTATAGAGCGTATAAGCACAACTAATATCCTAGCGCTGTTTAGAGTATATAATAGTATTAGTTTATATAGATAACTAAAAACAATATATCTAAATCTTCCTCTTTAATAACTCGAAATCCAGCTACAGGCAGAAAAGTCGCCACCCTCCATGGATTGGGCAATCTCACGATGGGAGGTCGCACTTTCTGGACGGATGTAGTCATTGGTGTAGGATGTTATGGAGCCGTTGGCAGGCACAATCGTCTCGTGAGATCTAGTCGACTTGATGTTGCTATGTTGAGTAATTATGATCCTGTGCTATTCCACGGTACTTTCGTAGATGAATGTAAACGGAACAGTATCAGGGTGCTCTCACTACACGTTGTGGGTCACTGTGCACTCCGTTATACTGAAGTCTCCGGCGCAACAGTAGTTGAACAAGCGCACAGACTGCCAATCTGTTTAGCGCTTGCAAAAGTGAAGTTGACGCTGTTGTCGCTTTCGTTTTCAATCACCAAAATCTGTTATCGCTATCGTCGAGGAGCAGCAGTCCGTGAATCACGGTTGCCCTGCTCCCTCGATAATTCAGCGTGTGTCCATCGGTGAGACGCCTGGTTCCCCATCGATTGTCGGCGCAGGTATGGACAAGCTGTACTGAACGATCCCCACGACCTAGCCTCTCATTGGCGGACGAAGCCACTGCATCGGGTAAGGCATTAATCAGCAATCTGGGTTGGGTGAATGCATGCTCAAGAGCCAGATATTACTTCACCTGAGTAATGCCTTTTGTTAAACCGGACGAGAGTACTCGATGTGTGTGCGCACACAGTCATGGTGCAGCGAAAGACTCTATCTTGGTACTCACACTTAACGCCTTCATCTACATATGCCATGCTAAGTTTCTTACTAGTCCCGAATGCCACACGCGGCATATAAAGTGTCGTGGTGGCACTCCATGTAATCAGTGCCAAAGGATCGGCAGAAAATGTAGCAAAGACGACGGGATTGTGTTCGTGCAGAACAACGGTCTCAATCAGACGCCTGACAAGAAGCAGCCCAGGTGCGGCACTCGCCGCGAACTAGGTATGAGTTGCGCTGACTGCATGCGGCCAGAGTCACTTTCGTCGGGTCTGATATCGATGCAAACCATTCGCCCACTGGTGTTCCAACCTGGTCGCCCGTGATACAACAACATCTAGCTCCAGTATGGGATTACCAAGAGCGACTGCTCGACCACTACTCAACAACGCTGGCACCGTGGCTCGATACCTCAGATCCACTGCAGCACTTCACTATCGCCATTCCTGCCCTAGCACGGTCATGTTCGGCCTTATTGCTTGCCATCATGGCAGTAGCGGCAACGAGTATGGAGACTTCGGGGAGTGAAGTGTTAGCTGCCAGTGGGCGCGGCGCAGCTGGGAATGACTATAGGCAGGCCTGCTGGCAGGTCCTCCGCCCTTACTTGATCGCGCAGGATCTCAAGCCACAAATCCTAGCCGCAATCGTGCTAATGAGAGTGACTGCACAGACAAGCCGTACGAGATCTCGTCACGCCCGCTCTAGGCATTGCCTTCACGCTGACAAATTTCACACAGGTCATGAAACCCATGCCGCAGGTGCCGAGGATTCCTTGCCTAAACTGCAAGTATTTGCTGATGCATGGGTGGCGGATCACTCTTCAGCCCTACACGGCGCCATCTTTCTTAACGCAATGCAACTCGATATTCGAGTAGCGTGGCTGCATCATCAGCCCATTCCACGCCTGGGCATTAGTGCTTGTTTGATGAAGAAAGTCTGCACCAGTATCGACGATCCGCGACTTTGGGACGCTCGAGCAATCATGCTTGTGGCTCAGGTCCTGAGGTACTGCTATGGTTCTGCCGAAGACAGAACGCTGGACGCTTGGTTGGATCTCAATGTCCAGTCCGAGCACTGGATCGACTCGCGCCCTGGATCTTTCGATCCGGTGATGGATGGGGGTGCTAATCGAGAATACCCATTCGGGAGACTAGTCTATCGCGATGACATATATGGTATGCTACAACGTCAATTTTTCGATGCTGACATATGCTGATCTTCAACAGCTTCTGCGCAACTCCATTATGTGCTTGCCCGGCTTCTGCTCGTCAACCACGCCCCTCGCGAGGTCAATGCATGGGTCTCCGAAACTCGGCGTGAGGTATGATCTCACTCGGAAAGCCCTAATGCAAGATCACATCACTGATAATTCGCTCTGTAGCTCGAGACGCGGCGACTGTTCAAGCAGTGTCTGGCTATAGCGGGGGGTCACCCACATAACCCTAGCATCGTGCTTTCGAGTACGCTGCCACTCCCAGAATGTAAGGGTTTCAGGCTTGACGCAATGAGACCAGCTGCTGATATTAGAGATTTACAGTCAGCCACCTTCTACAAGACCCGAATGAGCACGAAGTCATGAGCCGCCTGTCTCGGTCTGTACAAAGTAGTTTTCCTGGACTTTATCGTGCTACGACGCCGAAAGTATCTTCGGAAAAGAGTGGAATGAGTCGGTATGCGGCCAATGTGACCTCAGACAAGTAGCTATCCTTATGTCGTGGCCACCAACCGTATCACGACAGTTCGTGCAACGGTATAAATCACCATGACTTACCTAACTTCCGTAAGGATTGCGAATACGTCGTATAGCAAGCCGTGAGTCTCGCATAGTCGCATCTGCCCTGACTGTGAATTGGCCTGCTAAGCGTTGGCTGCTCAGAATCTGCCCTACTTGCTACCCAGGTCGAGCCTCGCCAACTGCGCCTTCGATCTTGGGTCTGCACTAAACCACTGTGGGAAGCTTCGTCCGCCATGCATTGCGCTAGCGACCATCGACATGAGATGCTTATGAAACTTTGCCCATTTGCATTGCACGATGTCATGCCGAGTCCGACGCATTGAAGAGGCTGATGAATCGAAAGTTATGACATGTGTTGTATAAGATTAACAATCTTAACCATGATTAATCACACAAGTTTGTCCTTGGCTTCACGTGCGGCCTACAAATAGGTAGCAGTCTCCCTTCACTTACAACATCCAACTCAAACCAAAGATTACGCACTCGACGAAATTTTTCACACTGTACCAAAAGCATCCATCAGAACAACGACAGTGACAGACCTCTTCCATCATGCCGTCCTACGTCGTCATCGGAGCTGCCCGCGGCATAGGTGTAGGTCACTCTTCCGATCATCTTCCAGGAGACTACTAATAGACCTGTAACAGTTTGAGTTCGTGAGGCAGATTGTAAGCTTGCGGCATATAGCAAGATTCGACTCCAATGACTGACCCCCAACCAAAGGCGGCAGACTCGGCGAACACGGTTGTGGGACTCATCCGCAGCCAGAAAACAGCCGACGCTCTCAATGAGCTGGCAAAGCAGAACTCCAGAGTGCACGTTGTGGAGGCCGATATATTCAGCCCGGAGAGCCTGCGCGAGGCGGTCAAGGAAGTCGTGAGGATCACGGATGGAAAAGTTGACGTCCTCATCCACAATGCTTATTCCGCTGGGACGTCGAGCATGTTTTTGACTGCAAGCCAGTTGTACGTTCGCTCTCCTCCCATATATCCGAGAAAGATACTGATGACACTCCAGCGCCGGGAAGGAATCCGAGCTTGAAGCCGAACTCACAGATACAGTATGCAGTGATATAGACTTCGGACGTCCTGGTCCCTGCCTACTTTGCTAACACATGACCCAGTTTAAAGCCAATGTGATGGGCCCAATCCTCAGCATCAACGCCTTCCTCCCACTCGTTCGCAAGGGTACCGAGAAGAAGCTAATCTACATCACATCTGGAGCCGGAGATGTGGATATGACTAGGCTGAGCAGGCTGTCCGCTCAGATTGGATACTCGACCAGCAAAGCAGGCGGCAGCCTCGTCATGGCCAAGTACGCTGGTGAGCTGGCGGAGGAAGGCATTAAGACTTTGTCCATCTCTCCAGGATGGGTCGAAACACCTGCTAGTAAGTGGCTGTCACAAACGCAATCTCCTGAGTGTTGTGTCCTGGCTAATAATCCGCGAAGCCGAGGGTCTCACGCAAGACCAGGGAGTATATGATTATCTCTTCAACGCCTTCAAGAGGATTCAGCCCGATGTGACAGGTATGATCAAGGTCGAGAAGTCGGTCAAGGCGCAAATGGATCTTATTGCAAAGCTCGATGCGGTCATGAGCGGCAGTTTCCTTAGCCATCACGGCAACAAGCAATGGGTGGACTAGGCGCAGAGTGGCAGGGCGCGAATAATGGGAGCAGAAGCATTGGGCCTATCTGGATTCCTTTTTGGAACAACTGCATCCATATCTCTGGGGCTGGGCCGGAAAGACAGTGGTCAACGACGGCGAGAGTCATTTGTCGCTTGATCAGATGCTTGAGCAATATGGTCGTTAATCACTTCATGGTGTCCTTGCTGCTGGAATGACGCATCCAGTTGGTTTGACTGCAGATCCACCTTGAACCGTCCTCTAGTCCGATGTTGACGTTGTCATTGCAAGGACCGCTGCCTCCAACACGAGCGCTGTTGCCGTTGCCCGGGGTCATCTGATCAGTGTATGTGTTCTTGCATGATTCGCATAAGCTGTGTACTGCCCGAAGCCTGCGCAATCTCCAACGGTGTGACAGATACCATGAAGTCCCTTTTCAACATGTTCTTGAGTTTCTGCTTTGTCTCCTGCCGCTGTAGCGATGCAGGTACATCTGCTGCTCGAACCTTATTCTTACTGCTTACCTTCGCACCAGCTGTCAACAGCGCCTTCACAGTAGCTGCACCAGTTCGTTTGCTTGCAGCTAGCCTGACTGCGAGACACAGAGCGTCTTCTTCACCGCTAGAGACGAGTTTGTCGAGGTTGCATCTCTGCGCGAGCTGCACTTCAGCATTGTTCTTGAGAAGCACAGGTATAACGTCTGGACGGTTGTACCAGATCGCTGTATGCAGTATGGTTTGGCCACGATGTAGTGTATCGAGTGGCGATGCTCGATGCTTGAGGAGGAAGTCGACTAGAGTGCAACGGACCATTGTGCCCACTTGAGGATTGCGTACTATCTGTCGAAGAAGGGTGCATGTATATACCCCACTGTCATCCTTGAAGCCGGTCGGTTCAGCGTTATCTTCGCAGAAACCAATTGGTTGATCAATGACCCAGCCATGATCCAGCGCATGCGCGATGCACGCAATCATGTCGGAGGATTCTGTCGCAGGAAAGGCGGTACACCAGGGCTTCTCCAGCCATATGGCGAACGGATAACAATTCCTCACGTCACCTCCATAGCCGTTCGGCCTGCCAGATACGAGCTCTGCACCATGCTCTAAGAGCAATCTTACCATAAGTGGTCGCCGAGTGGCCATCGCAAGATCGAGTGGCGCATACCGCATAGTTGCTTTGGTGCGTACAACAGAGTTGACCTTCCATCCCTGTTTAAGGAGCGCAGCTGCAACCTCCAGGTCCCCAAAGCAGGCAGCATAATGAAGTGCGAATGAGTCTCTCGAAACCGCCATCTGATCGTCGGTCGTAATCACCGAAAGTGCAAGCTCCAGGTCGCCTCCGCATATCGCGCGCTCCAACATACCTCTAGGCTCACGTCCTACGTGGGTGAGAATTACCTCCCTAGCCGACCTGTCTACAGAGGACGCAACAGATGGCGTGATGCCTTGAGTAATGATAGAGTCTGTACGATCGAAACGCTCAGACTTGAGGCCACCGGCTTCCACCACTTTATCGGATTGAGTTGCCACCGTGTGAAGGTGTACCGGCTCAAGTGAGTTAACCTTCTCAAAGGTATACTCGTTCGTGCGCGAATCCCGTGACCCATGTCGGCTCTCCGAAAAGTGCAAGGACATCCCAGAATCTAGGCGCTCTGTCGGTAAGTCTGGCAAGCTATCGGACCTGACATTAGCCGACTGTTGAATCGTGGTGGATTGGGAGTCTAAAGTTTCCGCAATACTCCCGACATCCACATCGCCCAAAACCATAGGAGATCTTGGTGTTGGAAGCACCTGCAAGCTCTCACGCAAGGCTGTTCTGCGAGGTTCTGGTATCATGCCCATCAAAACCTTCGCTCGCGGGGCATTGCCTTGCACAAAATGTACATGAGCCATGAGGGCGAGCGACTCGAGGTAGGAATCGTGTGTCCTCCCCAGAAGTTTCGACCTAGCCTTGAGAGTACTCTCGCAGGTCATTCGGGCTGGTTCCAATTCACCTTCTCGCAGGTGCAACTGCGCCAGCAGATGAGCAGCATCATAGATACGGGCCTTCTGTTCGTCCGACGTCGGTGTCTGGCCTACGAGGCTCATGAGGGCTTCTTTGGCGATCGCTGGCTCCCTAGTGTGGTATGCACAGACGGTAAGCCTATACTCAAGCTCGAATATATCACAACCAGTCCGATGCTTCGGCGAGAGAGTCTTGAGAGTTGAAAGAGCCTCTTTGAGTAACGCCTCTGCCTCTCTCCAATCTTCCTGGTCGAAAGCTTGCTGGCCCTGCTCGAGGGCGGCTTGAGCAATCTCCAGTGAGAAGTCGTCCTCCTCGTCATCTGTCTCATCGGTATTCTGGCACAAACGGTCATCCTCGTCCTGGTCGATCGGTGTCGTAAGTACGGCACTGGTCAACGGTAGGTCGTCGCCGCTCAGGATGCTGGGGATCTGTGTCTCAGCATCAGAAAACGCAGACCGCTCCGTGTCGCGACGCAGTGACTCCACATCGACAGTCCACTCCGCGACTAGCTTATTAAGTCGAGCTGCCTTCTCACCACTTTGCATGTCCCCCCCAGCCGAGCTCTCTTCGCACAATGTCTTGCCGCTCCGCATGATGTCCTTTGCGCATTGTATGAGCTCTACCTCACTGGGTGTCATGCCTTTCTGTCCGCTGAGTTGGTACTCAGATTGAAGCGTCTGTATGCCCATCTTCAGGTCCTCAATCTTATCGCCAAGATCATCAGTAACGATCTTAGGTGCGAGATAAGCAACCTTGCTGTTCTGCAGTCAGCTTACGTACACTACACAAGATGCAAAGTTGGGCTGAGTACGAACATGTTGACCATCTGCAACGCCATTTGCAAACTCTGCGTGTGTACATGTAACCGGTGTTGTATTGCTGCCAGCCCATCTTTATTCCTGTCGAGATGGATTTGCTTACGAGCCCTCTGGAAGAAATCCTTGCTCTCGTTGTCGTCCTCACCAACGATCGCTCTCAGGTCGCGCACGGTGTTTCTAGTTGCGACAAGCTGTAGGGTGACACTCTTCCACAAGGATCCATCTTCATCGTACTTGCTGTTGCCGTCTACGCCTTGAGCAGGCAGCACGCCTTCGATTTCTTGGTTGATGAGGTTGCACGCATTACTGACGGCTATCGCTTCCGCCCCCAAACTGCTTATCGTTTGCTCAACCTTTGAAATGGCCTTTGCAAGCTTGCATAGGTAGCTGCCTGTCTGCAGCGCCATCTGTGCAATCTGTAGCGCTGCTGACGCGGTGCCAATGGCGGTGATGGGGTCGGCCATAATCGTGCCTCAAACACTACATGGTATATCTCGCGAAAGAACGAGAAGAGGATTGCACGCGCCATTTACCACACAGCCTCGTGGTACAGGCCACTTATAAGGCTACGGTCTGGTGACATAGACCAGGGCGGCCTCATGTGGTAGCTTCAATAAAGCTCATTTCCATGTTCGGCATGATTGGGCGTCTTTTGTGACTCGATTGCGACTTGTGGCTTGCAGGCTTGCGATTTAGTTCTGTTCCGGAGGCTGTGCAATGCTAGGCGTCATCGCGAACATTCTTATTCGGCGGAGTCTGGAGGGTATGTACTGGCAACATTGGCAAGCTTCGAGAGACCAGTCGCTCATTGTAAGCTCGAAGTCGATGACTTCGTATAAATCAAGAAACCAGATGATCGCATTCTTGAGGTCTCGACGGCTGAACAACCAAGCCGGATTTCCTCGCTGCCTTTTGCTCGCATGCTATGTGCTTCAGCACAGTGTCCTGGGAGCTCATCTGCAAGACAAATATACTTTGTGATCGACTATGACCAAGAATGAACTGGTAATATGCAATATCGTATGATGGTAACATTGAAACGACGATACGAGCGACTTCGTTGGTGAGGAATGAGAGATGAGGGGCTGAGTCACGCGGGAAGCGGCGAGGCCCACAGTACATCGCTCTCTTTGCCTCACATTGCTGTGCCTCACACCTTTCGCGCTCCGGAATACTGTCCATCTACAGTCGCGGCGGATACTGCTACCGCCTTTCATAAAGGCAGATTGCTCCTTGCCACGCTCCACCCTTTGCACACTCTACTGTGCAAACATCACCTGGATCACATATGGTCATAACCAGAAATTGGATCAAGCCATGCTGAAGGACACTACAGTGGCTATACGCAAAAATGCACGCTGACTTGCGGCCTTTCAATCCAGGGGGGCGGGGGGGCGAGCAACGAACAGCAACTGACGCGGGTATGGGCTGACCGTCCGCCTTCCCACATTGTGGCGTCGAGCTGATTAGCGTGCATGCTCAGGCTGCTGGAGCTGGAGCTGATTGCAATCGTGGACGTGGACAGAACGACCTGAAGCTCTGTCGGCACGCTCAGCGCCACGCGCCTAATTGGGGCCGATCCGTTGCCTTCTTTTCCTGTTCCTCGCATAAGAATTGACATTTGGGTGATACCTGATGGGCTGATGACCAATCAGTCGCTACCACTCGCGCCGTCGCTACTTTATGGTTGCCTTTTTCATGCACTTGCCATGCAGGAGGTCGCGCAACGAAACGATGAAGCGGGGTTGGATGCCATGCCTCGAGGGTGTCCTGTCTGCACCGAGTCGACTTCCGAGTGGTACAAGTAGTATGCATGGCAGTCTGAGACTGGCCTTGGCTCTTTTCACACCCTCCTGCCGCAGCACTGCTGTCCTTGGCTCCCATGAGTGCACGCGCGCCGACCACGTCGAGGGGTCCTCAGAGCTATAGCTACAACAAACTCCAAAACAGACAATGGTCGCGCATCGTGAGGCTATGGCCGGCGCCAGAACGTCAGGTCGACATTGACTGCGAGATCATCGAGCTTCCGTCACTCAAGCGGAGTACCACGCAGAGTGATGCAGATCCTACCAGCAATGTCCCAGCCACTGGACAGGCTACCAAAGTTATCAAGGGCCTTCCAGGTTACGACGCACTCTCGTGGTACTGGGGCGAGAACAAGAAGGACCGTCACATTCGAATCCACGTCGCGGACGAAGCACGCGAGTTCCCATTGTCGCAGCATCTGTACGATGCACTGCACTCCCTGCGTGACAAGTACAAATCCAGATATCTCTGGGTAGACTCACTCTGCATCGACCAAGATAATGTCGAGGAGCGAAATCAACAGGTGCCTCGCATGAGTGAAATATATGGAGACGCTGACAATGTATGCATCTGGCTCGGTGTCGCCACCGCAGAGTCGACGGAAGCATTGAGATTCGTCAAGAACGAGCTCAAAATACCATGGAAGCTGGGTGAGGTGTGGAGGTCGGCACGTCACCATGGATCGTGGGTGGCGCTACTGGAGCTGATGAAACGCGACTGGTTTTCAAGAAGATGGGTTGTCCAGGAGGTCGCTCTCGCCAAGAAAGCGACCATCCATTGCGGGCGGAACTGGGTTAGATGGTCTGACTTCGAAACCGCGGTTTCAATCTTCGTCGAGCTCGAGATGGCCACGAGAAGGCTACCCGCTGTACCACGCGCAGACCACACGGCTCTCAGCGCTGCCGAAGATAGAAGCACTTTCAAGAGTGTGCCCAATGCGGGCGCCAGTATCCTTGTGGATATTACCAGCCGTCTGTTACGCAAGACCGTAGCCGGAGTCCATCAACGATCTATTTCACTGGAGGAATTAGTGGCGAAGCTGGCTGCTCAGGAGACCAGCGAACCTCGCGACATCATATATGCACTGTTGGCTTTGGCCAAAGACACTCAGCCATCCTTGGAAGGCATCGCGACGCAGATGGATGGAAACGACGGTCTAGAGCTGACTCCAGCTCAGCAGAAATCATTACAGCTTATTGCTCGTCTGATCCCCAACCCTACGCGCAGACGCTACGTCGTTGAGTACAAGCAGCCAATTGTTAATGTCTATCAGCAATTCATCGCCTTCTCGCTATCGCAAGCCGATCCCACACGTGCGCTTGACGTCATCCTACGACCTTTTGCCAGGACGTTCAAGGAGTCCCAGAACTATACTTTCGACAAAGATGCCATGACGCAATTTCGGGAGTCGGGAAACGTTGATGTAGAGATACGCCTACCATCGTGGATCCCAAATGCCAAGCACTTGCCCTTCCAGCCATTGCTCCGCCGAAGACAGACGCTTGAAGACACCGGCTCAAGTGATCAGATTTTTATCCACTCTGTGGAGCGCCAAAAAGGCGAGTCTTTTGTCGGAGCACCAGGATCAAGACAGACGAGCTATTGTGCAGCTGGCACTCGAGCTTACGACAGGAACAAAGTACGCTTCCGCAAACGATCCGACCACTTCAGTCTGTTTGCGGAAGGCTTCATCCTAGACACGATCTCCGTGGTCGAGGGCCCCGCAATCATGGGCAACATACCCGGCCGGTGGACTACGCGATGGAAGGATCGTGTAGCTCATGACTGGGACACTGTATGGAAGACATTAGTAGCCAATCGCGACAGTGAAGGTCGTAATCCGCCCCCATTCTATGCATCAGCATTACTCGCGGCCTTCGAGTACAATCCTGAGGATACTAGCTACGATACCGAGTCGATATCCAGAGAAGGCGGAGCAGAGTTGGTTGCCAAAGCCATGCTACGTGTCAAAGCCACCATATATGAGAGATGCTTGATTGAGACAGGCCGTAGAATGCTGGGACTTGCCAACTCAGATGTGGAGCCTGATGATGTCGTTTGCATTCTTTATGGCTGCAGCGTCCCTGTTATTATGCGCAGAAGTGCACAGAAAAGCTCAGACGCTATTGACAAGGAGAAATTGCAAGATGAAGCGGATCATCGTGAGCGCCTTGTCAGAGTCCGCCCTTTGCTCGAGCGAATCTTCAAGCGTCGTCGGACACGGCGTGGAGCTGATCATGGCAACGAGTCGGTTCTAGGCCAAGCGGAGCTTCCAGCACATGAAGCTTCAGACACTGCGCCAGCCGGTGGCCAGTCTCCAACCAATAATGCTGGCGAAGGCACGACTGACGTTGATACCCTGCGAGACCATCGTGTACCCGATGAGCCGGGAGTAAGCATCATTCATGATCTCGCCGATCCAGTGCAGACGGTGGCAGGAGCCTCAGATGCTCGGGAGCTCGATCGTCCTGCAGATGTCGTTGGCGACCACATGCAGCCACACGCCACCTTGGACAGGATCCGGACTCAGCTTGTCGATCGGCCAGCCATCCTACGGCTGATAAGCCTACCGGCTTTTGCCTTGCTTGCGGCGCTGTTGCTTGGCGAGCCCATGGTCGCTTATATCGTCACCGCCATCGCCGGCACACACATCATCTACGATGCCTCGTCGCAGTTCGTCGAAAATACGTCGCTCGCCACAATCATGTCTGTTGGCTCACTGGTCGCAGCTAGTGTCTTGGGCTCGATCGCGCTGCGAGTGTCTCCGACGATCTTCTGCTTAATCTTTGCAGCTATCGCCTTGCTCTTTCCAGAAATGTTCCCACCTGGCGTTCTGGATTTACAACAAGTGCTCGTGCTTTTTATTGCATCACTTGTCGTAATCAAGAGCGATCTACTCGATAGGCAGCTACAAAGGGATGCTTCGGATGCACAGCATGACATTCTGGAGGCTCCCCATGGTGGAACAGATAATTCTGCGGAAGGCAACGGGACCAACAGTCATAGCATTGCGAATGTCCACTCCGACACCACAGCAGCGGAGGCTCATGTAACGCAGCCAAAGGAGCCAGATATAGCGGGCAATGGCCACGTTCGCAAGCAGTCCCGTCCAGTCAAACCAGCGCCGAAGCCCGAGGATTCTAATGCGGAAATCAAGCCGCCGAAATACTTCTACACTCTGATTGGTGAGGCTTACATACATGGAATGATGGATGGCGAGGCTATCGAATGGCAGAATGAAACTGCTCTACCGCAGCATGGGCCACGGGTGCAAGCCGAGATTTTTGAAATCAGATGAGCACCTACCTAGCAAGTTCTCAATAATGATCAGAATTTCACCATCCACACCTTACGTAGTGCAACATCTGGTGTACATGTTAATGGTCTCGTTTTATGCCTCGTCCAGGCACTGACTACCGCGGGAAAACAGGCGTTGGAATTTAGCGGGCAGAGAAGGTGTGAACGGCGACATCTGAGGTCGCGGTCTCGAGTGCATGCTGACATGACTGTAGCCGTCAGAGAGCTCACTTGAGCTCGACACGGCATTCCAGAAGTGGGCTCAAGAGTTCGACCTGAAGACGGCGGAGCTGGTTCTTGAGGTAGTAGCCCGGGAGATGGAGAATCATACGTATCTGATGAGGAGATTCACGTTTTGGGTCACAAGGATAGTGGACGAGAACCTCTTCGCCACCATGCTATACAGCGCTCCCACATATCGAGACTACGATTATAAGCTTACTACTGATGACCTCTTGACCTCACTGCCATGTATAACAGCACCCACCTGAACATACTTTGCCCACGAGGCAACATCAAACCGAGTCTCGAATCCTTGGTGGCCCGTCGCACCGACCTTCTCAAGCATACTGGAGTTACTGCCAAGATAGACGTTCCACCCATCTACATCCGTGACACCATTCCAACTCACATAACCGTAGTACGCGCAGCTCCGTCGCCACGTAGGAGCACAACAAGACTCGGCAAGGTCGTGGCCGGTATGGCATGCCACTCTTCTTTGAAACCGCGGTAGATTTGCACTTCGCTGTCGTGGCCCGCTCGACCAGTCCAGCGGACATGACTCCCGTCTGTTGCAGGCCCATATTCTCGAACGATAGGTAGCTGGCCAAATGTGGCGAGCTGATTGCGATTGAAGAGGTTTGGCTGGTAGGAGCCGTGACTGTCCGCGAACAGGGGTGGGTTGTTCACTAGCTTTCGTCGCAAAATCGCGGAGCTACCATTGCTCGGGACCAAGGGAAGATGGTAGACAAGAGTGTCTGTGGGATGCGAGCTGCTGTTGTCCAGTGCCTGATTGTTGTTGTTGAACAATGAGATATCAAAGCTATCATTGTTCACGTTATGTGCTCGAGGGTGATGCTGCCACCTGAAACTTCCTCCAGCTGGTAGGGGACTAAAGTCACCGCCCGTGTCTCCTGCAAAGCGCCAATCAATCTTGCCTGTTGAGTCGAGGTAGTAGATGGTCCAAGTTTGTCGCGAGTTGACCAGAAAGTGGTCACCAAGATTGGCAACAGAATTGATGTGGAAGTAGTCATCAGGCTTTTCGGCAGTCCCAGTGGTGGTTAATGGTTGATGGGAGGCGGTGACAGGCACATTTTCTAACGCACTCCACCTGATCAGGATCTCACCAGTGTTCGGATCGATCTCGAAGAAGAGACAATCGAAGACCCAGCCATCTGCCGTGCCGTTGATAGCGGTCAAGTCGGTTTGTGTGGCGTTGTATGCAGTGACAAGGATTGTGTTGCGATCGGTGAGATATGACTCATGCAAATCAGCTTGGCTTTCGAAAGGCTAATTCCCGGGTATTGTCAGGTTGAAGTGAGGTGCCAATACAGTCTTGACATTATAGCTGGTGTCGAGGAAGGTGACATTGCCGTATCCATGGCCTGTATTGACACCATTGCTCGATACACCACTCCAGAATGTCAAAGTCGGCTCATCGTTGAAAATCTGCCACTTGAAGTTATTGGCCGTTGCAGGCGGGCCAAACCACACAAGCTGGCCATTATCTCGGTAGATTTGTGCCGGCTGCTGCACATTCGTCTTGGATATGCTGATAGTAGGCGTTACGAAGAGAAGTCCAGGCGCAAGAGGCTCTCCAGTAGCATTGATTTCCCAGACTGGTGGATTGTATGGTGCAGATTTGAAGATCTGGTATGGCCAGATGGAGCTATTGCCGCCGCCGCCGCCTACTTCGTGATGTTCGATACCCGATCCTGGATCTGCTGGATCATCAGGATTGACGTAGCCTCCAGGCCACGAAGTAGTATGAGCTTCTGATGCTGATGCATAAGTCAAGCAGCGTGTTGATTGATCATCGAGGACTTCAGTGGATCGTGAAAACGTGTTTCCAGCAGAGATAGAGCAGCCATGACGGCTTGCACGTCAAGCTTGCCAGAACAACATTGTAGATGTAATTTCTGCCATACTATCTATTTCGTACGTAACTGTTTGGCGGAGCGAAGACGTTCAACTCATAGCATAGACGAGTTTCTACAAGCACTGCGAATAGTATGAGTTGCCAACCTTGCAAGTACTCCCGGACTGACAGCAGGTCGGGCCATTCCAGCCCTGGCCACCGCACTGCGAATAGTATTAGTACGAGCACATGATGGTTCGGATTTGCGTTTAGACATGTGACACTTACCTGGCCGTATATGGCAGAACAAGAACCAGTGGGGCTGCTGCTCGCAGGTGCAGAAGAAGTGGGTACAGAAGACGTAGGAGCAGTCGAAGTAGGCTTGGAAGATGAGGCTGTTGATGAAGGACTGGTCCCAGAGCTTCCTCCGTTGCCGGCATCGGAGACAGTGATATCAGCGGATCCCGTGCTGCCGAAGCCTTCAGTGGAGACGATCTGATATGCAGCGGCGCTGAGTGGGTTGTGGTTCAGGCCGTGAGCAGCGTAGGCGTTGTAGTGGTTGGCCGTTGTGACCACACCCAACGAGCGCTTGTTCTGACGGATAGACCAGTTCTGGATGTAGTTGTTGCCACGATTCACAGTGCAGATCTGGTAGCTACTGCCATCTGAGGTGATTGAGCCAACAGTCGTGCCATCGTTGCATGGATTGTATGAGCCAAAGTTCTCGAGGATCTGCGATCATGTCAGAAGGCATGTCTTTACCATGTGGTAATACGACGGCTTACGTAGTTCTCGCCAGAGGTCGACCAGGTATACACAGCAAGGTAGAAGTTTCCACTGGCGCTGACAGTGCCCTGGAACGAGATATTCCTTGGCGTCGCTTGTTGCCAGCCCTTGCCCGATGTCATATCACCAACGTTGGTCCATTGCACAGAATACTCGCCGGCAGCCTTGTTCGTGTAGATAGTATTGCCGGCAGTGCCGTCGTCCCCTTGAGCTCTGATTAGTTGTCGTTTCACTGGTAGACATTGATCGCCTGCATACAAAATTGATAGTAGAATCCATTGTTGGTGCCCGAGCTGTTTGGGCTATTACGCTTAGCGAGCTTGGCTGGAGCTTCAGTTGGGGCAGCAATGGTGCCGACAGCAGCAACGGCTGCGACCAGCGCAGTGGCAAAGAAGACCATGATGGCTGAAGAGAGAAGTGGTGGGAATGGAGATAAAGAACGGCTTGATGTGTTAGGTGTGAAACGAAAGTGGTTGGAATCGTCCACAAGGGCGAAACATGCTCCTTGTTTTATATCTTCTCATGGCTAATGTTGATAGCCGAGCCAAATTACAAGCCTCTTGTAGTGTGCTTGTTCTGGACAGAGTTATTATGATTGATCGTTGCACAGGATCGTGAGATTGTGACAGCCATTCAGCGGGAGTAGCAAATAGATTAAGTCGGCCCCGAGCTGCCGACTTCACGCTCTACCTTTTCCAAGTCTAGACCTTGTGACCATGGCATTGTCGCTGTAGACTTTGGCGAACTGTCAGGTACAAGGAGAGTTGCGACCCGAGAATTTAGCCAGCGAATGTCTTGATCCTTTGCATATGTGTCACGCTCCTCATGGCACGCAGATGCCTAAGTCCAGGCCAGCGACACTGGTTCCTGTCTGCACATCTCATGACCCTTATTTCAAATATGCTTCCGTGCTAGTCTTGCAATCCTGGACTATACAGCAATAGCTAGCCGTACTTCGGATGATAGCCGAAGTTCCGCTCGTGACATGTTAGGCTATATGAACAACGACCCAATACGCTCTAAGGAACTACCTCGTGGTAGCAACCATATATTTTAGTGTCTCGGACGTTTATTGCGGTGTCACAAGTGTGTTGAAGGTATTAATCAGTGCCTGGGGCCCCGGCTTTGGTTGTCGAAAGGTGATTCAGACTTCTGTCAGGAGACGGTGCTAACGATGAAGCGCACAACACACTATGGCATCCTAGCTCGGGGCTAGAGATTGAATAGTCCCTAGATCAACAAATTGTAGTCGACTTGGATGGAGGCGGATACCTTCAGGACAAAGTCGTGTATGCCGATGTTATCGGGTTAGCTTCGAAATGCTCATTTCTTGGACGGAAGGCCGACGTACTGTACGGGTGACAAGGCTCAACCACTCCACATTAAAAAGGATCGACAGACATTGTCCCATAGAATATCACAGCCCAAGTCACCATCGACCCTATCGGCTAAAGAGAAAAGTCTCCCTCGTCTACTATCAGGTGCCATGTACTCGTCCTTTCCGACAACCCTGACGCCGCCTGCATTAACCAAAAGCGCATATCCTTTGTCTGGATCCCAGACATCCCAGGGAGGTGTGCCATCGATTGCGTACCGCAGTATCTTGTCTCGGAAGTTGGATATAACCTCCTTGTATCGGTCATCCAGTCGATCTTCATAGGCACCTAGAAGCGATACGATGTCCCAGGTATGTGTCGTGTACTGGCACACAGGCAATGGCCCATCGAATGGGTTCCCAAGATCGAAGAGCAAGAGGTAGCTTCTACCCACCCACCCTTGAGCTTGAGCGAGAGAAGCAGCGAAGAAGCCAATATCACTTTCGAATTGGCAGATCTTTCTCAACGCCACATCGTCGTCCTGATCGGCTTTGATATCGTAGAGCTCGAGCAGCTCTTGCCCTCTTTCAGGCAGTCTTTGTCGCACAATGCCAATGAAGGTATTCGCATGATCTTTGCGATTTGGGTTGCTGGAAAGCATGTTGTATGATATGCCTCCATCATACGTACATGATCCCACAATCTGCGACTCCAAGTTCTCCGACCCAGGTGCACGATCTCGCATGAGTCTCATACTAAGCATGTCACGATATGGAAACAGCTCCTTTGCTGCTTCGCTGGACGCACATGGAGCGCCGACGAAAACTAGATCTCTGATTCTGTCTACTGGTCGTGAGATGAGCTGTCGAACAACATCGTCCAGGCTCAGGTTCGTTCCGTTGCCGTCATCATCGCGAGCTCTGGACACAACATTCGATAGACCACCCGATGTCTTGAATGGCATAGTCACTAGCGAGCCAGACAACTGAATACTTCGACGCCACAAGTTGTCTTGACCTGACAGGTTGTGTATCGTGAGGCTCATTCCACCAGCTGACTGGCCGAGCGCTGTGATATTACTGATATCGCCACCAAAACCTGGAAGATTGTGCTGGAGCCATTCAAAAGCCGTCAGCTGATCGTGCAGTCCATTGTTCGGCGGCATAAGGCCATCCTCCTTGGTGACGGCATGGAAGAATCCTAGAGCACCGAGGCGATAGTTGATGGACACAAAGATATGTGGTTGTTCATTTTTAAGAGCTTGAAGGCAGAAATTGGCTGGTTCATAATAAGGACGACCTCCAGAGCCGAGGAAGTAAGCGCCGCCATGAACAAAGACGATTACTGGTAATGAGGCGGTCGGTGTGGTATCCGCTGGTAGAGTAATGTTCAGGTTGAGGCAATCCTCGGTCTGTGGCTCTTGAAAGTCTCTCACTCCGTCCAGAGGGAATTGATTGCCTTTGCTGTCTATGCTCGCAGAGTCTAGTGGCTGTATGCTTGCAGGAAGAACTCTTGTTGCATCATAAGGCTTCCCATCTGCTGTAGCAAGTGCTTCAGATAGCACTGTTGAGCGACTGAATCGCTGACTGACTTGTCCGTATGGGATATTGCTTAATCTGAGAAGTTTATTGTTGATGATGCTGCCTTTGAGCTTGCCGAGAAGTGGATGAGTGTACATCGAGTCGAATTCTAGCATCGTCCATGTAGGCTGAGGTTGCAACACTTTGCTAGCAGCGATTGCCTTCGATGAACAATTATGCTGACCAAAACTACTGGTCATCGAAAGTCGAAATGGTGTCCACGCGAGAGCTCCACATTATTGTTAGCGTGCTCCGCAGCTCAGTCGTCTGCCATGGCTTTCGTGTTCGCATCTTATCGAAGCCTCAAGTGATCAATGGGGACCCTACGCTGGTCTGTAGGCGAGCTCGTCCGGCGCTGAACAAGTTGACACCTGGACCATGATAGTCACGACGGACGTTGTCGACTCGTCGTTTCCATCGATGCCGCCAAGATGCGGCTGATTTCTTGGCTTGGCTCTTATCTTTGAGCCGATCGACAAGGAGATGGCAGATCGTGGAGCATCCCTGAGACCATCATCATTCTTAGTATGTTCGCGTGGCAGACGCATGCTGCAGCAAACAAGTCAAGCCACTCCGATGCGCTGATTGGACGACATGAATGGTATGGCTAACTTTGGCGTGCGATGCCAGGACTGCTGGACAACCACGAGAAGACGCTATCCTTGCAAATCTTGCTCACCTCGTCGCGCTCTTAGACATCTCGTAAGCAAGGTGGCAGTACAACAGATACCTCGAGAATTCGGGAACGAAGAATTGGCATTACAGAAGCGTTTATGCCTGGTTGCCGAGGATCTTACACTTCGCTATTGCTGGTTTGCCCACGTGCCAGCACGTCTAGGCCACGATCCCACCTTCGATAGTGCCGCTGATGCCTTAGGCCATGCCCAGCAAGTGTTCCGCGACAGCACTCATACGACGGCGAGACATGCGGCCATCAAAAGTTACGGAAGAACGCTGCAGCTTATCAGGTCAGACTTTGCTGATCCCAGGCGGCGTCGGTCTGACTGGACGATTATAGCAATAGCCATGCTTGGGCACTATGAAATTCTAATGCGCAATGACTGGCAAGCCCATCGGTTACACTGGTCTGGCGTCACGAATCTACTCTTGGACAGGCCTGGCGCAGAGACCACGAGCGATATCGTGCGGGCCCTGCTACACTGTATGTGGGACGAGACATTCAGAATTCCCTGCGCAAAAGGTGTCCCTTCACCTTATGAGAGTGATCGCTGGCAAACTCTGGAACCTTCATTTCGTCAGGTCTTGTCTGGTGCTGTCTCGCGTTTACGCAAGCTTGGCTTACAACTCTTGACTTGCCTGCCTCGCCTGATTGCACTGGTCAGGCAAGAAAACATCACGGACCACAGCGATCAGTCATGTCTAACCTCAGAACTCGCTGACAAGTTCAATCACTTAAAGGACAGTGAAGCGGAGACTGATGTGCTACATTCCGTCAAGATCACTAAGTCAAGTGAATTATTGGACAGCACAGTGACCTCGGTCGTTTTTCATTATCGCTCTGGCCACGATGTTACAGCAGCGGTGCTCTACTGGCAAGGACGACTGATGCTTGTCAATTTGGCTCTGAGGCTGGTGACGAATGGAGTCGACGGCATGTCGTGTCTTGACCGGTCTTCGCTGGAAATAGAGCAGAGTCGTATCATCAAGAACATCATAATGTCCTGGTCGTATGCGGCTGAGCAAGGCGACTTTGGTACAATGGCTTTTCTCCACGCGCTGATCGCGATCTGGGCTGCTCTTGAAACCAGTACTCCGTCTTCAAATGCTCTAGCAGACTCAAGGCGTATATGGACAATGACCCGACTCCATCTGATATTGCGAAGAGAGCCAGGTGCATCAGCGGCTCCGCAGCTAAGTTCGATCGGCAACCAGTTAATGGGTGGTGCGATCGTGGACTGGGAGCCGCTAATGGGTCCTGGATGGTCAAGCCCTGGCTGAGAACTATTTTACGATGCCTACAGCTGGTTATCAACTGTCCTTTCGATCCGGAAATCAGACACCCCACTAGGTTGTTATACAAGATCGCAGGACGAGCCAAGCATCCATGTGCGATGACGCCGACGTGCAGCCACGTGGGGTATGCACGTGGGAAGAAACTCACCTACAACTTGTCTGTACAGACGACGGTAGAGCTCATGAAGTGGGCCGAGCAGATGGCAGGTCTCGTAGTGACGACGCGAAGCTCGTCATATTAGGCAGGTCGACAATGGCGTGAGTAGTGGTATATGAAGCCCAAGATTTCTTCATGAAGTTATGGTCGACCATCATCCTCACTAATGCTGACCATGAGGGCATCTCATATGGCACACATCCTCGCACTGGGCTTTCTCGTCTCCCAGGTTGTTGGCCATGACCTACAGCGCCGCACTTCACCTCTCGACCAGTATCCCAGAAACACCCTTCCGAACCTTGGAGGTCCAGTCTTGTACTACAATGGTACCGGACCAGTTCCTGGTATTGATATTATCTCGCCGCTACCTGTACCTCTGGCGAATCTGACATCGTACGAGGCAATGAACGCTATCGTGCAGGAGATGGTGGCCATCGGTTCCGGCAAGCTTAGTACTGATACATGCTCAATCTGCACTTCAAGCTTAGAGGTCTTACATATCGCTTCACTGAGCTTGTCTCAGGGTGTGCTTACTGGTATCATGATCGAAGTTTGCCAAACCCTGGACTTGACCAGTAAGCACCACGAGAGACCATCACTTTCTATACAATCCCAACTCCTTACTCCTGTCATTAGATCTTGTCGCTCCTAGCACTTGCTCTTCTTACTTCTCCGGGATTGGAGGGCTAGGTCCATACTTTTCACAGCTGCTGCGTAAAATGAGCGCTGCGACTGGCGACATGCAGGCGTTCTGCTTTTATGAGTTCAGTCTGTGCAAAGCACCACCAATCACTGCCGTCGATGAGAACGACTGGTTTCATCCGAAGCCGGTCAATAAGACTGCTGCTCCGCCGCCGTCGGGCAAGACGGCCAACGTGCTACACTTCTCGGACTGGCACAGTACGGTTCCCTTCTTACCATGAGCTTAGGGCAGCATCGCTGATCTCGCCTCTAGTGGACCCACGATTCGACATCGGTTCCGAAGCAAACTGTACCACTGGTTTGTGCTGCCGCTCTGATTCGAAGAATGCAGCCCTACACACGAATGTAACGGACCCGTCGCTTCCGGTTTCTCGCTTTGGTGACTTCTTGTGCGACTCACCACCTGACTTGGCTCTCTCTGCATTTGCCGACATGCGACGCACTGTTGATCTGTCCACTGTGTCTTTTGCAATCTTCACAGGCGATATCGTGTCCCATGATCAGACGGATCAAGAAAGCCGAGCACTGAGTACTTACGAAGAGACAATTGCCTACCAGACTTTCAAGGCTCAGCTCGGCGACGTCCCAGTCTACAGCACTCTCGGTAACCATGACTCGTGGCCCTCTGGCTTCAACACACCTAACAGCTTCCGCAACGATTCTGCGCCGAACACGTTCTCATGGAATTACGATCTTCTATCTTCGCTGTGGCAGCAAGCAGGATGGATCGATGGAAACGAAGCACAGTATGCTGCCAGTCATTACGGCGCTTATGCCCACACTACCAAAGATGGACTCCGAGTCATCTCCATCAACAGCGACTTCTGGTATACGCCTAACATCTTCAATGTGAGCGATAGCCAGCTCGTATATGCAAGACCATACCTGACTTCTACCTAGTACTATAATTATACAAATCCGGATAAGAGCGGCATCTTGCGCTTCCTGACCACAGAACTCCTCGCCGCTGAGGCAAGGAACCAACGCGCTTGGATCATTGGACATGTCCCATCAGGTGGCTCTTCCGCTATCGGCAACCCGTCTGCGCTCTTTCATAGTATCGTTGCTCGTTTCAGTCCAGCCACCATTGCAGGAGTATTTTTCGGCCACACGCATCAGGTAAGAACTTCAAAGCTACCGGCTATTAAGATGTTTCCACTCGTCCGCTGACCGGTATGATCATAACGTGCAGGATGGAAAGCAGCTATACTACGATTTTGCTTCCAGCTCCGCTACCGCGAACTCATCCAGGGTAGTCAGGAATTATACCAGCCTCGACTACAACTCACCCCTTGCTGTGGCCTATATAGGCCCCTCAATCGTGCCACTGACCAACTACAATGCCGGCTGGTCCATGTACGAAGTCGATGCTGAGACATTCTCAGTCGTCAACGGACAAGTCCACTTCGCCAACATCAGCAACAGTCTTGCTTGGTCACCGGAGCCTGTTTGGGAGTTCGAGTACGATATTCGTCAAACGTATGATTCTAATTGTACATGGCCGGCAACCGCACCCCTCAATGCAACATTCTGGGACAAGGTGACCAAAAATATGTTGAACGATAGTGCGCTGATCGAACAATATCTGTTCCTGGCGACCAAGTCCAGCGTCAAGACTGCGGCATGCATGGGAGTGTGTCTCCAGAAGAGCATCTGTGGCATTCGTTCGAGCAGCAGGGCCGTGTATGAGTTGTGCAATGCCTGAATAGATCGGTAAGATGCTCGCAATCGCACACGGTGGACGAAGCAGAGATACCACCTGATGTTAGAGCTGGGAGTGCATTGGTCCATAAACCTACGATTGAAGACTATCTCTCCCGTCGCCTGTGGCCAACAGTGCCTCAACCATCATCGTGTCGAGCTCCTCGTCTTCCCGTAGCAAAGTCCGAGGAACCTTGACTCTACCTTCGCTACAGGTCTGCGTGTAAACTTGGCAAACGGTAGAGCTATCATTATTGGGAGACTCTAAGTATGTTGGTAGAACGTCACAGCACAGATCTACCAATCCTCGCGCGCATATGTCCACTAGTCCAGATCGGGAAGTTGTGATGGAAATCAAGATGGCTGAAGTCGAAAGTGTGTTTCCCTCTTCATCCTTCGCTCGAACTTCATCCATTGACAACGTGCGAATGTGTGCAGTATCTTGATGATTTCCTCGGTGGTTGACATGCTGATTACCGGAGACCGCTGAACGAATTTCTGCTGTACATGAGAGTACTGCTTCTCGTCATCCAGCATGCCCCGCTCCATGCCTGTGTTGCAAGCCGTGTACCTGCAGAAGATGGAGCAAAAAGCAGTCAACTGACGACATAGGCTTCGTGGTCCCACTCTGCGATAGTGAAGATGCTGGCACTCGCCGTCTTCTCATTCCACTCCCGTCCTCTCCTGCCAGCAATATTGACTAGTGAAGGGCAGAGTCGAGCTCTGGCAGCCATGGACCAGCAGAACCAGTCTTCGACGCCTTTCCAGGACACCGAACGACAGGCAAGCACACAGCGGCTGCCATTTGCAGATCGGCTGAACGACACCGCCAGGAACCACTTTGTAGCATGTTGTGGCGAGTTCATCGGCACTTTCTTCTTCCTATTCTTCGTACGACAGATGTAACGAAAGATCCACTGCCATGCGTCCTACTGACAGGTGCTGCAGGCATTCTCTGCAACTCAGGTAGCTAATACCACTCACTCAGAGAACGACAATGAGCTTGTTCGGCTCCAGTACATCAGTCTCGCCTTTGGCTTCTCACTCGCAGTCAATGCTTGGGTCTGGTTCAGAGTTAGTGGTGGTCTGTTCAATCCAGCTGTAAGTGGTTCCTCACTCACTGTCGGGTGGACACTGATACTGCTAGGTCACGCTTGGCATGATATTAGCTGGAGCCGTGACTCCGGTCCGTGGCATTCTCGTAGCAGCATCGCAAGTCTTAGCTGGAATCGCAGCTGCGGCGGTCGTACATACTATATTCCCAGGACCACTCGCAGTGGAGACCACTCTTGGCGGCGGAGCAACTCTCTGGCAAGGCTTTCTGATCGAGATGTTGTTGAGCTTCCAGCTCCTGGTCACGATTCAAATGCTGGCTGGCGAGAAGCATGCCGGAACATTCCTAGCACCCATCGGGATCGGTTTGAGCCTCTTTATTGCCGAGCTATCTGGCGTGCCGTTCACTGGTGGTAGCTTGAATCCCGCGAGATCTTTCGGGCCTGCCGTCGTTCTTGGCAGCTTCCCAAGCGAGCACTGGATATACTGGGCCGGTCCTGCGGCGGGTGCAGTGCTTGCTACAGGCCTGTATTGGTTTTTGAAGGTCCTGGATTACGAACGAGCAAATCCCGGTACGTGCTTTAGTCTCAGACTTCGACGCTACCACTGATGGTCACTAACGTTCCATATCAATGCAGGGCAGGACGCCAGTGGTCAGGGTGGTCGAGAAGGCCAGATCAGGCTTGAAGATAACGAGTGAGAGTGCGTCTCTCGTAGGACCGTCCGTTCTGCTCGAGGAGGTCACTTTCATGCATGTTCGAACACTGTTCTGGAGGGCGCTAGCATGACTGGGAAAGAGTGAGGTAGGTTACAATCACAGTGTGGGGGTCGTCGATGTCTTTCATTTCCAATCCTCGGCGATATGACCAGGCTTTCGCAATCCATCCAGTATTGAGCAAGATCAGGCAAGAACGAGAGCAATCTGATGGGACACACTTTGCCGCTCACGCCACCGATGCTCCGTGACATGTCGTCCTTTCTGGAAGGTCAGTCTTCGACTAATGAAAATATTGTCTGCCTTATCAGGATGCCTTCTGGGCTGCTTATGGAGCTATACAGGATCATTAGATTGCATATGAGCTTGACTTCGACGTCAGAGCTTACTCATTGGGGACGCTCACGTTACACGATAAGTAACAGGTCATGTTAATTCAACGCGTCGCATACGCGAGCACGGCTGTCTGCTTCTCAACAACGTCACTACGCCGAAGGTCGAACAACTACTGACCGCTCGTTCGAAACTTGGATTTGTTGCTGGGTACACTCACCACTCAACATCACGGAACCGAAGCAACCCAAATCATCATCCAGGCCTCGGTCTACGCGACTCTCAGCAACCTGGGTGCATGAGGCTACGGTCTCCTACAGGCCGACCACGATTACGACATCGTAGACGACTTCAACCACAAGTTCGGCATCGATCACCTCGAAGAAAAACTCATCAAGCACGCGACTAATGATCCAGCCGTGAAAGCTCAGTTCACACGTGGAGATGGCCACGGTGACCCTGATTTGAGCAAGTCGATCTTTCTCTCCATCTACGCCGGCCTCTGCTCTGGTGAAGCTGCTGTGGATCATGTCCGCGCCCACCTCGACTCTGGCAAGCTCGAAGAAATGCTCAAGAAGGTGGAGGCCAGTCCGGAGAAGAGTTCGCGCGATTACGAAGCCTATCATCGCAAAGGCTATCAGTGTGTCTTGCTTTGTGCCTGTGCTATGACTCTGGGCTGTACGCTCCCGGATGCGGTCATCACTAAGCTGAAGGCTACGTACAACAAGGTCGGCTTGATGACCGCGCCAAAGAAGGATGACCTCCACGCGGATGCCATCACTCAGATGAAGAAAGCTCTGTGGGGTCCAGAAGGCTATGTCGATGGCGAGCCGTACGATTTTGACTCCGCTGACCTGAACGACATGATGCACATGGCGCCGTTGATGGGTGGTGCAGGAGGCCTCATCAACGTCGCTGAGCCAGGCAATCCATTATCCTCTTTCTTCCTGAACAATCCGTCGAGTTTCCCACCAAGGGCATCCAAGCAGAGCCACGACAACACAACCGAGTACGGATCTGACTTTTGCGACGGGTGTGGAAGCAGGCCGGGCACGGATTGCATGGCGCTCATGGCTTGTGCGAAGTGCAAGGCTCAGAAGTACTGCAGTCAGGAGTGCCAGAAGAAGCACTGGAAGAAGCACAAGGTTTCATGCAAGGCTTCCACGTCTTGAAGGATGGCAATGCGGTTGTGGAGCAAAGGGCACTGTGGCGACTCGCCTTAATCGAACGATAACAGCTGAGATGGCGAGATGCATAGCAAGCATGATCTGGGTTGTTGGCTGACGAACAGCACGAAGCATGTCGAGCGGCGGAATATATGGCTTCTTCCTCGGTGTTTGTCTGCCACATCTACGTAGCTATGGATTTTATGACCATTTCCCTCTTTCCTTACTCGTCAAGGACGATATCATGCTCAAATGTGTATTTGTCTAACAGCCTGCCTGTTGTCAGTGCTCTCGCTTATCTTAGCACCTGCCTCATCAGGCTGAGTACATTCCAGACTGCTATTCATCGTTAGATGTGTACCGCAGGTTGCCTGACCAAGCTACCCAAGCTTTGCTTAGCTATCTCAGTCATCCTTGTTAGGTGCCAGCATGTAGGCGTTTGAAACCCAGAATATCGGTGCCTTATACCCACAAAACCATCAGGCAACAATTTAGACGCAGATTAGGTATACCAGCTACTCAAAACGATATCGTATATATAGCTCGACTCGACTCCCCACAACTCTCAACGAATACGACCGAGAGCAACAATGTCTTCCCTTCCCGCAACAATGAAAGCAATAACAGCTACGCGCACCAAAGCCCACCTCTCCACCCTGGCGATCCCAACCCTGACAAAACCAACGGATATTCTCGTCCGCGTTGCAACCATAGCCCTAAATCCCACAGACTGGAAACACATCGCCTTCTCCATCTCCCAGCCCAACTCGATCGCTGGCTGCGACTTCGCTGGAACCGTGGTCGCCATCGGCTCCGGAGTTACGAAGGCTTTGGAAGTTGGAAATAGGGTGGCGGGGGCGGTGCATGGTGGTAAGACTGGCGAGGGCTGTTTCGCAGAGTACTGTCTTGCAAAGGGGGATTTGGTGGTGAAGATCCCGGACGAAATGTCCTTTGAGAAAGCGGCAACGTTTCCGCTTGGTGTGGCGACGGTTGGGCAGGGGTTGTTCCAGCAAGGACTGATGCTGCCCTTGCCTTCGCCGTCGGCGGAGGGTGGGGAGCTCGGAAAACAGGGCACGGGAGAGTGGGTGCTTGTCTATAGTGGTTCCACAGCCACGGGCTCCCTAGCCATCCAATTCGCGAAGCTGAGCGGCTGTCGTGTCCTGACGACCTGTAGCCCGGCGAACTTCTCCTTCGTCAAGAGCTTGGGAGCAGATGAGATCTTCGATTACAGCATTCCGGGTATCGGTCAGCAGATTAATCGATTCACCGAGAACTCCCTCAGGCTGATCTTCGACGCAATCGGTTCCGAAGAATCCGCGGCTGTTTGCGCCAAGGTCATGAGCTCCCGGACTGAGATCGAAGGAAAGCGGTACGCAACTATCATCGGTCCACCAGCTGCTTTTGAGGAGCAAAAGAGTGTGAATGTGAAGGTGGTGGTGACGATGATGTATACCATCTTCGGCGAAGATATGTCGTATTTCGGCTCAGAGGTCTCTGCAGTACCGGCGGATTTGGAGTTTGGGAAAAAGTGGATGGGATTAGTTGAGGGATTGTTGAGGGAGGGGTTGTTAAAGACGCATCCGGAGAGGGTGGGTGAGAAGGGGTTGGAAGGTGCTTTGCAGGGGATGCTGGATATGAGAGATGAGAAAGTTAGGGCGGTGAAGTTGGTGTATCGTGTTGCTGAGACGCCTGCAGATTCGATGGCTGAGATGGAGCTTGGTGAAGATGATGAGACCTAGGGGAGGGAATATCTTGTCTATGAGAAGTCACCTAGTTGAAGTAACATATGGCCCTATCAGAGATGTGATGTTCTCGTTGGTTGATTTGATACGAATGTTGATGCAAATGTGGATGGAGTAAGTGTTGTGCATGTCAGCCTTGCCGGCTAAACATCGGATGCGTCACGCGTCGTTCAAGCGCACTTTGCTGCCTGCCTACTTGTCACATGCGATCAACCATTAGACACAACGCCAAAGGACGGTGACAGGATACAATGGCAGGAAGGCAAGGATATGATGTGGTCGTCGATGTGGATGCGGAGGTACGAGGAGGCATGACAATATGCTTCTAGGCGGTAGAAGCTAAATGAGATATAGGGAGATCTCGGCCATACCGACCTGAACGACGACCTGGAATTCCACAACTCGAGTACGCAAGCCATACGCGGAGGGTACTACCCAACTCTAGCTCATACTAACATCAACTTCCAGCTTTCGACCAAACCCCCTCAGGCGGCCGCAACAAGCCCCTTCCCCCAGACCAAACCTCCTTCCTCCCCACCCCGAACACCAGCTCCCGCGGCGGTCCCCAAAGCAACTCAAAACGCTACCTCTGGTCCCTATCTTTCTACCAACAATTCTTCGATGTGGACACCTCCCAAATCCTGCACCGCAGCCGCAGCGCTCTCTTTCCCAAGCAGAATTTCCTCGACATCCTAGAAGGAAACCCGGACCTCTATGGTCCCTTCTGGATAGCTACAACCGTTGTGGTGATACTTTTCTTGACAGGGACGATAAGCTCCTATCTTGCGAGCACGGGAAAGGGGCATTTTGCTTACGATTTTAAGTTGTTGTCTGGGGCGGCGGGGTTGGTGTATGGGTATACTGCTTTCATACCTCTTGGATTGTGGGCGATTCTGAAGTGGAGGGGAAGTGAAGGGGCAAATTTGATGGAGTGTTTGTGTCTTTATGGGTATGGGAATTTGATTTGGGTGGTTGTTGCGCTCGTTAGTTGGAGTCCGCTTACTGGTAAGTGCTTCTCACACATGGTGGATCCGGGATCTGCTGACTTGATTTGGTAATAGCTCTTAACTATGCGTTTGTGGGCGTGGGATTTGCACTCTCTGCTACGTTCCTGTTTCGGAATCTGTAAGTGCCATACCCCCTGTGGACACGACAGCTGAGCTTACAATTTCTACAGATACCCAGTCGTCTCAGCAACAGACGCAAAGACTTCCCGCGCTCTACTCATTGTGGTTCTGGCGCTCCACGCAGGCTTTGCCATTGCGATCAAAGTCCTTTTCTTCGCCCATAACAGCCCAGCTGTGAAAGGAGGCAAGGAGGCTTCAGGTGGCAAGATGGATCCTGCTGGTGACGCGGGCGAGACTGTGGCTACGCTTCTCGGCTTCTAGAGCTGGGATTAATGGCTGCCTGTATACTACTACCTCAAGCATACGATGTTCGATGTCTAGGACTGCGTGTGTTTCCACATTCGCCGCGTGACTCATACTGTGAGTTCGTGCCTATATCCACTCGGACAGCCGTGATACGTATTTGCCCTGACCATGACTTACATTACTCATACTAATCTAGTGAACGGTGATCATCCTCTGCGTGCCAAATGCCCTTTCACATCGAATACGAGAGAGAGACTCTGCGTCATGCGTGCCCCACCAACACTTTAATTTCACATCCCACCTTCGATCACTCTTCTGCCCAGTGCTCACCAGGACTCTCAATACAGACACTTTTGCCACACCTCTTAGCATCGGTGGACAGTGTGCTCTCTAATAATCAGCCATACTGCCTCCTCGTGGTAGTATGAAAGCGCGATCTTTCCACCTCAATCCCGAACCACCTCCCGACCACGCAGGTGGCCACTTGTGCCAACCGCATTTGACGAATAGCTGAAGGAGCATCCGTCTAGTTACTCAATATAAGAATCCATCTTCCACTAAATCAGACCAGTAATCACATATAGCACATCACTATGGCACCCAAAGGCAAGAAAGGCAAGAAAGGCGGCGATGACTGGGACGAAGGTCTGGGGGAGTCAATTGATCCCATTGCACAAGCTGAGGCGGAAGCCAAGGCTGCGGATGCTGCCAAGGATGCTGAGGAGAATGAAGATAATGCCGGTGGTGGCGGCGGCTTAATGGCTGCTATGAAGAAGAATCGGGAGAGGAGGAAGAAGAAGGGTAAGGCTGTCGAGAACGACTTCTTGGATGGCGAGGATCCGCCACAGGATGGAGAGAATGCAGGTGAAGCGGCGGAGGAGGTCGTAGATCTCAGTGCTAAGGCTCCTGTGGAAGCAAACATGGACGACGAGGAGGATTTGTACGATGCGCCAACTAAGGGTAAGAAGGGTGGGAAAGGCGGTAAGCAGCAAGGTGGGAAGGCTAAGCTTGCTGAGTCTGCTGAGCCCGTTGAGCCCGTTGAGGATGGTGAAGACGACGAGGGCGGTGGTGTCAAGACCAAGGCACAGAAGGAGAAGGAGAAGAAGGAGCGCGAGAAGCAGCGGAAGAAGGAGCAGGCGGCTTTGAAGAAGAAGTCTGCGCCTGTACCGGTCAAAGATGAGCCGAAGGTTATCGAGGCGGCACCGGAAGCTGTTCTTGAGGCTCCTGCGACTGGTGGTAAGAAGAAGAAGATTCCGGCTGCGTTGGCGGCACTTCAGAAGCAGCAGGAGGATCTTCGTAAAGCGGAAGAGGAGAAGGCTCGTACTGCGGCTAAGGAAAAGCAACGTGAAGAAGAGGAGCGTAAGCGAGAGGAGGAAGATGAAAGGAAGACAGCAGAGCAGAAAGCTGCCAAGAAAGCCAAGGAGAAGGCCAAGGTTGAGCAGATGAAGAAGGAAGGCACGTACAAGACCGAGAAGCAGCGCAAAGATGAAGCACAGCAGAAGCTTCGTCTACAGCAGATGCTCGAGTCTGGTTCGGCGAAAGTAGCTGGGATGAGTGGTGCGACTGCTGAGGACGGCGAGCACGAGGCGAAGAAAAGCAAGAAGGATGATAGGAAGAAGAAGGATCCGAGGAAGGAGGCGGCGGAGCGTAAAGCGCAGCAGGAACGCGAGGAGGAAGAGGCGAGAAAGAAGATGGAGGAGTTGAAGTTGCATGAGGAGCAGGAGAAGTTGGCTGCTGAAGCTACCGAGAAGGCTAGAAGGGATGCGGAGGCGAAGAAGGCGGAAGATGAGGAGGATCTCGATGATTGGGAGGCTATGGCTGAGAAGGATGAGGAGGAGGTGGATGGAGAGGAAGATGGGGTGGTCAAGGCTGAGGCACCAAATGGCAAGGCTGTACAGGCTGGTGCTGCTGGGGCCAAGGCTCAAGTTGCGAACGGCAAGAATGCTGAAGACAGCGATAGCGACAGTGAAGAAGACTCGGACGACGAATCAGAGTCTGAGGAGGAGACGGTGGCGCAGAAGCAGGCTGCTCTCAAGCGACAACAAGCCGCCGATAGACGCAAGGCCGATCAAGAAGCTGCCCGTGCCGCCGCGTCATCAGATGACCTGCGCTCGCCTATCTGCTGTATCCTCGGCCATGTCGATACTGGCAAGACAAAGCTTCTCGACAAGGTCCGACAGACGAATGTACAGGAAGGAGAAGCAGGTGGTATTACCCAACAGATAGGTGCTACATACTTCCCAGTCGACGCCCTGAAGAAGAAGACCGCGGTCGTCAACCCGGATGGTGCTTTCGAATTCAAGGTCCCTGGTCTCCTGGTCATCGATACGCCCGGCCACGAGTCTTTCACCAACCTCCGCAGTCGTGGATCTTCGCTATGTAACATCGCCATCCTGGTCGTAGACATAATGCATGGCCTGGAACCCCAAACCCTCGAATCCATGAAGTTGCTCCGCGATCGCAAAACCCCGTTTATCGTCGCCTTAAACAAGATCGACCGTCTCTATAACTGGAAACCCATCGCCAACAATGGTTTCCGGGAGTCCCTGGGTCTGCAGAGCAAAAGTGTTCAGGCCGAGTTCCGGGATCGGCTGGAGAAGACTAAACTGGCGTTTAGTGAGCAAGGATTCAACGCTGAGTTGTTTTATGAGAACAAAAGTATGGCTAAGTACGTCTCTCTTGTTCCGACGTCGGCGCATACGGGCGAGGGAATTCCGGATATGCTGAAATTGCTGGTTACCCTAACGCAGGAGCGTATGACAAGGCAGTTGATGTACTTAAGTGAGGTGGAATGCACGGTTTTGGAAGTGAAGGTCATCGAGGGGTTAGGCACGACGATCGATGTGGTGTTGAGTAACGGTGTCTTGCACGAGGGTGACACAATCGTGCTCTGTGGTACTGATGGGCCGATTGTCACGCAAGTGCGCGCTTTGCTTACCCCGGCCGAGATGAAGGAATTGAGGGTCAAGTCCACGTACGTCCACAACAAGACTGTGAAAGCTGCGTTGGGCGTCAAGATCACGGCGAATGGACTCGATAACGCGATTGCGGGATCGAGGTTATTGGTGGCGAAGAATAAGGACGACGAGGACGAGATTGAGGAGTTGGAGGACGATGTCATGGGCGATCTGGAGAATTTGATGTCCCGTATCTCTCGCACCGGTCGCGGCGTCACGGTCCAGGCCTCCACCCTAGGATCACTAGAAGCCTTGCTTGAGTTCTTGCGTGTGAGCAAGATCCCGGTGTCTAATATTTCCATTGGCCCTGTTCACAAGCGGGATGTCATTACCGCGTCTACTATGCTGGAAAAGGCCAAGGAGTATGCGGTCATGCTTTGTTTCGACGTCAAAGTCGACAAAGATGCTCATGAGCTGGCGGATCAAATGGGAGTGAAAATCATGACGGCGGAGATTATTTATCATCTGTTTGATGAGTTCACCAAGCATATGGAAGTCTTGCGGGAGCAGAAGAAGGAGGAAAGTAAGATGCTTGCTGTCTTCCCATGTGTGTTGAGGCCAGTGGCGGTGTTTAATAAGAAGGATCCGATTGTTATTGGAGTGGATGTTGTCGAGGGAAATCTGAGGATGGGAACGCCGCTGGCGGCTGTCAAGATGAACCCAGTCACTAATGTTAAAGATGTTGTAAGCTTGGGGCGAGTGTGAGTTTTCTTCCTTTCCATGCCCTATTCACTTGCTGACCCATTCTCTTCCATAGTGTCTCCATCCAACGCGACCACAAGGACCTCCCGATCTGCAAGAAGGGCTCGCCTTCCGTGGCTATCAAGATCGAAGGCGCGAATCAGCCTATGTATGGTCGGCAGTTGGAGGAGAAGGATACGTTGTACTCGCAGATCAGCAGGGCGAGTATTGATTGTTTGAAGGAGTTCTACCGGGATGAGGTGGATAAGGATGAGTGGGGGCTGATTGCTAAACATTTGAAGGGGTTGTTCGATATTCCATGATTCTTGGTTGGTTTTGGGGTGGACGAAGGGGATTGCAGTGGGTTGGGCAGGATGGGGCGGGACGATGGCGATGTGGATCTAGCGTGTATGTTCATGGTTTGAGAAAGTTCTCAACCCTTCTATGTATAACATGTGTCTGCTTCTAAGCTTTTCGCTTTGATCTACAGACACGCGCCCTTCAACTGATCCTACACTCCCTTTCACTCTGCGCTGGTGACTGTGGAAGCGTGACGATGTTGCGGGACTATGTGGCCATAATCATGGGCTCGGAGCTGAACATCGAATGCCGAGACGAGGACGCCAAGATGGAATGCAGCACTACTTTCAACTCTTCAGTCCTCCACGAGCCATTTCGACAGCTGCTTGTACTCCAGCGATGGCAAAACATATACATTTAGGTCGTTCGTCCTTAGATCCCACGAAGCGAAGGCCGATGTGTACGGTCAATAAGAAAGTCAGCAGGGTCTAACGGCCCCCGACCAGTGTAGGCCAAGATTCGAGCAATGTTACGCTTGTATGTTGGCCTTCCTGGACTCTGTATGCCATACAGTACATGAAATATCATACGTAGGAAAAGTCAGAGTGACCAGTGGTTGTTGCTGACTCGTCGATAGCCGAACACTTTATCCAGAGCTCTGTCCAAGACAACGCAAGCCGGCATCCTTCACCGTCTGACCGTCTTGGCCGTGTAGCAAACATACAATCTCCCAAGCCATTGCCCAGACGCGGTATGGTAGCGCTTCCAATCGTGAAAGACGAGATGTCTTGGGTGGCGTCTGGGGTGCATGTGGAGAGGGGACCGCCAACACGACTTCGTATTCAGGCTGATATGTGGTTAAAGTGTTGCTCGTACAGTAGACTAGTGAGTTTCTTCCTTGTCACAGACTGGGAGATTGGTGTTGCATTGGGTTCGTGCTGCAGAGCTGAGGGCTGAGTCAAGTGACAGCTAGGGTTGATGCACAGATGTACGAGATGGGGTTCCCATGCTGCCTTCGGCTCAGGTTGTCGGTCCATATGGTGGCTCTTGGCTGCCGGATGGGTCGACCGAGCTATAAGTCGTACCACAGGTCGGCGACTTCGTGCGTACTAGACTTCCCAGCTTCTCGACCTGCTGCACCTCTGCTGGACTTCTTCTGGAGCCCGCCGTTGACTTGAGACAGACGAACGGACAGCACCATGGGCGTCATCAATCGTGGAGAGGGTACCTCAGACCCCGTCGTCACTCGTCTTGCGGAAGAGGATAGGATACCATGGTACAAGAAGCCAAATTTGAGGTACATGTACATTTGGCTGGTATGAAACGATACAATACGCCTTGATCTGGAAAACTAGCTGACGGACTTTGACAGTTCCTATGCTGTATGGGCGTAGAAATGACCTCAGGGTTTGATTCTCAGCTCATCAACACCCTCCAGTTCTCGCAGCCATTCAACAAATGTAGGTAGAAACACCACTTTCAAGCATAGCTGTAAGACTGATACTATACACAGACTTCGGCGCTGGGCTGAAGACCGAGGGAAAGTGGGCCATCAATAACTCCCTCCTCGGCTTCATCTCGTCGAGCTATCAACTCGGCTCCATCATCGCGGTGCCGGTGGCGCCGTGGTTCAACCAGAAGTATGGTCGACGAATGTCGGTCTTCGCTGGCTCGGTTATCATGGTCATTGGTGCCATCATCCAGGGATTCTCACAGCATGGTAGGGCCAGATGGTTGGATAGGCAGATTTACTGGCTGACATTCTCTAGTGGCGATGTATATTGTTGCCCGCATCATTCTTGGCTTCGGGATTCTCTTCGCTATCATTGCTGGTAGTTCTTTGATTGGAGAGCTGGCCCATCCCAAGGAACGTGCGATTTTGACGTCGATGTTCAACGCCAGCTACTATATCGGCTCAATTGTAGCCGCCGCCATCGCTATTGGCTCTGTCAAGATCGCTGGCAACTGGTCGTGGCGAGTCCCGTCCTTACTGCAGCTCGTGCCTTCATTGCTGCAGATCGCAACTGTCTTCTTACTTCCGGAATCTCCTCGTTGGCTAGTCTCGCAGGATAGGCACCAAGAAGCGTTCGCCATCCTCTCGAAGTACCATGCGGAGGGCGATTCGAGTTCGATTTTGGTACAAGGAGAGATGGCGCAAATCCAGTCGACGATCAAGCTGGAAATGGAGGCCAACAAGCAAAGCTGGTTGTAAGTACCCTAAAACGACCCCATGCGTGATCGCTTCTTGTATCGGCACTGACATCTCCTTCAGAGATCTGTTACGGACAAGCGGAATGCGACGAAGAGTCTTCATCGCAGCCTTCCTCGGCCTCTTCACGCAGATGTCTGGCAACACTCTACTATCGTACTACACCAACATCCTGTTCCAGATGATGGGCTTCACTTCGGCCTACGCCAAGACCAGGATAAACATCGCCAACCAATGCTGGTCCTTCATCACCGCGGTCCTGATCGCTTTGTTCATCACTAGGTTCAAGCGAAGGCTGGCCTTCATGACATCCTCGAGTTCAATGCTGCTCATCTTCATTGGCATGACTGTGTCCTTCGAACGTCTGAGTGTCGCCAAAGCGAACGGCACGAAGAACCAGGCTGCCAGTATTGCAGCATTGTTCTTCTACTTCGCTTACGCTCCCGCGTACAGCATTGGCAACAATGCTTTAACGTACACCTACCTGATCGAACTCTTCCCATACGCCGTGCGATCCAGAGGTATCGGTGTCGAACAAATTTTCGGCAAGGCTGGAGGCTTCTTCTCAAACTTCGTCAACCCCATTGCTCTTGGAGCGATTGGCTGGAAATTCTTCGCTGCTTACTGCGGCTGGATCTTCTTCGAGTTCTTGTTCCAATTGACCTTCTACCCTGAGACATCCGGAAGGACTCTAGAAGAGCTCTCGTTCTTGTTCGAGGACAAGGCTCTGGCTGATCAAGCTGTGCATGCCGTTGAGAAGCAGCTTGACGAGAAAGCTCATGGTGCCGAGACTATCGAAGAGGTCAGATCTAACAGTAGATAGGGTTGGACTCGAGTGGGCTGTGCAAATGGCGCTACCATATTGTGAGCGTTGCTCAAAGAGGCTTAGGATAACCAATCAGTTCAGCAAAGTGCCGATGTAGCCTGTGGCCGCTATGCATTCAACGACAGAGCTATGCTACTACTCTGACCCTTACTCTAATCATCAATATCAGGCGCTGCTGGATCAAATGACATAACTTCCACGAATGGTCACTCGCAATCATGCGCTGTTGGATGCTGCATGCTAATCTCATTCTGACAAGCTATGGGACACGGTCATCCACGTTGGGACCCCATGGACTCCGACCATCAGAACGCCATCACTTGGTACCCCTAGGTGCTTCGCCGATCACGCCACTTGTCTGGCCAGCAGACGTTACGTCTGAGGCAGTCGTACCGCCCGCTCTTGGCCCCTCGCCACGATCATGACCCTGACCCGACTGGATCTTATTGGTCACCCACGAGTCTGAAGCTGGTACTTCTTAGTATCAAGCTGCTACTGATCTTTCGACCAATACACACCGTTTCCTTGGTTTGAACCATGACCGACTCCAGAGTTAGGTTGCGTCTCGGGGTTAGAATTGACATTGGGGTGGTCGCCGAGCTTCTGCTCAATGGTTTTCTTGATCTTCTGCATGCTTGCTGATTTTATGAGGTTGATACGGTGAGACTATAGAATGCAGTTGCCCGACCATATATGCCTACGACTCGTGCTGTCTGTGGTCAAATTTATGCGGGTCCTGGTGACGCCATGATGAGCAGTTCTACCATCTCGACGACCCAAGAAACACCTCGACTATGGATGCACGTTTCTCTGACGAGGATTTCACTGGCCACGCTCACAGTGCTGACGAGGACCTCTAGTCTCTACTGCAACGTCCGATGGCGAAAGATTAATCACTGGCTGCGAGGACAGGTGAAGCGTGCGGAACTCTAGGCGATGTACCACGCAGTCTTGCAGCGACATGATACTGCTCAGACTTTGGGATACTGTACACTTGTTCACCCAGATCCCGCTCAATCACGAGACCTCCTTCTGCTCTGTCTGTAAAAGCGCTTCTGGACACCATGTCGGCTTGTACTTGCAGTAGATTGTCGTTGACGGCTTGTTGGCATTGATCGCTTTCTGATCGTCCAGTGTGCCGGTCTTGAAAATGACCTGGGTATTGCTCAGCAAGCTGGTGTAAGGATGTCTTTTCGGCTGCTCATCTCACCATCCCCGGCATTGCTTCGGCGTCGACAGTCATTATCGTGCCACATGTGGAGCATCTACTGTCTATAGTATAGCACTGCGTCAGCGAAGAGTGGTACTGCGACATCAAGAAGCAGCCGACACATACATGTGACCTGCTTTCCGCTATCTCCTGAACGCGTCCATTGAGCTGTCTTGCCGGAAGATCGTGTATACTAGACGTTCCGTCATGTTCCTGCAGGAAGTTCGACGCAGAGGATTTAAACCTGATCAGACTTGATCAAGGTATTAGTGCTCCTGATAGAGATAATTAGGTCAGCATGGCGTCTGGCCTCATCGACGTACGTCCTTCTCACCCGACCGGGCCAGCTGTCTTTGTGCATGGAATGCAATGGCAGCAGACCTGCAGTATGTCAGTAACACCTGACCACTTCCTCGCCTCAAGAACCTTTGATACCGTAGCTACTGGCTCTCCAGAACACTCGTGCTGAACGTCGCCGCACATACAGCTTCCTCCAGGCATGTTGATAGTACTGTCTTTCCCTTGTTGTAAGGAACGATATCTGTGAACGAGGAGGCTGTCAATTCGTCTGTTGATTCTGCAGATGGGACTGACGACCTTATAGCGAAATGATGGTGCTCATGTACGAGTATAGCCAAGACCACAGGGCCTCGGCATACACTTTCTCGGTCGTAACTTTATCCAGAGTGGATATATTCCTTACTACATGTACTGCTATCGAAAAGAGGCTCATGGTCCAAGTAACGTCAGACGACACCGCAGATAAACATTCATACTTTCTCGTCAGGTGGATAGGTAACTCACCAAGGCACAGCCTTGCCTTGGTCATCGACCATACGAGCATGTACCTTTTCCTTTGGACCTGTTGCTGCAATTATGAGAGCTTTGCAGCCGTCTCGAGGGTCCTTGAAGCCTTGGTGGTTATTGAGATTGGTAGCTGTCAACGAAGTCAGCACGAGGTACAGCGATTTTATCTTACGTGGGAGCTCACCGCAGTATCCAGGATCCGATGCGGATACGATGAAGCCCTCTGTCTCGAGAAGACGAGCGTAGTGTGCCTGCGACTCTGTTGGCATGCATGTCTCGGATGGAGATAACTCTCCACTTACCATTGTCATGTTCATAGCTGTCTTTGTCGACCTATATATTGGGTACATGGCAGCAGAGTATGACGCATGGGCACTAGGATCCACTGCTAGAGCCAAAGATGCGAGGCCCGACGAGGTGAATCCTATCCGTTTCTCGTCCGACTTCCTCAGCAACGGCAGAAAGGCATCAACAGTCACTGCAGCGCCGAAGACGTTCGTATCGTAGTGCTGTTGATATAGCTCCCGCAGAGTTGGTCCAATCCCGTTCTTTGAGGCTGCCTGAGCACCAGCGATACCAGCGTTCAGCATCAAGATGTCAAGCTTGCCATGCTTGTCTTCTACAGACTTGGCAGCCGCTTTGATGGACTCGTCTTCATTTACGTCGATCTGTAATGGTTCGAGATCCGCCTTGTCGACTTTGTAGGAATCATCTGACATCATTTGCTCAATGGCCTTATTGGCCTTGTCGATGTCTCTGCTGCCGACGAGAACGTGGTACTTGCCACTGCTGGCCATCTGTTGAGCAGCATAGTATCCCAGCCCCTGGTTGGCTCCCGTGATGGCCACGAGCATCTTTGTGGCCGCGCCGTTTTTCTGTGAAGTTGTCATGATAATAGATTGTACTGCGGAATGCTAGTGGCACGACGAAGTGACACCACACGGATATATATAGAGACCAAACGTGGCAAACGCTTTGATTCCGCCGTGCCCCGGACGTGAGTGATGAAAGCTTGTATAAGTCCGCTGGGTCGTGGTAAGTCCCGACCGCAAATGAATGAAATGCCGCCATTTGAAAGCAGTATCACGAAGTCGCCTGGAAATTCGATACGTGCTACACGATCTGTTTGAATTTCAAGCTGAGAGTCATGCTGTAGAGGCACGTTCTGCATACAGGGTGAACAGAAGAGTCTTGACGAGAGAAGCCACGCCAACGACTTCTCAGAGGCGACGACCACGAAATCGTCTTTCACCCAGATTGTATCGAATTATTGCCGCAAGCAGCTCAATGATGGTGTACGAGCCAAGTTGTGTCCGGACGAACTACCACTGTACAATAATACACGACCAACGATCTGCGCAAAGGACAAAGGATCAGGCTCTGATGGCTCGCGGCAAAATGAAGACTGTATGCAAGCAGTACATCACGCTAAGTAGCACGTACGGCCTCCAACGCCGCCGCCTCTGTAGCCTAGATACATCAGCGTTCATCGGATGCTTTGCAGGAAGTGTTTCGTCGTAGTCTACAGTGCAGCCACTTTGTTGGCTGACATCTAGCCGACCGCTAGGCATGGTAGACAAACTCCCTCCTCTTCACCGAGCTCATCTCCTCTGACGTACAGTCATATATATCCCTCTGGCATTGTGTGAAGACACCACCAGATCATGGGCGTCGATGGATTGCTTGCTACTGGGTTGGATGCAAGGTGCAGCGATAGATACCTGGCGAGGATGTTTTGAGGGACATGGCAAAGCGAGATGAGTAGTGTGGCCACCTTCTGAAGCTGGCTTTGTTCTCTGCTTGGGTCCCAACGGTACACCGTTCACTGCTGACAGACCGCGGGCGGTCTGATCTCCAGCAAACGACACTGCATCACGGAACGGCTCACTATACAGGATATGAGCGCACACACTGAATTGCTCCATTCCGAGAGCGCCGTTCCATTGAAGGACTTCTCAAGGGTAGAGCACCATTCGTCCAGAGAGACCGGACACCAGCATAACACTTCTGAATATATCTCCACATGACGGCGACGACGAAATGGCTATGGGCTTTCCGAGTCCCATCATGTCTGGTGATATGCATAGCAGGTCCGATCGCGCTCCGCGTACTGGACAATCCAAGACCAAAATGTATACAGGGACGAACCGGAGTAGATGCTGAACAGTTCTTTTCCTTAGGCCGTGCCGTGGAGCAGTCTCGGGGTAGAAGCAGACAAGCCACTGGTCTAGCAGATCTCAATATTTATGTTCTGCACGTCTCATGTAGTGGTACAGCTCGTCAGTTGGGCCAACACCGGTCGCGGACCTGCCTCTTCGGTCCTCCAGCATCATTGACCTCAACATCACATGTGTCTGCTGTTCCAGCGAGAGTCGTGTGATTCACTCCATGGCCTTCCTATGATCGATCGATCGATCATACACATACAATGAAATGTATTATAACTGATCATCCATACATGTATCGTTTTGATTTTTCAGTCGCGCCGTTCACCAGCGCTTCTGATCTATGGCCATCATGCGCAAGAATACTGCGCTGTCGCACACCACCTAATACATAAGCAGCCCGATCGCTGTCGCGAGCGCTGGATCTTCATCATCGAGTATGTCGACCAGGTGGGACAGAACCATAAGAACCAACTCGTGAGAGCCTGCTGTGCAAGCTTGGGCCTGATTGTCTCGTCCATCGTCACTTCCTTGAGGCGTAGGCTTCGGGATTGAGCAGTCGCGCAGAGAGGATGGACTAGACGATGCGGATGATTTGGGTAACGAATTATCGAAGCCGTCCAATAGCATGATTCGGGCCGGTTATGAAGTGTAGAAACGCTTGATCTTATCATCCCGGGGTATCATGCAAAACTTGGCGACCGAGATACCTTAGATCATACTCATATATACACAAATTCGAACGACTGCACTTGTTCGAGCTTAATGCAAGACAAAGGCGTACTCCGCTGAATGAAGACAACAATACCTGGTGATTAGACATTTCTGGCATCTCCGGACACCACCAGCAGCAAGGTAGCGTGAGCAAGGAAAGGCTCAATACACTTCATCGACCTCATCATAAGTGTCCATATCACGATCCTCACGGTGTGGGACGTCTTGCTTGCTATCAAGCTGTAGCCCATCCTGTGCGCCACAACCGGCGGCGTCTGAGTCGGGAATTTCCGAAAGATTGTCGACATGCGACAGCGAGGTTTCTTCGAGCTTGTGCCACTTGAGTTTGACCTTGCCGATGACCTTAGGTAGATCCGAGTGTGCCAACGGCCCAGCATAAGAAGCAGCTGATAGGAAGTTTTCACCTTCGTAACGCTGCTGGAACTGTATCAAAGCAGTGTCGTCGCGACTTAGGTGTTGCGTCAACGATGCCGAATCCAGACCGTTGAACATGAGATAATGCCTCAATGTCTCTTCATGATCTTGCCGTCGGCCCTCTGCGAAAGTTATAGCGACAGTCTTGGATCGATTGTCAAGGCTCATGACTGATCTGCCACCGCCTCGACCTCGATAGCTGGCTGAGTAGCCACGACCTCTGGACTGTCCGATGGCTGCGCCACGAATACGGGTAGCCAAGGGGGCATGACTGTCATTGTTCATCACCTCTCTATCCATATCGATGCCAAGGGTCTTCGCCTCGCTCTGCAACTCCGCCAACTTGGCCTTGAGCATAGTCGTCTGCTCGTCATCGTCACCAGCTACACTGCTCCCTGACTGCTTTGCCAGCATTTCGATAGCCCGCTGTCGTTCCAAATTGATCTCGCCCAACCTCTGGTCCAGCGCCCTTCTTTGCTCCAAGATCTCGTTTCGCTTCTGCTTGGTCGCCTCGTGCCTCTTCTGTGCTTCCTCCTGCCGTTTCGCCACCTCCGCCAGATCAAGAGCGGGCTGCTCAGAAGTCATCGGTGTGATATCCTCTTCTGGGGGGTGAGCATGGCCGTTCGTTGCCGGACTCACCAGCTTATGCCAGAATACTTTAACGAACCGGTTCTCGAAGATGCATTTTGGGCTTTGGTATGCGGCTCTGGCAGATTTATGGTTGTTGTACTTCACGATTGCCAGGGCATGATGATAGTGCAAATCAATATGGTCGATCTTCCCAAATTGGGAGAAGAAGTCCTGTATTGACGGCTCATTGAGGTAGTCCTTGGGTATTTGCTCGACGACGATGGAAGTGTTGGATCTGTCCGTTCTATCTGGCCCTGCCATGGAGAACGAAGGACGATGACCTTTGGCTCGGCGTTCATTGCTATTGCTGTGTTGATGTACGGCTGGAAACCCTCCAGCACGCTGATGATCGCTGGTTTGCGGAATAGACTCCTGCACGAATGGCGCCTCAGGTTCGTACCCGTCGTTTCGATCAGCAATAAAAACAGCGTTTCCGCCGTGCTCGTATGGGCATGATGTACCACGCGTACAGAAACCTTTCGTATGGTAGTCGTGGCATTGTCGATCCTCAGGCGTAGCACTAATACCTCCAGCACGTTCGAAGAATCCGCCATCTGGCATACCGAGGAACATCCCCATGGTTTGCTGCATGGCCAAAAAGCTGGCCATGGGATTGCTCAAGTCGAAAGGTGGCATGCCAGGGGGAGGTGTTGGCAAGGGTGGCAAGTGCATGCTCGGGCGCGTCTGATTGAAAGAGGGGGCGTATGAAGGTGGTGAGATCTTCAATCTCGATAAGCTGCTTGGTTTGCTACCACGTTGAGTCCGCTTTGGTGATCGTGTGATCGTCTCGAGCACTGGGATGTGGCCGTTCTGACCCCCTTCTGCGTCCCAGTCATGGTAGGAGCGCTTCCGAGATCCTGCTGGCACCTTGTTCGACTTGTTGTATGCGCGGCCCGTGGCGTCGAGTCCGCTGACCGTTGTTTTCGACAAAGGAGCGCTTAGGTCGTAGGATCTCGTTGCGATAGCGCTGAAGATTTCGTTGACGAATGTCTGGGCACTGTCTGGGATGAAGTCCTTCAGTGCACCAGATACTGCATCGGCCTCGTCAGTTTTGACGAGCGCAACGACATAGTCGGCAAGCACTTCTGAGTCGGCATCCGAGATGGCTTCCAACTTCTTGATTACAAATGCCTTGAAAACCTGCTCGTCTTCGACATCCAGCGTCATGTTGTGCACATTTGATAGAGTCGAACGCTGTACATGAAAGTGCCACCGCGCGCGTCTGGTGCTAAAGAAACTCGGAACAGTTCCGCCATCACGTCGAGCTTCACATGTCACGACTCAAGACAATCACCATTCACTAACTCGAGACATGCATCTCAGTATCACGTGGCGTTCGGTTGTCTGTTTAATTACGGAAGGAGGAAAAGAGTTGTGGACAATATGCGACGTACCAGGCTGAAACGCATTGACAGCTTGCACGATGGTGCTCTCCCCCTCGCCGCTTGGCCCTAGCATTGGTTTCAACTGGGTATATCTGGTCGAGATCCTGGTGTCTGGCATCCTGGCCGTCTTCTTTCTGTTCTACTTCAATCGCCTATTTGGCACCGTTGTGTCATACGCTATACGGGCATGGACCTGGCATAAGTACCGCGCCTACATCGATATCACTGCCCTGCAAATCAGCTTGCTGGGAGGACGTATCTTCTTCAAGAGCATTCGGTATCATGCGCATAACATTACTGCGACGGTGCATGATGGGCACATAACGTGGCGGTACTGGCTCTCTCAGGTCCAAGATGCCGAGATATTCTTGGCGGAGGAGACTGGGCGCAACGGGAAGCAGCAGCCCTCGAGTGGTGCCAGCCAGAAGACAGATCAGAGCAACAGTTCGCCTGGCGAGAAGCACCGCAGTAGAAGCCGTAGTATTGGGAAGACGGAGAAGGCAGGAGGGCATAAGAAGGAGCTTCCATGCCGCATCTCAGTGAAAGTGTCAGGCGTGGAGGCCTTCATTTACAACCGAAGTCCTTTGTACGATCTCGTTGTGGAAGCTACATCAAACGCTGCCAAGAGTCACTCGCATGCCGATGGCGGTGACTGGAAGGTGTTCGACCATCCAATTTCACCAGCATCCTCCAGTCAAGGCAAAGACGGCGCCAACTTGCATCCGAAGCCGGAACGAGTGGAGACACACCAGACCGGTCAAAGCACTGCTTACCAGAGACCAGAGATACCGCAATGGCTTCGAATATTTCCCGTTAAAGTCGAATGCAGACGAGCTGCAGCAGCGGTTGGTAACGAGCACACTACGAGTGTGATAACTGCAAAGATCGAGAAAGCTACAGGTACGATCGATGCAGATAATGCCGCCACGCCCTTCGACATCTTCAAGTTACTGTTCAACTTCGACATCGAACATGCTACTGCACAAATGAAGCCTAACAAAGACTTCAAGAAGTTCCAACTCGATTTCGCGCAGCATGTTTTGCAAGAAAAAGAGGGCAAGATTGTCTCCGGTGGCAGGTACACATTTACACCTCCACGACCCGCTGCAAACATTGTGAGATGGCTACGAGAATCGCTTCGCCGCCGGCCTAGCGTCACTGGCTCTGTTCGAGCTGCTTCTGTCAATTCACATAAGAATCACGTCAATTACCAATCAACACAGCCGCTTCCAGGAGCCGCACAATGGCATGGTCTGTCACGTTATCTTGACGAACACGACAGTACGGAACATAGCGAGTGGTCAGAAATTGAATACGCCAAAGCCTCCACACTGGTAGAATGTCCGAAGATTGGCTTTCGCTTCTACTGGGACATACCCGGTACCGTGCCAGGTGGCCTGGGTGGCAGCGAAATGCCGTCGGATGCTCCGCCAAACGACGACATCAATGGGTCTAAACCACCGGATTATGGATTGGATTTCTTCGTACACGGTGGGACCGTTGTGTACGGGCCATGGGCGGACCGCCAGCGCATAAACCTCCAGCAGATCTTTTTCCCAGTGAGCTATGTCGATAGCCCGCCAATGCCTACGCTGAAGGCTGGTGACACTCGTATATGTACTGTGTTCAAGATATTTGTTTCCGTGGAAGAGGATGTGACTTTGCGTGTACCGACGCGCGAACTTTCCAAAGACGATCAATGGCAAGGAAGAGCTGATCAAAATCAAGCTGGAGGTGAGCCAGGTGCCGCTGAGAGCAAGCCAGGTAAGCATGGCAAACGGAGACGGCACCATCGTCGCCGTCGAGGCAAACAAGGCAATTCAGCTGTGGATGCTCGGCCATATGGCTGGCTTGACATAACCGTGAAACCTGATACCACGGTCAACTTCTCCCAAGACATGTATCCTCGAGCCTCCGGTTACCGCAATCGTCTGGACCTTGAGGTCAAAGGCAGCGAGATGACTAGCAGCGTCAACCACGGTCTCCTCTGGCGGACTGGTCTGATCACCCTGGATGCAGACATATCTCAGCCGTTGGCGTGGAGTACGCTGCGTCGTTGGCCATTCAACATTGTGATCTACGACATGGAGCTCTTCATACTTCGTGATCACATGTTCCTCATTATCGACATTGTGAACGACTGGTCGTCTGGTGCGTCACCAGAATTCTTCACATTTGTCCCATACTACTACGATATCAACATGGGCTTTAAGAACTGGTGCATGTTCCTTAATGTTAACGATGCAAACATCATCAACGAGCCGGCAAGCTTCGACCACAACGACTTCGTCACTCTTGAGGGCCTTGATATGCGAGGCGCGATCCACATACCGATGGAACATTATCGGCCCAAGCGCAATGAGATCTACTTCGACGTGCTTTCGTTTGACATGGGCATGCGCACTTTGAGTCCTCCACGAAGCACTCTACATACGTTCCTACGAGAAAAAAGGGTTGCCGATCTGCCGCACTTGACCCTTAATGGATCTTTTGATCAGAATTCCGAAGAGAAGCCAGGTCTGGTTGACATACTACGCTTCGACATTGCATCAGACGGCCTGAGCCTGAAGGCATTTGGCCAGCTGGTACGACAGCTCATCAATATCAAAGAGAATTACTTCGGCGATTATGTCCACTTCAATACCCTCGAAGAATTTCAGAGTGCGGGAGATACATTTGCTGAAGCCAATGAGAAGATCGCAAGTGCGCCTCCGCCACAGACAATCAACGAGCTCGATGTGATCCTCAACATCATCATTGAGAACACTGCGGTCATGTTTCCGACCAATCTGTACAGCGGCGATGAGCACATCCGCATTGAGCTACCACACGCCGACCTGAACTTGCGCATTGTCAGCTACTACCTTGATATGGCTTTGCAGTTATCACCGCTGAGCATCCTCTCCGGGTCAATAGCGTCTGACGAGGATAAGTCACCAATCGAATCAGCTTCTAGCACTCAGCTGTTCATCCGCCATCTTGATCTGTACGGTCATCGCTCCTTCGGGGCGCCGCCAAAAGAGCCGGCCTACGTCAACCAGTGGGATATCGACGTAGGTGCTTTCACCGGCGAATGTAACATGAATTTCATGTACGATCTTGTCTCCGCTCTACAAGGATTCGCCTTCGCATTCATTGACGCTGAGAATGCAACTCCAGTCACATCACCAAACATCTTTAGTGATGTTTCCTTCGTCAGAGTGCGTACGGACATCATCCGCACGTGGCTGCACGTCGGCCAAGATGCACTGCTTTTTGCAGCTCAGCCCATCTCTGTTGATACCAACGACCTGGCGGGCGAACGATTCTCCCAGAGAGTCAATGTTGTGGCACCACTAATCACTCTTGCCTGCATCGACGCTCAAGCCGCGACACGCAGTCGTGCATTCGGGGGTCGAAGACAACCTGCCCGCACGTTTGCTTTCGTGCAGACTGGTGCTGCAGTGGACGTACTGATACGCAAGCGGCATTTCGAGGACGAAAGGCAAAAGCAACAAGCTCACATACGTGAATGCGATATGAGGACGCGCCGTGTGCCGTTTCTGCTCCATCGAAAGCCGTCATTGGCGTCCGTCGCATACGATCCAGATCTTACACCTCCCGCAATGGCCTACCCTTTCTTTCCCATCCCGCTTACTCGTGGAAGTATGGGCAAAGGACGTCCAGCTTCGATCAGGTCAGCTGGCTCCGGAGTAAGCAGTATAAGCATGCGCTCGCTGATGTGCAAGGAGTCTTCATCATCCATATCAGCTTCCCTGCGTGGGCCCACAAGACCGAAAGCAATGCCAATGTTCCGGTCGATCCGATCTCAGGAGCACTCTCATGCTGAGGCTCCTCAACATCAAAGCGACGCAGCTACAAACGCAGCGCGCGGCACTCCCGATCGCTCGCCATCTGGGCTTCCAGCACCAAGCATGGCGTTTTCCAGTCCTTTTGCGGAGCCCTACTTCCCGCTCGACTTGATCGAGCCCGACGAGACAAATCTACCAGTGTTCTCTGCCGAGCAGACTGTACCTCGCCACACCTCGGATGACGACACCCCTGAATCAATACAAGATATTGGTGACCCAGACGTAGACTCGGACGCTTCCCACACCAGCGTGCTTATCACCGTCAATCCAGGCATCAGAATGTATGCGGAGCCGAGAGTCGCCACGACTGCTGCCAAGCTCATGCGCAAGATGTGTCCCAAAGATGGCGAAGATCTCCTAGACGGCCTGCACATGAGTGTGATGGGCACTATCGACGGTACGCACAAGGCGCAGCATGGCCACAAGGATGTCCTCGAGATTCAAGCATCTCTTCCTTGCGCCCTTGTGCGTGTGGTGAACTCTGCCGATGACGAAGGTGCCGCTTGTGATCAGCTCGATCTTAGCATCAACAAAGTCGAGCAACTTGTGAGGATCAGGAAGTCTCCTACGCATGAGGGCTATACTCAAGCACTCGCTTTGCACTCGATCGCTGCCGGAGTAGAGATTGCTTTGACCGGCATATCAGAGGATGACTTGCGTCCAGCTGTGCGCTTGCACATCAGAGACATCCTGGTCTGGGTTTCGCTTGCCAACAACAGATCTATGCACGTGTCTGTGCGAGACGCGCATCTATCGATTGTTGGCACACAAGCGAGATACCTGAGCGACGCTGCTCTCCGTGTAATGCATATGGTGGAAGACTTGGTACCACATTTTGGTGCTCTCGCAAAGCGGCCTCAGAGGATGCTGCTCCTCCTGGTGTACGCCTTGACTCAACACAATGAGAGTTTTGCTGATCCTGCCTTCCTGTCTCGGATGACCTACATCTTGCGCGCCTTTCCCGATCACTTCCGCAACCAGAATTCGTGGAAGGTGCTCTCACGCCTCCGACACATCCTGTACTCTCTACCAGCCGGCATATTGCAGAGTCTGAACAAGCGCCTCGAGGACAACGATCTGGAATGTCCACCCGATATGGCGGCCAAAGTCCTGCGGAGCTGGGAGCAGTGGCGCAGTTGGGATGTCGTCAATGTGGACAGAGCATACGTGTTTCAGACTCTGTTCCCACAGGCCGAATCGCATACAGTACACGAGACTCCTGATCTACCACTTAGCATGATCGTCAGAACTGAGACATTGAGCGTCTCTCTGGAATCCCGGACCCAGCCAAGCGAGATCGTTGTCGAAGAACTATCGCTCGGTGTAGACATCACTCCACCTATCGCACCAACTGGTTTGATGTTGGTCGAGGCGAACAAACGCACCAAATCCATGCTGCAGTTGCACACGAGCTCTATTGGCATGTCCTTTGACTGGAGTCTTTGTGGGATTGTGGAAGATGTACTGCCCTTGGTCGACGATTTTGAAGGAGCGGCAAGAAAACATGCTGCACCACGACCCATCAAACCCACCGAGAAGCTCGGTGATGAACTCAACAGACACGACTTCCACATCGTAATGTCAACAGACGAAGGGAACATATCTCTGCAAACCATCAATCTTCGCCATCTTTCTCGTGCTGAAGGGCTCAAGCTATCAGTGATTGGCACTACTCAGGCCAGTGATAGGTATGCAGGGTACGGACAGTGTGTGACGGCTTTGCTCAACGTAGACAGAGCAAGCACGGAACTTCATGGTCCTACGAGCCGCGTATGGCAGTCTCTGCTTACTTCGCCCAGTCTGTACATTGACCATCTGCAACCAGCTCCCGGAGTTGACATAGCGCCAGCTGTAGTTGTTGCAGCTGCCTATGATGAGCTGGACATAGCTCTGCAGGAGCAGATTTCTGGTATCATACATGTTGTTGATGGCATCATTGTCGAGGAAGTGACGCAGGTCATGAGGCTCGTCAAAGTCATCAAAGCTGCTCAGTCGAAGCCATCGACCAATGGTCTACCGCCTTCTGTCCAAAGCAAAGCGCTTGACCTCAACGTCGCTGTATTGGCTGGTCACATGCAGCTCGAAGTCGCAGTACTTCAGTCGTTAAGCTACTACCTAGAAGGTAAAGCAGCCAGCATGCGACTTGTACCAAGTTTTACTGGTGACAAGTCCATCGAAATCAGCTTCGAAATTGATCGTCAAAACCATTCCTTCATCAACACGAGTAGGCAGGAACGACATCATCAAGGTCTCCTCGAGATACCTCCAATCAACGGCCATGTCAACTACCTGGCCAGCGAAGATGAGATCTCGATCTCCGCGAGCATATCCGTCGAAAAGATAGAAATTGAAGCTGCGGCCATACAAGGCGTGATCTCTGTGGTCAACAAGCCGGAGGTGAAGAAAGTGATCTCAGCGGTTAAAGGCAATGTTGAGGAAATCCAGCGGCACATCGAAGCATTGGACTTACCTCCCAAAAGCCCTCCACTACCCACCTCAGATACAGCGAGAAAGACGCTGTACGACATGCGACTGGCACTACTCGGCATCCGCGTTTCTGCCAGCACACCACGCGTACGAGGTCGTTCAACGGCAGAAGTGGAGATTGGCATTGGTCCGCTGCATGTCACAGCATCCAACAGACACAACGTTTCTGAAGTAGACCAAATGATTCCCGAAGTACATCTACAGCTACAAGATATTGGAGCCCGGCTTTGGGTTGATGATCGAGGCAAGCATCATCCTTGTGGTAAAGCAACCTTTGGAATCAACGTCCACTTCATCTTGAAGAGTACTCCAAATGGCAACGTGGCGCGAGAGCTGAATATCATCAGCGAGAGTCTTGAAGTCAATGCGTACCCCGAGACTGCTTCGACTTTTGTGGACGTGATCAACCATCTTCAGGATCGACTGCGAGATCTAGATGTTTCTCGGGAGCTGGAGTATATCCGACGGCTTCGAGACACCCGGCGCCACACGATCATGCAAGGCTTTAGCGGAAGGCGTGTGCCTTCGGAGGCGCAGGCTGCCTTCTCTGCGGCCGATCTACTCGCACTTCACACCACTGTGACTCTTCGCGACATCCACATTTCTTGGCTGGTCAACGACCGTTTTGCAGCCTCGCCCAGTGCAAGGGTGGAAGATGCAGTGCTTACCTTCACGAGCATTACTTTGATGACCAGTGGTGGCCACGAAGCGCGGTTGACTATAGCCGATGTGCTGCTTCAACTTACTAAGAAGGCAGCCAGCAAGCAGCATCGTGCTCTTAACTCTGCACTTCTACCTGAAGTAGCTTTCAGCGTGGGCTATTGGACGAAAGGGAAGGATAGAAGTCTTGCTTTCAAAGCGACGGGCAAGCCGCTAGATCTACGCCTGGAGTCAAGCTTCATCATCCCAGTGAACGCGATACAGAAGTCGGTGGAGTATGCCATGGAAACGTTCCAATCAGGAACCGCAGTGTGGCAGAGCACACCGACCTCTTCTGGCGCTCCGCGTGCACAGATCTTCGACACTAAGCGTCTCGCTTCTCTGCTCGTCGAAGCAGATTTTGCAGGTGCACAAGTCTATATGAAAGGCGCTGAAGTGCAGCGCAAGAGTGACAAGTATGCTGCTCAACCGCACGGCTCAGCCCATGGTAGATACGGCCAGTTTGCCAACGATGATGAGACGATTAGCACGACACTGCGAGCCCCTGGTATCGCTGTCAAAGTCGAGTACAACTCCAAAGGATTGCAGCCTACAATTAGTGGTGAGATGCAGATCGAAGCTTCAAGCAACCAACTTCTTCCGAACTTCGTGCCACTGATGGTCGAAGTGTCGAATAGTGTCAAAGACGTGGTCAGGCAGCAAGAAGGCCAGGCTGTTGCAAAGCCGAAGCAGGCGCTCGAGAACAAGCCATCACAGAAGTTCTTCGAGGAGGATTCAATCGCCACGGTAAACCCTGCAAGACTCTTCGGCAGGACCAAAGTCAATCTTGGCTTGCGCATCTGTCGACAAGAGTTCGGGCTCACGTGCCAACCGATTGCCAAGGTCGATGCTAAACTACTGCTGGACGACTTCTACTTTACAGTCAACACGATCGAGTCGGACGATTATGGGCACTTCTTCGCCATGTCAGCTGTTTTGACAAAGTTGTCCGCAAATGTCAAGCATGTCTACTCTCGTGAGCCGACTTTCAGCTTCGACATGGACTCGATTGTCCTATCAGCAATGAACAGCAAGCACTTGAGCGGCAATAATGGCATTTCTGCCATCGTCAAGGTCAACCCCACAAAGCTGTCCGTCAACGCGAAACAGCTGCAGGATCTGCTGCTCTTCCAAGAGATATGGTTGCCACCAGAGATCAGAGCGCAACCAGCCCCAGTGGCTTCTGCTGAAGGCGGTCCGCCTGACGAATACTTTGCACAGAAATATCACTCCCTTGCGTCCGCTGCCGCCTTCCCTTGGAACGCCACTGTCACGATCGCAGAGCTCAACGTCAATCTGGATCTCGGACAGAGCATTGGCAAGACCTCGGCGACCATCAGTAACCTGTGGGCATCGCAGCAAAAGTCCTCGAATTGGGAAGAGCACTTATGCATAGGCTTGGACGAGTTAGCAGTGAACAGCACGGGCAGAATGAGTGGCTTCGTCGAGCTCACAGGGCTGGGTGTGCGCACATCAATACAATGGCCGCAAGGTACGGAAGAGGCGGGCAAGACACCATTGATCCAGGCTTCAGCTGGGTTTGGCAAGCTGCGCGCGAAAGCTGCTTTCGACTACCAGGCTTTTGCTTTCGGTGATATCGAGGACTTCGATTTCCTCATGTACAACGTGCGACAAGAGGACCACAAGAACGATCGACTTGTCGCAGTGCTCGACTGCGGCAAAGCCTACGTCTTCTGCACGTCTACTAGTCCCGCACAAGCCGTGGGACTGTTTCAGGCCTTCGACCGGCTCATACAGGAGAAGCAGCTCATGTATACTCAGTCTCTCAAGGACATCGAGAAGCACTTGCGACGAGAGAGTACGGTGGTGCCTACCAAGTTCGGCCCAATCATTGGCGGCTCGAAGCCAAAGTCTGACGACAAAGCCACATCGATTTCATTGCACACAGATGTCGTCGCTACGCTTGGTGATATCTGCTTTGGCGTGTATCCAAGCACGTTCTTTGATAGCCAGCTACTCAAGGGCGAGGCCAACAATATTCAAGCGCGCTTTGCCGTCGGCCTGGAGAATGGCAAAATACATAGCGGGCTAGGCATGACTTTGGGTCAACTACAAGTAGCCCTCGCGGCTGTAAGACGAGTGACAGCCGTGCCAAAAGCACTAGAAGTGTCCGTCGACGAAGTCGTCAGCAGCGCTCTGAACGCCAAAGGCGGCACTATTCTCCGCGTGCCCAAAGTCGTCGCCTCGATGCAGACCTGGCAAGCCCCCAACTCAAACAACGTCGACTACATCTTCAAATCCCTCTTCGCCGGCAAAATCGACGTAGGCTGGAACCTCTCCCGCATCAACTTCATCCAAGGCATGTGGACCACGCACTCTCGCGCCTTGGCCTCACGTCTAGGGAAACAGCTCCCAGAAAGTGCAGTCAAAATCACGGCGGCGGAACAAGGCAAGGACTCGACCTCCTCAAGCTCGTCACAACCTCAGGACAAAATCACGGCAGAGGTGAAGTTGCCACAGTCACGGTATGAGTACCATGCCCTCGAGCCGCCGATTATCGAGACACCGCAGTTGCGGGATATGGGGGAGGCGACACCGCCGTTGGAGTGGATTGGGTTGCAGAGGGGTCGGTTGCCGAATGTGACTCATCAGATCATTATTGTTGGGCTGCTGGAGGTGGCGAAGGAGGTGGAGGATGCTTATTCGAGGATTTTGGGGTCGTCTTGAGATTTTAATGTAGAGCGTTGTAGCATGGCGTTTGGGAGGGCTTGGGATGTACATTTGTAGTGTTAGATAGTGTGTATATTTGACAGTGTGCGTAATCACAAGATTTTGGTGGGGTAATTGTATTCAGCCCCGGCTTTGTAATTATCTGGCAACACCAGAACAATGTCGAGATTGTCGCGATTGCCATAATGTAGTGTGACTCACTATGGTACATGTAGCTTGAATGTAGATGAATGCATGCTTCGAGTCATCGTACTTCTTCACCCTCGTGCCAACCCTCCAGTGACCTTAACTCCGGTGTCTCAAAACAGCCTATTCTTAACGTTACATGGGGCAGGATTGCAGAAGGGTAGGACTCCCGAATCCATCTTCGATTTCGCCAGGAAGCCAAAGTTGACGTTTCCTTCTACTTCGCCGTGTATGTAGGTGATGGAACTGGTTATTCCAGATACAAAGATACGTCTAGTCCAAACGGGTAATATCATATCACTTTCGTCCTTCTAGCGTACCTAGAGCCTATAACATAAGCGAAAAGGCTAACGTTTTGTCGAGATCTTGTCGAAGTCCCACCCTTTCTGCAATCCCACCCCTTGTCACATTAAGAATAGCAATAGCGGGGCATTTTGCCTCCACTAACATTTTCGCTCTCATTTGGCCTCCTCTTGTCGTCCAAGCATTACCGCTGCACCACATCGCCGTCGACAGGTAGCTTTACTACATATACCAGCCACATCCGCTTTTGGGCACTGACACCTTTCACAGGCAGACAAGTATTTCCACGGTCGAGTCGTGCACTTCAGCACTCGATAAGGGCACTCCGGCAGGCCCTCCCACACACGAATAACAGACTTTTCCACCCACACCTACACCCACCACTACCGCCAAGATGGTTCAGTAAGTCATCACTGAAGAGCATGGGAAGGATATCGTGGCTTGAATACCACAACTCCTGCAGCGACGTGAGATACATGGAGCACGGCTAACATGCGGCGCTCAACAGATTCACCGTCGAGGAGCTCCGCGAGCTCATGGACAACCCGGTCAACATCCGTAACATGTCCGTCATCGCCCACGTCGACCACGGCAAGTCCACCCTCACCGACTCCCTCGTCCAGCGTGCCGGTATCATCTCCGCCAAGAACGCTGGTTCCGCTCGATTCACAGATACCCGCCCCGACGAGCAGGAGCGCGGTGTGACGATCAAGTCGACCGCAATCTCCCTCTACGGCTCCCTCATTGACGCCGAGGATCTCAAGGATATCCCTCAGAAGACCGTGAAGAACGACTTCTTGGTCAACTTGATCGATTCGCCTGGTCACGTTGATTTCTCATCTGAAGTCACTGCTGCGCTCCGTGTCACTGACGGTGCGCTCGTTGTCGTCGACACCGTCGAGGGTGTGTGCGTGCAGACCGAGACTGTGCTTCGTCAGGCTCTCGGTGAGCGTATCAAGCCTGTTGTCATTATCAACAAGGTCGATCGTGCTCTGCTCGAGTTGCAGGTCAGCAAGGAGGATCTGTACCAGAACTTCTCCCGTGTCATCGAGTCCGTCAACGTGGTCATCGCCACCTACTTCGATAAGACCCTCGGTGATGTCCAGGTCCAGCCTGACAAGGGTACCATTGCTTTCGGTTCCGGTCTTCACGGCTGGGCTTTCACCGTGAGACAATTCGCTACCCGCTACTCCAAGAAGTTTGGTGTAGACAAGAACAAGATGATGGAGCGTCTATGGGTGAGTTTTGACATGACTTGCAATTCCCTATGACCAGTAGCTAATATACGCGCAGGGCGACAACTTCTTCAACGCCAAGACCAAGAAGTGGACCAAGGTCGGCACACACGAGGGCGCGACTCTTGAGCGTGCTTTCAATCAGTTCTGTTTGGACCCCATCTTCCGCATCTTCGACAGCGTTATGAACTTCAAGAAGGAGGAGATCCCAAAGCTTCTGGAGAAGCTCGAGATCAAGCTCACTGGCGAGGAGAAGGAGCTCGAGGGCAAGCAGCTCCTCAAGGTTGTCATGCGCAAGTTCTTGCCAGCCGCTGATGCGCTCATGGAGATGATGATCCTCCACCTGCCATCTCCCGCTGTCGCCCAGAAGTACCGCATGGAGACTCTCTACGAGGGTCCTCCTGATGACGAGTCCGCTCTCGGTATTCGCGACTGCGACCCCAAGGGCCCGCTCATGCTTTACGTGTCCAAGATGGTGCCGACTTCCGATAAGGGTCGTTTCTACGCTTTCGGCCGTGTCTTCTCTGGTACTGCCCGCTCTGGTCTCAAGGTCCGCATCCAGGGCCCCAACTTCATCCCCGGCAAGAAGGAGGACATGTTCATCAAGAGCATTCAGCGCACCATCCTCATGATGGGTCGTTACACTGAGCCTATCGAGGATGTGCCAGCTGGTAACATCTTGGGTCTGGTCGGTGTCGATCAGTTCTTGCTCAAGTCTGGTACCCTCACCACCGCCGAGACGGCCCACAACATGAAGGTCATGAAGTTCTCTGTCTCGCCTGTCGTTCAGCGCTCCGTCGAGGTCAAGAACGCCAACGATCTGCCCAAGCTCGTCGAAGGTCTTAAGCGTCTATCCAAGTCCGATCCTTGTGTGCTTACATACATCGCGCCCACCGGTGAGCACGTCGTCGCTGGTGCCGGTGAGTTGCACTTGGAGATCTGCTTGAAGGATCTCGAGGAGGACCACGCCGGTGTGCCTCTCCGTATCTCCGACCCAGTCGTGCAGTACCGCGAGTCCGTCAACGGCACCTCCACTATGACCGCCCTCTCCAAGTCGCCCAACAAGCACAACCGCCTGTACATGATCGCCGCTCCCCTGGAGGAGGGTGTCGCCAAGGACATTGAGCAAGGCAAGATCGGACCACGTGACGATTTCAAGGCCCGCGCCCGTATCCTCGCCGATGAGCACGGCTGGGACGTCACTGACGCCCGTAAGATCTGGTGTTTCGGCCCCGATACCAACGGCGCCAACTTGCTCGTCGACCAGACCAAGGCCGTGCAGTACCTCAACGAAATCAAGGACTCCGTCGTCTCTGGTTTCCAGTGGGCGACCAAGGAAGGTCCCATTGCCGAGGAGCCCATGCGCAGTGTCCGCTGGAACATCATGGACGTCACGCTCCACACCGACGCCATCCATCGCGGTGGTGGACAGATCATCCCCACCGCTCGTCGTGTGCTCTACGCCTCCACCCTCCTCGCCGACCCGGGTCTCCTCGAGCCCGTGTTCTTGGTCGAGATCCAGGTCCCCGAGCAGGCTATGGGAGGCATCTACGGCGTGCTTACGCGAAGGCGTGGTCATGTGTTCGAGGAGATGCAGCGTCCCGGTACGCCTCTCTTCAACATCAAGGCCTATCTACCCGTCAACGAGTCTTTCGGTTTCAATGCCGATCTGCGCTCCAACACTGGTGGTCAGGCTTTCCCGCAATTGGTGTTCGATCATTGGCAGATTCTGCCGGGTGGGTCGCCGCTTGATAGGACGACCATGCCCGGTGGGGTTGTGGAGACGATGAGGAAGAGGAAGGGCTTGAAGCCTGAGGTGCCGGGCTATGAGAACTACTATGATAAGTTGTAAGCGGCCTATCATTGGCGGCGATTGCAGCTTGTTGTGGAGGGAGAGAGTGTCAGGAGGGGACAAAAGCGAGCATTTGTGGGTGTCTTGTCTGCTTTCGGCCATTTCATATGAGCTGTTTGACGATAGATGCGGAAATCATGCATGCTAGATACCAATGATGTTTAATGCGTTCGCACGACATGGTCATGAGATGAGAGGGGGGAGGAGAGTGGTGTTCCCTTTGTTTTTTTGCATGAATGGTAGATTAGGAGTCCAGTTCAAAAAAAACAGTTTCGCTACAATGGACCATGGTGAGTATTCTCGGAATGTTTTTTGCCCCAGTGATTGTTTCAATTCGCTCTTGTGTAACGCCGCCGCTAGCACGCTCATGTTACAGTAATTTAAAAGGACCGAAGATGGCAATAATCACGGAGATCCGCTTCATCGTCCCCAGACATTTCGTTCCTCTTCGAATGGCCCGCTTGCGCTTGCGCTCGCCTCGTCGCCATCCCCATACTTCCTCCCATCCCACGGCTGCTCCTGCCCAACCTCATCCTTCCTGGTCCCCTCCCTCTCACCCGTCGTCCCCTCCCCTCCCTTCCCACCATCTTCCACATCCGCCACGGCCTCCTCATCCCCCTCCCCCTCCAAAGCAAAAGCCCCCGTCAGCGTATGACTTCCCTCCGTAACCGTCGTCTCCGGCTCATCAGGATTAAACCCCTGCCGCACTTCCTCTTGCACTTCCCCCTTGGGGGTATTATACATTTTGACGTAATGTTTCTGTTCTACCGAGTTCCAGCCTGGACCGCCTTCTTTGCGTGCGCGCACGCGTTCGATGGTTTCGGCTGCGTGGTCTTCTACTACTAGGTCGACTAGTTGGGAGCTGTGTGAGTCGGCTGAGTCGGAGGAGTCGTGGCGGAAGAGGGTTCCTACGAGGGGCAGGTGGGATAACTTTTCTTTGCCTTTTCCTGTCAAGGTGGAGCTTGAGGCGGCGTCGCCGTTGCTGGAGGAGCTACCGCGGGGGTTTTTGTTCGGGTCGTCGTGTTGGTGGGCGTCGGATTGGATGTCCTTGATTCGGCTCTTGCGGCGTTGACGGTTATCGGCTGTGGGTTGGAGGATGGCGCGGTTGGTGGTCGCGCTGAGCATGTTTGGGTCGGCGTTGAGTTGGTCGTCGCGGGTGGCGTAGTGGGTGTTGATGACGGGGTAGTTCCAGTCGCCGTATTCTAGTGCGCGGGCGTTTTGGTAGAGGCGCTCTTCTTCTGCATCCAGCTCTGGCTCGGCGGGTTCTTGGGTCGCGCCGTAGTTTCGTCCTTTGCTTGTTGAGCGACTGCCGCCACCGGGACTCATAGTCCGCGCATGACTGTCTGCTAGTCGGGAAAGGAGCGGTTGCTTATCATTCGCATGACCCGAAGCAGGAATCCAGTATTTACCCTTGCCACCCCGCTCATATCTCATCCCCTCGGCCATCCTCGCCTGCCGGCTCGAACTCTCCTCGTGCGCGAGAACATTATCCTCGGCATCGAAGTATCTATACTCGTACTTGTTCCCACTAAAAGTCTCCTTCGCATCCTCGATCAAATCCCTTGGCCCAAAAGCGTCTCGTGCCGCGAACCGCAACGGCATCCTCGCATCGCTGATAGTACGATCGGCGTAGTCCTTCCAGCTGAAAGCGTACCAATGCGCAACAGCGAACAGAGGCATCTCGAAACAAATCAAGGCGTCTTGGATCGCCGCCGCCAGGTTATCGGCAGTGTATCCACCACCGATTCCCTTTATAGCACCCAGCGAGACCAGGATGGAAAGGAAGAAGCCCTGCCACCACGACGCGAAAATGATGCCCTTGATGCATAAGAACTTGGGCATGGGTCGGAAAGGCTGGAGATCGGCACTCATGCACACCCAGAAGAGGGCGAGGTCGTACAGACTCCAGCCGATACTGATGTTGTAAATCAGTCCCGTCCAGAAATATCCACTATCCGCCGACAAGATGCCCTCCTTGAACGTCCCCGTGGCCTTCATCAACACCGTCGCGATGGCCAACAGTGGTTTGATCCACGTATACTGCAGGATGCCCCTCTTGATAGACAAGAAAGTATGCGGATCGGAGATGTCGACTTTACCCAAGCAGTGATTCAAGGGCCAGAGATGGTCGATCGGACGCCGGCCGTGCATCATGATGATTAGAGATCTTTCGCCGCCGAGGTAGGCTACTAATAGTTGGAAGAAGGTGTAGAGGGTGAAGGCCTCGTAGACGTCGCGGAAGGGGTCGATCCAGAAGGCGACCCGTAGAGAGGTGAAGGAGGCGAAGGAGGCGGCGGCGAAGATGGGGACGAGGACGTAGATGCGGATGACGTGCTGGTGGAATCACATGTAGTGTCAGTGTGTTGGGCTTCTATCGTGGGTGGTGTGAGGATAGAGATGCTCACCCGTTGCAGGAGTGGTTTGCGGTAGTTGTACAGTTGGAGCAGACATGATGCCACCGTCTAAGAATCAATCCCATCAGTATATACTCTCGCCTGATTTTGGTAGAGCGATACACACCAGTATGCAGGCTACCAGACTGCTCACGCCAGCCGCAACCAACACTGCCCTTCCAAACCCGCTCCCCGTTCCCTCGGGTGTATTCTGATCTCCCGTCGTTATTATTGTATATAGCATCCCAGCAGTACTATCCGTATCCATCCTCCTTATCCCAGGGATGCGAGAAGCAGGGAATGCCTGACGGGTTGCAGGCTGCCGCGTGGTTGCAGCACTCTCTCCGCTATACCAGCTTATCTCGACATACGCGTGCTCTAGTCTCCGAACAGACCGTCAACCTGTGGCAATTGGTTACGGTGTCAGTAGGCAGCAGAATAGCAACACAAATCTAACCTCCCAAAACAAGCCACCCATACACACATACTTGAAGCTTGCCGCATCACATGCTGCATGGACCCTGCTATCTGCACGTCATTCGCCCAGAGTGTCAAAGTCGAAAAAAGCCAGAGCCACGTGAAAGAACAGCACCATACCTTGTCATACATACTACTACCGATAACATCATTATATGGCAATATTATCATAATACGAGGAAAGGCAAGGTATATCGCCACAGACTGGAATGAGTCTTCCTCGTGGTCGAGCTAAGCACGATAGACGATACAGCAAGTACACGTCATTCAGACCACTCCCAGCACAGCAATCATTTCTCTAAGATACCTCTCTCATGTTCCCCCTCCCAAACATCTACCCATACTCCCCACTCATCTCCTCCCCGTAATCTCCCGCAGCTCTCTCGTCTCCTCCTGCAGCACCTCCGCCGCATCAAGCACATTCTCCACCTGATCCTCGATCCTGCGGAAATCCGCCACCAATCGTGAGCGCCGACTTTGGTCTCGGAAGCGGCTCCGTGGACGTCTCCCACTACCTAGCAGAGGAGGTCGGGGACGCAGCCCGAAGTCGTCGTCGTAGTCATCATCGAGAGCATTGCGACTACGACGACGACGAGGAGGAGAGTACCCTGCTCCGGAGGGCCGCAAGGAGCGATTCGAGCCCAAAGGCACCAGCTCCAAAGACGACGAGGCCCTGGGCATGCTCGGCCGAACAGGATACCGTCCACCACGACTACCGCCACCAAAGACCGCGTTGACAACACCAGGCGAATACCGCTCGACAACCTTCAAACACTGCACCTGCTCCCCCCGGCCCATACAGCTCCGCCCAATATTACACGCCCATTCGTAAACCTCACCCTGCGGCGCCGAGGTCAACAACTCATGTCGTTCCTGCTGGAAAAACAAGGCCAGGACACTACCTAACCAATAACTATGAGATAGCAGGGAGACTTCGGCCAGGGTGCGAAAGAGCCGGATCGTGCGCTCGTGGTCTTCGCCGAGCCAAGGGTCGAACCAGAGATCTTCGGCCGCGGCATCCTTATCCGCTTCTTTTTCTAGGTGGCGGAGGATTTTGTGCGTGAGGAGGCTTTCGTCATGGCCGTATTTGGTTATGGTTTCTAGGACGCGGAGGAAGATTGTTTCGATGTGGTGGGGTAAGTAGGCGTAGAGGCGGGTTGACGACGAGCCGGCGATCCCGACGAGGTTGTTACTGCCCTGGTACATGAGGTGTTGGATCGCTTCGTCGAAGGTTAGGTTGAGAGTTAGGACGGCGTCGTAGAGGTGGGGGAGGTAGTGTTGGATGAGGTGTGCTTTGTTCTGGCCTCGTGTCATGCCGACCGTCAGGCCGCGGTTGAGGGGATTCGGTAAAGGTCTGACCCCGGGTGGGGTCAAGGCTGAGGAGACTGGGTCGCTGTCGGTCGAGAATTAGCCTCTTGTTTGAGAGTGGCGTGCTAGTGGGGGACAGCTTACTGGAGAGAGATCATGTCGGAATGGGGCGTGAGTGATTGATCACGAGCGAAAGAATGGAGTGGTAATGATCTGTTTCAAACCCAGTTTGTAGGCCGTGTTGTCGGGGTTGGATCGATGTGCGCGGTATAGCAATGACAAAGTCGAGAAAGTCCTTCCATGTGTCCTTGGCATGATGAAGGCCAAAGGCGTCGACAATCTGTGAATTTGTTTGCTGCTGAGTCGTACAATCGCCTTCCCGTCCCACCTTGACGCATCATGCACACAGGTCAGCCACAGTCAGCCGGACAGCTGGGCACTAACATCCCCTCTAGAGCCAGTCAGTAGTGGTACAAGTCGAAGTTGCGGCCTGATCGTGCAGTTCTTGGATTTCGATCTACGAATAGTGACTCATGGCGAACGTGACATCCTCGCCCATCAGGGCACCGTCTTTTCGCTCACACTCCGGCCGTGCGAGCTACTATTCCTCGAAGACGTCGGCCGGCTACCACACGTCGTCGGCACTACAGCCTCTGAATTCAGCCTCAACAGCTTGATATCGCCCTTACTCCTCAACCTGACACCAGCCTGACGCGCACTCGTAGCCTTCCTCAACTCCCTATTACTCATCCCCTCAGTCTGCGATCCCAACTCACCTCGTATCGAAGAAGCCACAGTGACAGCTGCACGTAACGAACCAACAACACAATCGTTATCGACTTCCGTCTTGCGCCAGTAGCTATGCAGCCAGATTCCGTATAGCAAAAGCGAGGTGAAGAATGTGGTTGTTAGGAAGAGGAAGAGTAGGATTAGTGAGAAGCCCCAGCGGTATGTTTCTTGGGGTGCACACATGCCGTGTTCCATCAGGAATGAATTGGTCAGTGATCGGCCTTGGTAGAAGACGGCGTTGTCGCTGTTTTCGAAACTGTTGCGGGTAATGTTTAGGAGAGGTGCTGCAAGATTGTGCTCTTGCCCATTGGGACTCGTGAAGGTGCTGCTGATGTTGGCGGCTTCAGCATTTGCAGTCCATTGCTCGTAGTTGTAATCTACGTAGTTCTGCAGGTCTAAGATTGTGTCAGAGTCTGCTTGGTGAAGCCTACCGAGATGACTTACAGTTCTGCAGACTAGTGGCCAGATTCGTGCCGTGCTGGACACAAGTATTCTGATCGAGACCAACGCGATCACCATCTTGCACCACCCAGTCACAGTTTGCGATATCACTGAAGCTCACATAGATGCCGTTCTGCAGCATGATCAGTGGGATGGCAGTCGCCTGATAACCAGTCATAGCACTGATCCAGGTCGGAGCGATGAGAGCATAGACAGTCGCCAACGTCAGCGTCACCGCCGAGAAGAACTGCCGAGCTGACCTTCTCTTCCAATGAATGTCTCTAGCATACGTGGCCAGCGAGGAGAAGCCGGTGGTATTGTATTCCATCCTGAGTACCTTGGTATAGGACGGGATAATATTGGATGGCATTCGTGATCGACCCGCGAAAGACGTAGTAGATCACTACAGCTATCAAGACCTGCATGCCACGGCCGATCACCAGATCCCAGAGGACGTCAATGGCTTTCGCAGTCGAAATTGGGAATTCGTCAAAGCCAATAGTCACTGCGAGACCGTAACTGCCTCCCCATAAGTTTGGTCGGTTGGCTTGTGTGACCCATACTGCACCGCTTGGCGAGCAGCCGTAGTCTTTCTCCGTATGGCTGAACTTGATTCCAGCTAGACAGAGCCCGAGGAGTAAGGAAAGGATCCAAATGATTGGGATCAAAGGCAGGAGCGAGAAGCCTGTCCGGCGCCATCTACGACCTTTGCTATTGGTATTGTGCTCATGACCACCTTGAGCGTCGTTCCGAGGCAGCTCAAGATATCGTCCAGTACCCATCATCGTGCTCGACAATGCTGATGTTGATCAAAGGATTCTTGCAGGAGGAGGTGAACGCAAGATTGCGTCGCACGCAGCCGATACATACCTATGCTTCGAGCGCTGGCCATATTGAGCATGATTATTGCGGCACCATGGGATGCCTGAAGCCAGAAGTAGAGATCGAGCAGTGGCACTTGCATGGGCGGCAAGCAAACTAGGAACGATATGGGGCCACGGCTTGATTGATGGGGCTGAGTGAGGCCGGCTAAATATAGCTCCGCAATTGAAGTTCGCATTCAAGCCGACACTTCATCTGGTCTCATCTCTTACGGAGACTACCTTGTGTCAACGTGGAACGAGAAGCATCAAGCAGGAATCTGCTGCATGGGATCTGTCTGACGGAGAGAAGATCCAGCGTCACAGCGATCACGGATCATCATCCTTCAGACATCGGCTACGGTGTTTTGTTCAGCAAGTTTATCCTGTGAAGACGCCGCCGTCCAAGACAATATAGCATATCTCCTGGTCAGTAGATATTTCAACGTCCATTCGACGGCCGGCATGGTTGGATTGGTGATACCAGATGCCCGGTTGCGCGGGCCCGGCCTCGAAGTTCGACCTCCATCTCGCAGGTCAGATTCCGCGGAAGCATTGCCACAGGCGACCTTTATCGCTTGGTTCGAATGCAAGCCGCTGTAGTCACCGATGATGATCTATGTCAGGAAATGGCAGACTCACTACGTTTGCTCTCTTTTGGCGAATACTTTGCACGAGACGGCGTAGATCACTTCAACTACACCTCCACGCGTCAAGATCTGGAGAGCTGTAGCTCAGTCGAAGTTGGTGAATCAGCCCAGTTACTCTTTCTCTTCCCGAGTGCAACCGCGCCACTCCCGCTCGCGTCACATGCACACCTCTGTAAGTCTTGTTGACTTTGAGCTGAAGCATTCAACAATTACATCCCACTGTTCCACAACATCAACAACACTGACCATGGCAGACATGCCACCGTCAGCGCCAGCGATGGAGCTCCGACTCAAGCGTAAGTCCCCAATGACCGTCACACAAGACCCCGAGACCACGAAAGGGAAAGGCAAGGCGGCGGTGATCCACATGACAGGGGTAAGGAAGCGTAAGGCACCCACCGATAAGGCAACGAAAGCTGGGAATGAAGGCGAAGGCGAATTAGCAACCAACCAGGTCGCCACTTCCAAGCGTAAGAGGGCGAGGACATCCGAAAAAGACGCTTCCGACGACTCTCCAGCCACAGGTGGCAAGCGCAAGGTACACACCCTATCTCCAACCACACCATCCATCTATCCACTAACCCCCAAACAGGCAGCCCAAGACATAACCAAATCCATGCCCATCCCCTACACCTACGAAGACTGCACCGAAGCCGACAAAATGCTCCTCGACCAACGCGACGCCGGCGTAGACTGGGCCGAAATCCGCACCGCCTGGGTCAAGATCACCAAGCAGGGCAAACTCGGCCCTAGTACGCTTCCGAACCGGTACGCGCGTCTCAAGGTTAACTTTGTCGTGATCAAGGAGGATGATAATGGGAGATTGGTCGCGGCTAAGCAGGCGGTGGAGAAGGAGCTCGAGGGGAAGAAGTGGGGGTTGATTGCTAAGAGGGTGGTTAAGTTGGGGGGGGAGGAGTATGATGTAGGTTTCTTCTTCTGCTACTATCTGCCGATAGACTTACCACCCTTTACGCGAAAGGAGTTGAGAGGTTTTGCTGACTATACTGTGTGAACAGGGTGAAGCGCTACGCCAGCGGTACAAGAAGCTGATGAGTGAGCATGGTGCGGTGCCGCCTGCTGATGTGGACGCTTCGGACTTCAGGGAGTGAGGATTCCGCGATGATGCATCTTCCGTTTGCGCAGGGAGGCGGCCATAAGCATTTTCAGGTCATCTTTGGGTGGCAAGCCCGCAGGCTGCATGCGAGGGAGGTTGCGCTTTATGGCACCAGCGTACCAGCCATCCTATCCAGTCTATAAGCGACAATGGTGCTTTAGGAGCTTCATGATATATGTAGCATTGTCAGCAAGGACCTCTTACTAGACTTCCTATCCTATCATGGACGCTTTTCGCGCAAGCAGCAGGTCGTTCCTTCCCCATTTGCAAAGCCGCCTTAGCTTCGGCTACCTGCATGGAAAGACGGACATTGTGGGTCTCATGATGCCGATACGTGGGACCGGTGAAAGAGCCTCCACGACAAACGCCGTGCAGCTACCCGCGTTCACACCTACGACCTGCTTCTCCGGCGGCATCTCAAATTCACACCGCATGCCTTCAAGCTTGGAAAAAAAGACAAACCTCCACGCTTCGACAAAAAGGACGTATCTCACTCTCCGATCATAAACCTCCCTCCCAAACGAGAATCTTTAGAGGAGGAATAGCAAGTACATTACCTCCACCACCATCGCCACTACCACCACTACGAAGCTCCGCAACCATGGCAGAGCCCCACCCCAATACTCGCCTACGAGTAGATTGGGAATCCTTGGGCATCTGCCGCTACCACATGATCGGCGGCATACACAATTGTACTCGCGACCCGTGCAAGTGGACGCATCCGGAGCCGGAGGTGGTGCCTTTGATGTGGGAGAGGGAGAAGGCTATGGCAGCGTCGAGGGAGAGGGCGGAGGCGAGGGGGAGGTTGGCGGAGAGGAAGGTGGATAGGGAGAGGGCTGGAGCCTGTGTGATGGGTGGGGTTGAGGAGATGGTGGATGAGGTAAGGTTTGGGTTTTGGTGGCGGTGCAGTGGTGTATGTTGGGCTGACTGTTCGGTGTTTAGGATCGTGGAAGATTGCCGCTGCGGTATCCTTACTCCCCAAGAATGAGGGAGGACTCAAGGCATGGTTTCCGGGGCCGATCACCCTTCCGCTCGCCGCCGCGGTTGGTAAGTCGAGCTTCATGGACTTTCAGCCGCGCCGATCCAGCTGACCTTTGCACAAGTACGCCGCGGAAGCAGACCCTTATTTTCGTGAAGTTGAAATGAGGGATGCGTACGAGGCCAGATATTACGAGCATTATTTAATGCCTACGCCTCGACTGGCTCCACGTGGTGTAAGTAATGACCGCTGATCGGTGCGAGTGGTGTTCAAGCTGACTTTCACAGGACTACTGCGAGGGATATCAGTACGGTGCACCACATAAAGGTATGGCGTATCCACCTGCTCGGAAGGGAGAGTATGCTTCGCCGGGTGGTAAGTACGACGAATCCTGGTGTCGTAAGGAGGTCGGCCAAGGCAGCTATGAAGATCAATACCACGAGAGAGGTGAGGAGGCGTATCGAGCTGGTGGCGGGTACTACCATCAGCACCGCTTTGACGATACTGCGGCAGCTACACACAGCAGGCCAGCAGCGCTCGAGTTGTGCGCAAGAGCACTAGAAGTAGCTATGCCCGCGGCTCTTGTGGAACCTCGATTCGATGTTGCGAGTAGGCAGACTGAGAGGGCTGGTCAACCGGCGTCCACGAGGGATATGAGGAGCATCAGCGACATCAACGACCCACCTAAAAACGCCAATCGTCAACCATTGGGTAGGCCAAACAGACTCTTGCCGACACCTGCAAACAGCAGCCCGTCACATGCCGAGATGTTGCCTGCAGGTGCCCGCATCATCTGGAAGCGACCAGAGGCAGAACAGCGGGCAGATGAAGATGCTGTGGCAGTGGAGAAAGTGGAGGAGAGAAGAAGTAAGGTTGGAGCAGAGCAAAGCTTCAGCCACACCGGAGCGGGCGCCGAAGAAGCGGGAGTGTCTGTCGATAGGGCTGAACTTATGCTCCCACCTCCACAAGCAGAAGTCAAGATCACTAACACTGCACCACTCCTGCTCTACATCTCTCCGACGCCAGTCAAGCCCCGTCCATACGGCTTGTTACACGCCAAAGCCGAAGACATGGGTGCGACGAAGCGGATGAGCAATGGCGAGGCCAAACCCGTCGGTCCACATCCCTCGACCATCCGCGTTGCGCCTCGCTTCATGTCCCAGGCGGCCATCGACAAGAAGCTGAATCCGCCAAATGCCTTGGACGTGCAGGAGCGATCACTGGCCGAAGCTCGTGAAGACAATATCCGATTGCAGGGTGTCACGTGGCTGGACAATGTTCGCCGAGCATTACAGCTGCCGATCCGCACCTACACCACGGCCTGCACATACTATCACCGTTTCCGCCTGTCGCACCCGCATGCTGTCGACTATGCCTGGGCGGATGCTGCGGCAGCGGCGTTGCTGATGGCGTGCAAGGCCGAGGATACGCTGAAGAAGACTCGAGATATCCTTGCCGCGGCCTACAACCTCAAGGCTGGCGCGCATGATCCTCTCACTCCCGACGATGTCGTCTTCGAGACCCCGAGCAGGATCGTCATCGGTCTGGAACGTCTGATACTGGAGAGTAGCGGCTTCGACTTCCGCGCCAAGTATCCTCACAATCTCATGGTCAAGATGTGCAAGACTCTGGGAAACGATGAGGAGGAGCTCAAGAAGGTCGGCAGTATTGCTTGGACCGTGCTGACAGATCTTTACCGGACCTTTGCACCGCTGAAGCATACTCCAGCCACCATGGCTCTTGCATGTCTGGAGCTAGCCACGCAATTACATGCTGCATCCACCGGTAATGAGACCTTCCAGGAGCAGATCAAAGCATTTGACTACGAGAAGGCCGGCACAACACGAGGAGAGATCATGGAGACGCTACTCGATCTCCTCGACCTCTATACCCATCACACCGCCAACTCAATCCTCGGCACTAAATACAGTCTCGACGACTTCCTCCGCATCCGTCTCGTCCTCAACAAAGAATGCACCGACGACAGCATCCCCCGCTTCACCAGCGCGCCCGAATCCACCGCCATCAATACCGTACAAGCCGGCGAGACCCTAAGCCTAGCAAACGGCCACCCAACCCCAGTCTCCCCACCCCAAGCCGGTGCCCCAAATGCACCGCAAACTTTGCCGGCTCCACAAATGCCGTCCTTACCCGAAGGCGGCGGCACCCTCCGCTTCATGCTCGACCCGCGTCTCGTGGTGGAAGAGAAGGCCGAGATCAAGAAATTCTACACCCAAGAATGGGAGGAAGTGGAAGAGGAAATCGAGATCCCAATCCCGCAACCTCCGCGCTCGGTAGTTCGTTCGCGCTCCCGGGATCGGCATAGTAATCGCGATAGTAACCGAGACCGTGACCGCGATCGAGATCGAGATCGAGAGCGTGATCGTGCGGAACGGCATGGACCCCCTCCGCATCGTGCTCGCGGGGACTACGATCACAACAGAAGCGAGATACCTCCTCGAGGAGCAGGGGAGAGGCGTTCGAGGGAGGATTTGAGGGAGGTGGAGAGGGGACGGGAGAGGCATGAGAGGGAGAGGGAGAGGGAGTATGAGAGGGGGGGTGATAGGGGGTATGATGCTGGAGAGAGGTATGGTGGGAGGCGTGGTGGTGGTAGTGGTGGTGGGGGCAGGGAGAGGGAGAGGGAGAGGGACAGGGACAGGGGGTATGAGGATAGGAGGTATGAGGAGAGGTATGAGAGGAGGGATAGGAGGGGTGGGTATGAGGAGTATGATCGGCGCAGATGAAAGGCTTGGTATCACGAGAGAGAAGTCTGCTGAGTGGTGGACATGGTTTTTTCCATGGCTGCGGTTTGCGGTTTGAAGCTTGCTTGCTATGACGGTGGGGTGGAATGGCGGGATGAGGCTTGTGGGGGTGAGATGCATTCCTCAAGCTTTGCGAGAAACATAAGTGGGGAGGAAATCATCATGCTTGGTAGCCGCGCCGGACGCTCTCTTGGATTGCGTGCGCTGGATACCGGCGAGTAGCAGGCTGGCCATGAGCAGATATCTCACTTCAGTGAACCATCAATGTCTGCGAAAGTCGGTAGCTACTTGTACGGCTCCAAATTCACTGCCACTATCAAGTCGTTGCCGCCACCCTCTCGCCGCCCTCGCCATCATCGTCGCCATCGCCATCGCCATCGCCTCTGACTTCCTATACCACTCTCCCCTGCGCAGCCTTCACGCCTTCTGCTTCGCCATGCACAACGTTCGCACGCCCCGCCACATCAACATCCTCGTTGGCATCACGCATCTCAGCTTTCAAGTCCACCCCATCAACCTCCTCAGCATCACGCATCTCGACCTCCGAACCCGTGCCGTCGAAGTTCTCACCTCCGAGCACATCCTCCGCCTTCTCCCCAATCACGCCATCCACCTCGTCGCTCTCGTGAACAGCCACATCATATCCCAACACCGCTCTCAACCGCTCAATAGCCACCTCGTCGCGCAGAGTCCTAGGGCCCCGCTCCAGCCTCTCCAGCACTCCCTGCAACCTCTCGCGCTGCGTACCCAACACCCTCGCCCTCAGCCTCTTATGCTCGGCCTTACTCGCCTCGTAGATCTGGCGAAGCTTACTGGCTGTACGGGGAGGCAAACGATAGGCTGCACGGAGATTGGCTTCGTCTTCATCGCTTGGAATTTCGACTTCGTAGATGGGATATAAGTCTTCGTCGGAATCGGAATCCGACTCCTGGTCGACTTTTCCGATTTCGTGGTCGTGGGCGTGGAAGCGGTCGAGGCGGGTGCTTCTTCGTGGGTTGGAAGTGGAGGATTGATCGGCGGAGGGCTCCATGCTCGTGGTCATAGTCATGATGCTGGAAGGAATCGATTCTGGTGCGTTACTGCAGCAGTTGAGTTGGGCTCACTGAAGTGAACCTCAGCTCGTTTGCTGATCGGCCATCACTAGCGCCGCTCGCATGTGAGGCAGGCAGGTGATCCATTGTTTCAAGGAAGTGAATGAAGCACACGTGACAAGTGGTGGCAAATAAAAGTGCTTAAAGCTCTCTCTCTTCCGCTCCCTCGAGTTCACTCTCAGTCACAAGCATTGAGCTTCCTGGGCCGGCTATACTCACATACACCAAACACAAATCTAAGCATGTCCACATCCACAACTCCATCGCCGGCCAACGACGGCACTCACGAGCCCAAAACTCGCACAACCCCCAAGAAAGGCCAGGACAAGAAACCCTCCAACGATAAGAACAATTTCGGCTTCATCGGCCCCTCGCCAAAGCGCAGACCCCAACGCATGCGCTGGACGGAAGAAAACGATATCAAACTCCTCCTCTTCGGTTTCGACCGGGACGAAATCAAGGGCTCGGAATACCAGGGTATTGCGGATTCTTTTGTTGAAAAGCCTACGCGGAAGTCGGTGGTGGAGAGGGTGACGAAGTTGAGGACGGAGAGGAATGGGTTGTTGAGAGAGTTGGGGGTTTGGGATGTTGATGAGGAAGGGGGTGGCGGTGGGGCGAGGGATGAGGGGAGGGAGGAGGGTGACGACGAGGAGGTCGATGGCGATGGCGGTAATATTGATGAAGATGCTGAGGGTCCGGGAAGGCGCTAGAAGGGTGGTGGTGCTGGGTCGTTGGACTTTACGGCCTGCTTTGTGAGGTGAGAATCTTGCTGGGCCTCAATGCAGGGCTCATGTGTGTGTTGGACTTTTTACGGATCTTGCTCAGGGGTCAGCTAAATGCCAGCTTAGGGCGGCTCGTTCACAGTGAGGTAAGATCCCAGAGTGTGACTGTAGTGGTCGCGAGACTGGCATGAGTCTCGAAGTCCTCACTTGAGATGCGAGTGGTTTGCTACTCTAGGCGGGCTGGCCAATGCTACATCACTTCTCCAACTTTTCCACCGCGTGCCATCCCGTCCGTAAGTGGCAAGTTTCTCCATCTAGTGGCGTTTACGTCTTACTAGCCAGGAATGCACTGTCGATGGACGTGATACAGAGTACGTCTAGACTTACGTTGACGGGCTGAGAGGCATGGTCGTAATTGCTGTGTGGTCAAGATAATAGGGATGAGCCTGCACTATGGCCAAACATAGACCGGTAGTCGCACCTCAAACCGTGGCAGGCACAACAATGAAATATGAAGAAGGCCTTAGACACCTTCTGGTGTATGCTCTCGCAACAACCAACTCCATCGCCGCCACATCAGGGTCAACTCCACAGCTATAAGCTAGCCCACGACGCCAGCCATTCTTCTTCTCGATACTCGGTCGGACACGAAGCAACTTCAGATTTTCATCCGTATCTCTCCTGCAGCACCGTGCTCATACACTACCGCAACTGCAGAAATGGTGGAGCCAATATGCACTATCTGCATGACCATCACCGCAGTACTGGTAGCCGCACTCTTCGAACGCAGACACAAATACTGGGCCGCTCATCCAAATCCACATCGCGGTGAAAAGAGGAACAAAGTGCGGAAATTCTTTCATTTCAAAGAGAAGGAGTTCAAACCACGGCGGAGCATCGATATTGACGACCCGCCTTGCGATGACCCCGATTGTCCGTGCAAAGTCAAGAAGCAACGTCGTGGACTCCGTGAGCTCCGCAAATTCCCAGCTCACAGCTGCGATACACCATCCGCTGTTCTAGAGGGAGAACTTCCTGTGTTCGTGAACGAAACACCAGAAGAGAGTGTACGAAATGAACGAGGCATCGTGCATCAGTGACTTCGGCTTTACTCAAATGGTCTGTGAAGGCGTGTAGGGTAGTATGCATGGCGTTATGGCAGTGATTTCGACTTGGTATTGGCATCTGTCAAAGAAGTAAGTCGCATTCAGCATGGTATCTAACGAAGCACAAAGCTAATCAAACACAGACCTATGACCATACCTACTAAGCCATATCAAACAACAAGAACTCAGCCGGCTTGTCACCCACACTCTCCACCTCCACCTTCCCAGGCCCCTTGGCACCCGTCACAAAAGCCCCATCACCCTCTCCAAGCTCCACACCCTGCACCTTAATCTTCGCACCACCAGCCTTCGGCTGCGTCCGATCACTCATAATCACGTGCAAATACACCTTCCTCTCCCCGTCCCTCACAAGCTCATGCTGCACGCTCTTTCCCGGCCCCAAGACCGAAGCACTCATGCTCAGATCCGCACGCATGGGAATCGCCTCCGTCTCCTCATCCTTCCCACTATGTCGATCCACCGACTCCATGATCCGCAGCAGCTTATCCGTCTTCATCTCGTCTGTAAACTTGCGAGTCTTGTAACTAGGATTCAGACCCTTGACGTTCGGCTTGGCCCAAATCTGCAGGAAGTGCACGTCCTCCTTTTTGTTGCGGTTGTACTCGCTATGTCTGATGCCTGTCCCTGCACTCGTGAACTGGACTTCGCCTCGTCTCAGGTTCTCCAGATTGCCCATCGAGTCCTTGTGCTCTAGCTCTCCGTTGACGATATAGGACCAGATCAGGAACTCGGCATGGCTGTGGGTGCCGAAACCTGTGCCTTTCTCTACTCGGTCCTCATTGATGACTCGTAGTGGGCCGAACTCCTCGAACTCAGGCTGGTAGTAAGAGGCGAAGGAGAAGGTGTGGTAGGTGTATAGCCAGCCATGATCAGCGTGACCGCGTTCATTCCATGGTCGCTTGACAACTTTGAGAGGTGGTGCCGGTCCGTGGGTCGTCATCGTTCGGTTCGCCGTCGAAGATACTGCAGGTGAGAGCTTCGAAAGCCTTGGGATCTGCTTGCTTAAAGCTGTTCGCAATGGACTGTAGAAAGCCAGAATGACAGCTACGATGGCTACAAGAGTGGCTACGGCTTTGAGGATAGACGGTATCTGCGAAGTGGTAGTAGTATTCTGCTGTGGCTGATCTTTCGAAGACATTAATGGCGCACAGAGATGGAATCGTTGATACTTATACTGATAGCATAGTCGTGGTTCGAGAACGGTATAGAGCTAGCTAGTGCCATTGGATGTGGAGCTTAGGAGAGCATTTCTGGCTGATTTGTGAAGATGACCAACCTCACCGTGGTCACGTGAAGAAGACTTCCATCATCTTTCAATTCAGCACGGAGATGTTCCGCTAGCATTTTATTCCTCCTCAGGCTCCTCTCCTTCCACCAAGCGCGCTGCGTACTATATACCCGCGGATCAGCCTGCTTGTGAGGGCATGTCATACAGCCGAAGCCCGCGTCGACATTGATGACAGTCCGGGTCCTGTACCGGTGTGCCCCCCATGGCCGTCCGAGGATGCATCATGAGCGGGGTTGAACGTATTGCTGCTGTGATGCCAGAAGAAAGACGTAGGCGTCTTATTTGACTATGAAAAAGATTGCCTTTCGGTCCTCACATGTATAAACGCCCCTCTTCTTGCGACTGTATGCATATACATGTTTCCTTTCCACAATGCTGCCCATATCACGAGTGGCAAGGAGGTCAGCAATTCGGTCATCTCGAACACAATCATGGACGACATACAGGAGTCTGAGCATTACGGTACCGCGCCGGGAGTCTCTGAGCGACACTAAAATCACAGACCGCTTCAGCATGAAAGGAAAAAGCGTCCTGGTCACTGGAGGCGGAAGAGGAATAGGCTTCGCAATATGCAAAGCCATCGCCCAAATGGGTGGCAACATCGCAGTCCTCGACTCCCTTCCAAAACCAGTCGACGAGTTCGACCAACTGGAAAGCCGCTACGGAGTGAAGACATCCTTCACCCAAGCAGACGTGACCAAGCAGTCCTCACTAGAAGCCGGTTTCAAATTAGCCGTCGACAACGTCGGACCATTCCAGGGCTGCGTACCAGCAGCCGGTATCGCGGTAGACAAGCCCTTTCTGGAGCAGACCTGGGACGAAGCAACAGGCGTACTGAATGTCAACGTGTTGGGAACGTTCTGGACAGCAAAGCTGATGACGGCACATATGCAACAGCATGGCCAAGGCGGGAGTATCGTCCTCATAGCCTCGATAGCTGGACAGGGTATCAAGGTGCCCGAGCAGAATCTCGCAATTTACAACATGAGCAAAGCCGCTGTGAAGGGACTTGTAGGTCCCTTGGCAGTCGAAGTGGGCCACTCAGGAATCCGCGTCAATTCGGTCTCGCCTGGCGTAATCATGTCGCCGATGACCGAGGGCATGAAAGTGGAATATCCTCATCTACTGAGTATGTTTGAGAATGCGGCGCCGTTGAAGCGAATAGGAGTGCCAGAGGACTTGACGCCTCTCATTACTTATCTGTTGAGCGATGCAAGCTCTTTCACGACGGGAGCTGATATCTTGGTATCGGGAGGTATACACGCAGGTATCTCGCCGAGCTGGCTGAGCCAGAAAAGCTGAGTCTTGACATGATCTCAGCAATATAGATCTAATCTAGTATATATTTCGCCCACCTTGACTCTACTTCTGGATCACCGCTCCACCATCCACAGTGATATCTTGCCCGGTCACAAATCCTGCCCCAATCAGGTACTCCACTGCCTCCGCAATATCCTCCGGCTTACCCGCACGATTGGTAGAATGCTGCTCATAATCCTTGTCATCAAACTCCAACCCCTTCCCACTCTCATCCCCCTCCTTACTCTCATACGTCGCCTTGATGCGTCCAGGCGAGACAGAATTCACCCTAATACCCCATTGACTCGCCGAAACAGCAATACTATGCGTGAGCCCATTCTGCCCAGCCTTAGACGCCGCATAACCCTCTTGATTCGGATCACTCATCTGCGCCCGGAAAGAAGAAATGTTGATGATACATGACCCAGCCCCCGTAAGCCCCCGTTCAGCTTTACTGTCCATATAAGCCTGCCTCGTCTCCTTGTGCGTCGCCGCACCGCCCGCGACCTTGAGGAAAGGGATCGCGGCCTGCACGACGGCAAAGGGTGCTCTCAAGTTGGTGTCAAGATACATCTGGAACTGTTTCAAAGTTTCTGGATTCTCCATCGTGGCTCCGTTTTTCCAGTTCGGAGTGGCGATACCTCCATTATTGATCACGACGTCGATGTGGCCTCCGAAGAAGTCCGCGGCTTGTTTGACGGCGGAGCGGATGGCGTCGGTATCGGTCAGGTCGCAAAGTGTGTAGGACAGGTGGTCCTTGTACTTGGCTAAGTGAGTCTCGCACGTGTGTTTGAGCTCTGTCTCGTCAATGTCCAGGATGAAGAGTCGATGGCCTCTGGAGAGGAAGTGGCGGGCCATGCAGCGGCCGATGCCTCTGGCGCCGCCTGAGAGGAGGATGCATTTGCTGTCAACCATGTTGTTCTATTGTGTGAGGGTACTACTACTAACTTGTGTTTTCGAGTTAAGGGTCTGCGGTTGCCATATGCCTTGCGCAACCAGTGACGTTCGCATGACGGCCGCGTGAGTTCACTGCTGCGTCTGGCATGTTGGCGTAACTTTCACTCAGATGGGCAGGAACACGTGGATAGGAGCGATACCGTTCCACAATACGTATGAATATGGCTTGGCCATTTTGTAGAACGACAGTGTGGATGTTGCGTGAAAAGAAGTGAGGTAAAGTCGACCAGATGTCAAGTTTGGGGTTTGAGTACGTAACTTCACGAACACGACAATTGGCCCAGAGCGGCCAGAGTTTTGTAGAGCGCCACCAAAAATCACGAGAAACAGCATTTGGAGATCATAGTCTACACAAGATGCGGAAAAGGCTCCACGTGAAAACAAATCAACAACCCGATCCCGCTCTCCAAAGCCTTTTCGCGCGGCCGTAGCCACAGCGCTAATGTTGCCAGCCACGCCTAGCCTCCTACGAGCATGAAGATCACTCGCTCGTTGCACACATATATCCATTTGATTCGTTCGTGAGGTTTCGCTATACGTGTTGTCTACTGCAGGCGAGAATTTGAGTCGAGTTGCCGTGCAGATGCTGCGTCGTGTTAGGCGTCTAAGAACCTTTAGGGGCTTCCTTGGCATCGATGGCGGCCTCTTCACCCATGGCGGTAAGGACGATGACGTCTGGTAGGGCGATATTAGTTTTGGGAGTCATGAGTCTTGTGCGTACGGCTTCTCTAAACTTACTGGTGTCCTTCTCGTCCTCCCTGAAGAGCTTGTTGATCTTGTCGCCGACCTCGCCGTCTGGAACCTTGACGTCGTCCTTGGTCTCACCACCCTCGGTCATGAGGGACATGAAGCCATCCTCAGCAATGTCGAGCTGTGCTCTCACGTCAGACTCCATGCTGTCTCCATACACTTTGCTATCATATACGTACGAGCTGGTATTCCTGACGCCTGACGTTCGGGACCTCCATGTTGTGGGTGGAAGGGGACAAATCCTCCAACTTCTTGCCGGTGAAGATATCGATGGCGGTCAAATGGACCTTGGCGTGACCGTGCTTGCCAGTCTTGGAGGTTGACATGTCGACGATTTTGCAAGGGCGCTGCTTGATGACGACGAAGCCGTTCTTGCGGAGGGCAGAGCACTGCAACGGGAAGGTAAGGGACGCGCCGGAGTCGGCGGTATCGAAGGTAAGCTCATGCTGCGCAGGAGTTGTCAGTATGTGCTATGAAGACTCATGGCCACGAGTATACTGCTGGTCGCAGAAACGTCCAGATCGCCGCTCATGGCTGGCTCGGCATAGCGGGGAAAATGAATGGACATACCTGAGCGTCGTTCTCGTTGGGAGCGGCCATCTTAATGGGGTGGCGGAGGCGTCAAGAAGGTAGTGGAGTGATATGTTACGACCTCGAGTCTGTGCTGTCCAGGTCCCAGAGGTGAAGAGGGTGGTGGGGCGGCGAAGAAGTTGAATTCCGATGTGTGAGTGGCATCGAGGCGAGGGTCTAGGAAAAATGCCCCACCATGTGCGGCAAGTAAATACGGGCGCTAGCCGTTATGGTTCTTAGCTTGTCGACGCGGCTCACGTTTCACATGGCAAGGCATGTTCCAGGCTTACATCTCATTCATTCGCAACAATCTAGGATCGACCAAAGGCCAATGAAGTCCTGGTATGTGGTTGGAGCGCTTCTCTGGCCAGTCGAGCCACTCTTCGCCGGCAGCGACCCCTAATCGCTCATTCTCACCGGCACCGAGACGATCTATACAGCTCGGCCCGAGTACACTACCACGTCGACCTGGTCTTGCACCTCGGACCTCTTCTTTGACTGCCGCATCATTCGGAGGCTCGACAGAGAGTCTTCCGGTCTCAGGGAGGATACCAAATGGCACCAACCTGAAGCATGAGTTGGCGAGTGCGCCAGGAGTGGATGTGGCTGATCCACTGAATGTGCTCTCGAGTATACTAGGACGGTTAGGCGATGATCACGCGGAGAAGGAGGCATCAGGTGCGGCCAAGAAGCCTGATGAGCTCACAATCGATGTCGAGTTTGGTAGTCTCAGCCTGACCCAGTTTGCGGAAGGTGCAGACGGAGACATCACACGGGACGACCACGAATCCGGAAAGCACGATATACCAGTGATCGAAGATTTCGAATCAGAGAAGAACAAGTTCGAAGACCTCCACAAGTCGATATTGGCATGCGACGAAGTGTTGAAGTCGGTCGAGAATTATCTCACCAGTTTCCGGGCAGATCTGGCGGCAGTCTCGTCTGAGATCGAGCACTTACAGGATCGATCAACGCAATTGAACAACAAACTGGAAAATCGCAAAGCAGTAGAGAAAGTCCTAGGTCCCGAGGTCGAGGCTTTCGCCATACCGCCAGCAATCGTACGAAAGATTGTGGAGGGAGTGGTAGATGATGGCTGGGTGAAAGCTCTTGAGGAGTTCGAGAAGCGCATCAGGAGCATTGACGCGAAAGCCAAGGAAGGCAAAGATATCAAGGCTGCACAGGACATCAGGCCTTTCATCGACGACGTCTCGACCAAAGCCGTGGAACGCATACGCGATTATGTGGTCGCGCAGATCAAGGCATTGCGATCGCCGAGCATAAACGCGCAAGTGATACAGCAAAGCGCTTTCTTAAGGTATCGCAACGTCTTTGGCTTCTTGTCGACGCGACAGCCTCAGCTAGCCGAGGAGATCTCGCAAGCTTATATTAATACCATGCGGTGGTATTATTCGAGTCACTTCACACGCTACAAAGCCTCTCTCGACAAGCTGAGCCTCTTTGTGGTCGACCAAACAGATGTAATAGCAGCGGACTCTGCGGCGAAACGAACAGCGAAAGCAGGCGCAAAGCATGATGCTTTTGCGATTGGGCGGCGAGCGGATATCTTGCGTTCTGGGAATGAGGCAGCTTTTCCTTCCTTTGCGGCTGAAGAGGACAAAAGTACACATCACCTCGAGGTTGTATTTCGAGCCTACAATATTGCACTCCTCGACAATGCCTCTGCTGAGTACGGCTTCCTGGCTGAGTTCTTCACCAAGCAACCTTTTCACGCCACGAATCGCAAGTTCACCGAAGCGTTCACACCTACATTCCAACTTGGGCAAGAGCTCACGAAGCAGCTTGTAGATGGCAGCATGGATGCCCTCGGAATCCTGATTTGCGTAAGACTGAACCAGCACATGGCTTTCGAGCTTCAACGACGCAAGATTCCAGCTATGGAAGGCTACGTCAATGCAACTAGCATGGCACTCTGGCCACGTTTCCAAAAGGTCATCGATGCTCACTGCGAAAGCATACGTAAGCTCACCACATCTCTGCCTGGTAAGCCTGCAGGCTCAGCTCTGAGCTTGACCTCTTCACCAGCCACCGCGCAAAGTACTGCACCGCATCCCTTGACTCAGCGGTTTGCAAACTTCCTCCAAGGGATCCTGAGCCTGAGCAGTGAAGCCGGGGACGACGAGCCCATCTCACACAGCTTGGGCAGATTGCGAGCGGATTTCGAGGCTTTCTTAGTCAAGTTGAGCAAAGGGACAGCGGAGCCGCGGAAGCGAGAGCGATTCTTGTATAATAATTACTCGCTGATATGTACGATATTGGGCGATACTGAGGGCAAGATGGCGGATGATTTGAAGTCGCATTTTGAGGAGCTCAGGGATAAGTTGGAGGGTGATGCTTGAGTTTGTCAGTAGCGACCTGAACACCAAGGTGCCATTATTTCGAAGAGCAATCTAGCATTCACCAAGTCAAAGGGGAACTTCATGCAGAGATCCATGGACCCTTTGCGATAGTCAGCGCGTTTATGCACTACACCATCCGCGTGTACAACAAGGTCAAGTCTTCGTCCGCACGCGTATTGGTTCCAGGCGGCCGCGACGCCGCTAAACATGACAAAGTCTAGTCGAGTACGCAATCTCAATGCACTCGTTGCATGACGACACGGGTCCTCATTACTGCCATACTAGGCCATCAGCTTGTTCAATGACTGCAGGCGGCCGCAGAATTGCTGAAGCTGACAAAAGTTCAATTGCCTTTTGACTTTGACCGACGGTTCAAACCACTCCACTGTGATTCGTCCGCTCGACACCCCACTCGGTCTGACGTCTTTCAATAATAATGCACGTCGGACTGTGAACCCCGAAAACCACTTTCTCCTCCGCGACGGAAGACGAATCACGATTCTTTTGCTTGTTGATCGAGCTACTGCAAGGCACCGCGGCGTTAGTGTATAGTCGAGAAAGGTCAAGGTAGCTTTGCACCAGCAACAAAGTCTCTCACACCCACACTCAAGTCCGTCCTCCTCCCTTCCTTGCCTCCATCCTTCCTTCGTATATTCCACTTACACCGTCTGGTCATAAGTATCTGCCTTGTAGCTCTCGATAGAACCTCCAACAACCACGTTACCAAGTCCACCCCGTGATCATGACGGACCTCTTCGCGCCCGCGCCTGAGCCCAAGACGGAGCTGGGGCGATATAGGATCTTGTCTTCCTCTGCTGGTATCCGTGTCAGTCCACTGCAGCTTGGTGCCATGAGCATTGGTGATGCTTGGTCCGGATTTATGGGCTCCATGAGCAAGGAGCAGTCTTTCAAGCTCATGGATGCGTACTTTGAGGCTGGAGGCAACTTCATTGATACGTGAGTGCACAAGCTCAAGTCGAGGTCGCGGTGACATATACTGACGATGGTGGTTGTCGTGTAGTGCCAACAACTACCAGAACGAGCAATCCGAATCCTGGATCGGCGAATGGATGGAGAAGAAGAACAATAGGGACTTCATGGTCGTTGCTACCAAGTACACCACTCCATACACCCAGTACCGCGATGGCAAAGGTATCAGTGTCAACTACAGCGGCAACGACAAACGATCACTCAAGATGTCCCTCCGCGACAGCTTGAAGAAGCTCAAGACAGACTTCCTGGATATTTTATATGTGCATTGGTGGGACTGGACGACCTCAGTAGAGGAGCTTATGGACTCTTTGGACGAAGTGGTAAAGCAAGGCAAGGTCCTGTACTTGGGTATCTCTGACACCCCAGCCTACATCGTCAGCGCCTGCAACACTTACGCTCGTGCCCATGGCAAGACACCCTTCAGTATCTACCAAGGCCGCTGGAACGTCATGCTGCGCGATATGGAACGTGAGATCATCCCCATGTGTCGACACTTCGGCATGGCCATCGCGCCCTGGGACGCCATTGGTGGAGGCAAGTTCCAGAGCAAAGCTTCGATGGACGAGAGGAAGAAGAATAACGAGGGGTTGAGGTCCATGATGGGCAGTAGTGGCCAGAGCGAGAATGAGGTCAAAATGAGTGCTGCTCTTGAGGAGGTGGCGCAGGAGCATGGGATCAAGAGCGTGACGGCTGTGGCGTTGGCGTATGTCATGTCCAAGACTCCTTATGTCTTTCCCATTGTCGGAGGCAGGAAGATCGAACACCTCCACGACAACATCCAAGCCCTCAAGATCAAGCTCACCGACAAGCAGATTGAGAAGCTGGAGGGTGTCGTGCCTTTCGAGCCTGGGTAAGTCAACCTTATCATGTCTGTTAAAACTCACAGTATGCTGACATTAGTGACGTACAGCTTCCCAAACAACTTTGTTGGCATCAACCCGCACATCACGGGACAAGCTGGCTTCATTCTTGGTGGCTCTGCGCCGTTGGCTTTCGTGAAAGATGGCAAGGCTATTGGGCACGAATAATCGACCATTTTGATGAAGAAACGTTATCGAGATGGCATTGCGACGTATACATAAATCAGACGACTCGAAAGATGCCAGTAATTGGAACCAGCCAACATCTTTCATGCCACGTGTGGTGTCTCGCGACTTCTAGCTTTAGCTTTAGCCTTATGCTCTCTAAAGTGCCTTCTATGTCGTCGCGAAGCTTGACTATTACTCCTGGCCTGGTCCTCTCACTGGTGAGGAAACTTTTGTAAGTTCTCTGGCACAGGCTTAAGTGGCCACCAGGCTAGTCGTGCACATCTGATTATCGATATCGTCCCCAAAGCATTACTTCGTCGTCATCCAAAGCTCTCTTCCAACCATCATCACCTTCCTCTCACCCTTTCCGAAACACCTCCGGGAAAATCTCCCTCAACTCCTCCAAATCCTCAATCTGCCAATCACCCGCCTGCTTCCTCGGCGCCTTCGTCCCAGGCTCCAGCAAATGCGCCGCCTTCCAACCATACTGCTTCGCGCCTGTCACATTGAGCCCCGAATCGTCAACGAAATAACACTCGCTCACATCCTTCGATCCAGATTCCCGCATAGCTTTATCGTACATTTCTCTCCGTGGCTTACAGACAAGTTCCTTGGCGCCGTAGTCACAGTACGTGATTCCCTCGAACATTTCCTCGATCCCGAGGAGTTTGACTACGCGTTGGCCGTGGGTGATGTAGGCGTTTGTGAATAGCCATAATTTCACCTTCGTCTGGTCGATGTCTTGCAGTAGTTTTCGGAGACCTGGATTCGGTTTTATTATATCGTCTAAGGGCAACGCATCGTCGACTTTCTCGTTGTACTCTAGGGGGTCGACTTTGTGGTGGCGGACTAGTCCTTCAATTGCTAGGCCGTAGTCCTTGTAGTAGCGTTGATGGAGCTCACAGGCGTCGGCTTCGGACAAGGAAAGATGGTTTTGGAAGTAGACGTCTATCAGCTCGCCCATTTGCTCGTGTATCTTGTATGACTTAGGATACAGACAGTTGTCGATGTCGAAGAAGAATGTTTTTGGTTGGCGGTGCTTGGGGGTGCCATTGGTTATTCCATTTGTGGTTGGACGTGACATGGTGGCGGTGGTGAAGTTGTGGTATGAGAGGGGGAAAGACGGCAGTGGTAAGAGAAATGCTTGCCTTTGTACCTGATCTATGGTATGTATCTCGTAATGACTGACATGCTTCCGGCATTAAAGATCGATTCGTGACTCTTGTGAGCCAATCTCTGTCGCCACGCGCCACTGGGCCGATGTCCGATGCACGATGCACGGACCTGCATCTTGTCCCTCAAGATCATCTCCCTTTCTCTGCCTCATCCACATCGCGTTCAGCACGACGGCTAGCTGGTGCGAGTGCATCCATTACAACATCATGGCCGAGGCGTGAGCTGGTGCATTCATACTGTAGGGCTATTGCACGCGAAGATGGCGGCCGTTGCCAGCGCTGCACATGCGCAGTGCATGAACGGCACATCATCGCCGGCTGGCGCAGAAGATGAGGAGCTCTACTCGCAATTGTTGAGGATACAGGATGCTGTGCTTGCCGGCACGCATCCGCAGTTCACGCTACCTGCTACTGCTATTGCACAACTTCAGGCCGCTTTGATTGCGCCAGAGAATGATGCCGCTCATGCTACTAACCACGCTTCCTCGATCACAGCATCTGCCAATGGCCAGGTCGTGCCAAGTACCCATGCTGGCCTTGACCCGATCTTTCTGCAAAAGTCGGAGCATCTTGTAAGAGCAGAGCGAGCAATCAAGCGGCAGCGCCTCGAACACGATGTACAGGCCCTGGGAGAACAGCGCAAGCATTTTCGGTTCGGCAAGGACGCTGATGCGGATCTGCTGACGCCTGTAGCGGTCGATGAGGTGTTGAAGGCGGCGCTGGAACGTGTCAAGCCAGTATCTGGTCTGAAGCCGACACAGGCAGCAAGTGTCAGCTCGTTCGATGAGAATGACTATTATTCCAGTCGAGCTCCCAGCCCCTGGTCTGATGATGCCTGTGAACAAAGCTCTGACAGGGCTGCAGATGCTTTCACAGCCAACTTCGAGCGCCTCGGTGCTGCTGGGCACTTAGCACATGCTGGCCCTTCTGCAGAACGCATACGTCCGCACGATCCTCGAAAAGGAGCGCAAGTATATGACGGAGAGGATGATGATTTGTACGAGCCAGAGGACGATGAAGACGACGAGTACGTGCCGCCAGGTCCTGCTTTCGTAGGAGCTTCACGACAAGGTGGTCCAGCCACTGGCTATGCGCAACCACTTCTGGACGAGGACGACAATTCGGACTACGAACCTGGTGAGATAACACAGGATAGTACAGTGCCTACGCCAAACCAGCTTCTTTCACATCCTACCCAGCCATCACCACGAGTGCCTGTCATCCGCAACCATCTTACTCACATCGCCGCGCCACAGCCGAATCGGGTTTCGCCACTAGCCACTGCAAAAGGTCCCAGTATTGAGCTGGAGCTTGTTAATGGTCGTCCGGAAATCGTCAAAACCCGGCCGCAGTACAGGTCAGTTCCACAGCAGTCCCGCGCGTCCACTGCGTCACCAGTCAATGGTGTAGCCGGCAGCGGCAGAAAGAAGCGCAATAAGAAGCGCAAGCGTGACTTTGAGCCTCTAAAGAACACAAAGAAGCGACGTGACAGACTTGTTGCACATTCGCCGCTTTCACCTGCCCACCGCGAGCCGTACATCAAGGATGAGCCTGTCTCGCCACCACCGTTCAGTTCTCTTCCGGACGTGCCACAGTATCAGCAACAACCGGAATACAGACCAGCACCCACACAGATTGACTTGCTTTCACTTGCTCAGCCTCTTCGACCGCAGTATATTACCGAACAACCACGATCCGGGCTAAGGTATGAGTACGCACAGCCTGCTTCGCCTGCAGTAGTCCGTGTGGCATCGCCAAGTACATACCGACCTGTGCAGCGCGATACGCAAGATCTCAGACGTGTTGCTAGCATGCATTATGCGCAGCGAGCTCCTTCGCCCACACAGCGCATCTACTCTCCTGTGGGGCCATATCGAGCAGCCTCGGCAGCATATCCATCGGCCCAGCACGCACCACATTCTGAGCCTGTAGAGCAGCCGAGATATGCTGAGGTACAAGGAGACCCTCGTGTGCAATATGTACGTGCGCCTTCGCCCTCACGGATACAGGAGTATCGCGAGACATACTCGCGTGCTGCCAGTCCGGCTATCATGGCCCCACCTCCTCCACCTCCTCCACCACAAGCACGACGCATTGTGGTAGATCAGTACGGCAACCGCTACTATGCTGCTGAGCCAGCACAAGCACCCTCTTCGGCCTCATTAGCACCAGAACCGCAGCCAATGTACGAGCGGGCACCAAGCCGGATGTCTGTAGCCTATGCACCCGATCCGGCCCCTCGTCACGAACCTTACTACCCACGCATGGCGCCCCCACCAACGCCCCAGCGGGCTGAGGTCGAGTATGTTGACGCCAATGGCTATCGTCTGGCAGAGTACCAACCACAGCAGTCGGAGCATGTACGCTACAGCACTGTGGCACCCACTTCTCCCACATACCAGGACGCGCCTCGATATTCGATGGCGCCACCAGCACCACCTACTGCAGAGGAAAGAACATCGCCAGTATACCAGCAAATCCCACGCTACGAGCCAATGCCACCACCTCAGGCCCCACCACAACGTGTCGAGGCCACCTCGCCAGTCTATCAGCAGATTCAACGCGCCTACAGCGTTCGACCAGAAGCCATGCACGCCCCTTCCGCACCGCCATCAGGCTATATACGCCAAGCGAGCGTGGCGCCGGTGCAGTATAGAAGCTATGAGATGGCGCCTCCACCTATACCGCAGGTCACAAGGGCTGTTAGTGTGGCGCCAGTAGAGTACGGAGGTCAGCCACAGCAGCCTATGTATGGGTATGCTCCGCAGCCGCAAGTGCAGCAGGTGCAGCAGGCTGTGAGATACGTTGATCAGTATGGTCGCGAGGTAGATATGCAGGCTTTGAGGCAAGGGAGTGTCGCGAGGTATTGATTGTAAGGGGCCAGGTGTGAGGTTAGGCTTCCGCTCGACTTGTGCTTTGGTCCATTATTGAGGGATTGTTGTAAGAAGATAGCTACTGTTCTGCTGTATCCTTGACTGCTAAATGACAGTCCATCATGTCCTCGAGTGTTCAGTGAGCTTTGATCTTGTTCTTTACTTCGTAGTACGTACGTGTCAATCCAGGTCTTGTGTCTAAACCTTGGTACTCGCAGTCTTGAACACCAAATAAATCTTGATTGTGTTCCGTGGCGCTGCTTGCAACTGTAGCCGAAAGCGAAAGCTCGGACGAATTGTTCGACAGCTCTCGTGACTTGAGGGAAACTTGGAATGATCACTGTTGCTGTTATTGCTCGCAGACCACCACAACCCTTCAATCACGACTCTGACCCGTCATGTACGGTCGATACTAACGAGGAGGATAGAGGACCGAGGGGTGTTGTTATTTCATGCTTGACGCGTTTTATCTGGCTTGTCTTGCTGCGTTTCTGGGCCACGGTCTGACGAAAACCGACTCTCCCTCTACTTCTACCACCTACGGACCACTTCACTACACTTCATCACGACGAGATTCGGAGGTCACCACTGTTCCCACTCCCAGCTCGGTTAGTCAGCTGGGCAGTCGTGGATGTCTAGGGCGGGTGGACCGGCGGTCATGCACAATATCTCCTCCCGAGCCCGGCATGGGTGGGAAGGCATCAAGCCCTCCATGGGCTTCGGCATGAGCAGGACGGGGCCACAACAACCACAACAACAATTACCCCCGGATCTGTCGATAGCTCAGCCGCCGCCTGTAGCCGGTAAGAGGGCCATGAACGGCGCGTCTATGAGCCCCAATCCTGCTACTATCGCTGCTGGACATTTAGTCAACCTCTCGTTCAATGTTCCCTTCAACTCCAATCTACCCGGCCCGGACAAGGACGATATCTTGTACAGCAGTACCGGTGCTTTCCAGAAATGGATCCATCCGGATGGCGCCGCGGCGGACGAGACGCCAAATCATGCGTTACCAATCCATACTCGGAATGTGGAGAACCTGAGATCTCTGTGCAAGCAGATGAGTGAGGGCAGTGGAGAGAGGTTACATGCTACGGTCACGAGCTCCAAGCCGAAGCCCGTTCCGGGTATGCAGAGGGGGCCCTTGACGGCATTGGTGACAAACGTGTGCATCAGTGGGGAGGCGGAGGTTGTTCACAAGATGCGGGCGAAGGTCTTGAACGAGACGCCCATTACTTTGGTGAGTCGAGAGGGAGATGTAAGGTGGTAAAGTAATTGAGGTGTGCTGACATATGTATTGTAGCGTCGGGAAACCATCGATATTGATCGCGAGATAGTCTTTCCGAAAGGCCAGGATGGCGCCAGAGCAGATATTCTGAACCACATGGACGACGTCGCGGACAAGACGAAAGCCGATATTTTCCTTCTCGAATCGAAATCCAGACGAAAGGACTCCGAGTCAGCAAGCTTCAACGGCGCAATAGAGAAGAGCATGGACAAGAGACTACAAATACATGTCTACAGCGATATGGAGAGCTGCGAGAACGCGAAGACGAGACTTTTGATCATGATTGATCAGATTCTCCAGCGTCAGGTTGATACCATTCGGCTTGAATTGTCGCTGCATACGCTCATTTCTGGCCGCCATAGGAGGAATGTGAAGCTCATTGAATCGGCTACTGGGACGGCCATTTATTTTCCGCCGATGTTTCCCACCGTCTTTGGGTATGTGCCGCCGGGCTCGATTCCACTTCGCGGCCGAGATGAGATCATTATCACTGGTGAAAATATGGATATGATTCTGCAGGCGAAGAAGAGGTTGCATGAACTGGTCATGCTCACCAAGACTTTTGTCAAGGATGTGCAGATCACGACCAGCAAGGTGGACTATATCCTGCTCGAGCGCCTGGACAAGATCAGGAAGATCATCGAGGCCAATGGGTCTTATGTGTTGCTGCCGCCGCTCGGCAATCACAGTGGTGTGCTGCGTGTTCAGGCAACAGATATCCTAAATGTCGAGCGGACTGTGCGCGAGATTATGGGCTTGGCTGGGCAGTTCTACAGTGCTTCCTGGTGGGTCACACATCCGGATCCTTCGCAGCGACAGCCAACCCCCTCCGACATTCGCGCCATGTTGCCTGATATCTGCATCAACTCTGGCGCCGAGATCACTTTTGAGAAGCTCAATTTCCACATCAATGGCAGTGACGATGCGGTCAAAGCTGCCATGTCGATCATAAACACTTTGCCGTTCGTGAAGAAGGCGCAGTCTACACTCCGCGTCAAGGTCGAGCTTGCCAATGAGCACAAGGAATTCGTGTCTGGTAAGAAGAACGGCAAGATTAACAAGATCATGAGCCAGAGCAATGTCCAGATCGTCTTCGACGGCTTCAATGAGTACAACTTTTACATCGATGTGCGCGGCGCACAATACGAGGCGACAAAGAACGGTCTGGATCTGGTCGAGCTGGAAATGCCAGCAAGTATCAGCTTTCACGTGCCGGATCAGTACCATAAGCGTATTATTGGTATCGGCGGTCAGCATATCCAGCGCATCATGAAGAAGTACTCCGTCTTCGTCAAGTTCTCCAACGCTATGGATCGAGGCGGTATCGGCAAGGACGACGACGATATCAAGGTCGATAATGTTATCTGTCGAACGCCGGCCAGGAACGCGGATAACCTGGAGTTGGTGAAGCAGGAGATTATGGATATGGTGGAGAAGGTCGATGCGGAGTTTGTTTCTGAGCATATTCCTGTTGATCGGTTGTACCATCGAGAGTTGGTCGCACGCATGTCGGAGATCGAGGAGCTGGAAAAGAAGTGGAATTGTAAGGTTACATTTCCTGGGACGGAGCAGGCGAGTGATATGATTACGGTTTCCGGGCCAGAGTATCAGGTTCCGTTGGCTGTGGATGAGTTCTTGGGCATGGTGCCTGAGACGCACGAGATTGAGTTTCCGGCTACGGAGGAGTTGTCGGTTTTGTTGAGGTCGGACGAATTCATGAAGGAGAGGGTGCAGAAGCTGAAGGATCAGTATGTGGTCGAGGCCGCTGTTCTGGAACCGAAACAGGAGCGCCAAGGCGATAGAGAGGTCGTGATCGAAAGGCTCACCCTCAGCTATACGCGCAACAATGCCGGCGGACTCAAGGACGCGATCGACTTCTTGCTGCTACCATTCTTGAGCAAAGGCCTGGCGGTCGACGATGTCAAAGGCGCTATCCCGCGTCCCAAGTCTGACTCTTTCGAGGACAACATGCCCTACTTTGAATCGAAGCTGCTGCAGCGCGCGGAGCCGCCTGTCTCGGATTCGCCAACTCGAGCCAGCTTTGTCGCTGAAGAAGGTAGCTCCCGGTCCATCTTCGATAAGCTCCGCAAGCCCTCGAGCATGGCATCTTTCTCCTCCTTCATCGACCGTCGCCGTAAGAACGGGAACAACTCGCCTGGCAGCCTCTTCATGCACGCTTCGAACAATGCCTCCAAGGCCTCCCTTGTGAGCATGGAAAGCCGCGACTCTGGCTACCGCAATCCATGGAATGACTCTGGCGTCGACCTCGAACATGACGCCCCCAACGGCGGTCTGGCGACCGGCGGCAGCCATCACAGCTTGCATGGCAATGGCTGGGGCAGCTTCAGCACAACTGCCAGCCGCCCAAACACGAGTAGCAACTCCCTGAGTGGAGTCTTCGGCGATTCGGCTAACAATAAATTTCCCTTTGGCGTTAACGGAAATGGTTCTTCGAGCTCTTTGAACACGCCTATGATACCCGGTCTTGGTATGGTGCACAGTGGCAGTGCGAATGGCATGACGAACGGATCTACACCCCTCTCAGTGGGCGCCACACCCGGCGATGCGACGCCGAGATATGATGCCAAGGCTCGCGATGCAGATAGTGGCAAGGGCGAGCTGGCGAACGGCGATGTGCCGCCGACGTCCGCACTCACTGGTACGTCTATGGCTACCACGACTGCCTCCCCCGCGCCCATCGAGCCTGCCTCCGCTCCTCCACCTACTGCCGAGATCCCTTCTGTTGCGAAAGCGAGTACATCTTCAGGATACCCGGCGCCCATCGCGCCACCGCAATGATGACGAAAGGACGGATGTTGTGACTGTTTCCGCGAGTCTGGACTTCCCCGCGTGCTTTTATTGTTTCGACTATCAAGAATACCCTGTGCAAAAGCTATCTGAAAAAGCGAATGACATGTTTGGTTGGTGTGGTGCTCATGGCAACGGAAATAGGATGGGATATACCATTTTGCGTGTGCTCTTGCTGGAACTACGTGTGGAGTGCATTGTTTGCTTGTTCGAGTTCGCCTGCGGTTTCTGCTGGGTTTTTGGAGTTTTGCGAGATACCACTACATCATACACTCCTTTGCGATGCCATCACGACCAGATTTCTCTTCAGTTGCGGTTTGAGCGAAAGACGTGGGATGCTGTTCGTGCGGTAGACACTGTCCTTCCCTGATCACGAGAAAAGCAACACACATAGTTGATAGATATGGTAGTTACAACAAGTATCAGTCTACTCATGATACTGACTTAGGCATACCTCATGTTCAGAGCTTCGCCTCACTTCCTGCAAGCCTAGATGACGAACTCACTGCCTCCACGGCTTCAGTAAAGGAGGGTATGTCATCTGCACTCCTCGCCGCCCTACCCCATCTTACTACTCCATCCCGATCTACGGCGAAGAAGCCAGACATTTGCCACCGACTCCCGCTCTCACAGGGTCGGTTCCATATTCCCTCCTCATTGCCGAGTCTCCACACAGCATAAAGTGCTGATGGCGACAGGAAATGAGAATAACTTGACGAGCCCAGGCCCCACGCTGTATACGCCTCTACTTCCTCATCCACAATGATCTGAAAATTCGACGGCTCCGATCCAGCTTGCGGAAGTGATTTGAGCCATTTATGTGTTGCTGCCTGCGAGCTGTGGGAGATTGCTAGGAAGGAGATGTCTTTGTGATGTCTTGCCACTTCGCGGAGATTAAGGGATGCCTTTTCTGCAAACGGGCAGCCGCAGTGTCGTAGGAAGACGAGCACGGTGGGATGGTTGCTTTCCAGTGGTATCTTGGGCGTTCGGGGTGCTTTCTGGCCGATGGCAGGTGGATCGGGGATTCCGTCGCTACGTCGGGGCGCAAACCAGGAAGAGAGTTCTTGTTGGAAGGACATGCTGGATAGGTTGGACTGGTAGACCTATGAGATTGTATGCTTAGTCTACAGATTGAGGAGAGAAAGTACGGTGCTGTTCCTTGATGTCGCAGCCGGTAAGGAGCTCCCGATACGCCACTTGTGGTACCTTCCTCGTCGAGCAGCACTCCCTCGGTCCAGAGCAGCGAGAGATGCAGGGCAAGCAGGCGTCCCACATTTGTCTGTTGCGGTGACCTCAAGTAGTGTCGCCGTCTACGCTTTCAGAAGACAGGTATTGGGTCGCTTGAGCTATCGTTGCCGAGAAGTGGCGTCATACAAGCAGTAAGAGTTCAACATTCGGTAGAGGAATAGATGTAGTGGCAAACAGAGATTGAATGGAAGCAACAACTTGCTGCGTATCTGAAGTCGCCTTACATCAACCACGAAAGAAAGCAGTTCATAGCCGTATCGTCACGTTGTGCCAAAAGAAAGCAGAAAGCAGAAAGCAGGCGCTAGATCGCTAATAAAAAGCCACTTCTCAAACCATCGTCGTGTCAAGAACAGCAAGTGCAAGCTTGGTATATCTCCCTCCCAGGCCCTGAAACTCCCATAAATCCGTCTACGCCGTCCTATAGCCATCCCCTATGCGCCTCAGTGATCCGTCCCAAACCCCAATCCAGAACCCAAGCACGAACGAAGCACAATCCTCCTCTCATCACCCTCTTCACTCATCAAATACACTCTCATGCAACTCAATAAGCGCCTGCACCGCGATCCTCTGCGCCTGCATATCACTCATCTCCCTCTCAATACTAAACGGCCTCATAATCGTCGGCGCGAACACCACCGCCAGATTCAACGGCGTCATCAGATTCTCCTCTCCATAGCTCATGACACGAGCCAGATGCTGGATCAGGTACTCCAAGCAATTCCTATGATGTTCCGGCAACTCACCCACCGCGGCCCGAAGATGAAGGGCCTGCTTCTCCCGGTCGCCATCTCCGCTCTGTCCGGCCTCGAGAAGAGATTCATAGACATCGTAGGTAATCAGTGGTGTCGGGAGACGGCGGAAATACTGTTTCAGCGCGCTCGTGACGGCGTGGATGTCCAGATCCGGGTCGGAAATGTCGTAGCTACTGTCCTTTTCAAACCCCTGTTGCACGATCTTGACTTGGCCGCTGCCGCCGGATTTGCGGTAGATGCCTTCGATTTCCATGCCGCGGGCTTCAACCTCTTCGATGCAGTGGGATACTACGGCCGGTATGACGCGCTTCTCAAACTCGCAGCGGGCTTCGAGTTCGGAGCCGAAGAGCACTGGATTGACTGTTAGCATCTCCATGCAAGAACTCGATCGCCTGTCATGCAACTTACCAGAAGGATCAGCAGCCGGCGTAGCGAGGTTAGTACTGCTGTTATTCTTCATCCCGGCCAACCCACCCGGGCCCGTTTTCAGCCCGCCGTTCTTCTGCGAGAAGAATCCGAACCCAGCCGCACCGTTAGGACCCACAGTCTGGCCCTTCAGACTGTTCTGCTCACTACCGCCCGTAGCCTGGCTAGCAGCAGCAGAACCCTGCATATGCTGTCCGTATGGTACGCCTCCAATCTCAGCGCCATATGGAGCACCGATTTCTTTGCCTCGTACACCACTGGCGCTGCTCTCGCCCACGAAAGCGCCTTTGATGCCTTTGGTCACATTCTTGGCCATTTTCTCACCTCCCTTGCGCCAGTTGAACTTTTTCGCTTGGCCGCCCTTGCGGATATTGACGACTTGTGGAGCGGTGAGTACAGTCGCCGGTTCTGCCTCGGTTTCCTGCAGGAAGTTGGGCATTGATGAGTCGGTGCTGATCAAGTTCATGGTCCGCAAGTCCATCGATCCGCTGGTGTCCATCTTAGCCCCTGGGTTATATATGCCAAGTCCATTCGTCGAGCCAGCTCCATTCGGCACCTTGTTGGCTTTGTAGGTCTCCTGGATATTCTGCACGAGCTGGCCGTTCATCTCCAGTAGCTGCGCGTTTCGACTCGAAAGTGATTCGTACTCTTGGAACCCCTTGTCTTTCATCTGAATCAGTGTCCCGATCTCGTCCGTCAGCTCGGTCCGCTTATGCATCAAATCCTCAATCTGCCCACTCATCTGCTCCTTGAGCTTTTGCAGCGAATCGGCAAAGTCGCGCATGATGTCCGACTTGAGGCTGTTCAGGTCAAGAGGCTGGTTGCTTTCCTTCGCTCGCTGGAGATGAGCAGTCATGCTCTCAAGCTCCGCAACTACCATTTCTCGCTGCGTGTCCAGCACCACCATGGTGTTCCGCTTCTCGCGCAGCTCACTAGTCGCAGCCTTGATCTCGGCCGAGTTGTTGAGCCTCTCCTCAAGCGTCGCCCTCTCTGCCTCGAGCTCAGCGATCCGCTGTCCCTGCCTGCGATTCTGCTTGCGCAACTGCTCTAGCGGCTCGCTAGCAGTTGGAGAAGATATATTTGGACTTCCTAAAGCCATAGGAGAGCTGATCTGGATCGGTCCTGTAGAGCTGGGAGGTGATTGCGAAGTCACTGAAGCATTGACACCTCTATCGCTAAAGCTGCGTCCGTGCTTCACCGCATTCGAGACCCGACGTAGTACCGAGGGAGGCGCATTGCTATCCTCTCGGGTGTCTCTCTTGTCGCCACGCAAGATGCGCGCCATCTCCTCTTCCATGGAAAAGCCGCTCTCTCTGCTCGCCTTCGGCAGTCCAGGACTTCGCATTGCAGGAGATAGCTGGCCTTCTGATCTGGTATCGACGCTCTGCATCGTACTGATTGAGGCATTATTCCTGTGTCGCTCAGTAGGTGGAGGAGGCGGCGCATGTCGTGGCATGATGAAGTCACCATTGGCCACAGATTTGCTCGGTGCACTGGGTGCGCTTGGGCGACTCGAGGCTCGTGGCGGCGGTGCTACGTCGAAGCTGCTCCTGAAAGACGGTGACTCCCCCGACTTGATGCGGCTCCCGATGTTGTTGATATTGCCGTCGCTCGAGATGGTGCTCTGGGCATCGACGAACGAATACGGTACAGAGGACGTGGACTCTCTTCTGTCAGGTGCTGGGCCTGGCGCCAGCTGAGTCGATGCGATAGTCGGAGTCAAATTTGTGGGTGTTCGTGGTTCCGGTGTAGATGTCTTGCTCTTAAGAGTGGATGCGGCAAGACTGTCTCCACGTGCAGGTCTATCAGCATGTTTGGGTGGCGGCGGCGCACTACTTCCTGCTGCATCTTTGCGCTTCGGATCATCGAATGGATTGACTCCAGAACCTGGCGAGTCCAGCGAGATAGGTGATCGCGAGGCGGTCGGCTGCCGCGCATCTGCCACTTGTGCATCCACAGGCGAGATACCGACTGGTGACCTACCGTCTTCTCCTTTCGATACACTCCGATCACTGCCCTTCCGATTCTTCGGAACCTCTTGTAATTTGAAGCCCTCGCCATGACCAAGTGTGAAAGATCCCGTGTCCAGATGCTGTGGCTTAGGCCTCTCGACTCGTCCGTCCGCACCAGCAGCCACTGCAGGAGATGCAGCGGTAGATGCGGGCGTGTTTGTCCCTGATGCTTGTCGCTTCGTACTTCTACCCTTCTCCTGAAAGAAAATGTGCGGACTCTGCTTCGCATCTGCCACTTTCCGATCCGGCTCACGCTCTGTGGACACCGATCTCGCCGGCGACCTTGATCTTGCATCTTCCCTAGCATCTCGGCTGGCAGACTTTCCAGACTGCCTGCCAGTAAAGTAATCTCTTGTCAATCTGTTCTCAGTGAGGACAGGTGGTGAAGGTCGGTCGGTGTTCTGCGGCACCTGCTTTCGCGCGATCGATGAGGTCGTCGGCGGTGGACCCGGTGCAAGGGTAGGATCGAATGCCATGGGCAGAAATCCGCGCTCTTCGCCATCATCTGTGTCCTCGGATATATTAGACGGTCGGCTCTCGCTGTACGTGCTCGCAGGTAAAGTGGGCCCATCTATCGTGCACAGTTAGCGGACCATTATGAGGGAGTTCAGCCACGGAGCGCCTTGTGTGCTCACCTCGGCGCGCCTCATCCGACAAGGGCGAGACATCTCTTTTAGAACTGCTACTCGCGATTTCTCTGCTTGGTCGTAGCTGTTGCTGTCGCGGCGACCTGGTATTGGGTCCTTCGGAGTATTGGTCTGATGGCGGTGTTTCCATCTCTGGTGAGAAGGCACTCGGAGGAGCAGCACCGGGTGGCAGGGACGGTAGCGCTTTCTCGGACGGGCCATTGCTAGCAGACTGCTGCCGTGGTGCGGCCTTTGCTTTCTTCCGCCGCCTCGCCATCAAGCTCTCATGACAGCTCATGCAGAAGATACCTTGCGACGTCCGCGCATAACGGAGGTTTTCGATCTTTCTTTTGCAGTTCCGGCAACGAAAGCAGCTGGCGCAGAAGGCCTGATCGCCAGTGAGGATGGCTAGGTCTTCGATCTTGTTGCCACATGCATTGCAGCTATAGGTGCAGTTGTTGCATATGAGGGAGCCGTCGCCGAGTAGGAGGAGGTTAGCGTCGGAGTCGAGGAGGGTTCCGCAAGTGTTGCAGCGGAAGCAGTCGATATGCCATCGATTCCCAGCTATTGCATCGTGTCAGCTGGTGGCTATATATGCTTACATGCTATGCACACAAACCAAGCTCAAATGCCTTGCCTTCCTCGAGTATCTGTAAAGCTCGTCAGAGGCCATTACCGTAGCAGTCCACTCTGCCACATACCTCGCCGCAGCCCTTGCACGGGTATACCACATCATCCTGATCTGCCAGCGACTCGGGATAGTGCACCCCCGGACTCTCCATCACCATGGCCGCCATGTTGAAAGCTCAGTTGAAGTGTGGGCGTCTGTTGTCGCAAAGCCGACTCAATGCCGGCAGCAAGTGTCGGTAGTGACAGCGGCCGTGTACGTATACCTGACACACACTCTCTGAGTTAGTATCCTCGTAATGACGCCAAACACAAACTCCCGCCTCTTGCTCCCGCTGTCAAGCCTGCGGTCCTCGTAATTCCTCGATATCGTCACATCCACCGTACCATTGCGGATCACAGGCACACACAAACTGTATTTCTTCCACACACCCAGCGCACCAATAACGATACTGCAGAGTAGCAAGTGGAGAGCAGAGACAACGTGAGCAGGAAACCCACTCGTCAGGCGATGGAACGAGGGTTCAGCTAGCGGGCTCCGGCAAGACGAAACAATAGCACGGACCTGCGAGCTTACGGTAGGTCACTTTAGACGAGAATCTAGTCCGCCACGAACCATTCATAGACCAGGGACTGTCATTCAAAGATGATCCCCATCTACCAACCATTCGATTGGGGGTTCGCGGTAGTGTTGATGGATGATCTGTTTCAGCGTGCCCGATGGTGGAAGGTGATCAAACCTCTTTCTTGCAAACCGCACCGCACCAGAGCTGCAGTGAAGGAGGAGATGAAAGGTACGACGTACCTGCAACGAGGCTTACGGAAGCACAAAGACTGGAGATGTGTGTGACTGTGTGTGTGTTGCATGTCGTGCCACGAGCTGTGTGTCATCTTCCTTCTATCCGCGTGGTCTGGATTACGCAATGCCAACATTTGATCAGAAGTCCATCAGACACGAGCAAGCAGCAATAATCATCCTTCATATCAGTGCGACTCTCATCATGGTTCCTGAAAAGGCCTGCCAACAGGCTGCTCTGCTCAATTTATATGCAGCACCCACTAGCAGTGCTACTGTACCTTTGCCGAGCACTAACAAGTCCTAATCGCAGCCGAACCCATTCTCCCGGCCCGAGAACTGGAACGCGAACTCCAACTTCTCTTTGCGCTTCGACGGTCACGCGGTCGACGAGACAAAAATGGCGTGAGTCTGGAATCTGCTCATCACAATAACGATGACCTGAAGAACTTGGCGGCTTGACATAATAAAGCTCTCCTGATGTTGTAGGTTGTAGATCCTGCAAGCGAATCTCGACGACGCTTGACCATGACACGCCAACAATTCTCCGCACGATAACCATACCTTATCATTGGACGACAAGACATGATCACCACACCCTCTCCCGACTTCAACTGCTTCTCACTGGTCTCGTGAGCGACAAAGCTGTCAGGGCAAAGAGTTCTACAGTAGTCTCGTACTTAGCCCTGCTACATCATTACGATCAGCTGAGGTCTGCTTTGAACCATCAGGACTGTAGCGGTAACGCGACAGCATTGTATATCTCCATTGTTCCTCATTCAAGATATTTGTTTCCACGCCGCAGGCGCCGCTCTTCACGCCAGCCGCAAAGGACCGCTGCGCCTAAGCGAGCAAAGATGAAGATCATTATTATTTGATCGCCAAAGGGACTACGCTAGAGTATTGCATTCCAGCAGCCAATCACATCGAGGGCAAGACAGATGAGCAAGAACGACATGGCAGAGCACAGTGCTGGTAAACAAGAAACAACCCACGACACTCCTCCCCGATAGTAGCAGTATGCAGGTGTCGCGTGCCTTTACTACTAGACAGCTCAACAGCTTTCTATGGTCAACGCCACGAGCCTACAGGAATAGCTTGTCCTCATCTCGGCTGCCCGTCATGCCTGTCAAATACGTAGGCTAAACGAACAAGCCTACGCGCAGTAGCGGCATAACCATCACGTGTACGACACTCGCTTGTGGGAGTACAGAAAGTAGCCATGAACAATCAAAGCTTTTGCTCCTTGGGGATGCCTACTTGTACATGCAAAAATGTCCGCGTACTCTTCCTGAGAGCATGGAGCAACCACGAAGAAACGATAGAAGTCCCAGCATTCCCCCTTTCCAACGCCACGCTGCGTATGTGAAAATCATATCACCCTCACCCTGAAAGAACTCCTTTCCCTTGATCATGATGACACCTGCTGCGTCCGCCTAGCAATGAAATACGTCAACAGGCCCAACCGTCCCTCATCTACACCTCGAAAAGCGCCCCAGAATTCCTTCCGCTCTTCTTCGCCGCCGAGAAAGACGAACAGCTCGCTCGCGAACTCCATGTCTGCTTTCCTCACGTCCTGATCCTCGGCGTCGAGGTACTTCGATGCGAGAACTGTGAGTTGGTGCTGGCGGTCGGAGCCGAGCTGTACCGAGCGCTGGGTTGTGATGTTCAGGAGGCGGCGGAGGGTTGTGAGGGCTTTTGTTATAATTCTAGGAGATAGCAGTGGTTGCTCGTTCGTGTGGCCGGGCTCGAGGTAGGCGAGAGTGGCATCGACGCTGACTTCTGGCGCGGCGACGCGGGTGATGTCGTCGATAGTCTTGTCGAGATCGGAGAGGACATGGGTATTGCCTTCTGCTCCAGGGATGGAGCTATACATCGTCGTTAGCGCTTTGGCATGCCAGCTTGCTGCGCTCTTACGCTGCAGCAGCAGAAGTGCTCGTATAAGCCCAAGCGCTTGTGCTTTCAGTCCAGACGACTTGTGCGCGGGTTGCTGCATGAGCCGTGTATCCTGAGCAAAAGCCGGCAAGTAGTCTAGCAATGCGGCCATGAGCTCATCGTACTTGCTGCCTCCATCCCAGATATCTAGCGGACTTTTAGCGAGGTCCTGCATGCGGCGGAAGCCATGGGCGTCTAGTGAACGAGTACGGATGCGCTCGATTCCTGAGCTTAGAAGTCGTCGGCTCCGTAAGACTTCGGCGCGATCTTGTGGTGGTTGTACGGCTGGTGAACGTGCTTCTGGTGCATGTGTCGGGCTACCAGCAGGACTGGCAGACGAGCCCAGGCTTTGTGCCGGACTTGTCACGCGGACGTTCTCGTTGACCTGGATCTCAGACAAAACTTTTCTCTCGCCGTCTGTCAGACTCTCCGGAGCATCACCATGAAAGGAATCCTCGTATATCTGTATCTCCTCCGGCTGCGGCGTCTTAGGCTTGACCAGGCTGTCTTGCCTGTGTGCTGCCGTTCCAGCTTCCAATGCCTCCTCGATCCCACCTAGGCGTTCTCTCGGAGCAGGCGGAGATCCAGACCGCTCAAGTTGGTGCCGTGCCTCCTCAAACATGGCTTTGAGGGGGCTGCGGACAGCTAAAGGGGAGCGTGCTCGTGATGAATTATCGTGCGCAAGTGCTGGTATAACCATGGTGAAGCCGTCGTCTTCTGCCATGGATCGCACAGCCTGAACGCCACTATCGACAGACATTGTTTGCTCCAGCGCAGGTCTTTTAAAGCCTCCATTCATGGCGGTTCGGGCTGACGTGGCTGAACGTGATGTGGGCAAGACCATTGTGAAGTCATCCTCTCGAACACTTGTCAAGTCATCGCTGCCTTTACTGCTTGGCCGCACATCCTGCATACGATCCGCTACCGAGTGTCCGTTGACCACAGCAGGACTACGCTTCATCGGACTCCCATTAGGACTCAGTACATCCTGTCCAGCAGTTTTCGCGCGGTTCCTAGCCACACTAGAAGATGAGACGGACGCCTTTGAGCTTGCGCCAGTACCTTTCGGTGGACTGTTGCCTGGAGTAGCATTAGATGGCGTCTCTGGCCGCAGTCTCTGCCGAGATGCATACGGATCGGCTGTTTGTGGTCGAGCAAGTTCCGGTCGTCGTGGTCGGCGCACAGGACCCGACATGAGCGCACTACGACTCTTGCTTGTTGGTGCTTTTGCTTCAGAGGGCGTCTCGGATGCTGTGGATGCTGTGGAGACTACTCGAGTTTCATGGCGGAGGTGTGACTTGGCTGGATTCAACTCGCCTCGAGATTTGGGCTTTGATGGACTCATGGCGGCCATGGCAGAGTTTGGTCGATCAGGCAAAGCGCCTGCAGCTTTTGCTCGTCTTTGCTCGGCGATCTTCTCCCGTAAAGCCATGCTAGTGCTGCCGCCCGGTCGCGAGGTCGATGCAGACATGCTGCTGACGGAAGCGTGGAGCGATGAGTTTGGGTTATTACTGTCCTTCTGTAGCGCAGTCTTTGACTTCTCATCCAGACTTGACATGATCTTGTCCGCCCTCTCCGACCATGTCCGTGCCAGGTTCCAATAAGCAGCCCGAGTGCCTTCCTTCACAGCTGGTTTCGCATCGTCCAGACCTTTCCGTATACACTTCTCGGCCAAATCTAGCCCACCTGAACTCTCAAAGTGAGACTTGTAGCCCGCTTGCCGCTTAAGCACGATCTTCAGCCAGTCTGGTACGCATGACCGAACCTGAGCGTTCTTCTCCTGAGCTGCCGCCCAAATGTGCTGCATCATGCGGACATGATACGAACAGTGCTGGAAGATCGAGTCGCACGTCTGACGGCCGTTCTGAAAAGCGATAGGCTTGGTATTCGCACACGTCTTGATAAAGTTTTGAAGCAGAATTTCGACGTGAGTGTCGAGAGCTGGACCGAGGATGCGGGCGAAGTCTTGCACAGCCTGCGAGCCATTGGTGGACATCGTTGTACGAAGCGAATTGGCTACCTTGAGAATGCCTTCTATGACACTCTTCAGGCCAGCCATGAACGCGACGTGGTACTCATTCGGAGCGTTTCCAGTCAAGAGTCGTCGAACTTTAGTCACCGACTTCTCTCGAAGCGTCCAATTGTGTTCATCCTCCTTGCCTTCAAAATGTGGTAGCATATCTCGGAACATGTCATCCAGTTCGCTTCGCGAGTGTACATATAGCGGCTCCATCTGCACGATCTCCGGTTGTGTTGGCTGAGTTGCTTCGCTGATGATACTTTGCGCGAACTTTGTTGCGTGATCTGTTGCGGGTAGTGATCTTGTTGATGCTGCGAGGTCCTGTTCTTCGTGCGCATGTGCAGTTTGTGGCCTTGATGCGGTCTCGGCGCCGATCTGCGACAGTATCTGTGTCTGGATTGAATGTCTCACGCCATGCGCTTTGAGCTGTTTCTTCAGATCTGTCTTGGCGCGATCAGGCGCATTCAAGAACAAATCCACCAGTGCCGACTTGGCTGCCTCCCGCACGTTCCCATCGGAGTCCTCCAGCCGTGCCACCATCGGTGACACATAACTCTTGAAAGCCATGTTCTCCTCCCTGTGCATTCTCACCACCCACTGCATCCCTGCCTCCTTGGCTCTCGCATTGCTGCCTCCAATCGACTCTTCCCTTACCACGTGCTCAATGTCCTGCGTCAGGTAAGGGTACAGCTCACTCAGCGCTTGGCTCGCAGCTGCGCGCACGGGTTCCTTCAGATCGCCCAATCTTTCCTGTACCGCAGGCAGCACGCGCGGGGCCAGCTGGTCGATGTTTGCAGATTGAATCTTTAGCCGCTTGATCAGGTGACCGAGTGTCGAGCAGGCGGACAAAGCCAGACTCGATGACGTCTGCTGTGTGATGGCGAGACGCAACACCTCGAAGATCTGGCCTTGAAGTCGGTCCGGCACGACATGTCTCTTGATGTCGCTTTTCAACGCGTTCAGGCTCTCGACTAATGTTGACGATGAGATGGCGGGTCGTTTGAGGAGCGAGAGCAAGTTCGCGACTTGCGCCTCCATGATGATGGCGGCGTGGCGAGGTAGCTGCTATGTCTTACCGAATTATGTCCCGTCAAGATGCGATTTCTATGTTTCGTAAGTTGTTGTGAGCTGGACCTCCCGTTGTCCTGGGCACGGCCTCATGCACGGTGACGGGCCACGTACAGCGGCCGACCGTTATAGCCCAATTGAGTCGAATGCGCGATTTTATATTTCGACTTCTATCTCGGATATCAACGGCCAAGATATCATCTGATATTACTGAAAGGCTGTGTGTATCGGACAGCGATCGAGATGAAGACCATGAGCAATTAGGGGCTCTCTCGAAGTCAACATAAACTGATCTGGTCTGTGTTGCTGATGGTTCGTCCGTCTCCACAAACTCTACCCAGCTAGCGTGCTTCTATCGATAGCAGATTGACAGGGATCCGTGTCCATCGCGCGACATCTTGGCTCGGGTGTTATTATGCAAGGCACATATCAATAGCTGAGATACATACATAAACCACTGGCTCCCATGCCTGCCATCCCAACATACTTCCAGACAGCTATGCCCGCCATCTCTCTGCCATCGGACGCTCCGCAGCAGACGACAACTCTCCCCATCCGGAAACACGAATTCCCGACTCCAACGCTACGATTACATCTCCAGGATTTGAGCCACGATGGCTCTTCCATCTTCCTCTCAAACATCAAAGGCAGCGAAGACCTAGAACAACAATGCCAGAATGTCCTCAACCTCCTCTACGACCACGACAGCATAAGACCAGGAACTCGAAGCGTCACATTCGTCCTCCGAGCCTACGATGGCTTGGCCTATACGACCGGCATAGATCTAGACCAAGATCACAAGGAAATCCACATCAATCTGGACTATCTGCTGAAGATCCGCGGTGATGTTCGTCATGAGCTACTGGGTGTGATATGTCACGAGCTCGTGCACTGCTTCCAATGGGCCGCGGAGGGCACAGCCAACGGCGGCCTGATAGAAGGAATGGCAGACTACGTCCGTCTCAACGCTGGATTGTCGGCTGAACACTGGAAGAAAGAGGCAGGGGGAGACTGGGACGGCGGGTATCAGCATACTGGATACTTTCTACAACATCTGGAGGAGAAGCTCGGGAAGGGAACAGTAAAGAAGATCAACGCTGGTCTGAGGGAGGGACAGTATGATGAGAAGAAGTTGTTCAAATCATGTTGCGGTGGTAAGGAAGTGGGTGAGCTGTGGGAGGAGTATAGGAACGATCTGGAGAAGAAGCAAAAGGAGGACGGCAAGGAGGAGAAGCCTTCGGGTACTGAGGAGGCGAAGATTATACCTACTGATACGCCGCCGAAGTTCGAGGGGACGAAGTGATGATTGACGGGTATGTAATGGCAATATGATGTCTATAAAGCAATATAGTATACCCACCTCCAGTAAATTATACAAATGGCTTGGTCCACTCGCACGAGCATACTATGCAAAACAGCATCCTTGGAAGTGCAAGCTATCAACTCCTTGCTCCAGTAAACAACGATGAGAGGGAAGGTATTCCAGGCTGCCTGCGTAGTCGGGCAGTCTTGCTGCAGTGCGAATCGTGCTCTCGGCTAGGCACGCCAGTCATACTCATGTATGCTGGCCGTCGGGGCCAGGCTGAAGATCTCTGCACCATGGAATCATGCTGATGCTCGCCTTTCAAATCCTCGCTTCTCGATGTTGCGACCGGATCAACCACGACGGTCCAGTTCTAGAAAGCTTGGATTGTGTACATTGTCAATAGCTTGTATATGTGTAACTCTGATTTCGACTTTAGTTGCAGTGTGCTTTTCCGACTGCTTTGCCAGTTGCTTGACGTTACTTGAATTGCTTACCCAAACCTTACCCTAATACTTCCACCTCTTCTCACTACTCTTTGTCTGTATATAGACAATTTCATATGATATATTCTGACAGAACGTCGACTCGAAAGTATACTCGTGGTGTTTTCCTGATCACAGGAGTGCCGCACCCGATTAGCAAGGGCGTGGTATGAAAGCAAGGATTTCGCTACAAATTCTGATGCGATGCAGCAAACCACCAAGTTCATTCACGAGCAATCTTGAGACGCAGCAAGGACACGTCGGAGAAAACAGTAGCACCTTTGAAGATGCTTGCTGTCATTGATGTCCGAAAATGTCGACACGTGGGCCACGTCGACCGGAGCCTTGTGTGCAGGACAACTGTGGCTCTCGGCGATTCCACGTGGGAGAAGATGGCTTCACGTACTGTGATCGAGGTCACCAACAGTCTGACGTACGCAATCTTTTCAGATCCAAGGCTTCGTATGCCCACAGTAAATGCTAACAAGGCGCAGAGAGGCACATTAATAGCAGCAGATACTGGCGAGCTGGTCATCAAAGGGCCCAAGGTAAGAAGGAAAGACTCTGATGCTGAATCAAATACAAGTCGAGGTTCGTGAGCTGTGCTCGCCTAAATCAACAGCCGAAGACTGACGGGTTTGATAGCATCGGGATTCAGTGGCCCGCGAGCATTCGAGCAGTATCTACTGTGCATTCAATTAGTGCTCAGAAAGCAACTACGCTGGCTGATTGACGTGAAAAAGTTGCCAGAAGAGCTCGAGGTATGCAAGTCAGCCTCTCCATCTAACACATCATGCTGAGCGATGTATAGACGCTAGTTCACGATCTTTGGGCCCTTCGACTGCAAAAACTGCAGCATCGAGTGTCATACGAGTCCGAGACAGAGACAGAGACTCAATCACAATTCTACAGCTCGCAATCTGAGGGCGAAACTTCAGCAACCGAGAGCTCAAGACGAACTCGAGGCAGAAGTCAGACTGGCGACGGGAAGATTAGCGAGGGCACGCCAAATGTGCTTGATACGCTGACGTTATGCTATACCGGCATACTACTCCTTCGCGAGCCCGTCACCCTAAGCGATATCCATCATTGGTGTCAAAATGGCGAGCTGCTGTACCACCGTGCTGCAAAGGAGATTCCGCTGGGCATGAGGGAACGTCTGCCAGCTACTTACCAGGACTTACTCGATCCACAACCGATTGGTAAGCCAGAGAAGCTACACGCTACTGTGCTCGAAGGCTTAAGGACCATGCGAACAGCGTTCGGTATGGCGTTTCCTCCTGTCAACCATGTCCTCGTCTTGCATCGGTGGACACGCGACCTTGCTTTACCCATAGAAGTATATGCAGCTACCACGAGGCTTGCCCGCGTGCTGAAGCTCGACTTCGCTTTCGAAGTGGACTATCGTGCTGGTGCGAGGGATGTTATGTTGAGGTATCCCGAGATTCGACTCATGTCATTGCTGGTTGTGGCTACGAAGCTCTTGTTTCCAGTAGACGACATCGATCGATACCCGTCTTCTTCTGTCGATGTTTCGGCCTTGCGCATGGACTGGACTGCGTGGACGAACGCACAATCCAACACCTCACGAGATGAACAGCAGCCGGACCTGGCTAGCGAAGATGCGATGAACTACGCCCAGAAGGACGTCCTCGATGCTGCAGAACATCAGCTGGACCAATACATGGACTGGTTCGAGAGAGATATCGCAAGCGAGGAAAATCGAGAGCGCGGTCGAGCTGATAAAGAAGCAGACTTCAGGCGCACGATGTTCAGAATGTTTCCAGCTGATCGTTCAGCTGTTGAAACACCACGTCTTGATGATCCAGAGCCTGCAGAGCTCATCGCAGAGCGACTGCGACAGACTCAAACACTCCTGACTCCGAAACAAATCGTGGTGTCTGAACAGGAAGCCGACCGTATAGGTAGCTTCTACAGGCGGACGAGGACGGTCGACGAGCTGTCGGGAGCCGCACTCGTCCTTTTCGGGCGAGCGTCGAGGCTGGTAGGCTCCTCGCTCGGAGGCATGGTTAAGGCTGTATCCCTGATCGAAGAGCAAGTGAAGAGACAGGAGGAGAGACTGAGAAGGGATGGCTACGATTGAGTTCTCGATGGAGTATGTCACTGTATAACGGCCATCTGGTTCGATATCGGGGTCCGCGAAGAGGGGGTATGGTTGCCGACTACCTACTTGGCCGCGGACCAGCTCTCGATGAGGAGGTATGGTTGCCGACTTCCTACCTGGCCACGGACTAGCCGTCGATATGTGGGCCTCAAGCAGGCGTGCCTGGCCCCCATCGTCTTGCATGTATCATACGGCAGGGGTAGAGTCTAGGAGATATTCTGGATCTGCAGATGCATGTACTCCACAAGAGGGTTTCATGATGGGTGTCAGCCAATTGAGGAGGAACAGGAGGTAGTTCGGACGACATACGCCGAGCATTAGGGCACTGCGATGCAATGCGAGAAGTCTCGGATCATGGTGAAGATCTTGTCTCGCATGCAACAGGGGCCTGCATATTCGCAAACTTGGTTCCTGGGAAGATGTCTTGCAGCTTGGTGGAGTCATTATGAAGAACCAAGGGTCGTGATGGCGACAGGTGACACATAACGGTGCGAGATGATTGCGAAATAGAACCGCCGTTTGAGGCTCTTCACCGGCGTACCTATATACATGCAGGTCATCCAGTGGATAGAGTTCCGGTCCTGACGCCGCGTCCAGTGTCGAGCTGTCCGCCCCGCTACTTCACGGCTTGCCCGATGCCGTAGGGCTAGACAGTATCCGCAGATCGTGTTCGGCGTGTCTTTGTACTCGCCGATGCTTGAGATTGACAATCTCGCTGCAGTGATGAAGAAGATAATTGAATAGTGTATATCTCCTAGAGGCATCCACTTGAAGATACCTGGCCCCGTGCTCCTCGGAAAACGTTGCCTGTCATTGACTCTTATATTTAGGCCACAGCGATGGTGGCTTCAATAGCCTAACGGTAGGAGGGAAGCTTTGTCGTTGCATGACTTGTGGACCTGATCATGGCGTAAGATATTGGTCGGCAGAATTTGGGTGTGGCTGGTGCATTAGTTCTACCATGCTTTGACAACAATGCAGCTGTCGGGAAAAGATTTGAAGGACAGTGGCAATCTTGGTGCCATTGCAGTGGCGTGGGATGTCATGCTGCATGAGTCGCCTGGCTGAACGTGCCCTGTAGAGGCCTGTAGTCCATAGAAGCGCGGCGACAAGGTGTGATCCTAGTGAAGGATGCCGGCCAGTCAGAGGCCGCAAATTAGACAAGAGAGATGGTGCCTGAAGATCACTCTCATCCCCCAGCATGTACTTGCAGCTAGATCGATCGTCGACGGACGAGTAACCCAGAACGGATGCATTGCAGCCAAATCCACTCGACAGATACCCGGAAAGGCAATCTACTTGTCGTCTTCGCTACCAAGAACAGCGAACCACGACCAAGGACAGCCTTCTGTCGAGTGTTTTGAGGAATTGTGGCGGCGAGGCGCAGCAACGCCATCACGACCAAGTCCATCTAGGTCTATTCTTAGCTTGGTCGTGGGGAAGAGAACGCGAACCCTTGTTCGTCGCGGCACAGGGGAAAAACGTCCAAACGTCGACAAACAATTCAATTTGTGTTATAGCTCTAATAGCTAATACTTATGCGGGTATAGTGACCCGGCCGGGCAGCTAGCATGACCGTTCACGCCACGGGCCAATGGCGCGGTGCGGCTGCACATTTTGAGCGATGCGCATATCGCTTCGCGTCTGCAGAGCAAGGGAGTCGCTCCTAGAAATTCTGTGCATCCTCTCGCCATCGCTATGGCTGCCCGCCGGCTCCTCTCTTGTGCTGCCGCTCGCCAGTCACTGCCGGAGACCATCGCGTCCGGCCGATGCTTGGTCGCTGAAGCTGAAGGAGCTGATTCGGAAAAGGTATGCAGCTTCGGCCGGCCGTTGATGGCGAACCCGCAGAGCAGAAACGGCGACGCCCCCTCCCCATCGCTACCGGCAGGCCGTCTAGTAGGTGATGATAACCTTTTAAGCTTCTATCACGGACGATGCTTCACGCAAGGATCGTCCCAAATATAGGATCTTCAACTGCCGCTAATGCTCACCTGGGATCCGCTCTCAGAGTTGGCCCTATCGACTCCACGGCTTCACAGATGCGATGCGGCGTATGCCTTGTCAAGAACGGCTGGCGTGCCATTCTCGCGTTGCTGTTCGGCGACCGTTCTACCCACTGGCTTGCCCCTCTTCAAGGTCTTTCCTGCATATTGCCTGTAGAGACAGATCAACGTCCTCATCATTCGTTTGATTGCCTTTCTGAATCACTTTGTTGACCATACTTCCGTCGCTGGCCACCCGTCTTCGCTATATACTATGCTCGCTGACACCCTTGTGTGACATCAAAGCTTGAGCTGTTCTACAACCTCGAACTCGCAATCCAGGTGTGCTGTCGACATTGTAAGACCGAAACATCTCTACGCCCTTGACTCAGACTCCTGGTCATCATTCTTGCGCCGATCCACTCACCTGGATAGCCACCACACGACCTCACAGCTGGAACGACTGAAGATCACGACCCTACCTCACCGTTACTGACATACGCCTTTACGCGGGGTGAGGGGCATCTGTAATCGCCCAGGTCAACGACATCAGCGCCATCATTGTACCGACGAGGCAATTGCAACAGCACATCGATCACTGGACGACTCAACCTGAGACCGCATTCTTGGAAGGACCTTTACAGAACAAGGATCAGGCTGCGAACTGTTCATCCCTTTCCTACAGCGCTTTCGTTCAGTGTACCATTAAGTAAGCAAGTATTGCGTCCGCTCCGGCACCGATATCAACAGCGCATTCTAACAGTGACCCTAGCGCTACGCCGACCACAAATTTCTTTGTTCTCTCGGGTAGGTTACTTAGGCTGTCAGCAGTTCAGGGAGTGCAATTCCGCATGCGCAGCGGCTGATCTATCTACAGGCATCTGTCTTGCTTCGACGACTTGGTTCTTATTTGAGATTCAGCACGACCACACAGCGCTTGATACTTGCGCGGGATCGTACAGTAGCGAAACGCCAACCACCTGGTCTGCCGTCGGGAAGACCCTGTAATCTCAAACGAACGACTGCGACCTACCCAAATCACATTCCGGGGACCAGTCAATCCACGGGCAATCGCTAATTGTGGACTTGACGCAGCCTCTGATACTCGCATCAAAGGCGCAATTCGCAAAGCTGCATGCCTTACGGATAACTGCTTCAACGCACGGATCAACAGTTCTTGCATGCCTGCACGTCAGTAGCATCGAACATCGAGCCCAGAACTTGGGTCGTACAAAGTGCAGCAGACTGCCTCTGCAACTTTGAACCTGTCTGACTGACCAGATCACTCGCAAAGCTGGCTTGTATGCATCAGCAGGTATGTCGCACCTACAACATTGACGACGGCCTCGTCGCCGAGTCGACCCGTGGATGCTGTCATCCGCCCGGGCGTGGTTGCCTCACGACACAGCCACGTTTGAGAATACGCTGACCAAGGCCAATAGGGCGAGAGAAGAGATAGCAAGACCTTCGTAGTCGTCGACGAAGACTGCGGCATACCAGCTTCGATCGTGGAGAACTATCGAGCTTCACCCGACAACGGGGCCACGGCCCAATCCGACCCTCGAAGCTATCTGCTTTCCATGTCGGAGTTCAACAAGCAGCAGGGTTACGACGATGTGTACGGTGAGTTGACATCCCACCACGTGCCTTGATGCCTCAGAAGGATTGCGCGGCACACGCGGCGCATCCCGGCTGAGGTGTGTGCATGTGAGGCTTAGGCAGACATGGCAGATGACTGATGTGACGCATCCAGAATACAATCCCACCACACGATCCGAACACGGGCAAGACTACACCAGTTTCGGGGCCCAGCCGACCTTCACAAGCCAGTATGTAGGCACTCAGGCGCAGGTACCATCCGGTCTACCTCAGTCAACTGCACTCTCCCTGGTGCCATCTGCTCAACAATACAGCGGCCCGCATGATCCCATCTACCAGGCGCAGAACGATCAGCAGTATGTACAACATCCTGCATATCTCGACACGCCTCCGCGTCAAGCTCCGGAGATAATCAACATTACGCCACGTTCCGGCTACCAAGGCACCAGAGTCACTGTTCACTTCCGATCGATCTACGACCTCGACAATCCACCAATCCGAGCCTTCTTGATGTTCGGCACCCGTAGGTGCGAGAGCCAACTCGACAAGACCAGCTATCAAGACGGCATGTATCAGTACGCTATCACAGCGGACGCTCCGTCGTTGTCGATGTCAAACTCACCGTCGCCGACTCCACTGCATCTGCTGTTCGACAGTGATCTCGTAAACTGGGAGCAGTCGACACTCGAGATTGGCGACTTCTTGTACCTCACCGCACCGTCTTACAGCTATCCGGCCGACTCCCCTCAGAGCACCACCAGAAAGCGGAAGTTGTCGGAACAAGTATCTCCTCGACGTTCACCTACCAAGAAGCCATCGTATGCTCAGCTCGCTGCACCTTCTCGTCAGCTCACCCAGTCATACCCGAACACCAGCCCTGCTGCCAACTCAGCATCGGCTTTTCGACGTCCTAGTCTCCCAGACGCCTACTCACAGGTCCGCCGAGCCAGTACAGACTACCATCACCCATACAGTGCACCATTGCCCGTTTCCCAGCAGCAGCAGTACTATGGACCGGTGTCAGCGCAGACAACGCCGTCACTACACGCTGTGCAGACACCATCATGGGCTTACCCGCATAGCGTCCAGATGGCTCGCAGTCCTTCTGGTGCCAGCTTGTCGGCTAGCGGACGTTCTGCTCACCTTCTGCCGTCGCCCGGTGGTGTCAGTAACCCACCGCTTGTTCGTACCTCGACTCTGTCTCAATCTCCAAGCACGCCAGCGACCTCAACTGCGAGTTTCAACCCGTACGCTATCTATCCATCGAACGCAAAGGCACTACTCAAGCTCGATGGAGAGCTGGGTCATATGGTCAACGACTGGAGCAAAGAAGAGTGGGATGTGCAGCGACGACTGGTACAATTTCGACGGAGCCAAACAGGCAGTGTGATCACCGCCAACTTCGAGCCAGTCACGCCTGAGACCCGCGCACCTAACAGTATCTGTGTGAGCTGCATCTGGTGGCAGGAGAAGAATGAGTGCTATGTGACTAGTGTGGACACCATCCAGCTCCTCGAAGCACTCGTCGCCGTCCGCTTCACGGTCGAGGAGAAGAACCGCATCCGCCGCAACCTTGAAGGCTTTCGTCCAGCAACAGTTTCGAAAGCAAAGCAAGATAGCGAGGAATTCTTTAAGCTGATCATGGGTTTCCCGAGCCCCAAGCCGCGCAACATCGAGAAAGACGTGAAGGTATTCCCGTGGAGGATCTTGGCCACGGCACTGAAGAAGATCATTGGTAAATATGCAAGTCATCCCTGCTGCATGCATGATGCATGCATGTGCATCATGCACCCCCTCCATTGGCTCCTGCTGACCACACACGTTCCTGATATAGTCCGCGAGCTATTCCTCCACCGCTGGGGCGCTGCACACACCCGCAGGATCAAGCTACACATCTACCATCAGCAGAGCCTCAGACGCCGGCTTCGACACCTCGTACTCGCACGGTATCTCTCCGAGATCGAGCGCGAGCTCGTCGGCCGCCGCCCATCATGCAGCCGCTGTCTATGCACCCGCTCACACCATGGGCAACATAGGCTACTCGCCACACACACCGAGCCTTCTTGGATCAGCTGCTGGTCTCGGCATCGGGCCGTCAGGTGCTCAAGGCTCGGACATGCGCCTTGCCGTGCCCGTCCCCGCCCCCGGCCCCGTCGCATTAGCAGCTGCCACACAACAAGCAGGCCATGGTCAAACGACATCCTGGCACCAACCTGTATCGCATTACGCGGACATGTCTTTGACCGCTACGACGCAACAGCAGAATCGTACGGCGTGGGATTACAACTCTTTCATGGGTAGCTCGCCTGCGACTGGTATGCCCGGATCTGTGCCGGCGTACAACTATGCTACGCAGCAACATGCTACTTCACATTTGCCTTCTTTGACTGCCCAACCCACCATGGCCACAGAAGCCCGCTTTGTGCCCTTGCACGATTACGAGCAGCAGGGTCAGCCGACCTCGACAGCTTGAACTCTGGAAATACCCTGGTTTCAGCTGAGTGCATCGGACTGGCCATGATGACCTAGACCATTGTTTGCAAGTGGCGATGGCGGTTTTCAGTGCTTCAATGTCCGAATTGATCATGCGCGACTTGATTCGACCGCGCTTTCCCGCTTCGAGCATGCTGCACACCATCACACCATCAATTACGAGAGCTTCTCCTACACCTCTTCAGCTTCGCTCTTGTTTCAGCACTGTTACAATACACACTGGGAGGTGCTCTCTGTCCCGACACATGCATGAGCCCGGCATTGAGTGCGGGTGATCGTCGTCATGCGTCCAATCGCCGCGGAAGACTGTCAGATGACAGGCTCAGCAGCCTTTTGCGCAACTGTTCTACTTCATCACTAATAATGTCAATACACAACACCGTCTACCATCGCGACGCTTTTGACTTGCGTCATCAATTTATGACGGCGTCTGGCGCGCTTCGCACAATTTCAGCATCAGCACTATTATCAACAGCATCGATACAGTTACATCACGGGCCATAAACGGGACACCAACATTTCCTTCACAGGACGACATCGGCGGACACAGCCACGGGAGTGGAAGGCGCAACGCATGATACCCATTTGCTTTACTTGTCGCTTTTACATAGCATTTCTCCTTGCGTGGCGTTCCTGGACTGAGTAGCGAAATGCGAATCGATTGTATGATATACGGCATTCATTAGACGCGCACACTGACTTCACCTGCTTGTTGCTGCCATTCGCGGAGGAGGTAATTATTCATTCTTGAGGGACGATGGGTTTCGACTGAGGTTCAGAGGGTTGGAGTAATTATCCGTGTGGCGACGATGCGAAGATGCCGAATGTATACAGATGATACCAAAGGACGCATAGTCTGCATGAATTGTGACGTTCGCGTCGCTCATCCCTTTGGTGTTTGCTCTATTGCGAACTCGTCACACCATGAGCCGAGCATGCGAAGTCGAGCTTGGGTCTTGAGTAACAGTTGCACGGCAGTACAATGTGCATTGTCTCCTGACGTTTCGGTGGGTTGGACAGTGTTAAGCTTGATCGTGAACTGGTGTGCCTTGCATAATATGATCTCGGATGAATCCTGGTTTGACCAAGGGAGGGATTTTGCGACGAAAGATTCGAGATCTGGCTGCCTGAGGCAAGAGGTAGTACAAAAGCTCTCTTTCGCTCTGGGGCTGGAACATCATATGCAGGTAGAGCTGACATACTGCCTAGCTGAGCTTGAACGCGGAGGATTGACCACAATGCTGCTGTGAGGTAGAGTCGCTTGCTATCATTCTCTCCAATGATCCACTTCGCGGACTTGAGTAGATCATTATCATGGCTTCACAACGGAAACAAATACAATATGATCTTGAGTGGGCGACAGTATGGAGCGTAGCGCGGCAAGGGTAGCATCAGATGGCACTGACACGTTGTAGTTTGCCCGGGCTATGGGTCAGCCTAACCTGCCCGCAGACCTAGAAGGGCGTGTCAAGGCATTCGATGCCATGTTGATCGCCATGTCACAACAGCTACCGCCTACTAATCCTGGGATAAGCACAGGTAATCTCTGCTTCAGTAATGGTCATCGATATTGGCTAACGAGTACTTAAGAGGACGTGGCCGTCAATGACAATGTCACAGTCCGTCTCTACCACCCTCCTGGCGCCGACGGGAAGAAGCTGCCACTTACAGTCTTCGCTCATGGAGGAGGCTGGATCGCCGGCAATCTTGATACCGAGGATCACATCTGTCGAGTCGTCTGTGGCGAGGTCAATTGCATCGTCATGTCAGTAGCATACCGCTTGGTCCCCGCGACATCCTTCCCAACTCCAATCGACGATGTGGCTGCAGCTTTCGACTACGTGCGTAGCTCAATTCCCTTACACCTGACCAGCTGCTAATCCTCACCTTAGGCCCACCAGAACACGAGCGATTTAGGCGCATGCGGCGTATACTTATGGGGCGGTTCAGCGGGCGGCGCCTTGGTCTTGGCCGTAGCCTACCAGCTTCGACGCAAAAACCGAATCTCGGACCTTGCAGGTCTAGTACTCATGGCACCCATGTTCCTTCACCCTGATGCGTGTCCAGAGAAGTACAAGCATTTGCACAGATCTTGGACTGAGCTCTCTGGCCCCATCCCTCTGGTGACGGCAGACGACTGCATGAAGTCCTACCATGGCTTTGGACTTGCTCCGCCTTATGAGGGGGATGACGAGAGACGCAATTGGTTCCCACTGACAATTGGGCCAGAGGCATTGAAAGGAATGCCGAGGACGTATATCATTAACTGCGAGATCGAATGCATGAGAGACGATGGGACAGTGGCCGAGGCGCAGATGATAGATGCCGGGATGGATGTGAAAAGAGTTGTGTTGCCGGGATTGCCACATTACTTCTGGTCGTTTCCGCTTGAGAAGGCTGGACTTAGATTTAGGGACACCCTCGTCAAGGGAGTCAAATGGATGCTCGAGCTTCAAAGCTGAACATACAAGCATCGAGGCTCGAACGATGTTGGCATATAATTCGTATCGATCACGCCAAGGACGGCGCGAGAAGCTTTCGCTTGGCTGGGTATCACGCAGAACAAAAGCAGACCACTCACAGGCTCACCTCAGTCGTTGGGCCTTTTCTGCATCGCCAGCCACGCAGCCCAGTCAGTCCTCCTTCCCACCTGCACCTGCATGGCCTGACTCTCATCGCACTCATCCGCACTTCCGACAGCATCACCTTCCTGCCACCCGTTCCAAGCCCCGAGTCCAGCCAAATGTCTCATAGTCGGTCTCCCGTGAGGACAATTCCACGGCTTGTCCATCTCGCCCATATGTGTCACGACTCTGCTCATCTGCTTCTTGGTCAAAGTTTTGCCGACCATGATACTGCTTCGGCAGGCCCGCATAGCAAGCATTCGCTGAACTTTCCTCGGTCGAGGAATCTCGGAGCTGCCCGATGGTATTTCTGATAGGAGATGCAACAGCTCTTCTAGGTCGGAAGGCGAGAAGGTCTTCGTACCACTCAGAGGTAGGGTCAGAAGACGATGCTGACGAACTGCTGGATGATCATCATCGTCAGTCGGGTCAGAAGTAGTCTCGATCTCGAAGCCATTGGCCTTCAGTGCAGTTGAGTTGTTGAGTATGATTTCTTCCTCCACAGCCGTGAGCTCAAGCAGCTTAGGACGAACGAGCCGCTGGCTTTGCAGAGTGACTGTGCGCTGCAGCCGCTCGTAATTGTACTTCTCATCTGCCGCATGTTGATCGATGATGAAAAGCTCGTCTTGTGTACCGTCACCAGAGCTAGGTCGAATAGCCAGGACGAAGCCTAGGTTGAATTGGCCGACAACGGTCATGCGTTCGAAGTCCGCTTTGGTCACAGTCAGAGATAGCTTGCTTTCGGCATTATTGTCATCGAGCTCCTCCTTGACTACACCATACTCTGCACCTGCACTTGCGTCAATCTGTTCGCAAGGTACTGCAATACTCTTCAAAGAGGTCATCTGCATCTTTATGTCGGCCAAGGAGTCATCGAGCGTTTGCATCAGCTGTAGCGTAGCTTCTTTTCGATTGCCACCATTTTTCAGCACTTGCGAGGCCCGCTTCAGGTTTTCCTCACTCGGTCGAGCTGCAGCATCTTCAGCTTCCTGTATCAGGCGCGCCACTTTCTCATCCTCTTGTATCCGCCGCTCGCGTTCGTCGACATGGTCTTCGTCCAATTCGTCTTCGTCCGATTCGTCATCGTCGGCTGGTGCAGGTAGTAGCTCATCCAGCGGATCAGAAGCGCGCTGATCGACCTCAACAGGATCTGCCACATCCTTGTCGTCCTCGCCTTCCAGCGAGTCCTTTGCAGCGCCCTCCTCCTCAGATCCAGACTCGGACAGGGCTGCGGAGGCTCGTCTCAATGCTGTACTGGGCATGTCACTACTATCTACTTCCATTTGCGAGCCCGGGGCAGCAAAGTTGCGAAGTCCACGGGCTAGCAATGGATTCGCACCAAACTTAGCAATGGACTGTGAGTTGTTGGGTGCATACACACGCCTCTTCTTGTACGGAGGACTGCCTCCAAGCACTGTAGTAGTAGTCGTATGTCCGACAGTGATCTCGGCAATCTGTGAGGGCATTCGTATCGGTCTCATGCGGTCGAATGCGTTCTGCACGGGTCCAGGCGTATTCTTCCGCGAGCTTGTGCTGATGGCGGGAATTGAAGACGATTCATTCGGTGGCGACATGGGCTCTTCGGTCCCCAGTTTCTCTCCCATCCGATCGTCGGAATTCATTCGCGCTGCCACGACAGTCGATTCGGGTGTTGTGTCACACTTTGGCAAATGTGGTGGTCGTTGTGAGAAGAGATCATCGTATGCTGTGCTCATAGGATCCGGCACAGTGTCTCGTGCTGGTGTCCCGATCATCTGCACATGGTCTTCCACGTGCTTCGGACCGGATAGTGCCTCTTGTTCACCAGATAAAGGATCCTCGGGAACGTCAGAAGTCTGTGGTTCGACAACTGAGGATGCTTCAACCGTCTCAGCAGAAAGTTCTGTATCGAACTCCTTTCGCATATGCTCAACCAGATTCTGCTTGTCCTTCGAGACCTCAATGATCGATTTCCTCTTTGCTGGTGGTGGCTTCCTCTCCTCCGCGTCACGACCAAGCCAACCCTGCATGAGGTTTGGCTGCGTCTCGTTGGTAGCAGCGTTGGCACTATGCGAGACACGCTTTACTGCCGGCGCAACTTCATCTATGTCTTCGTCACTACTCTCCGCCTCTGACGGGGCAGTGGTGCTATCAGCAACGCTTTGGCCTGGGGTATTACACCTGGCGACATTCAGAGGCTGGTAAGCCGGCAGCTTTCGATTTGGTAGCGTGGATTGTGGTATTGTATGATCAGTGTGCTCGAAGAGATCAGTCAAGCCAGTCTTGAGACTTCCCAGAAGCGCGGTCTGATCATGCAACATGATCGTGCGCTTATCAGGTGAAACATTGACATCGTATGAATTCGTGTCCATAACAAGGTTAGCGAAGATGAAGGGCGACTGGCTAACATTGAAGGACTTGTAGACTTCGTTGATCGCCTTCGAGACTTGTGGTAGGTGGCACGGCCGCGAGTTGACGAAGAACATCTGACGGTCTGCAGCCTGTCTACCTTCGCCGAACACAGGTCGAGAGATGTGGCCTTGTACCTGCACCTCCATTGACCTGTCTGTCGCCTGTGTAGACCAGTTTCGAGCTCCTTGTATGCTAGGTCCGTGACTCGGCTCCATACCGAGATGGAGATCGAGCTTTGTCAAAGCAAGTAATGTCTTGGCACCATAGACATTGACGATGTTCTCCTTGGTTGTAGTGTTGGGCTTTGTGGAGAAGACAACAATCTTTTTGCCCTTGACCATCTGATTGCTCACCGAGAAGCGTACACCGACGCTGATGCAGGCATATGCTTGAAGGAGACTCAGCACTTTTCCATACTCGCGCTTGATGTTCTTCTCTAGCTCCTTCCGACGAACAGGCAGGTTGTAGAAGATCTCATCTACCGAGACAGTAGTGCCCTTCTGTGCAGACGCCACCGAGGTCGACTTCAGTCTACCGGAAACCTCAAAGTCAAGTCGCTTGCCAGCGGCGCCATCTTCCAGCCGAGCAGTAAGGATATGAAATTTGGACAAAGCACACAGCGATGATAATGCCTCGCCGCGAAAGCCGAAAGTGTCGAGCGAAGTCAGATCTTCATAGCTCGATAGCTTGGAGGTGTGATGCTTCAGCGCGACAGTCTCATAGTCGTCCGGTGCAATGCCCTTGCCATTGTCTTGCACTTCAACACTGTCGAGACCCTGGTTCTTGAACCGTACATCGATTGAAGTAGCTCCGGCATCCAGGCTGTTCTCCACAAGTTCCTTAACGACGGAGTTGAGGTCGACGATGACTTGTCCAGACTGTATCTGATGTACCGATCGGCCTTCGATGGCCTTAATCGTGGCCATGTGATTAAGTTGTTCAGCCCATATTTGTTGTAAGACATTAGGATTGGAGGTGCTCGAGACGCGTAAAGTGGCGGCGTCTCGCGTTTCAAAGTGATTAGTCATCATCACGAAACTCTATCTATGCATACAAGAGCTTATATGCCCGGTGTATCTGAGCAAACGCGTTAGATTCAACATCGACGATGGCAGTCTCACGATCCCTCGCTGCTTCAGCACTCATTCGATCAGCATGTCAGATCTGCCTTGGAAAGACAGCACCACGCCCGGCATCCCAGCGCCTGGCCTGCACACAGCAACGTGGAAATCGAGCTCTCAGACCAGCCTTCACACCAGTACGATGGCACTCAGCACCTCCCCAAGCCACGACCTACGACTTCGGCCAAATGAAAGAGTTCAGCAAGACGCCGTCCGATAAAAGAATACTCATAGGTAACGTCCCCATTCATATACACCACACTTCAGACCCAAGACTAACATCTTCCGCTTCCTTCAAGACGTCCGCGAACCCTCAGAATACGCCGCAGGCTACATACCCGGCGCCCAAAACCTCCCCATAAAATCCCAACCAGACGCCATCTTCCTCCCAGCAGACGAGTTTGAGGATAAGTTCGGGTTCAGCAAGCCGCAAGCAGATCAGGAAGTAGTATTCTACTGCAAGTCTGGTGTAAGAAGTAGTGCGGCTGCCAACTTGGCGAGACAGGTAGGATACAGCAATGTTGCGGAGTATCGAGGGTCGTGGTTGGATTGGGAGAAGAATGGGGGTGAGGCGAGTAAGCCTTGATGTGGGATGCACCATTACATGCACACTGTACAACATTGCATGTACATGAACATTCGAACGATACGACATGACAACACCGTTCAAACTCGGGTAATGCTCATCGTAACCAAACCTTCGCACTTTTTGATCTGCTAGTCTACGTCTATCATGACATTAGGGAATCATCATGATCAAAGCACACAAACAAGCTAAAGTCCCACCAAGAAAACGCCATTCCCATGCGTAACCGCATCACAACTCATAGCACTTCCTGTTATGCCGCGCACAACGTCTAATCGTCCTCATCCGAGAAAACCTCCTCACCACGCTTGCGGCGGGCCATACGATCCTTCTTCTTCTTCCTCAACTCGGCAGAAGTAAGCTTAGCCTTCTTCTTGGTCGACTCGATCTTGTTGCCCATAGCATCGAACTTCTCCTCCTCCTCGTCATCGCCCTTGAGACGAGGACCAGCACCTTGACCCTGCACCCAGTTGTGGCCGGAAGGAGTCATGCGGCCGTCCATGACAGCCCATACCTCCTCTGTCAAATCCTTTGTGAATTCGGCAGAGTGAGTAATGATGATGACACCACCCTCGAAAGCCTTTAGGGCCTTGGAGAGGGCACCGAGGGAGTCACGATCGAGGTAGTTGGTCGGCTCGTCCAGGACGATCAAATGAGGACGCTGCCATGTGCAGGCGGCGAGCACGACCTTGACACGCTGGCCACCAGAAAGACCACGCATGCGGGAGTGGGAGACGATCTCAGCATCGAGGCCGAAGAAGCCACAATGCTGTTCGATCTCTTTACGAACCAAAGGCCTGAACTGACCACTGGCGAGAGCCTCCTTCTGATCGACATCAGCCACCATCTTCTGATGGGACTGAATGAGCTCGGTACGTGGGATCCAGGCGTTGTCGGCCGTCATCATGGGTGTCCACTTCTCATTCTTCATGCCAATGTTGTCACCAAGTGCGAACGAACACTCGTACTCGTAGGAGTTCTTGAACTTTCTTCGCGAGTGCACGCCAATGACACGACGCTGTGAGCCCTCAATTCTGTAGATCTTGTCCATGGCCTTCTCATCCTCGTCAGTGACAATCTTGTTGGCTCGGTCCATGGTCTCACGGTCCTCGCCAGTCTGGAAACGCCATTGGATGTACTCGGACGGTGTGCTGTTGAGATGGTGATCGATATGGGCGAAGGCGTGCTGCTTGATGTAGGCAATACGGATATTCTCGTGCTGGTAGACATCACCCTTGGTTGGGATCAGCTCACCAGTAAGCACGTTGACGAGAGTAGATTTACCAGCACCGTTGGGGCCGATAACGGCAATACGGGAGCCGAGTGAGCACTGGAAGGTGATGTCCTGAATCTGGGGTCGAGGGGTACCCTCGTACTGGAAGGTCATGTTGGTGACGCGGACGATGGCCTTGGCCTTGGTCTTGACACCCTCGAGGAAACCGGGCTCAGGGAATCTGAATTCAAGCTCAGAGGCACCAAGCTCGTAGTAGGACTTGGCAGATGGCACACGCTTAACAAAGTCGCTGAGGGTGCCACGGTACCGCCTGAGCTTGAACCGCTCGATGTGAAGGACGTGCTGGATGACGTGGTCCAAGAATGTGCTGTCGTGGGAGATGATGATGGATGTGCAAGGAGAGGTGGTAAGGTAGTCCTCGAGCCACTTCACGTTCTTCACGTCCAAGTGGTTGGTCGGCTCGTCGAGGAGGAGGATGTCAGGCTTCTGGAACACTGCACGCGCGAGGGCGAGCTTCATCCTCCAGCCACCAGAGAGGGCAGTGATCGGGCCGTTGAGCTGCTCGTCCACGAAGTTGAAGTCCCTAAGCGTCTGACGGACCTCCTCCTCGGAGTCTGGCACATTAGCCTGCTTGAGCTTCATGAGTGTCCAGCCGATGACGTTCATCTCAGTATCAGCAGAGTCCAAATCGTGCTCCACGAAAGCGGTCTTGACCTCGGACTGCTTGGGAAAACCCTCGACCTGCTCGTTGTTGATGGCACGCATGAGTGTGGTCTTACCGGTACCGTTGGCACCGAGAAGACCGTAACGCTGACCACGCTTGAGGCGCAAACTGGTCTGATTGAGAAGAATCTTCGCACCATAGGCCAAGTTGAAGGTGCAATTGCAGAGGTCCACGCCCTCCTCGTCGTCGGCCTCAAGAGCCTCAGCCTCGCCCTCACCAGGAGTAGCACGCTTGCGGAGGGTGTCCACAATGCCAGGTGCGTCAGCCTCGCCAACCATAGCGATGACGAACGGCTGCACGTTGGTTGTCCACGAGATTGGCTCAAACTCCTTCTCGTCAACAAGTTGACCACCAATACCAGCGATGAGCTCAAGTACTGGGTCAAACTTGCTCACCGCCTCCTTGTGCTTGTTGTTCAAGATCTCCACAAGCTTGCCTTTGACAGTGGCAATATCGCCATCTTGAGCGACTTCTGGGATCTTGCCGTTTTGCACGTTACCGACACGAACAAGGGTGTCGAGTGCCTGCTTGGTCTTCTCACGAGCCTCGGGGTCGGCCAAGTTGTCGTGGTTCTCGTTCAGCTGAGGCATGAGCTTGGGCAAGAAAGAAGCCACAATGTTGGGGTCCTCGACAAGCTTGCACATGTTGTCGACAATGACAGCGGCCTTACGCTTGATAGCAGTCTCACGCTCCTTGAGACCGCGCTCGAGAAGAGGGACCATGATGGCGAGGGTTGGCTCGTGCACATCAGTGACGAAGGTGGTGGCACCGAGAAGATGAATGGTCTCCGGCACGTTCTCCGGCTTGGCGATACACTTGATGAGCTCAGGAATGAAGCGCTCGATATCCCTGTTGGAAATGAGCTGGCAGACCTTCTCCATGGTGGAGTAGGCTCGCTTCTTGACCTCGGGCTTGGTATCCCACATGGCCTCGGAGACGATGGGAATGAGGTCGGGCACTCGGTAGGCGGTCTGGGCTGAAGAAGTCTCGCAGAGAGCCTCAATGCACTCAAGGTCGGTCATCTTTTCAGGCCACTTCTGTGCCTCACGGATCGACTTGATGAAGTGGGGCACCAGGCACTTGACGGAGTTGGCGTTGACAGCCTTGACGATGGAGATGGCGGCGTCCTGGGCAGAGACCTTGACGTTGGCCATCTTGTCACCGACCGCAGCCAACACGGTCGGCAGCAGCTGAACGAGGTATGGTTGTACGATGGGCGAAACGTCGGCGTGCTTCGCAATAGCGGCAATAGCCTCGCAGCCATTTTGTCGAGCGTTGGTATCTTTCTTGTTGCCAAGCATTTTCTTGAGGGTTTCCACAGCCTTGGTGGGTGCCTCATGTTCCTCGATGTCGCCGTTGATGAAGATGGCGATCTCTTGCGAAGTGCCCTTCGCATCGTCGCCAGGCTTGCTCACCGACAACTTCTTCATGAGCTCCTCGAGCACCTTTGTCGACTGCTTGTTCTCGCTCTTGATCTGAGCGGCGGACGGCTCCGCAGCGTCTGCTGAAGGCGCCATGATTGTGGATTTGAGGAGGAGAGGAGGGAGTGTGTGTGAGAGGGAGAGGGGGAGAACGAGAGCCTTTTTAAAATGCAACTTTTTTGTGGCGTTGGTGGGGCGAGGATTCACCTTTTTTGCTGAGGGCAATAAGGTTTAGTGCCGGACGATAGTAAATCCGATGCCTCGACCAAATATACCTTACAATATTCGGAACAGCCAGTGAGCAGAACCATCGTCGTTTAGCCGCCAGGGCATCGACTACTGGTGCGTGTCTCATAGATGTATACTGACGGTCACAATGGCACCTTGCACCTACCGATACTCACAGGCAGTCTGTACAAATACGATACGCAGGATTGGTATTATGCCTCCTGAATCCTTCTCAGCCCTTCAGCCCTAGGCTCATATCATAAGACTGCGTGGTACAAGAGGTGCCAGCGAGCGCTCGTACATGATGTCTCTCATCCTGCTATGAAGCAGATCCAAGTCACGGAGATACTTCCCGCTCATTCAGCGACCACTTACCTCTGGGTGAAGTCGGCTTCCGTATATCGATATCTAGGCTGAACGAGGAAACACCGGATCATGTCTGTTACATTCAATCCATACAGCCAGGATGACGAGTTCTGGGCAACATACTTGAAAGGCCGGCCATTAATTCCTGACAGCTTTTTCAACCTGATCTACGACTACCACACCAGTAATGGCGGCTCGTTTGTCACTGTCCACGATGCTGGAGCAGGTGCCGGCGTCCAAAGCACACAGCTCAGCAAGAGGTTCAGACATGTTCTCCTTTCTGACCCACCCGAAGAGAACATGGCAGTAGCGCAACGGAAATTGGCATCTGAACAATTCAGCTTCCGTCTGGCGAAGCTTGAGAATATCAACGACATAGAATTCAAAAGTATCGATATGGTTCATTGCGGCACAATGCTTCACTGGACAGAGATCGACAAAGCCCTGGACGCGGTCGCTCATCAGCTCAAACCTGGTGGTACATTTGCAGCCTACACCTGTGCCGTTCCGACCATGAACGACCCATATATAAATAGTTTGTGGAAGAAAATCATTCATCAAGGACCTGCTGATATGGCGCTCAAACTACCACGAGATCCATCCGGGTGGCAACTCATGCTGCGGGCCGGGGAGACAGTGGGAAGTGCATACGACTCTGTTCCATTGCCAAACAAATATTTCCATCCTGGTGCGCAGCGCATGAGGATGAATTGGCCAAAAGGCTGGGACTGGCATGACTACATGGTTCACGAGGACCTGCGTAACGAATGGAAGTATGTTAGTGCTATCAAAGAGCACGATCTGGTCGTTAGCCAGAGTAGCCCTGGATGGGAGTTGAAGACGAATCTGCAGGGTTTGCATGATACTCTAGCGTCCTTAAAGTTTGATCTTGCGACGCCAGAGATGAAGACACTCGTGCATGAGTTGGAGGAGGCGGTTGAGCAGCGAACGGTGGAAGGCGTGTGGCCTGTGACTTTGCTTTTGGCCACGAGGAAGTAGAGAGTGAACTGCACTGCCGTTTCCTGAAATGTCCCTGCTTACAATGTCCCAAGGCAGGCAGCCTCGAGCAACCCTGATGCCAATCGGAGCATGTGTAGTCTCCCTGATGACAGCATCACAATGAGCACGCAATTTTGGTCATCATAGCATACTGCAAGCTCACAACCATCAACACAATTTCACCAGAACTTTTCTGCTCCCACCACTCTATCCGCCATCTCTACACAACATTGAATGACGCATTGCGAACCTCTCCACGCAGTTATGCCCAGCATCTTGATCAACACGCTAACCGATCTCTATCTCGACACCAGCTCTGCAATCGTCACCGCCTTCCTACGCAACGGCGGCCTATACATGATCAAGAACTACTTGCCCTTCGAACGATTCAACGCTTGTCCCATGTGCCAGCATGTCAGACACGCCGTCACCGTTCCACGACCAGCCCTCTACCCACCCTCCTGCCGCGACCATCTGGCCAATGTCTGCTGGCTCTGTATCTCGATCCTTCACCGTAATAACTTCAGGATGAGGGGTGCTCAACATCTCGGCTGTCCTGCTCGAGGCTGTGGCCAGGTCTGGCCGGAGCACGTTAATGTGTTCTTCCTCGCGCCCCTGGATCGAAAGCTCCATCGAGCGACTGTGCATCCGCCGCATCAGGTCGAGTATGTCCCGCAGCAGAGGGTGGAGGAGCGGAAGACGATGATCAAGCTGAATGCAAAGGTGTGCTCGACGTGCAGGCATGCTTTCGTCCACTTCAGGTCAGAGACATGGTATGAGTGTGGTCCTTGTGGTCGTGGTCACAGCATCGCTGAGTTGGAAACACTGGCGGCGGTCCATAAGCGGTGGCTGATGGCAAGACGGGCTCGATGGGTGGTGCTGGTTGGGATAGAGGATTAGTGGTATGATGTTCAGGCGAGGTGGAAGAAGATCACCGGCCGCCGTGAGCACGTTTGAGGACAATGTGTTCTTTGAACAGTACGACTTGATGACCACCAACATCGTATCTTACAACCTCAAGTAGGCCGGCTGGAGTTGGTAATCGCTCGCACAATGCAGCTGCACTGGATAGGAGTCGTGGTCCTTCGCTTGAAGATAGCAATACAGAAGCTTTTACGTAGATTACATACACGCTTATCGTAACATCATGATCATGAACAACCTAGACGTCAGCATCTAACACCCCTTACAAGAAGACCTTGGGCTCGTCCAGCGCCCTCCATTCTTGATACTGATCCCACACAATAGCCTCATCATCAAGCGCGCCTCCTTGCCTCACAATACCGTTGGCCCTCTGAGCAGTCTCAGCACCAAAATACTCCCTAAAAGCGTCGGCCAACACGTTCTGCTTCAAAGACATATGCGCACCAGGCGTCGTCTTAAACACTAGTCCGCCTTTCTCGTCCAGCTTTCTCAGACCAAGCCAATCCTCCTTGTAAATCCTCCTTTCGCGTAGCGGGATGATCCCATGCCCTTCCTTGCGATCAGGATCCGTGGTGTTGACTTCGGCAAACCAGCCGCTTTCCTTGGGAATGACGGTCTTGTCTTCATCAAAGACATACATGACGAAATTCTCCAGGTCGGCCATCTTAGCCGCGTATCGCTTGTTCTTGTGCTCGCGCTCGTTGTTGATGTCGGCGAGGAAGTTGCTATGGTTCAAGTAGTCGTCCGTAGCATGGAGAGTCGTCGTGTTAAGGGTTCGGTAGTACTGCGCGGGCACTACATGGCTTTGAACGTAGTCTGTCCACGCATTGCCCTTAACCAATGCGGTGGCACCTTTACAAACGAGGTCGAAGTTTCCGCAGGTCTGGAACTCGTTTATGCCGTTGTGTTGACTGCCGAAAGTTATCAAGCTCCTCACACTCAATCCATCGCATCGTTCAAGCAATCCTCGTAGGAATTGTCCTCCTTGGCTGAAGCCCAATGCATCTACTCTTAGACCATCTTGCATCTGCGGTGCGAGTAGACGTGGATCTTGCTTGATGTCTACGCAGACTTGCTCGACTTGTTCCGTGAGGTTCCCAAAGAAGGTCGCTGTTCGATCGCTGTTGCCGTCCTCATCGAGGTGGATGTAGTAGATATAGGTGCCTGGATGCACTTTCTTGGCTAGGATGCCGACGGTCTTCAAACCTTCGGCATCGTATTTGTCGCCTAGACCGTGCCTATGCCTTTCGTCAGAGAGTATAGGGTAAGCTAGGCACTACGAGGTGAGGGCATACCAGATGAGCAATGGTAGTGGTTTGGACGGTACATTTGCAGGTAATGCGGTAACAAGTGCAAGCAGGCTCAGGATGGCAGGCAGCTCAAGCAGACGCATCGTGACGATATCTTGCTATCACGAACCCGCAGCACAGAAGAACAATCAGTAGCGGTAATCGGAGCATTCGTTAACCATCAAGTGAACGGTGATGCCTTGGAGCAAAGCTTGAGCCACCGGAAGGTCAAGGCTCGCAGAGCTAGCGCGATCATCTCGCGTTCGACCTGACGTTCAGTCCTTCTCAACACCAAAGACATCTTCTTGACTATATAGGACACTTAATTGACTGGTCGATATGTCCACAGTCCCACTATGATGCATAGGCTCGTCAAATGGGTCTGTCGACGAGTATGCCAAGTGGCGAGAGGCTTACGAGCTTGATGGGCTCGCGAGCTACTAACATGGGTAGCATAGTTGCTACTGCGTGCACTGTCCATTCACTTGGCACAGTCGGTGCAAGCGAGTCCCATAGGTAAGATGGTGGCAGACGTTCTCAGAGCTAAGTGTCTCCTTTTGCCGTTACAATGGCGGATACACCTCACCACATGGCTACTTCGGTGAAAGAGTCATGTCTGAAAGCTCCACGATACGCGTACAGTCCATTGGAAGGCGACCACGACTCGCGTCTACTGTACCTCGAATCCGTTGATGGAGATGGAGAGGTTCGCTGCTCGCTCAGACCAGTCGTCATCCAACAGGCCGCCGCGACACATGGTTTCTACGCATTATCATACTGCTGGGCCACGGATGCTGCCAGGCAGACAATTCAGGTCAACGGCTTGACGGTCCCAGTGCGAAGGAATCTACTAAATGCTCTACTTGCCATATCCGACACTTGCGAGCCGGGCGAGAATGGGAAAGGCCTTTGGGTCGATGCTCTCTGCATCGATCAGAACGACAATGCCGACAAATCTAGGCAAGTTCGGCGGATGGGCGACATCTATCGTGAGGCGACTGGTTTGGTGATCTGGCTAGGCGAAGCAGATGGCCAAGATGAGTCTGACCATGAATCTCACACAGTACCGACCGGGTCAAAGCGGCATGTTTCTCCTCGACAGCATGCGTAGTCGGCTGGCCACTGACCCACGAGACTACATTTATGGTTTACTGAGTCTTGTGCCGAGCACTGTACGGGCAGAGATACACGTGGACTATGATCTCTCAGCTACCACGCTGTACTCCACAAGCCTGACACGATTATGCACTTCCTCGCCCGACCTGACGATGCTGCTACGCTGGTGGGCCGAGCCCTGGACCTGGCTGCACTATGCCGATGCAAACGACGACACCCGTTCAAGCTGGTGTCCAGACTTCTCCTGCCGTGCCTACGCCTCGATCGGAAACCCGCTTCTCGGCCTCACCTGCCTATCTCCAGAAACCATGTCCCGACTCGCCTCACAAAGACCTCCACATTCCTTCTCCAACGACGGTCGTGTACTGCATCTCGGCGGCATCTACCTCGACACAATATTAGAAGCCACAACAATCGCCTCCATTCCATCTGTCCCAGATCTAGACGTCACCGCTTCCCTGCACGTACAGATCCAACAGATGCTTCCAGACGCCGAGATGCTAGCCTGGCTCTCCTCCTTCCTCCGAGTCTGGCATCACGCCCTCATGACCTTGACCGCAGAAGATCCGCGGTGGAAAATGTGGGAATCTCAATTCTTCTTGCCCTGGAATCCCACGTCAGACGACGAAGGCGACAAGACACCAGTCCCCACAGCCCTCCAAGAACTAATCTACTTCGAGCTCCGACTCATGATGGCTGGAACACAAATGCGTGATCTTCTAGAGCCGGTATCAATGGAATGGTTGTACATTTTGGGCAATGTGCACAAAGTGGCCAATGTCTGCAAATGGCGGTACTTCTTCTATATGGAAGGTGGGAATATTGGGGTGACGCCTGTGCCTGTGGGTGAAGGTAATCATGTTTACGGTTTTGGTGGTGAGTTCTTGGAGGTTGTGTCGGCGGATCGCCAACGGCTTGTTAGTCCGGCTTCGGTGGAGGGATTGATGGGAGATGTGCTGATAGACAAGGAGGATCAGTGGGAGATATCATCATTGTCTTGATCATCGCGACTGCAAAACTCGAGCATTTGTCACACATCATACGACATGCAAATAGTGGATGGTGGTTGAGCACTTGTGGCAGGTACATGCAGCTCATGAATGATATCAGTTATTCACCGATCACAACTACCGGAACTCCCATGGCACTTGTCCGGCACGCGCAGAAGACCTCGTAATCCATAGTCACGACACCATGCCCACAATCGCATACCACCATGTCCACCACTCCGATGGCCTCGTAATCTCCTCGCACGCCACTACTTCAGCTTCTTCTTCGGGCGCAGCTGGTTGGTGTGCCCACACTTCTTCTTCCTGCAGTTGGTCGCGCGCGGAGGCAGACGGGCGTAGCATTTACGGCAGATCATCTTGTCGCAGTTGTACTTGGAGGCGAGGGCCTTGAGCGAGGGCTCGATGATGCCGCCGCGGAGGCGGAGGACGAGGTGGAGTGTGCTTTCCTGGAAACATCATATCATGTTAGCACACCATTCTCCCGAACCTTGTGCAGCCTGTGGGTTCTATATTCCACGCGCATGTCCATGGTTGAGAGGTCTGTATGTCTGTTCGCACGCACCTTCTGAATGTTGTAATCGCTCAACGTCCTGCCATCTTCAAGCTGCTTGCCGGCGAAGATCAAACGCTGCTGATCTGGCGGAATGCCCTCCTTGTCCTGGATCTTGCTCTTCACATTGTCGATGGTGTCGCTGGACTCGACCTCGAGGGTGATGGTCTTGCCCGTGAGTGTTTTGACGAAGCTGTGAGAGTATTACTGTCAGTATCTCTGGTGTTGTTGTTCGAGTATTCTTTCGGGGAGTTCAGAAGGTAGGCATACATTTGCACTGTTACATTTGTCAGTATTGCTGTAACTGTATAGCGTTCTTTGATCCACTCACTCGTTGCGGTGTTGACTTCGCTGTTCTCGTGCTCAATCCACGAAGTCGACGTCGCGACGATGAAATGTGAAGGTGCGGGACCGCCGCCAAGACTTCGGAGGAAGAAATCGTGATGCCTTAGGTTGTGGAAGTGCTACGCCACGATGATGTGGCTTAGCCAACTTTCCCCGCAAGAGTGGCGGATAAGGACTCGATAAGTGAAGCAGGGCGTAGACGATCGTCGTAAGCAGGTCACCTGCTATGTGGCAGCCTAGTACACTTCTTACTTCTTGAATGTCGAGATCAAGACTCTGCGTGGTGTAGGTCTTTCATAGAAGCACTCGACCTTGAGGGTCGCCTCTTTGAACTCCGTTCTCCACCTACTCACTTCTCGACAAGATGCCTGCCGCAGTCGTCAAAGGTACGGTTCGCCTCCTTGCTGCATAGCCGACACTGTTGTCTCACATGTTGATGTGATAACGGGACTCGGCTGTCATCATGTGATGTTTGGCTAACAACAATGGCAATCGCAGGCATCATCATCTCCATCTCCATCATCACCGCCCTTGGTATTGCGGTCCTCGAGAACCCACAGTTGCAGGCATGGCTTGAAGAACAACGGCAGAAGATCGTCGTGCTTCTACGATCGCTTGGCGAGGAGCTGGACCCGGAAAGTAGACGACAGGCTGAGGCTTTCGCATACGAAGGTCGGACACCTGCTACAGACGATGGGCTACGAAGAGAGGCGTCAGGCAGTCGAGATGCTGCGGCCTTAGCGACTGGCAGGAGATTATCTGGAGCCTCGAATACAGTCCGCAGAATATCTGTGCGTGGACCTAACGAGGATGAAGCGGAGGAGCGAAGACGAAAGGGCAGAGAGTATCTTGCTCGTCGTAATCGACAGATGATAGAGATGCAGGAGCGCCGGAAGATTGTGTATAATGATGGCCTTGTGACACCTTCGAGTCCGACATCATTCGATCAGATGGTCAATGAAGAAGGCAGTCTACGAGGAAACACGACCGCCTCAGGTACGGAGACGCCACTGGAGATTCTTTCACCACGACCGTTTCCATCAGTACCCGCGAGCGTGCAGGGCCAGATGGAGCAAGCTGAACGACAACTCGATCAGGCGATAATGGAAGAAGCTACACCTACTACCTCGCGAGCTTTCCTGGCAGGCGCTCTATTCGCCAACCCGTTCAGTGACGAGTTCGAGCTTGATCGTAGCGAAACACCACGCCCGCGTGTGCCCCCCAAGATCGCCATTGAGGAGGACGCTGAGATGACTGACGCACTTGCTATACCTGGTAGCTTCAATACACCGATCGAAGTCTCATCACATGCACCGGAAGAAGGCAATGAAGAGCTTACTTATGAGGAGCAGCTCGCAATCGCGTTGTCTCTGTCGGAAGCCGAAAGCTCGAACTCGGCTACTGTTCGTCAAGGACGAGCTGCTGGAGAGCACGATGACGAGCTCCAAGCTGCTATCGAGGCTAGTCTACGAGAGATGGACAGTAATCAAGCTGCTCATGCCATCTCGACAGAACAGCCGCTTACACCACGACCACGCGCAGTGCAGCCGCAACCTCTAGTTGATCTGACGCCGCCCAGCCCACGTGCTGCACCCGTACAACCAGAGGTTCGCCGCGATTGGGAAGCCCTATTCGATCCTGCATGTGCACCATCTGAGGTCGCAGTGGCGTTCAATGAGTCTGCGCCGTCTGAGGCCAGCGATGAGCTATATCGTGTCACACCCGAGCTAACACGAGCACGTCTCGCCTCCTTCGATGCTCAACAGAGAGAACAAGCACCAAATTCAGACATCACCGACGCACGCTACGATCCCGTCCGCGAGGCCGCTGGCTCGCATACCCTGTCACCGGAGCCACGACCAACCATGGAATCCAGCTTCTACTCCGCACCTTCTTCCATCTCGCATGTGCCCAGCAGCAGCAATACTCTGGACCGCGAACCCGAAGTCATCGAAGCCGAGGCTATCCCAACAGGAGCCCACACACCTACCACACACACCCTCCGCTCCGACTCGGACTCGGATACTTTCGCCTCTCTATCCCGACCAGAGTCGAGAGCGCCGTCGCATGCTCCAAGCGAAGTCTCGAGTATCGAAATCGTTGATCTCGAAGAGGACAGTGATGTCGATATGCTCTCTGAAGAAGGCAATGGTGTCTCGACGCCCGATAGCTGGACAGAAGTCGGTTCGCGCGATGGCGAGAGCGAAGCCGGTGATTTGGAGCAGTCCCAAAGAGCGCGAGTAAGCTTGTAGGCTTCGTCGAGGACTGGGGAAGAGACGAGATACCTATAGCATCCTCCTTTTGGCTAAAGTTTGATATATCCTTTTTGTATGAATAGATTTGGGGTTCATCGTGTCCGCTCTCGAAATTCTGCTAGTCGCTCGTTGACATCGGACCCATTCCATCGTTCTTGTTCGTTCGTGCCCGCGTTGTGTGGTGTTGTTAGCACAGGCATACCGACTTGCTCAATACAGTAACTAGCAGCTACACTTCCCATACGTGCCGCCTCGAGGACATCACCCTCCGTCCGTACGAGCCCGATAGCTAGTCCACCCAGAAAACCATTACCGCCGCCTGTGGGATCGATGACTTGGGATGAGGATTGGTGGTAGGCGGGTAGCCACTGCTCGGCTTGCTTGGACAGGATGAAACAGCCTTCCTTTCCCGCTCGAATCACGACTGCGCCTTTGCCTTCGGGCCCGATGCGGTAAGCGAGGAGATATTCGGCGTGTTCCTGGACTGCGGCTTTGTCCACGCCGGTAGTGGGATGCTTGTACCCGAATAGAGCGGCTAGTTCTTCGTGGTTGGGACTTATGACGTCCACGTACTCTAGCGCTTCGAGCGTGTTGTTGAATTCCTCGGGCGTGCAGAGGTCGGGTACTGGTTCCCAGATCACCAAGGGTCTTGCTTCGTCCTCGCCGAACGTCACGTGTCGTCTGGCGAGTATTTGCTTGATCATCGTCATACACCGTGAAGGACTACAGATCAAATGAAAACTCTTCGACTTCAACAGTGCGGGCGTCAGATCTTCCGCTTCAAGTCTCTTCTTCTCGGTCAGGTACTTGAAAGCTCTGTGCTCGTTCTCGCCATAGCCGTTCCAGCCTCGAGTTGTTAGTCCGTCTCGTGGTCGGATCAAAGCGCTGGTTTGCCAGGAGGAGATTGTGCTGCGGACGTCCGAGGGGAAGTCGGTACCGGCGTCTATAATCCAGCCTACGGTCTTTGAAGAGGTCGGGGGTGGTGAGAAGAGCCTGGCGCCGATGGCTGAGTAGGTGCCGGCACCGCCTATAATGTCCTTCTGGGGCGTCTGGTCCTGTGCTGAGGGGGGCGGGTAGATGTCGTCTGGGAAATCGTTAAGACTTGTCCCTTCATGGCTATCCTGCAAGGCCTGTCTGTCCCTCCGTCACAAAGAGCAGCCGAGTCTTGGGTAACTCCCAGGAACTCGTGATCGGCGCGATGCTCCACTCACCAATGATGAACATGCCCAAAGTCACAAAATCGACCTGCTCCATTCCGTGACATTCGTCAGCCGACATGACACCTCGTTACTGATAGAAACCGAGAGCTGCTGCCGCGAACGCTAAGATATTAAGGACAGGGTGTAGATGTGGAAGGACGGGATGAGAAGTTTTCGTTCTAGTATCGGAGGCCGAGCGACGAAAGCGTGACTGCTACATATCATCTAGCATCAAACCAAAATCGCCATGGCCACGCGATTCTAGACTAGTCTCATGCATTCACTCGGTCTCCAAGGACCCTGGCAAGAGGAGGAGATCAAATCGCAGCCAGCAATGACCGATTGCTCCTACTCATATCTCATGACTCGCAGGTGTCGATGAGGCCTTCGGGAAGCTTCTGGAAGCAATTCAGCATTCCATTTCGTAGAGCCTCTGTGTCATCGCACAGTATCTAGGTGACTGGAGCCTTGCAGACCCTGTTCATGTTGCCATCTGCTCCCAACTTACATTATTGGCCTCTGCACTCGCTGCCCTTCCTCTGTGTGCGGGACCATCAGTGGCGCCTCCTAGTACTGCGCCACACTTTCGCGTATCGCGTGTGGCATCGACGTCATCGTACAGGTTAGACGGTCGGAGAGCATCGCACAAGCACATGAACACGAAGACTTACGCAGTCGAATTGCAACAAGGTCTATGACTTGTATCGCCAGCTTGGTCGACAGAGCGAGAGTTCGGGGTTCACTGCTGTGACTTCCTCACAAGCTTACACCACTGCGTCGGCAGTAGTGCATGACAAAGAGCAGTTGCGTCGGCCTCAATCACCAACTGTGACACTCAAGCTCGATATCGCTTGCAGGACAGGCAGCAAACACTTCACCACCACCATCACTTTGACACACCACCAAATACTTACGCTCACTTCGGCCAATCACCTAACCGCACATTCTCATCAACCACCGTCCCGCCATGGACCATTCCAACCAGCAGCCGCAGCAGCGGGACATGGTATTTTGTCATCAGTGTGAGAACGAATGGTACAGGGATGAGCATGGGTTGACCTGTCCCGAGTGCCAGTCCGACTTCACCGAGATCATTGAGACAAACCACGATCCGCGAGAAGACAACAATCGTATACCTGCGGAGCCGCCAGGCACCGTAGTGCCACAGCGACAGCAGCATGGCGATTTCTATGGTGCTCCTGACCCCGACGAGGTTGATCTTGACAACATCGAGTGGAGGCAGACTGGGCCCGGAACATATCGCGGATCCATCAATAGAACCATCACTATCGACCCCAGGCAGCTTGGTCAGCAGCAGCAGGGACAAGGTGGATTGTTAGGTGGTATCATGGGTGCATTGGGAAACGTATTGGGTGGAGTGGTGACGCAGGGTCAACAGAACCAGAACCAGAACCAACCAGGCCAATATCCCGGCCAGCAGCCAGGCCAACCACAGCAATACCGTCAACTATTTCAGCAGCAGCCCCAACCTGGTCAGCCTTTCGACCAACGGCCTCAATCAGCGAATGGCGGCCAAGGAAATCGCTCCGCATCAGTACCACCAGGTCCTCAAGGTGGGGCCTCAGTACGACACTGGCACGGTCCAAACTTCCACATGACGATGATGACATCGTCGAACGGCAATATGGGCGCAGGCAATCTGTTCCCACGAAACGCAAATGCACCACAACCGTTCCAGCAACAACCTGATCAGATGGAGCAAATGTTGGCACAGATGTTCATGAATGTTGGCGGTCCAGCGGGCATGCGTATGGCGGGCCCAGGGCAGGCGGCAGGACCCGGCATGTTTCCTGGAGCTGGGCAGCCTGACGTGGGTGGCATGGGAGGTATGGGTATGCTCGGCAACTTGATGCAGATGCTCGGCATGCCCGGTCATGCTGGCCAGATGGGCGACTTCGTCCTCGACCAAGCGACCATGGACCGTGTTATGACGCAGTTCATGGAGCAACATCAGTCTGGCAATGCACCTGGCCCGGCACCAGAAGCTGCGATCAACTCACTACCTACGCGTACGATCGTCGAGAAGGACTTTAGTGAGAATGGGAAAGCTGAGTGCACCATCTGCATGGACGAGGTAGCTCTGGGCGCGACTGTCACTGAGCTGCCTTGCCATCACTGGTTCCATTTCGAATGTATCAAGGCTTGGCTATCCGAACACGATACATGCCCTCACTGCCGACAGGGCATCATGCCGAAAGATGAAGCAGCCACGAACCAAGCTCGCCAACCGAACCAAGCTCCCCGCCACGACACGCACGCACCAGAATACCGCGGTCCTGCAGAGATGCCTGGCTCTTTCCCGCCTCAGTTTACACGACAGGGATCCGGAAGCCAACAGAACCCATATGCCGTCCCCGAGAGCCCGACAATGCATCGTAGATCGAGCAGTACGCCTGGTAGACCAGGGAGTAGTAGGCAAGGAAGCGCCGGTGACAGTGGCAGGCTGTTCCAGGGCATGAGGAATGCCTTTGGCGGTGGCGGCGGTGGCGCCGGCAATAATGGTAATGCTGGAGGCCCGAGCGGCTACAGTTGAAGTGGCGTACCATGAGATGGTATGACATGGAGATTTGCTTGACATGTTGTGCTTACATGCCCCTGTACGAGTAGACGATGCATTCCACCATATTCTGGCCGAACCGAGCGACCGGACTCGGCAATATCAGCATTTCACCTGGCCACGAAGCCGTCCGCACGAGATACGTGTAGTTGCCGGCCCTTCTCGTCGTGCTACACACAGGCCGAGCACTCTCAACAGACCCTTTGAACTCTCACCACCATCGAGATCACCGTCACCGTCTCCAACTCGTCTAGGAACCCGAACATCAAACCTCCTCGGTCACAATCATCGTCAACTACACCACCGTATTCGTCACCCACGCCAAGCCCACCGCTCTCGATGTCCGTCCCGCGTACCAAACGAGAACGAAGCCGTGAACGGCAGTGCAGACGAAGAAGACGAAACCCCCAATTCTCGCCGCCGCGACTAGCTCTCGCGCCGCCTCCTATTGGTCCACGCCCGCATCCTCAATCTGCACGAACGCCTCACTATCCGACATCTCCTCTTCCTAGACACCTTCCTGCTCGCACATTACCAGCTGGAAATGAGTTTAATCCAGGGGTTACAACCGCAGCGCATGAGAGTCGGTTATCTCGTCTACGATCGCGTCCTGAGGTGCATGATTTTTGCCGTAAGGAACGAAATGTTTAGTGCGGAGGGTAGGACGATGTTGTATCGGGCTGCGTTGGCGGCTGCTTCGACGCAGTGGGTTTTGAGACGGAGGGAGGTGCCGGGGCGGAGGGGGGTAGCATCGGCTGGAAGGGACAGCGGTGAGGCTGAGGTGGCTATTGCTTTGGGCGCTTTGACGGAGGAAGGAGATGTTCTCGTGACACTTGAGGACGAACGTGAAGCAGCAGCAGCAGTTGCGTCCAACGCAGACTAAGGCCAAGCAGTCGTCAGAAGATGGTATCAACAACCATCGAGCGAAAGTGTTGGCTTCACCTATCTATCCTATCCTAAGGCAGGCAAAAATCCATAGCCTACAAGATCTTCCCACATTTGTTTTCCAAACTATTCATACAACAACTTCCCTGTGATCGTTCCCGACGCCCACATAACCCCCTCACACGCAAATCCACCAATGCAACTCATATCAACCTCAACCAGCATGTTCAACAATTTCACTGACCAACCTCCCATCCCTAACAACCGTCCTCATCTGCTCCGGCAACGCCACTTCTTTCCCATCATCCTCCTCCCGCTGAGGTGGCAAAACAACATTAATACTCGAGCATTTACTCGTGAAAATCTCCGTCCGCAGGCTCTCCTGCCCTAGATACACACTCGCGCCATCCACCTGATCGAGCAGGATCGTGGGTAAGGAACCGGTGACTTGGATAGCGAAGTTCGGGGATTTGATGACGTCGACGCTGGAGACGAGGGTTTCGAGGAGGATTTGGAGGCGCGGGGAGTTGTCGATCGAGATGGCGTTTGCTTTCCCCCGGAGGATGATGGTGGTGTTTTTGCAGCGGGAGATGAGGATGGATTGGCTGATTTCCACTTCTAGGGTTATTGGTTGGTTGGGGGAGTCGAAGTTCTCGATGATCCATTTGCTGCCGTCTAATTCTTTTTTCTCAGGTACTTTCTTTGCGGGTGCGGCGGAGGTGGTGGTCGAGGTGGAGGTCGTGGAGTTTTGGCGCATACTCTGCGGTTTAGGCTTGATGCCTGGACCGGGACTCTTAGACCTGGAATCCGAGGCGACGACGCCTTCGGCACGTAGAGACGGGTTCTTGTGCGTCATTTGGGAATTGTCTACTTTCTTCAGGCCGGAGGTTACGCTTTCGCCGCGGTTGAGCTGTTCGAAGATGGCGCCCATGTCGCCTCCTGGAGGTACGGCTTTGGGAGCGGCTCCGGGTGGTGGCGGAGGTACTCCGGGCACGTTGTCGAAGTTTGGAAGAGGTGGTGGTGGGGGTGGAGGTGCGCCGCCAGATGTTGGTGGCGCGCCGTTGGTGGTCGCTTTGGAGGCATCGAGGTCACGGTAAGTTTGTATGGCGTCTGGACCATTATTGTTCCAGGTTAAGCCTCGTGGGTAGTGTTCTTTGACGTAGGCCTGGAGGGCTTTGAGGAGGGCGTAGTAGGATTGGACGAACTTGACGTGTGCTGGGTCTCTGTTACAACATGTTAGCCTACGTGACCATCTTCACGTCCGCTACTCGGTACCCACTTCTCCTTGTACTCCTTCAGCACTCTGTTGCCATACATCTGTGCTCCACCAAGAGTTTCACCAACAAAGTCTGCCGGTTTGCTATCCATAAGCAGCCACTGTAGGGCTGCCACACCCTCGCCCACCATGGCCAGATGCTCCTTCAATGGGCTCGCTCGATGACTGTCCCGAATGTCTCCCACCTTGCCCAAGTGTTGCTGTAGGTCGTTGAGAAGGACATTGAACGTCTCTGGCGACTGCATATCCGGCTTCTTGGCTTTCGTTGAGACGAGAAGGAAGCGTCGTTGATCGGCAAAGGCTTGTGCTACGAAGGATGCCTGTTCCTCCACCAGAGGATTAACGCCTCGACTCGCTTCCACAAAGCTCTTCCCTTGCGTGTCTATAATCTCATCCATCGCTGTGATCACGGTAGGCAAGTCTTCAGCTGGTGCTGCTACAGCTACTGGGGCGACCCCTTTACTGCCTGTTTGCGGTTCCGCCGCACTACCCGCATGGCTCTGAGGTGTTATGCCACCCACGGCGACTGCAGAAGCAGCCCCATTGCCTTTCGCAGAGTTCTGATCGTTGCCCTCATAGCTCGCGGCCGACGAGGCAATATCTTCTAATCGAGAGGTTGCTGCTTCAAGTCTGCGAATAAGCGTCGTAAGCGGATTGTCTGATGTATTGATGGAGACGGGCTTATGAGTGCTGTAACGACTTGCAGGGCTGGCCATAATGTAGGCTATTGATGGTGGTGTGATTTGATTAAGAAAGAGAGGAACAATACCTTTTGATCAACGTCGTCAAGTTGTTCATGCCTTGAGGAGCCGCCATCGTGACCAACGACGACGAAACGGCCAGCCAATCTTCTCCGCTCGCTGCTGCAAGGTTTCCTGCGGCTTGCCGATCTCCTTACAAACACGACGTCGCTTTTGCGTAACCTTCGAGATCGACACTGGGAGAGTGAGAGAAGATATTAAATAGCTGAAATGGTCTAGGTAGAGATATTATTGTTAGGCACAGCTATAACCAGCTCCCGTCGCTGCCTCTAGCCAATGCATCCTTTGGCACGCTATTCACGCCACCCGGCCTTCCGTCCCGTTGCAAGCACTCTTTCCACGTGGACATCCACCATGGTCTTTCGTTGACATCAATCTCGCCACCGAGACTTGTAGTGAAAGTCTCTCTACGAATTGGGCTTCGCATGCATACGTTATACGCGAACGGCGTGGCCCTGATGGCCGCACCACACATGGTGAATTTCAAGGTCGAGTCAAGTGCGTACCATTTCTGCTATTCGCCGTGACCTGCAGCTGAGGCACAATACCCTCGTGATTGCGCCACCATGGAGTGGCAGCATTACTATAGAATCGCCGTCCTTTCGACCTCCTGGTAAGCATACACCCCTTCATCTACGACCATGCGGCTACTCAACACCACGACCCTTGAGTTTAAGGAGTATCTCTCGGAACCACCACGTTGTGCCATCCTCAGCCACCGCTGGGAGGGAGAGGAAGTCTCATTCGAGGAATACTCTCTAATCTTGGAATGTCACTCGGAACCAAAGGAAGACATGCCAACATACCTCCGCAATCGTGCCAAACGATCTGAGCTGACAGCGGGCTACCGAAAGATTCTGAACTTCTGCTCTTGTGCCAGGACCAATGGTCTAGATTGGGCTTGGGTAGACACCTGTTGTATCGATAAGAAGAGCAGTGCTGAACTGTCGGAGGCCATCAACTCAATGTTGACTTGGTATGAGCATGCCCAAGAGTGTTATGTATTCTTGAGCGACGTGTCGGCCCCGGAAAGAGCAGGTGAACTGCCTGATCTCTCACGCAGTCAATGGTTCCGCAGAGGTTGGACATTGCAAGAACTCCTTGCTCCGAATCGCCTGGTCATCTATGCCGAGCATTGGGACAAGATCGGTACGTTGAGCAAATGCCCAGACGTGCCATGACAGCCTATAATGAGCTCTACGGAACTTGTCAAAGACCTTGCACGCACCACGATTATACTACGTAAGGTCCTGGTTTGCTCGGGAGGCCACAAATCCGCAAGTGTCGCGCAACGCATGAGCTGGGCGGCAGGCCGGGCTACGTCACGAGTCGAAGACATTTCTTACTGCCTGCTTGGTCTATTTGGTATCAACATGCCGCTGTTGTACGGCGAAGGCACTGATGCTTTCCAGAGACTACAGCGAGAGATTATCACGCGATATCAAGATTTCAGCATTCTTACTTGGACGATGCCATGCTGGTTGGGACATACAGACTCCCATCGGCTAACATTCGACTGCGTATCACTCGATGCGCTGGCACGTAGCCCCAACTCCTTCGAGGACTGCGGTAATATGAGGACCCTGGCCTTCACCGAACTTTCGCCGTCGGACGTACCCATCCAAATCGCGAATCGAAGGCTAGAATTCTACGGTCTGGCCAACGCTGTGGCAATAGATAACTCGCACACGATAGAGTTTCGTCGCCGACACCTCTTTTTCGTATTGCTGCGGTCTGCACACTCCAAACCTCCCATGGCACATGTCTCTGAACAGCCCGTGATCATATTGCTGGGCGAGACGTTCTCATGGCCCAACGAGCTGGGCCCGACGAGACGGTCACGGTCCTTCGACGCATACTCACTTGTCACCGACTCGAGGGTCACATTAACATCACTCGACTTCGGCGGTTATTGGTAGCCAAGTCTGAGCCCTCAATGCTGCAGCAATTCGATTTCGATGACTGGTCGGTTGTCAATCGTGATTGGGCGACGACGCGATTTATCTTTCCCGTCTAGAAGCAGGATGATGTGCACACGACCATTACATTGAGACTAAGGCCCCGTTGCAATGCTTGCGAGAGGCATTTCTTAATGATTCTCCGAGTCATTTATCGTTGACACGTGACTTCGGAGCAGCAATTCATCCGAGCCTGAATCGGACAGACTTCATGGAAGTTCCAGTCCGGAAGGGCTTGTGTCATCCGGTTAGACAATCACACGGTCGAACTTGACATCTATTCTATTCGATCTCGGTATGGCTACGGACCTTGTTGCCAATGGACACATGACGTAGTAGACTTTGTCTGGCTGGCACGCGGTTGATGTTATACTCTTCGATGTCTCCTTTAGAACCGACTCCAACTCACCATCTCCAGCTCTCTACTTGCCAGTCATGGCACAGACTAGGATAGCAATCATTGGCGTCACTGGTCACCTAGGCAGTCTGATAGCAAAGCACATCCTCAACCGCTCCTCAACCTCAATCGTCCATGGCATCTGCCGCACACCCTCCAAGCTCTCCACCACTTTGACCTCAAACCCACGCTTCAAAACCCATCAAACAGACCTCACCCCCAGCCCCAAACTCCCCGAAGCCCTCCAAGGCGCCAACATCGCCATCTTCGCCACTTTGGCCGACAACGACACCATGGTACAAGGCCAGAAGACCCTCATAGACCTCTGCATCGAGCTCGGTGTTCCGCGCTTCATGACCGGAGACTGGTCAATGGACTACCGCAAACTAGCCTACGGCGATCATCCGGCCAAAGATCCAATGAAAGAAGTCGCTGCTTACGCCCAAGCGAAGGAGAAAGAAAGCAACGGGGCTTTCAAGCACGTCTCCGTCCTCAATGCCTGCTTTATGGAAGTGCCATGGCGCGGCATCTATAATCCTGGAGACAAGTCGCTGCAGTACTGGGGCTCTGGGATTGAGAAGTGGGAACTCACGACTCACGACGACGCTGCTCAATTTAGCGCGGCGATCGCTCTCGATACTGGAACCTCTGGCTATCATGCCGTGCGAGGCGACAAAGTGAATATCCACGACATGGCGTCCGCTTTCGAGACGGCTTTCGGTTTCAAGCCTGAACTAAAGTGCAATGGGTCGTTGAATGAGATGTTCAAGACTATGCACGCGATCAAGGACTCCTCGCCACAAAATCCCTGGTCGTGGATCCCGATGTTCTATGCTTACTACAGTGTCAATGGACAGACTACTTTGGAGGAGCCGTTGAGTAATGAACTGTATCCTGATGTCAAGACCACGAGTTTAGTGGAGTATTTGAGGGCTGTTGGTACTCCGGAAAAGCTGGGTATGGCTTACGATGAGGCTGTGGCGGAGCAAGGGTGACAAGCTGCAGATGGATCGGAGAGATCTTGCCGAGACATGCCGGACTGCTTGTACCGATGTATGGAATTCTAGCTGTTGTGATTCAGCTACCCATCTAGCTGGCACGACAAGTAACACTTGTCCATCTTCGTAATATCATGTCATGGCCATCTCCTTCTGAGACTGAGTGCTCTAAGCACCGTTCTGCTGTGGTGGCAGAGGCTCAATATTCCCTGGTAAGAATGTCAGAAACTTGGCCACATCAACTAACATCAGACTTGGTAGACTTACAGATCATCTCCGCATACTCATCAATACACCTATCCGAGCTGAAGAAGCCCATCCTCGCCACCGACGTAATAGTCTTAGTCAACCACGTCTCCTGATCCTTGTACGTCTCATCAATCAACTTCTGCGTATCGATGTACGACTTGAAGTCGTCAGAGACAAGGTAGTAATCGCCGTGGTCCACAATCGAGTCAACAAGGGCAGAGAATTGGTGAGCGTCGCCGAAAGTGCCGGAGCGAATGGAGTCGAAAACCTTCTTGAGCATGGGCTCGAGCTCGTACTCGCCGTAGAAGTGTTGGTGGCGGAGGTCTTCGACGTCTTCGGAGAGGTTGCCGAAGAGGAAGATGTTGTCTTCGCCTACTTCGCGGGTGATCTAGGGTTTCGAGTGTCAGCTTCGGATCGTTGTAGGAGTTCAGATAACGCAGACTCACCTCGATGTTGGCGCCATCGCAAGTGCCGATCAAAAGGCCACCATTGAGCACGAACTTCATATTGCTCGTCCCAGACGCCTCTGTTCCAGCCGTGGAGATGTGCTCGCTGATATCGCTAGCGGGCACAATCATCTCGGCCTTGGAGACGTTGTAGTCTTCTAAGAACACAACCTTGAGCAGGTCCCCGATGTCCTTGTCATTATTCACGACCTTTCCAACCTGGTTCACAAGATGAATTACCATCTTCGCCATCCAGTAGCCGGGTGCAGCTTTTCCACCGAAGAATGACACACGTGGTTGGACCTTGGCGCGGTCGGCCGGTGACATTGCCTTGAGCTCCAGGTACCTGTAGATCACGCCGAAGATGTTGAGTTGCTGGCGCTTGTACTCATGCATACGCTTCACTTGAATATCGAAAAGACTGCTCGGGTTGACGGAGATGCCATGCACCTCCTTCGTGTATTTAGCGAGGCGGACTTTGTTAGCATACTTGATCTCCTGGAATTCCTTCCTGAACTCCTTATCATCGACGAACGCCTCAAGCTTATGAAGGAGGTTCAGATCCTTCAGGAAGTCGTATCCGCCAAGCTTGGTAGCAATGAGCTCGGAAAGACGAGGGTTGGCCTGGTGCAGCCAGCGACGAGGAGTGATGCCGTTGGTGACATTTGTGAATTTGTCCGGACCGTAAATCTTGACAAAGTCCTTGAAGATGGTCGTCTTGATCAGATCGGAGTGCAGCTCAGCGACACCGTTGACCTTGTGGCTGCCAATCACGGCGAGATATGCCATGCGGACCATCTTTGGCTGTGATTCCTCGATGATGGAGACACGGCCGAGGATGTCTCGTTCTTTTGGGAAGTTACGCTCGACGTACTGCAAGAATTGCAAGTTGATGTCGTAGATGATCTGGAGGTGGCGAGGCAGGAGGTGCTGAATGAGTGGTACAGACCACTTCTCGAGCGCTTCAGGAAGGACGGTGTGGTTGGTATAGCCGAAGGTCGCCTGGACGATGCTCCACGCCTCATCCCACTCAAGAGACTCGTTGTCGATCAAGATACGCATCAGCTCAGGGATGGCAAGTGTGGGATGGGTGTCGTTCAATTGGATAGCAACTTGATTTGGGAAGTCCTTCCACGCCTTCCTGGACTTCTTGAAGCGTCGGACAATATCGTAGAGAGAGGCAGCACACCAGAAGTACTGCTGCTTGAGACGAAGCTCCTTACCGCGCTCCAGACTGTCGTTAGGGTATAGCACGGCGGAGATCGTCTCGGCGCGCTGCTGGTCTGCAACAGAAGCCTCGTACTCGCCAGAGTTGAATTTTGTGAAGTCAAATTCGCCATGCGAGGCCTTGCTGGACCATAGACGAAGATTGTTTGTAGTCTTGGTGCCGTAACCAGGTATGGGCGCATCGTAGGCCACAGCTGTGACGATCTCGCCGTTCTCCCAGACACTCATCTGCTTCCCGGCGTCATCCATGTACTTTCTGACATTGCCATAGAACTGAATGTCGACCGTAACATCATGGCGAGGGAACTCCCATGGGTTGAAGTCGAGCCAGTAGTCTGGCACTTCGACCTGGTATCCATCGACAATCTCTTGCCTGAAGATACCGTAGCGGTATCGTAGAGCATAACCCCAAGCAGGATAGTTGAGAGTGGCGAGCGAGTCCAAGAAACAGGCTGCTAGACGTCCGAGACCACCATTACCAAGGGCCGCATCACGCTCTTGCGAGATCACGTCTTCCATGCGGAAGCCAAGATCTTCCAGACCAGCTATTGCTACGTCCTTCTGCTGGACGTTGAGCATAGCATTGTCCAAAGCTCTGCCCATCAGAAATTCGAGAGAAAGGTAGTAGACACGCTTCTGGTCCGCGAACGTCTGCCTCTGCTGTGTCTTGTTCCACTCAATAACCAGACGGTCACGAAAGGCGAGAGCGGTACCGGCATAAGCAGCTGCTTCATCACAATTGAACAGGGAGCGAGCAAGGGTGGTCTCGATGTGCTTGACGACCTCGGTCTCAAATTGGTCTTTGGTGGTGAACTCCTTGGCGGAGAACTTCCTCCATCTGTTGCGGATGTCAGCTCTATACACCCCATCTCATCTTATCATACGGAAACTGACGCCTCCCGCTGTCCCTCAGGTATGCTAGCCTCGACACTCTTGATCTCCTGAGGTCCAAAGCCAGTGACAGTTCTCTTATGCTTAGGCCTGGTCATACCACTCGGCCCAACATGTCCCACCTCACTGATTGGCGCCGAAGTGGAAGGCTTCCTCTCGCGTGTGCTTGTTGAGGTCGCCATGGCTGTAAGTGTAGGTGTACGATCACGAGACAACACCAAGATGGGGGAGTGAAAAGATGTTGAGGCTCAAAAAAGCTCCTCAAGCACTTTTCAGCTCAAAAACGTAGTGAGTGCTGTTCAGGTACACGAAAGCCCAACAAACATTATTATTATTATTGGAAGCAAGCAAGCTAGCGAATGGCTCGAAGCATCTCCCCCACAACATGTGAAAGGATGCGGGCAGTGGCGGGGTAGCCTTCAATAGAAAAGTGGAGACATCACTCAGAAATGTCTAAGCCGTCGCTTACGTGCCATCCATTTCAAGCTATATACGTCCGCGGCGGACCGATAGGCCTTATCTACACCATCGGGACTCAAATGTGGCTTCAGGTTGTATTAGCCAGTCAGGTATCGATCTACAAGGACAACAAAGCGGTGTACACGATTAGGAAGTGTGACCAGTAGTAGGGATGGATCATTGAAGCTCCTACAGATTTGCTATCAATACCCATAGTTGTGCAAGCTCGCAGACCAAGGCTGAATCGTGCGCATGCCTGTGCGATCTGTGGTGCCACTGCTCCTGTCTGACAGCAAGCAATACCACAACCGCGAAGACCCTATGACCAAGGCCTCCAACCATCTCAACGTCGTTGTGGGGCTCATGGCTGTCCCCAAGCCGACTCATCTCCAGACCGTACGCTCGTAGAGCCTTTGGCAAGGTTTAGAGGGTACGAAAAAGGAACGAGTTTGGGGCTTATGGCTGTCCCCAAGCCTAGACCATGTCCATAGACCTCCGAACAACAATGGTCATCTCTTTGGCAGCATTTCCGACTCGCCGTGTTAGCCAGTGCGTGATGTGATGAGAGGCAATACCGGGCAGACTTTTGGATTCCCGGCCACTGTAACGAGCTTCCGGCCTCGTCATCAGTGGCCAGTGGCATAGCAAACGGCGGGTTCTGTCTCCATCCAGGTACCAAACCAGGGTGTCTGTGTAGTCAGGATGGATGAGATGAGCCGAGTCGCTGCCACACTTCTCTGCTCTATTCGCGGGTTGGGCTTTGCTGATACCCATGGACTGCAACAGATCTCCTTCACTCCATTGAAGAGACTCGACGATTGGTAGTCTGGATAGCCGAAGTAAGCGACATGCAATTTACAAGGGCCCAGTACGAACCAGATCGAGTGTGTATAGAAACTGCATATGTAGCAGGACGGGCTGCGGTGCGACCGAAGCCAACCGGAACCCAGACCCTCATTGTTCCAACTGCGGCCAGATCGCCGTCCATACGTGCACCGTTTACATCGGCAGAAGGCTTCAGAGTCATCAAGCATGAGACATCTTAATGTGCTTGCCAAGATTATCCTTTCGATCCTTGAACGTTTTTGAGCAGTGCGGACAGGCATATCTGGTGCTCGGAAATAGCTCTGGATGTTGGCTCCGCTCGTGTCGAGTAAGGTCACCTTTGTTGCCGTACCAGCGGCTGCAATGGGAACAGCAATGGTTTGGACTGTGCTGCTGACGGACATGTTTGCTACACTCGTCAGTGTCATCTACACAAAATCGTGGAGGAACGGCAAGCACTTACGCCAACTTGTGCTTGTCCTTGAACTGCTTGTCACAGTGGCTGCAGGAGAGGGCGGTGCTTGGCCGAAATTGACCCTCTCCACCGTTGTCGACGGTCGATGGCACTCGATCTGCTGGTGAGGTGCTACTGTTCGGGTCGGAGCTGTGGCTGGGCGAAGATGAGGCAGCGCCTTGGCTCGATCTCTGTTGGCTGCTTGTGGAAAGGGGAGGCGTCACTTCTGCGGTGAGTGGAGTAGCTGCTCGCTTAGCTTTTGCGAATATGTCGAGGTCTCTCAAGGGGAGCAGGTCGTCTGTTGCAAATGGGAATGGATTGTCGAGATGAAATCCCGGCTCAGTAAGGAACTGCTGAGCTAGAACATCCCATCGTCGTTCGTCGTCGTATCGATTACAATGGTCCTGCCAGTTTCTCGAGATGGGCCTTGCGCGTCTTCCACGGCGCGCAAAGACCTACCTGAGAAGTCAAATGTATGTCAAAGTTGTCGGAGCAAGGCTCTGAAAGTGTTCCAGGTCGCAGTTGTGAAGGAATGCAAGCCCGGTGCGCCTGGCACCCGCAAAGGCGGATGATGTGGATGAGATGCAAAACGCATTCTGGCGGGAGCGAGAAAGGTCTTTTATGTATCATGTTTCAGCCTTGTTCATACACGAAGGCATGCCATCTCGTGTGAGACCAGATGACACGGTCGTCGATCCCAAGCCAATGGGAACCCTGTGCCTCATGCATGAAGGCGACCATTCCACGCCTGAATGAGGCTTAGAGGTAGCGGCTTGGCTAGACGACACCGCACAGGCAACGCATGGTGAGCTTTCCCAATCATCTCGCTCGAAGACGTGGGAGGCATTCTGAGCCACGGGAGGAAGTCAGACGCATCATAGCATCGCATTTCTGAAAAGTTGCGTGGACGAGCAGGCTTGCCTAGAGGAATGGTTTTGTGCCACATTGCACGCCCGATGTACCCTGTGATTTCACCGCCATCCCTGTCGCACGCTTCATGCCTTCCGCTATTGTGGAGGAAGTCAACAGTCTCGGACATCATCACGGGATGAGGAAAGACGTCCACAGCCCAGTCCTGTTCAATGTGGAAATGCTGGCAGAAATCGATTAACGGGGGTACGATCATGCCTCCAAAACCATCTGAGAGATAAGGACGACGATTCCCGCCATGACCGATCAATCAGATGCTTGGTCAAAGTAACCATAAATTCGAAAATTCTGGTAGAAGATGCCACTCACTCCGACTACCACCCAACAAAGTCAGATCTCGTCTCTCATTGTCGAGACTGGTGCCAATGAAAGCAACTCGAGTAAGTATTCCGTTACTCGGATACACTGACCTCGACACATTCCTAACAGTCTTAGGAATGCCACAAGATATTCTCAAGCCAATGTTGCACGTTCCAGACGACACAGAGTACACCATGGATCGCTGGCACCGACAGACACCACAGGAAGAACCATGGACTATCTCCGGTGGTGGAAACTCGACAGGCAGTGTGGCAAAGGGTACGGCGAAGTAGTCTATTGTTCCATCGAACAGGTATAGAAGCACTTGACTAGCGGAGCAAGGTGCCAGACGTATCGTGTCCGTAATACTGTCGACCGAAGCTTGCGGAGCGTAGTCCATTCGTTCCCGTGGATGATGTGGAAAGGCCTATGAGAAAGTCTGTTGGTTACACTAAATACAGCACTACAATTCCACGCATACCAATACCAACCCACCAAAGCTCGCGCCCCTACCCCAACCCCATCCCATCCCAGGAAATCCATCATCTCTTCGCCGCCAACCTCAGATTCTCATTCAGATACTCCACCACTTTAATCCCCACCGCCCCCTGATTATACAAATGCTTCGCCAACCCCTTGACAACCTCGACCTGCTCCTCCGGACTAAGACCCGTAATAGCCGTCTCAATCACACTCCCCACACTAGCTTTATACACGGCGATGAAACTCTGATAATACATGAAAGCGAAAAATCCCATGATGAACTGACAATCCATCCGATCCGTCATCCCGCCATGTCCGGGGATGGAATCGCCGAAATCCTTGATATTAAACGTGCGTTTTAACCCGCTGGCGAAGAAGCCGCCGAAGGGCGCGATGAGGGAGGCGAAGGTCGACATGATGAGGATATGGAATTGCATCGGGGAGACGGCGACGTGGGTCGGGAGGAGGGTCCAGTTGTGGGGGATGAAGGGGATGTGGTAGGTTTGCGGGATGAAGACCGGGTTGGGGACGCATTCGAGGCCGGTGAAGATGTTGGCCCCCAAGTCGTTGACGGGGCAGATGAAGTATTTGTAGCGCATGAGGATGTTGGTTAGGCCGAAGCCGAGGATGATGGTGCAGATCCAGGCGCCGACGAAGCCTGCATGACATATCAGTATGAGCGATGTGGGAGTTGTTTGGCTGATTGATTTCTTACCTTCGACTGTCTTCTTGGGACTCAACTTGATAAGCTGGGTCCGGCCGAAGGTGATACCACAAATGTAGGCGAAGATGTCGTTGGTGATGACGAGCATGACGGGGAGGAAGAACCAGATCATGCCCTCGAAGATGTTGTTCATGATGAAGTGGGCTTGCACCACGATTAGGTAGAGAGCCATGTGGGTCCAGGCGAACTGGGTGAATTGGAACTTGTAGTGGCCTTTTTGGAGAGATCCGACGAAGAAGACGAAGCCTGACAAAGTCGTTAGTGGTGAGCTTGGGGGTGAGGAAGGCACGCGACTTACCCATGACGTATAGCATGAAGCTGATAAACCGGTGGTGGGTTGCAAAAGGCAGCAGCACACGATCAACCAAGACGATATGTTTGAAGTAGTAGATCACACTCTCGCCGTAGAGGAAGTACATGGTCGTGCCCAAGAAATACCAGTTCAGCGTCTTGGTGAATCGTAGACTCCGGGCCCGCGAAGGCACATTCGAGATGGCGATAACTTCCTTGAAACTAATGATCTGGACGGCGGTGATGATAATGATCACGTAGATGTGGCCGGCGAACATGGAGCCGAAGAAGATGCCGATCATGACCAAGGTCCAGATTGCTCGGGTGATGAAGGTCTGCTTCTTCTTTTCGTACTCGGATTGGGTCTTCTTCTCCGGCTGCGCGAATATATTAGCCTGACTCGTTCATACCTCGTCGTGCTACCCACGATGAGAGACACATACACCCTCATCGTCCTCGTTCTCCGTTGCCCAGCCGCTGGCAGAAGTGTCTGTCCTGTCGTAACTTGGTCGCTCCTTCTCCATCGACCTGTGCATGCTGCCATTTCCGTTGACTCGCGTCGGGCTCTTGGCACCGTGACTGCTCCGGGACGAGCTGCGCGCATCACCGTTCATGTCGGGCATACTGGATTTACTTAATCGTCGCTGACGATCAAAGTGGACGCTGGATTTCTTGGTCATAATCTGTATGCTATCGCTCCGAGATACTGCTTGGGAGTGTGGGCTTGGCGAAGCTCGGCGGGTGGCAGAAATGGATGAGTCTCAGATTTCTCTTGCGGATGGACACATGTCGTAAGGCCTTTTATGCTATACTGTTCGTCGCAAGGTTGACCTAATTGTAGAGGTAGAGGTAGAGTTTTGGACAGCACACATGTGACAAGGAAGTTGGCAGTGACGAATGCCAAGTCGGCGCGGAGACGCGCTCGCGTGCTTCGACCTTTCCCGTTCCTGACTTTCAATGAAAATAGCAATCATCGTGTGCCTACCTAGATTGTGAAGCTCTGGGAGAGGGAAGCAATGGAGATGAGATGGTATCGTAGAGATAATGGAGGACGACAACTTCTTCTCCGATGACGAGTTCGATACCATCCCGGACAACACTTTCCGGGAGCTGGAACAAAATGCCATCTCGTCCACACAGCGACAGCAGCCTGTCAGACAGGTCTCGAAGCGGCATGCTGTGATATCGAGCAATTTAGCTGGTCGTGCACAACCCGCCCGACAACAATGGCGACCACCACGACCACAGAACAATCCCTCAGCCCCACCACAGTCCGCACCTCCACCCAGTGCACCAGCTCCACCTTCGTCAGATTATGGCTTCGAGGAGGAGGAGGATGTGATTGACCTTGATGAGTCCTCGATGGTCATCCAGCCTGGGCCGAGCTCACAACCATGGACGAACATTTCTTTGCGACCAACGGATGCAGCAGCCAATGCCCAGCGAGCCTCCAAAGCACCACTGGACGCGGGGACGGAGGCTGCTTTTGCGGCTGCAGATGCTGAGCTGGGTGGCCATATGCCCGGACAATGGGCTCATGCACCACATCTGCAGCCCACACCAGGTAATGGTATGGATGTCTCCACATTGCAAGCTCGTGTAGCCCAGCTCGAGACAGAACAGACACGACTACGCCAAGCAGAGCAGGAAGCACGCAATGCTACCATAACGAAGCAAGGAGAGATTGCCATTGTCCGAGCGAACCAAGACAAGGCGTCGAAGGAGTATGAGCGCAGGATAGCGGTCATGCAGAAGCTACATGCAGAAGAAGCAGCGAAGACCCGAGCCGAGCTTGATGCTGGACGAAAAGAGCGTGAGAAGATGGAGACGGACAATCGCTTCTTGCAGCACGACCTAGCACAGGAGGCTGCGAGGGTCAAGAGGGTGGATAGTGGCAAGGCCAAGGGTGTTACACCCATTCGTGAGCGGACAACGCCGCGTAAGAATAAACGATCGGGTCTCGGGGACGGCTTTGACGACGACGAGGTGAGGACAGCCAGCCCAAGCAGGAGTAGAGAGAAGGCGAAGGATGTCACGCCGAAGCATGGGATGAAACGCAAGCGTACGACGGACGACAGTCCTGTCGCTCCTCTGTCATTTAATGAGCCCGCAGCAATCACTCATCTGGATAGTCAGGAGCAGCCTGGAGCATTCGCCGAGCAACTGGGACCGGCACAACATCTCCATGACAATCGCTTCGAATTCATGCAACGCCTGCTTAACCACAGATCCGAAGAAGGTCACGAGCGAACAATCGAAGCTCTGGCGAAGTACTCGTTGTCTAGCAACCCTAAGGACTCACTTTCTGCCATCCTGATGGGCCAGCTAGCATACGCTGGGACAATTGATCGAGCCGAATATCTGCCTATTCGTGTAGCCCGTGCTTCGCTGGATGTGTGGTCACGTTGTCTGAGCGAGAAAGTATACGAGCCGATCTTCTTGCTTCTGGATATCGTTCGCTTCTCCGTGTACCTCGAGCCTGCCACCATTATATCTCAGCTGATCGAAGATGCGCTTCCGGTCCTGATGCGGACAGTTGAAGTCATTGCTAATCCAACACTGCGTGCATCGAAAAACCCAGTCTTTGCTGCAAGTCTCGATGCTGTAGGGCAAGAGAAGCTTAGCTACGATCTCTGTGCTGACGAGGTCATGGGATTACTACTACAAATCTGTCAAGCAGCTAGCCTGTGCGGAGATCGCCTTGAAGCATTCTGGAGGACTATGGACTTTGAGTTCACCCTTCTCATGATGTCGAAGGCTCAGCCAATCATGCAAACCAGCAGTGCGTTGAAGATGCTTGCGACTTCCGGACAGCCGACATCCTTCGGACCTATCAATGCGGATATGCAAAAGCAGCCTAGCCAAGAGGCAGGTATCATTGATCGGTTGACCACCTTGCTTATGGAGAAGCCTGATGTACCGAAGGATGAGCCCCCATATACAGAGGTCGAGATTGCTGACTTACGCCTCGAGATCTTACACGTCTTGCGAGCATTATGCCTAACAGACCATGGCGGCCTCCTACTGACTCAGCACCCTTACCTGATGGGAAGGCTCGTACGCTTCCTGGATGGTCAGATCCACAAGCTCTACGGCCTGACACCTCCTTTGCCTTCCACTGCCAACGAGGATGCAGAGGCGCCAACCACCGCGCACAGCCTCGTAGCCCAAACAATCAATACAACAACCCTCATCTTCTACCACCTCCTCCGTACCTACGAAGACAGCCTCGACCTCACCAAAAAACTCAACATGATCCGCGGCGGCTGGCCGAAAATGTTGGTGAGCATGTCACGCATCGCTTTTAGCGAGCAGTTGGTTCTGGAGTATGGAATCGAAGATAGTGTCACGGAGGCCGCGCATGCGATACTGGATAGTGTGCTTAGTCCCGAGGAAGGGGAGGCGATTGTGGCTGCTGTTGAGACACCGAGGGGGAGTAAGGGGAGTTTGTGGGGAATTGTTGGCGAGTTGGTGCCGACTGGGAGGGATACGAGTCGGGAGGAGACGCAGGGGGAAGGGGAGGATAGTGTTATGAGTGATGAGCCTGGGTGAGAGCAAGTATACGAAGGGTGTACTCAGAAGATAACAACTGACGTTGCTGATGGATTATTGCCGTCCGACATCGCCATCCGACAATCAATCGACCCCACGTCCCCGCATCGAGCGCGTCTGTCAACTTCGCGTCATGGGCGAGGCGAATCATTCTTATGCCCGGTACCTTGCAACACTATTCATCCACCACGACATCAAGAATAAGATACTAGCAAGATGGCTGAGTTACCTAAGACAGTCGGATGGATAGGCTTAGGAGCCATGGGCTTCCCCATGGCCGCCAACCTGGTCAAGAAGCTGAGCAACGACACACAGTTCTTCGTCTATGACGTCGTTCAAGACTTCGTCGACCGGTTCGTGAAGGAGGGCGGAGAGCGTGTACATGCTTGTACGAGCGCGAAGGAAGTCGCTGATAAGTCCGTATGCCACCGCTCATGAGAACATGAAAAAGACCTTGATAGACACAAATACCAGTTACATAGAACTAATACGAGAGTTCTCAACAGGATGTAATCCTCTCCATGGTCCCAGAAGGTTCACACGTCCGCGCCGTCTATCTCACACCCGACACGGGAGTCCTAGCATCAGACATCGAAGCCAAAATCTTAATCGACTGCAGCACAATCGATACCGGCACTTCGCTCGCCATCCGCGACGAAACCGCCTCCAAACACCCCAAAGCACGCTTCTACGACGCCCCCGTCTCCGGCGGCGTCGTAGGAGCCGAGAAGGGCACCTTAACGTTCATGCTTGGCAGCTCGGAATCCAACCAGGACATCCAGTTTTTGAAAACCCTTCTAAGCCTAATGGGCGGCAACATCTTCCCTTGCGGCGGCTCCTCCTTGGGTCTAACAGCTAAACTCTGTAATAATTACACTTCAGCTATGATCTCCGTCGCCACGAGCGAAGCCATGAACATCGGCATCACAGCCGGAATGGACCCAAGAGTCCTAGCCAATATCTTCCACACTTCTACCGCCCAATCCGCAATCTGCGACGACTGGTGTCCCGTCCCAGGCATCAGCCCGGACGCTCCGAGTAGTAAAGGGTATAAAGGCGGGTTTCGGGTCGGGTTGATGAAGAAGGATGTGGGACTTGCGGTTGATACGGCGAAGAGACTTGGGGTGAAGTTGGCGCTTGGGGAGCCTGGGTTGGGGGTTTATGAGGGGGCGGCGAGGGATCCCAGGTGTGAGGGGTTGGATTCGAGGGTGATTTATCGGTTCCTGGGGGCGAGGGAGGATTGGAGGAGGGACTTTCCCGAGGAGGTGGAGATGAGGAGGGATGAGACGAAGAGGTTGGTTAGGGTTGCGAGGGAGAAGGGGTTGTAGGGGTATGAAGTTGGTGGATTTATACCCGTCGATGATCGGGTTGGTGTGAGTGCTTATCAGTGCGTGGCAGTAGCGTTCTTCACGACTACTTCCTCTGCATCGCGGTGTCGTATGCAGGGCCGGATGTACCTGCATGTGGCAGTTCGCTCCTGTCTCAGTAGGTACCCCGCTCGTGTGGTTGTATAGTATGCAGGGAAGTAGCTACGCCTGAGCTGTATTGACAGTACCTCGAATATAAGAGCTGCCATAGCTTCGACTTCACTCCGTAATCACTATTGTCTTACCAGCACCAACTTATTCCACAACAGCCATAGTCATCGTCATCGTCAATCAACCATTCCTCCTATAACCTTGACAAAGAAATCACATCAAACATCAGACAACCGCGACCCTATGGCCTCGCAAACCCATCCATACACCTACGTCAAACCCGCCCAACTAGCCACCCGCTCCATCGTCTCCGACGCCAAACCCTCAGCAACCACAACCTCCGCCTCCACCTCCCACAAAGCAGCAGATGCTCAAGGCAAAGCCAACCTAGCCAGTCCAACAACGGACAACTACGAACGAGCAGCAGCAGCAGCAGCAACTGTACAGAACAAGTCAGCAGAAGGTGCTGGTGTCTTGTCCGGCACCGATAGACCCGGTTTGGACAGGACGAAGAGCTGGAAGATGCAAGATAAGCGCCGGGATCATATGGAGGGAGTGCTGAGTGGGCAGCCGAGTGGGATGGGGTATTCGAGTACTGGTGGGCAGTAGATGAGGCAGGTACTAGCGGGAGTGAAGCGCGTGTACAATGTCCTTGAGGAGATAAAGCTCTAAGCCGACCCTGCGACTTATGTCAACCTTCACGATACCACGACCTGTTGCGAATGACGTGCTCGATGTTCTTTGTGTGAGATGGCAAGCAAGGCGTTCTGGAAGCTATTTCGGCTGATTATCTCGCCTTATTCTAGGCTTGCTCGCACTACTTCTTTGTGTACTACAACCTCAAGCAATCTGTTGGACTCAAGGAAATGTAGCTCAAATGAATGACTGCACCACCTGTGCTCATAGCCAGCATGGATCATGCTGGCTCTCCAATTCTCAACCGCATATCCGCCAAAAGTTCTTCATCACTCTCGTCTTCGCCCTTGCCCTCGACCGCCGCCTCGTTTCTGGTCATCCGCAACCGACCATCTCCTCCCTTCGGAATGCTTCGCGTAGGATGTCGTCGTCATCATAGCGATTCAGCCTAGGGACTGAACGTACCTTCACACTGATACCGTCTCAGACATGGTACTCGGAGTCCCTCTCCCTTGCCATCTTTCCTTGACTTCATTGGCGGATGTCGTGTACCATCGTTGAAGCATGCATGCATCGTTGTCGTTGTGGTTTAGCGTTTGCATAATAGTCATAATAGACATAGCAGCAGTAATGCTGCTCATCATGAGTGGCTCATGTCCTGCAAGTGCCGCAAATCGGCCGATCAGCCTGTCGTCTTGTAGAGACCACGCCCGCCATTGCCACTACCACCACTACGCACAGAGTCCTGACGCTCGACGACTTTATGCTTCGACTGCGATTTGTCGACGATGAAGTCGTCTAGCGAGGCTTGTGGGGGCGCAGGAGCAGAAGTAGCAGGGGGAGATGAGCGCTCAGCGTACCAGTCAATATCTCCCAGTTGCAGCTTGCGAGCACGCTGCTTGCTGCGTGTGTTTCCCGCCTTATCGTATCGTGGACCGCCGTGCAAATTCTCGACCGAGCCTGTTTGGTCAGCGAATGTACTTTTGGTTGCATTATTCTCAATTTCGCGCAGCGCAGTAGTCACAGGTGTCTTTGAGATCTCCTTGCTCTGATCGAGCATATTCCCAGCAGTCATATGTTGAGATCGACTGCCGTCACCATCGCCACCGCGATTACCAGTCCGCAGGGCTCCGTTGAGCGAGCCCTTGCCGATGAGTTGTGTGCATTTGCCGGCATGTGTGTAAGCATAATGAAAAGAGGGCGGTTCACCATCTTGATCGTCCGTGAGCTCGTAATTCAGGACGAGACTCTTGATTCGCTGCTGTTCCGCGCGCTCGGCCTCTTGCTGGGTGCGCATAGCAACCGCAAAGCTTGAGTTCGAGGGCAGGTCGATGGAGCGTGTCTTTGCTGGTCAGTAATGTACAGATGGACATAAGATTAATATACGTTTGTGCTTACCTGCTGACGATTTCCTTTCTTGCTTAGAAGAGCGAACTTCATGGTACTTGGGCCCAGGGGTACAGGCGCAGGCGACTCGCCACCACTATCTTCTGCGGCATGGCTAGTCGCGTCACGCAAAGTGCGGCGCATCGGAAGCGGTACATCGAACATTGGCTTTCTGTCAGTTCGTCGTGACTCTACGCCCTCTGCCATCATTTTGGCGAGCTCGCGATCAAAGTCAGCGTCAGCCTCGGGGTCACGTTCCTCTTCAGGTCGCGTCACCACAATATGCTCGTCATCGTCTAAATCGTTATGTGCTGTCTTTGGACTCTCTTGTGCTTCATCGCTCCCAGACTTGGCGTCCTCAGCATCACCATCTGCTCGTGAGGCCTCCTCGCCATCGATGCGAGCATCATCAGATCCATCGGCTTCGAGATCTTCCGGCTCATCGGCATGCTGCGGACTGACACCATTGGGCGCATCACGATAGTGCTGCTTCGTGGCCTCAGCGAAGAGACGGCTAGCCTCCGGCAGATCGTTGAGCACAAGCTTCCACTGAGGTCGCAGACCGCTATACAGATCTTGCGCCACGAACTCGATGTCCATCGGTAGAGGTTCTTTAACATTGATGTAGTACTGCAAGAAAGACAGATAGAAGTCCAGCTTCTTCCTCAATGAGCCTTTCTCGAAGTACATGCCACAAGTCTCCAATAATGAAGCTGCAAGGCGGACACGGAAGTAGTCATCTGGAAGATCGAGCTGCGAGATGCGGCCGGGTTGAGCATAGCCACCTTCGTGACCATAGTTGAGTAGCTTGTATAGCGTGTCGAAAATGATCGTGGAGTCGACTAATCGATACGTGTATAGCTCGCCAAGATACTTGACCTCAGCTGTGCGGCGCTGATTGTACTTGAAGTCATTCGTCTCCAGACCGACCGTAATGCGCTCCAGCACATCATCGATGACCGAGATGGCAAAATCCGCATGGAACCTGTACAGTGCTCCGAGCATGACTGCAAGCAGGTGGACATTGCTGAACTTGATCTTACCAGGCTTGACGAAGATCTTGCGCAGCACTTCGACAACTTCCGGCTCCTCCCAATGCAGTTTTCGGATCTGCTTGATGATCTTCTCGATTGTTTTCTTGTTGAGGTCCATGTAGACAAGCTGCCTGACGTATAGATCTAGCGTTGTCCGCTCCTTCTGCTGGATTGCTGACCGCTCAGGCGGGTTGACGAAATACATTGCGTTCTCGATGAGCATACGCTCTTGTTGACCAAGATGCTGAGATCCTTTCTTGCGCTGCAAGGTTTCCAGGAAGGAGGACATACGTGGCGAAGTCTCAGGATTGCGAAGCAAGTACCGTCCGCAGTTCTCCAGAAGCGTTGCAATAATCTCTATATTCATGCGGGAAAAGTCGTCCAAGCTGACCTTCAGGCAATGGAAGATGACATGTTCTGGTACAACGCCAAATTTGGTGAGCTCAGCAATATAGCGAACGTTGACCATACGAACCTGGCCCAGGAAGTCCTTGGACTTTCGACGCTGCAGGCTACGGAATTCGTCATCGAGATAGCTGATGATAGCTTGAGGGACGTCCGTCAGATAGCGGCCAAGAGTGGCGATGAGGCGAGAATACAAAGGGAGAAGATCAGTCCGGCCTTTGGGGATCTCCTCGGTCGACTTCAACAAGCGATTGCGCGATGCTTTCGAGTTGAGGAAGCAGAAGTCGATGGCAAACTGATCAACCTGATCCTTGTTAGTGAGCTCGTGCAGGCGAGCTAGTAGTGCGTCGACTTGAGCGCCGACGGTCTTGTTGGCAATCGCAGTAGACGAGTCGTCCACATCAGCGGGCCTGTCGGCTTGCTTTTCAGCGTCCTCGACTTTTTTGCCAACCTGCTCATCAACATCTGCCTTCTTCTTCTTGCCGTCTTCGAGTAAGATACCAGGCACGCGATCTTTCAGATCTACCAGGCTTTCGTAGAATCGACGCTCATCTTCGTCCTCCCAGATCCCGGCTCCCCCACCTTGACCACGCAAATACTCACCTGTCTTCACAAGGCCGATACTGCCTTCCAACCCACTACCATGCTGGACTTTCTCAGACAGATCTGGCATGTCGGCACCGAGGACATCTGCCAGTGTCTGCGCGCTTGAGACAAGCTTCTCCTGCGCCTTGACCGCCTTCTCATAGTTCGCCTGTCGATCTTCGAAGACCTCACCGGATTTGACATAGGCTTCCGCGTTACGTTTGCTCTGCGACGTAAGATGTGTTTGATCGCGTGAGATGTGCTGTTTGACATCTTCGAAGTATCTCAGAATGATGTTACGAAAGCGCTGCTGCAGCTCTGGAGAAGTGAGTGGCGCGTCCTTGTCCGTGACATCTTCGTCCTCGGTTGAAGTCGCAGACTCGAAATTGCCATTCGTAGTGGTCGTCGCGCCATCTTCAGCGACGTGCTTACGGCCCTCGTTCTTTGTCGTCGCAGAACCTAGCACATCCCAAGCAAACGTCTTCACAAACAAGACAACCAGTGGTAAGTTGACATGGTCGCGATCGTGGCTCAGCATATCTTTCAGCACTTCCAGTGGGAATGGCTCGGCATCATTCGTCCCGAACTTTGCGCCACCAGCTTTCAGCTTGGGTGGGCCATCCAAGCCTTTGCCACTATCTCGAGCTTTCGTAGCATCCTCAGGTCTCGTGACATCTTCTAGGCTGCGCAAGGCACCGACCAGCCAAAGCTCTGTCGCCACACGTAGAAGCACTCGCTGCCTCGAGATTCGCTCCTTCTCCTCTCGTTCACGGACATCGTTCGATAGAGCCTTAAGTTGCGCCTTGTCCGGAGTACTCAAGCCTCTTCCAATCAACCACCCGAGATAGCACGTGAACTCATCGGGACCGAAGCGCTGGTGTAGCGCACAGACAACCTCAACACCCGCTGCAACTTCTCCAGCAGTCTTGAGCCTGCCGAGACCTTCAAAGCAGGCTGACACAATTTCGGTCAAATAACGATGCAGCGAAAGCGTGCGGACCTCCTGTAAGAATGTGGCGACACCTGCAGTGTTTATCGCGGTCCTCAGTCTCTTGATAAATGCCGTGTTCTTCTTCATGTTAGAATCCAGCGAGGGCTGCACCGGAAAGACATCCTTCTCTCCATTCCAAGCTCTCACATTGAGCTCCTTCAATCCTCTCTTCCGTTGCCGCTCCATGGCGGCCATCTCTCACTCGTGCGCGCGTCTCGGCGCAAGAGAAAGAAAGGAAATGGTTGGTGGGGGACTAGCGATCCGGCATTGCAAAGTGATGGTGGTGCAAGCGTTCTGGATCAGAAGCTTGCATTTGCGCAGACTGCTGCAGGAATGCGCGCAATATTTGATCGTCTTTCACTGGCGAAAGGCGTTTGTTCGTGAGTGTGAGTCGAAGTGATAATCGTGGTGAGTTCGAAGTGAGTGTACTTCGAAGGTAGTGGCTACGATTAGAGCTAGCGCGGCCTGATTGGGCGAGTTCCTGCATGTGATCCGAGCATCTATAATCTGTAGCACTTCCTCTTTATTACATCTACATCATACGAATTAAAGTCTTGGATACCGTGCTACATGCGCTGTCTGAGTCTCGCCCATCATGCGACCGCCCTGAAGCAAGCCTTACAAGGCTTGCAGCGGCCTACAAGATGCCAGACCAACTTTATCCAATACGCTTCGTACCATACGCGCGCCTTCCACTCGACTCGATATGTCTTCGACAAGGCCGCAATACCTGGTACTCTGTCTGCTTCGACTCAGCTTCGACCATATCAGGAAGAGACCATCAAAGCAGTACTTGACTATCTGGCCAGAGGCGAGCGTCGACTAGGCGTCTCACTTGCAACTGGAGGAGGCAAAACAGTCATTTTCAGCCATCTCATCGATCGCGTGCCTGCGCCTACGCCTGAGGCCACGCAAACACTCATCATCGCCCATCGACAGGAACTCGTCAACCAAGCAGCGACCCACTGCCGCAACCTCTATCCTGATCGCGATGTCGACATTGAAATGGGCAAACGCGCAGCCAGTGGCTATGCCGACATCACCATAGCGTCAATTGCGAGCTTGGCCTCAGCAGATCGATTGTCAAAATTCGACCCTTTGCGGTTCAAGCTGATTATAGTGGATGAGGCTCATCATATGGTGGCATCATCCTACTTGGGAATGCTGGATCACTTCGGACTGTTGGAGAATGCCGAGCAGTCGCATGTTGCGTTGGTGGGCGTGTCTGCGACACTATCACGCAATGATGGTCTCAGTCTTGGCAAAGCACTCGACCACATTGTCTACCACAAGTATGCCCTAGACGGATTGGTTGGATGCATGTTCCACACTGACAACTTTACAGAGACTATCTCGACATGATTGAGGGTGATTGGTTGTCTGCGGCAGTGTTTACCACGGTACGATCTGGGGTTGATCTTAACAGCGTCAAGATGGGCCGTGGCGACTTTCAGACTGGCAGTCTTTCGAAGGCTGTAAATAATCCAGAAGCGAATACCGTAACAGTACGAGCCTGGCTGGAGAAGTGTCGTGACAGGAAGTCCACTCTTGTCTTCTGCGTAGATCTTGCACATGTCGCAGCACTCACTGGCATGTTCCGACAGCACGGCGTCGATGCACAATTTATCACTTCGAACACCAAAAGCGAGGAGCGGCAGAAGAAGATCGAAGGGTTTAGGAAGGGCACTTTTCCAGTTCTGCTGAACTGTGGTATTCTGACCGAAGGCACCGACATCCCAAACATTGACTGCATTGTGCTTGCTCGACCTACTCGGTCACGAAATCTGCTGGTTCAAATGATTGGGCGTGGTCTACGAAAGTTCCCGGGCAAGATAAACTGCCACATGATCGATATGGTCAGTGCCCTGGATACTGGTATTGTGACTACGCCGACCTTATTTGGGCTAGATCCTGATGAGCTGGTTGATGAAGCGGACGCTGATACAATGAAAGAGAAGCGGGATAGGCGCGAAAGCGAGCACATACTTGAGCCTATGGCGGACGATCATCCCAACGCTGTGCCCGAACTATCTGGCAGCATCACCTTCACTGACTACGAGGACATCAACGACCTAATCGAAGACACATCTGGCGAACGTAAGGTCCGTGCCATCTCTCCTTTTGCCTGGGTACAAGTAGATGCTGGCCGCTATGTGCTGTCAGCCAGTCAAGGCGACCTCACCATTACTCAGACTGATGGTGGTGAGTATGAAGTGGTGTACAAGAAGCGCATACCAGCTTCTGTGCAAGTAAAGTCACCATTCATGCGGCCTAGACGGATCGCAAAAGCAGTGACCTTCGAGCAGGCCGTTCGTGCTGCCGATACCGCTGTCAAAGAAGTGTTCGTGTTTGCGATGGTTGCGAAGAATGCGCAATGGCGCTCTGCTCCGGCGTCAGACACTCAGGTCGCCTTCCTGAGCCGCTTCCGCGATGAAGATGACCAACTGACTGGAGGCTCAATCAAAAAAGGCCAAGCGGCAGACTGGATCACAAAGATCAAGAATGGTGCCAAAGGGCGCTTCAATCGACTCGCAACAGCGAAGCGGAAAGTCGTCGAAAAGGAAGAGAAGAAACAGCAGTTCATCGCGAAGCAAAGCACATCAAGAGTTGCTGTAGGTCCAGTCGTGTGAATGTCAGGCCCGAAGATCCGGGAGATCATAGATATCTTGTACCCGCGTACCTACCGCATTGGGCGAACACGTGCTTCTGCTTGGCCGGAATGAGAGCTGTAGAGTTTCGAGGTAGCGTTGCACAAACATGAAACACATCTGGGGCTTGCATTAGATCTGCATGGTTCATGCACGATAGCTCTCTGCTTGCGCGGCCTTCGCTTGGCAGGGCCAAACGACTTTTTGATCAGTCTCCTGTTGTGAATAGAGATATGCTCAGCGTTGGCCAGCGTGCGATAGAGAGCTCGACGATGCTGTCCTCATAGATGAGGTGTGGACCGTGGTAGACCGGGGTTGTGTCCCTGCTCATCCGAGGTTCGCGTGAGATCGCAATGCTTGGTAAAGTAGAGTTCGTGTTCTTGTGAGCGTCAGACGTCAGGCTGGCACTAGCTCTTTGGCCATCCTCAACTGTTGCATCCAACTTATCAAATGTGTCATCAGGCATTGCGAAGGCGTGTCCACCAGTATTATTTATTGAGCATCGCAGACCAGATTGTGCATTTCCCGGCCCATCCAATAGATACCATCATATTACTGACCCAGCTTGTGCAAAATCCGCCCCCCAAAAAGCACCTCCTTCCCACGCCGCAACCCCAGCCAGTTTTAAGCTTGTCCTCCACTTGGCTCGTGTCAACCTGCCACCAACGGCCCTTCCTTTTTGCTCCCAAGCCTGTGCATGCCCTGCCTTGTCTATCACTAACCTAATCACTATTACTGCATCATACGCACTGTCGCTATCTGCCTGGTATCGTTGTCGCAGTGTCTTATCCAATGTGTGCAAATGCGACAACGCCCTTCGGTTTCAGCCGACGATGATACGCACCGCCTTGGAAGTGTCTCTGCGATAGCCGTTACCGACGCGACAGGCGGCAGGGCGGAGATGGGACGGGAGGTGGTGAGGTCGCCTGCTAAGGCTTCGACGAGAGCGCCAGAGAAGAAGACAGGTGCTGGTAGAGGGGTACCTGTCGAGGAGGCTGCGTTGGTGCACCCGCCAGCATGGTCGGAAGGTGGGCATACAGATGCGATACAGCATGAAATAGATGGTCAGAATGTAGGCAAGGAGGCGTCAGAGGGTATGGCGGATAGGCTTGATCGGCAACGCGCGCGGACAAGAGGACCATGGTCGTGCTCACTGCTCACACTCGCCACGACTGCGTTTGCGATTATGATGCTGGCAACCATAGTACGATCGTTCCTCACGTTACAAATGGACCCCAAAGGATGCGCCATGTCATACATGATGCCAGCGTTTGCACACTTCTCCGACTTCGACACAGAGCATACGCGCTTTGCCAGCAAATACTCCCTGTACCTATACCGAGAGGGAGGGGTAGACGAGGATACGCGCGTGAAGGGCATACCTGTCATCTTCATACCTGGGAATGCTGGGAGCTACAAACAAGTGCGACCAATCGCAGCAGAGGCTGCGCATTACTTCCACGACGAACTCCGGGAGGACTCCGAGGCCATAGGCAATGGCAAGCGACCACTGGACTTCTTCACAGTGGACTTCAACGAGGAGCTGTCCGCTTTTCATGGACAAACTCTACTGGATCAGGCTGAGTATCTCAACGAGGCGATAGCATATATTCTGGCTTTGTACCACAATCCTCATCGATCACAGCGGGAACATGGTCTGCCAGATCCCAAGTCCGTAATCATCCTTGGTCATTCCATGGGTGGTGTAGTTGCAAGGACGATGTTGCGTATGCCAAATTACCAGGAGAACACAATCAACACGATCATCACCTTGAGTGCGCCGCATGCACGTGCCCCAATCTCCTTCGATGCGGAGATGGTGGCGACGTACAACGACATCAACACTTTCTGGCGGCAATCTTACACTACGGCCGACCCGAGGAGAAATCGTCTGGCAGATGTGACTTTGGTCTCGGTAGCTGGTGGCGGACTGGACACAATGATCCCATCTGAGTACTCCAGCTTGACATCTCTGGTACCAGATACACATGGCTTCACTGTCTTCACGTCTGCGATACCCTGTGTATGGACTGGTATGGACCACTTGGCCATTATGTGGTGCGATCAATTTCGCAAAGCGCTGGTCAGAGCCGTCTTTGACGTTGCAGATGTGAGGCGGTCGTCTCAGACACTACCACAGGCTGAGCGAATCAAAGCGCTGAGAAAGCGTCTTCTCACTGGCATGGAGTCGGTCGTTGAGAAGGCAGCACTTGAGCAGGAACCTACCACATTCTTGACCTTGGAGCATAGCTCGACTAAGATCATGTCCCATGGAGAGCGCCTTGTGCTACGAAATATCGGAGGTTCCACTAGGACCAGAGCACATCTTATGCCGATTCCGGTGCAGCCATTCGTCGAAGGAAGCAAGCTGACGATGCTCACCGACCAGACGCTGGACACTGGTCTCAACAATGGCTCGGTGGCAACACTGCTGTGCAGCGTCTTCCCACCAACGGGAGGCTTGGGCGGCTTAATGTTCGCAATCAATATGGATGTCAACCCGAATAGCGCAGGCTCAACACGCCTGGCCTGCAAGAATGTCGCGTCTGACGTTTCGTATCTACCTGCATCCACAAACACGTCAGTTAACGCTTTCGACGACGCACCGCCCTTCATTTACCTACAGTATGACCTGAAGGACCTACACGATTATCAATTCATCGCGGTCGTCGAGCAGACCACTGAGCCAAGCAATGGTTGGCTCATTGCAGAGTTCAGCTCGGGTGCTGACAATACCATCATGATCAGCAAAGGCCACCATCAGCTGCTGATGAATGGGCTACGGCGTCGCTTACCCGCCGGTGGACCCATGATGACGGAGCTGAAGATCCCGGAAGTCCACTCGACCCTCTTCGCATACTACCTGCACGTCCGCCATCACAAGTGCGAGTCACAGCATGAGGAAATCTTCTCGCCACTTCTGCGGCAATACATTCAGGAGCCGTACGAGTCCAAGTATTTCGTGAACACACAAGGTGGCAACATCAACGTGCACGGACTCTCACCATATATGCCGCCTCCACTCAGCGGTAAAGGTGCCACAGAAGGCCTATCGCTACAGCTCTGGGCTGACCCAACGTGCAACTCGACTGTGAAAGTATCCCTCAAAGTCGACATAGTGGGCAGTGCCGGCAAGCTGGTCATGCGCTACAGGACTGTCTTCGCTTCCTTCCCACTGCTTGTCGTTGCCGTCGTGCTACGCAAGCAGTTCAAGGTCTACGACACTACAGGCGTCTTCATGAGTTTCTCACACGCCACGGATCAGTGTATCCGCACGTCCCTACCTGCAGTCTTTACAGCACTTACCTTCCTTGCAGTCGCCTTGTCAAAAGCTACACAAGGTCCCTGGGCACGGAGGTGGTTCAGCAATTCGACCGGCGCTAGTATGGAGGAAATCGACTTTACCATCAACGACTTCATGCTGGGAACTTCGGATCCATTTTTCTGGTTCTTGGTGCCTCTATTTGGCGTCATCAGCGTGGGTATCTGTATTGCGGGCAACTACTTCGTACTCACCATCACGCATCTACTCACTGCGATACATGGCATCGTCCGAAGCTTGACGACACGAGGCGATGACGCTCGAACACCGGCGAATGCCTTCGCGATGACCGCACCTTATCAGCGGATGGTCATCACCGGCATCCTACTACTCATGGTCATCACAATCGTACCATATCAATTCGCATACGTTGTGCTCTGCATAGTCCAAATCGCAACATGTGTCCGGGCGTTGCGAGTAGCATTTGACGATCTATCTGGACAAAGCTACAACTTCTACAACTATGCGCACTCGATGCTGGTGCTGATGCTTTGGATACTACCAATAAATATGCCGGTCCTGGCAGTCTGGATACACAACCTCGCGGTGCATTGGTTGACACTCTTCTCGACCCATCACAATTTGCTCTCGGTACTACCGTTTATACTTATCGTTGAGACGATGAGTACGGGTAGTATGGTGCCGAGAGTGACGAGTCGGTAAGTGATCATGCTCCCCAAAGACTCACATCTCCAGCCTTGTCGCTAACACGTACTTTTCAGGGTACGATACATCACGAACATCTCAACCTTTGGCTTCGCTCTCTACGCCGCCGTCTACGGCGTCACCTATGCTTACCGACTCCACCACATGGCCAATGCATTATGCGCATGGCTCTTCATAATACATCTATCCAATGGTCCACTGTCGCTGGCGAAGCTGGGCCAGTATTTACCCAGGTCGAGAGGGGCATCGGGGTCGGCGTCGCAAGGAGGTCGGCATGTTAAGAAACGGCCTTAGTCCTGTTATGAGCGGTGTATGGTCGCCGTTTGTGTGTTTGTGGGCGTACGAGCGAGCTTTTTGTCAAGAAGGTATATTGTACATATGACTAGATGCGTAGTGTGTAGTACATAATTTGTAATGGTGTCTGTTGAGCAGACGACACCTTTATATCATGATTACATCTTCGTTCGCACGTCGCCTCATTGCGGCATCCGATCCAATGATCTCTTAGTTCTGTTTATCCGAGAACAATCACATAGTCTGAACACCAGCTGTAGCGCTCCTCCGCCCTCGTTAGCGATAAGCAAAGCAGAGAAAGCTGAATCTTGAATCATCGCCAACCCGCTGCAGAACGAAGACTGCAGATCCGGCTTCTTGCATATCTGGCAGAGAGTAAAAGGTCACGACCTTTGCTTCAGCCAACACGGGTTATTCGAACACGGGATGGCACAGCCCAAGAGGCACTCGTCCGATCGCCTCGTTGGTCTGCGGAGTGGGAAGGATTACTGACTGCGTGTAGAGACTCCCAAGTCCCGGGATGAATCAGCGTACTGTTGCTGTCCATGATCAATCTACGCACACGATCGTCGTAAGCGACTAAGCTGCGGCCTAAACTCCCACGCCACTACGAGGCCGCCTTCGAGTCGGATGAGGAGGCAGTGCGTGCGGGTAGCTCGACCGCCTCTGAAGTCGTGCACCGCTGTAGAGACGGACTGGATGGCCTGGCGCCGTCATAGTACTGCGCGCTCTGGCCACGCTGGGCTGGCGGTTTGGGGCGAGTGTCTCTGCTTGCTTTAGACACACTATGAGCTCTGCTTTGTGGGCTTCAGTTCCTTCCAGAACATGCTTGATATACTCTTCGGGCGTATGCTGCTGGCCGCCATTGTCTGTGAAGATATGCTTCGAACGCCACATCGGATCGTCGCGCACTCCTAGAGCGGCTAACATTGACCTCGTCGTCTGAATACCATCGTCAAGCGCGAGATGAAGCACAGTACGGGCTTTGTACCGTATGGTAAGATCAGTCCTGCGTGCTAAGAGTTGCATCGTCTCTTGCTGGCGATTCTTAAAATTTGCGTCAGCGTTGGCGATCTTGCACGAAGCAACAGGTCGAGCAGAACAAGCGACAGCAAGTGGTATTCTGAAGTCCCAAGCTTCTTCTTTCACATTGGGATCATGTGTTTGAAGCAGCCATTGCACGAAGTTCGGCAACGCGAGCAGAGCAGCTAGATGCAGACTGGCGTCATCGATCGCTGTGCCGTCGTTTGTCATACGATATGCTTCAAGATTCCCAAGGAATAACGATGCCATGCAAATGTCAACTGCCTCTGCAGATACTTCTCCGGGTTGAACATCTGGATACGCTCCCAGATATTCGAGTGAGGGTTCGGGTATCTCAGACGCCAAGATGGCGTCTCTATCCAGATTGAGTAGTGCTTGCAATACCGGGATCCGGGTTGAGTCAAGTAAGCAGACAAATCCTGCGGAGACTCCTGTCGTGGGAGTTGTGTATAATGGCAATACTGTCTCATGTAAGCCAGCTCTTCTGCTAATATTACGGACAGACATTAGACTCACCTGTATTCCCTTTCTTTTCAATCAGCAAAAGAATGGCGTCATTGCATATAGCTGGCTTGGTGGAAAGACTCCAGAGCAGCACAGTGCACGGCTCAGGTTCCCAGCCGATGGCGAGACTGTGATCGGTCATCCCAGAGGTAGACATCCCATTATCAAGGAGAAGTTCGAGGAGACCGGTGCTGTTCGGGAATTTCCGTAAGCACTGATGCAATAGTTTGCCGAAGTGCTGGCGTGGCGTGCGTGACTGGCATCGAACACAGATTCTGGCCCATCGTAAGATATCCACTTCGTCTTCGAATTTGTCCATCAAGGCTTGCAGCACAACCTCGAAATCTGCGGATCTACTCATAACCTCGAATAGGGTTTCTGCGTTTGCCACAGCGGCAGACACGAAGCAAAGAGCATTGCTTTGGTTTGGATCAGCACCCCGGGCGAGGAGCAGACGTAATATTGACTGATCAGGATGCGCACTGTGGATGGTCTCCATGAGGGCTGCATCGACATTTGCTTTGCCTGGATCCCATTGCAATAGGCTCTGGTACACTTCCCGGCGCATTTGAGAGCTATGGAAGTCAAACTCACGTGCGGCCTTGAAAACGGTGGCTGCCGTTATGTCGTTTGTAATGTGTTGACACAGCAGCTTTACGGCATCAGGCGATCCGGCCTGGAATGCTAGTTGGAAGACTTCTGCCTCTCGGCGACCAACATCGGCACCATGCTGCAACAGAAGCTTCGAGCAGGACAGATCGTGAATGTCATCAAGCTCGAACGTCTCATTCAAGGCTTCGGACACAATTTCCGTCGGGATGTTACCAGAGAGTAGTGCTTCATACACCCACTGCCTCCTAGCAACATCCATGCGCGTAGCTCGAGCATAAGAGAAGAGATCTGCTCTATTTACGGTTTCGCAATGAGTCAGCAGCAGGACAAACAGTTCTCGAGAACATTGCTGTATTGCGGCCTGGACGGAGGCGGGCCGAACCTCAGCATTCCGACCGAGCAAGAAATTTGGTAGCTGTGTACATGCCGGAAGCGCCGTAATCGAATCGACGAGCAGGGACGACTTCTTGCAGGCTAGCAACCCGGCGTTGGCGGCAAGCAGATGGCCAAAGACTAGATCTTTCTGCTCGATGCTCAGTGACGCACCTGCCGCTGCAAGGCATGCCTGCTTCAGGACGTCATACGAGGGCCGATGAGGCAGCAACAAGTCCAGGACTTTCAGGGCTCCCGCTTGAGCTGCAAACAGTACCGCACTTCCATTATTGTGATTGACAATGGCAGCATGGGCAAGCAGAAGCTGAAGGCCCGCAAGATCTCCAGTGACTGCCATCTTCGTTTCGCGTAAGAGGGCTTCGGATTGGCCAATTTCGGCAGACTTTGCACTCTCCAGTAGCAACTTCATGCACTCCAGACCAATTTTTCTAGGTCCCAGCTCTGTTGCGCTATCAAAGGCTGCTTCCAGGATCTCTAGCCGCGGATTATGAGCAAGGACATGGCGGAGCAGTGTCGTATCTTCGGAACGGACGACAGTACAGAGAACGCTGCCGCCTTGCGAATTGATGTCCAACCCGTGTCTTAGAAAACACGAGATAATCTTCGATCGTTTAGCCATGTTCTCGAACAGCTCTGGGGACCAGTAGGCATTTAGTACAGCCGTTGCGTGAATCGACGAACTAAGGACGATATCTAAAGCCTTGGCGTCGTAGGCCCATTCATTGTGATAGAAGGCGAGTATAGCAAACAGGCTCGTCTCGTTCGGAGGACGGAATATGCAGAGCATCTTGAGCAAGGCTATGTTGTTGAAGGACTTCAGGGCCACAATATATCCGCTACCATCGTCATAATTCGGATCAGCGCCATGTTCGACCAACTCGCGGACAGCATCAAGGCGTTCGTCCTCTGCTAGTGCAGTGAGCAAGGTCTCGTTAACTAGGTCTCCTGAAGCTCCATAATCTAGCAGAAATCTGAGGGTGCCAAGCGTGACATCGTATTGACCTGCATGAATTGTGCTGAATGCGAGCGGGACGGCCTCGTTGATCGTCTGCATACGTGGTCCAGCGGTGCACAAGAGCTCCAATGCTTCAATATCACCGTAGCGTGACGCCGCCAGAATGACATTATGAGCATTTTCGCCCACGCTGTCGATGGGTGCACCATGATGCAGTAGAAGCTCCATGGTCTCTAGCCGGGTAGGGTCGTGCTCCAACATCGCGGCCTGTAGCGGTCGTTCAAGCTCGTCAGCTTCAACGCCCTTGGAAAGAAGAGTTCTCAAAACTCGCAGTCTTGACGTGAATGGGCGTAACGCCATAGCATTGGGTATGGAGTGGGACAGAGCGGTCTTCGAGCATTGCACATGCAGCAGTAGACCAAGCATGGTAAAGTCTGCGTTGTCCACAGCTACGCATATGCCACGAGCATCGTCGTACTCAGTTGACGCACCAATCTCCAGCATCTTCTCCACAAGCAAATACTGTCGGTTGCTAACCGCACTGATCAAGTGCATGTTTAAAGGTTGTCCTTTCAGGCCTCTAGGAGCAAGCAGACTTAGCAACTTCAGCATATCGTGCTCGGGTGTGACATCCTCTACGGATGCTAGTGCTAACGAGCCTGAGATCGAAAGCTTGACGTTCATGAAAATGTCCAATATTTCGAAGTCCAGTGTTCTTACAGCCCAGAGAAATGCATTTTGAGGACCGACATCAGGTTGCACACCACAGCGCAGAAGCAAGGTGACCGTGTCAAGCTGGCGTAGCTTGACATCCTTCAAGAGTTCTTGTTGCAAAGCTGGGCAGTCATTCAATATGTGTGCTTGTTCGAATAGAGCTAAGAATCTGTGGCGAGTCTCATGATTACACAGGCTTGCTACCAGCGAGCATGCTTGCTTACCGACGTCGGAGAGGTTGCTGGTCCATGAGCCATATGCCAGTAGTACTGCAGCTGCTCGGACGTTCTGCACCTCGATTGCCTTTACGAACAAGAACACCGAAGCGATGTCAGGCCGTTGAGCAACCACCATGTGTAGTATGACTGGGTATCTTGCAAGCTGTGGTTCTAAACAGAATCGCCAAGCTTCGGTATCCATAGCTCGTGGCACAGAGAGTAACAGTCTGGCGAGGACGACATCGTCTACCATCATGCGGGAGCGTATGATGTCTTTGTGTGTGCGAGCCGAAGCACCATAGGTGAGGAGTATCTCCATCGCATCGAAGTTGCGCATCAACAGAGCGATGCCAAAAGCTTTGTTAATGCTTTCTTGGCCAACCCCAGCTTGACACATCAGGTCGATGTAACTAAGATGATTGCCTGCAGTGACAAGATCCAGCCATGTCATGGGGGCCGGCACCAGAGCTCTCGATTTTCGGAACCTGCTCGCTGTTCGCTTTTCCAGATCCGGATCATGCAGATGGCACCATAACTCGTCCAAAGAGTCCGACGACTGATGTGCCCAAACGGCATGCGCGACTGTAGAGCTCGGAAGAGGCGAGTGAGACAGTAGCGAGTCGACAGCCTTAGCAATTTCGTGCTTGCTAAAAGTCCAGTTGGCGGGATTGCGTTGTTTCTCTTTCAACCGGTTCGAACTGAAGTGGTGGCGTAGCCGAGCTTCTGGTGGTCTAAAGTTTGGCTGGGATTTGCGTTGCTCGGCAAGCAGTAGCCTGGCAGCTTCGACATCCGCAGATGACAGGGCCAAGCTCCCAATTTTCGAAGGTCCGGGAAGGAGAGGGATCTTTTCCGCCGGGCGAAGGTCAGCTATATGCAGGACTGCATCAATGCATTGTCCGTTGAGTCGGGAGCCCATTCTTGACGATTGTGCAACCATACAACTCGGCGATTACGAATGGCAAGGCTTCGTGCAGTTTCGAGAGGTGATGGACCAGTGATGCTGGCTGGCTCTTCAAGAGACCAAAGGACATCGAGACCTTGGGGCGAGCTGTGTATCAATGATGGAAGGACCAGAATGACGGCCAATGGTCTTTCGTGCTCATTATGATTTGAGAACAGTCGAGCCAAGGCAGGTAATTGATGGGTCCTTGCGCTTGTCAAAGCAGAGGCTGCAACCTGTATAGTAGTGCTGAGCAAAGAGTAAGCTTGGCATCTAGTGCTACTGCACATTGGCGTCCGCAGTTGTGGCAATCTCGTGCCTCGCCCAGAAGGGGGACAAAGCGTCCTCATATCGCCGAGCGGCTAGATCCTAGAGGCCGCCGGAGGGGCGCAGGACGCAACCTTGTGAAGTAAGTCACCCACGATCGTCAAGCTCCCTGGTGATAAGCTCCGAGATGCCGGCAGCATTCAGTCGATGTAGCCTTGTCAATGATATGGGCGTGGCGTTTGACAGCGAGAGGGACAAGGCGCAGGTGCTATGAGGGCCCAAGCTTGGGCTGCATAGGTAGAAATTAGTGGGTCTCACAGCCATGCAACGCTCTGAACCTCGAACCTGCCGTATATTTTCCACTCCCGATCACCTTACATACGAGTTTGATGCTGCTACAAAATCGGCGCAACACGCTCCCTCGAACCCAACGGCAGAATCCCATTGTGCCAATTTTCAGGGTTCGCTCACAACGTAGGCTGATAGAGGCAGCCACGCAGCCTTGTCATCGGCCTCAACCTCAGCCTCGCCACGGTTGCCTTTCTGTCGTCATGCCCAACGAGCCTTATGCGTGGCTTGCTGGCAGAGATGCCTCGTCAGGCTGTGCTCGAACAGTTACCCCACCCCCTCTGCTCTGGCTAGTCGACCTGGATATGATGTATAGATAAGTCGGCTGAATCCACAGTTCGTTCTTGCAAGCAAAGGCGCCTTCAGAATGGAAATGTCGAACTCGAGATCATCGATGTCGTCCAGATCCCGTACGGACATGTCGAGAGAGGAGCTAAGGATGCATGCCGAGAACATGTTGCGAGCTGCTACAGCAGGTCGCGCCGGACACCCATCAACATCGGCCGGATCACCCTTACGTTTGGATCTGGATAGAGGCCAGCTCAACCAAACAGCCGAAGACTTGCCACGGTCGATGGTGGACACGTCGAAAGAAGTCTACGTGCCAACAGCGGCGAGTCTTCCATCGTATCATAGCAGAGCCTCGGACGCCGACGAGCGAGTTCTGATGAGAGGTTCGAACTCCGCCACCAGCAATGATACTGCCAGACTGCGGAAACTCAATCTTCAACGAGAAGTCGACCAGGCAAATGCCGCCACCCGAGTGCGTAATACAAGCGGACTATTCAGAGATGCCAGCTCGACAGACTTACTGTTCTTGATTGACGCGACCAACTCCATGAAGCCTTACATCGACAGCGCCAAACAACAAGTTCGGTCAATCGTTTCTGACATTAAAGAAGCATTTCTGAACCAGGCTGAGGTTCGTGTTGCGACTGTTGTATACAGAGATCACAATGCAAAGCCGAACACTGAATTTCTCGACTTCACCACCTCAGTAGACGAAGTGTGGCAGTTTCTGGACGGTATACGCACTGCATGGGGCAAAGACTTTCCTGAAGACGTTCTTGGCGGTCTTCAGCAAGCGCTGAATGCTTCATGGAGACAACATACACGATGCATCATCCACATTGGGGATGCACCACCGCATGGAAGTCAGCTTCACGATTTCGCCCCACAACTCGACGACTACCATGTCATGGGTAGCGAACCCCATCACTTGACTCACGGACCGCTTCTCAGGCGGTTGATCCAGCTTAACATCAACTATGCCCTCCTGCGCATCACGTCCCACACCAATAGAATGGCATTGGTCTGGGCCTGTGCGTACGGTGCTGGCAATGGTAAACTTCACCCGAGCAATGAGTACTTTGGCGAGACAGGCATAAGCGCAGTCAACGGTCTTCGCGAGGGCAGCAGTGAAAGACGCTCTGCCACGGGCGTCAGTCCTCAATTTGAGGAATTAGAGCTCGGCACCACATACAGCAGCATTCGGCATCTTGTGCTTGGGAGTGTGACGAGCTCTTTCTCGAGGACTGTTGGACGGCTCTCGATGGCGCTCGGATCACCTGACAGAAGCAGTGGCATGCGATCCCCAACCCGCCAGGCGGGTAACGACTTCAACGCAATACAAGAAGAGGGCCATAGCAGCGGCTCTGGCCATGGTAGTGGCTCCGAGGATGGCACACAACTCTCACTTGAGACGGATCCTCCGCAGTGGGCAACTCCTGGGTGGCTTGATACGACTCTGGAAGTCCAAGGCTTTTGTCCAGCCACGCTAGTGCACGGCGCCAGTACTCTCAACGATATGTTAGCTGGCGATGAACACATCAAGCTTAGTGTCATAGATCTGACAGTGAAGGCTCGCTCGCAGGCTTTCAATCACGGCGCTCTACGAAAGGCATCGTACGCTCGAACCACTGCCTCGACTAGTCACTTTGTGCTCAAGTCATTCATCAGAGAGGGACACGGTCGCGCTTACGTGATCGAAGATATGCGGATGCAAGCTCTGTGTAAAGCTTTCGCCCTCGAATTCAACAGTCTGGTGCAGATCGACCCACCGCTTGACTTCATAGTCACCTCGTCGCTCGAAAAGAAGAGGTCACAGCCGGCGGATCGAGATGCGAAGCATTTCTCTCTCGAACCATTTCTTGACGGGAACTACGTAAAGTATAACGACAACTTTGCTGGTGTCAACGCAGAGTTGGCCGAAGATCCCTTCAATCAGTCGGCGCAAGCATTCTCCCACTTCACCTTCGAAAGATCATTTGGCAATCTGCTTGTGAATGATCTGCAGGGAGTAAATCACTTGCTCACCGACCCAAGCATACAGACCAAGAATCCGATGAGGTTCAAGCTCTCGCAGACCAATCTCCACGAGGACGGCTTCAAGCTCTTCTTCACTACCCACCAATGCAATACTGTTTGCGAGAGGCTTGAGCTCAAAAGCAGGAAAGAAATGTTCATGACAGGCATCTTCGAGTATCGTGAACGCTGGCCCACAATGGAGCCAACGGTATCCTGCTCGAACCTCTTCTGCCGTAGCATCCTACCCCTCACCGACGCAGTACAGGCGAGCGAGTATCCCGGCACGAGCTGGTGCCGCGACTGTTATGAGCAGCTGATGACCTCCAAAACTTCATGGATCTGTATGGCGCCTGGACCGAATCATCAATTCGTCGTCAACCAATTCTATAGTGAATCGCAAGGCAAACTGCCGCCGCGCAAGTGTCCGGAGCACACCGACAGGGAACGAACAGGCTCGAGCGCGGCGGCGATAGGTGGGAGTCTTTGGGCGAGGATGAGACCACCAGAGCCAACTGGTACGATCTCAAGCAGAGCGTGGTAAATTGACGAACCCAGCTTGCTACCGATTGATCGTTCTGTCCTTGATATTCGACAGCCCTGTAACCCAAAGTAAATAAGTGATAGATGTAGATCGATTATCAAGTTCTCCATTGCGAGCAAGCAAAACCATGTTCACAATAATACGTGCATACAAAGTCGTACTTGGCCAGAACATGAAGGCGTCAATTTTCCCGGCGGTTGTGGCGCTTCAGCCAGCCTCACTTTCCAAAGCAACCAGCCGCCACGTCTTCTACCCCAACGTCCCGAATTCATTATCGCGCGCCCTTGGAACGTTCAAATGCTGTAGAACACTCCAAGCAGAAGCCCTGATGGAAGAACTCACGATGATCGGCATCGGTGCCAGAAATGACCGGCATGGGCGGTGAAGAGCTCCACCAACGACGGGTACATAAGCCCAACGCTACTGCATCTCACCAAAGGCTTCGCACGAGCAAGACCCGGTGAGGGGGTGGCAGCTGTGCTACTTCCTGCTATCCATATTGCGGTCAGCTCTCTTCTGTGTCTCCGAACCGGTAAGCAAGCACGATATAAATGCGTCGGCGCGGAAGAGAGCCAGCAGATGCCGTGATTGCTGTTTGCGAGCAACGCCACGCTATGCCAGCGAAAAAGCTTTGACGGATTACCATCGTGTTGAGCGAGGAGGGCTGGGAAAACATACTTATGATTTCCCTGCCTCTTCTCTAACTTTTGTATGTCTCTGGTCATCGCTACAGCATATCGTTACACAACTACGACGTCACGAGGATGATTACGATGTTGTTGCCGTCGCCGTCGCTTAGCGTGTGCGACTCGTTGGATGGCATCGATGACCTGGATGCATTTCTGGCTGCTCAAGGACCACTCTCGCAATTCGCCACGCCGCCTTTGGAGAACAAGAAGGATGTCGTTGTGGTTAAAGCTGTGGAGGTGATCGACGATGTTGAATCTGGCGGCGAGTATGTGGAGCTTGATCGTAAGTTTATCGCCACCACATATGCGCAACTCAGACACTGACCCTTGACAGATGATCGCGTAGCACTCCACTTCGCTTCGGAAGCTGCTGGAAGTTCGATTTATACTGGCCCTGACCTCGACGAAGCTCTTCGCATTCAAGACATGCTGGACCTAGCCAAGTTGCCACCAGAGATCCTTGCTCTGGCATACAATATCCTAGCCAACTACAGCGCTCACGATGATGGCTACAGTCTTACCCTCCATCCATCTGACCTAGTCGTCCTTTCCACACTAGTACTGGCTGTCGATTACACCACCGACCATGCACCACGGACGAGCTGGTGGTCGCGCAATGTCTGTCAAGCTCGATGGACCGCCAAGCAGATTGACAAGGTGATGCTCCACGTCTGCTCTAGCCTGGAATGGAATCTATATAGCCTTGCATTACCAGAGGCTGTAGTGCATGGCATGGATCGGCTTCGATCGAGTCTACCTTACGAGCACGCAGTACCGGAGCTCACGCATTCTTATTCTACCGACTCGCTGGACCATGTGGCAAAAGCTGCCGATATGATCAGGACGCCTCGAATGGTAGCGTGTAATGCTAAGTCTCCATTGAGATTAGTACCAGTCAAACCGGATGTGATGGTGTCGATGGTCTGGGCACACGGTCAAATCACACCCAACGATACGCCGCCGGTGTCTGCGGTTGAGATGAAGCACTCCGAGTCGTGTTTTTTAAGATTGCTCTAATGGGCATGATATGCGGACAAGAAAAGATATGTGTGCTTAACGAAGTCATGAATGACGGATTTTTGATACCCCAATGGTCGACGAACAAGCGGACTGCTATACAGCTGGATTGAGAAGAGTAGATAATGTTTAGGAGGGCGTGGAATAAGTCCGAGCATTCGTTCAAACAAAGCATCTTCTCAAACCAATTCTCGTATCCATAGCTCATTTTCGACCAAGAAGCATGTCACTGTTCCTGGTTAATGCCAAGACCACGTCATCGGTATAGGTATGTTCGTCTTCACATGCCAGTGTTAGTTTATCGTTAACACGCACTTCAAGCCTTGAGGTGCCCGTCACGCAATGGGGGGTTGTGTTCGACAGACACTTGACTGCTAACATTTCACTCATTGAAAGTCTTAAAGATGGCGTCCCTCTTGCGCCAAATCGTCGCCTCTCCTCGCGTTCGCCATGAGGAAGCAGAACTTGACCTCTGCTATGTCTGCGACAACATAATAGCTACCTCCGGCCCGTCAGCGACATATCCTCAAGTTGCCTACCGTAACCCACTCAAGGACCTGGTCAAATTCTTGGACCGGAAGCATGGCACTAACTGGTCGATATGGGAGTTTCGAGCGGAAGGCACAGGCTATACCGATGACGAGGTCTATGGCAGAATAAGGCATTACCCATGGCCGGATCACCATCCACCACCTTTCGCACTTGTGCCGTTGATCATGGGGTCGATGAGGAATTGGTTACACGATGGTGAGGGCAGGGTTGCCGTGGTGCATTGTAAGGCTGGGAAGGGCAGGAGTGGGACCATCGCATGCAGCTATCTGATTAGCGAGCAAGGTTGGACGCCAGAAGAGGCTATGGAGAGATTCACATCGAGAAGGATGCGGCCGGGGTTTGGTGCTGGGTTGAGCATTCCTAGTCAGAGGAGGACGATCACGTATGTGGATCGATGGACGAAAGGTGGCAAGGTATACATGGAGAGGAGCGTGGAAGTACTGGAGATACATGTCTGGGGTCTGAGGAATGGTGTCAAGGTTGCTGTGGAAGGTTATGTGGACGAAGGCAAGGTGATTAAGAACCATCATACTTTTAGTACCGAGGAGCGAGAGATTCTGAGAGGCGGTATAAGAAATGACGTGGGTTTCGCGAGCGTGACGATGGAAGTCGTGGGCAAGAAGCCGCGAAAGGACGGCCTCAATACTTCGAGTGGGGAGGCTACACCTATTGGCGCACCGTCTGAGAAGGGTGATCTCGATAGGACGGGATCGGATCTGCTGCAAGAAGGCGGCGATGTTGTGTTCCGTCCTTCGAAACCTATCGTACTACCGTCCAACGACATCAACATCGACGTCGAGCGGAGGAACAAGTCCAGGTACGGCGGCTTCGCCATGGTGAGCGCAGTAGCACACGTGTGGTTCAACACTTTCTTTGAAGGCAATGGTCCCGAACAAGGTGGAGGCGCCGATACATCAGGTGTCTTTGAAATCGAGTGGGACGCCATGGACGGCATCAAGGGCAGCAGTCGCAAGGGCACACGTGCTTTCGATAAACTGGCCGTGGTCTGGAAGAGTGCCGATGAGGGCAACCCCGGTATCATCATTCCTGAGCCTCAGCCGGGCGAGGAAGCCAAGCAGATGCGATCGGCGAATATTGCAGCTGGCAAAGGAGCCGACGAGAGAAGTCAAGATTTCGAGAAGAAGTTGGGTCTGCGAGAGCCGGACTCCGCGAGCGCGGCGATTAGTCGCGCGAGCAGTATGGAGGATGTTAGGCATGGTAGTGAGGGAGAGGTGGCGGACGAGATCGAAGGCGTACAGTCGTATCACGAGAGCGAGGGCCATCACAAGGGCACAGCCTCGGAAGGGCCGGATCAGTATCATGGTCGGGCGCCTACGGAGACGGATGTGCATGGGATTGCGTCCGGGGTGAAGCACAGTACTGCTTGAGTGAAGTGAGGTGTTGGAGAATGTGCTGTGTCGTGAAGCGTTCAAGCGTAATGTAAATCATTGGAGAAATAAATCATGAGTCGGGATGAACTACACCCATTTCCATCGCGCCCCCTTCGTACTTCACGAACCGAAATGGCTTTAGGTCTCCGCGAGCACACCTGCTCTCAAGCCCTTGCAATCTCCTTCCCACCCAGCCAGTCCAGCGCCCAGTATATCGTAATCATGAACTTCCGCCTCCAACTCCTGGTCCACAGCAAGTTTTTACTTCGCCACGCCGCCCACGCTCTAGGCCCGCTCCACTCGGGTCGCCCATGCACCACACCATCATGGCCACCTATGTAAGCCACCAGAGCTTTCTGCTTGTACTCGAATGGCGCTGGCGACGCCGCGTTGCTGCTGTTATTGAGTACGCGCACGAGATACTCTGCTTTCTGCACCGCCACTTCCGCGGTAGTAGGCAGGAAGTACTTCTTGATATCTGCTGCGTCGCCGAGTGCGAAGACGTCTCGCATGGGTTCTTGCTCGGGTCTTGGGGTCAAGACGTGGAGGTAGTCGTCTGTCATGATTCTAGGCAGCTTATCTGTCTTCGCAGTCTCCAGCCTATCAACCAGCGCACTGCTTCTTCCCCGCCGTCCACAAGATCATCCCGCAGGCTATGCTGCCTTCGGCTTCGGTGGTAATGCTATCAACCTCCACCTTCTTGATCTTCGAACCAGTGATCACAGTTACATGTCGCTTCGAGAAACTCTCCAAGGAGTGCTTGCGTAGCGCTTCCTCGAAGGCTCCGAGGATAAAAGGTGCGGCATCGTGGATTGTTATACTCATTCTACCCTTGAGGTCCGGGTAGAGTTTCGAGAAGTCGTCGTTGAAGAGGTCGGACATCTCGGCTGCGAGTTCTACTCCTGTTGGACCGCCGCCGACTATGATGATATGGAGTAAGCCGCGCTGTTCTTCTTCACTCATGCCGGGCAGGGAGGCGAGCTCGAGAAGCTGCTTGAGGCGATGTTGGACTTTCTTTGCGTCGGCGACATTGCGCACGAAGAAGCTGTGTTTGTCTGCTCCCGGCGTGCGGAAGGTGTTCGTGACGCCTGGAGGCTTTTGTCAGACCGTGCATTACATAGATTGTTCTTGATGACAGGTTACTTACATCCTGGTGCCAAGATCAATCGATCATAACTGACTTCGAACGCCCGGCCCTCGCCAGCACGTACATCATCACAGGCAGACATACATTTGCATGTCTTGGTATGGAAGTCGACATCTTCAACTCGCGCTTGTAGATACGTGAGCTGCCTGCTCTTGTGTCTGATGGGCTCCTCAGCAAGGGAGAAGTCAAATAGTCCACATGCTGCACTAGCCTGATGGTTCGGTCAGCGAGATACTTGCGCTGTCAATGTATCATTTGCGAGTATGTAAGTTCAAGCTTGCACATGGCACACATACTAGTAGTGGCGTGTATGGCGAAGTATCCTCTGGTGAAATCACAATGATCTCGAATTTCTTGTCGTCGAGCTTTTGCGACAACGTGTAGCCCGCCCAGCCGGTGCCGACGATCACTATCTTCTCCTTAGCCATGCTCGATTACGATGACACGGCCTTCGTTCGTGGTGAGCAGTGTTTTGGTATTCTGGGGCCAGAACGCGGGCGGCTGAGGATGTCGAGATCACCTTGGTCCTCAAGCAGGTTCGACAGTGACTACGCTGCTTATACCTCCAATTTCGAGAATTGTGTCTGCGGCTGCAGTATTGAGTGACACAATTTGGCCGTGATGAGGCGGCGCGCTCAATACATCTCTCCGTGAATGACAGTACGTGGCGGATGGGTCTCTGCAGCGTTCAATAACGAGAGTCGATCTGGAAACTCGTTATTTCGACGGTGCTGCTTGGGAGTATCATACCGGCGAACGCAATCAGCCTTCATTTTCCAAGTATCGAGGTAGGAATCTCGAGCTATCTCGAGCTCTAGTACGTGTTGGTGAAAGGTAGATTTGTGCAGCGCAATAATTCCTGGGTATCGTTACAGTAAGCATATCACTCCTCGTCGCCACCAATCCCAAGCCCTCAGTAATGCCAAGGAGACATCCTGTTCAAAGACTGTCCCAAAACATATTCGCATAAAAGCTCTGCGGTAACTTGCTGTCCACGTTGACCACGTTGACGTCTCCTCGCGCAGTGTTTCGAATGACTGCGCGATGGAAGTCACCGGTAGTCGCATCCTGCGAAACATCGATGCCAAGGGATCGATAGAACTGTAACTTGAGCCTATGCGAAGTATTGTCAGTTGACATCGGGCCAAACCATTCCGGCAATACGAACACAATCTCGTCCTCCGCCTCAGCACCTGCTCTTCGCCCGCCCTCTACACCTTCGCGCTCGAGACCCTCCAGTACGCCTCGCAACGAAGCGGCTTCACTTCCCAGCCTCTCACCCTCCCACTCCACCTCACTGACACCTTTCGCTACACGGAACTTCTCCGTGTCCATCCTCAGCATTTCTGCTGCATGTTTGCCGGCATCATGTCGCTCCTCTTCGAAGCCAACTTGGCTCTGAAGCGTGTTGAGCCGCCGCGACAGGTTCTTGAGGATCGTTGTATGTTGATCCAGACGCGCTGCGCGGGTGTTTTGAAGAGCGGAAAGTGAGCCAGATATACGTGTGAGACTGTCCTTGTCAGGTGCGATGTGGAATTGTGTTGTAGTTTCCGAGATGAGCGTGACGGGATCCTCGTCGAAGAGCACCATTTTTGCTGTAATATTGGTCTTCGATATGTGATGGTGTGGCGATGTCAAGGGCATGTTTATGCTAGTTGTTTACTCGAGATCCGTCCCCGCAACCACATCCGTTGCCGCGCACGGACACATGACGCTCAACGCCACACCTCATGGCGACGCCACGTTTCTGTCGCATGTGAACCCTGGAGTTCGATAGAGAGCAGGCGTCAGTGATGCGACTTTGGTAACCACATCGACCTCATTGAACACACCGCAGCCATGAGTAACCTACCGTGTACGTTGCCCTACTTCATACTAACACCCACAAAATCAGCATCCTCTCCTACCCGCTTGTATCTGATCATCTGAACGATGGCTAACTCACTATACTGGCTTCCAGACGCAGCAGACGCTGAAAGGTATGCAGGAGATCTGCCAACGAAACTTTTAGTATATGCTGACATACGGACTTCTACAGTCCACTGAAACCTGCCGAGCTCGAAGGTATGCATATCAAACCAATACCTTGGACTGGACGATGTCTAACAGATGAACCAAAGTTCTGAGGTCGCAGTACGAGAAGGAGGGATCATACGTATCATTACAGACCAAATTCAACTACGCCTGGGGTCTGATCAAGTCCAACAACCGAGCCGAGCAGCAAGAAGGCGTACGCCTGCTCTCCGACATCTTCCGCGCCAGTGTCGAGCGCCGCCGAGAATGCCTATACTATCTGGCCCTGGGCAACTACAAGCTCGGCAACTATGCCGAGGCAAGGAGATATAATGACAGCCTGATGGAGCTCGAGGAAGGAAATATGCAGGCGCAGAGTCTACGAGAACTTATCGACGACAAAGTAGCCAAGGAGGGTATGATGGGCATGGCAATCGTGGGTGGTCTGGCGGCAGCCGCTGCAGTAGGAGTCGGCATGTTAGTCAGAGGATCACAGAGGAAGAGATGATGAAGCACGTTTAGGTTATACGATGTGTACATGGCGTTCAGGGTTCATTATGGATATCTTTACGACTCTTGATGCGTGCTTAGGATCAGAAGCCGACTCCTGCAGTCTCAAGCTCAGGCAATTCTCCGCCTGCTAAACGAATGATCTCGTCCCCTACTTCTCGGCCCCGTCCATTTGCGTGACACTCGTCCATGTACACTCGGAAGGCGGCGTCACTTCCTTTCCAGTCCTCTCGATCATCCTCGAGAGACTCGAAAGTGGCGCCGCATTTGACGCCACCCCATCTCCATAGTTTCAAGATCAGACCCTTGTAGAGCACTTGCCAGACGCTGTAATTGAAGCAGTTCTCGTTTCTGACCTCTAGAGTCTTGACATTTCTCAGCCCTTTCAAAGTCTCGGCAAGTACATATGCCAGAGTATGCGCTTGGCTGAGATCTGCTATCTCGGCGTAACAGGAAGTCGTACAGTCCGGTTTCTGCGGTACGATGGTAAGTTTGTCGAGCCTCAGACTAGGATGGCCAAACGGTAGGCCAAACCAGGATTCGTTCAATGCCCGTAGAGGATTGATCTTTGCTGTGAGTGACAAGTGTCGCAGAGAAGCTAGCTGAGGTTGCGAAAGGTGGGCAGTGCGGAGCGCAAAGATGTCGGGACTACTGCAGTCACTTGGTAAGTCGAATGGCGTGTGGCTCAGTGCGAGTAGCTGGGCTTCCGTCCGGAGCTTGCGGCAGGCCAGGAGGATAGAGAAGTGTGATAATCTTCTGTCTGGCGACACGGATGAGGGTTCAGCCTTGGTGTGTAATTTGAGAGCAAGTGATAGAGCATTTGTAGCCTCGGCAGGTCGCCCCTTCGATAGATTCGCAGCATCGCGAGTGGTCCATTGTTCAGCGAAGATGTAAAGGTATATCTGGTTGCGTAGCTCGCAAGGCAGCGCCAAAAGTGAAGCTGGCGGCGGTATGGAAGCCATTGCTTTCACGGTGTATAGATTGGACTATGCCTCCGTAAGGCTATCGTGTTTGTGGGTTAGATGATTTCAAAGGGTTGTCGTCGTCTCAACGATCATCAATGCCACCAGCTGCGATAAGCGATAGGAAGTCGCGTGACTAGTGACATCACGCGACAACGCTTGGACTTCGGCAGATACGGATGCCCGTAAAGACTAGTGAGCTTGTTCACTTCTTTCACGACGGGCCATGCGTTAGATAGAAAGAACATCAAGGACCACGAAGACAGTAAGCCGATGGCGAGGAAGCGTCACACGAGTGCAGTACGAAGGGATAAGTGCCCCATGATATGGTACTGTGCATCCGAACGAACAGGCATATTGCTACAATCCCTCCTCCTTCATCCGGTCAGCAACACCAACATCGCTATGCCTCTCCACAGTATGCCCCTTCGCCTCCTTCTCCTTAAACCATGCCTTGATAGCCTCCCCCGTCACTTTGAAAGCCTCCATACCGGCCGGCATACCGCAGTAACAGCTTGCTTGCAACACCACTTCTCTGATTTCTTCCTCCGTGGCGCCATTGTTCATAGCACCACGGGTGTGGACGGCGAGCTCTGGACTGCGATTCAAAGCGCACATCATGGCTATGTTGAGGAGAGATCTGGTCTTGAGCTCGAGACCGGGTCGTGTCCAGATCGATCCCCAGCACACTTGTGTAACATACTACGAATGTGTCAGAACATTTGATATTCTGGTAGGATATGGATTGTTGTACTGACTTCTTGCATGTGGCGACCATAATCTGGATCGGCCGCTTTCAAAGCTTGGTCGACATACTCTTTTCCGGCCACCTTGTATCTCATCTTGATTCCCTCATTGTACAACACCTCGCGAGCGTTCTTGATCTCTTCTTCGGAATAATCTGCTGGCATCTTGGATGTCTTTCTTGAGATATACTGGGGGGTTTGAGACAGGACAGAGACGGATAGATGCTGAACTACTTTACCTACTGCTGGAGCTGTGATACGACTACGAGACACGAATGCACTTGTATTTGAATCATCAACTGGAGAGCGTGCTGATCTGCGAGACCGGACGACCGAGCATAGCTTCCAGATTCGAGCTCCAGTCGAGCTATACGCTGACTTCATCGTCATGCATCTTGTACATTTTGCGGGGTCGATCGTGAAGCACTCTTTTACACTCACACTTCTGCTCACGCCTAGCATGAGTGGACGACCACGTTTATTGCCGAGCCTGCGGAGAAGGTCACTTATGCATGGCTGCTGGGTTAAGCTCGTCCTGAGGCGTTCCTCAAGGTCTAATCCTGTAGCACGATAGGCAAGTATCTTTTGCCTACTTTTTCGACGACCGATCTGAGAGAATAACATCAACATCGATACTCCCGTTCTAACAGACATGAGTTCCTCCGTCCTACCACCACCAGTCCCTAATCAGAAATATGTAACAGTCTCCCCCATAGCAGGCGGCTTCATAACTCTAGCCGACAAGTTCTTCGTCTCGCCTTCCGATCCAGATGCTAAACGTACGGTCCCGTCTCTCACCTTCCTGGTCACTCATCCGGGATCAGGCCTCTATGGCGCCAATCCTGATCAACCGTTCCGATTGATGTTCGATCTTGGTCTACGAAAGGCAAAGGAAGCCTACCCCGAAGTGCTGCAGAAGCATATCGATGGCCGAGCTCCGCATTGTCTTCCTCCTGGAGTTGCCAAACAATTGAAAAATGGTGGCGTAGATCCTGCGAACGATGTGGACCTAGTCATGTTGAGTCATGTTCATTATGATCATCATGGAGATCCAGAGGACTTCCCACGCTCGCACTTTGTGGTTGGCCATGGTGCGTTGAATGTGCTGGAGCATGGGTTGGGTGGTATTGCTTCACATCAGCATTTCGTGCCTGGGACATTACCACAGGATCGATCGTCTGAGCTGTCAGACCCAGAGGCGAAGGAAGGAGGGGAGTGGAAGCCGATCGGTCCGTTCCCTGCAACGTTGGATCTCTTCCACGATGGCTCCGTGTACGTGGTCGACACACCTGGCCACTTACCTGGACACCTGAATCTCCTGTGCCGTACGAAGGGTGACAAGCAAGATCGGTGGTTAATGCTCTGCGGTGACACTTTTCATGATCGACGACTACTGACGGGAGAGAAAGAGATTGGCACTTGGGAGGGGCCGAGTGGTGGAACTTTGTGCATTCATCTCGACAAAGAGAAAGCGGCGGAGAGTATCAGACGTTTGCAAGAGTTTGAGAAAGTTGTTGAGAAGTCCGGAGATGGTGTTGAACTGATTGCGGCTCACGAGGAAAGGTGGTGGGAGTCCAATAAGGGAAAGGCATTTCCTGGTGTGCTGTAGCATGGTGTCGCCACCTAAGCTATGACAACTGCATTACCGATGGTTCCGCTGCGCGAGCAGACAATGAATCGCCAAGTGGCAAACTGCATCTATGATCTGGAGATGAGACATGTTTGCTATAGAGACCGACATATCAGTCATGCTCGCAAGATAGCGACACGAAGCAAGAACGATGCTTCGTCGACATATCGTTGGACAACCTCTGACCATGTCGCGTACAGCATCGGATGATGATCGTCAGTTTCTGAAGGATACCAAGACTTATCTGCGCACCATCTCAGACATCCAACTCCTGACCTGGCATGTCCACGCCCGCAACGTCCTAAGGCCACTTTTGGATCGTGTACAAGAGCCGATCTTATCAGTGACCAGCCAGACCGTTAACGAGGTATGCGAGAAGCATGTCGATGCTGTCGAGCTTGAGTCTGATACCGCACGACTACTCATAGAGGCTGCAGGAGCAGTTTCGATACCCCTGTTCATCTCGGACGGTCACGTCTCACTTCATGGTCTCGAGAAATTGTCAATAGGAAATACTGCTCCATCGTTTACCATCTGATCAAAAATGGCTTGAAGTGCAAATCGCATCTGACGACAAGGATGGCGGCCCGACAATCTCACGCACCGTTGCAGAATGTCGAGAGCGATTTCGCAAGACGCCGTCGAAACGAGATCCGTGGAATATCCTAGGCATGGAGAGCTCATTCGCCCATTCTATGCTTCCACCTTGGCTCGCTGGACGTAATGCGGGAATGCTGCTTGATATTGCTCGCTTCACATCGACCAATATTACCGCTAGCTCCAGTGACGTAGTGCTTCACAACATACACAAGTGGCGGCAGATGACATCCTGAATTCTTCTCGCTGAGGCTGGTGCACTGACGACACCACACCAAGACGCCCTCGGTTTCGGAACATGGTTCACTTGTCTCCAAGGTGACATGGGCTTCGCTTGGCTTAGTCGACCCAGCGACAATGAGCTGGCCGAATGGAGCAAAGACCCCGATGGATATCAAGTGGGTCGATGGTGCTATAAAGTACTTCGACCAGACACTACAGTGTACTTCGATCCTGGGCTCGTACATTTGGTGTTTCGTCGAGATGGTGACGAAAGGCAGACTACGGCTGTTGGTGGGCATCTTCTTCGACGGTCCGTCGTAGGGTCTTGGCTCAAAGTCATGTGCCAACAGTTGATTAGTGTCCGAGGCCGGAACTCTACCTTGACAGATGTGCCGCCGCTACCGTTCAATGAAGATGTGGAGCATGTTCTTTACATTGCACCGGTACTGCTGCGGGCAGCGAGGAGACTAGTGTATGAAGACGACTTCGGGTGCAGCGCAATCGAACGTCAGAGGTTCATAAATAATTACTCCCGGTGTCTCCGGCATCTCGACACAATGAATGCCTGCGAACAGAATGAAGGAGTGCCTGGGGGGGAACTGGAGGAAAACGAGCGGGACGAAGATAAGCTGGGCGAAGATGAGCTGGACGAAGATGAGTCGTCAATTGGCCCACGAGAACGTCGGATGACATCGCTGCCGAGACGTCGATCGACCGTGTTGTCACAATCGAGCAGTAGCGGTGTGGATGGCAGTCAGTCTCCAACGGCAGACGAATGGTCCGCAAGAGGGTCTGTGGTCGCAGTGAACCCAGAAAGTCCTTTTGTGGACGATGAAGACTATGCGCGAAGATTGCAGGGACTGGGCCGTCGCGCAAGGAAGCAATTCCAGCGGCTTGAGACGTATCGAAACTGGCTTCACGAGGAATATGTGGAGGATCTGTGATCAGATAGTTAGTGGCTTGCCTATTTTCTGAAGCTCACGATGCTCATCTCATCTGTAAGTCAATCGCTCTTTTGGAAGGTGCGCACAATTCCGTGTGCGACCCCGCGTCGAGACGAGATGACCCGCGGTGGAGAGGGAATCCTAGCGGAATGATAACATCAACCTTTCATATTAAACTGTGCCGCACGCAATGCCGTTGGTATATGATAGCTCCTCGTGCCTGGGATAGCTCAGAGGTAGGGTTTGGAGAGCGGACGTATTTCCTTGCTACTCATATTTACTAATTGTCCCTCTCCCTCTACTGCTTCACAATCCTCACCATCTGGTCTGGCAAAGCTCACACATAGGCACAATCGAGACCAGACAACTGACTGCAGCGACGATGTACACAGCATCTTTTGCGTTCTTCGAGGCGCTTTGGGACGTATGTAACTCATTTCAACCCTCCTAAACCTCACCAGCCAGCTAACCTCACCACCTTTCTCTCACTAGGCCGGCGTAACCCACGTCTTCGTCAATCTCGGCTCCGACCACCCCTCCATAATCGAAGCCATAGTAAAAGGGCAAAATGAAAAGCCCGACCAGTTCCCACGCATAATAACATGTCCGAACGAAATGGTCGCCTTGTCAATGGCCGACGGCTACGCTCGTCTCACGAACAAACCCCAAGCTGTCATCGTCCATGTCGACGTCGGGACGCAAGGGCTGGGAGCAGCGGTCCACAATGCTTCTTGTGGACGAGCTCCAGTCCTCATATTTGCGGGCTTGTCGCCATATACGATTGAGGGCGAGTATAGGGGCAGTAGGACGGAGTACATCCATTGGATTCAGGATGTTCCGGATCAGAAACAGATTGTGGCGCAGTATTGTCGGTATGTTGGGGAGATCAAGCGAGGACGGAATGTTAAGCAGTTGGTCAATCGGGCATTGAGTTTTGCTACATCGGAGCCGAGGGGACCGGTATATCTCTGCGGTGCTAGAGAGGCGATGGAGGAGGAGATTGAGCCTTATGCGCTTGATCAAAACCACTGGAATCCTGTGGAACTGGGAGGCTTGAATGCTAAGCAGTTGAATTTCGTGGCGGATACACTAGTCAACGCTGAAGCACCGCTCGTGATCACAGGTTACTCAGGACGAAACCACGACGCCGTCCACGCCCTCGTCGAACTAGCAGATACCGTCAAAGGCCTCCGCGTGCTCGACACAGGCGGCAGCGATATGTGTTTCCCAGCCGACCATCCGGCATGGCTCGGCCTTCGATACGGCGTAGAAGAGAACATCAAGTCTGCGGACGTCATCCTGCTCCTCGACGTCGACGTGCCATACATCCCCACCCAATGCAAACCCAACCCCAAAGCAAAGATAATCCACATCGACGTCGACCCGCTCAAACAACAAATGCCCGTCTTCTACGTCAACGCCGTCGCACGTTACCGCTGCGATGCCGAGACCTCCCTCCGCCAAATCTCCGGCCTTGTCAAATCCACCATGCACGACCGTATCAGCAGCCAAACCTTCACAGACCGCTTCACCAAGCTCCAGAAATCTCACAAGGAAAAACTTAACACCATCGCTTCCTTGGCCAAAGCCGCCGACGACGGCACATACGGTTGCTCCTACCTCATATCTCAAGTCCGCAAAGCAGTACCGAAGGATACCATCTTCGCCATCGAAGCGGTGACTAACACGGGTTTTGTCGCGGATCAAATCCAAGCCACTATCCCCGGAACCTGGATCAACTGCGGCGGCGGCGGACTAGGCTGGTCTGGCGGCGGAGCACTAGGGATCAAGCTCGCGAGCGATCATGAAGCTGGCGGGAAAAACAAGGGGAAATTCGTCTGCCAGATTGTCGGGGATGGGACATATCTCTTCTCCGTCCCGGGCTCGGTATATTGGATCGCGCAGCGCTATGGGATCCCCGTCCTCGTCATCGTACTCAATAACCAAGGCTGGAACGCCCCGAGGAAGTCTCTCCAGCTTGTGCACCCGGAGGGTCTGGGCAGTAAAGTCGATAATCGCGCGCTGAATATTTCTTTCGCACCTACGCCGGATTATTCGGGGATTGCGAAGGCGGCGGCGGGGGGGGAGGCGTGGGCGGGCGTGGCGGGGACGGTGGAGGAGCTGGAGAGGTTGCTTCCGGAGGCTGTGGAGGCCGTGAAGGGGGGGAAGTGTGCGATATTGGATGCGCATTTGGATGGGCCGCAGGGGAAGTATGGGGGCGGGAAGGCCGTGCTTGTTGGGTGAGTATGTGTGTTTGTCTATCACTGTATAGCCAGGTTGTACATCCACCGTGCCTCATTTGGGGCCATCGAAACTCACGTATCTAGACCATGGTCGCCGGGTCGTACGCAGGATCTCTCGGAAATTGGGAGCCCTCTCACCCAAGGCTGGATTCTGATCAGTGAGTGCTACACGCTCACTGACATCAAATGCGGATCCAGAAGAAGGCGCAGCAGGGCATACAACTCAGTTGATCAGCGCTTGATCAAGCACCTGTATACGAATCTATATCTCCGAGCACAAAGCTATACTCACCCCTCATGCTCCCTCGCCTCTCCACTCCCACTCCCACCACCCCTCCACCTCTTCCCCCTCGCCTCCCGCAAAATACACCCCACAGCCCAACCTGTCCCCACCACCGCCGCCCCAAGCGTAATCCAATACGCGCTCCGATAACACTCCGCACCTTCCATACACACCCTCTCATCCCCAACAAAAGTACTATGTCGATCTAGAATCCCACCATAAGCTAGATTGAAGAAGTTCCCGCTTAGGACGGGTGCCATGGTCATTGCGCCCCAGTTGATCCCTAACCCGGACGGACCAAAGGCATCCGCTACTAAGGCTGGGTAGACGCCGAAAAGCGCACCGTAAGCTAAGCCCGTAAGACCAGAGAGCAAGAAAAGATTCCGCGGATCCGTAAGAACCAACCCCACGACCTGCGCCGCTGTGAATAATCCCCCCGACACGACCAATGTCCAAAATCTACTCTTGCCCCGATGGATCAGGGCATCGGAACCTATCCCCGACGCCAATCGTCCGACGAAGGAGCAAAGGGAGAGGATTGAAACGTGGAGGAGCTGGCGCTTTTGGACGAATTGGGCGGGTGTGGAGGGGTCGTAGTGCCGCCAGAGTGCGAGGGCGTTGTTGCCGATGTTGTTGATTGTCATTAGGCCTACTCCGCATAAGAGGCCGAGGAGCAGGAAGAGTTGCCAGAAGGCTGGGGTGCGGAGGAGGAGGAGGCCGGTGATTTCTGGGGTGGGGAGGTGCGGGTTAGTTTTGTGGTGGTGGTGGTTGTGGTTGTGGTTGTGGTTGTGGTTGTGGTTGTGGTTGTGGTGGTGTTTGAAGGAGGAGAAGGGTTGGTGGGTGGTTTCGTCGTCGATGTCGCCGGGGCCGGTGGTGGAGGTGTTGGAGGAGACGAGGGAGGAGTGTTCGTCTGCTGTGCCTGGCGAAGGGAAAGAATGAGCTAGGCTGCAGGCAGGTGTTGTGAAGGGGTGATGCAGAAAAGTAGAGAGTGATTTACCTGTCTCCCCGTCATCTCCCTTGCTACCCCCTCGACTATACGTCCGGACCATCTTATTACTATCCCTCCTCTCCCCAACCCCAGGCCTCTCCTCCTCCCCCCCACTAACAGCCTGATACCCATGCCCACCACCATTCCCAACACTCCTCACCATCTGCAACCCAAACATACCCCCAAACACCATCACCGTCGTCCCCACCGCCAGCAGTAAAAGATACCCCTCCGTATCATCCGGGAAGAGGAAAGCACTAGCGGTCGTATAGAAAAACGCACTCAGCCCAAACGCACTGAGTGGGAATGCTGTTGCCGTTCCCCGGTGCCGAGGCCAGTTGGTCGCGGAGACTTTGATGGCGGCGGAGAAGGCGGTGCAGGAGCCCATTCCCGTGAGGAGGGAGAAGAGGCAGAGGGTGTAGATGTTGCTGCCATTCCCGTTCCCATTCTCATCCTCAGGTGCACCGCCATTCACGTACGCCCCCCGTAAGCTAAAATACCCCACGGCCAACGCAACCACGCCGGCACAGACGCCCCATCGTGGTCCGCGTTTATCTATTAGGATCCCACCCGGGATCCCCATGGCGTACATGCCTATGTTGCCGAAATTGCCTATTAGGTTCTGTTGGGTGGCAGAGAGGTGTAAGCGGGAAGCGAATTGCGGGGCCCATGCTGAGTAGGCGTAGTTTGTGCCGCAGGAGAGGGCGATGAGGGTTGCTGCTATGACGGAGAGAAGGCGGAGGTTGTGGTGGGGGGCCCGAGGGGTAGTGGTTGGGGTGGAGGTGCGCATGGTGGGTGGTTATGTGGACGGAGGCAAAGGCGGAAATGCCTGGTGGTGGTGGTGGTGGTGTTATCGCTGGAGGTCGAGCATAGATGATGCCGTGTTCTTCTGGTAGTGAGTGTTCCAGGATAGGAAGGTAGTACAGGATCGTACTATGGTGAGGTTTTTGGTATGAGCCAGCGAATCTTATAGGACGGCAGAGGGGAAGCACAGGCAGCTGTCAAGGTGAATAGTATAAGAAGGGAAGAAGGATAAATCAAAACAATACCATCTATCAACCCGCGCCTATCTCTATCGCTTCATTCTTGGATCTTGAACCATTGGAGATACTGTACATACACTATCTGATCGGCATATGTTGTGCCGAGATCCGACAGTCTTGCGTCACTATCACGTGCCAACTTTCTCCACCATCTCTCCATCTCGGCTGTTGGAGGTTCAGCCGCATACGAATGCATCTGTTTAACAACTCGCCACCAACATCAACGACGATACTAACGAGTCAAGATGGGCGCATTACTCTCTTTGCCATTGTTGGCCATCCCCAGCATGGGGACGGTAAGCACACATACAGTCATAAGGTCATGCGAGATGCGAGAAGCGATACTGACATGCTATACCCAGCTCCTCTCCTTCGGCGCCTCATGCTGCGGTGCAGCGACCTGCTCAGCAGTCTGTACGTATATACAGCCCCCACTCCATCAACCACAACAGCCAATGCCATGTTACTAACACGTGATGATGATCAAGGCTCCTCCTGCGGCTCCTGCCAAAACAGCATCCTAACCCGCATCGCCTACGCCCTCCTCCTCCTCCTCAACTCCCTCCTCTCCTGGCTCCTGATGACGGACTGGGCCGTCAAAAAACTGCAATCCGTCCTCCTCGACTACGTCACCATCGACTGCGCAGGCAAACAATGTTTCGGGTTCGCCGCCGTGCATCGCGTCAACTTCGCCCTGGGACTGTTCCATTTCATGCTCGCGGTCATGTTGTTGGGGGTGAATAACTCGAGGGATAAGCGGGCGCCGATCCAGAATGGGTTTTGGGGGCCTAAGATTGTTGTCTGGTTGGGCTTGATTGTGGGGAGTTTTTTGATTCCGAACCGGTTTTTTGAGCTTTGGGGGAATTATGTGGCGCTTGTTGGGGCGATGTTGTTTTTGTTGTTGGGCTTGGTGTTGTTGGTCGATTTGGCGCATACGTTTGCTGAGTACTGTATCGACAAGATCGAAGATACGGATTCCGCGATGTGGAGGGGGATCTTGATCGGGAGTACGGTGGGGATGTATTTGGGGTCGATTGCTATGACGGTGGTCATGTACATCTTCTTCGCCAGGAGCGGGTGTTCGATGAACCAGGCGGCTATTACAGTATACTCCATCACTCCTCTTAATCCCCCCAATTTCAAGCTAACACGAGAATTCTAGGTCAACCTCCTCGCCCTCCTCGCCATCTCCATCCTCTCCATCCACCCGGCCATCCAATCCTCCAACCCCCGCGCCGGCCTCGCTCAAGCCGCAACCGTAGCAATCTACTGCACCTACCTGACCTTCTCGGCCGTGGCCATGGAACCCGACGACAAACAATGCAACCCCCTGGTCCGCGCGACGGGCACCCGCCAAGCCTCCATCGTCCTCGGCGCCGTCGTCACTTTCGTCACTTGCGCTTATACTACTACACGAGCAGCCACATACGGTCTTGCGCTCGGAACAGGCAAACCGCCGGGTTATAATAGTACCCCTGCCGACGACGCGGAAACGGGATCGCACGACCTCATCGCCACCCAGCCCGAAAGCCGCAAAGCCATGCGAGCCGAAGCCCTCCGCCGCGCAGTCTCCGAAGGCGTCCTCCCCGCTTCCGCCTTGAACGACTCCGAGGACTCGGACTCCGACGACGATGAACCTTCGGGTAAACACAAAAACGACGACGAAAAGCACGGCACGGCGTATAATTACGCTTTGTTTCACCTCATCTTCCTCCTCGCCACGGCGTGGATCGCTACGCTGTTGACGCAGAATATTGGCGGGAGCGATCATGGGTTTGAGGGGGATTTTGTCCCCGTGGGCAGGACGTATTGGGCTAGTTGGGTTAAGATTGGGAGTTCGTGGGTTTGTTATGGGATTTTTGGGTGGACGTTGGTTGCGCCTTTGGTGTTGCCGGGGAGGTTTGAGTATTCTTGATTTTTGGGAGGATGTTTGTCGTTCTTGGGATTGTTTATGGTGGGCGTTTTTGGGGGGGGTTTTTTGTGGGAGTGAGAGGGGGGAGTGGTTGGGTTTGGTTTGCAGAGGATGGGAATTGAAAATGGAGGATGATGAGAATGGAATGCCAACGGTCGTTTTTTTCCACGGTTGAGGCGCTTCGTCTTAACGCTGGCTGTTGCGTTATGTTATGTCTATATCTGTCATATCCTATCCTATCCTCAACGCTGTGCATGGCCGCGAGAGGAGATTATAAGTCTTGTCTGGCCTGTTTGGCAGTACTTTGCATCGTGTTTTTTTTTTCTTTCGCAAAGCTCGGCTGGATTCATTCACGGTGGTTTGGGATCGAGAGTCCTCGTTTTCTAGCTTGCTAGCATCAATCATAGCGGAAGGGGGGGGTTTTTTTTTTGGATTGGGCCGCTTCCTGTACCGACATGTATTACCATCCGCAGGGGTCTTCCATGGCCGCCGTGGGCAAGAAAGGAGGGGAAAGGGGATGCGGGGGGAGGGACTGGCGGTGATGATTTGTAGATACCGGTACGGGTGGCCCGCTGTCAACCGACTTTTTCGAAAAGTGCAGGAAACGCGATCTTAGCTACGAATAGTGTGGCAAGTCCTCCATACTACAACGCCTCCCTCCCAGAGTACGTACCGTTCATGCCAGACATTTCTTGGCGTATGTCCCGCACACACATCTTACAGCATCCCATTCATACAAGTCGTATCACCATCGATCGTGCCCACCCAGCGGAAAAACGCCTCTCCCATACTTTTGCAAAACGGACCTTCAAAAACATTCATTATCAATTTTTCCCCAACGTACTCACATCTCTCTCTCGCATCTCGCATCTCACAGCTCTCACACCTTCCCCTGCGCCGCCTCATACAAACTCGCAATCATAACAACAAAATTCCCCACTAGCATCCCTTGGTACCCACCTACCATGGCATTCTCCACCACCCCCACATTGCCCTCTCCCACTATCTGCCCGCCAACCCCTCGCGCATAAACGACATATGTAAGCACCGCTTTCACAATATTAAACGTCAAAGGATCGAGCGTGTATCTCGCTACGGTTACCCTGGCACCATGACGTTTGATGTCGCGAAGGGTGAGGTTGAAGAAGTAGGCAAACAAGCTCGGGAGGAAGATGGCTGTAGTGGCGTAGATTAATGTCGGAGCCCAGAATGTTGAGGATAAGAGGGCGAAGAGGTCCGGGTAGTATAACTTTACCACCGGCCCGCCTAGGCCCAGACGTCGGATAGTGCTATTTAGTTCGGTCAAGTACAGCCAGGGTAGGACTGCCCGTTGCAGGCATAGCGCTTCGAGGAGTTGGATGGAGGTTTGGATTCCGCTTACCGAGGAGCAGGTTTCCCGGATGTAGTCGATTGTTTCGGGGACGCCGGAGACGCTGTAGAGGTCGTTCAGGCCGGCGTAGAGTTGGGTTGTTTCGTATTCGGCTAGGTTGGCCACGTCGGCGGGCGAGGCGGGGACGGGGAGGCGTTGGGTTGAGGAGGGGCGTAGGGGGCGGCCGGGTGTGCGTTTCGCGGGTGCTCGGGTGGAGGAGGTGAGGTCTGTTGTTGTTGTTGTTGTCGTTGTTGATGTTATTGGGGCAAGTGCGGTTGAGCTTGAAGCTATCGCTGCTGGGGAGGAAGGAGCGGCTCCTTCGCTGCTGCCAAAGAACATCAGTACTTGGCATGTATAGCTGTGGATTTATTTATTGTGATTGACATACTCAAACTCCTGCTTCACCTTCGTCGTCCTCCTCCCTCTACCCTTGACTACACTCTTGACCTCGAACTCGTTCTCATCTAGCGGTATAGTAATGGGTATAGGATGAGCGACTGCACTGCTCGATCGTCCTTTAAATGGTGTCCGCCTCATCATCCTGTAATATGCGTCGAATGAGGCGTTGCTGCCAAGCTGTGTCGCGTTCCGTTGCAGGTACGCGTCTAGCGCGTCGACGATCTGTTCTTTGCGCGAGTCCGTGTCTCTGTTCCTCCGTATCAGCATCTTATACGTGGGAACAATGGAGTGGGTATAACGTACTGCCGCAACCCGGCCTCATCCGACAAATCCAACAGCGTCTGTTTGCGTTGACGTTGAAGCCAGGTCGTCATGGTCGTCGGTCGTAGTAGTGTGTAGCAATGTGTAGTGATATGGGTATATTCGGGATCGCGTGAGTTATGCGATTGTAATGAGCCTATACACGATAATGCGCGATGGTTGGTGGGAGATAGTCTCGTGGGTGGGTAAGAGGGAGGTGTTGTATGCGGGCAAGAGTGACGCGATGGAGTAAACAAAGCCAGCTTTGCGCACGGATATACACCATACATAATAGATGACTTATTCGGGGAGTCGATAATCATCATTCCGACTACGTTACAGTCTCTAATGTGAGATTATGTGAATGGTGTGTTCTGTCTACACACCGTATCGATCAGTAGCTTCTATACCGAACGAAGACTTTGGAAGGAGGGTTATGTTCGTGTTTTGCTGGAGGGATTGTCATAGGGCTGAATAGATTCAGCATGCCGTCATATTCGGGGGTTTAGACATGTGCATGATAGCTCCTCCGCTTCGGACATGCTGAGAAATTTGGCTGATGGAGAGCATGTCATCCATATAACCCTCTAACACACCAATCATCTCACACACGTCTCGGAGGACTTGTAATATTGTACTACCGACTCGGAAACTATATCGCCAGCGATTGAGATAGTCTAAACCCTGCACATGCGATAGGCAGGCATCCGTCTTCATGGTACTGGGCGGCCAACTGGCCGAGTACTTCTTCCCATCTCGAGCCGAAGCGGCATCGACAATATCAGCGACAACGACAACGACACTCAACTATGTGGATGACGGTCGGGAGGGCCGGGAGGGTGGGATCAAAGATGAGGGTGGCAGACAGGCGTTCCTGCGACGGCCGAAAGAAGAGCTTCGCACGGATATGAATCCATCACAGCAAAACGTCATAGCGGAGAACATGGACAAAGACGTAGACGCCTACCGCCCCCCCTACCTCCACGCCATGCTCGCCGGCGGCATCGGCGGCACAACGGGCGACATGCTCATGCACAGCCTCGACACGGTCAAGACCCGTCAGCAGGGGGATCCCCACATGCCGCCCAAGTACACCAGTATGGGGAATACCTACTACACCATCTTCCGGCAAGAAGGCGTGGGCCGCGGACTGTATGGCGGTGTCGCTCCCGCATTTCTGGGCAGTTTCGCCGGCACCTTGATTTTCTTCGGCTGCTATGAGTGGAGTAAGCGATTCATGATCGATCATGGTGTTGCGCCCGGGGTGTCGTACCTCGCCGCGGGCTTCTTCTCCGATCTGGCCGCGAGTCCGCTCTACGTACCCACGGAGGTTCTGAAGACGCGGCTGCAGTTACAGGGGAGGTTCAATAACCCTTACTTCACCTCCGGATACAACTACCGCTCCACCCCCCACGCCCTCCGCACCATCATCCGCACGGAGGGGATTGGAGAACTGTTTTCCGGCTACAAAGCCACGCTCTTCCGCGACCTGCCGTTTAGTGCGTTGCAATTCGCTTTCTACGAGCAGGAGCAGAAATGGGCGACGCAGTGGGTTGGGCCTGGGAGGGAGATTGGTTTGGCGTTGGAGATTCTGACGGGGGCGAGTGCGGGTGGGATGGCGGGCGTTCTTACTTGTCCGATGGATGTGGTTAAGACGAGGATTCAGACCGAGTTGGACCCAGAGGTCGCGGCTAAGGCGAGGTTGGCGAGGAAGGGGAAGGGGAAGGGGAAGGGGAAGGGGGTGGGGGGTGCGACTGCTGCTGCTTCGTCGTCATCACCGCAGGATCTGCAGAAGTCCCCTCATCGCCCTTCGGCTGCTGCTGCGCCTTCGGTGGTGGGTCTTCAGCATCCGCAGCAGAAATCCCCAATCTCGACTTCCGGGCCGAGTACGGCGTTGAAACATCATGGGCAGGTGGCCCTGGACACGGAGTCTGTTGTCAAAGCTCTCCGGATTATTTATAAGAACGAGGGGATGGCGGGCTGGTTTCGCGGGGTCGGGCCGAGGGCTGTGTGGACGAGTGTGCAGTCTGGGACTATGTTGTTGGTTTATCAGAAGTTGTTGAGGTGGTTTGGGGCGCATCCGTTGAGTGGGGAGGGGGATGGACTGCGGGATTAGCTGGGGGAGGGGTGGTGTCGGTGGGGTTGGGGTTTGGACATAGATGCATGGCGTGGCGTGGCGTTGCGTTTTTGGCTGGGAAGGGGATATGTGTATGTATATTGGATATTGTCTGTTGGCTTGCATGATAGAGATCAGGCTTACTCTGTATGAATAGGAATTCTCCCACTTATCCCCTCTTCCCAGGAAGACGCCTTGAGCGGCTAGAGAGTAGTTGCCCCCAACCCACAGGCAGTTTAGGATTGAACGACTGGAGAGGAAGACCAAGAACGAGTCGTGAATTGCTTCGCTCAACGCCTTCCTTCCTCGTAGACTACGGACGGGATTTCGTCATCCGACCTATGCCGGGGGCAGGCACCGTGAATTCAAACCGAAGGACCAGCCGTTTGATGCCCACGCATCCGCGGCAGAGAGATTCTGGAGACGATCATCGAATCTTCGCAGCCTTTTCTTGGCCTCGGTCGAGTTCAGTACACCGTTCTATCCTATCAATCTACCACACCTACCTCCTTCTGTCTCCATTTCGAAACACTGTCAGTCATCATCCATTACAATACCGTCTATGGAAACAGCAACAAACCCCGTCTTCCGCCCTACGCAGCGCACAAAAGTCCTGCTCTCGCCTGGTCATGGAGCGGGATACGTGAGCTAGGCGCCGCGTGGTGCTTCGGATGCGTTTCTGGTCTGGATGCTTACTTATGAGCCGCTTATTTCGGGGCTGGAGCAGAGGTTGCCACATGGTTCGTCGCACTTCCCTTTAACATCACATCTCACCGCTAGCCGCTCGTTGAGCTGTACTACTTGACCCTGTGGAATTCTCGAGCTGATATTTGATTTCATGTGGTTCAGATAAGCTGGAAGATATCATGACCCATTTCCACCTCCAAGCCAAAGCGAAGTTCAACATCGACCGCATCGTCACGGCGAGAGTGGGGGATCTTTTTGTCGAGGAGGTTTGTGCGCCGTTTGAGATTCGGGAGGTCGAGGGTATGGAGAGGTTGTTTGATGTTAGTTGGAGGAGGGAGATTGTTTTGGGGGTGCCTGGGAAGGTGGAGGAGATGGGTGTTATTGGGAGTACAGCACCACCTCCCCCGGTTGGACAGCAGAGTCGGGAGATTGGTACCAAGTCGCCTCCGGCTGGGCAGCAGGATGGCGTAAGGTCGGTGTCGCTGCCGGTGCCAGCGCAAGTCCCGATCACGGCTAGCCGGGGTGAGTCTTCTAAGTCAAGCGTGGGCAAGGGTGGGAAGTGAGTTCTGGGATCGTGGCGACGAAAGGAAGAGGAAAGGTATCATATGCTTGTGAGCATGGTAAGAAGGAGTGAGGACTCGGTGCTGTCAGAGGTATTGTTGTTTGACACTATGGAACTAGTCTGGCACAAGATCGATGCGATCATTCTCCTACCCAACCTACCTTATCTTACAGAGCTTCTGGCTTCACAGCGTGTGGCTCACAATTCAAGCTCCCAAATCATATCGCCGATGCAAAGATCTTCACCTAGAGCCCTTGCATCACGATCGATACCCTCCGCAATTCTGCTTGAACCCGAACCAAGACACCCTCACCTCATCGCCATACTCGTCAACCCGCGTATACAACCAGATCGTGCGCTTGCGAAACGATTTCAGACACTCGGTAGTCTCTTCTTCGATGACCTGCGCTCGGCGCATCGTTGATGGTCCACTTCCGGAGCAAGTAACGATCCCGAGTCGATACACAAAAGTCTCGAAGTTGCCGACGGTGACCATGCACCTGCCAGCTGCCTTCAAAACCGCCATTACTTGCCTGAAATCGAACAGCATCACTCTATCGCACTCCAACGGTGACAAGGTCGTAGTGTCCTCGTTGATGTGGAGATTCCGGACACGGGCAAGGAAATTTGTTGGGAATTCAGCTTTGGCGGCAAGATGCTTCGTGGAAGTCTCCAAAGCTGACACCAGGCTGTTGCTTGTGTCGTGGTCGAGTGGCTGCTGATCAAGTACCAATCCATCTCGAGTGTGACGGCGAGTCTGAGCTCCCGGAGTGCCATCTTCGTGCCATGGACTAGCCGCCCGGGTCCGCCGGGATAGGAGAAGCCTGGGAGATACTGTGCGAGGGCTTGCCGCTTGAGAAGTGGCTTCTTCCTGATCACAGCTGTGGAAGTGGCTAGAACGTCGTCGGGTTCGTGCTGCAGGAGATTGTAGTGGTGCAGGAGGTCGTTCTCATCCACCACGCTATCGTGCCGCTGATTGCTCGAGTCCGTAGTGTCGAACCTAACACGCTTCCCTACTGGCTCGCGATTTGGGCTGTCCAGGTTGGACAGCATAGGCACTTCCTCACGTCGAGCGTCCGTGACGATGCGACTGCGCTTCTTGCTCTACGTTCCATACCCTTCATCATATTCCTTGAGCTCGAGGACCCGTCTATGCTCGGCTGTCTTCGCAAGCAGCTCCAATCGGCTGGGACACGACTTGAATCCATGACCCGTCTGGCCGCAGTAGAAGCAGAGGCCTGCACGATGTCGGCGCTCAGTCTCGGCTTCTTTAGATGGCGGATGAGGATGACTCGACATGGTATTGGAGGAAGATGATGATAGCCCGTGACTATGCCTCAAGTACCTCACAGTAGAGTTGTATATACACTTCGGAAGTCGACGTCCAGGCGCAGTGTCGCTAGTCACTGCTTGGGGAAAAATAAAAGGTCACGCGCTCGCCGCGTATGCCCTCAAGTTTCGAGCATTCACCTTTTCATGATTCACACTCATGACTTAGCCACACTTACGGCTGCGGGAGGTAATGAAGGACAGGATACTTGGTCTACCCTGTGTATTGACACTTGGGATGCGGAAGGTGTGTGCCTGCTCAACTGTCAACAAATGCCAGCTCGAAGTCAAGTACGATTGCTTTGTGGAGATATAAGACTGACAGCTTCGATCGTTCCTCACATGTATTAAGACGACCACATCCCATGACGAGCCCGCCTAGTAGTATCAGTAGGCAGTGCAATCATGCGTCTTCCATCCCTCACAACATCGTCAACCGCTGAAGTCATCCTCCACTTCACCCATCACCTGATCAGTCTCACCGAATGCACCAACCATCTCCCTAGCCATCTTATTGTAAGCCTTCTTGACCTTCGTTTTTGCTTCCATCCTAGCTATGACCCCATTGTCCTTTCTTGCGGAGTTCAGATCCGCTCTGATACCTGCTTTTGTGAGCCCTTGGTTCGAGGATGCCGTAGTGCTAATAGCATTCGTGATCCTCCTGGTAATTACGTTAACATCCACGATGAGCTTCTTCCGCTGCGCACTGAGATTGTAGTTCAAATTTTCGAAGATCTCTGTGTTGCTGTAGAAGCGTGCGAGGTTGAGGATGGCGTTACCGGAGACTTCTTCGGGGCAGATGGTCCAGAGATAGTCAGAGGGTTTGTCCGTTGGGTAGGTCGCAATTTGGCGAGCACGTTTGTTGGGCTGTCTCAGCGTCGTCTCAATTGCCGATGGTGAAGCTGAATCGACACGCAGGCTTACGTCGTCCCTAGTCGCATCAGCTGTCCTCGTCTTGCTAGGTACTGTCGGTATGACACTCTGAGCGTCGATGGTCGGAGCTACAAAAGTGCCATCGCTCAATGGACGCCAGACTTCCTGAACCATACCCTCCTCCCCCATCGAACAAGCCCGGTATAGCCAGATCGTCACCGTGTGCTGAATTGTCTCACCAGAGTCGAAGAGTTCGACCTTATATCCCCCGCCAGGGACAGAAGTAATGACGCCAACCCGGAAAGAGGAGTGCTGTTCAATACCAAGGTCCATCAGAGTCTTCTGATCATGACACGTCGCTAACTTCTTCAGAGCTGCGAGTGCCTTACTCATGTCGAAGCTAATGAATGGAAAGTCGACTTCAGCGTGTGTTCGGGAACGAAGATATTCGTCAGAGTTGATACCAAACGGATTGCTGATGTCTTCCGGCAGGTCAAAAGTGAAGCGCAATTCTTCGATGCTTGGGAATATGGTCAGTCGTCGAAGATGATGATGCGAGATCGTGACCGCTTCTTGAATAGATCTTGAAGTGATTGGTTGGATGTAGAGGTTGTTTATCGATTTGTCCTTCATCAACTGGGTGATGGCAGGTCGAGTGCCTGTAATTGGCACAGAGCCTGTCCGCGGACCAAAGAGGTCGTCAATGGGCCAGCAGGAAACAGGTTGCAGTGATGTCCGCGGGAGGGATACATGAATGGTGCTGTCAACAAGGGTTGTCATCGAGGAATTGTTGGAGAGAATTTGATTTCGCTCGGTAGATGTGCCCTTGCTGCTCCGTCGCTGTCCTGGGGTAGCTTGTCTCTCACTCAGGGAGTCGTATGTCAGAAGCCGAGGATCAATGGAATTTCGTGCTGTGCCATCACCGCTACCAGTAGCATAGGAGCCGTTCATGTTCTTGTAGTCTCCCGCGCTGGGCACTGTGTCTGGTGTATCGTTTTCTGTGGGTCTTGTAGAGCCATCTCTGTGCCATGTAGAGCATCATGATTTATGTACTTTGTCCGAGGAAGTGATGGACTCATCAGTGTGTCTCGAATTGGCGCTCAGTCACTCATATATCATACAATACATTGTGTCCGGAGTCTGAGACAAAGAGAATGCACGAGACAAGTCAGGCAGACAAAGGAGAGTGTAATGTGAATGATGCTTCTCAGACTTGTGGTGCGGTTTGAACCACAGATCCAGCGTGTGAGGTCAAAGAAGGTATACACCACCCGAATCATACCGTCCCAAAAACAAACCTCTTCCAGTTCCTCCCTAACATCCTGACACCCTCATCGATTTGCCACCCCTTCACTTCGCAGATCTTCCGCACGATCTCGGCAAGATATTGATCCATGTGAGGCCCAGCAGAATGTAAATCACTTTCGATCAAGATCCTATCATCTGGAACAGCTCGGACCGCGGCTTCGACTTTGCCACTTTTGCCGGCTTGGCCGCTGGAGTCTTCGATCCATGAGTTGATGGTAGTACTGAAGCTGAAGAAGACCTCACAGGGAATGGCGGGAGCGATGTACTGTTTCACAGTCTCTGCTTGGCCGGAAAAGGAATGGAGGCAGATCCGTGGAGGATATGGCAACGGTCCTGATGATTCAGCAGCAAGCTCTTGTTCGTCTTGTTGCATACTTTCAGTATTCCCAGCAGCTTCGGCCTTTCGTCTCTCCCGCTTCGAAGGGGTATGCTTCTCGTGACCTTTCCAAGTCTCCGCTAAGGTCTCATACAACACGCCATGAGCAGCAACACCGTGTACAGAGGCTGCTCTGCGCAGCTCGCCAGCTAATCGTAGTTGAGCTAGCAGGACTTTGCGTTGTTGGTTCATGCTAACGCGAAATCGGCTCAGTTGCCGTCCTTCGCGGCCTCCTGGTGTAAGATTAACATCTCGTTGCTGATCGTGTTCTGTCGTTCCGTCTTCAGGGATCCTGAACGACTTGTCCAGCCCGATTTCACCGATCAAAGCGAGAGGATAGCGGGAAAGATGCTCTTTCGTCCGGGCAAGGAAATTGTTAAAGGGCAGTGGCTCCGGCAGTGAGAGCAGGAATTTGCGATCGTCTGTGCCAGGGTATGGTGTGAGCACTTTAAAATAGTGTTCTACTTTCTGTTCTCGCGACACCGACAGTGCACCGTCAAAGTCAGCCTCATCGTACATCTGATACGAGAACCATGGATGCCAACCAAAAGCAGGCACAATCTTATGATCTTGACTGCAAACTCATCAGTCTCTGCGTTTTGGATATGGGCGTAAGTACGGTGACTTACTAACAACGACCTACCTCCAGTCCATCTCACCTAATCTCTCCAAGTCTCGGGTAGTGAAGCCGTACTTGTCTGCAGCTTTTGCCACAAGCTCTTGGTCTTGAGCTCGAGTGGCCATTACTGTGAGCACTCTGGCTTTCATTGTTGGTATGGACTGTAGAGTCGATAGCGTGTCTGTAGGATGGCAATGGGCATCGAATACGCCGAGGTGCCATGGTACCTCCGCCTTCGCCATGATTCAGATGCTCGGTGGGTCAGTGAGATCTGATGATGGGCCAAACGTATGCAATACAGTTGGAAGTAGAAGTACTGCAGGGTTCGTAAGTCACGTGAATGACGACGCGGCAATTGCACCAGAATTAACCAGAAGCCAACTCCAACTCCGAGACCAAGGTTCCTCTCATTTTGGTGCTGTGACTAACAGAATCCATCTGCCTCCTTCTAGCCCAGCATACGGAAGTCATGTGCTAAGTCAGTAGTACTATGCTCCTTGCGCTTGAGTACGGACATCGAAAATCAAAAGTCCGAGCAGATGGGATCCGCAAGGCTGACCGCCCTGTCAAAGCGAGCCGCAAGACTCTAGTACTATGGGAGTGCTACGACATGTTTCAGCTCCCTGCTCAAGCAGCAGACTGCCTCGTCTCAGCCAGCACGGCAGTCATGAGCTACAATCCCCAGACATGAGATATATGCAATCGTACTATTGTGACCAACCCCAACGGGCAGACCAGGTCCTGAGAATCAATTGACGCAGCGAGACACAGAGGCTGTAATCGCAGACATGCTTCTCGATACCTCGACACCCTTTGGCGAGATCCACCCAGACAGCTCTACCTTCAAGGAGCAGATACAACGAATTGCTACCATGATCGCAGATACGATCGAGATCCTCAAATGGCCGGACACTTTACGATTCGTCACATCTCATCCAGACGACCGAAATCAGACAGACCAGATACGCCCCGAGAAGATTCATCGCACTAACCAGCAAGTCATTTTCGAAAACAACCCTGGAAAGTCGTACCCAAAGCAACGTCTCGTACCGCCGACCGACGTGCCATGCAAATGCAACGCTTGGTCTCGCCATCACACCAATCCTGCCGCAAGTAGACTGTGGTTGACTGGTAAGAAGGATGCGCCAAGATGTTTTCACTACGTTGCCGTCTCATACTGTTGGCCACAGCTGGATGAGACCAATCCTGTGCCAAGTGGATCCTATACTTTATATTCGGACTCTGGCCAGAAGCAGAACGATACGCCAGACGAGGTGATTGTCCGCGCAATGGCCTTTGCAGACCACAAGGACCTCAGCGCCGTATGGATCATGCATCGACCAAAAGAATCCGGATGACAAAGAGGCAGGGGTCCAATCTATGTATCTTGTCTACGAGCAAGCTCAATGGTCAGTTGGCTTTCTGAGCACAGTAATCAGGGATGAGGAAACGATGGACCTGCTTGATCCGGAGTACTTACAGTGCCACTCCTGCAGCACACACGAGGAACTATCCATTGCTCTACGCTTCCTACAGCTACTAGATGGCGAGCGTTGGTTTACCCGAGCCTGGTGCATGCAAGAATCATGGTCAGCTGGCCAGCGCATGATGCTGATGATACGACATGACGATGGATTGTCCAAGCCTGCTACTCTGGGAGACATGCCCGGAGAAGTGCTCATCCCTTTCCGCCAACTGGCACACATAATTAAATTCCTTATCCTACTGCTAGAGAACCACTCGCGAACATATCCTGTATTGGGACTGAACGAGACATGGCTTGAGCACTTTGCCCGTAAAACAGCCACAGTCCCTCAGTATACGGACGAAAATATCAACGCAGCAATGGGCAGCACGAGTCGCATTCGATGCAGCGCGGCGCAAGCACTGCACGCTTTGGCTCCAAGGGAGAACAGGGATATAGTCGACCGCATCGCCATCCTCGCCAATCTGTGCGACTATCAAGTTCGTCTCGACACCAGGAAACTTGACAGCGGCGGAATTTCTTTCAGTACTGCTGCTTATGCCCTAGCGGTGTTAAATGGTGACCTGTCACTTATGGACCGTCGACCAGCCGGAGATCAATTGTCACTGCGGTGGCTGGCAGCAGATATGAAGGTTTCGCAAGACAAGGCTGCTGCGTCGGAGGTCCCTAGCGCGGAGGAGCGACTGGCATATTCCTGGGGTCCTCCTTCAGGGGCAGATATTGCCAATCCGACCTGGATCCCGGAAGGGTCACATCCACGCAGACTTCCCACTTGCAAAGTCACTCCTGAAGGCCTGGAAGCCACTGGGTATGTGTTTGGTGGTGCTGCTCTGCTCGAATTCTCGTTGGTAAACCAGGAGCACCAGGCTGAATGGGACGCCGTGAAGACTTTGACAGATCCAGTGGGATTTCAAGCAGCACATGACAAGGTGCATAATAAGATCGTCTGGTCGCTTGTTCGCATCTTGATTCGGGTGCATTTCCTGCCTCTTGCGCAAGTGATCTGGACACACGAGAATGACTTTGTTCTTGAAGTCCCTGGCAACCGTGAGCCGATCCGTGTACCGCGTGATATCACCCAACTGATTGATCCCGATACAAACGCCTTCATTTTCCGCCTCCCGCCTGCCAATGTAGATGAGACAGAAGAATCAACCGCCGCGGCAATTTCAGTCCATGTAGATGCAGAGGCAGAATTTCTAGCCGCCTTACGACCTTCCTCACCTCGTCCGGTTGGTATAGTCTCTGTCGACCGTACCTGGCTCTCCCGTACACTCATGACTTCGGGAAGGCTGCACTGCGCTCAGCAACTCAGCACTGGTCCTCTGCTACCGGAGGAAAGCTTTATGACTTTCGGCGACGACAACGGCGGAGCCCATGATGAGACAGCTGGTCATCAGGCTACACACGGTGACCCGACGAATCCAATTAATCTCCGTCCAGGTGTTCCATCCTACCTTTCCTCCCTTGTAAGTCGTACTGGTCAGAACCCAGACACACCAGCGCCACGCCAAATCATCACACCCTCGCAGATGTCGCAAGACCACAGCAGCCGTGAAGTCTACACAGCCATCTTTGAGCACGTTGGCCCTAACGGCCCGGAACCCTTTTCATACCTACCATTAGCGTGAATACTGATCCCGTCAAATCCTTGAATACTTGGCGACCTACTTGTTTCGCCGCGAAGAGGTTGTTTCGTGCATTGGGAGATGGTGGTGGGGTGATTAGGGGGAATGCTGAGGCGTGGAAGGTGTTGGGTAGTGGGGTGTTAAGTCGGGGGTATGTTGTGTCTGAGGGGATGGAGACAAGGTGTGTCCTTGAGTAGATGTCCGGAGAGTCCGCCAATGGACGAGGTACATGCCCCTCTACCTCGTCGTCGCCGACATTTGAAAACCGAGATGACGTAAGATTGAATAAGCGTCTTCAAATTCACCTCGTCGTCGTCGTTGCCGTCATACAGTACCCCTCGATGCATCAAGGTGCAACAGCATTATGTCGGACCTTTAGGTCTAGACTGCTTACCTGAGCAATAATAATAATGTCGGGCCACTATCACAAAGCTATACAGAGCACCAATGATCGACGAGCCTTGGCACATGCACCTCTTTGTCAAGCAGGCATTAGCGTGTCCCTTCAAGCCTCACCTTCGTCATCGCGTCTCGCAGGAATGCGCGCCTTTGTGTTGCTTTGGCGGTAGGTGTCATTTCTTCTTGCCTGTTCTTTCTACATCCACCTACAATATCTCGATCATGTCTCGTACCGCTGGACAGCCGCCTGGCCAAGGCTTTCGCCATCCGGACCCACAGATAGGCGGTGGGTATGATCCTTCTTACGATTACACGACCGGACCGCAACACCAAGCCTACGATCGTGATGGCTACCCGGTACCCGCCAGTGCAGCAGCCCCTCAAGGCGCCTACGACCCGAATCATTTCGCTCCACCTCCGCGCTCAGAGTACGGGAGCAATGCTGGCACCTACGAGCAAGAACGAGCCTATGCACCACAAGACCGCGCAATGCCCGCAGAGGCAGAACCGCAAGCTCTAGCTCCTTACGACGAGGAGAAAGCGTGGGCACAGTATCATGAAGCATATGGCCCACCGCCCTCCGAGCGAAGCTATGCACGACAGGCAAGACCCGCACCGCCTCCTGCGACAGAGTCGTACGACAGTCGCTATGACGATCGACGGTATGAAGATCGACGGTATGATGACGGAGGACGGGCACGATATGACGATCGAGATCACAGACGTCGACAGAGCAGAGGCTATGATGACTACGACTACGATGGCCGTGACCGAGCTCGCCCACCACGACATGAAGAGGACCGCAAACGTCGCTCTCCTCCCAGCGGCAAAAGCGGTAAAGACGTTCTTGGAGGAGGCGACGGCGAACGCGGTCTAGGTGCTACCCTCCTCGGCGGCGCAGCAGGCGCCTACCTGGGCGACCAAGCCAACAAATCTGTTCTTGGAACGGTAGGCGGTGCGGTCTTGGGAGCTTTGGCGGCTAAAGCAGGCGAGAAACAGTGGGATAAGCGGGAGAAGAAGAAAGAGGCACGAGGATCGAGAGATGAGAAGGATGTGGCGACGAGGAGGAGGTTGGATGATGAGTATCGAAGTAGTGGTGGAGATCCCTATTATGGTGGTAGAGGGGCAGGTAGTGCTGATGGTGGCCGACCGAGGAGGCGGGAAGAGGCGGCGCCGCCGAGGAGAAGGAGAAGGAGAGAGGAGAGCTCGAGCGACAGCTACACGAGTGATGATTGAGGCTATGATGCTATATGAAGTAACGGACCCCATGATGAAGATGATAATGATACCCCAGTCTCCTTTGTTGTAGACATTGTAGTTGCCGTACTGCTCTCTCTTCCAGCCCACTCGCACTTGTCGTGTTTGATAAGGTTCTGAGTCACTTTCTGGGACCTGTCACAACTCGCTCGAGTCGCAAGCAATCGCTGATGAACTGTAAGTTGGTAACCACGAATACTGAGTCTGCGTCTCTCATACAACCGACTTATGAATTGTCCACAGACTCCTCGAGCATGCCGTCCGAAAGGAGCAGATCCCTGACATTCTGTCAGAAGCTAGCCAAACAGCTTGAGACGAAGGATTTAGCCTGGCCATCGCAGACCAAAAGCCATGTACCGAAGCGCACAGAGCATTTTGTAAGAAAGATCAAACAGCACAATACCCTTCATTCGCCACTACTCAGACTGCCACCCGAGCTCCGCCAAATGATCCACTTCTTGACGGTAGAAGACACTAGTCTTGAACACAGCGGCAGAATCAATCGACTGTACCGCACGAGATCGAGAGTATGCACTACACTGCGCGACGATATGTACGTCATCCGCCAACAATGGCTCGCCAGGCGAAAGGAACTTTATGCAATCAAGCTCGCGAAGCGAACGGGAAACGGTGGGATCGAGGGACTGTTGAACAGTTACTTGGCGCCTATTCATGCGGCGGCTGCTGCTCTTAGTACGTGGAAGAATTTGGCTGGGAAGCAGAGGAAGAGAGAGAGGCAGAGGCAGTCGAGGGATATTAGGACGGAGGCGAGGAAACTTACTGGAGCAGGGGTTTTGGTCAGGCGTTGAGCTACGGTGATTCACGGATTCTATTGTGGCCTGATCATGGTTTAAGTGAGGTGGCGAGTGGTGTTCAGTTGCTGAGAGGTGCCGCGGTGGGTGGAGAGCTGGTCACCAAGGTATCCGTTATGCTATGATCCATTCAATGTCTCCTCACTCGCTCGTTCACGACTGCAATAGCTATGTCCGCAGAAAGTTGAATTTTTAACATCCTCGCGGGTCTCGTCACCGCCAGGGCGGCCCACCTGACTTGTGGAATAAGGGGCATCAATTCCATCGCGAACACGTGCTGCGCTTGTGCAACCGATTTTGGCAGGCACGATCGCTCTTCGTTTGCCACGACTTCGCGTCCCTAGCAACGCAATGGCTGACACCAACACTACCACAACGCAACTCTCGGCTCCGCCACAAGCGCCTCACGGCCTCTCTCCCAGAAACAAGGTCGTCATCGGCAGTGTGGTAGGTGGCTGCTGCACGGTGGCATTGGGGGTGTCTGTCGTCTTCTTGGTCCGGATCGCGCGTGGGAAAGCTCGAAAGAAGGGTGTGACGTTTGATGACACTTCTGAGGAACCACCAGAGCTGGTCGAACTTAGGAATGTGTCCGGGAGATCAGGCGAGTCGGTGTAGCCTAGCTCCTCATCGGCATCTACAGCCGCACATGCCACCAATACAGCCGCGCGGCATGGCAACGTCGCCGGATCTTGTGAGATCGCTCTTCACACCATGTCACCTGGACATCAAGACACGCGTGTGCTGATCATCACCGTATAGAATGCTCAACATCACGAGCCGTCATGTGATAGCATATACGAAGTCCAAGCTAGTGGATCACCACCTCAACCAGATCCTTGGCACATGCAACGAACCACCATACATATCTCCTTGCTTTACACTTGGCTCCGAGCAGTTCGACAGACACATCCAGAACTCGACAGCCTGTGATTAACGACCACCAGACGCTAAGCTCACAACACAGTCCGTAAGGATGGACCGGACCACCACTACCACAGGACCGCTAGAGCGCACCTCATTGCCGGAAGAAACTCCGGACATATTTACCATCGGTGGGGTATTCCGCCTTATGGCCATCATCGTATGCTGCGGTTTACTCTTCTTCGCCGCGCTCTTCATCTGCTGTTTATATGCCGATCATGTCAAGCGACTTCGGCAGAAGGTACCACAGCGGAGCGGCGCTGCCAAAGCAGAAGAAGAGGGCTATGGTACTTTCCAGCATACTACCTCGACACAAGTTGCGACCAACAAGGACAGTCCAGATCAGCTCGAGCTTGGCAATCCTCCACCTCCATATACTCCTGATCCTCTCGGCCGAGCTGAAGCAGATGTCTTTCATCCCTCAATTCGTGAGAGCCAGAGGTCCCAAGATGATGTTGAAGGTGTCATGTAAGACCCAAAAATCGTTATCCCGACGTTTCGCAAACACTGATGACTACACCAGAGAGCACTTCATGTCGCCACCAAGCCCAGAAGAGTTGTTGCTGTGAAGGGAGTACATCTTGCTACGTGCTGAGACGGACAGACTGAAAAGCGAAAAGCTTTTGTCGTTATAAGGGCTTCGTTTGGTCGCGCTGGCGAGATTCTTAGTTGGTGCACATGCTTGTTGGAGTACCGGACATGATTATTCATACCCTGTTGCCAGTCTAAATATCAAGGCTTTTGCTCTGTGAGAATTTAGTGCGTCGGGCGTCTGCTGTGGTTTATTGAGGCCGGACTCGTCGTACTTCCAGCGCCACCTGGTCGTGAAATCCCAGACAATGACTGCGAGCTCTGGTGGCCTCTCGTGGCAATACCCGGTGCCGTACTAAAGTAGCTCTCTGGACTCTCAGTACCAGTACCATGCCGTCTCGCAGATCCGGGCGTGCGAAGTGCGTGTGGTGTCCGCACTCGCTCGGGACTGTTGTAGCCGCTTCCAAGGAGGTGTAAGCTCGTTTGGCTCAGATGCTCGCACTGTAATGTTGATAAAGGTAGCTCAAGTCTGCTGTTCATGCCGAGCCAGATAGCGTCGTCTTCACCCTCGTCTCGCCAACCACCCACACCTTCATAGTCTCGCTGACGTAGTGGTTCAGGTAAAGTGACAGCGCTTCCGCTCGGCCCAGCGAGACGCGGGTAGGTACTCTCACTATGGGCGCTACTTCTCGAAGCTCGTCGAGACCGTGCCACGATACTGTCCGGAGACTTTGTCAAGCTCTCCGCAGCTATGAAGTCTTCCACTCCAGAATACTTTGGTTCGGGTATGATGCATGACCACAGCAGAGCGGCTAGGAGCTCAACGTAGACGATCGAGACACGGATGAGTAGAACCCAGAAAGCGAAGACGCTAGTCGCAATCGAAAGTGCTACCAGTGGTATGCTGAAGAGGAGGACGAATGGAAGTAAGATTTTCGAGATGATGCTGTAGATCATGATGGCTCCCGGCATGGCTTTGATGGCGTAGCAAGGATCGATGCGTGATGATCGCAGAGCCGGGGATAGCTCTTCAAGTGTGACCTTCGAAATCTGTAAAAGTGATTATGCGTGGGAAAGTGCTGAGTCTGTGACGTGGAGGTACGAGGTGTGAGGAGTTGGTCAGCTTCAAAAGCTTGATCTCGGGTGGATGACGAAACCTTCTGCAGCTCTCGAAGAAAGCAGCGCGATGCTGCCGAGCCTACGATAGCATGATCGGACAGGGAGGGTGAGAGGTACAAGGCACGGTCCGTAAGAGTGGTGGTGATGATAAGCATGACTCGCGGATAATAAGTGAGTGGCGAAGCTCGTTGACCGACCAACATCCCGGTACTTGCACGTTATCATCAAATGCTCGTACCTTGAGCTCTCCCGGTCCTTGAACAGTAAAGTGTACTTCGCCATCGAATCGACCCCGGACAGTAGATTATCAACATGCGTAAGTGTGACAAGCTGAGAACCTTGCCCAGAGATACCCACAGGTTCACACTAATCCTTTGTCCAGCAATTATCGAAGTCGTCACACTCCCACTTCTGCCAGGTAGCGAAGGCCCCAAACCTGATGGCCTTGGACCTGTACCCATGGGTCAGATCCGCAGTGCAGCGGGCATGCAGATCGAACACCCACATATCCTAGAAGGAGTGATTGTCTGGGATTCGGTAGACGCCAACGATGCTTTCATTCAAAGTCCCGACTACAAAACCACAATGGCGCCACTACACAGCCTTCGCGACCCCAACGGAACCGCCGGGATGCAACACTACCACTTTGACTCCCTCCAGAATCTCAAAGACGCCACCACGGCTCCCGTGACGGAAGTTGCACGCTTCTACTACGACTCCCAGCCTACCGCAGAACTCCTCTCGGGCTTCACAGAATTCGGCCGACGTGTGATCAAGGAAAATGTGCCCGGTGTGAGCGGTACTGCAGCTGCTCTACCTGACGAAGATGTTGGGTACGACTTTGGCGAGAGCCAGGTCATCATCTTTATGATCGGGTGGCAAAGCATCAAGGACCATGAGAACTTCAAGAAGACGCAATTGTTCACAGATCTATTGCCGCTACTCAAAAGTGACAAGGCGACGAAGATTGAGATGCACCATACTGCATTTATCTCGTAGCATGAACCGCTGGCTAGTACGCACGATAAAAAATCATCATGTGGAGTGCAGATACCACGCAGCAGACCGAGTTCAAGAATTGAGACGCAGACTGACGGCTACCCTGCGCTCGTCTTGCTTGACGTACGTTATGCCTCTACCCAGCGATACAGCTTGGCCAGCTGCTGATTGCGGCAGTACTGGATGCGGGTCCCGGTGCGCCAAGTCCATAGCGCGATACGTTGTTGGGCTGGTCATGTCCGCCGGGTCCATACCTAGTCTTGTATAGAAGTCATGCTTCATGCGCTGAAGTTTGGAAACGTAGCCCTCGATACCTGGCATAGATGAAACAGAGAAGCGGTATTTTGCCAATGCTCTTTCTATTTCCGCTTGAAGCTCGGGGTCGGGCGACGCAATCCAGGCGGCACACAGAGTGAGTGGCATCTGTGTGACTCCAAATGGTCCTTCGACCGAATCGACGTCAGCCGCATCGAGGACCTCTCTGATCAGGCGAATGTTGTCCGCCAGAAGAGCACCCCGGCTTTCAATGTCGATAGCGCATGCCACCAGATTGTTTAGCAGACATATACCAATGGTGATGATGTCGAAGCGCTCCAGCTGTCTCGTAGCGAGTGTCAGAATAGCCTTCTGTGGGTGGTGGCCAGCCAGGGCAGTGTCGACGAGCTTCATGATGTCTTTAAGTTCTCGTCTCGCCGTTGCGACGCTCTGACATGTTAGCCGCACTTTTATTGGCAGTGCGAAGACGCCCGAAATATCATCGCAGCGGCTCTCCCAAATGCTCATGTGCATATATGAGTCGCAGATCGAGCTCAACACCGTTCCTGCCGCACCCGTGCCTGTCCGTAGTAGTGATGAGAAGCTTCTCAGCTCTGCTTCGCTGAATTTGATCCTCGGATTGTAGAAACTTTCAATCAACTAAAAATTATGTTAGCTTGGACTCGAGATCAATCCTACGTGGGCACATACAACTGCAGTGCACACCGACAGGGAGAGCTTGTGCCCAATGATACCGGCCGGCCAATGATTCTGCCGAGCCTTGAGAAGCTGAGCGGCGCCCTCGCAGTGCCCTGTGGCAATCTCGTTTTGGGTGCCCATCAAGTCCTGAGATAGCTATTAACAATCACAGACAGCTGCAGCAGATCAGTCGCACCCCTACCTGACAGACCATCAGCACCATGACAGCACACAGTGACGCATCAGATTGGGCAAGAACCGGATCATCTAACGACACTCGGAGGGTTCGAAGAGCATGATCGTACTGCCGAAGGCACTTGAGTGTTACTGGCTGGCGGTTCATGTACACGTTATGGGCAGAGACAACGGCCGCTACTGCAGCGTCAAGAGCCCGATTGGTGCCAAGCAGGGGAGGGAGGTCCTAAAACATCAGAGTCCGAGAGGTCAGCTGAGTGTGGCTTGAGACACTTCACGATGTGTCGTCGTTGGTAGTCTCGCTGAATTGCTCACCAGGAGATAATCCCCATAGCCCCACGCCAGATTGAATCGAGCTTCCATGCCCGAGCCCACGATAGCGCCAAAGGAACTTATCAGGGTACTGTTCTCGCACTGCGGAGGTCGACATAGTAGCGCTGAACGTATGCTGCCATCTCCGGTCTTAGGCGAGCCGCTTCGCGACCTCTCAAACTTCGCAGGGGTGGTAAACTTGAATCGTTGAAGTCCTGCGCCAACGCACTCAATCTTAAGCCTTGCACATCTTGAGCAGGGCGTTGCTTGATCACACTATGCATAGATTAGCTTACGCGTGGCGATTCATTGCAACAGACTCTATGCCACCTTCTTCTTTTGCTTGCGGCAGCCATCACACCCTCGTCCAGACGGTACTCCAGGCATAGTGGTGGTGCGTCAGGTGCGTGCAAGATGTCCATAAGGGCAACATGGCGCGCTGGGAGCTCATATTGCACTCTTTGACGAGGTCGATGTGGCTGAGTTGAGAGCAGTCGAGCGGTCGAACCGAGCTGTTGTCGTCGATCCTTGCCAAGGACTAGGGTAAGAACAGTTAGCATTCGTCTCGATGCGGTTCGATGTTGCGCCCGCCCAGTGCCAAGCGACTGCTGACCTGATCATTTTTATCTGGTCAGCTTCATTTTACAATGGTCGGCTCCTTCACCCAGACATCTTCCTAGCCATAAGAAGGCCGATGTCCCGCCCTCAGGCATGGATACAGCCTTGCGTAGGCTACGAGATGGCGGACGATGTGGTGATTGATCACTTCGACTACTATAAAGCGGCGATGACTGAGGACAAGTACGGCCACTCCTGCTGTTTCTATCCACATTTCATCAACGACAACTTTCCAACGTCTTGTCACTAGCTACACTGACCAATACAGACCATGTCCGTTGACAAGCGGGCAGAAGGTAGCGTCTATCTATACCAGCCAAGCCATGTGTTGCCCATCATCTTTTCCATCCTGGTTGGCCTCTCATGGCTGGGACACATCTACCAGAACTTGTAAGCCTGATACGAGGAAAGGACTACCGTGACGTGCGATTACTGATACGCTGAACGCAGTCGTTACAAGGCTTGGCGGATCACGTTCTTCATGGTCTGGGGTGGGAGTGTTTTTACCGCAGGCTGGGTCTGCCGCGCTATCAGTAGCTTTCAGACCACGAGCTCCAGCCTATACATGGCCCAGACCATCCTTCTCTACGCCGGCCCTCCAATATACTCTGCTGCAGGTCAGTTGCAAACGCTAGAGTGCAGGCTTCAGAAGCGCATGAACGTAGACTAACATTCTCAACAGAGTACAGCGTCCTTGGCCGACTGATGTACCACCTGCCGATGTACGCACCTTTCGACCCTGGTCATGTCACGCTGTTTTTCATATATTTGGGAGCGGCGGTCGAGGCGTTGGCTGCAGCTGGCGCTGCATACATTGGTGCCAACCGCCACACCACGGATATATCCATATTCATTACCGGCGGAAAGCTCCTCAGCGCATCACTTCTGCTGCAAGCTGTGCTCGAACTCTTCTTCATCATCATGGTCGCATATCTACATCGACGGGCCAGCAGGGATGGATTGGCTACTCGAAACGTTCGAACGCTTTGCATCATGCTTTATGGAACTTCGACGTTTGTACTTCTGCGATGTACTGCAAGAGCCATCGAGTCCTTTGGCACCCAGACTGTCACGCACTGCACGCCGCTTTGCCGAATACTGTTGTTTCACGAATGGTTTCTTTACGTCTTCGAGGCTGCTCCCATGGTCATCTACACTTATTGGATCAACTTCATCCACCCGGGTCGATTGCTACCCAAGAACAAGAAGTGCTATCTTGATCCAGACGGCACTACTGAGCGGCTTGGGCCTGGCTGGATAGACAAGCGAGCTCGAGCATCAAGGTGGACTGACCTACTCGATATCCGTGGTTTGATGAACAATAAGCGTACTCGAGATGCATTCTGGTTGCGCCCGGACGAGTGGCCGGTGGTACCGGAGTCTAGTTTGCCCGATATCCGGAAGTCGAGCAAGAGTGTCCAGGATGGTCGAGGCTAGAAATAGACGATTGTAACAGCACTGAAGAGCATAACGCGTGGCCAACATTCGTAGGCATGGGTTAGCTTCCAACGTACAGTCTGGTTCAGTATCCTAAGCGTGCTGTACCTCGCCGATCGCACACAGAAGTGAACTGGATTGGTTATTGAATTTCATGCTAGGAAATGCTGGCAAGGACGATCATTATTCTGCCCTGCATGAGGCTCAGATTCTTGGCCAATGACGTGCCAAGAAAATATCTTCTCGTACTTCCCTTCAAAAGCATTCCTGACTAGAACAAACCGACGTTGCTTACAGCCACAGAGGATTTAGCCACGCAGCACGTGGCCAAAAAATGGTATGTCACTGTCATGGTCCGCTATACTCAACCACAACTCAATTGTGTTCCGTCTTTCCCAGCTCAGCAGATATATAGATGTCAAAAGTCGTTCATTTGTCTTGTGTATTTGGTAGTAAAGCCACAAGCCTTCGCAATGTTTTCCACTAACAAGGTCGCTATGACCGTCACGGCAACATGGCTCACCATGGCGCAAGCAGCCTCCAATGCTACGACTCCAATGCAGATCCATCTTGCCTATGCTGGAGCAACTGGGATGATGGTTAGCTGGAACACTCATGACCAGCTCTCCAAGCCCACAGTCTACTATGGAACTCAGCAGGATGACCTTCGCGAGAATGCCAGCTCCAACGTGTCCGTGACCTACCAGACGTCGACGACATACAACAACCACGTTCAGCTTGAGGGACTGCGTCCAAACACTGTCTATTACTATAACTTGATTGGAAGCAACACTACCTCGCCATACAACTTCACCACCCCACGACCCGCTGGCGACCACACTCCTTTCGTTGCTGCAGTCGTCGTCGATCTTGGTACCATGGGCTCAGATGGTCTGACCACGACCGTTGGCAAAGGAGCTGCCAACCCTCTTGCACCCGGCGAGCGCAACACCATTCAGAGTCTGCAGGACTTCCAGCATACTTATGACTTTCTCATGCATGCTGGAGATATTGCCTACGCCGACTACTGGTTGAAGGAAGAAATTCAAGGATTCTTGCCCAACACTACGATAGCTGGAGGTGCAGCAGTGTATGAGCGTATCTTGAACGAGTTCTACGATGAAATGGCTCCAATCACACGCAACAAGGCTTACATGGTCGGGCCAGGCAACCATGAAGCTAACTGTGACAATGGTGGCACGACTGACAAGACCAAGAACATCTCGTACACTGTCGACATCTGTATGCCTGGTCAGACAAACTTCACGGGCTACAGGAACCACTTCCGCATGCCGTCGGCTCATTCTGGCGGCCTGGAGAGCTTCTGGTATAGTTACGATGTGGGAATGGCGCACTTCATCCAACTTGATACCGAGACAGATCTCGGACATGGCTTCATCTCGCCAGACGAGCCTGGCGGGAGTGAGATGGAAGATTCTGGCCCTTTCTCCAACATCAAAAATGCACAGACGAACTGGCTGTCAGCAGACTTGGCAGCAGTCGATCGTGCCAAGACACCATGGGTCATCGTCGCTGGACATCGACCGTGGTACATCAACTACGCCAATAAGAGCTCAGCCGTCTGCTGGGAGTGCAAAGACGTCTTCGAGCCCATCTTTCTCAACTACTCGGTCGATCTGGTTCTGAGTGGGCACGTTCATGCCTATCAGCGAAATGCGCCTATGTACGATAGCAAGGTCGACCCGAACGAGCTCAACAACCCAACATTCCCCTGGTATATTACCAACGGAGCCGCTGGTCACTACGATGGTCTTGATACTCTTACTCGGCCTTTCATGAACTACTCTCGTTACGCGGAAGATTCGACATACGGATGGTCGAGGTTGAGCTTCCACAACGCCACGCATCTGACTCAAGACTTTATCGCGTCTGGAAACAACTCTGTGATGGACTCTGCTACGTTGTACAAGGAGCACAAGACCTCATCTGATGGTTATGGCAATGGTCACCACGGCAAACCACCACAGGGATCCCACTGGTCAGGACCGACCTGGCAGGGTCCGCCTGGCTGGTGGTTGTGATGTATCAGAACTCTCGTTCCGTCCGAGTCTCTAGTGCTGAAGGCTTTATCCAAAAGTTTAGATATATACATAGATGAGAAGTAGTCGCTCTATTTGAATAGAAGTAAGCAGTGTGTATTCATACAGACATAAAGAGCAGACATCATCATAAATCAAGCGCAGGCCCCTCACTCCCATAGACCGGATCTCTTCCAAACCACCCCAAATCCTTGATCTTCTCGATCTTACCCTCTTCCCCTTTCTTCCCATAGCACATGTCCCAGTTGAATCCTTTGGGGTAGCACCCGACCTAGCCATGAGGGAAAGTCAGCAGTAGCTGCTAGCCGTAAGAGGAGTAGCACACCATTAAGGGCGTGAGCGAACGAACCATCTCGAACCCTCCCTCCAGATCCTCAAGTAATCGATGCGCCACCCCAGCCGGCACAACAATCACATCCCCTTTCGCCACAGTCTCCTTGACACAGGACGGATTGTTTTCGTGACCGAAGCAGAGTCGAGCTTTGCCGTTCGCTATGCCTAGGACTTCGTGGGATGTACTGTGGAAATGTGCTACGGCATTGTCAGCATGAAGCACAATACCGTGTAACCGCCTGCAGGACTCTCGTGAAAGGGCTTAATAGGCTGGCGTACAAGTACTATACATAGTATACCGCCACTGTGGCTCCACGACACCTACACTCCTAAGATGACTCTCAATACTCAATGCTGATGGTGACATGAAGGCAGAACGATAGATCATGAGAGGCTTGTTTTGTATCGAAGTATTCAGTGTTAAGCCATGAGCTGGGATCTGATGTTTGAGCACTTTGAGATCTTTCAGGGGCGTCAATTTTGCTGCCATTGTTGCTGGTGGTAGTGTTTGTGAGGTGTTGGGGCGAGAAGGGAAGGCACGAAAGCTCTTTGGAATATATAAGTGAAGCTGAAGTGTTTATTTAGGTGATGTCATTGTGAGCTTTGCTTCGCTTCGGAGAGAGATAGTTGCGCAAAATGGTATGAATACAGGTATATACAATTTGGTCTGGCCACGAGCTCTACGCGAACAACTATCATTTCAGTCTCAACCTCATGAAACTTTGCTCACCTCGGAGCATCATCATGCGCGCCCCCATAAATTCCACCCCCAATCAACGTCTTCATCAACTCCTTCAACTCCTTGACCTCATCTCTCAACTTCTGCACCTCCAAGACAGCCGCCTCGGTAACAACGTTAGGCGCGCTCTCCTCAACCCTCTTACTCCACCCCGTACCCTCCAAATCCAGCTCCTCGGCAAGTTGCTCCCACTCCTCAACCGTATCGTCGTCGCTCTCATGCCGGGATCGATTCCACTTTACCATCCTCGCCGTGCGGGTTTCCAACCATGCTGTAATGAGGAGGAGAGGGGAGTAGATTGTGCCCATGACGATGTCGTTGAGGCGCTCGTATTGGTCTTTCGACATCCACCACTCAAACGGTAAGGAGATACAGACGATTTCGATCAGGTTGAAAGGAGCGATGAATACGTTCTCGTCCGGTGCGCGTACGAATTGCATGGTTTTCTGGCTGAAGAGCGCAAGATACTCGTCGATAGCGTTCTCGGTGATATCCTCGTAGGCGGAGTTGTAGAGTGCAATGAGCACATTCAGCAGGATGACGATAATAATGAAGTTGTAGATGTAGTAAAGTATCAATCCGAATGGCGGCGCGAAGCGATCCCAGCCGTCGAATTCAGGTGAGCCCATGATAGCATTGACCATCTGCTTGACGATGAAGCCTACGGCGCCCAGCTGATTATCGTCCGCCTGGTCTAGACCTATAAAGCCTTGGAGGAAACCAATTAGGACGACAATTAGAAGGGCGAAGAAGATGAGCGATTCGGCCATCATGACTTTGAGGATGACAAGCATGGCTCCGAAGAAGCGGAAACCATCCAGATAAAGCATCATCCTCGCCCAAAACATCGGCGCGCAGAATGCCAGGAAGTCGTAGGATAATTCGTTCATGCGACGCCTTTCGGCGCTACCGAAGTCGTGGCCGAGAGCTATCATGCGCGTGATGAAGGAAATAGTGAGGAGGCCGTAGAGAATACTGTTGAAGGTGTTCCAGAACCCGAGGTAGTATCGCCCTACCTTATAGATTTTCGATAGCTCATCGCAGATGAAGCCGAGGGTGAAGAGGTAGAGTAGACCTTCTACGATGTCTAGATCGCCGGACGGATTGATGGTATTGATCGCTCCCGTGTACAGGCCGAGGAAGACGAAGGAGATGATGATCTGGACGGCATTCTGGTATTGAGGAACACGCATGCGATCTGGATCCAGGTGGGCCCAGTAGGATGTGTTCGTCTTGCCTTTGTAATCTACGAAGCGACTCGGGTCATTTTCATCTTGGACCAGCCAGCCGCGCCACAGATGGGCGATGCATTTCTGGTAGCCGGAGCTGGCGATGACTCGAACGGCGTGCAGGTCGACGGCCTTTTCTATAGCGTTCGAGGGTACGGTGTCCTCGCCGTCGACCACGATGGCATAGCGCTTGAGGAGGACGTCTTCCATGAGGTATGGCATGTCCTCTTCGTTTTCGATGATGCTCTTAGCGATGACCTCGCATGCTGTCGCGCGGACGTTGTGGAGGTCGGCATCCCATAGTTCGAGCTGAGCCTGCAGCTTGAACCAGTGTTTGACGACCAGCAGGCAGTAGACTACACACGACGAGTAGTCCTCGCTGTGGCCTGACAGCTTTCCAGCAGACTTGGCAGTCTTGACAACAGCCGGCGTGATGACATTGCTGTGCGGTGCACTAATGCGCTCTTCCGGTAGTTCGCACGGCACGATCTGCTCGATCTGGTACTTCAGGCGTAGGGCGACATAGATGACTTGCTTGGCTGGGATGGCAGACGGGATCTGACGTTCCCGATGTGAAGGGAGAAGATGCTGAATCTCATCGTGGGAATGGCGTCGGTCTCTGTCGCTGAAGCCGAAGAGCCTGCCAACAAATCAGTATACATGCATAGTATCTAGCCCAGCTGTATCTGCTACTGACTTCGCCCAGCGAACCATTGTCCTTCTACCGCCGGCTTCCTACTCCCAGCGCGCGTCCTGTAACCTCGAGACTATCGTGGAATAAGAGCTCTCCGAAGCTTGGACGAAATTGTTGATGGTGGTGGATTACCCAGGTTCAATCAATATCAGGTGAACGAATGGTTCCTTCACTAACAGGTCCTCCTCAGGGACAGATGTGTACGAGAACATTTCTACCGTGTCGCATTCATCAGACAGAAACTTGATTCATCTTCGCCAAGTTCTTTCCCCACCACTCGCGCCGCGGCGCGTGAGAAGTGGACGAGATCGGCGTCATCTCGTGGCAGCTGCGTGTCAGTGCATAGAACTATCGTCCAAGCTTTATGCAGGTCGACAATGGAGCTTGAATGCGACGGTAGTGAAATATTACCTACTACAACACGTCGGTAACGATGCCACCACGGAAACGAGCACGCCTATCGCAGGCTACTTCGCCGGCACAGTCATCGCCATCAGGACCAGGTACACCTGTGGAGTCGGCAGGAGAGTCTCCAAGCAAGAGCGACGAGAAACTGCTCAATGACCCATGGACGGACGAAGAAGAGATTGGACTGCTCAAGGGACTGATGAGATGGAAGCCTACTGGTAGGAGAAGCTCGTGCCTTCCGCATTGGGATCAGTGCTGATGTCGGCGATTCAGGCTGATGAGCAGCTAGGCATCCACAAGCACTTCCACCTCATAGCTCTGCATAGCTTCCTGCTGGAGAATGGCTATATACATCCTCGCGCAGAGCATACAAAACCGGCTGGTATCTGGACGAAGCTGCAGACCCTCTATGATTTAGAAACGCTGGATGAACGGGAAGATGCGCGACAATTGTCTAATTTGAGCCTGGATACTTCGAGTGAGGACGAAGATGCAGATGTCTACAGTGAGGCTGAAAACAAGATCCATTGCGAGGACTTTGCACTGCCAGAGGAGGAGTACGCAGAGCTGAAGTGGCGACAACGATTCGCCGATGAGGATGAAGAGGTTGCAGAGAGTCCAGCTGAGCTACCTGAGCTAAATCTCGCGGACCAACCACCCATCCGATTCGCACCCAGTTTCAGTGTCGAGCCCAGCGAAGCAGCGACACCTTCTGTGCGAGGAGGTAGGATGAAAGCGAGAGGACGAGGTAGAGGTGGTGCAGCTGCGACAGCGCCGAGCACAAGACGGTCTGCTAGACAGGCGGAGTCGGTTGCGGAGGAAGAGGATGAGGGTGAGGGCAGCGAGGACGGAGAAGATGAGGATGGTGAGGAGAGTAGTGAGGAAGTTGAGGAGAGTGAGGAGGGTACACCAGCGAGATCGACCAGGACAGCGAAGAGGGGACGTGGGCGGCCGGTTGGGAGGGGCAGGGGTAGGGGAAGGGTCAGAGGCAAGTGATTGTTTGCCGACGTGGACAAAGACGACTGCACATCAACCAGAGAACAAGGAGAGAAGTTACGATGGAAGGAGACATCAGACATGCAATGACCATGGTATTCGGGTTGACTACGTGATAAGATATCGTCATGCTTCATTCAATTTCTGGCAACGCAGTACGCCCTAGCACTTCTTGCCTAGATCTGTGCGGCAGACCGCTTACTGACGCCCTTGCTGCTCACCCTGGCAGTGTTCTGTCAATGGATGGCTCTGCTTGCAAAGATGATGTCTACTGACCTGATCGAAAGAGCTCTGCTCGTTGTTGTCAAAGTTCTGCACGTCGCCTTCGGCGCCTGGCATAATGTCAGCTGTGGTATCAGCTTCGCCTGGGTATGCAATGACTTACGGTTGGCATCTCGGTCCACTCCACCGAACATCTCGCCGACTTTACCGGCTACCTTGCCCGGTGCGTCCTGGGGCATTTGGGTTAGCATTTCTTCGAATTTTAGACAGTACATGTATGGTAGAAGGTGATGGGATACCATGATATCACGGCCGACGTTCTCGGGCATGTTCTCGACGCTCTGTTCGTCGCGGCGAGCATCGTTGCCCACGTCTTGGAAGCCCTGCTGAGCTTCACCTGCTGCGTAGCCGGCGTCTTGGGCGGCGCTCTGGTCGTAGGGGCGGTCGGACATGATGGTGGAAGTCGAGATTGATCTGAGTTGTTCAATTGAGCAACAAATTTGTAGTCAAAGTGTGGTAGAGGGGATTTGTGATGGAAGAGGAGTTCGAGCAAGTGAAGTCGAAAGATATACCTTTGGAGTTGTTTATGAGGAGTTTCATGATATCTTGTTTGCTACATGGCCCCTCATGCCTCTCGCTACGTCATGGGCGGCAGCGAGCTCGAGCTGTTTCATGTTCGTGTAAATAGCCGCTGGCAAGGGATGTTGTGCTTGGTCTTCACCAACCAGGCACGATACGACCGCATAAAAGGCCACGAGTGGGTGTGGGTATCGCTCAGGATGCTGGTGCGTCTGGTGGGAACCAGGTAACGCAGGCTGTGAGTCCGACGGGTCTACCGTTCTCCACAGTTGATTGCATTGTATTGCAAATTGTCACCCGCATGCAGTACTGAACGACGTGAAGTGTTCTTGTAGTGTGACGATACCATGAAGAAGAGAGTTTGGAAATGTCTTGGTTCTCTGGCCAAGCGTTGCTGGGCAAAGCTTGGAGAGAAATACTTGGCATGTTCAGGTCAAAGGTAGACGAGACTCGTATATCAAACCACGCACAAACCACGCACGCAGTGCGAGATCTGCTGAAATATCAAGATTTGCACAATTAATATCAAAATGTCATGTAATGGATCGACAATAGGAGCTGGCAAAAACAATAAATCTGCTTGGCTATGCTGCCATACCACGAAGTAATATTTGCGAATATGGTCACTTGTGCCACTCGAAACGATATCTTGACTAAACGCTGGCCAAGAGCCATCCTCCATCTATCGTGAGAGTACTTCCAGTCACGTACTGGTTGACAGCAAAGTTTAGGATGGCAGCAGCATAATCTCGAGGATTTCCTGCTCGGCCGAATGGGATGCCCCTATCAGATGTCAGTAGGTGTGACGAGCAGCCAGGCCGAGACGCAAATGCTAATAGTAGTTGCCTGAGACCTCTCTTAGGGTCATCTTGACTTACCACTTCTCCCTGAAGTGCTTCTTCTCGTTGCCATCCTCCTTGTCGATAGGGGTCATCTCACTCGGGAAGTATCCTGGAGCTAAGGTATTGACCCGTACTTCAATATCAGGACGTTTAAAGTCGACTGCGAGCTGCTCTGTGAGGCTGATAGTGCCTGCTTTGCTCGCATTGTAGCTGAATTGGCCGTTCTGGGAAGCCTTGGTGATACCAGAGATCGAGGAGATGTTGAGGATGCTGCCGGCTTCCGAGTAGCCGTGATCTCGAGCTGCGGTCAATAGTGGCAGGAAAGCTACAGAAGTGAAGTAGTAGGATGCGACATTGACCCTGGTCATAGTGAGTAGAAGTCTAGGCGTAGCCTGATTTCACTTACTACGATCGTGTCAGCCACACACGAGAAGGCATCGAACTGTAACACTCACCTTGTTGATTGACGTCCATTCTTCGAACCCCTGACTCGCAAACATAGCCTCGCTGACTTCCGCCACACTGCCCTCGGGCATGCCCTTCTCGCCATAATTGACGCTTGTGACGCCAGCATTGTTGATCAGGAGGTTGACACATTTCTCCTTTCCGGAGATCTCCGTGACTCCTGCTTTGATGCTATCCTTGTCGGTCACGTCCATCTGCAGACCAGTGATCGATCCACCGGAAGATGAGTCCTGCATCTCGGCATCCTTGAGCTTTTCAACCCGACGGCCGGTGATGTAGACTTTGACGCCGTTCGCTGCCAGTGCTTTTGCTGTGATGAGTCCTAGGCCTGTGCCGCCGCCCTGTGAGGTGATTAGTATCTTCTCCACGATAATGCTTGTCCGTCCCTTACCGTCACAACAGCTACCCAGCCTTTGACATTGAAGAGCGATTGTGCAGAAAGATCTTTGAGGTCCGTCATTGTCGAAAGGTTACCATCTACTGATCAATTCAGCGCCTGAAAGAATGTTCAATGTACAAGACAGCTACACATGCCGGCAAAATGCAGCTGTGTCGGCTTGGAAAAATGATGTCGGGAAGTGGAGTTGGAAGCTGTTGTATGCGCAGATTCCAGTATGCCAGGCGTACGACGAGGACCAGAGAGCGACTCATGCCGACCATTACCGATCTCGTCAGCTCTCTGCTTTGCGTCTGGAAACCAAGCGACCCTATGGACATTGTGTTGTTACCGCCAAGTCACTCGACCAGACGCGATGGAACAGATGCTGTTTGATTCGTGATAGATGTCAGGATTAATTCCACAATAACGTTCGTCCAGTGGTCGCTTGCCAGAAGTGAGACCGAGGCACATTCGTTTTCTCCACCACATATAACAGCAGACGTTGCCGTAAGTACCTTTTGTCCTTCCAAGGACCAAGGACAGATTGTGTGCCCAGACCAAAATCGACGACCGATGAACGCGTTTCAGTAGAAAACTTATTGACAAACTGGCATCAGCATAAGGCCGTACACAATGACTCGCCCAGCTGTCCCAATCATCGTTGGCGTAGGAGATGTGGTCAACAGGTCTCGCAAGGTCGAGGATGCCATCGAGCCGCTCGAATTGATGGTCCAAGCAATTGATAAAGCTTTCGAAGATAGTGGACTTACGAATTCGGCCCAGTCTAGCCTTCAGTCGCAAGTCGACACTCTTGATGTTGTCCGCACATGGACTTGGCCATATCCCGATCTACCTGGCTTGATATCGAAGAGGATAGGGGCTAAGCCGGAGAGACAGCACTACACTGACCATGGAGGCAATCAGCCGGCCTACCTGTTGGACGAAGCTGCAAGGCGTATATCAAAAGGAGAGAGCAAGGTTGCAATCTTGACGGGTGGCGAAGCTTTGGCGTCGTGTACGCTGATCGATAATTTTTGAGAGGGACACAACGCTGATGGTCGTAGTATCCGCATGTGCGGCTGCGAAGAAGCTGCCTCCTCCTGGTTGGACACCTCTTGCAGAAGAGGTCAACAGCGTCTTCTCGCCCACCACACGAGAACTCAAACCTGGTGCGTTGCCCGGCAGCTGGACGCCTGAGCGAACAGGAACTGATCTTGTAGATGTTGGATCTAAGCACTCCATTGGCAATCCTATTCATATCTATCCACTCTACGAAAACGCTTATCGTGCTCACCATAACCAAAGTATTGCTGAGAATCACAAGGAGAGCGCGGCTTTATATGCAGAGTTCGCGAAGGTTGCTGAGCAAAACGAGTACGCTTGGAGTCATGGCAGGCCAGCCGATAGTGCAGAGAGTATCGGAGCTGTGAGCAAGAAGAATCGCATGATCTGCTTTCCTTGTGCGTTATTATACGGCCATCAGGAGCCGGCGTGAGTACTGACTCAAAATTCAGATCCCTTACTGATGAACGCTTTCAACACTGTGAACCTGGCTGCTGCATGTATCGTTACATCGACTGAGTACGCACGAGAACTTGGCATACCTGAAGAGAAGTGGATATATGCTTTGGGTGGTGCCGGTACACAAGACAGCGCTGAATGTCAGTGGCAGACCTCTTCACAGGTGTTGCATAGCTGACTGTTGCCAGTCTGGAAACGTCCTTCGTTCTGGTGGAGTCCTGCTATATCGCGATCACTTGATGCAGGACTACGAGTTTCTGGCCTTCAGAAGTCAGACATCGATCTCTATGACTTCTACTCGTAGGCCAGCCATTCGATAAACTTGTGCGTTTGCTGATATCATACAGCTGTTTTCCCATTGTGCCAAAGCTGGCTACGAATAGCTGGGGCATGCCAGTAGGCAATGCACCAAAACCGGTAACACTTCTGGGTGGACTTACGTCGTTCGGCGGAGCTGGCAACAACTACTCTATGCATGTTCGTTCTACTTGTGTGAAACTCATCAGACTTATCTATCATTGACAATATGCAGGCTATCACTGAGATGACACGACGATTGCGGAGTGGCAGAGGCAAAAATGGTCTGATCCTGGCCAATGGCGGAGTCGTAACGTATCAGCATGTCGTCTGCCTGTCGAGAAGTCCCCGGCTGGATGGCTTACCCTATCCCAATGAGAAGCCTTTGCCAACATATGTCACGGATGTACAAGTGCCTCTGGTGGACGGGACTGTGGAAGGGCCTGCTACTGTTGAGGTATGTACGGCTTTGCGGAAGTCAAGGAGCGCACTGACGGCTGTAGACCTACACTGTGGAGTTCGGCAGAGATGGCAGACCTGCAATAGCTTTCATCATAGGCCGACTAAAGTCGAATGGCCATCGATTCATCGCCAATCACGCAGACGAAGAGACTTTGCAAGCATGTTCGACTACTGAGGTGGAACCCATCGGGCGAAGTGGAACTGTGAAGACAAACGACGATGGGCGCAATCTGTTTAGCTTTACTGTTCCGAGAAGTAATCTGTAAGGAAGAGTGCTCTGTAGGCCTAGATAGATATCTCACGCCCGCAGTTCCGTTTCTAGCGAGATTGACTGACCTCCACTCGTCTACGGAACCAAGATTGCACGTCCACGAACATTCCCAGCGGCCAAGTCGTCGAGAGCCTTCTGGAAGTCATCCAGCTTGTACTTCGTCGTGTGCAATTTCACTTTGTTCTGTGCGGCTAAAATCATGAGCTCTGCTAGGTCCTGTAAAATGTGTCAACATCACATCTAAGGATGTATGCAAATTGTCAGGGTATGATCTCACGTTGTATGATCCAACAAGGTTGCCGATGAAGTTCTGAAGAACCTGGTTAGCATGCACCGATGTGTGCTATTACTCAGAGACTTACAATCTCGGTAGAGATGATATCGATCGTCGGCACATTGATACTGAGTAGGGACAATCAGTATTAGTCTCCCATCCCTCCAAGCTGATCTTTCCGCTCTGGCACTTACTTCTCGCCATAGCCGACCTGTGAGGAGTGAAGTCAGTATTACTACTTATTTCTAGAGATATGCAAGACTAATACATACCACATAGTAGTTGCCCGCCCGTCGAATCATTTGCACTCCTGTCGAAGTCGATCCACCTTCTGCCACGAAGTCGATCACAGCTTCAGCTCCCTTGCCGCCGGTGATTTCAAGCACTTTCTTGACGAAATCATCCCCCTCTCCAGACTGAACGACATGATCTGCTCCCAGCTCCTTGGCAAGCTTTAAAGCAGCCTCATTACGGTCCAAGACGATCAAGGTGGCGGCACTGACTGCTTTTGCTACCTGGATCCCAATATGTCTGAAGGAGTCAGCTTGCACACATCTCGAGAGATCACCTTGCACCATACCCGAGACCACCGGCGCCAATGATAACGCAAAAGTTGCCTGGTCGAAGTAGCCTCGCAGCCTTGGCAACAGCATGGTATGCGGTCAAACCAGCGTCAGCCAGAGCTGCAACGTCAGCAGGCTCAAGAGAGTCGTCCAGCTTGATCACACTTCGAGCAGTTGTCTTGAGGTACTCTGCGTACCCTCCATTGACGTTGATTCCTGGGAATGTGCTGTCTTCGCAGTGGACGTCGTCGCCGAAGCGGCATGCTGTGCAGAGGCCGCAGGTGACCAGAGGATGCAAGATTACTTTGTCGCCGACCTTGACAGATGTCACGCCATTACCGACTTCGTGGACCTACAGAGCAAAAGATCTTGTCAGCTATAACGTATGGTCGAAGAAAGTCGTGCTGTTTACTGACCCATCCCGCATTCTCGTGGCCAATCGTGTACGGCAGCTTCACATTGGACTTCTCTTTCCTGTCAGACTTTGTGAGTCACACAGATTCGATACGGTCAGACGTGGCCACTTACCATTGTCCCTCCAAAATATGGATATCCGTCTGGGAAGAGAGGTCAGTACAAACGTCCTCACCAATAGTCGGTGCGTAGACTTGCCCTGCAGACACCGGCCGCCCCAATCTTGACGATCACGTCGAGAGGACTGGTAGCCGTGGGCTGCTCGGCCTCAGCCATCTTGAGGTTCTCATTGTAGCCCACTACTTGCACGACCTTCATCTTGGCGGATCAGATGGAGGGAATATGCAGAACTTACATCTCTGAACGTCGTCCTGTAGTATATAGCTGGCCCCGGCCATAACGACTCCTCCCGCTGAGAGCCGCAATATACACCAGCTCAAAGCATGCAGAGGCTCATCGCAAGGCCAGATTCGATGGCACATGCGGGGGCCGATGTTCTTCCCGCTGGACCGTGTAACGTATTACGTCGTGAGTGCTTCGATTTGTGTCGAAATCCAGGGCGTACGATGAGGCAGCTTATGATGAGTGTACGGCGGCAAGGTGTAGTTTACCTGAGACCTGTAAAACTGCTGTAGTCATCGAGGTCAACCTCACCATCATCCGGCCGAGCCATCGGAATGTAAGGAATCAAGCACGGGCCAGTTGTAATGTAGAGTGAATTTCGATTGGTGCAGATCATAAACTTCGTTATACTGTAATCCCTCAGGGCGAAGATCTTGCCTGTGATCCGATGTCGACTCCAATCGTTCTCACCGTGCTTGGTGGCCGCCTCTGGGACTCTGCGCTAGGAGTGTCGTACGAAACAAGACAACGACTCGGTTCGTCATGCTTTCAAAGCAGATGGAGTGATTTTTCCTTCCAGGCCTTGATGACCAGAGCATCAGTCGACTCATGCATGCCGCGAGCTCAGCTTGCTTACCGCATGCCATCTGTGGAATTGTGACAGAGGGCATGCTTGCCAGCATGGACAGTTCTCATGTTGGCAAGCTTACTCGAAGTGGTACAGCAGCATGATTTTCACCCCAGAGTGGCAAAGATGTGCAACTCCACGACTAACAACCGACCTCTCCACACGAAAGCATATGCCGATGCGGAGAAGAGGTGGAGGATGTGAAGTGACGAAAATGAATGTCAAGTCACTAAAAGCAAGACCTTGCCACTCAGTATGTGACAGGGCCGTGTACTGATACTTGCCTTGACCATGATGCTTTCACTCTCGGGACTCGCGTTGTTCGCTGGCATTGCCTCAGCATATGTAGTCAGCAACGGGACGACCTGTTACTTGTATCCTGAATCGCAGATACATCTTGGCCGTAACGTGGACGACACGCCGTCCATCCATCAGGCTTTCGACCAGTGCGGAACCAATGGAACAGTCGTGTTCACCGAGGAGACCTTCCATCTAAACACCGTGGTCAATACTACTGGTCTGCTGAACTGTCTCGTGGAGCTCAAGGGGGAGCTGCTTTTCTCGACAAATGTGCCATACTGGCTCTCTCACAGCATCAGCGTTGGCTTGCAGAATCAGTCTACAGCGTGGCTGTTTGGGTGGGTCCTCACACGCTCACGCCTGCCAAAGATCTTATACTAAAGTCGCTAGCGGTACGAATGTGACCTTCCTCGGCCAAGGAGGATCGATCAACGGCAATGGTCAGACATGTGAGTATACTCATGGATAGCACAAGTTGGCAATGTCATACAATTGACACTGTGACGAGGGTACGACGAGAACCAGAATCACTCGAATCAGCCTGGCCGTCCCATCACGATCACCTTTTCCAACTCCACCAATCTCTGGATAGAGAACTTGCGTATCATCCAGCAACAGTTCTGGGCAACTGTGAGTCCAGCAAAGCGACTTGGGAGGTCGATATGCTAACGGGCTGCCAGTTCGTCACATATAGCCATAACGTCACAATGAAAGACGTCTACGTCAACGGTACATCTAATAGCAGGTGGAACACCGTCAACACCGATGGCAGTGACACCTGGAACTCACGAGACATCCTGATGGAGAACTGGACCGTCGTGACAGGCGATGACTGTATAGCTGCCAAAGGCAACACAACCAACCTCCACGTAAAGAATGTTACGTGCTACGGGGGTGCAGGCATGACCATAGGTGAGTGTTGTCATCGCTTTGAGTGTCGAGTGGTGCTGACCAGTGATAAACAATCAGGCTCCGTGGGCCAGTAAGTACTACCTCGAGAGATGACACCACTGTCCGAACATCTTCTCTGATCTTCCAAGGTATCCAAATTCACCAGATTACGATGAGAACATCGTCTTTGAGCAAGTGCGTACCATAGATACGTTCAACGGTAAGCAAACCTATGCCCGGAGCCATTCGACACGCCACTGATAGTTAGTCCAGGAGCATACATCAAGACCTGGCAAGGTGAAACGGCTGGTGTCTCAAGTAATGGAGATGCTGGTGGTGGTGGTGTAAGTTGCGAGGTGGATTCCGATGCAACGACTTGGCTCACCTGACTATTACCTTCAGTCCGGACTTATCAGGAATATTACCTTCAAAGACTTCGACATGATCAACTGCTCGCTTCCTTTGCAGATCACCCAATGCATTTACACAGAAGACGCGGGTGCCTGTGAGACGTCGAAGAGCAGGTATGTACACGAGTCTTGCATATTGACTACTGCTTCCATCATGGACTGACTCAAAAATAAGATTGAGGATATCCACTTTGAGAACATCACTGCGACGTCTCGGTACAACATCGCCGCCTCCTTGTAAGAAGCGTCAGAACCAGGATTCGTGCTGCAACTCGCTGACAATAATAGACACTGCGCTTCCGCCCATCCATGCAACGATGTTTACTTTCAAGACGTAAACATCACGGGACTAAACCAGACACAGGGTTTGCCGTTCTACAACACCACACTGCAGCAAGAAGTCTACCAGATAAGTACACGTCGCTCCGCCTCGTTGATAACAACTGACAAGACATTTGCACTGCGCCAATATTATCAACGAGAACACGACCAGTGGAATTCCGTGCAATCATTGGGCACCATCGAACTATGGCCAAGGGCCGACCATGAATGTGCAGTAGCTGTGCCATGCTCCCGCTTTAGACCTTATGCTTTGGTCTGTGGTATCGCTTGGGTAAGCAGATCGATCATCGCCGGTGGGACAAAGTCCGTTATGAGGCCGAGCAGTGTTTCAAAGTGCAATGTGATGAGAACGCCGGCCAAGAAACTGGAAGGCGTTAATGAGGGTCATCTCTATACACTCAGAACGGCCATCGGTTGCACTTACCTCCATACTATCATCATGAATATCATGATGTTACTGTCCAGCTTTGTATATGGATGCGTTTGTGGCGCGCGCGGACCGACCATCTTGGTTATAGGTTCGATCTTATTACGCTTCCCATATGCAACAACGTTGGGTAGACCAGGAAGCTTGTCAATGCTCCAGCTGTTTTTGTAAGACCAATATCTGTTTACGAGTCAGACGACCATACAAGGCAAAAAGGGATGTGATGAACGATGATACCTCTCCATGGATTCATCCTTATTGCCCTCTCGGAACTTCTTGTCCTTTTTGGCATAGACGTCGTTCAAAGTGGTCCTGAAGCCTGCGTGATCCATGTAGGGGACGCTGAAGCCACAAGATGAGCCGACCTGATGGATATCCACGATGATGACGGATCTGTGCCCAGGTAGCTCTCGCAACATGTCGTGCAAATCCTGTGACTCCACGAAGTGGTTGAAGTCTTTCGATTCTCGTGGTAGGACAAGACCATGGCCCCAGAGCCGGACGATCTTGGGCGCAGCACGTTTGAACTCGTTCATCTGGATGGTGATCCTGCCGTTACCAGGCTCGATGAGGTGGCTGATAGTCTCATTGCCGCTGCCTGACAAGTCTAGGTACTTCTACCGTTAGCACGAGCTTTCACCCAACCATGATAGAAAGACATGCCCAGAACGTCCTTTCGTCTAGCACTCCGAAATATTTGCCACCTTTCGGGGAGACATTGACATGGCCTGATCCCGACAACGGCGCAGTAGCAACCCAGAAGACATTTTGGGCGCGTATCCAATCGATGAGAGTCTCTGGTATGGTCTCGTAGAAGACGCCCATGATTTCACGTGTTGAGGTCCTGGTCTCCGAGTCCTCACAAGTAGGCTGTTTGGTGGTACTGTGAAAGAGTTACAACTTGTGGTTCCTCATCCTCAAGTATAGAACTAGTGATGTGGAGCCGAGGCTGAAACCTGGAGTCGGGATCGAATGAAAGATGTTCCGATTCGCTCCCTGTTCACCTGCTCTCTCATCGTGTGATAGCCACTGCATGGTTGGGAGCGTTGTGATACAGCATACTCAGGCTGACTACATCATCCTATAGCTGCTGCCTGGCACACGTGTTCGACTAACGGTTCGAACGGTCCCACGAGGTGTCCAGAATTACCCTGTGCATAGTGCGGTAGCATACGGGCAAAGCAGGTCTTCATCGCGGTGGAAGGCGCGTCGTCGATCCGGACACGCTGTCGCTACCGTACTTCAATGCCTGCGGCCCACACACCGGTGATCGATGCGCTACTTCGGATGCGACGAACAGGAGATATTGCCTAACCAGGACCAAAGCAATCTTTCTGGAGGGAGTGGACTATAGCGACCTTACAGATCGCACTTTGATGGTACCATCTAGTCGTCATCCATGTGGTAGCAACAAGCTCTGGATCGGATGCGCTGTCACTTTTCATGGCTACGGTGGTTGCGAGTGGCCTTTGCGCTGTCATCAGCTCATGATGCTGCACCTGGTTCAGTAGGCACGCTCGCGACAGCCAGCAAAGCTTCGGTCATGCTTGTGATATCAGTCTTGGCCCTCGTGGCGAATGTGTGCCAACGCACGAAGGTCATGGTTTCAGTACTGCTACCTGGGCGAGTCTGGAACCGACCGTGCCAGAAGTATACATCCCAAGATTACTGTAATCGCTCATAATCATGAGAATGCACTACGCATCGACACTTCCCCTTGTTCTCTTACACCGGGCAGGCGGCGCTCGCACTAACCACATAATACCCGTTCCAGCTGCGCACCCAGATGTCTTGGATCGTACTGATTATGCAAATTTGCAGCCGGGAGACGAGCTACAGCTTCACTACCACCACTCTGAGCATCCTGCCACGATAGAAGTCTCTGGGACCTCGATGCCAGTCGTCAACTTGTTACATACGTCCCACATCGACGGACTGGTCTGCAACGACACGAGTGCGAGTATCACTTTCTCCGGCGATGCAGCATACAAGTTTGCAATTCACCACTGGCAGGGTGCGGTACCCTTCGCGCTCGTGCATGCCTTGAGGGAATGTGGCAATACCGAAGCTACGCATGGCTGGCTTATCGTCGAAAGCATCCACTCCGTTGGTCTGTCCGGACGAAGTACAGGTCCTCAGACGATTGACACGTAGGTAAGGCAGTCTTCTTATGCTGATGTTGTTGGTCCCCACACGAACGCTACCTTATCTTTTGGGCAGTCCAAGAGCCGCACTCATATGGTGTCCTCAGCATTCGATGCTCCTTTCGACGAAGCTCTCGATCATAGCTATGGGCAAGGCTCGAGTTTGTTCGATTCCGTAGATCGGAGGCAGCTGGTACCTCGAACAGGTGGTAATACTCACGTGCAGGACGAAGCTGCGCCTCTCTTGCCGACGTCACAGTCGGTGCGTCGCAGAAAGGAGAACATCTTCACCAAGTTGAAAAATGAGTTTGCCAAAGTCAGCGACGCTACCACTGTTGCGACGGCTGTGGCTAAACCTCGCAGAATCGTATCAGTGTCTTGGAGTGGGTAGAAACAAAGAACGGGCAGCAGACTATGAGTGCGGCCGACATTACTCTGCAGAAACTTGACAAAACCATGCAGAAGCTACAGCATACGAGCACGAATGTGCACATCGACACTTCGCACTTCGCAAACAATACGGCCGAATTCATGGGACAGCCAGCAATGACACTGTATCTGAACGGGCAATTCCATGCCTACTGTGTCGGCTGTCGGCTGGAGGGAGACTTCACCATCGACGGTGGTATCGTCTTTTCTGTTGCGAGCGGCATCACGTCCTCGTCGCTAAGCGTTCGGAGCTCCAACCTGAAAGTCATCGCTCAGCTAGGTTTGGAACTTCTCGGACCTTATCAGAAGCAATGGTCAGCGCCCATATTCGCGAGACAACTATCTGGTGAGCTTATGTTACCATACGTCAGCTTGGGTCCAATCGCAGGGTATGGCATCTACTACGAAGCTACCATGTCAGTGACCATTGATGTGTCCCAAACCTCGAAAGCACAACTCCTCGTTGGGGCTGAACTCGAGTGGCCTGAGCTTGAGATCTCTGGGAACTCATCAAACGAGAGGAGTGTCGAAGCGTCCGGTCTCGAGCCACACGTCAAAGAGGTCAAGAAGTTCGAAAGTAACCTTAACCTCAATATTACAGCGCTTGTGGAGCACAAAATTGGCATACAAGCCGAAGTCAAGCTGGGCAAGCCCGCCGGCGCAGATGTAAGTGTGTATATTGGGCCTGGTTTCCAAGTAGGAACCGAGTATGATACTCAATCTCGAGATCGTCGGAATGGCTTTGAGCTGAGCAGGCACATGCTCGCCAGAGGAGGGTTTGTTGCCGAGCTTGACGCTGTCGTTACAAAGAAGCAGGCCGTAGGTCATAGAGACTGGAGTGGCCGGGTCAAGACTACCTGCCTTGGTACAAAACAGTCCAGCAGTGTCGAGAACAAAGACTCAGACTCATCAGGCGGGAATCAGGAATCAGGATGGTCTTGCCCGGGGTCATGCACGTACCGCACCGAGACATGATTTTGAGACAGGCACTCAACCAGGCGAAGACACACGAACAGCACCGAACGATGCGGGATCCTCCCAGAGTAAGAGATCACGACTGACGGATGATTCCGAGCACGAAGAAGGAACGGCGTTTGATCGCAAAGGACTCTTGTCACTGGAGGTACGATCCACGAGAAGCACAAAGTCGGCAGAGAACGGGCACAAGAAAGGGACATTTGCTCCCTCTGTCATCGACGGTCAGGAGCAGAGGGTCAGCATTCGCATTGCAGGCCAGCCCCTGTATGTCGTGTCCGTCAATGGTAGCCTATACCTGGACGGATCACGCAATGAGGCTAGTTTGCCTGCCGCTGCTAGCTTCCAAACCATCTTCACAAGCAATACCGTCAGCAGCCAGCTGGTTGTGGCTGATCATGCCAGACTTATTTTGCATGCGTATTCGAACGAGTTCAGTAGCTACGGAGTGAGCAGGGTACGTTGTCACCCCGTAGATCGATCGCCTGCCAGTTCACTCGTCATCGCATTTGGCGTAGCGATAGACATATTAAGAAACAGGCTTCAAGTTGCTGCGGCTTATGATCCGGCGGGTGATGCCTTTGCGCCCATGGTGTGCATATACAAATCCAGGCGAGCTCCAAAATTGTTCCTTGCTCGGGATTGGGCAACTGGGGCAAGGCAGCTTGAGCATTCATCGGTGCTTACGGAGTCTGATGTTGAGCAATGCACGGGTGTGGCACTGGTGATCGAGCCTGTAACTTGAGAGCATCATTAGAGAGCTGCACAGATCCGGGGATAGATTTCGTTAACACATGAGCTTGTTTTATGGTGAGCATGCGGTACAAGGTCACCAATGGTTAATCCGGATTATAGCGGCTGTTGTTCGTTTCCAAGGCGAAATCATGACCTGATCCTGGCATTGGTCTGGGATGCCTGGACTGGCGATAGAAGTTCGTACTGTCCGATGACCCGCTTGATGTATCCGAGCTCCAACATCTCATTGCCCAATGCATGAGTCAAGCTCTTCTCAATCTCCTCATATGGTCAGCCCAGGAGCACGTGTCTACTCACACCACACCACACATCGATGCTATAAGCCGACTTCGCATCTTGGCGACGGTCCAATCCTTGTTCGGACTCGTTCAACATACGGAGTTCGCGATCGTGAACGATGACTCACACGTGTCGAGCTCAACCACGTCAAGCAATGGCCCATTTGCTAATGAGACCATTGGGAGGAGATTCTATCTGTCGATAAGTCGTACGTCCGTGAAATGTACGACGGCAAGTTTACTATTGATGCCTTGATCTGGCTCGTAAGCACACGCGCGGTCTCGTTGCTGTGATGCAAGTTGCGGCGTTCGGAGTAAGATTATGTTACACACACGGCTCATCCTTCGTACGAACACCAATGATTGTTCATCTGACCAGTATGCTTGCGAGTGGCATGATGTCTGGTAGATGATTGTTGCCTGCTCGGTTCCTGATGCAAGTCCGAGATATGAGTCTTCGCGAATATAAATACACAGTCCCCTCCTTCTCCTCTAGCATAGCTACAGAATTCTAGCCATCCGATTTACATCGACCTTGCTGTACATAGCTAGAGTATTTCCAATTTTACAACAACAAACATCGGAGTCTCTACAGCTCAGCAATGCCTACTTCAGCCGGCCAATGCCAGTCCGAAAATGCTTCGATCATGACAACGTCCAGTACATCTTCGGCCAAACATTTACTGAAGAACAAAGCTCCTTCCAGCAAGTCGTCCAACGACAATCGATCTCCAAGTGAGAAGCAGAATACTAGGAGGGATGGTCGAATAAATAGCGAAGCGCTTGCGATGTACGCTGCGTTAAGGTAGTCTCACCGACTGTTCGAGACGATCGTGCATTGGCTGATCTCTGTTGAGGTTGTGACAGTGGCCAATGCACGATCGCATGTTGAGGATGGAAGGCACCGATTGGGCGTGCGTTTGCTAGTATAGAAGAGCCTCGCAGAAAGCCGGCGTTGGTAGATTCTAGATTCGAGGGAAGCTGTACACGAGCATGGTGTCATTCTGTTATGGCAGAAGCCGAGTGTGCAATGAAAAATCCCTTATTGATCGCCTCCAATCCCAAATTCCTTTCCAGGCTCTCTGATCACTTCCTGCCTATCCATACTTTGCGATGCCTTACCACCACGATACAAAATCTCGTAGACCTCCTCGGCGATGGCAAGACTGCTGGTCAAGCCTGGTGATTCTATGCCTAGCAAGTTGACGAAGCCATCATAACCCTCCTCCATCTTGATGTAGAAGTCCTGGAATCCCTTGCCGCTGGCTACAGCTCCCAGCTTTCCAAGCTTCGGTCGTATACCCGCGTAGTCTAGTGATACTGCGTCGGTGTCGATGCCTGGTAGATATGACTTGATGTCTTCGAGAGCGGCCGCGAAGCGTTTGCTGTTCGGGCTGGGTGCGAGATCATTTGGTGAATCAACCCACTCTACATCGGGTCCGAATCGTACTCGACCGGCCATATCTAGCGTAAGATGTGTTCCTAGACCACCATGGCCGGGTATTGGTGCTGGGTAGATCAAAGTCTTTGGGTTTGGGAAAGACTTGGAGTATGAGAAGTAAGTACCCTTCGCATAGAATGGTGTTCGATGTCTCTCCTCCGGTAGTATCATGTTGTTGATAGCACAAGCATACAGACCAGCACTGTTAATGATAGTCTCAGCTGTGATTGAGGTATCTTCCCCTTCTAGTTCTGGTACCGCAGCGCTCGGAGAAGACGGTTGTGGCTCGCTAGCTTGTGGTGGAGCCGTCCATATCTTCCAGTCGCCATTGCCGGCTGTAGGAGCCTGGATGCGTGTGACGGGACTGGCCAGTGCTGTGATGCCGCCCAAATCCTCGAACTCGCCATGCATGAACTGCATAAAGCCGTGTGAATCGACAATGCCTGTTGACGGAGACTCGAGTGCACCGGCTTCTGCTCGAACGTCTGGCTCTCTCTGCTTGGCCTCTTCGGCTGAGATGAATCGTGTTGGCACGCCGATGCTGCCTGCGAATTTGTGAACGTCTTCCAAGGAGTCCAGCTGATCCTGATCCTGCGCTACGACCCACTTGCCACAGTTCATATGAGAGATATGATTGCGAGAGCAGTAGTCATACATCATTTGCTTTCCTTTCAAGCAGAGTTTCGTTTTGAGCGAATCATGCCCATAGTATAGGCCAGCGTGGATCACCTGAACTAGCGTAAGTATGAGTCCCACGGCATGAGGCATGCTTTCATACTTCACTGTTTCGACTGCTTGTCTCACTTCCCACCATGCCATGCTTCTCGATCAGCACGACAGACGCACCAGCGATTTGCTGTAGTCGCTTCGCAATGGCAAGACCGACAGCGCCGGCTCCAACAACCGCATGAGTGAAGTCGGCATGGAGTCGTCCTGTGCTTGAGAAGAGTCGTGTCGATGGTGGAGTTGGTCCAAACGAGTGGCAAACTGGCCGGAGACCGCGAAGGGTATTCATGCTCGTCTATGTATCGGGGACATCTTTCGATATCATCTGCAGGTACATGTGATTTTTATGACCACCACAGAATACCCGAGTCACTGCGAAATCGCCATATTGGCAGAACAAAAGCTGGTTGATCGGAAGGACTTCGCGCGAAGCGGATGTTAATTGAGCGTTAGCACAGCCAATGATGAGTTTATCCGCGCTTGAGGCAGAAAAGCAGGCGGATATGCCTTGCGCTTGCGGAGACGATCGTGGTTATAACAGACGTGGGCGTCGTCCACATTTGATGCATTTGTTGTTAGTTCTCACATCTAACATGGCGACCACAACGACTACTCGGTCATCAAAGACTTCGATATCTTTGACATCACCTGTTGAGGACCACACACCCAAAGCCAGCATCTTCAGCCATGCAGCATATCCAACTATCGAGAACTTCAAGACGATCGATGGACTTCTCAAAAGTCATGCACAGCAGAAAGACCAGAAACCTCTTATATGCTATCCCAAAAGCGACGTCGATGACTTTGAAGAACATACGGCCATCGATCTTGATCGTTATACCGACGCTACAGTGGCATTCTACATGGATAGTGGACTTTCACCAGCAGTAAGAAACACTGTCAATCACATTCCCAGACCATCTGCTGACATTCATGCAGGACCCAACACAAGAGAAAGCACCAGTAATCTCACTCCTAGCCACCTCAAGCTTCGAGGTCATCCTCACCAAATTCGCTCTCAATCGTCTAGGCTATGCTGTACTCTTTCTCAGTACCCGCCTCACAGCTCCTGCTTATGCTCGACTGATGGAGATGTGTGAGAGTCGGACGATTGTTACTTCGGAGAAGTTCACGCCTATGATTGCTGATATCGAGAACGATCGTCCTGGCTGCACTGGCGTAACACTTTTGCAACGTAACGACTGGCATGGACGACAGTCTGCCACACCACTCATCAACGATGAGAAGTGGCATGAATGTCAAAGCAAGAAGATTGCATGGATTCTTCACTCATCCGGCTCAACAGGCTTCCCGAAACCCATCTATCTCAGCAACCTACAATGTCTAGCCAATTTCCGCAAATCCTTCGGTATGCGTGCTTTCACTGCATCGCCGCTCTTCCACTCTGGCGGACTCATGGAGCTGGGCCGGGCTTTCTATACCCGCTCTCCAATGTTTCTTGCCAATCATAGTTTACCTGTCACGAGCACGAACATGCTCAGGGCCATTTCAGCAGCGAAGCCACGGCTTGTTGTCGCGGTGCCGTATGTTCTCAAGTTGTTGGCTGAGAAGAAGGAGGGTATCGATGCCTTGGCAGCTACGGACCTGGTTCTGTTCAACGGAAGTGGATGTCCAGACGACCTAGGCGACCGATTGGTCGATGCTGGCGTCAACCTGGTTGCTAATTATGGTGCTACGGAGACTGGCCAGTTGATGACCTCGTTCAGAGGGCTACCGCCTACGGATCGGGAGTGGTCGTATCTGCGGCTATGGCCCCCAGTGAAGGACTTTTCGCTTATGGATGAGATCGCTCCCGGTGTCTTTGAGGCCGTAGGGCTGGATGGTCTACCATCTAAAGGCGCCGTCAATTCGGATGATCCACCCAACAGCTTCCGAACAGCCGATCTCTTTACTCGACACTCGGATCCGAGTAAGAACAACTTTTACAAATACCTCTCCCGTGCGGATGATCGAATTACACTTGTGATGGGCGAGAAGGTACGACTATGTTCCTTATACCGTTTGAGACATCTGCTGACTACCTGATCAATTATGCAGGTCCTCCCTCTGCCAATGGAAGGTCGGATTCGCCAAGAAGATATCGTTCGCGAGGCCGTTGTGTTCGGCTTCCAGCAGACTATTCCCGGCGTCCTCATCTTCCGACCAGCCGACAAGGCCACAGACCTATCGGGCCAGGACTACCTGGACGCAGTGTGGCCGGCGGTAGAAGCTGCCTCAGCTAGAGCTGAATCTTTTGCCAGGATCATTAAGGAGATGGTCGTCATTATGCCAGCTTCTGCAGACTACGCGAAGACAGATAAAGGGACTTTCATCCGCGCACAGGTGTATCAGCAGTTCGATGCTGAGATCCAAGCTGCATATGCGAGACTGGAGTCATCGAGTCAAGGTGTTGAAAAGTTGGCCTTGGAAGTGCCTGAGCTGGAGCAGTGGCTGATGTCTCGTTTCTGTGACGACCTACGGATTCCTATCAAGGACGTTGAGAGCGATATCTTCGCCGCGGGAGTGGACAGTCTCCAGACCACACGAATATGGCGGGCTATACGGCAGAAACTGGAGCTGGGGTCTGGTGGTGCGAGCATGAGTACAAATGTTGTCTTCGAATGTGGTACAGTCTCTAGACTAGCCAGGTACCTATTTGCTCTTCGAACGGGCGGACCACTTGATGACGATGATGGTGAGGTCAAAGAGATGAGAAGGTTGATTGAGATGTACTCGGCCTTCCATCAACGTCAATCTTCGACCAAGTCATTGCTAGATGCATCGCGACATACCGTGCTCCTGACAGGTGCGACTGGCAACCTCGGTGCTTTCATTCTCGCTGACTTGCTTCGAAGGGGTGAAGTGAAGGAAATCATCGTCCTCGCTCGAGCTTCCTCGCACGAGACTGCCAAGCAACGAATCAAACAGTCCCTTACTGATCGCAAAATCGGACTCACGCCCGAGCAGGAAGAGAGAATACGACCTCTAGCCTGCGACCTCAGCCAACCAGATCTTGCTCTCCCAGTCCCGCATCTCGAACACATTCTGGAGAGTGTCACCTGCACAATCCACAGCGCCTGGGCCGTAAACTTCAACCTCGGCGTTCGATCGTTCGAAGACCAACACATCCGCGGCACCTTCAACTTGATCAACCTTTGCATCCGTTCCCACCTATCACAGCCCGCATCTTTTTTTTTCTGTTCGAGTGTTTCGACGGCTTCTAGCACGCCAAAGCCTGCGACCATTCCCGAGAGGATCATTGAAGACCTAAGTCATGCACAAAAGACGGGATATGGACGCAGTAAGATGGTCGCTGAACACATCACAGCTAAAGCTATGCAAAACACCGGTATGAGAGCCAGGGTACTGAGGATCGGCCAATTGAGCGGCGATACGAAGGCCGGGATTTGGAATGATACTGAAGCCATCCCTCTCATGCTCAGGAGTGCTATCACGACCGGTGTTTTGCCGGCTGTAGATGAGAAGCCGAGTTGGCTTTCAGTCGATGTCTGTGCGGAAGCTGTTACGGAGATCTCGCTGGCTGGTGGCGGTATGGCTGTGGAGGATGAGGCGAAGCTGGTGTACCATATTTTGAACCCGAGGACGTTCAGCTGGAGAGACGATCTACTACCCGCCCTCCGACGCTTGCAAGAGAAAGGAGAGTATACCCACTTCGACATAGCTTCGCCTTCGGAATGGCTAGAGAAGCTAGCAAGTAGTGAGCAAGATCCGGAGAAGAATCCTAGTATCAAACTCTTGGATTTCTGGCGAGGAAAGTATGGCAACGCATTAGCACCAGTCGAGGATGAAGATGCGCCTGGCTTGACTTTCGAGACAAGTAAGACGGTCGAGAAGTGCAAGGTTCTTGTCGAAGTACGAGATCCAGTATCCGAAGGGTTGATGGAGAAGTATGTGCTTGCTTGGATGAGACGATGGAAGGTCTGATTCATGGGCTTCCGCACCTGTGAAGGGAGGCGACCTGGATGCGATGTGTGTTCGTGCATGGTTATATCTATCTCCCACTTTAGCTAGGAGTCAATGACTTGCAGCATCTCATTGACTCGTCTGATCTTCTCTCTGACCTTGCCCCTCTCCCTACCTCTCTCCTTCTCCACAGCATCTATCTTCTCCCATCCGTGCCATGACACATGACGGATCCCTCGCGCCTCCACTTCACGTCGAAGGCTTTCCCAGCCGCCTTTGCCTCCGCTCTCTTTGTCGTTATTGGCAAATGGGCTTCCACTCTCCCAATCGTGAGCAATAACGTCCGCAGTGATAAATGCATCGTCCAGTGTACTCGCTATCACGCCCGTGGGGCCGCGTTTTACCCAGCCTGCGCAGTACATTCCGGCTACATGGTGGGCTTCTGGGCTAATACCGGAATCAGTTCTTCGAACTTTCTCATCAATGGCTCCGGTATGTCTGCCCTCGCTTTCGGCGTAAGCTTCTCCAGGGAATCCAGTAGATTGCTCGCCTGTCGCGGGCGCTATTACACGGCCCCATCGGTCGTTTGGAATGACTCCACGGACACTGTCGAACGGCACACCGATGTCTTGCATTCCGTCTAATGGTTCGGAAAGGTAGCCGACGGAACGGAACGCCAGATCGGCGCGTACTGATGTCTTTCTTCCCGTGGGCTTCACTTTAGCAGCTCGGAGGTTATTGAGATCGGTTTGTGCGTCTCCAGATAGTAGTTCTGACAATGGTCGTTCGTACTCCATTTGTTCGAAACCTACGGCCTGCAGAGTTGTGCCGTCCGAGGAGAGGAAAGCGGCTGGTGAGCGGAGATAGCCGAGTTGCCATGCTTTTGATGAGTCTTGTACTGGATTCTTCGACCCTTTCTGCAGCAGCTCGGCGATTCGTTTTAGTTGCCGTGGTAGCTTCTTCAACGGCGCCTGCAGTAGATCGTCCCATGCTTCTGGTGGCGGCGCGAAACCTACATCAGATAGATGCATGAGCTCTCGCAATTCCTTGATGGTATATGGTGCCTGTAATGGTCCTCGCCTTCCGATGACCTTAACATCGCGGATCTTGCTTTCGCTCAATGCGGATATGGTCTCCTCGTTGATGTCTGTCTTTCGCAGTTCATCGAGCGGACTGAGCAGTGTTCTCGTCACGTCGAGAGCAACGTTTCCTTGTCCGATGACCACCGCTGTCTCGCCCGCCTGTAAGTCGGGATGCAAATGCGCATACTCTGGCAGTCCGTTATACCATCCCACGAACGCACGGGCGGAGATGATGTTCGTGAGACCCTCTCCCGGTATACCCAGCTGCTTGTCCTTTCCTGCTCCATAGGCGAAGAGGATCGCATCGAAGTGTGGCGCGAGCGTGGTCAATGGTAGGCTGCCAGGTCCAGTGCCTATGGGTGTATTGCCGCAGAAGTTAAAGTTGGTGGGTGACTCTCTAGCCACAGTCTCGAGCGTTTCGGTGCATTTCTACTGTGAGATCTCACGTATTAGTCACACGTACGAGCTTGGAAGGCACGAAGGTAAACGTACCTTCACTTCGGGATGGTCAGGCGCCACACCATAGCGCGCCAAGCCGTATGGCACTGGCAACTGCTCAAACATGGTGATCCGCGCGTCGGGTAGCTTCTTGAGCAGTCTATAAGCCGAGTAGAAGCCTGCTGGACCGGAGCCGATGATGGCGAGTTGGAGGGGCCGTCGAGGGTGTGTTGTGCTGTGGGCGTGGCGGAGAGCCTGCTTGACAATACTCTGAGCGCAACATCTCTGGCAAATATATGGGAGGCGTGGCGGCATTTTGTATGAGACATGAAAGTGCCTCCTCAAGACACCAGAGTCATGGGCCTGGTGAGGAAGTTCATGCTCATGAGTAGTTCGTGGTATTATACTGCACTCAGCGGCGTAGATGTGGTCATGGCATCGAAGTAAAGACTAGAACAGGTTCACATGTCTTGAACACCGCGAAGCCGACATCGTGAAGATTACGATACAATGTGGCCATCTGCAGAAACGTTGATACCACTTGACTGTGCTGTGACTACCACTCTACATACGTATACAATGCTCGCCGCCGAGAACGCCCATAAACACCATCATTGCGCCACCATCAGTTCCGCGCCATCGCTATGTACCATACCGCTTCAACCTGGATCTTTACACCTAGCTGCCAACCTCCTGGGTCACCAAATATGCAACGCAAAGCACTATCCCAAACATGGCGCTCTCACAATCCGCTGCGTTGGCGGCCCTTAATACCCTCTGCTTCCCCAACTCCCTCGCCAATTTCCGTTCCCACCACGACCCTCCTCAGCGATCTTGCCACTCACATCCCGATTCCTCAGGCCACGCATACTCTGCTTGCTACCATTTTCGTGAGGATGAAGAAAGAGGACATTCTCGTCAGCAATGTCTGCTCCCGTTCTGCTCACCACTCTCCCGTTGCCACCCATCCTGTCCATCTTATCTGGGGAAGGCGTCCGAGACTTACTTGCATAAGTCGGTGGCGGTGTGTTAGATGCTTGTGACAAGATCGAGCGTGTAGCAGCTGCTAGGTCACCGTAATATTTTCCTTTGGGTGTCCCAGATGCTTTTGCTGTGGTGGCAGATTCTTGGGAGTAGATTGAGCTGGTTTGGGTGGCGTTTGTTGGATTGCGCTCCACGCCTGCCCCGGAGCTGTAGTAGTCTTCTGACGGGTCTGGGAACTGTGTGTCTTGTGGCGGGGTGGGTGGATGCATGCCTAGTGGCTTCGGCATAAGCTCTCGAGCATGTTCTCTCCTTGTGCCCGTGGTCTCGACAGGCATGAAAGAGTCGTGACGGTCGCGCACAGCCATGTACCCATTCTTTGCCGGTACTGGTGGGCGATTCTCGTACTCATCATCCTCAGCATCCAAGACATACCAATTGTCATTTAGCAGCTTTGTACTTTGCTCTTGGCCTTGAGCAGCCTTGTCGCCGGCTGCGTTTGGCATTGCTGGACTGCGAAGAGGTGGCGTGATAGCTCTTCCGTAGCCAGCAGATGCGACGTTGTTGCTTGAGAGGTTCGAATGGCGAAGGTCTCCTAGATCCATTTCGTTGACTGTGATGCGACTGTCACGCTTCGATGGACGGTCCATTCGAACCTCTCCTAGATCCATTTCGTTGACTGTGATGCGACTGTCACGCTTCGATGGACTTTGTGATCCGCCTCTGGTGCGTACATCGAGCTTGCCATCTGGTCTGATCTCGTATCTGGAACGGCGTTGAGGACTCCCGGCTTCGCGATAGATCTGTTGCTGTCCTTCGAATTGGTGGCGAGACCAGCGAGCCGAGTCGGGATTGTGTGGCGAGAAGGCGAGATTAGCTTGGCTGCCGTTACGTGAGTGACCGAAAGGTACATTCCTATCATCATCCTTGGCGGGTGTGGAGAGTCTGCTCTGTTCGGCAATCGAGAGCGTGGACCCAGACATGTGCGCGAGACGTTTCCGCTCTGCCAGAGTCATATCGTCGCCAGTGGTCGTTACGGTCATCTCGCTGTTCTTGTGCTTATGCTTCGATCCCACCACCGACTTCCTCGCAGTCAAATTATCTTCCAATGGGTTCATATCAGGCGGCAGATTCGCGATCTTGCGGAAGGTGATGATCAGATAGAGGTCGATCCCAGCACTCAAGAGATGCAAAGCAGCAGCACCAATTGCTCCAGTCCACACGATCAGCAGTATGACCTCGGGCGTTGTCCTGCCACCTACAAGGAGCGAAGTGTAACGCCAGTTGCCAGGTACAAGATCGCCGCTTGCCTGATATTGCGGAGGTGGGTACTGCGCGTTTGCATTGACCACTAGTGCGATGTAGACGTAGAGCGGGATGAGGCAGGTGTCCATGATCATGGCGAAGGTGTGATAGGAGTAGGAGGAGGCCGGGGTGCGGGCTTTGGCTGGCCGGATAAGGTGGTAGATTGCGTAGAGGGTTATGAGAGAGTCCCATGCTTGCTGAGATATGACATTAGTATTCCGATCCCCTTCTCGCATCTTTGACGCAATGACTTACTGGTATTCGCAACAAGTAGGTCTCAGCTCCACTCGTCCCCTTCAGCACGACGGTTAATACCAACAGTCCTAAAGCCACCACCTCTTGGTGCAGACGTAAAGCAAACTGTACCCATCTCGTCACCACGACCGCCTTCTTGGTCCCCTTCGGCAACGGCTTATAATCTTGCTGTCTACCCTGCCAGACCTCGTAATTGTCCGGATGTCGGTTGTAATTAATCAATGGGCCTTCTTGCTTTGGTTTGGTTTCTGACGCCTGGCTCAAGCGGGCGTAAGAAGCTTCAGTCACAGCTTTGGGGTTGAAGTGGCTGTATGGGTAGGAGATGCGATTCTTATGGCTTTCGTTGTTGGCGTAGAGGTATGGCATTTGACTGTCGGCGCCCATGTTGACTGATATGTTGACCCGGAGCGCTGGGCCGGAAGAGGGTGGATGAGCCACAGCGAGAGGTATGCAAAAGTGATAATGAAGAATGTATGTGACCTCAGAAGAGACCGTGTGGTGGTGTTTGTGCAGGCATGTAGATGCTGGAACCCATCATACGAACGAATCATGGTCCTTTGTCTATTTGTGGCGTCGAGTCTTGACAACGCTTCCATAGCAACCGATAACCTTATCTGTGTCGGAACTTTGGCGGGTGAGATTGCCGAGCATGACGTTCTAAGCCGCGTGGAGATGAGTAGATGCTTTGGATAGCAGCACGAGTAGAGTAACACTAATATGGCTGCGAGAATAATGGAGGAGAAGATGTAACACTTTTACTAGGCTATAGAAAAAAACAAGTGTGCTCTGCAAAGCAAGCGTCGACGAGTCGAACGAGCATCTCTCATCTCTCCTCGTTCAGTGGAACTTTCCAGCAATGCACTGAGTGACCAACGGCACATCCGTGAACGAGCCATCGGAATTCTGGGTTGGCACTTCGCTCAACACGTAGCTGGGGTCGAAGTTGCCAGCGGCCCAGCCGATCCAGCCGAGGTAGACGTCGCTGTAGAGGTTCAGTTCGTCAAGTTCTTGGCAGACGTCTGTGAGGCATGAGCTGTCGGTGGGTCCGCCGCCAGTCTCTGAGAGGATGGCTTGACGCTTGTTCATGCGGAGCCAGTTGCCTGTGGTGTGTTAGCGTAACAAAGGAGCTGAGAGAGGACATTAACGTACCAAGAGTCTGGAAAGCAGCAACGTTGTTGGTCGTGCAGCTGGAGTGGGTACCGGAGTTGTCGGAGTCGAGGTACTTGTGCACGTCGAAGATGAGGTTGGTAGTGGAGCCGTCAAGGTTGGTAACCTTGGACAAAGCAGCAGCTGATCCGTTCTCGATGAAGTTGGCTGCAGACGTATAGTCGGTGCCGGGCAGCCAGATCATGTTCGAAGTGGCACCAGCTTGACGAATGGCTGTAACAGCAGCTTGGACGGAAGTAGCCCACGTGTTGATGTCGAGGTCGTGCTAGCAGGACGTCAGAATGAGTTCATGTCATAACGCGAAGGGTTGACAGCAACTCACAGGCTCGTTCATGACACCGAAGGCAATCTTTGGGTTGTTGGCGTACTTGGCCGCAATCTGGCTCCAGAGGGAAGCAAACTGGGCGTTGGTGGGACCCCCCTGGCCAATGATCCCACCGTTCCATCGAGCGTAGTTGTGTACATCGATCTCGCAGAGAGCTGCACCGGAGCTAAGGCAGTTCTGCACAAGTGTATCGTACGTGGCGAAGTTGGCCGCGTTGAGAGTGCCACCGAGGACACCGTTGACAAGGTATTGCCAACCGACGGGCAGACGGAAGACGTTCAAACCATCATCTTTTACAAAGTGGTTCATTTGAGCCTGCCCCTTTGCGCCAGGTGGGTAGGCACCGTTCGTGCCCAGCTGGCACGTTCCGGTGGTGTCGCAGCCAAAGTCGAAGCCACTACCACGATATTAGATATTGTGCAATGCTGTTAACGAGATGAGAAAGGCTTACGCGATGTTGATACCGGCATACTTCACCTTGCCACTGCCACTAGTCACAGGAGCGCTGGAGGTGGGAGCAGCTGAAGACGTGGTCGTCTTCGTGGAGGAGACAGGCTTAGCCGTAGTCGTTGCGGTAGTAGGCTTTGCGGTCGTCTTGACTGTAGTCGACGCAGTACCCGGGACGCACTGAGAGTAGTACGAGTTCTGTGCGTAGCAGTAGTAGCCAGATGTACACGTGGTCGCTCCGCTCCATCCTTGACCTCCGCACTGGCCATAAGCGGACTGCTGAGCGGCGACAGTGCTGGCCGCAGCCAAGACAGCGATTGTTGTCTTCATCTTGAATATGGAAAGGTCCTGCCTGTGCTTAAAAGTGAAGTAGAGACTAATGTGTGACGCGGGCAAGACGAGAGACGGGGAAGTTGTGGTCAATATGTATGCTTTCCTCCTACCAGATTATGATCACAGTTTGTACGAGACACGGCACGAACATACATGATCGTATTGAGCCTGAAGCAGGTCGCGAGCGATTCCATCGCGCTCGAGATGGGCCCTTGGCGGGTGGTGATTGCAGGTACAGTACCGTACAGCTATAGCGTTTTGAAGTAGATTGATTCTGAGCGCTAAGATCTGTCGTAGAGCCTCGGTCTCCATATATCAGGGTGGGCCTCCAGATCACGCAGACGGGCTGTAAATTGCCAGGGCCAGGGGTTGAAGATATAGTATGCGTAAACGTGCATTTGGCAGACATGATGGTCGTGCAAGCGTGACTGGTTGTGGTCACAAGGGCTTTGACGGTGGCGACAGGGCCGAAATCCCTTGAGCCGCGGTGCGGGGTGAGCCGCCACATTTTGCCTCAGGCATTAAGTCGAAATTCAATGTTTACCTCCTACCTTTGCGTTTGAGCTTAACGGTTGCACCTCGCCGTGTCGCGTGTCCTAACTAAAATAAGGCCTAGGAGGCAACTAAACATTAGTAGGATCCTCCCTAAATCTAGTAAGGCGTAAAGCTATATAGTCTAGATTTTAGTAGGATCCTATTTAGTAGGATCTATACTTCTAGAACTACCTATAGGCGCCGTTCTATATACTAAAATAGAATATATCTTACTTATAGTACTTAATTATCTATCCGGTATTATTTCTAGTACGTCTAAATAGTATTTTGTAGTACTAGGGTTAGAGTATAGGTATATGCTAGTAGTATTATTATTATATACCTACGGTATAAGAGGTTAGAGCTCGTTAGACGAGTAAGTTCTAAGCGATAGGTCGGGTAAGTAACTACTCTAAGGTTTAACCTTTTAGTAGGTTAGTAACTTAGGTTAAATATAAACTACCTATATAGGAAACGTCTATTCTATATAGGCCCCTCTATAGGGCGGTTTAGGGTGGTTTAGGTTAAAAAACTAGCTTTTAAATTTAGGGCGGTTTTCCTTAGGGCCTTAGAACCTAAATTCTTAGTATAGGGCGGTATAAGCTAACCTAAGTATTCGGGTTAAGCAGCGCTTCGAAACGCTAGTCTCCGTACTATCGAAAGCGTTATATCCTACTTATATTACTAGTAAAGATATTAAGCTTCGTAATACGCGGCGACTACCTACTAACTACCTACCGACTATACGAAATCGCGATACCTCCTATAATACCGTCGGACTCTAGTACGCTATTATTATTACCGCCTCTAACTAGATAGTTTAGTAAAGAGTACTAAGTAAAGACTCCGATCCGCCGTATTAGAGGATATTTAAAAGAGAGAGTATTATCTTTGCCTATAAAAGGGGATTCTCGGTCTTCTAGTTAGAGAGGCTATACGGACGTAAAGGAGACCCCGACGCGACGTATATAGTACTACGACGACGTATCCGATAAAGACTAGAGCTCTTCTATAAGCGCCTTAGCCTCTTATCCTATATCGCCTTTAACCTAAGGACCTAGGTACGATAATAATATACTAATTTAACCGCTAATATTTTAAATACTAGGAATTAAGGGATACGAGATAGATAAGAGTTTACTCGATCTAAGACTACGGCGCGACTAGGTACTAGAAGTAGATAAGAAGTATAATTATACGAACTATAATAAGGAGGACAATAACTATAGTTATATAAATTAGGATAAGAAGGATAATAACGATAAATTCGAACTAACGTAAGAAGATTCGTAGTCGGCGTAGAATACTAGCTATACTACGTCTACGTAGTTAGATAGTATCGACGTATAACTATTTAAAGCTCGAGAGATAGGGTATATCTAGCGAAAGAGATATAGTAAGGACTTCGAATAATAGTACTATATAAAGTAGTAGATACCGATAGGTTAGGTAAACTATCTATAGTTTTATAAGTCGCCTATTAGATAGGGGGGTCCTAAAACTACTCTATTATAGGAGCTATTCGAGGAGGGAGCGAAGATAATATCTACGGCTCCGTATATTATATATAAGAGGTATAACCTAGCTCTTAGCTATCCTAGCATTAGTTATAGTACTAGTACCCTAAGGAATTACCTCGATAGCGTACTATATAAACGGATATCTCGTAAGAGGGGACTCGACTCGGTC